ACGGGCAGAAAAGTGGACGCATTATCTGGGCGCATTATTTGCCATTCCTTTTCTTCCCCCCTTCCTCTCTCCCTCCCCCCCCTCCCCCTGCCGGACCGGGGGGGGGGGAGAGAAAGGAAGGGGGGCGGCCGTCCGCGCGCGACCGCTGGGTTCGCGCAGCAAGCAGCACGCACGCACGCCTGGCGATGCCGATGAGGCTCAACATTCCGACGCGGTGGGCGAGTCGGTGCAGAATGCAGTGTTTTATCATCATGTGACTCTCGAACCAGCGGCTCAATCGGCGCATGGAATCTGCTCGCACGCGTTTCGTTGGTCCGGCGATCCTAACCTGCGCGTTGCCCCTGGCCAATGAAGCCCCCCCCCGGGGGCCCGGCTTGGGGGAAAAATAAGAAATCAAAAGCAAAAGGAGCAAAACCCGTCACGACGGGCGGTCTGTACGTACGAGGAGGCCTGCACGCAGGTATGTGTGTGTGTGTAGGTATGTATGTATGCGTGTGCGTATGTACGTGCGCTATCTTGTTCCTACCTACATGCCTACATCATCCCATCCTCTCACACCGGTCCTGCGACGGAGGTTTATAAAAAAAGGAAAGCAGGGCGGGCCAGGGCTGGCTGGGTGCCGGGCGTCTTCCCTGCTGATACCGCCCGCCACACTGCCGAACCCAAGTCCCTGGGACTTTGACTTCCAGCTGCCGCAGCGAGCAAGACGGAGAGAGAGAGAGACCCACGTTCGCCAGTACGACCAAAAGGGGTCTCCCCCGTACCCGGTGGCGTGGCGTGAGAGTGAGCGAGTGAGCCGGCGGCGGCCTGAGAGGCTTCCCTAGTATCGTCAGATTCTTATTCCTGGCCCATCACCCGATCTCCACCCGGCCGCGTACCCAGGCCCGGCCTGGTTTGATCTGACTCGATCGCCATGCGAACGGCTCACCACCACGCGGCGTACGCAATGGGCGCGCGTGCGTATGCATGTGCATACATCTCGACCACGGCACAGGTCGTCGCACTGGTCACATCCGCTGAGGCCCCCCTTTCAGCCGTCCGCCGACTCTGTGCTGCCGCCTCACGCACTACTAGTCCTCGAGATACCTACACGGTCAGCCTCACCCCCCGGTCGCCGCCATCTCCTGCCGTGGTGTCCCGGCCTATCGGAGACAGCGAGGCCAGGATTGCTACCACCGGTTCGGCGACGTCGACGGCTCTCCTGAGGCCCACAGAGTGGGGGATTCCCTATCGGCCCGCCAGTACATATGCAGGTACATACATCCATACTCTATATACCTACTCATACATTCATACACCCCGTACTCCTCGAGGGGGGGAACCGTCACGGGAGTTCATCCGACATCCCATGCAGGGTCTAGGCCGTCCGGGGAATATTTCGTCGTCGTATCCAGGAACCCCTCTCACGGTATATTGTCTCCGGCGGGTCAGGAGTCATGTTTACCAGCTGCCTGGATCGAGATGCGGTTGGCTCCCCCTTTCAGAAAGGAGATACCCTCGAGTGGGCTTGCCAGAAGGAGCCCGCCCCCCTTTATGAGCAAGCGTCGTGTGGTGCGTGCTCCCATGTCAGCCTTGGGAATTCCGAGCCAATTCTTCGGGCAAGCCTTTTTTCTTCTCTTTGCTTTTTGTCATCCCAGGACCGTGGGCGGCCTGATTTCCCCTAAACAAAGTAGACGGTGTGGAGCGCGACGAGACCGTCGGGACGGTTTCCAGACCCACTAGATTATTTTCTAGCCTTTCCCTATTTCGAACCCTTCCCCCAGCCGCTTGCTCCCAAGAAGTCCCTAATAGACCTGCCCATCCGGCGCCTTAGGTGTAGCCCGTTGATGTCTCGCCCCTAGTTCCCGGGAAGGGGGTTGCTTCCCGTGATTCAATATGTGTGGCCTCAAGTTGTTGGAGAGCATAAACGCCGGCCTATATTACCTATAATCAGCAGCTCTCGCCCTTCGAGGGAAAACGAAACCCGTCGAATTAGGGGACTTATTGGGTCCCCTTCCCAACCCCCGGCACTTACGATATGTATCTCGGGATTTGGGAACCTATCGTGTTCCATTTGGGCAAGGATCAGGCATCCCCTGTCTGACCTTACCTGTGGCACCGGGGAAGCCATCCGTCACGGCGGGTTAGCCATGCGCGCACGCCCTCTTCTTCTCTCTTCGCGCTCGTCTCGCCGAATTGACGTGCTCGTCAGATTAAGAAGGAAAATTTTTTCCTCCTCCCAGCGTCATCTCTCGAGCTCGGACGAACACGAAGAAGGATCAAAGCAAACCGGTAAAAACTCCTTCGGCTAATAGAAATGTTGGGACGAGCAGACTGGGCGGTTGATCGACGAAATAAAGTCTCTCTGAACCCACGGCAACAAAACCCGCCACAAAAAAAAAGGGGACCAGGACGGGGGACAACCATGCCGTCCAGCGCCCTCTCAGGTTTGTGGTCAAACATGCTACGTAGGGTGCACGACAACTCTCGTTCCGTATATGCGTAGTATCCATGTCTAACGAGACTGGTCCCCCGTCACCGAGGAGAACACAGTGTAGGTTGTCGGCTGAGCCAGCACAGAAAGCTATGCAACCTCCCTAAACCGCGTCAACCTTATTATTTCCTCTTCTCTCCCTTTCCTCTCTGCCTGCCGGCGGCAAGGCAAGGTGCGTTACCGTCTCTAGCTGCTATCTGTCTAATTTTGGCAACGCGAGAGATTTGTGGCGTTCCGGCGTTCTCGCTAGCGGACCCTCGTACGTTACCAGAAACCCAGATTGGCTCAACTGCTCGGAGCAGGACAAAAAGGGTCCTTCTCGTCTGCCTGCCTTGTCCGTTAGGGCGAGTCGCTCCGCCAACCGCCTTTTTCCCTCGTCCGTCGTCTACGGAGAAGGTAACGGATAGGGGAGGGGAGCGGACGGACTGTATGCATAACCCTGTGCATTTCCCGTTTATTAAGAAGAGCGAGAGAAGAAAAAAAAACAAGTTTCGACTCGGTTTCTCGTCAATGGTAATTCACGACTCTCCAGACTCGTGGCCGACAGCGCAAGCAAAAGTCCCGAGCCCAATGAGCGCGGCCGACCGGGCTTCCTCTCATCATATCTGCAGACGCGCGACGCGACAACTTAAAGAACCCGTCCAACCCACTGGAACCCCGGTCCTACGTGTGGTCCGGTAGGATTGATAGGATTGGGCTATGTCACGAAGCTCGGGAAATTTCAAAATAAAATAAAATAATTTTTCGTCTCATTTTGTGCGAATTCGTCGGGCATGGGTGAACATGTTAGACCTCCCGTACGACGGCATCCTCTTCCTATCAAATCAATCAGGACCCTTTACCATGCCTGGTCGCCAGGTGACCGGGCATGTATGTATTCTGTAAGTACCCTCGGCGGCTCGCGACGCCTTAACGAATACATGCGTAGGCTCTGCTCCCACGTGGTACCTCAGCAGGGGCTGGCCGCCTGAAACGAGACCCCGTTGGATTCGGATAATTGGCCCTGCCCGCCGCCGACGACATTGGCTATCTCAGCCGAACGAACACACTCACACACACAAACCTACACACCACTTACGCACCCTCACCCTCACACGCATACAGGTAGGTGCGTGCATACGTCCATATGGCATGTGTGTATTTCCCCAGGGTCCAGCGTCATCGGCATGAAACTCCCCCATCAGCCCCGAGGGCCTATACAATTTGCCGGCTATTACTTTCTGTGTGTATGCGTGTCGGGGACAGCGAGTCGAAATGTGGATGGGGGGAGAGGGGAAGGGGGGGGCCTGTAGCAGAGGGAGGGCGGCCAAGCAGGGCCTGGGCGTCTGGAGTTTGGGCAACGAGAGCGAAGGGGGGGGGAAGCAATATCTGGCCGGTTCGAGCCCAACCGCCACACATTCTCCTCACGAGGGGGGAGGGGGGGGGTTGAGCTGTACGCTTTTGCCTCCGTCCGACGTAGGCAGGTCCTCGTTACGCCGCATCCAGGCCCCTTTGCAACCAGGTTGACGTCGAGGCTAGAGACGATAGGTGCCGCTCTGGCTGGGCGAAGTGGCCTCCCATCTTGAAACGCCGACACGCTCGTGATGGTGACTCGTGGGATGTTCTAAGTTTGGACGGGAAAAGGGAAAGCAGCCGGTGGTGTCGACGGCGATTGGTAGCCTCACATTGCACCTGGCTCGGCCGCCGCGTCGCTCGCTTGTAGGGTGGCTCTATAGGGTTGTTGGAGCAGCAGGTGACGTAGAGCGAGCGAGCTGGGGAGGATTCGGAGTAGGCCGCACAACATCGGTCGGCGGGACTTCCAGATCGCTGTATAGCGTGCAGGATCTGGACAGAGGCCGATGCGTGGATGTATGTTTCCGGGACGCATGTAGGTTGGACGGGTTGACGTGTTGGAGGATGTAGGATGTTAGCACACAGACGAGCTGCCACACCGAGGAGCCTGGGTGGTTAGCAGGCCCGCGGCAGCACCTGATGTTGCAGTATACATGCCGTAGTATACATGAAGTAGGTATACGTGTTGTACGTATACACCCACGGTTGGGTATAATAATAGTTCGCTGGCGGCACGGGCCAGGTAACCGATTACCAGCCGGATACCTCGCGGCCGTTGTACCCTCTCTGCTCTGTGCCACGCTGCCTCGGGGAGTGGACTTGCCCTGCTGTTACCCATCGCCATTACCCACAGAATTCCGGCGCTTCCACGAGGAGACGCCATAGCGGAAGCCGCAACGGAGCCCAGCTGACGGAGCGACCTGCCTGTCCGAGATGGCTGCGCCTATGTACCATTGTACCCTGGTACCCTCTTATGCCCCTATACCCTTCTGGAGGAGGAGGAAGCCACAGCTGCAGCCTCGCCCCACTGCCACTCGCAGCTGCCCAGCCGCGGACGGCAACGTCACCTCCCCCACCATCTCCATCTTCGCTCTCTCCAAACAACTCCGAACTCCAACCCGACTTTGGCGGCATCGAGTCGACCAGGAGCTTCATCCCTCCCACCGCCCACAGCCCGCACGCACCCACGCCCACGCCCGCGCCCACGCCCACGCCCACGCCCACGCCCACACGGGCACCCGCGAGAGAGCACGCATACAGATACGCACACGCACACGCACATGCACACAGGCCGGGGAGCTACACGTAGCAACTCGGATACGGAACCGACAGACGGCTCTGCCTCTCGACTGGGCACCAATTGCGAGAAAAAAATAGGGGGCGAGGGAGACGGACCTAGGCTTTGCCTTTCGTCTCGACACGCACACGCACACACACACAATAGACACACATACCACACATACACGCACGCACGCACGCACGCACTCACACATACACACATACACACACTCACACATACACCCGTCGGGCATCCTGGTTCCAACCTGGTCTAGTCCGGTCTGGCCTTAGCGCGATCCCTCCTCTTGCTGCCTTCGCGTGCGTGTTCTCCTGAGGAAGAAAGCCGGCCGCGATGTCCATCATCCAGCAGCACACGGCTGCCACGCTCAGCGACGCCTGGCGAACGATCAACATCGACGCGCTCGACCCGGACTCGTCGCAGAACTTCGACACCTCCACCCTGCACCCGCCGCTGCTCGAGGTCGGCGAGGCCGACGTCCGGCAGCTGAACGCGCAGGTCCGGCAGCTGCTTCGGGGCGGCGACGCTGAGGGCGCCCTCAGGGGCAGCCTCGAGAGCCCCGTGTACAACGGTAGCGATGCCGCCAAGGTACGACACATGGCCTGACCATCTCGTCTCGCAGTGGACGATGAAGAAGTCTCCCCCCCCTTACCACCCCTACCCCCCCCCGGATGGGTGGAAGAGGGCCCGAGTGGAACATGGCAATGCTAACCTCGAACGCCGTTTGTCGTCGCGCAACAACAGGACCAGCACCTGCAGACCGTCCTCGAGGTCCTGCAGTCCATCAAGGCCAGCGACATGACCCCGATGCTGCTGCGCATCTACGGCTCCCCGGGCGGCTCCGAGCTGCTCGACGTGCTGATGAAGTATCTGTAAGTCGTTCGTCGTAACCCATCCCCCATCCCCCTTAGCTAAGCACGAGGCAAGGCCCGACCGACTGCTACCGTCGTGGCGTTTCAGCTACCTATACTGACCTCGCACGCAGATACAAGGGCATGTCCGGCGGCGCAGGCGCCGGAGGGCGGACGCCGACCCGGAACCTGACGCCGCAGCCGACCGGGTTCAGCCAGGTCGGCTCGCGCCCCGGCATCCCCAGCGAGTCCACGGGCACGGCCATGAGCGTGCTGCTGAGCTGGCACGAGAAGGTGGTCGACGTCACGGGCCTGGGCAGCATAGAGCGGTGCATGACGGACTGGCGCAAGGTGTAGAGGCGAGGGGGGAGAGAGACCGAGCAGCAGAGACCATGTGACGCGGAGCAAGCCTCAGAAAATGGCGTCTTGAATTTATTCTATCCCGTATCCTGTTCTTTCGATCTGGGTAGCCTCGAAATGTATGCAAATGTCTTTTTTGACTGGTATATATCAGCGGTGTGTCGACGTGTCGGTATCACAGCGGGTGTCCTGCCTCACCTCGTGTGCTCCAGCTCTATGGCTTCCGTAATAATTCCCAATTCAATGTGTCTGTCGTATATTGACTATATGTTCGCCGTCTCGTTCTCGTGTGTTTGATACCCAACTACTTACACAGCTGGAACGGGATGTGATCTTGATCTATTTATTTATTATTTAATCATTTCGTGATTTTTACATGGTGATCTGTCGTCTATAGGTACTCGATACCGTGCTTCGTCCCCGGAGTGACTGGTGTATCTGCCTTGTTTTCGACACCGCGCGCCGTGATCCCATTGTTTTGGAGGTAACCCGTAGCACGCAAATTTCATCTCCGTGTTTTCTCATTTCCCCTTTCCAAGCGAGAGTCCCGGATCAGGCGAGCCATTCCACTCTACCATCGGTTGGATCAGCTATCACGTCGGACACCTATTCCGCGCCAGTTCCCCGTCGACCGTTTCATCTAGCCGGTGCTCGGAGCCTGCTGAATCCCATATCGTCTACCTCCCAGCTCTTTCACCTCATACACATCTCCCATCCCCGTCGCCCGCCGCCGCCATGGGCGCCGTCCCGGCGACCTGGCACTGCCCGGCCTGCAACGCCGACTTCGTTGGCCCCGATGCCGCCGAGGCGCACCTGGCTGAGCACGCCTCCCGGGCCGGCGGCGACCGAGGCCAGTGCGATCTCTGCGACGGCCGGCGGCTCGACAAGAAGCAGCTCGCGGCACACCTGAAGGACCCGGTGTTCCACAACATCTGTCCCGTGTGCAAGACAGATTTCTTCCGGAGCAAGTCGGGCCTGGATAACCACATCAGCCGGAAGCACGCCAGGTGCCCGGTGCCGTCTTGCGGCGTCGTCTTCGAGAGGGCCCAGATCCAGGACCACCTGGCCAAGAAGCACCCTACGTGCAACACCTGCGACATCACCTACGCGGACCCCCTTGATTTCATCGCCCACAAGCACCGTGTGCACATCTACTGCGACGACTGCGGCGTCGACTTCCCGTCGGCGGAAGCATACGAGGGCCACTGCAGCATCTACCATCCCGGCGACAAGAGTCCCGGCGATGCTAGCAAGTTCGACGACCCTGAGCCCGCCGGGGCGAAGTGCAATATATGCGAGCACTGCTACGAAGCGTTCGCCACGGAGGCCCTCCTCTCGGCCCACAGGAGTTGTTGCCCCAAGCTCGAGTGCGAGAAGTGCGGCTACAGGTGCGTGACTGCCATGCAGCTATGCGTCCACCTCGAGGAATTCCACCTCTACTGTAGGCTTTGCAACAAGTGGTTCGAGAGCCCGAACGCCATGAAGCGCCACAGACTGGCGGAACTGGACCACCGGCAGTGCTCGAACTGCAAGAGGACCTTCAACGAGGTCGCTGCCCTCCTGTTCCACTGGCAGCGGTACCATCACCTCTGCTTAGAGTGTCGGAAGGGGCCCTTTATGTCGACCGACGACCTCAACGAGCACTTGCGCGGACATGCTCTCGGCGAAGACAATAAATACTATTGTCTAGGATGTAAAAGGATATCTGCCTCGATGTCCACATTGCTGAAGCACCAAGAAGAAGCTCACCACTACTGTGACCGCTGCAAGATATTTTTCGAAAGCGGAGGCATATTGGCCGCACATAAGAGCATGGGCCACAAGGACCCGAAACCTCAAAATGAACACTCAATGATGACAAACACTCGGGAAATCGAGAACAGTTCGGACCTCTTTTCTGTGAGCGGCACTAGCCACCATAGTCATGGCGAAGCCGCGCGCAGAGATGGCCTCAATGTGCCACAAAGGTCTACCTTGGATTCTCCGGTAGGCCCTCCTTTAGGTACACGTGGGTATCTATTGCCAAAACGCCTCTCTAGGCTTCATGATCGAGAAGGAAGGGGGGGTCAGATGATACATATGCTAACGCCGGCCGACTGTAGGAGGCACGGCACAACGCGTCCTCGAAGGTAGCGCTGCGGCGATACGCTCTCCCCGTCGAGCGCCTCGAGGAGAGCCCGCACCACCCCCTACTGCCGAACCTGTACAGCCAGCTCCAAACCGCGGACACCGGCCGGAGGTACACCACCGAGGCCACCAGACTACCCCCGTTCTGGGGCCCGTCGATCCCGTCGCTATTCCAGCAGGAGCAGGAGAGCCTGGGCGGGAGACGCGAGTGTCGCCTTTGCGATGACGATGAAGTTTTCGGCAACTTTATTGACTTGTGCGTCCGCCTGGACGGCTGGAAGCACCAGCCGCTCCGCTTCCCTAGCTGCCTGATTTCATCTGATGATACCCTTATTTGTATGTCCGAAATGAGAGACGCTACTTTGCTCGGGAGTGAGAAGCTCTGTGTACGAAGAAGATACGCATTGATGAAAAGGAAAATGAAACAAACACGGTAATGCTTCTATTATCGTTGTTTCTCTAAGATATCTTTTAGATTCATCTCGCCGCTGCCTCGTGGGAGCGGCTGGGGCTGGTCTCCCGACTCCTTCCACCCGATCATGTAGATCGTGCGGAATGTCGCCGGTATGGACCCGTCGTCGTTCCCGTGGAGCTCGCGGTAGATGGCGTCGTTGGCCAGGAGCACGTCCCGCCGGATACCGCCCATCTCGCGACCGATGACGGCATTACCCTCGCCCATGGCCTGCATATCCTGCATGAGGGCAAACGTGTCCGGATAGTCGACGACGATGTCGTCCACGTCGACCGTTAGCATCTTGAAGCCCGCCCTCTGCAGCAGCCCGCCGACGTCTCGGACGTCGGCTAGCGGCGACACGTGGGGTGATATGCCGCCTTGTCTCTCGTGCTCGGCTAGCTGCAGCGACGTCCGGAGCTCGAAGAGCGTGTCGCCGCCGAGCATGGCGCCCATAAAGGCGCAGTCGGGCTTCAGGATGTTGTTGATCTGGGCCAGGACACCCGGCAGGTCGTTGATCCAGTGCATGCTCAGAGAGCTTAGCACCAAGTCGAAGGAATTGGCCTCGAAAGGCAACGTCTCCTCGTCTGCCAAGACCTGCCTCGTGATATTGATGTGCTTGTTGAAGTCGAGGTCCGCGTCCCGATACAGTAGCGTCTCGGACGAGTCGACCGCTAACAGGTGGTCAATCCGAGTCGAGACCCGGTCCGAAGCCGGCTGGGACGGGTCTGGGTTCTCCCGGGTCAGGGCGCGCGCGAGGTTGCAGGCATTGGCGCCGAGGTCGAGGACGTTATGATAACGGCGCTTTATGTCCTAACGAAGTACCTGTGAGTATTTATCGGCTCGGGCGGGGGCCGGGAGGGGCTCGAGCGTACCAGCAACCGGTCGCAGAGGCGGACGGCCACTTCGTCTTTCAGATAGTCGGCCACTCGGCTGCTCTCGACGTCAGCGGCGGCGCGCTCCTTCTGCAGCCATTTCGTGCGGCGGTTGAAGACCTGGTGGACGGGTGGCGCTGCAGCTTGGAAGGCGTAGGACCGCAGCGGCGGCGTCGCCAAGCTCGCTCTCGCCGCTGGTGCTCTCCTCCCAGGGACCTGCAGCGCAAGCGGTGGTGCACGTATCGCCCCCCGCAGACAGCGGCGATTCATCCTCTTCGGTGGGCGGTCAATGGGATGGACTGTCCCGCTTCATCCTGGTGCTTGGCAGGTCGACGTCGTGTAGGTATGTCGTATGCAGTGCAGGCACGGTTCACGTGTCCCCGCGAGCTTGAGGGATGGCAGTACGACAAAACCAGTCCTGCAGTTGTCATTGGCCGTGACGCTGAAGTGGAAGGGCGAGGTGGTGTTATCACTGTGGGATGGAGGCGTCGTGTGTTCGAGATTAGGTGTGGTGGGTGGTGTAGCGTGCCCAGATGGGAGGAGAAGCACGGCGATCTCATAGGTATCGATAAGCCACTCCACACCACTGTTTCTTGACTGCAAGGAGAAGGGATGTCAAGCCACACGAGGCGCAACGCAGCGGTAGGTACCGTTGGTAGCAGAAAGGCACCTTACCCTAGGTACCTAGACCTATGAGGCGACAGGACGCGGTACCTACGGGTACGACGTGATGGCCCAGAGCCGGGCTAGGTGATAAAGGGAAGCCGTCTTAATAATAAATAGATTAATTAGCAGCTCGGCAGGATGGAATATGATTAAGGGAGTGGACTGGTCACGAAATGGTAGCGTGCTGCAGATTGGTGTGCTTCTGCTTGGCCGCTCGGTTTCTTGCTAGAATCACCAAGTAGGGCCAGGCTCACCTCTCTCTGCCATTCACATTGTTCGTGCACTTCCTCCATGTGTTCCCGGCATTCCCCCTTCGACGTTGTGCCACGAGTCGTCGAATCCCAGCATCTGCCAAATCCTTTGAGTGCTGCTGCATCAACGAGGATCTGCCGCGCCGACAGGTCCTCTCGATAACCGATACCCCGACAGAGATACCTACCCCAGATAAAGCATACCCGTCAACTGTCACTAGGCTTTCCTACGCGAAATACTCCTAACCCTCCTGCTCGCCGTTTCGCTTCCAGACAAGCCCCCCCTTGTCCGCCGCCGTCCCCGTTGCGCTTAGTGAGCTCGACCATGCTATTGGGTTGGCCCGGTCTATCATGAGAGCCGCATTTCTAAGCGTGTTTCTTCTCGATATCGGACCGCCAGACTCGGAATCCACCTTTTGCTGTAGACATTAAGCGTGTCGTGTGCTATCGCTACCGGTACCGACACCTCCGCCGCCTCCGCCGCTGCCTTGCGTCTGTTGATGCGACCGAAGTAGCCAGTGCCGTATAAGAATAGGGGGCCACCTCGTCCACAGCTGCAATCATGGCTTCCTCCGCTGCTGCCGGCTTCCTCGGCCGGTCTAGCAGCAGCAACTCGAACATGCGAGGTCTCGTCCAGTTCATCGCCGATCTGAGAAATGCGCGGGCGAGAGATCTGGAGGAGAAGAGGATCAACAAAGAACTCGCAAATATCCGGTGCGTAGAGACGACCCCCCTCCTACTAGCTGCCGTCGATGGAGCCGAGGATGCTAACCCGTACTGTCTGTCCAGGCAAAAATTCAAGGGTACGCTGCATTTCCGCCTACAACGGGCGTCGAATCGTCGCGACGGTAGAACTTCGAGATGGCGATAGGTGACTAACGCGCAATAGATGGTAATCTGAGCGGATATCACAAGAAGAAATATGTCTGCAAAGTACGAGGAACCCCCCCCCCCCAACTCCCCCTTTATCCGCTGCGCACGCGCGAATCTGACCACGGTCGTAGCTGTTGTATATCTATATCCTGGGCTGGAACGTCGATTTCGGACACCTCGAGGCAGTCAATCTTATTTCCGCCAACAAGTACTCGGAGAAGCAGATCGGATATCTGGCTATGACGCTCTTCCTCCACGAAAAGCACGAATTACTACACCTGGTCGTCAACAGCATACGGAAGGACCTTCTGGACCATAACGAACTCTTCAACTGTCTGGCCCTCCACGCGATCGCGAACGTGGGTGGCCGGGAGATGGGAGAAGCTCTTAGTGGAGAGGTCCATAGACTCTTGATCTCGCCGTATGTTCCGTAGTCGTCCGCCTGTCCGCATCACCGCAACCATCTAACAGCGAGCGTAGGACTTCGAAGGCATTCGTGAAGAAGAAGGCTGCTCTCACCCTCCTCCGTCTCTATCGGAAGCACCCCGACATAATCCAGCCGCAATGGGCGGAGCGGATAATCTCGCTCATGGACGACACCGATCTAGGAGTGGCTCTGTCGGTTACCTCTCTGGTGATGGCCGTCGCGCAGGATAATTTGGATCAGTACAAGGGCGCCTATGTCAAAGCCGCATCCCGTCTCAAGCGGATATTGATTGATGGTGACTTTAGTGTCGACTACCTGTACTACAAAGTCCCCTGTCCTTGGTTGCAGGTCAAGCTCCTGCGGCTGCTCCAGTACTTCCCGCCCTCAGGTATGAACCGCCGTCGACTCTAGGCGCTGCCGTGCCGTCTAGACGCTAACCGACTATGCAGAAGATAGCCATGTCCGCGAGATGATTCGGGAGTCGCTGCAGAAGATCCTGAACCTGGCCATGGAGACGAATAAGAACGTGCAGCAGAACAATGCGCAGAACGCTGTCTTGTTCGAGGCTATTAACCTCATCATCCATCTAGATACCGAGCACGCGCTTATGAAGCAGATCTCGTCTCGTTTGGGCCGATTCATCACGTCGAGGGAGACGAACGTGCGGTATCTAGGTCTGGAGGCTATGACGCATCTCGCAGCTCGGGCCGAAAACCTCGATCCTATAAAGCAGCATCAGGAGGTCATCCTCGGATCCTTGAAGGATCGCGACATTAGCGTCCGCAGAAAGGGCCTCGATTTGCTATATAGTATGTGCGATTCGACCAATTCTGGACCTATCGTCACGGAACTGCTGCATTATTTGCAGAACGCCGACTTCGCGATCCGGGAGGAGATGGCGCTGAAGATTGCCATCTTGACGGAGAAGTATGCTACCGACATCCAATGGTACATTAACGTCTCACTCCGCCTCGTAGCCATCGCGGGAGATCATCTGAGCGACGAGGTGTGGCAGCGCGTTATACAGATTGTGACCAACAACGAGGAGCTTCAGGTCTACGCCGCGCACAATACTTTGCAACATGTCAAGCAGGATCACTGCCACGAGACGCTGGTCAAGATTGGCGCGTATATCCTAGGGGAATTTGGTCACCTGATTGCCGAAGACTCGGGTTGCAGCCCTGTCGAGCAATTCATGGCGTTATCGAGGAAGCTCCCTGCTTGTTCCACAAGCACTCGCGCGATGATTCTCTCATCCTTCATCAAGTTTGTCAATCTATTCCCGGAGATCAAACCTCAGCTCCTGCATGTTTTTGAGGTGTATAGCCATACTTTGGACCCCGAGTTGCAACAACGCGCCTACGAGTACCTGACGCTGGCGAGCTTACCGACGGATGACCTGCTGCGGACCGTCTGCGACGAAATGCCACCGTTCCCCGAGCGGCAGTCCGCACTTCTGTCGAGGCTCCACCAGAAGCACGCCGGAACTAGCGATAAGCGGACATGGGTCGTCGGTGGCAAGGACGCGAACAATGACGCGACGGAATTAAGCATGGTCAAGAATCCTAGTTTGAGGAGGACGTTCAGTTCCAATGGCCCAGCTAACGGCAACGGGTTGGCGAACGGCGCCTCGAACGGCACCAATGGGCACTCGAACGACCTGGCCGGGCTAGATATGAATGCCGGACCGATCCCGGAGAAGCTACTCAAGGCGCCGAATCTAGCCAGCGCGGCCCATCTATCTCCCGGCTGGGAGGTTGGCTATAATAAATTGTTGCTCAAGGCAGACGGGGTCCTGTTTGAAGACGGGCAAATTCAAGTCGGCGTCCGTTCTGAATATAGGGGCCAGATGGCATGTCTTATTTTGTATTTTACGAACAAGACTCCGGCCACTGTAGGCTCCTTCACCACGACGTTGGACCTGGACGAAAGCGAGAAGCCCAACCTGACATGGGATGTCAAGGCCTTGCCCGAAAGCTCTATCACGCAGGGCGGACAATCGCGGCAGATCATAATGTTCGAGGCGAAGAAGGTGCTGGCCAAGAGTCCTACGATCAGGATTAGTTATCTTGCCGGTGCCCTTCAGGCGCTCACCTTGATGCTTCCGCTCACGGCCCATAAATTCATGGAACCGGCGGATCTCACGGCGGACGACTTCTTCAAGAGGTGGAAGCAGATTGGCGGCCCACCACGTGAGGCCCAGCAAATTATCAGGCTTGTGGGCGGTAGGTCCGGGTCGAGAGAGATTACGGAAAGCTTCATCCGCAAGACCATCCAGGGATTCCGATGGGGAGTGCTGGATGGTGTCGATCCGAACACTAAAAACTTTGTCGGAGCCAGCGTGCTTCATACCTCGGAAGGAGGCAAGTTCGGCTGTCTCATGAGGTTGGAGCCAAACTATGCGTCTCAGGTGAGAGGCACTCCGGAAATCGCTTCCCCCTCTTGGACTATAGCTAACAAAACAACTTTTCCATAGATGGTCCGGCTGACAATCAGGGCCACTGACGAGAGTGTGCCTCCTGTATTATTGAAGCTGATGGAGGAGAGGATATCAGCAGGTGCCTCGACAACACCAGAGGTCCGAGAGACGCCAACACGCCAAGAGATATCCGATACCTTCAGCAGCATAATGGTGAAGTAAAAAGCACACCTAGGAGAGAGGAGCATGTTGACTTGTGTGTCCTGGGAGCCAGCCAGGACCTGGGAGGCAAGCGATACTTGAGGAAGGCGACAAAGCAACTGTGCAGTATTGTGCATTTTCGGGCCAAGCGAAAAGGCGTTTGTAGGCAGCATGCGATTGAACATGTCTCAAGCAAAGATCGCTGTGTTATTAGAAGGGTTGTATGGCTGCCCCTGACGGACGGAAGGCCCTTGTAAGTCATGATCAGGTACCTAGTCCGTCGTAATGTTCAAGTTGACTCCCACAGCAGAGAAGGGTGTTATACTGTAAATGCTATCCCTTCTTGTCAAGTCTTATATAGCACATTCATATCTTTTAACCCAGTGCCCTGATCATAGGCAGCTGTCGACCAAACTAGCTCCTTAGAAAGTGGAACACCCCATGGTCGAAAACGACATCATAGCCCTGGTGTTTATACACAGTATCACAAACCATGCTGTCGAAACAGGCTCGACCACTGTCTGTACACAGTATCCCAACCATGACACCCTCAAAATCGCCATCAGAAGACGCCATCTCACTCACCTATATAAATTCCTCTTCTCTCTCTGTCCCTCTTCTCTCCTCCCTCCTCTTCTCTCCCACCTCCTCTTCTCTCCCACCTCCCCTTCACCATCACCTCTCCACCATCACTCCTCTGCACCATCACTCCTCTGCACCCGCTCCATCTCTGCCTCTCCTCGCGTCTCGCGTCTTCCTCGTCAGTGATCTATCATCGTCAAGAGCCTTCGCGTCCTAGATACGCTACCCCTTCACACCCTCGTTTTCTGATCCTTGAGCATACCACAAGATGGCTTCCGGCGACCGTGTCACGCACCGCGCCCCGGTGAACGACGACGATAGCGACGCTATCGAGTTGGTCCCTGCGTCGGAGTTCGGCCAGGGCGACGCTGCCGAGTCCCAGAGCCAGGCCCAGGACCAGCCCGCTCAGGCTCAAGGCCAGCCCGTTCGTGCCCGCCTCCTGGCTGGGATTGCCTCCGTGCTTGGCGGTGTTAAGGCCCAGCTTATTCGTATGTGTATCCATCTCCTCTCTCCCTCTCTGCTTCCTCCCGTCTTGCTTCTCTTTGCCCGGGAATTGCTCCCATGGGCGGAGTCTGCTGCCGTTTCTGCCGCTGCTTCTGTGGTGTCTCTCGCCACGGAGCTGGGCGAGCGACGACGGCGGGGGGCAAGAGTGTGTGAATGTGTGTGTATGTAAGACGGAAGCAAGCTGACCTATCTTCTCCGCATCAAGGAGTAAAGCACTTTTTGACACCGGAGCCACACCCTGCCATTTGGTGGTGTCTGATCAGTACCATTGTCATCCTGTTGGTCGTCACAGTGGGTAAGTATGGGCTCTAGGACCCTGACAACGCCTCATCTAGGCATCTCGTATCCCAGAAGGACGGAGATAGCAAAATGAGCACCCTCCCCCCCTTCCCTCCTCCCTCTGCCGACGCATGCTTGTGCGTAAGTGGTGATGACGTGCTAACGACGGAATTCGAAGCTGCCATTACCGACTCTCAGAGACCGGATCATCCCAAGACTAATGTAACTTCTTTGACGATCTCTCCCACTGAGAGTACGATTGCCATGGCCCCTGGTTCTTTTTTGGGCATGACGGGATGTAAGTTGTCTCCCTACCAGCAGGTTCTGCTGGTACCAGTCCTCTCGTATCACACCATCTCGTCCGTTGGTTGACATATACTTGTTTCTAGCCACGTCTTCTTCAATCTTTCCTACTCAAGAAATCGTCACGCCAATTAGCGCAATCCAGAGACAGCCTCGTTGCGGACCTGCCACGGTCACCGCGACTAATGGTGCTGAGATTGGTGTATCGTCTACTGCGGGTGGCTCGCCAACTGACCCCCTAATCGTCACCGTTACGGTGACGTGCGTTGTCACACCGCCGGGGACCGATTTGTTCTGTGGTCCAGGCGGTCATGCCTCTTCTGCGTCGAGTATTACTGCCCTCACTGGTCCTCAGCCACCCATGTCGTCGTACACACCCGCCGTGACGTCGTCCATTTCCCCGAACGGTTCTCAGCCTGCTACTTCTTCCATGGTGTCCGCCCCGGTTCTCCAGTCGTCCTCGTCTGCCATTTCAGCACGAACTACGGTAACGGACGACGCTGTGCCCGAGATGTACTGTGCCAATCCATTTCGTTCCCACATTTGGACTCCGTGTCACGAAGGCGGCGTCACCGCTCCCGGCACCGACGCCTGGTCATCTCCAGGGTTTTCGATTCAGCAAATGAACCCCTTTTCGGTAGCTGTTCGCGCCGTAAGGAGTCTTCGGGTGATTGTCTCTAGCCTCTTCGTCGAGGTCGATCTATTCTCACAGTGGTCCAAGCTCGCCGAGCCACTCGAAGACGACGAAGTGGTGCGCGACGCGCCTGATATAGATACCATCGATAAGATGACTATAGTTCGACAAGGAGATGAAGGCCAGAAAAACGAGTTGTGACAGGGTTTCTCCTGATCAAAAGTGCTACAATCTCTTGGGAACGCCTGCACTGTGGCGAGGCAGGAATTCATTTTGACATCCGACCAAGAGAACTGGCAACAGACACGCACTAGATATCTCTCAGCAGTCCAGAGCTGCTCGTGGCTTTTCCTCTCTCTTCTTTCTTATGTCACTGATCATGACAAATGTGTCTAGACGTCTCCGACATTGATACCCCGATCCGCGTCATGGTCACCTTTGTGCCCGTTTCTGACGCGTAGAGGCAAAGAGAGGCTCTTGCATCTCTCTCTATTTTGACGTTACAGCCTGATATTGAGGGGCTGCTGATTGGTGCCTGGCATCTCTTCGTCCGCTCTGCAAACCCCTCTGGAGGCTGGAATGTACCTAAGTGGCTTTACATAATTGAATGGCTTTACTGCAGTTCTGCGATGTGTCTACGAGCTTGGTGCACGACCACGACAGGTCGGTAAGCGAGCGAGCACCCGGGAAAGTAGTATGCTATCGGCGTAGAGAGGCGGCCAGCCAGCCAGCCTCCCGATGTAATTGTGTGTGAACTGCAACCCAAAGAATATGCCTAAGGACAACGTCGGAATCGGCGAGGCGGTTGGCCCAATCGGTGGTGCTGCCAGGCGTCGTCCTTCTAAGATTTGCCATTACGTGCATATGGAACTACGATCGGCATGCCCGAATCTGATTCCGCCGGCACGCATGCACGCGGTCGGCTGGAAGCGAGCAGGAAGAAGCGAAGAGGGGGAGGGCGGGATGACGGACATCTACAACAGCCTCACGACGTACGATGAGGAGGTTGTGAGTGGTGTGTAGTGGACCTTAGTAAATGCCTTGGTCTTTATCTGCTCGTATCGCGGGTACTTATCTCTACCTGGGCGGGAGCTTGAAGAAGGGACCCTACTATACCCTACCTCCTGCTGCATTAGTCAACGTCTTTCATCCCGTCCCGACATGCCGACTCCCGATGTCTGGTCTCCCACTTCCGGACCCGGAAACAGCCGAGAATACGTCATACATCATCTATATAGGTAGCTACGTACGTGTATACACGCCCATCTGGTATCCGCGGGAGGGCCAGACGGCACGTAGAGGTAGGTAGGTAGCTAATAACCACCTCTTGTCATTGGTGGAAGTCGGGGGACTATACCTACGGCGAGGAGGGGTGGTCTTTCCCTCCTGTACCTACCTGGATAGCCTGGTATGCACTTCGTAGCAGGCGCTGCCTTCCATCTTTGCAAACATACAAAGGGGTAGGTAGGTAGGTAGGTAGGTACCTGGGGAGACACGCCGAGCGGAAGGCTATTCGACCTCGCATACCCAGGTGTCTTCCTTCTCCCTTGCCTACGTACCACCTAGATACATGAGGTACTATACCCAGCCAATGGCGGCGCTACATCCCACCACGCTGCCGCTGCCGCCGCCGGCAGGGGATAACTTCCTTACATGATACATGTAGCCTACACCGAAAGCGTGCGTGCGTGCCTGCCTGCCTGTGATTTCGACTCAACTAGGAGGTTGGCTAGGTACCTACGTGATGGAAGTAGGCGGTGCCTACGGCAGGCGCCGGCTTAGCGTGCCTGTTCTTGCTATGGAGGATGGGATGTACTGCTACGCAGCATCAATCTCGGGTAGCGTATCGGTAGCGTATAGGTAGTGCATATACCGTCGATGGCGTCAGAGGCTAAAACATCGATCCCCTCCTCCACCACCCGCGACCACATCCACACTCGCCTCTTGCACGGCCATACCGGAACGAGGCAAGCTTCGTGCGCGATTTGCATCCGGTTCGGCCCCTGCAGACGCGGCAGAGACAGCCAGCCAGGCCGTAGAGAGCGAGAGACGACTAGGAGGGAGACTGGCAAGGCTGCCCGTCACAGATAGGTATTAATAGTAGATGTCGTTTTTCTTCCCCTCCTCGAACATCGCTCCGTTTCTCCTCCGTGTTTCCCCTCTTCCTTCATCGCTGCCTTCTCCGCCCTTCTTATTTCCGGTCACCCAAGTCGAGCCGGCTAGCAGCCATCTCTCTCTACCTACGTAGTACCGCCCGTATACACTCGCGCACATCTCAGTGGAGAGACCGGAGACGAGGAATACGCAATGGCTACCAACGGCGACGCTACCAAGGTTAACGGCGATGGCATCCAGGCTGGCGGCAACGGAAATGTCAACGGGAACAGCCATGGGGACAGCGCTGACTCGTGGTACCACCCAACTAAGATCTGGACCACCCTGCTGACGAACCGGGCCTACTTCGGCGGCCTGCTAGTCCTGAACCACTCCCTGCGCCACCACCAGAGCCGGTACCGCCTCGTCGTTATGGTGACCCGCGCCGTCGAGGAGGACGAGGAGTATATGGAGGCATTCGCCGCCGCCGACATCCCCACCATCGTTGTCGACAAGATCGAGCCCGCGCCCCGCGACGGCAAGATCAATAAGGGTACCTGGGAGAAGCTAGCCCCCTGGAGTTTTACCCAGTATGAGGTATGTGATTTTGTGTGGGTTCCTAAGCCAGCGGCTTCGTATATGCGCTTGATGTGCTGCTAGGCGTTTGGTAGGATATACCTGTGTGGCTGATAATCCCGACTATAGCGTGTCGTCCTCCTCGACAGCGACCAAGTCATCCTCCAGAACATCGACGAAATGATGGATGTAGAAATCCCCGAGGGCTGGATCGCGAGCACCCACGCCTGTACGTGTAACCCGCGCAAGCTGGCACACTATAGCAAGGAGTGGGTGCCGGAGAACTGCGCCTTTACGGCTGCGGACCAGGCGACGGGCACTCCGGCGCCCATCACCGAGGACTCACACGACAACCACCACTTGCTGAACAGCGGGACCGTGATCCTGCGGCCGTCCGAGACTGAGTATGGGGCCCTGATCGACGCCATGAACACACACCCGGACGTGCCGCGCATGCTCTTCTTCGACCAGGACCTGCTTGCCATCGTGTACCGGGGCCGGTGGAAGCCTCTGCCGTACACGTACAACGCGTTGAAGCCGATGCGCCACTGCCACGCGGAGCTCTGGCGCGACGACAATGTCAAGATCCTGCACTATATCCTCAATAAGCCGTGGAAGAGCCGCACCTATGACCGCGCCGATCCCATCGAATCCACTCATTCCATCTGGTGGGATGTCTACGCCGACGTCGAGCGCAACTGGGCCCAGAGTCCCGACCAACGCACCCGCGAGCTCTGGCAGAACGTCGTTGTTCCCGTCGTCGCGCAGGCGTGATCGATAGGTCCGCGTATGCCTACGTGTCTACTTTCGCTTTCCGGGTACCCGGCGGACCCTTCCCTTGCGCACCTACTACCCATTCTTGAGAAGTAGCCAAGGGGAGACAAGAAAGGGATGGGTAGGACAGCGCAGCAAGTGGGAGTCCTAGTGGGAGGGCTAGTCAAATTCTATACGAAATCTGGGGGTGAGATAGTATAAACACGCCACGTCCGTCCGGCTTGAGCTGCGCTGAGACAGGATGCCCGGGACGGGTGTTAAAGAACGAAAAGGAGAATTAGAGCAGGCATGGGGATGGTATTATTCCATTGGGCGTGGGTACCGGGTTATAGAGGCGGTACGCGTGGGCGGGATGCGACGGGCGCTTGGGTTCCCGAACGCCTCTCGGGGCCCTATGACAGAGACGTGTTTACTTGACGTTCATTTAAGGAATGGGTCAATGACCCCCTTACCGTCATGGAAGGCACTTATGACTGATCTTGGCCGTGCTTATCCCCTCTCGAAAACGTTTAGATGTCTACCTTCACAGGGTCTCTAGGCTGCTATTTCTCACGTTTGGATCGCTATCAGCTAGATGCTGAGATAGATCGGGTAATCTCGTATAAACGACGAAACGGCCAGTTGGTTCTATCCTTATAATTGCTTTATTTTCTTCTTCCCTTTCTTGACTCCTGGAGCTTGTGTATATACAGCTTCTTGTCTAGGTAGGTATTTACCCTCCTCAACACCCTCCCCCCTTTCGCCAAGTCGCTGACCCCTTCCCCTCTTTCCCCTTCGCCCGCAGCCCCAGCGACCTCAACGCAGCTACTGCGAGGCGCTCATTCCTTAATCTTGGCCTCGGGCCTCGGCGGCCGCGAGCCGAAGATGGTGCTGCCGACGCGGACCTCGTCGCTGCCGGCGGCGAGGGCGGCCTCGAAGTCGGCGCTCATGCCCATGCTGAGCTCGAGGGGGCGGCCGAGAGCGGAGGCGACCTCGTCGCGCTGCTGGCGGAGGAGGCGGAAGTCCTCGTTTTCGGGCTCGGCGGCACCCTCGTCCGGGCTCGCAGCAGGGGCGGCGGCAAGGCTCCGGCCGATGTCGCCGATGGTCATGAGGCCGAGCAGGTGCAGGCTGGGGGCGGCCTCGACGGCGCGGCACAGGGCCAGGGTGGCGGCGCCTGGGGCGCAGCCGGACTTGGACGACTCGCCCGAGGTGTTGACCTGCACGTGGATGTTGAGCTTGGCGGGGGGCGGGTCAGAAGAGGAAGAGGAGGCGGCGATGAGCTCCCCCCGGTGCCGGTCGAGGAGCTGCGCTTTCTTCTCCGTGTCCACGCTCGAGACGCACCACAGGTTCGGGATCTTGGCGAGGTTCTTGCAGTGTCCTATTGGGGGAGATTAGTGTTAAGGATTGGGGTGGGTGCGGAGGAGCCGGAGTAGGGGAGGGAAGAAGGTGAAGAGAAGGAGAGGGAATATGGCCACCCCTTACCCGACTGCAGGCCGCCGATGAAGTGCCAGCGTATGTCGCGCGGCAGCAGCTCGGCCTTCTGCGCCAGCTCCTGGGCGTAGTTCTCACCGAAGTGGAGCTGCGGCGGCTCGGCCTGCCGCGCCAGCGCCAGTATATCGTTGGCCGGCTTCAGCTTCGAGACGGCGACGAGGCGGACCTGGGCAACGGTGCGGCTCTCGGGTCAGCGAGGTGGCTCTTGTAGGTAGCTGTAGACTCTCGTCGCGCGAATGGAGTGGCTGTAGGTGTTCTTTTCGGCACGGCGGGCCGTGTCTGGTCTCTCGCATCGCAGCTTGGGGAATAGGGGACGGGGCGGGAATAAGTGCGTCCGGATATGTTACACTGCCGAGAGCGGGAACGATGGGGAAAAGGAGAGGGGGGGGATAGGTCGCCGACTTACATCCCGGTCGTGGGCGGCGTGGGCGATGCGTGAGCGCACCGTCTTGACCTGTGACACTAGAGCTGCCGCTCTCGAGGGGTCGATCTTCATTATTTCGGCATCCGACATCGTAGGGCCATAGAGGTCTACTCTCGAAGCTAATTACCTTTTTTTCTCTTCCCGCGTCGATGTAGAGGCGAATGGTAGGTATTAGGTATAGTATGGTATAATGCTTTATCCTTACTTCATCTCTGCACTTTCTTTTTACTTACGTCGCCGTATTATCGTGAAATATTGAGGATTCGCCTCTTCGCTTTTCTGCCTCGGTTTTGCATTTCTTTTACGTGTCGACTAGTCACAATTCGTGAGTACCTACCTAGGTTAGGTACCTCTAGCCCATAAAGAGGCGAGACAGTGCGCATACTATACCACACACGGGACGTGGTAAGCTTAGAAGAAGGAGTTTTACCTAGGTACCTAGGCACAGATAGGAGTTTACCTTGGGTATTTACGAGGTGCCTGGATATTGAAATGAATACTCGGATTTACACAATACCAAGTGAATTTAATATTAGCACGCTATGGTGAGAGTTTCTCTTACGCTTTCGTACGGACGACTTTGTGTTGGGGATATATATGTATCTGATAGAGGCATACAGTGTAAGAAGTAGGCATACGGAATGATTTATCCAAATAACAGTGCTGAAGTATGGCGATGTGCATATGCACAGCATATGTTGCACAAAAGCTACTTGAGGACACATGCGTATCGATAAGAGGTGCCGGCAGGATAGATATCGATAAGTGTGTTTTCGAAGCTCTCCATTTGCTGTCTTGGCTAGGGAAAACCAATCCATGTCCAACGGCCTGTCATCTCCTCACCACAGTTACCCGGGCGAAGCACCTCTCAACTCCCCCGTCAACCTCCTAAGGCGCCCAAGGCTCGCACCGGCGCAAACGAGATAGAATTTCTCGAGACCGCTGTTGCCGTCGGATTGACAGCACAGCAATGGCGGATCCGCTGTTGACCTCCCTCTGCACCATCTGCCGCATCCAACCGCCCAAGTACAGGTGCCCACGATGCGGGACGAGAACGTGCTCCCTCGTATGCGTGTCGAAGCACAAGAAGTGGTCGTCATGCAACGGGGAGCGCGACCCAACTGTTTACATTCCGCGGGAGAAGTTGAAGACGGATGCCGGTATCGATCACGACTACAACTTTTTAACCAAGATCGAGAGGGCTGTGGAACGGGCCGAGAGGATCCTCAGGGAGGATAGGGAAATACTGCCGCAGGATGACACCACCTCGCGACCGCCGCCCAACAAGAGGGCCCGCCTCCACAAGGGTCGAAGCAGAGGGAGGGTCACGTTCGACGAGAATGCGCGGAGGTGGGACAGGAATTCGATACAGCGCACGAGGCAGCTGGGCATCCACGTCTCGTCCGTCCCCTACGGGATGGCGCGAGCGAAGGAAAACAAGACTAGCTGGAACAAGCGCAAGCGGTCCATCAACTGGCAGGTCGAATGGCTCGAGTGGAAGGGGGTCGCCCCCACCGCAGGGCAAGGCGACCTGCAGCCGTCGAGGACGTTGCATAAGCTGCTGGACGAGGTACCGCTCTGCGTTGGGTTCGCAGAGGGCCGAGAGCACTGTCGCCAGCGGCAGCTTAGCGACGAAGGACGTGCGCGCGACAAGCGGATGAGGGCGCTGGAGGCGCGGAAGCGTTCTACCGGAGGCGGTCAAGACGTGGCCACGACTGCTTGGAGTGGGCAGGACTATGCATTGCAAGACCCGGGAACGGCCGCGTGGGACAAGGTGGTATCGGGGCTGCATACGACCGAGGCGCTGAGGGACAGGTGGCGCTTCTTCTTTCTCAAACCCAGGACGCCTTCGAGAGAAGCGCAGAAGCTCATACCCTTACGGCCAACCGACCCATTGGCGGTTGCCCTGTCCGGCCTCGACGTCGTGGAATTTCCCACGATCTGCGTGCTGCCAGCTGGCTCCACATCCATCCCCGACGGCTACGTTGTCGAAAGCAGGCCCGCCGAGAAGCCCGACAACAAGCGACAGGGCTCGAGCCTGGTGGAATCTTCTAGCGAGAAGGAGGACGGAGCGACGAGCGAGGGCCCCGATCACGACGAGGGGGAAGTCGAGGAAGATACGACAAGCAGCAGCGGCACCGAGTCGGATCTGTCTGACACGTGAACTACCTAGGTGACCGATTTTCTTAAATTTTTTTTTTTTTTTTTTTTTTTTTTTCATGGTTAGGACTTTGGGTGTGTGTGGGTGCTAATTAGATGTCACCTTCGCCACAACGGTACCACCATCCCTAACCCTTAACAATCTGCCTTGTCGATGGTATATAAAGTGGCATATAAAGTACATATATGGGTTGTAGTTTAGGCACATGAATCCTCATGTGGAGGTGCCAGCGACGCCCTCGAGAATGAACGTATGCTGCTGTTCTTCTCATCAAGCGAGTTTGTACGAAGGCAAGGAACAATGCTCCTAGCTATTGTGGAAATGTAGGCAAATGAATTTTTTTCACCTGCCTAACCACCGGGTCATAATTAAATTCTATTTTCGACCAGGATCCGAGTACAGATGGCAATCCTATCCGTGTTTAGGCACCTACGTAGGTTACATAAGTAGGCTTGTTAAGGAGGTAGGCCGGTATGTTTGTAGGGGGACAATTCTATGCTCTAGGCTCGGCAACTTTGCACAAGCAAGCCGCTCTCAGGTCAGGTAAACAGGCCAACAAAGGTTGGGTAACTTTGGGAAAATTATAAACACTCACGTAAGCTAACAGCGCAGCAGTGCATTTTAGCGACTACGACCGCGGATAGGAGGCATAGACTATACAGGTAGAGATATATATGCATTCTTACTGTGAAGCAATACCTATCTATCTGCCTACCTTAGGGCATGCCTAGTAATATACAGAAGGCGGCAGTAGTACCTAAGTATGTACAGGCTGCAAGGTGCATGGTAGACTAAGCTTAGGCGCATAAATGCGAAAGTACTTAATTCTCCCACCTACGGAGGTAATATACTTACTAAAGGCTACCTAATATTGCTAGATCAGACATTCCGCCCGCCGCCTATGTATAAACCGCAGTACCATCTGTACATTACAAAGTTGCATCTTAGGTGAACTACTGTTGTGGAAGTACTTAAGGCAGACATATTATCGAAAGAAAAAAAGACAGAGAGGAATTAATTAAAAGTACGTATGTATCCATAATTCATCCCCCTATAGTGTGGTGGTTTTGGAATTCAAAATACCTGCCTTTTAAGGTCATGTATACAGGTACCTTAACCTACCTGGTTAGGAGGTAGGTACCTGTTCACATCTAGTAGGTATCTCTATATCTAGTAGGCACCTCATTTAATGGATAAGGGAAGGGAGGAGAGATGAGTTAAATGACGAAGACTATTAAGTAGCGCTGTTAGGAATCGAACCTATCCTTCGTTAAGTAACCTACTGATCTAGGAGAAGGGTAAGGTAGGTACATCCACAAGTATGCATCCAGTTAGGAGTAGGTACCTAAGATGTAGGCATGTATGTACTTCGGTAGACAGCCTGGGGGATCTGGTTGTGGCGCAGCAAGTACCTGAAGAAGGATAAACAGGCTTGTACCCTCCGCCCTAAGGCTCGGGAGGTTAGGTACCTAGCCTAACACAATGGAGGCTGTAAAAAAGGCCGAAAGGGAAGAAAAAACCCTTAAAACGAGGCTGGTGGCGGCTGGCCTTCTTTGCGTTCTTTCCACTTTTCCCTCCTCCGCCAACCTACTCCAGATTTTCAGCCTCTCTCACCTTTTCTCTCCCCTTCCCTCCCAATCTGCACACAAACCGACCGTCGACCCTCCCCTCTACCCCATCCCGGTCCCTCAACCCCATATGATATTTCTCTACGCCTCGAGAGTCAACCACCTACTCCGTGCTCTCGTCGCATTCGTTCTCGACACCTACTCAGGTTTCCCCGCGCCGGAGCGCACCTCGTTCCGACACCATGTCTGAATTTCTAGGGTATGCATTTCCATTGTCGTCATGTCTGCCACCTCTGAGCTTTTAATCCATATCTGATGCTGACTTGGCGTCGCCCGCAGCTCCCGCATATCCCTCATCTCCAAGAGCGATATTCGGTACGTCGCCCACCGGTCTCCGAGTGGTCTACGTGGAGCGCTCCCCCCCTAACTCTCGGCTGTCAGGTATTCCGGTATCTTGCACGAGATCAATTCCGAAGAGTCGACCGTTTCCCTCGAGAATGTCAAATCTTTTGGCACCGAAGGACGAAAAGGCAACCCTGAGGAAGAGATATCACCTTCCGATCAGGTCTACGAGTATATCGTGTTCCGAGGTAGCGATGTGAAGGACTTGCGTATTGAGCAGCCCGCCCCCTCCAAGGAGAACCAGCCTAAGGTCCCAGATGACCCTGCCATTGTTGGGGTAAGTCAACCGTGCCTCGCCGCCTCCCCCTCTTCCGAGCCAGGTCCGATGTCTGTCATGATGAACCATCTCGGATGTTAAAAACAATATTGCACTGAATTGCGCAAACAATCTTCATGTTGATATTTCCGTTGCCTTCCTTCTGATCCATTCCGGCCCTTGGCACATTTCGAGCATGTCTTGTTACCGCATTACCATCAAACCATCGATGCTGACGATATTTCCATCGTGCGCAGGCTCGTGCCCGCCCCGCAGGCGCCCTCCCACCTGGTCCGGGCGCCAGCCAGGCTCCTGGCGCCCCAAACTTCAACCCGTATCAGCCAACGGCGTTCTACCCGCCACCTCCTCCTGGGCAGTGGGGACGCGGCGGTCCAGGTCCCGGCCCTGGCCCCGCGCAAGGCTTCAACGGAATGCCTTATCCTCCACCGCCCGGTTGGTTTCATCCTGCCCAAGGCTTCCCCCCTGGCGGCCCTCCTGGAGGTCCAGGTGGCCCAGGCCCGTGGAACAGCTTCGGATACCCACCCGGTCCGGGTCCCCAGGGGCACCCAGGTGTGCCGGGTCAGGGACTGAGGGGAGCACCGCAGCAAGACAACAAACCGGCTCCTATCGGTGCTGGTGCCGATAAAAGACTGGTTGGTGTTGCCCCCGCGGTTGAGTTGCCTAGGGATCCTAAGTCGCATGGACAGCATCCCGCGCAGCCTGCTCCCGCGGGTACTGCGCCGGCCCCTGTCGAGTCAAAGGCGAGCGCAGCAGAAGTCAAGGCTACCGCCGAGTCCCTCCCGAAGAACAACGGACCGCAATCTACGTTTTCGGAGACAAAGACTGGCCCGATCGGTTCTAGAAGTAACCGGATCACCCCTGCTGTGCCGACTCCCGCTGCGATCCTCTCGAAAGCGAGCTCGCAAACCCCTACTGCTCCTGCATCAGTGAAACCCTCGACCGACAACGGCAACGGACCTACAAGCGCGGGTAGTCTCAAAGATGCCACTCAAGCTGCGAAGGCCGCCGTTGCTGTGGCAATGGCGAAGCTCAATAATGCTCGCGCGACGGAGGCTCCCGCTCCTCCGACGGGGGGTAACGCAATGGATAATTTAACTAAGAAGGTGAACGAGATGCGAATGAATGCTGCTGCCAGGCCTACCTCGAATGGCCGAGGACGTGGCCGAGGCGCCCGTGGTGGTGGCCCGGGCAAGGTTGACGTCCCAAGCACCGATTTTGATTTCGAAGCCGGCAATGCGAAGTTCAACAAGCAAGATCTTGTGAAGGAGGCTATCGCAGGCTCGCCCCTTACCGATCCTTCGAACGGATCTTCGTCGGAGCATGCAACGGCCGATGATCCTACCGTGCCCCCTGCTTATAACAAGACGAAGTCATTCTTTGACAATATCTCTAGTGAAGCGAAGGATCGTGCGGAGAATGGCGGCCAGAAGCCGGGCGGACGTGAATGGCGCGGCGAAGAACAGCGCAAGAATATTGAGACTTTTGGTCAGGGCAGCGTTGACGGCGGTTACCGTGGTGGTTACCGCGGCCGGGGTCGCGGACGTGGCGCTCCCCGTGGCCGCGGATTCGTCCCCCGAGGACGAGGAAATATACGCGCCGGCCCGCAATCCGATAATCAACACGATCCAGTTGCCTAAACGTTTAGCGCGGGGACACGCGCTGTCGGCAGATCACCTCAGGTTATTTCGGGTGCTAAAATGACAGTGATTTGCGGCCTTATACGACCAGGCTCGACCTCATTTCACAGTGTATTAATAAGTCGACTTCACGATTCGGACTCGTTATTTCGTGCTCAGGAACGAGGTGGGTATGCAAGGGAGGTTTTGCCACACTTATGAACCAAGTAGGTGTATGTTTTCAATTGAGGCTCCAGCAACGGCGTCAGGACGGTCCGACAAGGGTGGTATAAGGAGTCATTCTGGCATTAGCATGACAAGCATGATCGGGCACGGATCAGTGGCTTTTTTGTTTTCGGCAACGAGACGGAAAGAGGCTCGTTCTGCCTCGAACGGAAGAGAACGGGGGGTAGGATTGAGACGATGTCAGCACCTCACCGCCTTGCTCTCTCGGCTTGCGCGCTGCGCATGAGCATGAGTGGAAGGAGGTAGAGGGACAAGCATCGGAAACCCCCCAGTAACCAATACAAAAGAACAAACGGGAAAGGTGGAACCGATATCCTGGGGAAAAGGGAACTGGTACATATTTCCGCACGGGTTTAATGCAGAGTCATGCCCGCCCACCTCTCTATAACATGCTTGATTGTGTGTATAGTGAATGTCTTTTCATGTATTTACGGCGGCGCAGTTAAAACTGTAGTAGCAAAGGGGTACAAGTCTATAGCATGAATGGATGCTTCGTATCAGGGCTGATTCAACAACACGCCTCTTATTTCTCCGCTTGCCAGGCCTAGATGATAGATCGATCGGCCCGAGCTCAGACTCGGGGATAGACGTCGCTAGGGAGCAACGGTAAGTAAAAACCGAAGTTCACAACGACGGCAGAGAAAAAAAAAGGGGCGGGGGAAGGGGGGCAATAAGAAGGGGAAACCTACGTCCTCCGGACAAGGGGCATCTGGGTGCGGACGCGGTGCCACTCGGCGAGGTCGATGTCGACGATGCCGAGCTGGCCGACGGCGCCGTCCTCGGCGTCGTACTCGGGGGGGGACTCGGGGTCGGCGTCGGCGTGGTGGTGGTCGTCGTCATCGCGGTTACCACTACCACCACCGGAGGAAGAAGGGCGGACGCCGCGGAGCTGGAGCAGGACGCGGCCCCAGGGGTCGACGACGAGGCTGCGGCCGTAGCTGACGCGGGGGCTGCGGCCGGGGTTGTGGCGGCCGACCTGGGCGGCGGCGACGACGTAGGACTGGGTCTCGACGGCGCGGGCGCGCAGCAGGACGGCCCAGTGGGCGCGGCCGGTGGGCACGGTGAAGGCGCTGGGGTAGAGGAGGACCTGGGCGGGGTCGCGGGCGCGCGAGGCCGCCAGGTGCAGCGCCGCCTCCGGGAAGCGCAGGTCGAAGCAGATGAGGCTGCCGAGGCGCCCGACGGGCGAGTCGAACGGCGCCGCGAAGGCCGCGCCCGCCTGCGTCGTCGCCGACTCGCGCAGCGCCGCGTCCGGGTAGTCGAACAGGTGCAGCTTGTCGTACGCCCCGGCCTCGAGCAGGCTGCCGTCGGGCCCGATGTAGATCGTGCGGTTGTAGAGCTTGGTGGTGGTTGGGGTCGAGGGCGGCGCGTCGCGCTCGGGCACCGGGACGGCGGGCAGGACGCGGCCGATGCTAGCAGAGGGCGAGGCGGCCGACGGCTGCACGGCCACCGGCACGTGGATCCCGACGTGCACGGCGAGCTTGTGCGCGGCGGCCGCCGACCGCAGACCCGCTACGAACGGCGACGTCGCTACCGGCTGCGCCAGCGCCACCGACTCCTGCGCCGACGTCGCGATGTAGTCCGAGGCCTCGGGCAGGAAGAGGATCTAAGCGGACGCAGGCCGCCCGGGTTAGCCCTGAAAGGGGGGGGGGTTGGTCACGTGGTGCAGGGGGCAGGTAAACCGAGATCACGACAGAGAGGAGCGGCGCGGCCTGGCCGCCCCCCTCTCCCCCCGCGCACGCACGCACCTTGGCGCCGGCGGCCGCGGCCTGGCCCACCAGCTTGACGCACTGCTCGAGGTTGTGCGCCATCGAGTTGCTCGAGCAGATCTGGCCCACCGCCTGCAGCATTTCGCCCGTCGCGAGGTCCCGTGGTCAGCGATGCGTTCGTTCGTTCGTCCGTCGGCACTTAATGCAGCGGGGTTATGGATTCCATCGCGGAGCACGGCGCTGGCTTCCCTGCCTCCCCCCTCCCCCCTCCTCCTCTCTTTTGCTGCCGTGCCCTTACTGCTGGCACGCGGGGCAGTTCAGGGCCTTACCGCTTTAGCCATCGCGAGCAGGTGGCGGACGGCGAGGAGGACACACGGCGGTCGGTGGCTCGTCTCGTCTCGGGAGGTAGTAATGCACAACAAGAACCGATGGCGAGACGTCCGTGGCGTCAGCCAACCGGTAGGTAGATGGTGGTTCTGTATCGGCCCGCGGTCGCGACAACCCGGGCAGAGGAGAGACCGAAGCCGAGCTGCTGATGAGACGACGAGACAGTGCCTAGTATCGATTTGACCACTCGGGGGATTTCTGACGTGATGGATAGCACCTTAGGTAATTATTGGGGTAGCGGGCAGGGGAGGTAGGTATACAACCTGCTATTGCCTTGGCTTACCTTATGAGTACTTCTTGGGTAACCCCCCTCCCCTACCCTCTCCGTCTACTCCGAAGTCCGATATTCGGCTCGGTAGACGGCTTTCGTCTGCCTCCTGGGTAGACAAGCCTGTTAGCTAGGCCGTGGTATCCGCGGGGACTGGGTGCCCCAGGTAGGTTCAGAGAGCGATTGGCAGGTATAGAGGTATGCATGTACTGCGGATAACGTAGGTCTTGGCGCGTAATGCTACTCGCCGTCGCCGACCTCTTCTTTATTGGCTTGATCTTTATTCACTCGCAAGTTGCTTGCGTCGGTCTAGATGCCACCCAGAAACGCTACCGAGTGCCCCCCCCCTTTTGCGCATGCTGACCACGATTCCCCAGAGCGGCTATCTAACCTAGTACGATTACTACCCCTTCAGACACGACAGGCCCCTGGTGGCTAGACCTCTCAGGACGAACGTACAGACGGGGAAAACCACCCCAATGCACACTTCTCGTTACCTCTCGTTACCTCCTGGCCATCTGCCCGTCTCTAGGGGAGGCGGGGAGGCGGGGAGGGGGAATGTTTAAGTTGGCTATGCCTCCTAATGTCCTCTGACGCAGAACGCCTGGCTAAACGTAGAAAATAGGGTTAGTCAATGCACATGGGCCGGGCAGTTAAACCAAGCTTCGCCCCAGGTTGCGGCTTGTACGCGCCCGCCCTCTTCTTCCGAGTTGAGCTGTGTCCTGATCATGTTGTACTTTCTGTTATAGCCTTCGTGGATTTGTCCATGAGACCGTATGCTTGCTGTAATGACTTGTGGTCGAAGCCGCGTTCTTCTAGGACCGCTACCCAATCCCGGAGCTGTATGTTCTTTCCCTTGTCCGAATCTTCGCGGAATTGTCCGATGTGCGTGACGCTGGCTTTCGTGAGCGGGCCACGGGTAGCTCGATTGCCGCCGCCAGCCGTAGAGCCAGGCGCGCCGGAAGCGCCGCCGCCCTGGGGCCTTGGTGTGCTTGCCCCGCCGGTGCCACCCGCGCTCGTCATCCATGAATATCTCTTCTTCTTCCCGCCTGCGAAGAGACCTAGCGTCTGGTTCACCGTAGTACTATTAGCTTCGGCGAGCTTGGCAGCTTTCTTGCTCTCCTTCTTAGTAGGCGCCTTAGATTCGCCCTGTTCTGCCGTCATAGATCCAGGAGTGCCCGGCGCAACAGACCCAGCGCGCGATCCGCCGTCGCCGCCCTCCTTGTCCTTCTCGGCAACTTTCTCCGCCCGCTTGAGTCGTTTTCGCAGCCGTCCCTCCTCCGCGTTTCGCGATGCCTTGTTGATGCTCAGCATGGCTTCCACCATGAAATTAGAAGCTGGGGCTTCCGAAACTGGCGTGGGGAGTCCGTTGCTGATGTCATCCGCCGAGCCTGGAAGTTCACATTAGCTATCCTCATCACAAAATGCGCGTTTAGGGCCGAGAAGTCCATACGTTTATGCGGATTCGCGCGGGGGCTAACCGCGCTCTCCGCACCCGTCCGCGGGCTCTGGCCTTCGGCTCCGCCTACTGGAGCCGGCTGCGGAGCGGCCGCATCGATCCATTCCTCCGGAACCACTCCGTGGGAACTCGTCTGCCGGATAGTGGCGACCTTGTTTGCGTCGCTAAGGAGCTCGCGCAAGCGCTGCTTCGTCCCTATCGAGAGCAGCGCGATTTGGTCGATCAGGAACGCATCCTTGGGCACGAACGAGCCAAGCGTCTGCACGATTCCGCCGTCAGGTCCCTTCTGGTATAAGACCTTGAGCTCAGGCTTGGGAAAGTCAGAAGGGTTGGCAAATCTTCCTATGTACTGGCTCTTTCCGTCTGGCTTCAGATCCAAGTTCAAGCCCAATCCGAATTTACTCGCAACCTCCTGCAGTCGCTTGTGCACTACGCCAGGCTCCAACAAGTGGTTCGCAACTTCGTGGCTCCTGCTTACAGCTAGTCGCTCAGCCGCCTCATTCCAGACCCGATCTGCAGTTTCTGCTGCGTGGTCTTCTTGGGTCTGAGCGTCCGTAGGCTGCGCGGGTTGGTTGGCTGGTCCGGCACCGTAGAAAGTATCCCGCTTGCCGGGACGATGGTGCGGAAAGCCACGGGATTCTATGTTGTTTAGGTACTCCGCCTCTTCGTCTAGATCGATGCCCGTACCCATGAGCATATCATCCATTTCATACGAGACGGTCTTGCTCGTGGTAGGTTTCGACCCTTGCTTCAGCGCGTCGCTCGAGGCCGCTGTCGGGTTCGTCGGAGGACCCATGCTGGTGATGGCTGGAGTCAGAGTCGGCAGTGCGGCAAAATCGGTGGTAATAGGAGCGAGCTCGGCGGTCGAGAAGATGGCGTGTGTAAAATTAGATGTAGTCGGCGTCGAGTTCCGGGGGGGCGCCTGAGTAGTGGTCGGCGAAGCTGATGGCATCGTCAGGGTATGCCCGACGGAGGTGGATCGGCCATTGATCTGCTGATATGGCGTGGCAGAGAGCGAGCTCGGAGGAGCCTGGGGATTCGTGGGTTGGCTGGGGGCCGGGGATTGCGCTGCGGGCGTGGTGGCCTGAGGGCTTGCCGCGTATGTCGGGTACGGAGAAGCTGGGTTGGAAGGAGGACCGGGAGACAACTTGGCTCTTTTGGTGGGAGGGAGTTGGTAAGTAGGAGTACCTGGAGAATGTTGCGGCGAGAACTGCCTCTGGGGTATGGGTGGTTGAGGATGCGACATGATGGAGAGAAGGTGGACGAGACTGTCGCGGGAATGCGCTTGGTTGGGTTTTGGTAAATTTTTTCCTCTCCTCTCGCGGATGGTTAGGTGTTCTAGGTCAGGCTTGGTGGAGAGAACAGGGCCGCGGTAGAGTCGGTTGGCAAGATGGGCCTAGGTTCGTCTAGCAGGCTGCTCCTTTCAGTACCCGGGCAGGCATAGAGCCTGTCACGCTGGACTTGATCACACCCATCCGACAGCGGGACAATGGAGAGGGCGACGCGATGGTTCCGGGAATGGCGTTGTTGAAGCGACTGGCGCGATGGGCGACGGGAGGCTCGTCGCTGGCGGGGCTGTCCCGGAGACGCCCTGCGCGATCGCGTTCTCGATTCAACAGCGACGTGGAGGGAGTGTGCGGATGTGCGGGTGTTTGCGTGGATGCTGGTGTGTGTAGGCGTACGTAGGCATGCGTAGGCGTGTGTATTCGCGATGGGGGAGGAGGTGAGGAAGTAGGTGGATGGAAGGGCGGATTGAAGGGTAGAAGGGTGAATGGACGGGTTGGGTCTATCTCAGAGTCCAGCGAGTTACAAGAAGAGCAGCTCCCTGCTCCTCGCCCCATTGGAAATCTTTCAGAAGTTGCACGGAGCGCACAGACCCCACAAATGTACACGCGCGTTTCCTCAGCTAAGTCATTTCCTTATTTCCTTAGGTAAGCCGTTCGACTTCCTCGCCCCTGCTCCTTCCCTCCCATTTCTGTTTGCCGCGACTTCTACCGTTGCCCGAGGTCGAGCTCGCGCTTGCTTGTCGGTCGGATCTGCCGCTTCTGCCTTCCCCTTAAGGCTGAACCTTAGATCGTGGGATTGATTTGGTTGTGTTGCGCGGGATAGGCAGGTACCTTGGATACCTACCAGTATGGGAGGCAAAGCTGGTCAGATTATGTACCTCCTAACCTGCCCTACCTTAGGTAGGTACTCAATGTACCTGCGTACCTACCTAGGTAGGTACCTACTTAGGTACCTAAGTAGCCTACAATTTTGGTCCGAAGGTTAGGGCAGGCACCTAACCTACAAATTAGGTAGGCACCTAAGCCTTGATGCTAAAGGTTAGGAGGTACCTCCCTCTCAGCCTCTCACGTGGAAAGCCGCGTCTTGGTTAGGGACGCAGCCTCAGGCAGGAAGGCAGACAGGCAGATAGCCTCCGTGCCAATCAGTCTTATGTACCGATGTATGTGGGTACCTCCAGATACCTTACCTGCTCGTACTGTCCGTGTTGCATAAAGCTGTGGTTCGCTTCCTTAGGTAATTATGTTGACTTCATGGCTGGTTCGGGATTATTTCGATGGCAGGCTGCTCGATTTTCCTCCCTAGCCTGCATCTGCATCTTCACTCACAATCGCACTGCACTCGGACCGCTGCAATCGATTTGCCCGCCCACGTTTTTGATACCGGCCGGCGCGAAATCTCGTTTCTGACATATTCCGCACGAAGGCTGCCACCCGATTTCATTCCGCCTTCAAGTGTTGAAAGATCCCGCCGCTGGAGGAATACTCACGCGTGCGCTTCGCATGCGACATTCCAGTCCTGACATGCCATCGATGACCTGACCCTAGCGAACTCAATACGCAGAAGCGATCCCCGTATATCGTATACATCCTGTCCTTTGCTGTGGTTTCTAAGAGCGGGCATAGGGAAGCATTCGTGCAGTACGATCGACCTCTGCCGTTTACATCGAACAGTGATCTATCACGCTTCTACGCCGCTACGCTTCCTGCGCGTCATCAATTGGGAGCCATGGCGTCCAAGCGCAAGGCGTCGGCCATGGCGGCTGCCGTCGATGAGGAACCCGTCGATCCGTCCGATGAGTTGATGTTCCTCTGCCTCGGCGGCGGAAACGAGGTCGGCAGGTCGTGCCATATTATCCAGTACAAAGGGAAAACCGTCATGGTAAGCCGGTGGTGGCCCCTCTATGTTCGGCAATGGGGTACGGCCTTGGCTGACAGACTCGGTGCAGCTTGACGCAGGCCAGCATCCAGCTTACGACGGCCTCGCTGCTCTCCCGTTCTTCGACGACTTCGACCTGAGCGCCGTCGACGTCCTCTTGATTAGCCAGTAAGCTAGTTCCTTCCGACCATCTCCCCCCTCTCCTGATGTCACGCAACTGTATATAGTCGAGGGCCTCCTGCCGGTTCATCTGCAGAAGTTGTCGTTGAGGGTTTTCTATCCTGATGTCACGCATGCGGACTCGCTAGAAGCTTGCCGCTCTACTCTCATGTACTCAGCTATCAAATACAAGACGTTGCTTCCTCGTTCTGCTGGTAGCCCTCCCCGCCTTGACTGTAGTAATGCTTGACGCGATAGCCATCTCGACCTACCCATCCCGGCGCCCCATATTCCATGTATGTTCCTAGGAGCACGCTGACATCTGGCCAAGCTTCCACATAGATCACGCCGCCTCTCTTCCCTATGTCCTAGCCAAGACCAACTTTAGAGGCAGGGTCTTCATGACCCATCCGACCAAGGCGATCTACAAATGGCTTATCCAGGATAGTGTTCGGGTCGGTAACACCTCTTCGAATCCTACGTCACAGCCTGTGTACACCGAACAGGACCACCTGAATACGTTCCCGCAGATCGAAGCCATCGATTACCACACTACGCATACCATATCTTCCATTCGGATCACGCCGTACCCCGCCGGTCACGTACTTGGTGCCGCCATGTTTCTGATAGAAATCGCAGGGCTGAACATCTTCTTCACCGGAGATTACTCCCGAGAACAGGATCGACATCTCGTCTCGGCCCAGGTTCCTAGGGGTGTCAAAATTGACGTTCTTATCACCGAGTCGACATATGGCGTATCGACACATGTTCCCAGACTAGAGAGGGAGCAGGCGCTCATGAAGTCCATCACCAACATCCTCAATCGAGGCGGTCGCGTCCTGATGCCTGTCTTCGCCTTGGGCAGGGCTCAGGAGCTGCTGCTGATTTTAGACGAGTACTGGGGCAAGCACACGGAGTACCAGAAAATACCCATATACTACGCCAGCAACCTAGCGCGGAAGTGCATGGTCGTGTACCAAACCTACGTCGGCGCTATGAACGAAAACATCAAGCGCCTATTCCGAGAGCGGATGGCCGAAGCCGAAAACACGGGGGACGGTGCGGGCAAGGGCGGCCCGTGGGATTTCAAATACATCCGATCGCTGAAGAATCTAGATAGGTTTGACGATGTCGGCGGGTGTGTGATGCTTGCTAGCCCGGGTATGCTGCAAAATGGTGTCAGCAGGGAACTGCTAGAGAGATGGGCACCGAACGAGAAGAACGGAGTGATCATCACTGGCTACAGCGTCGAGGGTACGATGGCTAAGCATATCGTCCAGGAGCCGGACCAGATCCAGGCCGTCATGTCGAGGAACGTCAACGCGGCCAGGCGAGCCCCTGGCGGCGATAACGAAAAGATCCTGATACCCCGAAGATGCAGCGTTGCCGAGTATTCTTTCGCGGCACACGTCGACGGCCAAGAAAACAAAGACTTCATCGAGGAGGTGGGAGCGCCTGTAGTGGTGAGTAGTAGCTCCTATGCGGCACGCCATAGCTCTGCTGATTTGGACAGATCTTGGTGCATGGTGAACAGCATAACATGATGCGGCTGAAATCCAAACTGCTCTCGCTGAACGCAGGAAAGACGGATAAAGTAAAAGTCTTCAGCCCTCGAAATTGCGAGGAGCTGCGGATCCCGTTCAAGACGGACAAGGTAGCCAAGGTAGTTGGCAAACTAGCCTCCGTGCCCCCTCCCAAGGAACTCAGGGGCCCCGACGACCAAACCACCAAGCTAGTCACGGGGGTCATAGTGCAGAACGATTTCAAGATGTCGCTCATGGACCCGGAAGACTTGCGGGAATACGCCGGCCTGACGACGTCGACGATCGCATGCCGACAGAGATTCATGCTCAGCGCTGCCGGTATCGACCTTATCAAATGGGGTCTCGAGGGCACCTTTGGCAGCATCGAAGAACTGCCGGAGACGAGGAACCGCGCAGAGAAGGTAGACGGCGAAGAAACGAACGGAAATGGCGAGAGCGCGGCGGCGGCCGAGGCCGACGAGGAAGTGCCTCGGCTGGTTGCGGCATACTTGGTGATGGGCTGCGTTACCGTGCGATATCGAAGCGACGGTGAAGTAGAACTGAGCTGGGAGGGAAACATGCTCAACGACGGCATCGCGGACGCCGTTATGGCCGTTCTGCTATCCGTCGAGACCAGCCCCGCGGCCGTGAAGCGTAAGCAAGCTCGCACCCTAATCCGTCTTCCCGAAGGTTGCTTATCCTTCTCGCTGACACACCCTCTCAGGTTCGGCAAGCAAGGATGCGCATTCTCACGAGCTGCCTAGCCGCAATCCTCACGCGAATCTGACGCCAGAGGAGCGGCTGGAACGGCTCTTCCTCTTCCTCGAGGCTCAATTCGGGGCCGAAAATGTGGCGCCGGTGGCGGTGCCTAAGCTGCCGCCCCTGACTAAGGACAAAAAGAAGCTTGGGAACGGCGACAGCGGCGGCGGCGACGACGCGGACTCGGACGCATCGATGGAGTTGTCGGACGACGACGAAGAGGAGGAGCGGCTACTGCAGCTGCGGCAGAAAACGGAGCTGGAACGGCTGCACAAGATGGGCATCCCGGTGCCGGGGGTGGTGATCAAAGTGGATAAGATGGTGGCTACGGTGTGGCTGGAGACGCTGGAGGTGGAATGCAACCAGAGGCTGTTCGCGGACAGGGTCAAGGCGGTGGTCGAGCGGGCGGTGGAGATCACAGCTCCGTTGTGGGGCTGAAACGATTCTCGGAAATAGGGACCACCGGCGGCATCCCACACGGGGCTCCCCGGTATTATAGATGTCTACCCAGCATCCGGTGGGCGCCAGCCACTTTGCTACTTTCTCGACCGTCCGAAGGGGCCGATGGCAAGGCAGCCCGGGGGCGGGGTGCTCGGAGTAGGGAGGGAGGAGAGAAGGGAAAGGCGGGCGAAGTTGCGATGCAGCCCACCCGATACCTCGGGCGTTCTTGCTAGGTACCTTGCCGTAGTAGAGCCTCACCGCAGCGACGGAAATGCACACAATTGGGAAACACAAGAATTCCCCGTACGGTTCGTCGATCTAACTACCATGTGCTACCTAGGGGCTGGTGGAGGCTCTTCGGAGGATAGGAATGACTTGCAGATCCACGGCTCTGGGACGGGTAAGGGTGTATGCAGGGCTACGGCGCAGCAACGTCCGTACGATCGGATATATGCCAGGTAGAGGGCTCACGACTCATAAGCGGCAGTAGTGGTATTCAGCGTTGGTGCCAGCAATGGTGGCGTAAGGTTGTGTCTTTTCCGACTTGATGTTTCTGCCGTCTAGTTAGCCGTCTGTCAAACAGCTTTTTTCTTTCACTATTGCGTAAATGCGTAAACGTGTACCTAGGTATGTAGGTAGGTAGGTAAATGACATGGTCGGTGAACAAAGGAAATTTGAGAGGCGCAGTAGATCAGGCACGCAAATGAAAATACCTATCTATTTCCCCTGGGCAGCCAACGGGTCTGCCTACTAACGTATTAGTAGATGGCATGAGTGGCAATGAGTATTGAGCTGGCGAGGCATACAACGCCTTGCACAGCCCTGTAGGGGCCCAGGTATAAGCCACAGCTGCTGTGTGGAGGGGATTGGCGTACCTAGGTACCTGTCCCCACCGCGGAAACATCGTGACAATTTAGGTAGGTACACTATCTGGTACCTGGCCACATCCTCTCCTCCCTAGACTGGACGTCACTAATAGGTACGATTACCACTTCGCCGTCCGCCCCAAGGAGGCGTATTCATCAAGCACGGGGGCAGAAGGAACGAGAGCAAGGCAGATCGACGGCCGAATTGATATGTCTATATAAATAAGACGTTAGTTGGTAGGTAGGTAGGTAGGTGTAATAGGTAGATACCCAGTCAGTTAAACTTCTTGTCGTCTGGATAGTCTGAAGTTCACCAAGACATCCAGCAAGCCCACCCACCAACGAACCAACGAACCCAAAGAGACGCTACGAAACCCATAAACTCGCACTTACGCGTCGCTCTGCTCGTTTTGCAAGGCACCTCGTCATCAACATAGTTACCGTTGTGCCGACCGGCTGTTTGCTACTCCCGACAACCGTCCGGGGTCTGCTTGTCAAACCCCTCCCCCCCTTTTCTCGGCCTGGCCTACACCGTCGGCGTGACGGGCCTAGATAGACACCACATCAACCTCAAGCTTCGCCCCTTCGCGTAGCAAACCGCGAGCTAAAGTGCCGGTTTTCCTGTGCGAGGACCAACGCTAGAAAGGGAAGGTAGAGCCGAAGACGACAAGTAGGTAACCGCCAAAATGCCCTTCATAAATGGCCCCAGTCCCTCCCCGTCTCCCTCGCCCGAGCTGGACACACACTACGGTCCTCCCCGCGCCACCATCAAGCCCCTCGGGTACGCGAGACGCCACAACCACGCCAGCTCCAGACACAATCGCCTCGCCGCCATGGGGAATCCCGACGACCGATACCACCAGCTATCACAACTCCACCTCGGCCCCGAGGCCCCCGCCGATGACGCCTCTTCTAACGTGAGCCGGTCGCCCTCGGATCGCATCTCGTCTTTCTTCCGCCGCGTCGGCGGCTCCTCTCAGAGCGCCGAATCGAAGCACCCCCAGCACCCCGCCTGGAGCAGTAGCTGGTGGTCGGCGAGTTTGCCCCCTCAGCCTCAGCCGCCGGCGCCGCGGTTCCCTCCGCCGTCCTACGAGGAGGCCACGACGGCCGCCCCGGCATCGCCCAGGCCGGTCAAGGACGACCAGTACGCGTTCCTGAGCGAGTTCAACACCATCTTCCTGATCGACGACTCGTACTCGATGAAGGGCGAGCGGTGGCGCGAGACGCAGCGCGCGATCGAGGCGGTGCTGCCGGTGTGCGTGGCGCACGACGCGGACGGGGTGGACGTGTACTTCCTGAACCACCGGACGGCGGACGGGGGGGACGCGGCGCGCGGGGCGGCGGCGACGGGGTACCGCAACGTGCGCAGCGCGGGGGAGGTGATGGCGCTGTTCGCGGGGGTGCGGCCGCGGCAGGCGACGCCGACGGGCACGCGGCTGGACGCGATCCTGCGGAGCTACCTGGGGCGGTACGAGGCGGCGGCGCGGGAGACGGGGGACGCGTACTGCCTGCGGCCGATCAACGTGATCGTGGTGACGGACGGCCAGCCGACGGACGAGCCGGGCGAGATCATCGCGCTGGCCGCGCGCCGGCTCGACGCCGCCGGCGCGCCCCCGCACCAGGTCGGCGTCCAGTTCTTCCAGGTCGGCGCCGACCCCGCCGCCACCGCCGCCCTCCGCGACCTCGACGACGACCTCTGCCGCCGCGAGGGCGTCCGCGACATGGTCGACACCGTCACCTTCGACGCCGCCCGCCGCCTCACCGGCCAGGGCATCCTCAAGGTCGTCCTCGGCGCCGTCAAGCGCAAGCTCGACCGCGTCGACCTCGCCACCCGCGAACGCAGCGGAAGCGCCAGCGCCAGCGACAGTGCCAACGGTACCTCCCGACGGCAGTCGAGGGGAGGTTGATCCATCTCAAAATGCCCTCCCTAGCTAAGATTACGATTTTCCTTTTTTTTTTCTTTTAGATATTTATTACCGGGCTGGTTTAGAGACCAGGAACTGGGGAACTATGGATGGGGGGCATGACATAGTATCCAGGGGTAGGCATACTGGCTCGGAAGGCTCGCCGGGGTCGAGCTCCGGCTTCATCGCCAGGCGCGTTTTCATCTCCTCTCACATCGGGATTCTGAGTCCCCGGCCTCCGCGAGGTTCTCCCGCGGGCTTATACGGGACCCTGTTACTAGATTCGGGCGTGGACCGTAGCCTACACATGGCAACAGTAGGAGTTACACAAGGGCTCGCGCCCCTAAAAGCAGTGTTCGCGTCTCTCCATTCCAAAATTGTACTTGGCTCATAAATAACTGCTTGCGTGCTCGGGCAGGCAATTCGTGGTATACTTGCTACCGCCTCAGAAATTATCGTGCTCTACGTTTCCCGTAGGTATAGGTATGTAAAGTGACGACCAACTCTCAAACAAATACTACTAACACTTTCGGCCACACGATCAGTTTATTAATTTAATATATCAGGATCTCAAGCGTTTCTTATGTGTTACCACCGGGGCCTCCCACGCTCCTAGGTATCCATCCTCCGTCTCATACCCATCTCCGATTATCACACCCTACGATACCATGCTATGCCTACATGCCAACCCTACCTACCATGTAGCTCATTCCCGGCCGCCCTCACACCCTGTCCTCACCTGATCTCTTTAAGGGTAGGTACTCGTTTTTTAAAGGCCCTCTTTAAAGATATTCGTTTTCCAGGGGCCTTTTTTTTTAGGGTACTACGTAGATCGGGAGAGCTACGTAGGAACTGAGGTTGCTCTGCAGTGGGAGCAACGGAAGGTGGGAAGAAGAGGATGAATTGACTGACTAGCTAACTAGGAAGGAAATGAACAGAGGAGATGCGAGCTACCTATATATATACAATAGTAAGCCCGGAGCTAGGTTAGGTAAGCGAGCAACCAGAGAAGAAGTAGAGAGCTATGTATAGGTGGCTCTCTACGTGACATAGGGGTATTCTTTTTCCGAGGCCCCCTTTGGAGGTATTCGTTTTCCAAGGTCCCCTTTGGGGGTACTCCTTTTCCAAAGGCCCCACGGGAGACCTTTCGCTACAGGCACAGCAAGCATCAGACACGCCATCCAGAGCGCACAGCCCTTGGTGGCTATTCTTTTGTCTGCCTCCTTATGGCGCGGTTAGGTTTTACCGTCCGTCTGCACAGGGCAAAAGAGTTCCGGAAGTCGGGGGGCACTTGGAACCTAGGACACCGTTGCTAGCTACGCCCAAGGGTTCCTCGCCTGCACCTCCTACGTGCACATTCAGCAGCTTAGACAATCACGAAGAGAAGGAGGACAAAGAACGAGAAACCATTACTGCAATTAGACGACTAGAGCCACCGTGAACTACCTAAATCTGCGCATCGAGACCGCACAGCCATCCGGGCAGGTGTACCGGAATGTCCGGGGCAGGGGGGCGGCACGAGGACCGCGAGGACACGCCAGCGGACTCCGCGGATGCTTTGCCAGCTAGACCAGAGACTCCTGCGTATCCCGCGTTCCTGGCTGCCCGCCCTCCCACCACGCAGGCGTGGGCAGACCAATCGTCGCATTCCAACCCCCCCATGGCCTCAGCTCAAGGCGAGCCGGAGCGCCGCCCTCTCTGAGGTCCCTCCTGAAACAGAAGGGGGGGGGGAACCGAAAATGCGTAGAATGAGAGAACAAAAGAGAAAAAAAGGAAGAAAAGCGGACTCAAGTGAAAAAAGCCCACTCGTAAGCGTCGACCAAACGTTCCCCTCTCTTAGTCTGCCCATTCTGTCCCTAATCCCCTCGGAGCACAAGTTGTGCCTGCGAGACCGCGTAGCTGATAGCGTATTTACGCGGTCGAGGTATCCGGGAAGGAATTAAGAGAGGGGATTAGGAATAATGGACAGGGCAAGCAGGTGGAGGGTGTTGGGGGGGGGGGGGGGGAGAACGAAGAGGAAAAGCCGACACCAGACACTACCGAAGTTATGTGTATGGGGTGAGAGTTTCCCCCCTAGTTGAGTAGAGGTGAATACTTTTGATATGCCAGAGCTTGCCGAATTTTCCGGAATCTTGCTTTTCTCTTCTGCCCTTCTGCTGGCGTCCCCCGGTGTAGTAGGGGTGATGGCACATATTCTCTCCATCGACAATACTCCCAAATAGGAAGACGATGGATTTAGGTCGGAGTAGGATGTCAAGATTCGGCTGTGCAAAGTGTGTATCGTAGGCGTCAAGTCGACAAGCGCCTGTGGGAACATCCCGTATGTCCTCGGGGGTATGTGTGTGTTTGTGTAGACTTACTGTGTGTCCGCACCGTCCATATCGTGGCAGTCGTGGTCTCGTTCATTACTCTCTCCGCGAGATTTCATGTCGTTCTACGACAATCCTGGGTATCTTGTGACCAATCTCAATGCCGAAATAGAAGAAAGAAAGAAGGGAAAAGGAGATAGAATATCGAAGGAATGGATGACCAAGGCTGAAATATACTAAAGGGGGTGAGAAAGGAAGATGGGAAGTATGTATGTATGCCCTGGTTAGCTGAACACTCCTGTATCGTTGTTGTAAACCCCCTCCAAAGGGGTTGCTGTACGCCCAAGTACATATCGCGCGCCCGGACGAGAGGTTCCGAACCCCGTCTATTTCATGACTAGGACGCCGGCCTTCCGAAGGGAATGGCACCGGAGCTCTCCTGTCTTGCTCTCGTCGCGCAAGGTCAGGAGCGGAAATATAACGAAGCAGACCCTATATTGGGAGTACTGCAGCTCCTCGGGCGTGAAGGCGAACTGGCAACCGTTGAGGGCGTCCATGGTGCCGTAGGAAAACTTCGACGCGCATTCGGGGAAGGTGTAGTGGAGTGTCATCCCCGAGATCCAGATGTGCGTGCTGATGTCCCACGTAACCGACGTTACGACGCGTAACGACTCAAGGGCCTCGTCGTCGCCGGCGGAAGAAGACCGCAGCGGCTGCATCATAGTGGATAGCATCTGCGCGTGGCGCTCAATGGTATCGTTGCGGAACTTGTCCATCCTAGGATCCTTTAGCGCGTGATAAATGATCCTGGAGTGTTCCGCTATAATCCTCTGGCGGGCGCTGGCCGACGTCCGAAAGCCGGGCACTGCGGATGGAGTCGTTAGCACGCGTTCGACCTATAAGTTCACTTGTTGACCCCGTATAAAGCTGAGCAGCGGACAGGGAGAGAGAGTGGGGGGGGGGAGTTGTGACGCGGAAACTCACTATTGAAGGTAGCAATCTTATCCTGCAGAGCTGACAAGTGTTTGTCCATCTCAGGTGAGAAGCCCAAGAAGACCTGGGGCGAGATCAGCTTTTTAAAGAGGTAATCTACGATCATACGCATCACGATGTACGGTCGATACGCCTCAACTCCCAGGAGATATTTGAGATGCTTCGAGCTTAAAGCAGGGTCCTTGTAGACGAGATTAGTTAGATACTGCCAAGTATTCGACTCTTTAACCGGCAGGATGTCGTTAGCAATCTTGGGTGGATCGTCTCGCCTCGAGTGATAATTTACGATGTAGCCTTTGGCGAGGCCGTAGAGATGCTCGATAGCGCCGTCGATGTCATCCGCCTCCCATACCTCCTTCTTCCGGTTGATCGACGATTTCTGGCTTACACCTGTGGCAGTTTGAGGCGAACCCTGCGAGATCGAGGGAATATTCCCAAAGGATTCCCGGCCATGCGTCGTTAGGGGGGTGCGCTGGAGGGCGTTTTGACGATTTCCCGTAGGGGTGTATTCTAGAGCCTTTTGGTGGTATACTTGATCATTGGCTCGGAGGCCAGCCGAAACCTGCTGTGCCTTACTACTGCCCACATTCGCATGACTTTGGTCTCCCAAATCAGCCTTGACAGCGTTTGAGACAGGCCTCACAGGTGTTACTGGTTGATTATCCTGTGCCTTAGCCGGGTTCAGTGTCCAACTAGTGGCCTTAGGGTTAGGTGCAAGAGAAGGCGGCTTAGCCTGTATCTCGTTATCCTTAATACCATGTGTAGTCTTCAGTCTCTCTAGGAGGTATGCCGCGGTCTCCGGGTCTAATCTGCTTTTGCTAACTTCTTCTTCGGATAGCGCCGAAGTAATTGATGGGATGCTATTTGCTGTGAACGATTCCGGGATCGATGGTGACGGGAATTCCGGCGCAGCCACGAAGTCGTCATCCCAGGACACACCTGCCTTCGCTGCTAACTCCTGATTCTTGTCTCGGAGCTGCTTTATCTCGTTCTCAAGTAACTGTTAATAAACATTAATTAGTTTACTAGAGTATTGCGATAATCGTGCCATTGGAACTTACTATAACTTGCGCAATACGGTGTCGATCCTGTTGTTGCCATTGAGTAGCTGCCTTCTTGTGTTCATCATATAGCAATTTTATTCTCTGCTTCATATCCTCTACCTCCTTCTTTGCGAGTTGTAGTTCGTTCCTTACGTCCTTTTCGCGTTCAATCAAAGACTTTAAGGATTCTTTGGCTGTGTTCTCGTTATGTACCGCCTGGCGAACTCTTTCATGATCGCCTTGGCGTTGGCTCCCAGCCACGTGGTATTCTTGACTCAGGCTATGAATGGTTGAGTTAATTAATTGACCGATGTCCTGTAGGAGTTGTTGGTTCTGCGTGGCAACATCGCCTGGCACGCCTGGAGAGGAGCGTATAAACTGGCCTGCAGTAAGAAGCCTTGCATGCACAAGACGGCTCATTTGCATGACATACTGCAGCCTGTGGTTAGCATCTCGGATATCTCGAGGGAATATTAGGTCAAGAGAAGTCTACCTCGGAAGCGTGGAAAGGGCTGCGGTTAGCAGTGCTCCAGCTAGAAGATCCTGCAGAGTCGCTGCTTGAAAAGGAATCTCCACGATATCTGAATTCCTCAGAGTTTCCTTGTGGTGCACATTGGCCAGGCCTATTCCCGCGGCTAAAGTTGGCTGGACGAACTGACTGGGGCACTGCCGGACCTCGACCTGGAGGGCCCGTAGGCATCAGAAAGGCATTAGAGGCAGCTATGAGCTTTTTCTCGCCATCTGAACAGTCATCCACATCCTCCGTTTTCTTAGACTTGGTGGCTTGGGAGGAACCCGTGAGGGCCTGTGGGCTACCACCTGGATCCATTCTGAATACAGGGTCAGTTGGATTTGCCATGACGAATAAAAATTCGCCAGGAATGAGGGGGGGATGCAGAAATGGTGAGAGAAAGAGGGCGCCTGTTTCCTATTGAACGTCCACGGCGCCTCCAGAACAATAAAAACCAGATGGAATGGTTATGGTGATAGAAGGAGCCAGGTATCCGGAGGGTGGCGAACAATGGATGAAAGCAGGGCCGCGGCTCGGGAGGGATGCTTGTTGATGATCCAACACGCGTTGAAATGAAATGGAAAGGCCTCTGTTAATATTAGGGATGTAAGGGCATCAACATCAGTCAAGTGGGCGCCGGCGTGAAAACGGACCGTTATCCAGCTTGGTGTGTGTGAACGCCGCTGGGGGAGTCTGAGGGGGTGCGGCAGAAGGAGATGAGGTAGAGGAGAGAACGAAGAAGAAGCGTCTCGGCGTTCTCTGTCCTTCTGTAGGCTTCGGAAACTCGGTGGTGTCCAGAGGAGGAGCTTCCCTGGACGAAGCCGAGCGAGGAAGGTGCTTCAATAGAGGCACAGTATGGATTTGACGGCACCGTCAGTCCTGTCTCTTCATGTTCGCCGTCGCCTTTAGGACGTGGTTGCTGGAGCAAACAATCCGTTCGCCGGCACCTGAGGAGAAGCCATCGTCCCATGTGACCGCCCAATGAGGATGTGCCGGTTAGCAAACCTATATATCCACTCTCCTATGCCGTAGGTCAGTGTTGGAAACCTGACATATCTATATGCCCTCCTTTGGGGATTTAGAGGTGTCACTCATGGAACATGCCTGCGTGGCTGCAAAGGGTTTCAATGCTAACACCAACCAGGAATGAAGGCCACTGGGCTTTCGGGGGCAAATACTAACAAATCGAAATACATTAAGAAAGCATGGAGAGAAAAGGAAATCTCATAGCAAACAGAGAACGGGAAAGCAGGTCGCTTACTAGTTGCCTCCAGGATTTGGGTCTATCATCTCCTTTGCAGCTAGCAGGCCACTGAACCACCAGTTTGTCACGGAATTGTGCGTGGCAATCAAAGTACAGCCCTCACTACGAATTCAGCGTAAGTGTCGGCTTGGTCCTAGTTACAAAAGAGGGGCCCTGTATCAGATACCGTAGTCTGGTGATGAGATCTCGGGAGTAGGCTAGGCAGAAACTAGCTGGGGAAGTACGGAGGTTAGAGGCTTTAGATAGCGGTCCCAATTTCACGGTAGCAGAGCCTTGCTGTGGTGTTGGACGCAGATTGACGGCGGGCATAAGCACAAAGGCGTTTACCGGGATTGAGGATTGACCACGGATGATAACTAACAAGGCACCAAATGAATCTGAACACACAGGAGACAAGTGAACGTGGCCAGTTGTGAGTTCACAGAGTAGTCTCATGGCCTCAAAGAAGGGAAGAAGTAGCCGCGGGCTCTTTAATCTATGCCAATAGTATCGCAACATCGAATAGTTATAGGAATAGTTTATTATGATACGCCAACCGCAAAAGCTAAAAGACGAGCGTAGGAACTCTGGAAACATGACCAGGGGGTCTCATAATGAAATTAAACTAAGAGGACATTTTATATTTATTAACTCCATTGCAGCTGTGCTCATTATAGAACCTCAATAGACCAGGAGACTCTTTATTGCTTTGTCAATACTAGAATACTGGTAACAAACCGTATAGGCTGCTAGAATATTATGAGTAACATCCTTCCCTTCACACTCGGGACTCTGTTTCAGATCAATAAGGCAATAGGAAATAGCAGCGAGCTCTGTATGGGGAGGCCGCACGCTGCTCTCCACAGATAGAATGCTATATCCTAGCTCCAGGCAGAAAGCTAAAGACAAAAGCTCCTAGGATATACAAATAAAGAGGGGTTTGGCTTTAGCTTCCGTGTATCAGCCTGAGCCTTAGTAGGCTGCTAAGAGGGCAAGAAGTGTATTATTGTCGATTCAGGAGTCGAGCCGAGTACCGCATGGGGCCGGTCTGGGAAAGGGACAAATGCATCAAGCCCTATACAACCTAGGTAGGATAGGATTAGTAGTTCAGATGGCAGTGCTTTCAGATCGATACTATGCCCTTTTTTTTTAGCGCATCTTGGATGTGCTCTCGGCGTAGCTGGGACTAGGTGCTGAGTCCCGTGCGTTGCGTGCCGCTGTATTCCTGCTACGGTAGCTGTTTGGGGGAGCAGGACGGATATCCCAATTACGAAGGCTTATCCCACGGGAGGGGATCGGGGTGGGCGTTTGCTGTCAGATATACGTACGTGTCTAAGCGAACACGGCCTGTAGTTATGGGGGGGGTGTCTGCTTTTAGTTGTTAGTGCCGCCTGTTCTTGAACTAGGGCAACGATCTATGGGATTCGATCACGACGGGCAAACCTGAGAAGCGCCTCCAAATCACGTTAAGAGTCAGACTCGACATAAGTCACATTGATCCCGGCCGCGATCCTCTCCCATCATCATCAATACAACATGGAATAACAGGTCTAGAAATAGATACTTCAGTACTACCAAACGTCTAAATTGCCTAATCGACCTACAGTCAGCAGACCAACGAACGTTATATCCGACTAAGAATTCGGGCATAGAACTCGGCTTGAGACAGCCGTCAGCAGGACGCTGTCGACGTCCGCGGAGGCTTGTGCAACCGATGGATATGCTATTGCAGAATCAGCGTGAAGAAGCTTGCTGTTAGATACGATAGGGGTGATGCCAATAAGGGTGCCGCTGCATGTCGTTTACCAATTTGAAGAGGCGAGAGAGGCTGTGTAAGAGTTCGGCTGGGCATCCCGCATAGTAAAGAGCTGAATGTTTTGCTTCCGTGGCGGTAACTGGGCCAGGGTTAAAAAGGGGGATTTTGAGAGCGGCAGGCAGCTGGTTGGAACCTACAGCGAAGGTTCCTAGAGCAGGAGAGGCCAGGCCAACAATTAGCATCTCAGATAGCCTTGGTGCGAGAGAACAAACTGCTGTAGACGGCATCCACAACAGGCGCAGCGCTGATCATGCGTCCACCGAAATAGCGTCCGTTCAGGCCCTTGATGGCGTTCTCGCCTCCCTGGACCTTGTCAAATTTGAGGTAGATATCGCCTTGCGAATTCGGGTCGAGGGAAATATGGACCACGTGGCCGTATTTCTCTTCGGCTTCCTGTCGAACGTCATCCTCCAATTCCTTAACCCATTGTTCACCTTCTTCCCTGTGAGGAGGATACCAAGTTAGCATCTTACATCGCGCTCGTCGGAGTCAAGGCAGGACCGGGGGTTGGGGAGGGGGGGGGGGGGACCACGTACTCAGCTGGATCAAACATGTTGTGCAGGACGACGCAGCGGCTAGCCATGTTGACGTTGACGGGGAGCGGCTTAGTTTCAGTCTTGGGCTTCAGGACCTGCCTCTCGTCGCGATTTCCGTTGGGCGCCTCGTCGGTTCGGGCAAGCTTTCGCATTAACGCGTCGCGACTATAGTTGTTAAAATTCACGCCAGCGACGTCAGTGTCATCCAGAGCGCTGGCGCCGGTTGCTTTATCATTGTCACGACCGCCGGCCCGGTCGAACCCAGACGCTTGGGGACCTCGTCCGCCAGCACCGGAAAACGCGGATCCCTGGTATGGTTGGTTTTGGCCCTGGAACCTCTGTAGGAGATTGGCAGTTGACTCGGGGGTAAACTTATCGTTACCAAGACCAACCCGGATCGGACGACCGGCAAGGTCGAACCCGTTCATCTTCTCGAGCGCTTCACGAGCTTGGTCAGCCTCACGGAATCTTGCGAGAGGTCCTAAGTTAGCAACGTGACCGTCCGGATTCTGGGGTTCAGATTGGGATAACGTACTGTACAAACCCATAACCGCGGCTGCGACCGTTGTCGTCTTTCTGGAGCTGGACAAACTCGAGTTCGCCAAAAGGCTCGAACACATTTTGGAGATCCTGCTCGGTGATGCTGAAATGAATGTTCCCGACGTATAGGCGGTGGAAGGGGATGGAGTTTGCATGGGAGCCAGTGCCCTCGGTGTTTCGGACCTGGCGGTTCTTCTCGGCTTCGGTAAGCTGCACGATGACCGGGATACCTAGGAGCTTTTGACCTGTAAGCTGGAGAGCAGCAGTGACGGATTCCTCGTTCTTAAATTCAACGTAACCGACTCTGCAGACCAAGGTTAGCGGCCGAGATAGCAAGCGACGGATTCGCGGCGTAGGACACGCACCCTTTAGATCTCCCACTGATACGATCCTTGACGATCTGGGCCTCGTTAACAGGGCCAACCTTCTCAAAGAACTCCTTCAAGTCCTTGGTACGAAGGCGAGCAGCCAGCTGCTGGACGAATACGGTACGGCGATCTCGCTCGTCTTCTGTCAGTTGAGGTGTAGCATCACGTTTCGGCGTACGTCCGCCTCGATGCCGGTCGTCATCCCTACTTCGGTAGTGACCGCGATCATCGCGGTCGCGGTCGCGGTGGTCGTCTCTCGGGCGGTAGTGCCGGCGTGGGGAGCGCGAACGAGAGCGATCGCGGCCGCCGCGGCCGCCACTGCGATAGTAGTCCCCATCACCTCCTCTATGACGACGTGAGTGGCGACGATCATCATCACGGCTCCGGCTTCTGCGCCTACTCTTGTGGCTACCGGCGTCACTTCGCGGAGTAGCTTCTCCGTCATCGCCACGATCACGTCGTCCACGATCGCCGCTGCGGTCGCGTTTCCGGCCGGGGCTACGCTCCCGATCTCGGCGATCGCTTCGGTCGGATTTCACGCGGTCATCGAGCTCCTTAGGTCGAGTCTCCTTGGCCTCGTTCTTGCTGCTGGCAGTAGCATCGAGCAAGGCCTCGACATCGAGGGTAGCCATTCTGGACTCTGCTGTGGCGAAATCTAGAGGGAGAGCCCAGCTGAGCAATATATTAATTTCTAAATGGGGGAGAGGGGGGGCAGCGCTAGAATTATCCTTTGCTGGTGGTGGAACTAGATGGGTCGGGTTTGATGAAGATTATGTGTCGTCTTTCACAAAAGCCACACGCGACTAGGAGAGGATAGGATGGATGGTTAGAAGTTGGGAAATGAAAGAGGGAGGGGCGGCAGAATGTAGGACTTCGTCCAGAAAATACTAGCTCGGCCGCTCCTCGGCAAATCTACGCAACAAAACTAGTTTACTTGGGTACAATCGCATTATATGCACCTAAGCCATATAACCACAATAGGTCCTGTGGAGCATCGAACCATGCACACAGGCAGCTTTACGTGTAGAGCCAGAACCGGAAGTACACATCCGTGCAAACCAACGGCAAATGGTACCTCAGGCCACCGCATCTTCAACTTGTTGACGTGGATCATTTGAATCGATGAGGCGTGCCTCACGCCCCATCTCGGCCCACGAGGACCTCTACCTCTGAGTACGGAGAGGGGGGTCCTTGGGTCGGGCACACCCGTACCGAGACCGATGTAGAGAGAGAAAATCCCAAAAGGCAGGGCTAGCAGAGCGATGGCGGCAGCGATGAGAGGGTATGCATCATTAATTAATTAGCAGTAAAGCAGGGTTGCAATTTAAGCCTCGGTCAATGTTTCCATCATACCCTAATTATATATATATAGATCTCCAAACGCCCATTGGCGACCCTTGCTGTCGTCACTATCGCGGTTCCTCATCCTAGGCCTGTAATCATCGCATGCCGCATTACCAGACGACGCAAAATTTACACCGTCTCAACAGGCCGAACTGAGCCCCGCCCCTCTCCGGGCTGAAGCACGTACGGCGGTAAGCTAAGCCAACCTAAGCTGTCTTGACGAGAGTAGGCAGCTCGGTGCCGAAAATCCGATCCCAGAAGCGGCTAGTCACGCCGAAGCCTAGCTCGTAGTCGAGGAAGTGGTGAGCGAGGTGATATTTCTTGAGGTCCTTATACCAGAGAGGGAGGTTCTGGTGGTGCAGGAAGTAGTGCGTCAGGTCGTAGCAGATGTATCCGAAGATGCCGCCGCAGTATACGGCCGTGGCCAGGTGCCAGTTCCAGTAGAATAGGGAATGGGCCAGTTTCCAGAAAGGTGTCGCAAGCACCACGAAGAGCGCCGGGGGCATCACTAGGCGGTATTTGTCCATCGGCAGGTAGTGGTGGACGCCGTGGAGCAAGAAGTGCAACGTAATCCCTACCCTGTTGTCCGGCAGGTATCTAAAGCCGCGTTAGCATCGTCTTTATCGACGGCCGGGCGGTGTTGGGAGGGGGGGGGGGGGGGGGGGAAGCATACTCGTCGAGATGGAAAAGGCACCGGTGCAGGAAATACTCCAGAAGAGTCCATATCGCCAGGCCAGACACCCAGCTGGCGGCCAGTCCCAGCTTGCTTTCGAACCCTTCGGAGGCCAAGTAGGTGCCGTACAGGGTGGGGGGCAGCCAGATGATCGGGACCATCCACCAGGGCGTCAGGCTGAGCGGTTCGAGGAAGTTCCCGAACAAGGGAGCGGAGGCGCCTCCCCTGTAGTGTCGCGGTCGGTGGACCTGGTCCAAATAGAACCTCTTGCTGAAGCCGCCGAGCCATACCTGCATCAAGAGCGGCTTGTTCAAGTCGAGGAACTTGTGCTGCTTGAAGTCTGCATTGGGGTCGGTATCCTTGCTCAGGTCCTCCTCGCAGGACATGCCGGTTCGTGGGTGGACGAAGGGCGCGCCATTTCCGTTCCCATTTGTATTCCCATTTGCGTTTCCATTTGTATTTCCATTTGCGTTTCCGTTTGCATTCCCATTTGCATTCCCATTTGTGCTGGCTTTCTTCCCTGCATTCCCGCCACTGTCTGTCCCTAGAAAGGCGATCTGGTAGTCTTCCAAAATCTCATACGCCGACGCAGAGTGAGCGTGGGAATCCTCGTCTTGGAGAATGGCAGCTACGTCCTTGCCGGCATAATCGAGGATCAGGTCGGGACCGCCGGGATGAGATTCGACGAAGTCGGTCACATCGTAAACGCTGGCGCCGATGGCAATATAACAGGACTTCGCGCTGTTGTGCGATTCGACCTCGGCCGAGGTCAGGGTCGGTAGCGTCCGTCCAGGCATTGTGGCGTCAAGTTCAGCAAGGAGCGTCGGCTATGCTTCCCGTATTTACCTATTTGGGACGAGACGAGAGGCAAGAGGGAGGGTCAAAAGACGGATCCAACGGAAGACGGAAGGGGGGGAGCGACGATTCCGAGAATAAATCCGTCGAGGGGGAAAAAAAGAAAAGGAGAGACAGAGGGGAACTAAGAAGTTATCCGGAGAGAAAAGAAGATAAACCGACGGAGGGCGAAGGAGTTGCGGATTTATTATTTATTGGCCTGATGCACGTCAACGCAGGAACAGTTACATAGGCACTTGGAAGCAACAAGGTGGGCGTGTTTTTTTTTTCTTTCATTCATTTCCCCCTCCCTCCCTCCTTCTCTCTCTCTAAAGGGGTCCAATCAGTTGTCGGCCCCGGGAAATGAACAGGCGCAAGTTATCGCCACCGCTGCTCACCTTAGGTACCTAGACCTTAAGAGGTACCTATTATCTACCTAGAGGTCACCTACCTTAGGAGGTTAGGTAGGTAGGTAGGTACAGGTAGGTAACGAACCTCTGTAAAAGAACTTCATGCGCCCTACTTGTAGGTACCTCTAGGTTAGGTTAGGTTAGGTACCTAACCTACCTATAGTAACCGTCAACAGGTACCAGGCCGTTCCGCAATCAAGACACAACGCGTTCTGGTGGACGCGATCGACGCAGCAGGAAAGGCGCCGACAGCCTGACAGTGGCGTTGTCCAGTATCGCTATCGTATGATGCCCTGCGATCCGGACCCGGTCAATCCGCGAGTGCTTACACGTTCTCTCCTCCAGCTTCCCATCGTGTGTTTTGTAAACGCCGTGTGATTTCATAGCACCACGGCCCCTTTTGTCCCTCTCGCGGCCAATTAAATGCGTCATCAAACCCCGAAATTCTCTGCATCTCCCTCCTACCTGGTATACCAAAGTAGACTAAGGTAGTCAGACTGACTGGGCCCTAGGCTCCGGCATACATCATTTCATCACTCGCTTGGGAATCGAGAGGCAGGGGCTTGGAGTGTCCAGCCCGTCCCGTTACGGGCTCCGGCTCACAAGTTACAACACACACTTCCGTCGAGATGCGTGCTTAACTAAACCCCCTTCTAGGGAGTAACTAATGTGCATGCCCCTGTACTACTTACACTTAGGTAGCGTCGCGCTGATGTTTACCCTACGGAGGCAACTTGTCTCCAGTTCCCCATGGCAGAGCCCTGGTCACTAAAGGGGCGAGTAGAAGGCATGTACGAAGTAGAGAGAGGTAGGCTCGGTATGAATATCCCTACGGCATACCTACCTCTAGCATCCTTGGATCCGTATGCAGACAACACACACACACTCTCCCCCCCCCCCCCCCTCTCTTAGTCTTCCTAGATTTGGGTGGAACAATAACCCGGGTATCCTCATTCATGGAAACTCATATCCGCCCCTTCTCCCACCTGGCTACCGACTAACCTCGTCATGCTACCCCATTCCACGGAACCTGAAAACTCCTAGCTGATGCGACATGCAACGCTGCTAATGACGACCTCCTAACCCCCTCCCGACGTAAAATAGTATACAGTATTCGTACAGCCAAGTACGCATCTGGCTCGATATCCTATGCCCAAACCCAGTTCTCAGCCGTGATGAGACCGTGGTCCTGATGTGGATCATGCGTCCGGCAAGAAAACTCGACTTATGGACCCTTTCAGCATTTCTCTCTGTTTCTCTCCGTTTGGCTAGTGTCTGAAGCCTGCCTATGCTGTCTCGCCTACGCAAACGAGTGCCAAGCGTGCTGAAAGATCGCTAGAGCAAAGTGGGCGTTGCCGTACATGCACCAGAAGTTACTTGCTTGCCCCCCTGACCAGATAGCCCATGTGAGGACGAGGGTGGTCATCACTTGCGCCAGCGCCAGATTCACCCGTGACATGGCAAATGATGACGGCCGGCTTCCTCCTTGCAGTTGCGCTTCAGCCTGAAGATCGGCTGCGAGCCGGATAGAGGTGATGAGACAGGCGATGACGGAAGCCAGAGTAAGGCTGAGCCCATACTGTTCGTCTGTGCCCAAACCCAGAAGCCAGGCGTAGGACGCCCCGGCGAGCACAGACAGCTCAACTATGCGTGTTACGCGATGATTCTGTGACCCCCCTTCTACGTCGCCGTTGCTTTCTCGAGAGCGGGTGTTTTGCGCCGCCGACCTCGGTCTCCGAAATGCTTCGTCGTCGGGGCTAGGGCTAATGCTAAACGAGTTCGCAAACATATTCGAGAGGTTGTCCCTGGGGTCGTCCTCAACCTGCGGTGCGAAGAAGGTGGGTTCGGCAAACGTGATGTCCGACAAGCTCCCCCGGCTTGACGAGGCTAAATCCACAGGGCCGCGACTGGTGCTTTTAAAGAAGTTCTCCTTCGTCTCCTTCGGGCTTTCTCTGATGATCGGACGCATTGGGGGGTTACGCAACCTCTGTGCGGGTGTTGTCGGCGCTGGCGGGACCTTATACCAAATCGGACCAGGCTTGGGCTCAATCGGCGTGTCGTTGAAGCGCGGGTTGGTGTTTTTGATCTTATATGGGTTATAGGAGCTGAAGGCTCGGTATTGCGAAGCAGACGGCGTCCAATCCATTTCCTCCTCGTAGTGAACGGCTCGAGGCTGGGCCTGGAGCTGTTGAGACTCGGGCTTCTCCAGACCGGCTGAATCAGCCAAGTTCAGGGCGCCGAAGGTAAGTCTAGCACCGGGATTCTCCCGCGATCTGCCACTGAAGCTACTAGAGGCTCCATCGGCCGTGACAGCGGCGCGACGACCGCTCGACCCCTGAGGCGAGTGGTGGATAGGCCTAGCGTGCGCTTCTACAGGCGATTGGGAGATCTCGTCTAGAATATTCCCGAGGTCGTTGGGATCGCGGCGTGGTTCTAACCTGCTTGCAGATCCCTGAGAGCTGGTAGCCCGCGAAATTTTGGGGAACAGAGGTGTCATGTCTGTGCGAATGGATTTTCTTGACGTGTGATACACCTAGAATATGTCTTAGTCGATGTCACCCGCGGGTGTCGTCGAGACTTACATAAAGCGTTAGAAGCAGGATAGCGGATTGTGCGCCTAACTGTGTCGCGGTGGGCAATCCTTTCGAGGAGCTATACTGTGCCATGGTGAGGCTGACACATCGTATCATGAGTATCAGCAGCTGATATGTATACCAGTGCCGGAATCCAAGCAGATGTGCTGTGAACCCGCGAATCGTCTGCTTGAACCGCGGGTTCCATGGGAACGCACATATGCTTAAATTGATCGCCCACTGCATGAGCCGATCCGTGTCCGGCAGTCCCCCGTAGCCGAGCTTCTGCGCAGCCCTCGTAGCCAGAGTCGACAAGGACTTAGTTCCGGGTATGGCGTACTGTCTCGTGACCAGGACGTAAAGGACGGCTATGTGCCACAAGAACTGGAGCGCGAAACCGATCAACCAGCTCCACCTCCCCGCAGCATCAACAACATCCAAAAACCCTCTTCTCTTCACCTCACGCCGTTGCGTTCGCGTACGGTCCATCATTCGACGTAGGTGGTCGGTCTGCGCCGTATAGCTAGCCTCGTGCAGTCTCTTCTCTACCTTGGGCTCGCAATCTGCACACATTTGGGGGTATCTCTTCTCGAGGTCTCTGCGAAGTGCCCAATACCTCCGCTCCCGGGCGACATATTCGTTACTATTTTGGTCGTCCGGCCACTCGAATTGCGCCAGCGAATTCGTGAGCATATGTTGGTTCCTTAAACACGTGTCGCAGAATACAGAGTCGGCTCGGTCCGGGGACAACAGTGGCGACGGAGAGCGGGTAGATTGCCGGGCGATGGCATACTGGACTGGGGGACGCTCGGCGGGCAAGGTCGTCGTAGCTGGGGGGTCTGTGATGTCTCCATTCTGCAGACTAGATCAGCTCTGCCGGCCAGCACTACCACGAGCCCTCAATGGTAGCATATATAGATGATAGCGCTTACCTTATCCAGCCAGTTCGTCGCATCGCAGTGGGAACAGTCGAACGACCCCTGGCCTTCAAACCGCAATTTAGACCTCCTCCCACAGTAGAAGCAACTCAAGTACCTTCTCGACCGTAAGGTCGCCATGTCTGTAGCCTCAACCTCTCCAGCAGGATTTCGGGTACGAGAGATTGAGGAAGGAAAAGGCAAAGGAGTAAGAATAGCAGGCTCTGTTCGTCCCCAAGTGTTGAAAAGTAGGAGAGAGAGGTAAGTAAGGTCGGATAAGCAGGAAGAAGACAATCTGTGGGAGGTATGGGGTATGTAAGCGCGTAAATACGTAGGAAGGTAGTAGCAGTTTGGATACATACATATAGTTGTCCCTCGAATCTAGGACCGCACTGGCCTGAGCGCGTCCTATGCAGTGCTAAAAAAAAAAAAGAAAGCAAAAACCTCCTTGATTGACGCGATAAGGCATTATGCACGTGTCTGATAATGGGACAGATTGGTTATCGTGGTACTTAAATATATACAATATATGCATATGTGCATATCTACTGTAATAAGATGCCATAAATGCATTAATGGGATAACAAGGTTGCCCCAAAGAGGCCAAGTCCAAGTCGCGTAAATGCATAAAGGTATGAATGACGTTGTTGATTCTAGGGCGACGCCAGAATAGATCTGTGTCCAGTTTCGCCGCTAATGCAAGGTACCACAGTCAACATCCGCGTCTCCTCCTCCTTGCAAAACATCCTGGGCTCGGAATCTTCGAAGGACACGGATCTGAAACTCTGCCAGTCAGAGCCACCACCTTTTCAAGATAATCTGCAATCTCTAGAGGCGACGAGATGTCTCTAGTAGGTAGCTAGAAGGTCAGTTACATATTTCCTTTGACAGGTAGCCATGGCACTACCTACCGAGCTCTGGAGCACTCAGGCATTCGCACTTGGCACTAGTAGGAATCACCCCGTCACTGCTGCTACGCGCTGCAATATACCCGCCGGTAGATTAGATCCCATCTATCCGTCCGACCCCCCTCTACCCCTCCCCTCCCCCGGTCCTAGCAAAGGGATTCTTCAATGTCAAGACAAGGTTGTTCTGAAGTAACCTGCCCCAAGCTGCTAGGTATCTTAAATCCTCTAACATATGCACATTATTTCCTTGATATAGCATCCCCTGTGTCCTTTGAGAGAGTCTTGGGTTGGATGGGTCACTAACCGCCCTCTGGGGATCTTTAACACAGCTAAGTAGAGACTTGGTATGCTACTGCAGCTTCTTATCTTCACTATTTGCGTTTCGCATCCGTATTTCACTTGTTATTACATAAAGTCATTTTCCAGCATCACGTGCTAACAAGCTATGTATCAGGACTGTTGAACATACGAGCTGCTGTAGCTTTGCCAATTGTACCCCTCGGTACAATTGGGCTCCAGGACTCAGCAAAGCTCACTCAGACCGTCTCTGGTCTTGAGGTTGGATGAGAACTCACTGTGCCGGCATCTACCAGCACTAAACCAGCAACGCTGGCAGAGCTGTCAAGGCCGTCCACTCCGTCGTAGGATCCATAAAAGTAGAGCATGGCTAAGCTGCCCGGCTCAAGAGGGCAGGGGCCCTCTGATCATAGCCTCCCTGGCCGCCCTACAAGGACGACACTTCCTGGAAACATCCAGCATTTGGTCTCTCCCAGAGCGGCTGCTCCTCAACCAACAACCACCTCGGAGCCATCTGCGTCTACGCAACCCACCCCCTACCGGTCACTAAACCCAACTCATCAGCAGTGTCTCGTCAACATGGACAGCTCCAGAGACAGAATCATCACCAAGATCATCTCTAATCCTGTCGGCCAGATCATTAATACCATCTTGCTGATCAACCGTAGCGTCGTCAACAGCTTCGTCATCGTTGCCCTCTGCTTTGTGTTTCTTCTGGCACGCTGGCCGTACTCAGCCTCCATAGTTTTAACACTGGTGACATTTGGTCTGGTAAGTCTTCGGGGTGGTTTCTTAGGTACTCTTTTAATAACCCGCCCTTCCCTCTGCCCTACCTCCCCACCTCCTCCCTCCCCACCTCCTCCCTCTCCTCCTTCTCCTCTCCTCCTTCTCCTCTCCTCCTTCTCCTCTCCTCCTTCTCCTCTCCTCCTTCTCCTCTCCTCCATGTAGGCACTTCAGGGAACACATTTGCTGACACCCCCCGGAAGTTAAGCCACCTCATTCTCGTGTCTAGCCGCACCGCGTCCAAGCGTCTCCAGACTGGGGGAATGGCCGCCCAAACCCCCCACTACACCTTCATCGTCTGCGGTTCCGGCGGCCATACCGGTGAGATGATCCGGATGGTCGAGCGCAGCATCCGCCCCACTGCCAATTCCCACCGTCGATGGGCTGTCGGCTTCGAGGACCACATGAGCTTCAACCGGGTCATGGAGTGCGAGAACCGGCTCGGCCGGCGCTTCGAGGACGTCGGAACATTCGACATCGTGTGCTTCCACCGCGGCCGCGCTGTCCAGCAGAGCTGGCTGACCACCCCGTTCACCGCGCTAGCCAGCTTCCTGCACCTCGGCAGCCTCCTGGTCGGCCCGCCTGCTTGCCGCGACGCAGCAGCGTTCCGGTTCCCCCGCGTGATCATCAGCGACGGCCCGGGCACCGGTTTCCTCGTCTTCCTGGCCGCCCATCTGCTGAAGGTATTCGCATTCGTGCCCGAGGGGACCATGCAGACGCTCTTCGTGGAAAGCTGGGCCCGTGTCTCCTCTCTCAGCCTCTCGGGAAAGCTGATCTACTACCTCGGACTCGCCGACCTCTTCATCGTCCAGCACCGCCGGTTGGCGGAGCTCTACAAGGTTACTTTCGCCGGCCGGATTGCCTGCATGCCGAAACCTACATAAGTTCACATAGGCCCTCGAGAGGTATGCCACGATGTTGCTACCTGATTAGCAAGTTCGCAAGGCATCGCTGACTGGAACCACTGCTGAGGCCACGTAAGAATCGCACTTCATCCCATTCTGACGGAAGCACTAGGGACGGGCAATTCTGACGTCGTCGTCTTATCACCCCCCTTTTCATGATTCCGCAACACTCAGATATGCCGGTGGAAGCAATTGCGCGTCAACATCACTACATTTACATCTCGCACCATGGAAGACAGGATTCAATACGGCTTTTCAAGAGTTAAAGTATGCCTGCCGGTGCGCAGGGATTACGGGCGAATCACTCTAGCGCAGTGTAGCTGCTTTCCTACAGAGAACCCGGATCTCCGCACGATGGAAATTGCTTGACATGATTGAATAACATCCTAGGCGTGACTTCTAATGCTTCGTGACGAATGGAGTGGCCTTTCATAAGCCCCCCCGCCCCTTGCCTCCATCCAGGATATATCATACAAACTGTTGGTGGGAGGTGTCGTCTCTAAATGGGGAAATGGTCTCGCCTATCCTACAACGGCAGCCTATTCCTCTAATATCTACCGCGTCTAAAGATAAGAGGTGCGATGTCTTTCATCGCGTCCTGAAAGGCAGTCTGCGATGTAAACGCGTAGTGATCTCGACGAGATCCTCCTCGTTGTCCGCGGTCAGGATGCCGTGTCTAATGAGGAAGTCGATGATCATGACCGCCGAGTCGGGCTTGAACTCTCCGTCCAGGAGGGCCCTCTGCACGTCGGGCACCGCCATCAAGTAAAACTCTTGGACCTCGTCGTCGTTTGGCTTCGGCACGACGTTTCCGGGCAGCTCGAGGTCGTAGACGTAGATGATGTTGGGGATGACGAGGCCCTTCTCCCCCGGGAAGGGGTCCGTGGTCGTGCTAATGTATGTCAGCGCGCCCGCCGAGCGCACGCGCTCTCGGACTAAGTCTTCAGGCAGCGACGCTTCCTCGAACGCCTCCTGTACCGCGGTCTCGAGGGGGGTGGTCCCGGCCTTGATCCCGCCCGCTACCGCCGCGTCGAGCAGCCCGGGGCTGGTGTACAGGTGGGCCGCGCGGCGGGGGATCCAGAGCTTCAGGGCGCCATCGCTCGCTCTGGTGTACACCATGATGTACGCCCCCCGGAGGGTGACGCCGAACAGCGCGGACGCGAAGCGCTCGACCCGCACCGGGTATTTTGCGCTTACGATGTACACCGGCTCGCTGTGCTTCCCGTCTATGATGTGGAACAAGTCCCTTTCGATGCAGATGTCGACCAGCTCCGAGAAGGCCGTGTTCACGGCGCCGGGCGTGTCTTCCCCCAACGAAGCGTCCAGCACGGTGACGCTCCTCGGCGCGCTGTGGTCGACGCGGAAATGAGAAGTCCACGGCATCTTCCGGACTGTCTCCGGGAGCAGATATCCGTGCGGCTGCTCGTCATGGGGCAGAAATAATTGGTAGTATGCCCCTGATGTAACATCGTATGGAAAGCTTGAATCTCGTTAGACAGGGCCATTGATTTTACAGTTAAATAATAGCGTAGCCCCTCCGCCGCTCAGACACTCACTTATCGGAGGATTGGATGAGCGAGAGGTACGTCCTCCCGTTAGGATTACCCGCCATTTTTCATCGGTTGGGAGGGGAAATGGTGCTGGAGAGTTGAGGTTCCGCCAGCTCGACGGTGTCGACGGGATACTTCATCTACCTTAATACTGGGGAGCAACAGGCAGACGCGAAGTCGAGATAGCTCTATACGACAACTCGATTACGTGCTTCGCTTGGAGGGGATTGGGATTTATGAGGTCGAGAGGGGTTATGCGCATACCGGAACATGATGTCAGTGACCTAGGTTGCTGCATGATCGTCGCGCATATATCTACTTAAACTGAAAGTGGAAGGGTGGATGGAGATGGAGGTAACGTCGTGTTGTACAGTGTAAGTAATACCATAATAATACCACAATGCGACGATGCGACGATGTTCCACATAAATGCATTGGAGCTCTCTAAGCGATCAATGCTATTATCCACACACGCTGGTATATCAAGGCCTATACTGCCCTTCCCGCACCTCAAACCCTCCTTCGTGTCGCAACCCATTCCATTCCCTACGTTTCATAACCACATCCAGCAATCCCTCATCCAAACTCGAGATGCCGTCGTCCAAGGCGATGCTAGCTACGGCGCTAGCCAAGGCAAATACCGCGGTCCAGCTCGACAATACCCAATCACACGATTTCGCCCGGAAGTACTACCTCGAAGCATGCGTCCTCCTGCTACAGCTGATCCACAGAACCACGAACGAGGCCGACAAGGCAAAATTGAGGAGTATTGTACGTGCCCGCGTCAGCAGACCCGACGGCCGATAATTAACGGAATTCTCATAGCGTTACACCTACCTCAGACGAGTAGAGGAGCTGGGAGGCTCGATAGCCGAGGAGTCGTAATTCGCGGGGTCAATCCGTCGACGGGATAGGGGGAGGGCATTCGTGGGGGTAAATGCGAGATCGGCGCATGGGATGTCAAGGCTACGGCATTGCTCGCCGATTTCCAGAGATGCGGGCTCGGCCAGGAAGAGCCTAGCGGTCGGCATACCTCTGTATTTGATATTTTGTACAATTGTGTCGCGCTGAGTACACCGGGCGCGATAAACCACCCGTCTATTGTTTCTGCTCGCCGACAGGCAGTGCAACTGGTTCCTCCAGCGGCACATCATCCATGTCGGCATCCTCCTCGCTAGCAGGTTCCTCCCCGTAGTGGGTGTAAGCCGCACTCTGTTCGGCACGAACCGCCTCGATTTGCTTGCCAGCCCATTTCTTCCATTTCTCGTACTGTTGGTCCTCGAGTTCCATACCGACTTGCAGAAAGGACTTGCCAAAGTACGCACCCACCATCTGGGCCTCTTCTTTGGCTATCCTCCGCTCGACTTCCTCCCGCTGCCGTAACGAGTAAAATTCTCGGCGTACTTTGTCGTAGGCCTTCTCGGTCGTCATGCCCTCGACGTTGTGTATCATCCACAGTTGACGTTGGACGACGCTGCGAGGGGAAGATTAGTTCGAATCCCAACGGGGAGGGGGTCGCGCACGGGCAGGTGCGCCGCGCCGGGTGTGCTTACGATTCGCCGCACAACGGCATGCCTGGCTGTATTAACCCTTTCGACCAGTCGTATCTTTGCGCGTCCTTCCCGTCCATCTCGATTATCATCCTCGGCCGTGCTAGCTCCCACGGGTGATCTTTGTAGAAGGTCCTCCGTAGCTCGTCCTCTTCGTACACCAACGCCTGCGGTTGGAAGAGCCGGCTCGGTTTCCGTATTCTCGGGTTCGGTGCCTTGTGCTGGGGTGGGAGCGGCCGGATCAGGGTCTCGGATGGTGGTATCGTCCTCACCACATCGTACCATACCGGTTTTTGGACCATGACCTTCGGCCAGACTCGGTGGTCTATCAATGCCGTCGCCGTCTCATAAATCCTTCTCGGTCGGAACTGTCTCTGACCGCCCATGTTGGAATGCGGGGGAGGGCGCGCTCCGACGTCTTGCGCCCGAAGCTAGACCTAAGCAATGGAGGTGGTGTAGGAGATCCGCGAGCAACCCGGCGCGATGAGATTGGAGGAATGGCGATTCTATTTGGAATTTCTATAGAAAAGCTGACGGCCCGGTGCTTGGCCCACACTACTCGGCCGGGCGAATGCGGATCCAGATGGACTAGGCTAATTGATTGTTCCAATGCCGACTTCCTATTACCTAACCATCTACCTACCTTCTGGCAAGCTCCAGGTGACGTATTAGGTACCTGACCTGCATTCTCGCAGTACATCGTAGGTACACTGGATACCGACTAGGATATTCTGTACCAGGTACCTCCCGCTACAGATATGGGAAATAGGACGTAAGTAAAGGAGAGCACTTGTATCCTGAGGTACCTTCTGATATCCGTTGACCTTCCTTGACTTGAGGTTGAGATAAGGTAAAGAGCTTTTTTTTTTTTCTCTTTCTGTCTCCTATAAGAGTGAATGGATCCGATTCAACACCCGGGCCCTCCCCCGTCCCCCATTTGCCATTCGCCAACCTATGCTGCTTCGTACATTTCAACCCCCATCCTGGGACATTACTGGAAATTCCGCGTCCTCGTACAGAAGCTGTGGTGGAGGGTTCAACATGTAGGGTAGCTCATGAGAATTCTTAGTCGAATTGACGGGTCGATACACGGCGCGATTCTGCTCGGAACTCCCCCGCCAGGCCTGAGTTCGGTGTCCCAGCTATCCGGCGTTAGGGTTTCCCATGGCTCTGGGAACGTCGCTTGGAGAGCTTTTTTCGCTGTCGTCGGCCGGTGCCGTACAGCTGACTCTAGGAGGAAGCATGGGATCTCGTCTACCCTCACCTCTACAAGACATATCAGCTTTGCAATAGCAAGACCAGACACACGGTCACGACGCCTCAACTGCTCCGTGCCAAACCCGCATACCGGTCACGGCTGGAACCGCACGCTTACGCAAGAGGCTAGATCGAGGTCTGAGCTTCTTGATATCGTCGACCAGTACGACGACACGACTGTGGAGGAGCATCTAGAGTTCCTAAGGGACCCCTACCTACGAAGATATGCCCCCGCGGATGGGCCGGTGCTTAGAGTCTCGGATAGGATTGAAGATGTCAACCTCGATTCTGTCGACCCGCTCCAGTGGAAAAGCCCCGAAGAGGAGGATACGATTTTGAGACTCCAAGAAGCAGTGCGTTACAAACTTAGGAGGCCCGGGACATCGAATCTAGACGAGATATTCGAGATATACCAGGAACTTCCGGCGCCCCGTGTATCGCTCATCACAGCCAGCCTGAGGCACCAACTGCTCGCAGCGCTTGCGATAACAGAAAAAAAGAACACCCGAGCTATGCTGCGGTATTTTGCTGTAGTGACGGATGTCAGGAATAGCGGCTTCGCCTTGACTAGGCCGGAATGGAACACTGCTATATCGTTTGCTAGTCGGTACGTCGGCAGGTCAGCGGTGGCCGAAGTCGAGGCGGCGCTCGAGCTCTGGCGCGAAATGGAAAATGTCTCCGGCGTCCGGGCTTCCGAAGTGACGTTTAACATCCTCTTCGACGTCGCCTCGAAAGCGGGCAAGTTTCTGGTCGCCGAGATGCTGTACGATGAGATGCTCAACCGCGGCTATAGTTTTAATCGTTATCACCACGTCAGCTTGATCCACTACTTCGGTCTCAAGCTGGAGACTAGTGGGGTGAGGGCCGCCTACAAGAAAATGATTGAGTCGGGTGAATTCATCGACACGACTGTACTGAACTGCGTCATCTCGGCGTTCCTAAGGTCCGGGGAGCGGGAGTCTGCCGAGAGGGTCTATAACAAGATGAAAAAGTCGGACCGAAGGTCCAAGTGGATACCAGCTCGCGATTACACCACGCAGAAGGCCATTACTAAGGTGCTCATGATGTTCGCAAAACTTTCGAGGAGACACCCCGACTTGCATGCGAACTTCCACCAGGCCACCTCGATCTCTCCGGACATACAGACATACCGCATTCTCATCAATTACTACGGGATTAAGCTGGGCGACCTCTCGACCGTCGTGAAGTTGCTCGATGAGATGAAGTGGTTCAGAATCCAGCTACATGGCTCTATCTTCCTCGCCCTTTTCAAATCATTCGGCAAGTTTGGGGGGTTGGGATCGGACTGGTCTGCGCAAAAGCTCCGGAGCGTGTGGAAAGCATATATAGACTCTCTCGACAGCAAAGCAGACGGACTAGAAATCAGTACATGGATGGTGGCGGCCGTCCTAAAGGCGTTTTCCAGATACTCGTCTCGGGATGAGATGCTGGACGTGTACGAGGATATGAGGTCTAGATGGGACCTGGAACCAGAGGGCTCGCGGTTTGCGATGCATTGTTTGCGTAAAATACTGCGTAGCAGGCGCTTCGATATACAATCTATAGACATACTAAGGGGGTATGGGGCTGGACGTTAGGAGTAGGCATCGTGGTTATAAACACATGATACCAGCCTTCCGTAGATGCCTACCCTATGCGAACTAATTTCGCTTCACTAATGGTCCGCAGAAATACTCCACTAAAACAAGCAATCAATCACGAGAACACGGTCCCAGAGTCTTACAACGTGAGGATGGTAGTCCAAGTTATCCTAGGGATAACCTCTATAGAGTAGTAGATGGTGATCTCTCGTCGTCCTCAGAGCCGCTTGGAAGACTGCATAGCCAGTTCCAAAGCAAGTCGACCATCAATCACTCTTAGCGGTGGCTGAGGGGAGCAATCAAGACAAAGGGGACCGTATTTCGGCGACAGCTTCGTAGTCTATTGCCACTTATATGTACAGCTTGCGCCGCCGCGCCCCGTTACTGGCCCCGTGTAGCCGGAGAGAAGAACGGTAGGTAGGTACTTCGAACGGAGGCTTTCCCGATCCCTTCCTCGCAGCCCCGGAGACAAGCCGACGCTAAAGGCCCTTCTTATTTACGACCTGGGCTTGTTGGTTTGCCAAACTACGTAGATGACACACACGTTAGCACGCACACCCCATCCGCCGAGGGCCGGCATTTAGAGACGGCGGAAGGGAAAGCAAGTGGAAGAGGAAATGACGCACCGCAGATGCCGAAGGGGGCGAAGAAGCCGACGAGGCAGTAGGACCAGTACCGGACGGCGAAGAAGCGCGTCTTGGTGTTGAAGGGGAGGTTGGAGTACGGCCCCTCGGGGTAGTGGTACGGCGAGGAGAGGCGAGCGCGGGTGACGTGGAAGGCCCGGCGGTTGATGAGGGAGGTGATGCGCGGGGCAGCAGCGCGGACGGCGGGTTGGGCGAGCATCTGCAGAGTAGGAAGAGAGGGGGGGAAATCGTCAATTAGCCTCTGGAAACTCTCCCTCTCGTGGTGAGGACGCATCTTGGGAACATTGTTACCTTGGAAGCTGCAATTTTGATGGCGATGGTTTCGATTTGAGGAGTGGAGAGGTTACGGGGGCTACGGTTGGTATTGTGCTTCGTCGAGTTAAGCTTCAGGCACTCAGCTTTGAGGCAGGAATAAAAGTCAGCCTTGAGTTGATATCGTTCGATCAGGCTTACCTAAGAGATACTAGCCTGTCGGGTATTTCTCGGTTATCCGGCAGAGAGGGGACCACTGAGAGGGAGTAACGCTGCGTGCCCCCCAGTGTAGGTATCATTGGAGGTATCTACCTTAGGTACATAACTCCAGGTATCAGTTCAGGTACCTACGTCCTTAGGATGTTTGTTGGAGGTACCTAAGGTAACATATCTATCAGGTAGGTTAGGTACCTCCTAGTGCCTATGCCGAACTGTGCCTACACATGCAATCGGATGCACTCACCCCACGCAGCAACCTGCCTGTCGGTATCTTAGGATCACACACATAACGCACACATACCTACATATTCACATATATGCATGCTAGTATGCATATCTATATTATATGTGTATACCTATACATGTGTGGGCTGGCCTGGAACTGAGCAGAGGGCTGAGGGGTGCAATACCCTAGGTACATTACTGTGAGAGTGAACGGACGTACCTGTTGCTCCCTGCTACATGACATTGACATGCTGCTACCTTGGGTACCTATACCAGGCGGCCACTTACCTTACCTAGGGTACCCAGATATACAGACAGCACATGTAGAAACACGCTGGTTCATATATAGGTAGGTACTTCTCTAAGAGGTATCTAGGTTAGGTAATAACATGAAAAGATACGCACCTGTTTAGGTATATGACATCACTAGCTTGTACCTCCTGCCTGCCGATGCTTCCAGCTAAGTTGTATTGTGCTACGTCCCCACAGGTACGTAATAGGTCGAGGGCCGATGCTGTGTCAGTCTCGAGGTTCCGCCTGGTCGTTGTTTCCCTACCTCCCTCACACTTGCAAAGGAACACAAGGCCACTTACAGGTACAGAGGTACCTAAATGTACCTGCATCTCGCAGCTTCAATTGGGCCCCGCATACCTAAAGCAACCCAAATCCAGCCAGCTACTGAATTTTTTCTGCGGCTGGCCGGTTTATTATTATTATTTTTCTCTTACCTACGAAAAACCTACTGCGGTCACGTCCCGGTCCTCACACACAGCTGCTATATTTGCTGGTATCTCTAGACCGTCCGAGCATTCCCTTACCTGTGTTTGATACCCCGGCTCTCTTCATGAGTAGAATCCCCCGGCAGCGCCACTAGATTGGGCCCGGCTCAATCAGCAAAAATCACGTTCGTTCTGTTGCACCCAATCCTTCCCGCCGTGAACTGCGCGACTCGCCACCCGTCAGCACCACACCCACAATGGACCTGTTCGAAGATTTTGACAATGAGCCCTCCAACAAGCCCCCCGAGGGCCCGAAACCCTCGACGATACCCAAACCAAGCAAGCCCAAGAAGAAGAGCAAGAAGCGAAAGGCTGATGGCGGCATGAAGGCCGGTTCCGTCGCGGCTGCATCTGCTCCCTCGGCGCCCGAGGTTGACATGGCCGACCTCGCGCCCACGTCACCGGATGACGACGATGCCGAGGAGGCAGCTTCCGAGAACCAAGGAGATAGCAAGCGGCGGCGCAAGGAAGATCTGGCCGAGCCAGTGCTGACGGACACTTTCGAGACGGCAGAATCCAGAGAAATCGCCGCCGCGGCTGGATTTGCCTCGACTAAGGATGAGACGTCTCTAGTTCTGTCGCACAATATCCAGCACCAAGTCGCCCTCCCCCCCGATCTCGATTACGAGTACGTACCGCTTTCTGAACACAAGCCGCCCGAAAATCCAGCCAGAACCTGGCCATTCACCCTCGACCCTTTCCAGCGCCTCTCGATCTCCTCCATCGAGCGGGATGAGAGCGTCCTGGTGTCCGCCCACACCAGTGCCGGGAAGACCGTAGTAGCCGAATATGCCATCGCGCACTGTCTCAAGCAGAACCAGCGAGTCATCTACACTAGCCCGATCAAGGCATTAAGCAACCAGAAATATCGAGAATTCAACGAGGCTTTCGGGGATGTTGGCCTCATGACCGGAGATGTCACCATCAACCCCACCGCTAGTTGTCTTGTGATGACGACGGAAATCTTGCGGTCGATGCTGTACAGAGGGTCTGAGATCATGCGGGAGGTGGCCTGGGTCGTCTTTGACGAGATCCACTACATGCGTGACAAGTCTCGCGGCGTTGTCTGGGAAGAGACCATCATTCTCCTGCCAGACAAGGTCCGATATGTCTTCTTGTCTGCTACCATTCCGAACGCCTTTCAGTTCGCCGAATGGATCGCGAAAATCCACCGACAGGCTTGCCACGTCGTTTACACCGACTTCAGACCGACGCCTTTGCAGAATTACTTCTTCCCGGCCGGCGGATCGGGCATATTCCTGGTGGTGGACGAGAAGGGGGTTTTCCGAGAGCACAATTTCAACAAGACCATGCAACTGGTCGAGGAGCGCAAGGCTGCCGAGGCTGCCGACATAGACGCCAAGACGAAGGGGAGGGGGAAAAATAAGAAGACGTTCAAGGGAAACAACAGTGACAGCCAGGGCGACATCCAGAAGATCGTCAGGATGATTATGAACAAGAACTTTAACCCCGTCATCGTCTTCAACTTCAGCAAGAGGGAGTGCGAAGTAATGGCCTTGACAACATCTAAATTTGCCTTCAACGATGATGGCGAGAAGGCTATGGTACGGAAGGTATTCACGAGCGCCATCGAGTCCCTTTCCGAAGAGGACCGGGAGCTTCCCCAGATCCAAAACATCCTTCCGCTCCTCGAGAAGGGGATTGGGGTTCACCATTCTGGCCTCCTACCCATCCTCAAGGAAACTATCGAGATTTTATTCCAGGAAGGCCTAATAAAAGTCCTCTTCGCGACCGAGACCTTTTCTATCGGCCTGAATATGCCCGCAAAGACGGTTGTTTTTACCAAAGTCACCAAATGGGATGGCACCAGCGTTCGACCGCTTACTCCGTCCGAGTACATTCAGATGTCTGGGCGTGCCGGCCGTAGAGGTCTTGACGAGCGCGGTATCGTCATCATGATGATTGACGATCAGATGGATCCCGAGACGGCGAAAAATATCGTCGTTGGCCAGCAGGATCGCCTGAATTCCGCCTTCTACCTAGGCTATAATATGGTTCTGAACCTGCTGCGGATCGAGACCATATCTCCCGAATTCATGCTGGAGAGCTGCTTCTTCCAGTTTCAGAACACAGCAAGTGTTGCCGGCCTAGAGCACGAGCTGATGAAGTTGCAAAAAGCACGGGACGAGATGGTGATCCCGGATGAGGCCACCATCAAAGATTACCACGGTCTACGACAGCAGATTTCGCAATACACCAAAGACATGCTTACCGTGATCCAGCACCCGAAGCACTGCATCGATTATCTACAACCTGGGAGACTAGTGCAGATTGCCCACCCCAAGACGAATAAGGACTTTGGTTGGGGCGTCATCGCCAACTTCACAAAGCGCAAAGACCCCAAGTTCGGCGAGAAGGAGTACGAGCCTCAAGAGTCGTATTTCATCGACGTCTTCCTTCGTCTCGACCCGAACTGCGATCCCTTTGGACCTGCGAACCCCTCGACCGAGATGCCGGCCGGAGCGCGGGCGAGCGACCCCAACAAAGACAGCATCTTCGAGGCCGTACCCTGTATGCTTACCTGCATCAAAGCTCTCAGTCAGATTCGAGTATTTATGCCTAAGGACGTGAAGTCTCGAGAAGACGTGGAGTCGGTTCGCAAGCAACTTCTCAAGTCACTCAAGGAGGTCGAACGTCGTTTCCCCGATGGGCTACCTATCCTAGACCCCATCGAAAACATGAACATTACAGACGACTCTTTCAAGAAACTCCTCCGCAAGATCGAAGTTCTCGAGTCGCGGCTGCTAGCCAACCCGCTCCACGGCTCGCCTATGCTGCCGGACCTGTGGGAGCAGTATTCGAGCAAGATTGCTCGCAACGAAGAGATTAAGGCCCTCAAGCGGAAGATAGCTAAGGCCCATTCTATCGCGCAGCTAGACGAGCTCAAGTCGAGGAAACGAGTGCTCCGCCGTCTCGGCTTCATCGACGAAACCGACGTCGTCCAGATGAAAGCCCGCGTGGCTTGCGAAATCTCTTCGACGGAGGGCCACGAGTTGCTACTATCGGAGTTGCTCTTCAACCGATTCTTCAACGAACTATCTCCAGAGCTGTGCGCTGCGGTCCTCAGCGTGTTCATCTTTGAAGAAAAGGTGGATGCGCAAGCCCTACCTGACGAGCTGATGAAGCCGTTTTCGCAAGTCCAGGCCCAGGCTCGGATCGTTGCAAAGGTAAGCCAGGAGAGCAAATTAGAGGTGAACGAGGACGAGTACGTCCAGAGCCTGAAGTGGCAATTGATGGAGACTGTCTACGCATGGGCGAATGGGAAGCCGTTTGCTGAAGTCTGGTAAGTGCGGTCCCGTCGTGTTTTCGCTGTTCTCTTATCTTAACCGTGGCCTTAGCAAAATGACCGACGCATACGAGGGCTCGTTGATCCGTCTATTTCGCCGGCTCGAAGAGCTACTTCGCCAAATGGGACAGGCAGGGAAAGTCATGGGTAGCGAGGAGCTGACAGACAAGTTCGAGGAGAGTTTAGCCAAGATCCGTCGGGATATCGTGGCTGCCCAGTCCCTCTACTTGTGATGCTGCTTCCCCCCCCCCCCCCCCCCCCCCCAAGCATTTCTGATATCTACACACCAGCGCCTCTTGGTGGCGCGTACACGTGGGGGAAGACTAAGAATCTTCTCAACCGCGTGCGCGGTATCATTAAGTACCGAAGGTAATAATTCGCTAGCTAGCCGGCGTAACCCGACGGCTAACACGTGTTGAGCACTCTTACTAAGCTGCCCCCGGCCATCTATAACGGAGTTCAGGAGGCGGGAATTAATACCACTTGTTTCAGGCTCGCGATGGATGCCCTCGTCTTGAGATGGGTTGCAGTTGCTCGCCTTTAACGGAAGCCAAGCATCCTTATCTCAGTGCGGGATCTTACCGAGTGGCTACAGATAGCATGTACAGATAGAGAACGCGGGCGTTGCTACTGTTGGCGACGCCCAACCCTCCTCTTGTTCCCGATCTCATTTGACGACGTGGATGATGTCTACTCTCCCTCATTTCCAAAGAAGAGAAATCTCTAGTAATCATCGTCCAATGACGCCATACTACCATCCTGCCTAGCCTGACCTTGTTGCGGTAGCTAGCAATCTTACATTCATGATGTCTATCGGGTTCTTCGAGCCTCCTCGTGCCGCCGTAGTAATTTCTAGCAGTGATATCCTTTTTTTTCTGGACCTTTTGCCCTGTGCCCCTTTTCTTTTTCTTTTATTTCTCGCCGGAAATGCTCCTGATGACGCCGATGAGGACGCTGAAGATGATGCCGACACCGACCATGAAGCGCCACCGGCCGGAGGCCATGCCCTCCTCGCGGACGAGCCAGCCGGCGCTGCCGAGGGGCCAGACGAAGCCGGTGACGACGCCGCGGATCATGACGTCGACGAGGGCGGCGAGGCCGACGTCGTCGCTGTCGGTGCCGGCGCCGCCGTCCGCGGCGCCGACGGCAGCACCGGCGGAGGGCACCGAGGCGCCGTTGTCGTCGATCCACGCGTCCTCCATGCGCCGGAAGCTGTCGGGCGACGGCAGCGTGTCCGGCGTGTACCGCGACGCGTGGATGCTGCGGAACTGCAGCCGCAGCTGGTTCACCTCGGCCGCCGTGAAGCCCGCCGACAGCAGCCGGTCGAAGCCGCGCGGCGCGGCCGACGTGCTGGCGGGCGGAGTGTGGTGGTGGTGGTGTTGGGCGTCGTACGGGGCGGCGTTCGCGGAGGTCGGCGCGGCGCTCGCGGCAATAGAGGAGGGCAGGGCGGCGGCGGCAGCAGCGGCGGCGTTAGCCTCGGCCTCGAGCTCGGCCGATGTCAGGCTGTCGCCGATGGAGCAGTTGACGTAGATGCGCTGCGGGGGGTCGGGGCGGCCGAGGACGGACTTGCCCTTGCCGGAGCGGCCATCGGGGCCGTCGTTGTCAGCGGTGGCGGCGGCGGCCTTGCCCTTGACGTCGGCGCGGCGCGTGTATAGAGAGGGGGAAGGGGGTGGGGGCGGAGGCGGTGGGGCGCGGAGGACGGAAGCCAGGGCGGCGCCGTCGGGGAGGATCTTGCCGCCGTGGATGAAGCGCAGGCGGCGCTGAGAGTTGGGCTCGGCGAGGCGCGTGCGGATGAGGTGCTTGAGCGAGACGACGGTGGTGGCGGCCGGCCGCGGGATGTCCAGCTCGAGGTCCGGGATGGCGGCGCTGAAGCGGACGGTGAGCAGCAGCGGCTGCGGCTGCGGCTGCGGCACGGGCAGCGCGATAGGCGCCGCACGGGAAGCCATCGCTCCCCCGGTTAGCTAGCGTCGCGTCTGCGTGCCGCCGCACGGCATGGCGTGGCGTGAGGCGGGCGAGTCGGCGAGCGGGAGCGGTGCGGTGGGGGGAGGGGGGGAGCCAGCGGGTTGGCGATGTTGGGAGGGGATTCGCGATCTGCTGTTGGACTCGATCGATTGTAGCACTGCCCAAATATTGGGATACTGTACCCCACAAGGAGATCTCGCCGGACCAGTCAGCGGCCCGGAAATAGCGGTTGCATAAGCCGGCTTTAGTGGGACGCGCACTGGTATTGGTGTACCTACCTAGGTACATATATGTACTCATATAGGTACGTACAACTGGGCGATTCCCCCACGGTTTAGCCGCTGAGGTGCTCTGTAGCTGGAATGACGTGATGCCTTTGGCTGTGCTGCGGTTCTACTTGGTGGTAGGTACCTACCTTCAGGCACATGGGCACCTTCCGGCTTCCCAATCGAAGGCCGCCGATTACGGACTGGGCACGTTGACACACTCGCACAGCCAAAAGGGGGGTTCGGTATAAAACACTAGGGGAAATGCTGTGGCCGTCGAACCTCTGGCTGTTTTCTGATCGACTCCTAACCTGTACCGACCTCCCTGCCTAACCCGCCGACGCCCTGCCCAACGACCTCAACGAACTCGGCCTCCCGCCAGGCAGTTAGTAGGCTAGTCCGCCCTTCTCGGCGCTGAGGGAAGCCGAAGTAGAGTAACCGGCGCGGAGATAAGCATCGTGTGAACTGCCATTGGGTCTAAGCTAAGCTTCGTATTATCTATATCTACCTGCCCGGTTGGTATAGCACCGGCAGACGCACGCCCCTATATGTTCTGCATCTCTGGTCTGAAATCGCATTGCGCCAGATCACTCGCCAAGAAAGCCTCCCGTCCATCTCAAGCCTCTTGCCGGCGTTTGGCTACCCCTCCGGGTCGTGCGTTCCGTTCCGCTACGACTATGGCCGCCTCGCTCCCGCCCAAGCTCAAGCCCGCAGCGCGAGTGGCTGGCCAAAGACAGGATGTCTGGTAAGACTATCTTCGTGTTCTTTGCACCGCGAAGATTGGGGGGTGATGGTGGGGGGGCAGGGGGAATAAGTATGTATACCGACAATTGGTAGGCTGATGAAACCCTAGGTCGATCATCAACGAAGCTGCTTTGGCCTCGCCGCGGCAGCCCATCGTCAACATGGGCCAGGGTTTCTTCGGTTACAACCCGCCGCCCTTCATCATCAACGCAGCCAAGGCGGCGCTGGATCGAGTAGATTGCAATCAGTACAGCCCTACCAAAGGCCGGCCGCGTCTAAAGAAGGCCATCGCCGATGCCTACTCTCCCTTCTGGGGCAGGAAGCTCAACCCGGAAACCGAGGTGACCATCACCACTGGGGCCAACGAGGGTATGCTCAGCGCATTCATGGCTTTCATAGAACCCGGTGACGAGGTCATCGTCTTTGAGCCATTCTTCGACCAGTGAGTCATCTGCCGCTTTGCTGTGTTGAGAAGGCATACTTTGCTAATGGCCAATCAGATACATCAGCAACATCGAGATGCCCGGTGGGAAGATTGTCTACGTTCCGATGCATCCGCCGAAAGACGGTGCGACGCGGACATCGTCGTCTGCCGAGTGGAAGATCGATTTCGATGAGCTTGAGAAGGCTATCACCCCGAAGACTAAGATGATTGTCCTCAATACGCCTCGTTAGTAGCCAACCGGCCTGTTCTAACTTGCCCCGGCGCACACGGAAAGAAAAGCTGACCATCATGCCCAGACAACCCCGTCGGAAAGGTGTTTTCGAAGGAAGAGCTGCAGAGGATAGGAGACCTCTGCGTCAAGCACGAGATCATAATCCTCTCAGACGAGGTGTATGACCGTCTCTTCTACACGCCCTTTACGAGGATCGCGACTCTTTCACCCGAGGTCGAGAGATTAACCCTTACTGTCGGCTCGGCCGGCAAGAACTTCTACGCTACGGGCTGGCGTGTTGGTGCGTCGTGGCTTGGCCTGGTCAGCTCCTGATGCGCGTTTTTGCTAACCACCTAAAAATAGGCTGGCTGATGGGACCCGCCCATCTAATCCAATACGTCTCCGCAGCTCACACACGCATCTGCTACTCCTCGGTGTCGCCGTTGCAAGAAGCTTGCGCTGTCGGTAAGTTAGCGGCCGTTCCACTGCGCGCTCCGAGAAAAGAACTAACGAGCAACTACCTCAAGGCTTCGAGCAGGCTGAGGCAGAAGGCTTCTGGGACGAGACGATCCGAGACATGAAGGCAAAGATGGAGCGATTCAACGAGGTCTGGGAGGAGCTAGGCCTGCCGTACACGGATCCGGAGGGGGGCTACTTTGTGATGGTGAACATGAGCAAGGTTAAGGTTCCGGGGGGGTACCCGTTCCCGCCGCACGTAGCGAGCCGGCCGCGCGACTTCAAGCTCGCCTGGTTCCTCATACAAGAGGTTGGCGTCGCCGCCATCCCCCCGACCGAGTTCTACACCGACTCCAACGCCCACATCGCCGAGGACTACATCCGCTTCGCCGTCTGCAAGGAAGATGAAGTCCTCGAGACCGCCAAGGATCGGCTCCGGGGCCTCAAGAAGTACATAGAGGCGTAGAATAGACGGATACGAGAATATCTAGCATAGAGAGCCGCTCAGGAAACAAATACGTCCGAGCTAGCTAAAATCTGAATAAGACAGATGTCAGCCAAGCAATAGATGGGCGCCTTGGCACGGAAACCACCGTTTCACATTTCTCATACGCTTTTGTGAGTGACTGCATGCGGAGACGCGATTGATAACTTGGCTCAAATTTGCAGATGTAATAGTTCACATTCTGGGACGTGTCTGAAACGCTAAGTAGATACAGATCAGTCAAACAAGTGACGGTGTAGATGTCTTGCGCTGCGAAAGGATAGGTACGTATCTAGGAAAACGTAGTCGTGAAAAAGCCTCGCTAGCATCGCTACCAGCGATATACGGAAAAACCCTCTTGTTCTCATTCCTCGGGTGCTCGCTCTCGACCTCCCGCGCCGCCATTACGACGCCGGGCACCCAGAGTCCTTTCACGGTCTGTGGGTTTTGGGGGGGGGGGGGGGGGAGAAAGGGGGGCATAATTAGACCTTGGCGATGTGCAGGCTCTGGACGTTGGCGTAGTGGAGGAGGCCGCGGCGGCCGAGCTCGCCGTTGACGCCGCTGAGCTTCCAGCCGCCGAAGAAGCCGGCCTGGTGGGGGCGCTCGAACTGGTTGATCCAGACGCTGCCCGACTCGAGCCGGGCCGCGAGGCCCCGCGCCCGCGCCAGGTCCGGCGTGTACACCGACGCCCCCAGCCCCGCGTTGTCCAGGTTCGCCCGCGCCACCACGTCGTCCTCCGACGCCCACGACAGCACCGGCACGATGGGCGCTGCGACCCCGCCGCGCGGCTGGCGTTAGCGCGAGTGTGCTCTGCCTTTTTTTTGTGTTGTGTTGTGTTGTGTCTGGCGGTGAGGGCGAGGGGCGCGCAGGGGAGAGGGAGAAGGGGAGAGGGAGAGGGAGAGGGAAAGGGAAAAATGTCGGGAGCGCATTTTGTGCGTCGTTGCTCACTCACCGAATTGCTCCTCCCGGACGAGCAGCGAGTCGTCGGGCGGCTTGGACACGATGGTGGGCTCGATCCAGAAGCCCTTGCCGGTGGGCTTGACCCGGCCGCCGGCGACGATCTTGTAGCCGTTCTTCTTGCAGTCCTCGACGAAGCCGACGGCGCGGTCGAAGTTGGCCCGGTTGGACAGCGGGGAGAAGGCGGGGGACTTGGCGTCGTCGTCGACGGCGAACTTCTTGGCCTCCTCGACGAGCAGCTCGAGGAAGCGGTCGTACAGGGACTCGTGCACGTAGATGCGCTTCGAGGCGACGCAGACCTGGCCGGCGTGGAAGAGCGAGCCGATGGCGACCTGGGGCACGACCTTGGCGAGGTCGGCGTCGTCGCACACGATGCAGGCGTTGTTGCCGGCGAGCTCGAGGATGACCTTCTTGAGGGTGCGGGTGCAGTTCTGAAAGATGCGCTGGCCGACGGCGATGGTGCCGGTGAAGCTGATGTGGTGGATGCCCGGGTGCAGGGTCATCTGCTCGCCGAGCTCGGCGCCGCCGTTGAGGGCCTGGAAGACGCCGGGCGGCAGGACCGACTGCGCGAGCTCGCAGAACTTGAGCAGCGAGTACGGCGTGAAGGGCGACGGCTTGATGATGACGCAGTTGCCCGTCGCTAGCGCCGAGACCACCTTGATGGACGACAGGATCAGCGGGAAGTTCCACGGCGAGATGGCGCCGAGCACGCCGATGGGCACATGGGTGGCGACGATCTGGACGCTGTCGTCTTCGTACTGAACCTCGTCCTCGAGCGCCACGTCCGCTGAACGATCGGGTGAGTCTCTATCCATCCGCGAGCAGGGGGGTGAGTGTACGCACTGTAGTATTCGAAGTGATGAGCGGTTCTCTCAACATCGAACCTCGACATCGCCTTAGACTTGCCGGTCTCCCGCATCTGAACCTCGGCCAAGATATCCGCGTTTTTGAGGATGCACTGGGCCACATTATGAATGGCCTTCTGGCGCTCGGCAATGGTGCTGGTCTTCCAGGTCTTGAAAGCCCGCGTAGCGGCGTCGACGGCATCATCAAGGTCTTGAAAGCTCGCTACCGGGGCGTCCCAGAGCGGCTCCTCCGTACGAGGATCGACGACTTGGTGATACTCCTCGGCGGGACGGGGTTTCCCATCGATCACGTTGAAGAATTCGTAGGGCGAGTTGCCACTGGCCGGAATAGAGCCCATCGCGGCTTACAAGTAGTCAGTCGTAGTACGGCAGGTAATAGCCTAATAGTCTGCCAAGGCTCTGGGAAACTGCTCAGCACACAAGAATAGATGGAGCGGCGACTCTTCGTCCGGACCAGGAGAGAGAGGAAGATAACAGTCACAAAGGCGACCCGAGATGTAAAAGGGAGAAAACCTATATCTATGCTTTACCCGCGTGGGCAACTACGTGCTGCTACGTCCCCCGGGACGTTTTGCCATGAATGAGTAACGGCAGTGCCAGGCATCGTCTGGGAAAGAGGGGTTAAACTTGAATTGCCGGTTTCCAGAAAAGAGACTATGGAAGTTGACACGCTCTTCCAAACGAGCGACAGGGGGCCCGGGACCCGGGAAATGCGTTTGGGGGGGGGGGGGGGGTTCCCCAGAGAGCGTTCTACGCGGGCTATTAGGCCAAGCCACTACGGCAGGATTCCTTAGCCATCCCGATCTATACTCTAAAATCTGCGACGGTGGCAACTCGACCGGGGCGACTGCCATTAGTAAGACGTCTCAACGGAATAGAAGACGTCCCAACGGAATATTAATCTCTCTCCCTCGGGAGTAAACTCGGGGCTCAGCGGTAATTCTACTCGTACGCAGGCTAGGTGGCGGCAATGAGGGATAAGTAGAGAGCCGAGGCGCGGGACGAGGGCACGGCGGGAGGTTTAAGCGAACGAGACACACGAGATAAGTGTTTATATTGCTACTAAGATCAATACCGAGAAGCTGCTATAGAAAGAAGGCTGATGATGGAGCCCGGCATGCGAAATCCAAGGAACCGGCTAGCCGGCCGTTCGCGGGGAATTGCCGCACGCCGTGGAGGTTGGGTGGTGTAGAGACGTTCGTGAAGTTTGGGCTCGGCGTTCGAAAAGGGGGGGGCCTCTCTAGTTACGTACCTAACAAATCCTGACTAACAGGGGGGGGCGACAGGTGGAGACGCTTTGGGGTAAGGAACGGGGTTCTCGCCCAGCGCGCGGAGCAGAGAGCGGAGTCGACCGAGGTACATATGTACCTATACCGTATATGTACCTAACCATTGGGGAACGGCACGTGACTGCTATTCGCAGCTCTCCACCTAATGTGGGGCGAAGGCGGCGACGAAATCCCTGGAAATTGATGTACTGCCTACCTACCTACCTAGGTAGGTACTAATGACCCACCTATAAGGACCTCAGGTATCTCTACCTATCTAAGGTACCTACCTATCTACAAGTACCCAACTCGCTATCAATATTAGGTAATGGGTGATGAGTTTTGCCCTCTCTCTCGCCACTAAAATAGAACCCCCCCCCCAGTCTAGCGACCCAGACCAGACCAGACCAGTCCTCGTTCACCTCCTCCCCTCTTTCGAATCTCGTGCGTCTTGCCTGCGTGTGGACATCCAGTTTTATGTGCTTATTGCGTACAGCCAAGAAATACCGGCACAGGTGTTCTCTGTAGATAGCCCTGCTCTGCTCTCTACATATGTAGGTAATGCCTACATGACCTCCATTCCGTTTCTGGAAATCTCGATCAGAGATACGTCCCCCGGCGCCGTCCGCCCCTATCTGCCTCGAATCGCATCGCGGCCGTTATCTGCTAGCCTTGCCATCCGTCGGGTCCCGGCGGCTGAAGCGAAATTGGCCAGTGTCGAAACCGTGACAGGTTGCTGATGGCCAACCCCACAAATAGGCTGTAAGAGTGCATCACTTCCCCAGACCACGTCAACTGATTGTATTGGTTTGCTGTAAATTCCTGCCTCGCCCCGCCAGCCCTTCTCTCTCCTCTCCTCTTCCACCTTCATCTCCAACTCACCCACCTACCTCTTGCTTGTTAGCCGAAAAAGAGGGAGAGGGAGAGAAAACTTGGAGCCTAGAGCTGCTGCCTCTGCCTCCCCTCGTCTCTGCGGTCCATCCAGCCGACGAACGTAACCCAGCCACCTGCCTGCCTGCCTGCCTGTAACTGTACGCAGCTCTTCTGCCGCCAGATATATGGATGATATCCCATAGTTCGAGGCCACAGCTCAGAGTCCGGAGGATCAGTCTGACGTCATGGCACCCATCGCCATCTCTCCCGAGAGGGATCCGGCTCTCCCGGGCGGGGGGTTGGCTTTAAATACCGTATACGACGATACCATCCGCTTTTTCCTTAACGGCACTCGAGTGGTGTTAGATGACGTCGATCCCGAGGTGACCTTGCTGGAATATTTGAGGGGCATCGGCTTGACAGGAACTAAGCTGTAAGTCGGGATAACACCGGAACTCGGCCAGGTCGAATATACAACTGATAACACGGTCCCGTCCACAGTGGCTGTGGAGAAGGCGGATGCGGTGCCTGTACCGTCGTGATCAGCCAATACAATCCGACCACCAAACAGATATACCATGCTAGCGTCAACGCCTGTCTAGCACCGCTTGCCAGTTTGGACGGGAAGCACGTTATAACTATCGAAGGTATAGGGAATGTCGAAGTACCTCATCCGGCCCAGGAGCGTATAGCCAAGGGCAACGGAAGCCAGTGCGGCTTCTGCACCCCCGGTATTGTCATGAGTCTGTACGCCCTCCTGAGGAACAACGAGAGCCCTACCGAACACGATGTCGAGGAAGCCTTCGACGGAAATCTCTGCCGATGCACCGGCTACCGATCGATTCTAGACGCCGCCCGGACCTTCATCGTGAAGGGTGCCTGCGATAAGAGTTCTGCTAACGGCGGCTCAGGCTGTTGTATGGAAAATGGAGCTAGTAACGGCGCTGTCGGTGGAGGGTGCTGCAAGAGCACAACCTCTCCCGGCGATAGCCAACCTATCAAGAGATTTACCCCGCCGGGTTTCATCGAATATAATCCAGATACGCAACTCATATTCCCCCCGTCGCTCAAGAAGCACGTATTCGCACCCCTCTCCTTCGGGAACAAGAGGAAGAGGTGGTATCGTCCCGTCACCCTAGACCAACTGCTAGAAATCAAGAGTGTCTACCCAAACGCCAAGATTATTGGTGGTAGCACGGAGACCCAAATCGAAGTCAAGTTCAAGGCCCTGCAATATCCAATCTCCGTTTTCGTCGGCGATATACCTGAGCTGCGCCAGTACTCGTTCAAAGACGACCACCTGGAGATCGGTGGAAACGTCGTGCTTACCGACCTTGAGAATATCTGTCGGGAGGCTATCGAGCGCTACGGCAAGGAAAGAGGTCAGGTATTCCAGGCCATTTACAAGCAGCTACAGTACTTCGCAGGACGGCAGATACGAAACGTGGGCACGCCAGCTGGCAACCTAGTTACGGCCTCGCCCATTTCCGACTTGAACCCCGTGTTCATGGCAGCCGACTGCGTCTTGGTGGCCAAATCTCGGCAGGGGGAGACAGAGTTACCGATGGCAACGTTCTTCAAGGGCTACCGCAAGACGGCCTTAACACAAGACGCCATCCTCGCGTCTATTCGTATTCCTTTGACTCGTGAGACGGGCGATTACTTCAGAGCTTACAAACAGGCGAAACGTAAAGACGACGACATTGCTATCGTCACCGGAGCAATGCACGTGAGGCTAGACAGGAAGGGCATCGTCGAACACTGCAACCTGGTGTATGGCGGCATGGCCCCATTCACTATTGCAGCAGGGAAAACGAACGAACTGCTAAGAGGAAAGCTATTTGCTCATCCGGATACCCTCGAGGGCGCGATGAGCACGCTCGAGTCCGATTTTAACCTCCCCTTTAACGTTCCGGGGGGCATGGCTTCGTATCGGAAGTCTCTAGCGTTGGGTTTCTTCTACCGGTTCTACCACGACGTGTTATCGGAGATCAGCAAAGAAAGCGAACACGGCGACAGCCAGGTCGTCGAAGAGCTTGACAGAGCTTTGTCGTCTGGTTGGAGGGACGAAGAAGCGACTTCCGCATACATCGACGGACCCTTCGGAAAGGCTGCTAGCCACGTTGCAGCTATGAAGCAAACCACAGGAGAGGCGCAGTATACAGACGATATCCCACCACTCAAGAACGAGCTCCACGCAAGTCTCGTACTGTCCACAAAGGCGCATGCGAAGATAAAATCTATCGACTATTCGGCCGCGCTAGACATTCCGGGCGTCGTCGACGTCGTAGACAAGAACGATCTACACAGCCTGGAGGATAACAAATGGGGCGCACCAAATTATGACGACCTCTTCTTTGCTGAGGACGAAGTTTCCACAGCCGGCCAACCGATCGCGGTCATCTTGGCCACCTCGCAGGCAAGGGCAGCCGAGGGAGTGAGAGCTGTGAAGATCGAATACGAAGACCTTCCGGCGATTTTCACGATGGAAGAGGCTATCGAAAAAGAGAGTTTCCATAAATTCTCTCGCTACATCAAGAAGGGTGATCCCGAGGAAGCCTTCAAGCATTGCGACTACACGTTCACGGGCGTCTCTAGAATGGGGGGCCAAGAACATTTCTACCTCGAAACAAACGCTTGCATAGCTATACCCAAACCCGAGGACGGCGAAATGGAGATCTGGTCCAGCAGTCAAAATCCCACCGAGAGGTTCGTTTCCCTGCCGATCAATGCTGTATAGTCAAGGCTAACCTAGCCCAAGTCAGGCGTATGCGGCCAAGATCATGGGTGTGCAGTCAAATAAGGTGACAGCCCGCGTGAAGCGTCTAGGCGGTGGTTTTGGTGGAAAGGAGACTAGATGCGTCCACCTCAGCACGATCATAGCATTGGCCGCTCAGAAGACCAAGAGGCCAGTCAGGTGCATGCTCAACCGAGATGAAGACATGGCCGTCTCCGGCCAGCGACATCCTTTCCTCGCTAGATGGAAAGTAGGCGTCAATAAAGACGGCAAGCTTCAAGCCCTCGACATGGATATTTTCAACAACGCCGGGTGGACCTGCGACTTGAGCGCCGCAGTATGCGAACGCGCCATGAGCCATAGCGATAACTGCTACAAGATCCCAAACTTCCACGTGCGCGGTCGGTTATGCAAGACCAATACCATGTCGAATACGGCTTTCCGTGGCTTTGGCGGGCCCCAGGGCATGTTCTTCGCCGAGTCGTACATGTCCGAAGTCGCCGATCGCCTAGGTATACCCGTCGAAGAGTTCCGCGAGATAAATTTCTACCAGCTTCACGACGAAACCCACTTCAACCAACCTATCCAAGATTGGCACGTCCCCCTGATGTATAAGCAAGTGCAGGAGGAGTCGGATTACGCTGCTCGCCGCCAGGCCGTAGCGAAATTCAACGCAGAGCACAAATGGCGCAAGCGAGGGATGGCACTAATTCCCACCAAATTTGGTATCTCGTTCACCGCCCTCTGGCTCAACCAAGCCGGGGCACTGGTGCACATCTACCACGACGGGTCGGTTCTGGTTGCACACGGTGGTACAGAGATGGGTCAGGGCTTGCATACCAAGATGATCACAATCGCCGCCCAGGCGCTCCAGGTGCCGATGGAAGACGTTCATATCTCGGAAACGGGCACCAATACCGTGGCTAACACATCTGCTACGGCCGCCTCGGCGTCATCTGACCTCAACGGCTATGCCATCTGGAATGCCTGCGAGCAGATCAACGCCCGCCTCGCGCCGTATAAGGAGAAGCTCGGGCCCGGGGCTACCATGAAAGAGCTCGCCCACGCGGCTTACTTCGACCGCGTGAACCTAAGTGCGAATGGATTCTACAGGACACCGGAGATCGGGTACACTTGGGGCGAGAACGTTGGCAAGATGTTCTTTTATTTTACGCAGGGCGTCACGGCTGCCGAAGTTGAGATTGACAGTCTCACTGGGACTTGGACGTGCCTGCGCGCCGATATCAAGATGGACGTCGGGCGGTCGATCAACCCGTCGATCGACTACGGACAAATCGAAGGCGCTTTTACTCAGGGTCTAGGCCTGTTTACCATGGAGGAGAGCTTATGGTTGCGCAACGGCCCGATGGCCGGTAACCTGTTCACAAAAGGGCCTGGCGCATACAAGATCCCCGGGTTCCGCGACATACCACAAGTATTCAACGTGAGCTTACTTAAGGGGGTAACGTGGGAGAACCTACGGACGATACAGCGCAGCAGAGGCGTCGGCGAACCGCCACTGTTCATGGGTAGCTCTGTGTTCTTTGCCATCCGCGACGCGCTCAAAGCCGCGCGTGCGGATTACGGAGTCAAGGCTAAACTCTTCGCCCAAGGAGGCGAGGATGACGGGTTATTAAGGCTAGAAAGCCCGGCGACCCCCGAGAGGATCAGACTCTCGTGCGTCGACCCCATTATGGAGCGTACTAGGGTTCTACCTAAGGAGGGCGAGAAAAGCTTCTTCGTTGCTATTTAAAGGCGTGTAGGGCCCGGCTTCGTGTACCATAGCAGTCGGGCATGTACGGAGGAAGCACCATCCAACTTGAGGGGAAATCAGGTCGGTCATATGAAGTTTTCGGCGTTAATCAGTGTTGATTGCCACGAAATTGAAGTCATGGGACCACAAAAGATTGAAAGACCCTTTCCGCAGCAACCATGCCAATGATCTGTCACAGCAGTTTATTCACGAACAGCTGGGATGAGTGTTTTATATCTACCTATGAATACTAGGCGAGTATGGAACTCCGTTAGAAATATCACGGGATGTGACGATACATCAACCGACGACGACACCTGAAATGCCGACTGACATTCCAAAGTATGGCTAATAGAAGGAAGTAGAAGGCCCCTGCTCAATTATCTTCGAAGAATCTCGTAGTGTGTATCAGGCTCTTTCCATAGACGGCAGGCCAACAGCACTGGGAACGAGCCACCCGACCTAGCAATGCCGTCTTCTCCCGGAGCGTCTGCTCCTGACACGCTAGCCCCTATTTCCAGCCAACGTTAAGCCCCTCTACTACACCCAGAGAGAAGAAAAAGGAATGGGGGGGGGGGGGGGTGGGTGTGAGAGAACCAGGCGACGGGAACCCAACTCGCACTCCACGCACCCGCTGGAACAAGCCACGCAAACACCCATCCCACCAGCGCAGGCGTCCCGCGGGACCCTACCCGCCGCCCACCATGCGGGCAACCACGTCCTCGACCCGGGTCGGCACCCTCCCGACGCTGGCGAGCAGCCGCTCGAGCGTCGGGTCGTCGACGAGGCACTCGCCGGCGGCGAGGGCGGCGTAGGTGGAGGCCCACCAGCGGACGGCGGGGCGGGGCATGCCGCGGTCCTCGACGTAGTGGCGCTCGTGCTCGGCGGCGCCGACGAGCTGGACGTGGACGGGGGGGCCGGCGCGGGCGGCGGTCACGAGGGCGGCGACGTCGGCGACGCTCTTGGCGGCGGCCGGCCGCGTCGCGAGGTAGACGGTGCGCAGGCGGCCGTCTTCGCCGTCGTCGGCCGCGAGCAGCAGCGCCGTCGCCAGCCCCAGGTCCGCGATCGCCGTCCAGCACGCCCTGCCGTCGGCCGCGAGCCGCACCGTCCCGCGCTCGTCCGCGCCGACCTGGAAGTACCCCAGGTACAGCGGCCACGACTCCGCGTACAGCCCCTCGCGGATCGCCGTCGCGCGGCGCAGCCCCCCGCGCCCCGCCGCCGCCACCGCCGCCGCGAGGTACCGCTCCGTGCGCAGGTGCGCGCGCATGACGCCGGCGCGGCTCGCGCTCCCCGGTCCTTCGCCCCCGCCCTCGCCGCCGGCGCCCCACGCGAACGCCAGGCTCGAGTAATACACGTGGCGCACGCCGGCGCGGGCCGCGGCGTCGATGGCGAGGCGGTGGTGGGCCTCGCGGCCCTCGCCGTCGGGCGGCTCGGCCCACGCGTCTGCGTCCGCGGCGCCGCCGTCTTCTGCCGCCGCTGTTGCCGTCGGCCGCTCGTAGTCCAGCGCGACGTGCGGCGTCGACACGAGGAAGAAGACGTCGGCGCCGGCGAGCGCCGCCGCGAACGCCGCCGCGTCCCCCGCGAAGCTCGCGTGGCGCACCCGCACGCCGCGCGCCGCCAGCCGCTCCCACGTCGCCGTCCCCGGCCCCGCCGACGTCAGCGCGATCACGTCCCCCGCGCCCGCCAGCCCGCGCCCCAGCAGCGCGTCGAGCGTCGCGCTCCCCAGCTTGCCCGAGGCGCCCGATATGGCGATCGTCGGCATCGGCGCGGAGGGGGGGGGCAGGTGGGGAGAGGGGAGAGGGGGAGTGCCCTTGGCTGGTAAGAGGGATGAGGAAAAGGAGGCAAGCAGGAAGTTGGGGGGAGATGTCCTGAGTGTGCTCTCGGGGTAGGGCACTTTCACGGCGGGGCCCGGTTACTAGAAACGTAGGTGTAAAAGGGAATGTGTTGAGAGGAAAGGAGAGGCGCCCTTGGCGCTCTTGGACGCTAATACTCCTGGTTGTGTTCGTGAGTAGCGGGTTTAAAGAGGGGAAATGTAAGAAAGGGGAGCAAGAGAGGGGGATAAGTTTGGGTTATTTCATTTCAGTTGCGGATTGATAATATCCAGAGATACATTGGGTAAGTATATGTCTATACGGCAATGACAAATAATGCCGTTGTAAGTAATAAACCTACCACAAGTCCGACGGACCCTTGTGCCGATGTCGAATCGTCACCAAGCCGGAGGGGTTACATCGGGAATACGGCACTTATTCCCTCCCAGCCTCATTAAACGAATCCAAGATGGGCGTCATTTAATAATACTGGTAGTAGTAGTAGTAGTAGATATTATATCTCGTTCCTCCTCTTGCAGGCCGAGGTCTATATGCCCATGGTTGATTATAGTAGTTAGCTTCAGGACTCTTTCGTAATATGAGCTGACGAGTAGACATCCGTTTAATACTTTAGGATCGATATGATTTATTTGTTCAAGTGGTCCGGAGAAACCCCAGACCTAGAGCGGATTTTAATCCCCTCAGGCATACTCTCTACTTTGAGAAAGTGTTCACCATGTTGACCCGCAACGAATAAATGCGTCAGGAATCCCACCGGAGATTGACCTGTCTCTTTTGGAGCTCTCGTTCCAAATCGCCGCCGTCCTGATGGTAATGCGCCAGCGTGAGGGCATGGCCAATCCACTGTTTACTGAGCTCATCTTCGTTGACCCCGAAGAGGTCGACGCCGTGATTGAATGCCGTCGTCGCAAACCACTCAACCTCCTGAAATGAGATAGGTTTCTGACTCTACATGTCTGTTCAGCACCTGTCTCCCGTCGTACTCCTGGGACGCAACTTACGCCTGCGCACTGCTTCACTAGCCTACAGATATCATCTGCAATTCTTAGCGGAAATTCGGGCTCCGAAGCCAGTGTGGCCTTGAGTAGACATCGCAGATACTTTGCGAGTTTCTCGTTGTCAAATCGCTCCAGCGAAAATATGTGGTTTATGATCTTGCGTAGAGCACTGTAAAGGACTACAGTCCGATCAGCGGCTGCAAAAGGAGTCGACCACCAGAATAATCATACCTTGTCCGGGCGCAGATTGGGCTCGAAGGATACAATCTGCCATTGCTTGGAATGCCGATAGATCGCAACAAGTTTTGGCTTTCAATAGGACCTCTGACAAGTCACCCTACGACTTAAGGCAGATAGCCCCCTCGAAATCGAATACTAACAGGGTCGAAAGCTTGCTTTGCAAGTCACTCTTCGACACTGTATCCAGAGTATCGAGTCGTGCCTGCAGCTCCGCATCAAATCCTTTAACGTGACTACGCATCGTGAGATAATCCTGGAGTTGTTTTTCAACATTGTCTTCGGAACGTGCTGAGGCGATGTATTCTGATGCTATAAGAAAATGGCAGAACATTGAGCGCAGCGATAGATCTTGGGCCACTTGCGTAGGAACATCCGGGGGGTATTGAGCCGTTATCGAAAGGCAGCATTGGAAGATGCGGGCGCTTTGCCTTAACTGCCAGCTGTGTATATTCTTCAACCCGAGATTATATGCATTCTTGCAGAACCAATCCAGTTCTTCTACAGTGAATAGCTTAGCGCCCTGGCTGTCGCGAGGATCCCTCTGGATCGCGGCGTAGACTAGGCAATTTAGTCATGAGCTCGACTCCGTGTAAAATTGTCTGGGTATATCTACCCGACATACCTAGAAAGGGGAGGAAAGAAAATAGGAGAACGCGGGATCTCACCATCTTCGAAGATTTTGCAAATGTCATCCACCAGCACATGTTGATTTAGATCATTCCGGCCCTGGTCGTTTAGCAGCGAGGCCTCGAGGCGTATGATAACCCGGAGCAGAGCAGGTAGGTAAACGGGGCCAGGAGAACTGTATTCGTATTTCTCGACTAAATGCCGCATTGCTTGGATCGCGCATGCTTTGTCCTCAGCTTCCTGTGCATCTATGCAGCAGGCATAGAGGTATTGCAGGTCCTTCGGCGAGCCTTCGTTGATAAGCCGCAGGCACTCCAAGGCCATGTCCCGATCTCCACTCCTGAGGGCCAGTTTATACGTCAGGTACAAAGTCGTCGGCTCTCGCTTGGCTGATTCGCTCATTGATTGGAGCACCTCTGCAGCATTATCGAGGCTGTTCCTCTGCAGGGCGCAGAGGAGTAGTTTTCTAGCCATGTCAGCTAGTGCAGCGGGATATATCACATATAGAAGCGCATCCCTACCTGGCGATCTTCGCCGCATTGGCGGGCCCAGAATTGCGAAGAGCTGGATGCGTAGCCACTCGGCACCAACCTTCGGCGATATCCAGCTGCCCTTCATGAAAGGAGGTGTCGACCCTCTTCCATATAAGCTGAGCAGGTCTGTCAGCCGGTGCTCAGAAGAGATGGCAATTCGCTATGTGGCTGACTCAACTGTCTGCACGGCGAGGACGGCCGGGGCTGCTAACGGGGTTTCTAAGTTGGCCTCGAGGCAGTCAAACATAGCCGCCAGCCCTTGAATCGACTCGTGAGTATCCCGGCGTCTCGTGGCCATTTGAGTGCGAAGTACGGCAACTCGCTCGACCCACGTGTAATGTTGCGAGGGTAGGACACGCAACGTCGTAAACTCGTCGAGCACCGAACAGGCTACGCTCGGGCTTTTGCCATCAAGCTTGCGTACGTGATGTAGGACGAGGTTGAAATACGACTCTGAGATATCGAAACTTTTCACCATCCGCCGCAGGACGCCGGCATACGCTTCGCTGTCGAACGATTCAGATGGAGAGCTGAGCAGCAGTTCCAATCTGAGTAAGAGAACGACCGGCTTATTGCCGATCTCGGATTCGAGGTGACAAATGTGATTCTCGGCCTTCTCGAAGCCCTCCGGCGTATTGGTGTTTAGATAGGTGCGGACGAGCGCCTGTGAGACCGCCAGCCTCAATTCAGCAGCCTCCCTCGACAATTGCTCGAGCGCCTGGCTATCGACAGATTCGTACGCTCTCTCCAGCCATTTTGTTGCTAGGGAGAAGTCCTTCTTAGTTGCTAGATCTCGTCCAATCTCAAAGAGAGAGTCGACCAGATTCTCTGCCGAAACAGGGTCGATGGCCCGCTTGAGGTCGTTTACTTTTCCGTACAGGTGGTCCGCCACGTCGAGACGGTCCTCCTTCCAGGCCTTCGGAGGCTATTAGCTGCTAAATGGAGAACTGATGGCAGCATGCAACTTACCAGCGCTATCCGAAGCGTGAAGTACTCCGCCTCCAGCCTGGTACAGACGTCAGATTCCTCTTTCGGTAGCGTCGCTTGGAGATTCCGCAACAGCCCACTGTATTCGGCAGCTTTCTGCAGAGTCAGAAGCGCAAACTGGAGCTCGCCGTTCACTATGCAGGCGGTTAGCCGACCCTGCAGTCCCGCACCCGCTGCGGGACGAAGATGCACAATACCAATACAAGATCTGCTGGTCTTGATTGCTAATTTTTCCAAGCGGAGGAGATCCCCTGGCGTATTGTGATCGCCCCGTTGTGCTAGCGCGAGGACCAGGAAGGAGAATACCCGGGAAAAAACCAAAAGCTTTGTCCTTGTCGGCGAGGCTTCGCCTTCGCTCTGGCGGTGGATCTGGACGCACCAGTTCCAAAGATCGGTACCAGCGCTATCGAGCTGCGAGTGGCGGTACGAGCCGGGAGACTTGAGGAAGTAGGACTTGACAGCGTGGATCTTGTTCTCCAGTTCGCTGACCAGATTCTGCAGCGCCCGCTCGTCGGCCTCCCCGCGAAACTGGTCTTGCAGTTCACGACAGAAGGCTTGGAGAATCAGTACCCGTTTTTGGTAAGCGATGCGGGCGATAAGAAGGGTACGAACAAATTATAGACTTGACACGCTTGTCCCTGGAAGAAGTGGCGGCTGCATCCATGGCGGGCGAGAGGCCCTGAACTCTACCAGGGCGATACCAAGGATCGTGATCGCAATCTCGGGGCACAGCAGTATCGCAACGAGGCTTGGTGAAGGGGAGGGGGCACTCATCACGGAGAAGGGAGAAAAAGGCAGAGAGGCTTGGTGATAGTATCCATATGAAAGACGCAGAATCTACAGAGCCGGCACGAAACGGAGTGACAGCCAGAGTCGTAGTCAAAATTCCATCTAGGGAAGGCGTCCCAAGCGAAGACCACCTAACCACGTAGGCCGACCGGCACCTTCCCAACCAAGCCCAGCATCATCGACCACCATCTCTCCTTCCTAAGCTGCCTTCGTTCACACCTCCTTCCTATCGAGTCTCAGCGCCCCCCACGCCGTCCTCCGCCCGGCCGTGTTTCTCTCATTCATTCTTCATTTCTGTCTTTTTCTTCCCCTATTCTCCTTGTCGCCTCCTCGGCCCCGCAACCTCGACGACTATCCGCCTAGTCATAGAAAAGAAACTGACGCTAGACGTGGCTTCGATAGAGGCTGACTGCCACCCTTTCCCCCCCAACTCAATATCTACGAGATAAAGCTGTAATGTGTGTCTATCCTCTTCTTCTCGGGCGTGAGTGGCCAACACGACACCCCGATGGTAACGAAGGCTGGTAAGCGTGATGCAACAACTGCTGCTGTAGCGTCTAGGGCGCGAGCGAACTGCACCAACTCGAATGCTGTAATACATAGGTGGAAAATGTCAAAATGCGACCTGGTATGCCTGGTGGGTTATGCTTAAGAATGCGAAGGGTCGTGAGGAAGGAAATTGCCAACGATGAGGCTGGGTCTATTTTACATCGACATGTTATTGGTTAGCCTTTTTCCGTAGAATCCGGCGAGACACTTATCGAGCCGGCGCCGGCCCACCGTCGCCGGCCGTCCTGGGTTGCGCACTCACATCTTATGGTCATCCCTGCGTATCATAAACGAAAAGCAACAATTCACAATCGGGTGATTTGAGCGATCGTCCGGGTTCTTCAGCGCACACGCCGTCAAGAGCGTGTCGTGGGTCGCGTCGAACGCGATGGTGCCGAATTCTTCCCAGTATCGCACGAGAGACTCCTCCGTCAGGATTTCGTGCAGCGAGATTTTGCCCTACGCGCCGTTCGGATTAGTCTGCGGTTTAGCCGTGCTAAGTTGCCTAGGAAAGGGAGGGGAAAGGGGAAGGGGGGGGGACTGACGTCTCGCAGCCTCTCTACGGGTACGTGGATGAGCTCGGCCATCTCCTTGTTACCCCTGAATATCTCGCCCGTCCTTCGCCAGCAGCAAGCCGGGACCGCCATGGCCGCGAAGACCCGGTCGTACTCCAGCAGGGTCCTCTCAAACCACATCTCCACATAGACCAGCTCGATGTCTGTAAGCCCCTGCACCTTTTCTCGGAACTTGGGTCGAAAGCGATCTAGCTGCCGCAGGATCTTCTGCTTCGAGGCAGGGGCGATGTGGCCGTCCATGTACGACGAGAGTCGGGCGTAGCCCTTGATGTAGTTGAATGGCTTCAGCAAGCCGGCGTCGTACTTGGCCTTCATCACGCGCTGCATGCGTGCCTCGGGCGTGTCGTTGCCCGACGGATCCGCCGCCTGGAGGTAGAATTCACGCGTCTTATCCGCCGGGGCGGCGCTGGAGCTCGCCTGCTCCGTGCTCGGCGGAGGCATGGAGCCTGCCTGCATCGCGCTCGCGGCCAGGATGCTGCTGTTGTTGCGGCTCACGTAGCCCGCCATATCGGACTGGTTGGACTGCGGCTGGTGGTTCCTGAAGAGCAGGTTCTGGTCTTCCGATAGGCTCCCGGCGTCATCGAGGAGGCTAGTGTTCAGGAAATCATTGAGCAGGTTAAACTCGTGCGTGACTTCTGGGGCAAGCATATATTGAGGGTGGTAGTGGTGCATATCGTGGAATTGATTTTGGGCGGTTAGCCAAGCGTCAGAGAACCCACCGACTACGAGATCAGTTCAGCTTTTTCTCCAGCTAACACGACGCTCATAAGGGTTTTACAAAACCTACATTGGCTCATGTTGCTCCCGGAGGCACCGGCTTGCATACCAGAGACCGTATTCGGTGACACAAGCTGTAGGGGGTTTGTCTGGCCTAGCGCACCTGCACCATAACCTGGCTTGGCCCTCTGAGAAGCTCCGTTCCCGTCAAACGACGGTGGTGGTGCCATGCCAGCAGCGCTCTGATCTATCGAATGTTGCAATAGCTCGGGCTGGATCTCCGATTCGTCGTGCCCAGCCGAGCCACGGGAGCTCTTGGACTTCTTAAAATCCGGGTCCCGGGGCTCGTCGTGGCAGAGGTGGCCAATATTGCGCTTGATGCATCTCGTACAAGGCCTCTCCTACTCGATGGGCGATCAACCCGAGTCAACACTGCCTCATACAGACCGGGGAACGGGGGGGGAACGGGGGGAAGGGGGGCAAACACGTCCCCCAAGCCCGCCAGCCCGCCAGCCAGCAAGCCATCGACGCAAGTAGTAGGAACAGATCTTACATACGAGATCGCAAGTCATATGCTAAAGCCCCGAAAATAGTAGTTAGTATTAGCCCAGACAGCTTTGGGGAAACTCAACAATACGCACGAACGCGTACACGCGCACACGTGCATATGTACACATTCAGGTCCAGGCGCATCCGCCCGTGACGGCAGCAACTAAGGTGGCTGCAGTGCCATCTCCTGTGATTCTTTGCAGAATAAAAAGGCCGTCCCAGAAGAGGCCCATCCGCGGCGCGGATCGAGGGGGGAGAAAGGGGGGGACGGCGGGGGGTAAGGCCAGCATCTCCGCGCACGAACAATTACATACGCAGACGGGGGATGGGGGGGAGCCAATGGACTTCAGGGGGTTTGCCAGGTCTGGCGAGCAAAAAAATCACTTACAGATCGGCGACAGTATACACAAGCTGTAGGAACGCGCAACGATGATTAGCCCATGCAGCAGACGGATATGACGTTAGCAGCGGAATCGAGGTGAGGTGAGAGACTCAGTCTCAGGGGGACACGGCGCATTTCCATTGGGCAGAGGAACGGGTGGATGGGAGGGAGGAGGTGACTGGCACGGCGGGCGTACCATGGTTTACCTTGCGCCTCTTCTTAGGGCTCTTATTGGGATTCTCGGGAGGCGTGGTTGTGGTGGTAGTCGAGGCCGTAGGGGTGTTGTCCTTGGACTTTGCGTCGCCGTCGGGCTTCCTGTCCTTGGCGTGGCTGCCATTGCTTTCCATGTCTGCGTCCTACTTCAGATACCGTCGGGTCTGGAGGACAGAGGGGGCTCCCATTGGACCCTCGCGTTACGCAGTGGGCATGTAGTTCGTGGGCAATCGAGTAAGGCGTCAACGGCTTTTTGCAGGACCCGGAGTGATTTGTTCGAGTGCTTCCCGGGAGAGGAGGCTGCTGGTCGGCGACAGAGGCTAGCCGGGAAGGGCGTTGCGAGACGCAGATATGGGGGCGTTTCGTGATCGACAAAGAAGAAATCCAGCCGGTCCGATGGCTGTCGGCGTCCAGATCCACGTGGTGAACCAGAAACCCAAAGCCACGACGCAGAGCCGAGCTATGCCAATGATGGACCTCTCATCTAGACATGCATTCCTAGCGGGTTGTACCTGAGGTGTCCTGCGGTGATCGCGACAGGAGCGCAGCGATTTACGGAGGAGAGAGAGGGTTGGAATCAGAGCTGCGTTGGGCTCCTTATTTTTTCCCTTTTTTTTTCTCTTTCTTTCCCTTCGGAGAGAGGAAACCAAAATCAGATAAAATAGAAAGCAAGTTACCGGCAAATGTACCAGGTTGCGCTCGTCTCTACTAATAACCTTCCAACCTAAGCTCTTTACTGGGCCCCAACTAGGGAATGGCACGGATGGGTGGATGGACGAATGCGTGTATGTATGTACATACCTACCTGAGTAGGTATGTATTTGTATATGCTACGAAGCACCTGGGTAGGCCAGGCGGGTTAGGTTAGGTCCAAGAAACGGCTAGGGGGTGAAAGTCGTGAGGCCAGTTACCTAACGGAATAAGTGGTGACCATCGCATCTGCGCAGCTGGCCACTGCCGATAGCTGCGTAGGTATGTACATCGCCTTCGTCTTATACTACTCCAATGCGTGCGTCGTTAGGCGCATCGAACGCCGCCCGTTTTCGCCTCTTCGCCTTTCTGCTTCTTGGTTCTCTGTCTTTCTCTCTCTCTACCGCGTGGGAGTCCTCCCCTTCTGGTTCTCCCGTCGAGTACGGAGAGAGGAATGGATGAGCGGCATAGATGCCTGTTGATTCGGGGAAACACGCTCAGACGCAAGATCCTCTGCCAATGGCGAGCATCAGAGACCAAGTGCCCTGGACCCAACTCGACCCCGAGATCCAGTAGGATCGAGCCGTTAGAGCCGAGGAGTTCCCATGGTGGGTTTTTTTTTTTTCTTTCTTTCCTAACCGTCCAGGCCGCCGGTCCTGTCCACACACACACCCCCCTTCCCTCTCCACATACATAGGTACGTTAGTAGAGGTTGTGTACTACCTCACAATGTACCACCGTATACATACCTATAGTATACAGCCGTGATGTCCGCAGACGGGTCCCTGAATCCGGTACCTTATACGTACATATAGCGCAGACCAGGCTGCAGACATCTACCATCTCTCGTTCGAGTGTTGCGATCCTTGACGTTTAGGTACCTGATGTGTACTCTCTAGGTGGCTAGGTGCCTAATGTATGTGGTAGTGTGCTCTCTAGCCTCACCTGGGGAAATCGCCCAGCGAGTGTTGTCTACAGGAAGGTAGGTACCTACCCAGGTATGTATCTACCTAATCCTACATATATAAGTTCATGGAACCTAACCCTCTAGCTACACGTACCGCACCTACCACCGCATTAGGTACATGCATTCTACCCATCTACATAGGTATACACACGTACCTACTTAGAGATGAGTTGGGTGCGTTTCACTACAAGGAAGGTTACGTACCTCATACCCACATATAGTAGGCACCTACCTGGTACCCTAAGAGACGGAGGTGCAAAGGAGGTACATACTCATAGGTACCTTACAGACGGAACCGGAAGTACGGTAGGTAAGGCAGGTGAGGCAGGTACCTCCTATCTGGACATGCCACATTCATGGGATGGAATCCGTATCTGTTATCATTCATACTTTGTCGCATCATAGCTGCCATCTAGCCGTAATCTCGAATTTGTCACGTTGATTCCCAGGTACCTGGCTGGTGACGTCGTCATCGTCCTTGATTACCTGCCCTCTATATGTACACAATCTACGTATGCTGTCAGCATCACTTGACTGCCCAGCTTTTTCTTTTTCTTTTCTCCCTCTCTCTCTATCCCTCTCCCTCTCTCCTCTACGCCCTCTCTTGTCTTCCCGACTTACTCTTCATATGGAATCCGCTGCATTGGAACGGCTAAAGAAGGCCCACTCGTTATCGTCATCGTATCCGACAGTGTTTATCGTCATACTCATCACACTTATCGTGTTCGTCGTAGCCAGTCACACCGACTATGCATACACCATCCCCAATCAACCCCATCGTGACGTTGCACATATGCCAAGGGCCTCTCGGGCGTGACAAGTGACAAGCCAAGCCCTCGCGCACTACCTGACGAACTTGGCTCGCAGCGACGTCTCCCATTGTTGGCTGGTGAAAATAAATGACCACGAACTCGCGAGTTTCATTGCCAAGCCTGCTTTCCAGACCACCGGGTGGCCTAAATCTGCAAAACATATGCATCCGGCGTCGACAATCCTCTCAGCCAGGCCAAGGATGGCATTCTGGCAGGCGCACGAGAGAGCTGGAGGGCCATCTGCATCTGCTGCTACCGTTGCTGCTGCTGCTGCTGCTAACTGGCACTGCGCGTGTGGGAGCGGGCGTTTGTCTCCCTGGCAGGAGTCGATCCGTCTTCAGTATGAGACATATGAGGACGGTGTAATGTGAAAACCCGTGCTGGGACAACGCCACGTTGGAGATTGGCCGCGTTAATCTGACATACAAATATCACCTCACGGCTAACTACCTTCTCTCGAGGCTGCTCACGCGTGCTGCGTGGCACGAATACCTTTACATACCCGGATCACCCGTCTCTCGGCCAAACGCCTGTACCGCAGACCGTGTAAGCATGCCGAGGTGTGGAGCGCTGGGTCACCGCGAACATTCTTCGAGTTATCACCTACCCACCTACCTACCTATCATGGACCTGGCGCCAGCAACCGGCTCCCTAGGTGGAGTTGTACGGTGGTAGGAGGCAATTCACGATGGATATCACGCCCCGCACTCAAACATCCAGTAGGTACGTGATGCATCTGCCGGTGCCATCGACTCGCTGCTTAATTATCTCCGGCTATAACCTGACGCGACTCCTCGGTTCCTTCAGAGTAGACCACGGGACTCGAGTTGCACTAGACGATCGAGGATACCGCCCAGGTACCGATCCGCTGCCATACACAAGCACGTGATGGACCCCCGACTCTCGCTCGGATTCGTCACCGAAGATCGATCCCCCCCCTCTCGACCTCGCCAGCGTCTACCCCAAATAGAAGCCGAAGTCTGTTTCCATCTACAATATCGCTTCATCGGGTAGGGGACCATTCACTCTTTGGATAGAGCGGTTTATTTTCTAGACAGTTGAACACGATTAATACCGACCATGTAGGTGGCACCTATCATCATGTCCACCATCCCTGTTTGTCTCTGCCCTCCGTCCGATCTATTCGTTATACTGAGGCTTGATGGCTTAGCTACCGGCTTCATGATAGGTTATCGAGGCGTCAGAAAAAGCCTCCCTCTCCCTTTAGCGTCGGATGCAGGATCTTGATAGACCTCGACAGCCCGGTCTCCGCTCACTCCGCCCCTTGGCATTTGTTCCCACATCCTACCAACCCAAATATAGCCCATGCTCCTCTCCTCGATGGCGGCGTGTTTGCAACGGTGAGTGGACGACGGCTTGGAAATAGACTCGTCCACGGCGATGCAATCCCTCTTTAGTCAAGAGCTACCAGTGTTTTTGACCTGACAACCGACATGTACATTCTAATCATCTTAGACGCATGATATCCCTAGCCTATCGCATGGCACGCCCCGAGTTACATTGTTGCCATTGGCCGTCAGAACGCCGGCGGCTTACCGGGCATGAACAAAGGAGCATCTCAGTGCCTGATACTTGGTCTCATTTGACGCTGACCCGGTTATGGTTCTTCATCGCTTGACAATGACTTTTACCCTTCACCCGTCTCCTGTCACCGCCTCACCGTGCGTTTGCAGTCCCTCCTTCCTCTCGGCGACCTGATTGGGTCGTTTCGACGACTGTTCGGGTCCTCAGTATTCGTAAGCGAAAGCAAGCCCATCTGATTTTCGTCGTTGCTGGGTATCAGATGCGGGATTACTGCTACCAATACGACATTGATCAACGACGACAAGACCCCATCGATAGGTGGCAGGCAGCCCACGGTTTTCTTTGCGTAGTCGTGCTCGGCGACCACTCTTGTCGGGCAAGAGAGCCGATCCGACATATTCCCAACCGACAGTCGTCAACCACGAGTAGACGCATGAATGCGGACCCCCAGGATCGTCGTATCAAAGCCCGCAAGGCTGCCCAACTCGCCAACAAGGCAACCGAAGTCTGTACGATCAACTTCCTCCTCACGAGATAAGCGGCATATGTTGCAAGCGTCGCCAGCTAATGGCAGATGGACGTTGCAGCTGGAGGGATCTCCGTGACGTCAGCTCCGTCCGTCGGCCAGGTCTATTGTCTAAGGCCTTCGCCCCCTATTTCCGCATTAGTGGTAGCTGAGGTTGGGCGTTATTCGTGAGGAGAGATATTGAGTGGCTTAAATTAACGCACCTCTTCACACGCATATATGAATGCATCGTATATAGGCTGGTTGGTAACGAGCATCAGGCCTCTTGCGAACTTTGGGAGTCTTTCGGGCTCTGAAGGAGGCGATAAGACGTAAGATACTGGGACGAGCAAGCATCCACCCATACAACATGCATGGGTTGTGTTGGTGGAACTAATACGAATCGGTGATAAACCATCGATTCCCGCCTGTCCCCCCCTTGTTTTAGCCTAATGGGGAGGATCCAGCTTTCACCCTCGGGAATAGCGACAGCAAACAGAAGCAAGCGGTGGGTGTTATATGTAAGGTACCGGTATTCCGTGATTGGCCAATTCTTCTTCGAGGGCGCATATAGGCGTAACGAGGGAAACGCCTATTACACATATATACCGTTCTTTTCTTTTTCTTTTCTTTTTTTCTTGTGTCTGTTGGGATCTCTTTCTTTGGCGAAATCGATGACAGCACGCCTTTTTCGACGCATCGTGGTAGTATACGCGCCAGGGGAAGCTCGAATACGGGGTTACGCGTGTATGTACACAGCTGTGAGTAAGACGTTCACCGAGCCGTTTTTTACAGCTGGACCGCCTGGTGCCCCCATACGAGGTATCTGTCGACTCATACGGACGAGCCCCAGCCATTGTAATTTTTTTTCCCTGGTCATTTTTTTGGCCGTCGTTGTCAATTTCCTTTCCCTTCCCTCTCCTGCAGCGCGTGGAATTGGGCGGCCAGGTGGCGTAGGCAGGCAAAGCGACAGGTCGGCCGATCTGATGAAATTAATTAAATCGGAGCGGGCGGGCGAGATACACATATCGTGTAACCGCCGCCACCAAGCCCTATTATGGGATTATGGAGAGAGAGAGGGGAAGGGGGATGGGGGGAGAAGGGGGGGAAGAGACGATAAGCAGTGGCCAGGAACAGGAGAAACGGAAAAATAACATCTAAGACATGGGTCGTGTCGGCCGCATCATATCATTCTTGCAGAAGAAAACTAGGGCTAAGGGTACCGTGGGTAGGGACAGGACCCCGTTGCACGTCGATTCTTCTCACTCTTACAAGGCGGAATTGGAGCAGGCAAGCAAGCCAGTAAGCAAAGCTGGCAAACACGCGGTAACGTGCGGTGCGGCCCGTCTTACGCCTCCTTTTCTCTCTCTGTATACGCACCAGAGGACAACCGATACGCGTCCCCTTCCTCTCCACCCCTTACTCTCAACTCCCGTCCTCGCTCACTATCTACTCTCCGTCCACACACACGCACGCACGCACTCACACACACACACACACACACACACACACACGCACACATACACACACACACGTACACTCCCCTTCTCTCTCTTTCTCTATTTGACCTTACCCATGATGGTCTCAGGCCCGCGGACGACGTCCATCTGGGCGGCGCGGGCCTTGACGGCGTTGAGCATGCTACGCTCGAAGTCGTCGCGCGAGCGGAGCACGGCCTCGACCCAGGTGATCTGGAGGTCCCAGTAGCGCGTCTTGAACTCCTGGAAGACGTCGGGCACCTCGTCCTTGCCGGCCGTCAGCAGCTGCAGGAAGGACTCGGTCACGCGCCAGGTCTGGGTGATGTCGTTGCCCAGGTCCGCGTTCGGCAGGCTGCGGAAGAACTCGAACGCGGTCGAGACGTCGTTGAAGATCTTGTCCTGGAACGGCTCCGCCCGCCGGAACTTGGCCCCCTTGTTGCGCACCCCCATCAGGTACTGCACCAGCAGCTCGTCCGCGAAGATCTCGATGAACACGTCCACCAGCGAGTGGTGCAGCACCTGCTGGTAGTCCCCGACGTACTCCTCCAGCGTCGCCACCATCTGCCGCATCGCCGTCGTCTCGTACCACCGCGGCGTGAAGAAGGTCGGCATCACCGCCCCGAAGTCCACCGCGATCACCAGCTTGGCGAACTTGCTGAGGCACCACGTGCTCAGGTCCACGTAGCTGTCGCGGAGCAGGCTGATCTCCATCTCGGCCCGCTCCATGTACTGCGGCGTCACGATCGGCTCAAACTTCTGCTTGAAGCTCGACAGGTACGCGAGCCGGCCGTCCTCCTCGTTGTCGTCGATGCAGGCCATCTGGTCGTTGGCCGTGGCGATGAGCCAGTCCTGCAGCGCCTGGAAGCCCTCGAGCTCCGCCGTCTTGTCCGCCTCGTACTTCTCCCCCTCCTCCTCGAGCATCTTCTGGAAGGACTGCTGCCGCCCGCGCAGCCGCAGAAACATGGCGTCGATGACGCCTTCCGCGACGTCGGTCCTCTGCGAGTTGGCCGCGACGTCGACCTGCTCGCGCAGCATGCGCCACATGTCGACCAGGTTCTTGGTGCGGAAGTAGCCATACTCGTCCGTGTCCAGATTCGAGCCCTCGACGTTCCGGTCCGCGAAGTCGCGCCGTTCCTGCGCGAAGATCCTCTCGATCCACTGGTCGAGGAACTTGATGATGAGCTGGCGGAAGTCCTTGACCAGCTCCTGCTCCCGGTTGTCGAGGACGTGAGGTTTCAGGTCGCTCTCCGAGAAGCCTAGCTTCCTCATCTTCTTGTAGTACTTCTCCGGCCAATTGATGATCTCGAGCGTGTTCGCCGAGCTCGACTCCGGATCCTCGATCATGCTGATGAGAAAGTCGTGCATCTGCTGGTGATATATGTCCCCGTACGTCTTGAGAATCTTCCACTTCTTGGGCATCAGCGACACCATGCCTTGCTTAACAGCATTCAAATCGTTAAAAAACCACTTCATCATATCGGCCAACTTCGTAGGGTCCGCTAAGAACTCCTCCCTGACTTCGGCGAATTGCCCTTCGCAATTGACGGCGACCGCTTTTAGAAACTTCTCCTTGTATCCCCTAACCTTCTTTGCACCGTCCGTGATGCTCTGGAAGCGCGTCGCCATTTCTTTGTGATCCTTCAGCGCTTCCTGTAGGGCCTCGACCCTCTGGTCACTCTTCTCCTCGGCTTCCACGATGATGGCGAGGCGCACGACCAGGCTATTGTTATCGGCGATGAGGAGGTTGATCATGTTAAGCGCTATGAGACCGACGTGCTCGTCGAACCAATCTATCGCCTCGTCCAGCCGCGAGAAGTAGTCCTCCAACGTAGACTGTAGGCTCCGGTCCTCGGCTCGCTGTATCTGCTCCATCGCATCGTCTCGGATGTTCCGTAGTTGCGTCAGCTCGTAGTGGACGCCCAGGAGATTCGGCATGTTCTCCTTGTCCTGCTCGTCCTCCTTCAACATGCCCTCGACCCTATTAAGCCGGTCGTTGAATTTCTGAAGGTTGTCCACCATGGCCTCGACGGCGCCGAAATTCCTATGCGCCTGCGACACCAGGTTGATGCTGGCGAAGTCCTTGATCATGTTCTGCGACTCGGAGCAGAGGGTATCGATCTTCATCATCTCGTCCCGAATGGCGAGCAGTATCTTCTGGCCGTCGGCAATGCCGTTCATGCCGGCCTGTGTCGTCTCCAGCTGCTCGCGCAGGCCGCCCCGTAGCTGCGAGTCGACGGCGGCTTTCTTGCGCGTGAATTCCAGCTTCAGCGCGGGGATCTTGTCGAGATCATCTGGGTGTCGGAGCAGCTCCGAGAGCTTGACCGGGGGCGCGTCCATGGCGAAGTTGACGGAGGCACCCACGGCGACCGTCACGCGGTTGTCGTGCCCAACTTCAGACCATCACGCAGGTTGTTCGTCGCTTGTCTTTCCGAGCGTGTGCGGGTGTTCGAATGCTAAAGTGTCGGCGATGGCTTTCGAGAGCCTAGGAGGGAATGGATGCATTCATCTGATGTGGCTTCGAGGCTGTATTGAGTAATGGAAATGGGGAGGTACCTCCTGTAAGCTGGGAGAGTACCGCAGGCATTATCTTGCGTACCTCCTAACGATCTCCTATCTATCTTACATAACCACCCTAAGACCGAGGCTTATATAAGGCCCCGTTACGAAGGTATGCACATCGGATAACTACATACGCACGTCTTGGGTCGCATCGCTCCTCCACCCGCGGACTTCTCCCCGTTCCCTTCCATCCCCCCTTCATCCTTCAGCAAATAAGGAAACCCGTCACATGCCATGATCTTCGTTGCATTGCCGAGGGGTAACCGTTTTACGGATTTGGACAACCTTTTTTTCGACGACAGCATAGTTACCCAGTGCATTGCATTACCTCCCCGACGTGATCTTGACTTATTCTCGCCCCGGGACACTATCCATAGGATCTACTGCCAAGAGACTCCGCTGGCTATCTCTTTCAGCAGTGCTCTGTGACTCACTCCCGGAGTGCCAATGCCAGATATATATGCCAAACGATTATCATTGGATGGCTCCTTCACATATATACCTAGGTAAGTAAATAGATAAGACAGACAGGTATGGACTTAATCGCTACAGCACTCCTGAGGAAGTTCATAAGGTCCTCTCGTGGTAGGTTTAGATGGGCGTGCCTCAATGGGCAGAGCATATATCGACTACATATCGATACTGCTTTCTCGTATAATATTACCCCAACTACATACCAGATGGGTGAGTTAACTATGTTGTTAACATGTTGCTCGTTCATATAGGGTTGCCCCTTTCGCCGAGCCTATATAGAGAGGCGCTTCTAGAATAATATGTCCAGCGATATGTACAATCCGGGAGGCACCAGGCTCCTTATTAACGTCGATCCGTATGCACTCAGGTCGTGCCGTCTATTTCTGTTTTGTTCCTTGGTATTAATGCCATCCGTTGCTACCCACGGGTAACGGAACTTGGAGGCTTGGATCACATCAGGGGTATCACTTTTTCCGGTAGAGCCTCCCAACTTGTTTTCTCTTTTTTTCTTTCCTTTTTTCGTTTGCAAGATCTCCGTAATCATTATGGTTATCAAGAAAGCGTTGTCTATTTCGACCGCCGCAGCCAGCCAAGGTCTTCAGAGTTTTCCGTGGTCGGGGACGCGCGGGCTGGCCTCTCGTTAGGTACTATTCCTCGGCTCGACGTTGTGCTGTGAGGATGCGTCGGTGAACGTCGTCGCGCTCTCTGCCTGGGATTCGACGTGGTGTTGTAACTCGGTTGTGACCATGATAACGCCGTTCTGATCGCTCTTGTGCGGGAATATCTCGTCCTGGCTGCCGTTCTCGCTAAGCGCATCCATGGGCACAGCCGTGGCGCGGCTCGTCATGCCGAACCCCGTCCCCCTGATCTGGTTCTTTGTCTTCTGTGATTGTATGTACTCCTTCCGCCCACGGTTCTGTAGCGGTATCGACGTATTCTTACCCCCGGAGTGGCCGTAATAGGTCTTGGAGCCTCCGCCGGAAGACAAGCCGAGGGCGCTGTTGAGGCCGGGGATCTTCGCCGCAACCTGCCTAAGCGAGGGGATGCAAGAACATATGATGAGGGCGCAGATTTCGGTCATCGACCAAATCAGGGGATCCGCGAGCTCGTCTGTTGCGTGTGAGCAGGAGCCAACAACATTAAGGGGCTGTCGTCGAGCCACTCACATGTATCATTAGAACCTATCGCTGTAACGTATACGATGCGTATCACTGCGATTGCTGTTACTCTGTCGCGGTGGTTAAGCGGGAGGTTGCAAACGTTCGGCCCTCTAGGTACTTACAGTAAACCCAACGAGAGCATAGCAATTAGGCCAAGCCTCTTGACCAACGGTAGCTGAAGCTTCCACGTGGAGGGTATCGGTTCGAGGAATAATATAAGATCGCTAATCATATTGAAGACGAACTAGGCGAGCAGGAGAGGTTTCTTAGCACTTATATGCAGTCGAGTTGGGAAAAGATCACTCACGGTGGAATACCAAAGCGGGTGTAAGTCAAGACAGGTACCTTCCATTCTGAAGTTCCAGGACTTTTCTATGGGGATGCATTTGAATAGGGTCACGAATGTCTCTTCGATAGACTGGCATAGGAGGAACCCGATGAGTATCTTATTGACGATTCGGAAGCTGCCTTCGGGAAATATCCTCAAGTAGAGTACCGCGAAGGATGCTTTCGCGATCTGCACCCCCCAGCTGTACGTGACCGAGCTGGCTATTTGGAGCTGGAAAGGGTCAGATCGGATGAAGCGTTGGGAGCGCGAGTGGGCGTCGTACCTTGAGATAGATGTCATAGTCCTCGTCGCCAACTAGGTGGCGGTCCACTCCTAGTCCAAACCTCGTAGCTTTGATCCGGTCAGCCTGGGAAGCCTTTACGCAAGAAGATCTCCCATACGTACCAACCATCACGCAGGTGCACATCGCCACCGAAAACACCTAGAGTGGTCAGTTGTCGTATTGTATCTGTGCCTGGGGAGTGTGCCATACAAAGCCAACGAGGATGAGGACTGCCAGAAGGTGGTAAGCAAATGTCTATCAACCAGGTTTTTACGGTTGTGGGGGATGAACAAACCATCATCCCATCCCATGGTCTTGTGCAGCCATCGCGCGGCCACTCGAGAGCTAATGGCAACTCCGGTTGTCGAGACCAACACCGCACCGGCGGTGAGAACAGCATGTCCCTTTGAGCTCATCGCACTCGTTGTCAGTTATTAGCGTGGGCCGTCAGGGGCGAGAAACGCATGTCAGCGTTCTCGACCCGTGATTTTGGGTCGACGCTGTGGGTGTTTTTGGCTGGCTTGTAATATTATCGGATCGGAAACACTCAGGTGGAGAGGTCGTAAAGCAATTTGAATCGTCTCTTGTCGAACTATATAAAATCTCTACTGTACATGAGGGGAGTCAAAGACATGGGGGGGTGGACGGGGTGGATAGGGTCGGTAGTCGAAGGGTTACAAATAGGTCTATACGTTCTCAAGGCGTGGTAGGTATCACCCGGACTTCTCTCCGGCTCTCTGTGCACGATGAAAAGACATTTCCCTCCTAACAAGCGGCGACACGCCTGTTCGAGGCAAATGGGCATGAACACATGGATACAGGGTGATAGAGAAAGTGGGCTACCATCAGTAGAACTTAGGCTAGCTAAATAGGGTCCCCAGACAGAACAACACGGTCTAGCCCTCGCGCGTTGATCAGGGGAAGTCTATCGGTACCACTACAGATGTGGTCTAGTAGTTTTGGAAGCCCGGCAACGGACATTAGGGCTGGCCGGTGGATGGGTATGCCCGAACCAGTACGACGTTCTAAATTAGTTTAATTCCCTGGGTGTTGATAAACCTCCCGGGGGTCGAGAAGGCTCTGACCAAGTATGTGAACCCTAGACAGAGTATTCTTATTAAGGGCCGACTTTGGAAGCCGTATAAATAACACAGCTTTACTGACGGAACAGTCATGACAGCTTAGAACGTTGTGCTGAATTCTGTATTCATTCCTATACCTATACCTAAGTTGGGTTACGAGGAGAGAGAAGAATAAGATGGGGAAAAGAAGCCCTCGGTTCGGCCTCTAGCGTCTGTTCTCTCTCCCGGCTTGTTACCCTTTGCAGTCCCATTTCCGCGGTGACTGATGACACCGGATCACGCTGTGCGTTTCTTCTGGGAATACCTTGCGAATGCGGCGTACATAACAGTTCGAAAACACCAGCAGACCGGGTTTGCGGTCGAGTATGAAGCTAGCGAGCCAGGGGAGTGCCGGGGAAGTTGTTAGTAGCGCGCTAGGTTCTTGGAAACCTGGTTGAAATCCTCACCGGCTAACTGATGATCCGGGGTGGAGGAGATTATGGGAAACGCTATCCTACGCCTAGCCAGTCTCAGAGCCGGTTCTGTCATCAATATCAGGGGTGACTGGCACTCAAAAGACACCCCCTACGCCTCTTACTTTGTGGTAGCAGTGAGGGTTTCGACTAGTATCCTTATACTACGTACCTAGTACCTCTGTCTTCTCTTCTACTCTTTTGCGTAGCCCTAACTCAGTCCCCCTTGCTCTCGCGCAGCACTCATACCGATCCCGAGTGGATATGCCATGCATGTCATAGAAATAGCCGTATAACGAATGTTACTATACCCGAGAAACAAAGAGGAAATTGGGGCTTGGTGTAGCCCACAGCTAAGGGGAATCGGTTTCATAAAATAAACAAATCCCAGTTGTACGAACTACATCGGGAGTTGTGAGTCAAGTGTCGGCTCGAATCTCATATCGGAGGGCGACGTGTTCTAAGAACACGGCGGAGACAGAAAATACACCTCATCCACCACCCTCCTACGTTCAGGCAGCGACGGCTTCTTTCACTGAAAAGTCTCTCTATCTTGATGACCCATACTTCATTCACGCTCGCTTACTAGCCTCCATGACTGCTATGGATTCTAGTGAGCTGAACGAGACGTCTAGGCCACAAGAGGGACTAGGTGGTTCCACCTACGAGTTCGGCTCTGTCCCGCGCGTCTGAGCGCCTCCCCCAGGCTTTTCCGCTTGAGGTGTAGTGCCTCACCTGTTCGCCTAGAATCGCCGAGGAACCCGCTGTTTCTGCATGGTGATGGCGTTGGGCAACAACGTGTTGGACAGACACCGAACGATCGTCACCTGCATCGGCATACGAGAAGAAGCGCCTCGTTTAGCGGGGATAGGCTGGCACCGATACGCGAGCCCACAGCGACAGATGGCGAACGGCAATGGTAAATTTAATTCTCCACGAGTTCGTCATCTCCAGATCGCTGGGTCGTTAGGAGAGAGATCTCTCCGACTCATCCAGTCATGCTGAAATGCGGCAGCTGGGGGATCAATTTGAGATTGTGGCGCTTGCTTGGCTTTCTCGATAATTCCGATAAAGGAAACCAACCGGAAGGCTGGCTAGCTAAGGAGTTGACTACTCTATGTCTAACCACGCAGTGGAGGTCGAACACGTCGAGCCATAGCTATGCCAGGATCACGGCCCCAGGTATCTTCAGCTCGACGGCAATTCAAAACGCATCGCTAACGCATAATACTATTACATCTCTACCTATATATTGCGGCAGATATGATAGTACACATGGTTTATCTTAGTCGGCCTCCAGTCTTGCTACAGGCGGCGTGTCGTTGACCTGGATCCCTCCTCGCTTCTTCTCGTCCGAGTCCCAGAAGGGCAACCTCCATCCTCCCTCGTCTTGGGGCACAGACAACCAGAGCCTCAGCAGGTGGCGCCTCGGCTTGCCGCTATCAGGACCGAAGTCGCGATACGCGGTCCTCGCGTGGAGGGTGTGGGTATTGGCGACGAATTGGATGTCGCCGACACTCAGAATCATGTGCAACTTCACTCGCTCACAAGTGGCCTCGAGGAGTTTGACCGCTTCCTCTTGCTCGGGTGACAAGGGTGGGATGATCCCCTTGTCAGAGAACCGGCTCAAGCTGCGGACAAAGTACGGATCCCACTTGCAGTATACGCGCTGTTCGCGCTCTGGGTTCGCCGGGTCTGGTGTCTCGAGGTAGAAGACGGCCGCTTTGATGTACGGCTCCTCTCCGTCGGAAACCTCACCCTTCCGGTCGAAGTACCATACCGGCTTGGCGAGCAGCTCGGCAACGTCTGGCCGCTCCTCCTGCAAGACGTTCCACACGTTGTGGATAGACGCCACGTCCGACTCGCCGCCAAACTCGGCTTTCGCGAGGCACAGCAGGCCGACGATGTCGCAATCGTCAGCGTGGAAGAACTGACGGGCGTTGGTCCTGTATATACGGACTTTGTCGATCTGCGTGCTATCTTCGCCGAGGTCCTTGACGTGCCCCAGGATGTGGCCGCGTCCGTTCTGCGAGACCGGGTAGCCTAGGTGGACTCCTAAGCCCATATAGGCGACGGCGGATTTTGGGATGCCCCATTCGTCGACGGGGAAGCCTTTATAGAGAATAAATCCCTTTCCGTTCAACAGCTCGCGGCGCATGGTGGCTAACGACGACCCTAGTTTAGGGAGCCGGAAATTTTCCTTGGAGATGCCGGTAAGGGGTAGATCGAGAGCGATGAATTCATCCGCCACCTGGGACAGCTCGTCTAGCTCCTCTTGGGAGAACTGATGGATCCATCGCTCGGGATAGTCGGCGTAGTCCTCCGCCTTCCATTCCGTAGGGCCCCCGATGCGTTTAGGGAACGCGCTGTAAGGGTAAACCTGGTCAGGTAGCGGGGGGTGTTGGCCTATGTCTCAGTCAGCGCCTTGGTCTTGGTCTATGAGGTTCTTTGTCGCCAATGGCATCAACTCACCGGTCGTCTTGAGCCCGTCGGGGAAGATAGACCGGTCTGCCTGCTTGGCACGGGCCTTGAGGCTCTGGACCGTATCGGCCGGGGTCTGGACGTCAAGTGCGGGAGCCATAGCTTTAGTATGAGCTCTAGGTTTCCTCTACTTCGCCTTTCCTGTCTCGACCTTATTGTGGTCCTGCTGCTGCTGTGCCACTTTGCCTCCGAGGACGTAGGTATCTCACGAAGGCGAAGAGTGGCCCCCTGTAGCTCTGTAAATATATCTATGGGTTATGGTTAGAGGCGTGAACAGGGAGGGGAATCGGTGGGGAGGAAGAGTAAGAAGGGAAATAAAGTAGATAGGCAACAAAGAGGTGTGGTAGGGTATATAGGTATGATAACTTAGCGATGTAGATGACCTATTCGTCTGCTTGTCCTCTTTCTCGGCCTGGCATTCTGAGGGGGTCTTCACGACGGGGTTAGCCGGACAGAGTTACAACCTGCCCTTTCTGCTCTCTCACTATCTTTCCCCTCTGGCCCGGAGCCTATCGCGGTGCCTGATCACGCAATTGGCAGCACGCAATAGCGCAGAGAGGGTTGCATCATCGCCTACCATTCAAATGTGGGCACTATAAGTACGCCTATCGAAGCTTGTTGGATCGCCCGCGAATGGAACCACCCAACTCCCATCGCGGCTCCAGACACAGGTGCCTCAGAGCTCCTCGGGATGGCAGTGGTGCCTCCCAACATGGGTAACCCGTATATGGCCGGGACGTGGGTGACGCATTCGATTGGCCCCCGCTGCCGTCGTCGTGCACGTCCTACGACGGCCAAGGAGGCGAGGGATTCTCTGTGTCCCCCCACCTCTGCGCTGCCCCGGATCCGCCGCCGGTTGTCGGTCTTGGCCTCGCCATTGGGATGAGGCCGGAAGGGGCCGAAATTCAGGCAAGAATCCGTCTCGCGCATCGCCCTCTCGACTGATCCCAAGTCGCTGACTTTGTACGCCATCGATTCCCGGTCCGCGTACGAAGACACGTTGCCTCGCACGTCATTGCGGGCCGAGATAGCGGAAAAGCACTAAAAGTCTCGGATGAGAGCGCGATGACCTCAGGGGATATAGCGGGCTAAGGCGACATCGGAGAGCAGATTGACCCCTCATTTTATGCATAGGTAGTACCTACCTAGGTTAGGCAACCCATTAATCGAACGCGTAGTGTCAACTATTGCATACCGGGACTTGATATCGCTTAAGGGCCGAGTCGAGTCCGTCCTGGATCCCAACTACAATTCCTCGCATTCCCTCCCATCTATAAGGTCGGCTATATACCTACAAGTACACCTTGATGCCTTATCCGTCTCACCAATCTTCGCCTGTGCGACGAATTGAAACCCCGAAGCAAAAAGAAGCAAGGCCACATTTCTTCATAGCTGCCAGCATTGGCTAAAAACGGAGGTAGGCATGCCCACTCGTCAACGCATCTGCATCTACCCCTCATAGCTTGCCTGCTCGCCGATAGGTCTCCTCCTCGAAGGCCTTGAATATAGGTCGTACTTGAGGATCCGACGGCGGCATGACCTGCGTGCCAAACGTGCCGCACACGCCAGCGGTGCGGTCGATGAACTGCCCTTCCGTTAGCAGTCCGGCAAGTAACTAGCGTCTAGAAGACGGTGTCAAGGGGAGGGAGAGTAAAGGGGAGCTTCGGAACGCACCCAAGTCAAGTTAGCCGCCCCGCCCCACAGCAAGGCGCCTCTCTTGCGGTATGGGTGTTTATCGCCGTCGACCAGAATCCCGCCCAAGCCCCAGTCGTACTCATTGGTCAGCGGCCAGTCCCCTACCGCCCATTCCGGGTTCTTCATCTGCTCAAGCAGGGACGCCTTGCTTGCCGGTGTCAACTGCGGTTGGAACAACGCGGCCGCCGTCTCCTTCTTCAGCAGCTTCTCGTCATCCACGAGCAGCGAGTGCAGTATCTTAATGTAGTCCTTGATGCTGGATAGCAGGCCCTGTCCGCCGAATGCCTCCTTAAGACCCGTGGTGAACGTTTTCCTATCGGCGTTTTCCACTACGGGCTGGGAAGGGTCCGCGCGGAAGGCCATAGGGACCCTCCTGGCCTTGATTTCGGGGTGGTTGTCGACGAAGAAGGTCGTGTTCTCCATCCCCAATGGTTCCCATATGTTCTGTCTCATGTAGTCCTCGAGCTTTTGACCTGTTAGCTTCTCGATGACCTGGCCGACACGGTCGATGCTGCTGCTATACGCGTAGGCCTCGCCAGGCTCGTACAGGAGCGGCAAGTCGAACGCGTCGTCGATGGTCCCGGGATTCTTCGGCGGGCCCCTCAATTTTGAGACCTTAGCCAAATCACCACTCATGAAATCGTAGCCGGCCCCGGCGCTGTGCGTGAGCAAGAGACGAAGCGTGATGGGGTTCTTGCGCTTGCGTGTGCTGGGCGCTCCGTCGTCGCCAAAACCGGTCAAGATCTCCTTCTCCGCGAAGGAGGGAAGGAGACGTGAAACGTCCTCATCGACCGTCACCAGTCCTTTCTCGACAAGTTGTAAGGCAGCCACGGAAGTGTGCAGCTTAGTCATCGACGCTATCTCGAGCACGGTGTTCTCATTGTACGGGCTACCACTGTCTGACGAGAACGCTTTGAGGTAATCGACCTTCCCTTTATCCAGGGTTAGCTCCTTGACGCGAGGACCTGAGCGAGGATCAGGATCTACGAGTCGTTCGAAATACCTTCCTTGTCCTTCGCGGCCGCGACAACGCCCGGAACCACGCCGTTCTTAATCGCGGTTGCTACTTTCTCCTCGAAGGTGGCCATCTTGCAGTTCGCACTTCGCTTCGTTCGAAAGCAGGGCTTATTCGCGATCGACCGACTACAGGAAGAGGAGGGAGGGGGGTATCCTTAAATATACGTGGGGGTTATCGTCAGGGGAATCAGATTGGGAAAATGGCTTTCTTTAACTAGGTACGTCAACGACAGCCTTCACGGCTAGCCGAAAATGAAATAACACCAACTGTCGAGCTCGATTATAGATGAACCAGGCGGAGGGAGAGGGGGTGGCGACGTTGTATTCACCTCACGCGCATCTACCGATTTCGACCTGAACCTCGGAACGTAACCCCTCTCTGAGTTCTCCACGTAGGGGTTGGAGTAGGGGGTCCTAGGATGCTTGGCGGGTCGTCCACGCCTATTTCGAATACCTAACGTTAGACTTAAGGCAGATCGTGTTTGGGACTCGCTATTACTTCTCGCGCTTATAATAGTCAGATGGTCATGATATATGTATCATCAACCATCGCGCGCGGGGGCTGAAAGTAGATAGGTAAATCACTCATAAGTAGGTATCCATTCGCAAAATGGGGGGTATCTAACGCTATTCGCCTCGACCTTGTCTATATCGTAATCCATATTCATCTTCTACCGGGCATCTGCGGGCTTGTCACCACCTACTCATTTGCGGGACAAGCTCATCTGCGAGCTCCAGAACGGATTCGGCTGGAACTCGGCGGTCGACGCCGCCGCCATCCTTCCCTTGTTGGAGTTAGATCGCAGCTCCTCCTCCTCCTCTTCTTCACGCCGCTCCCCCAGCAGCCTCCCGTCCCAGGCTCTGTCGTCACCTTCGGCACCCTCGACCGCGACCGGCGGCGCGCAGCGTATCTCGCCACGCAGGATCTCGACGGCCGAGACGAGCGGGAGCAGCAGCATGCCGACGGACAATAGCTGGCCGAAGCTCCAGTCGCGCTCCCCGGGGTCGGCGAGCGGGATGGGCGTCGCGTCCGAGAAGGCATCAGCAAGGAGGACGACGCGCGCCGTGGCGCCGACGGCGCTGGCCAGCATGAGCAGCAAGCCGACGACACGGAAGACAGCGTAGAGACGCCGCGCGCGACTGTGCAGGTACCAGGTGGCGAGGGCGAAGACGACGATGTTGCCGGTGATGACGGCGATGGTGCCGAAGTAGGACAAGCCGACATTGTCGCCACCGTTGCCGCCGGGCGGGACGACGGTGTCGCCGCGCCACGCGCACGCGACGGGCAGGGTCGCGTTGCTGAGCCCGCGGCGGACAGCCTGCAGGACGAAGGCTCCATAGACGCTCGACAGGACGAGGTTGGCGAGCATGAGGGCCTGGCGCATCCAGCGCAGGACCCAGTCGCGGCGGAAATCGCGGGCCAGCGCGAGCAGAGTCGCGTTGTGGACGGCCATCGAGAGTAGCGAGAGCATCCACACGAGAAAGAAGTGGTACTGCGACATGGTCGACGTCTTGGCTAGGCCCACGCTCTGTATTTTTGATTTTCAGATACAGTTAGACACAACCCTCTACATTCCGAACGGGCCATCTAATGCACCCCGGGTACGGTGTTAATTACCTGGATTCCGATGCCGGTCAGGATCTGCTGGTCGGAGTACGCGTTGAGAAGCTTGCGCCGCAGGGTCGAAGGCTTCAAGGTAGAGGAGGAAGACGGGGAGGCGCTGGCGCGGTTACGGGTGTAGCGCACTTCCTGGAACACGAGCGAGGCGCTGATGAGCAGTGATATGGCGGCGGTAACTATGAAGGAGAGGAGGACCTGCCGCGGCCGCGTGTTAGTGGAGCAGTTCGGGGCGATAGATGGACGGGTAGACGGCGTAGATGGATGCCGGGATCATCATAACTTACACCGATGCCCGCGACGCCAGCATCGCTCGGGACGGCCTCCGGCGCGATGGTGCAATTCGCCGCCATAGTGTCGCGTGGGGGGCGTAGAGATAGAGGGGATGTGGACTAGATTATGGACGGCTCCGAGATGTCCAGTACCTTTCTCCCTGTACAAAACGTCGTAGCGAGAACTCCGACTACCTCTATACACAGGTATGTACTTAGAGGTAGGTAGGTATATATATCCTGCCTTCAGCCTTCTGCCCCCTCCTCCCTAGACCGAGGAGCTACCTGGGCGGAGGCGTACCAGCCAGCCTTTTTGTTGTTTAAAAAAACGTGGCAGAAGCCGCGAAGACAAAGAACGGGTGGAGGAGAGAATAGAAGCGGCACACAAAGCCGGGCTGGACCCGACCCAGCGGGTAGAGAGAGGACAAGGCGGGTTACCCGGTATTAATACCGACAAAAGCTGCAGCGGCTAGAAAGAAAGACAAGAGAGGGGCGCCGACGATGGGACGGGAAGAAGCCATCAGCAGCCAGAACGGCTGCGCCTTGTTCATCCCCGCGTCGCGCCCTCATTCGCCCATTCGTTCCCTACGTCCACCCGCTCAGAAAGAACCTGGACCAGACCAGAAAAAACCCTCCGCGACAATGTACTTCTGTCCTATTATCTATCTAGGTACCTACCTACCTCCTAGGCAGCCATAAGCAGCTTGCCCGTCTCCCTGCTACGCGCCGGCCATCGCTCACGCTTCAACGTCCCCGGCTCCAGGCAGAAAAGCCCCGGTCGGGTCGGGCGCCCGCGCGCCGCGCTCTCGTCTCGTCCCGTTTCCCGCCCTCGATTCGCCCGCCCGAGCGCGCCAGATGAAACGTACGCCCGTCTCCCTACCTAGACCTAAGCACCTACTCAGGTGCCCCCTACGACCAGTCAGCACGTAATAAATACCTAGTAAGCGAGCTATCCCGCGCGTATCCGGCCCAGCCACGCACGCACGCCCGCACGCAACGACGAATAGCAGGCGGCCCGCGGATGGAGGCACGTAGGTCCTCCGTACGTAGGTAGGTAGGTATTTCGCATCCCGCGGCGGACGGCATCGCAAAGTGGCACCAGTACGTTAGGGACTCGATGTGCCTGGCTATAGATTTGTGTACTCTTTTTATCATATCCATTGGCTTGCCGCCATCTCCCTCCCTCTTCTCCTTCCCGTCTTTGTTTTTCTCCCATCCTCTTTTCATCCATCTCCTCTTATCCCCCACCGTCCCCTCTCTCTCTTTTATTTATCACTCCGCCAGAGGAGCATGACAGGTAATAGTCGAAAAAGATGGGCCGGGGATCTACTATCTTGGGCATTTTTTTCCTTTTACAAGAAAAAAGGAAAGGGGGAACCAGTTAGTTCATTTGTGAAGTTGAGCCTGTTCGGCATCGTTCAGTCTGCCACCACCCCCGTTCCGTTCCTCGTGTAGATGCCACTCTACCCCTCCCCCCTCCTTAGGTCAAACGAAAAGATAGGAAGTAGGTAGGAGAGTGAGAGCGAGATAGAGAGACAAAGAACGGTGATTTAAATGGAAAAAAAAAGTTGGGATATCAACTGGCTATGGCAAATGTGACCGCCGTCCCTTACCAAAACTCCCGGCGCCTTTGCGACCGACGTCAAGACAGCCTCCCTTCCCAATATTGTATGCGTACCCCCCCCCCCCCCCCCTCCCCCCCCTTGCCTCGCACGTTCGTCGTCGTCCGTAGCTGCGTTCCACCAAACTCTAACCACCATGAAATCCCAACCCCGCCCCGTCGCAAGACCGACGTGCGAATGCGTCATGCCTGACGCTGCCTCTTGGCGGCTCGGTTCGGGCTGTCGTCCAGATCGTTGCGTAGGATCTCCTCGGTGCCGCTCGGGCTCGGCGATTTGTGGCTTGGCGTGTTCGTCTCGACCACCCGGGCGGCGTTCCCGGCGTCGCCGGTCGCCACGAAGTCGCCGCCGTCCGGATTCCAGTCGAAGGCTGTGCCGTCGGCGAAGCCCGACGTGTCGAAATTGAAGTCGTTTCCCGGTCCGTCGGTGGAATACGCAGTGGGATCGAGGTACTGGTTCAGATCGATGTTATCGTCGAAATAATTGCTCGAGTCCTCGAGGCCGGGGATTCGGCCCGAGGGGCTCAGGGGTCCTAGTAGCTGGTTGAGATCCTCCAACTTCTGTGCCTGTTCGTGTTGCAAGCGTTGCAGGTGCTCGAGCTCCTCTTCCGTCTGTGATATCCGCTGTATCGATGGAGGGAGGATTGATGGTGGCATGATAGGCGAGACCGAGTTCCCCGCGTTCACGGTGGGTGCGCTACCGGTCGACGAAGCCCCTACCTTCGGGTTGGTATTGACATCCGTGGTCGCGGGCGGGACTGGCGTGGGCGCGGCGTTGCTCAGACCCGGACCGCCAGACATGATGCTCAGCATACGATTCCGCTGGTCGTTGGTGAGCGTCGCCGACGTATTGGCAGCAACCCTAGGCAGGTCGACAGATATATTCCCAGCGTTCGTGTTAGCATCTTGGATAATCTTCATCATGCCTTCCTGTGGGTTCGACTCGAGTTCCTGCTTGAGGTAGGCCGGCGTGCTGGACTCCGTCGGCGTGTCAAAGACCTCCGTAACATGCCCCATCTGCGGTTGTTGGTGATTGGGGTAGTTGGAGAATGGCGTAGAAGGAGAAGGAGTAGACGCTGCGGGGGGGGAGGGCCCTGGAGGTTGGTTCTGCGGGATAGGCGGCAATAAGCGGTGCGGCCTCTTGGGCGTACCCGTCGGTGTCGTGTTCCTCGGCATCTGCTGCTGTACCCAGTCGCCGAGGTCGACGACGCTGCCCTGGCCTTGCTGCGCGGGAATCTGGACGTTGGGGATGATACTGGCCAAGAGGTCGTTCACGTTTTGTACGCCGCCCTGTTCCTCCAGCGATTTCCTAAATACGTTCGCTAAGAAATTCAGGATGGCATTGATCGAGTTCTCGTGACGGTCATGCATGTTCTGGAACATCAAGGCCTGTTGGTACAGCTGATTATGCTCCTGCCGGAGCCGCTGTATCGCCTCACTTATCTGCTTCTGCCGTTGTTGTAACGCTGCCATCTGATCTCGGACGACAGCCAACTCCTTTTTCTGGAGCGGTCCCGATTCCGGCGCGGGCAGAGCCCGGGCTTGGGCCGTTTGTTGGGGAAAGGCGTGTCCGATAACGTCTTCCGGGACTGGGGCGTCCTCGTCACTCTCCATATCCCCTTCGTCGCCACGCTTCTTGCCCGTCTTCTTGCTGGTGCCGCTCTTCGGCTTATTGATCAACCAGAGCAGGTTGGGATGACCACGTTTGAAGTAAGGGTTGTAGTATTCGCTTGGACTCTTGTTCTTACGCTCGCTAGCCTTCATCGAGTTATCCGAAAGCCCTACTTTCTTGTGGAAGCCGTACATGTTGAGTTGCCGGACAAACGACGCGTAGTTGTTATGCTTGAACAATTCAGGTATGAGCGTCTTGGCAAATTCATCCTCGTCGAGTACGATAAACGAATCTCCCTTCTCCGACCATCTGATCAGGTCCGTGTTTTTCGATTCTTCCAGGAAGCTGCAGAGGATGTTAGGGCGACATCAGCCGACGGCCTGAAACGAGAGAGAGAGGGAGAAGACTATTACACTCACCTATTTAATTTTTGCACGAAAGGCGGGATCTGCTTCCGCTTCGCCTGCGCATCCCTCTTTGCTTTCTGGGCCTTTTCCTCGAGTAGCTCGATATTGTCGTGCTCGTCAACCGGTCCGTTGGCCGGGTTGGCGATCAGATTCTCGTCAAAGTGCGACCACGGATCGGGTTGCTGCGGGGTGAAGGCGCGATTGGCAGCGACGAGGGCGCTATTCACGCCTCTCCTTGCGACAACGGTCGACGGCGCGCCCTGCGCGTACTGGGCCTGCGTCGGCGACGGGATGACCCCGTACGAGCTTGCGCCATTTACGTTGCTCGCGGTGCTGTCGACGAAGCTAGCCGGACCGTTCCCATTCCACCTCAGCAGCTGGTCCTGGGTATTGTAAGGTTGCGTCATTTGCTGCTGTATGGGTACCGCACCCGGCGCCGGTCGTTTTCGAGGATTCGGAGACGGCATAAGGGGATGAGGACTGTACATGAACGACGGTCGGGACGGAGGGCGTTAGAAGCACGGCCTCCTCTGCGAGCGGATTAGGGGCGCCGTCCGTATCAAGGCGGGCGATGAAGAATCTGTGGCGCGAATGGGATGCGGCGGCTGCGAGGAGCGATAGCGCTGGTCAGAGATTGTGGCGGCGGCGGCGGGTCGTAGGAGGCGGGACGGCTGGGCGGTAAGGCTCTTCTCGAGACGGAGCGGGCGGCGAGGCCTAGGCAGATTGACGGATGGGCGAGCACGTAGGCGTAGGCAGCCAGGATAGGCCGCGCAGAGGGTTTGATAGGTATCGCGGTTGGGTGATTGACCCCGGGTAGGCAACGGCGGCGGTTGTATGTACGTGTATGTGTGTGTATATGTATGTGTCCCTATACGTAGGTGTGTGTGCGTGTGTGTGTGTGTGTGTTTGGGTGAGGGAAGACGCGGCGTATGTACGTATAGTGGGTGTGTGGATGGATGTGGATGGAGGGATGGATGTGTTGTCTGAACTGACGCAACCAATGCACATGAAATGAAAAGTAATAGTGATAACAACAACTAAAACAACCGCGGCGATAACGATAGCAATCGTGATATGCGGCTCAGAATATCGGATTTATGACGGCGGCTCTTGGGCTCTCAGCTCAGGTTACCGTTCTGGCAATGGCTCCCAGTCCCGGAGTAGGATGGTGGGTTCCAGTCTTTCCACCTGACTATATACCAATCCCGCCTTCAAAGGGCGCGCAGGGCGAGAGCACGGAACTGAATCAGCTCTAGAAGCTGGAAAGAAGCTTCTAAGACCCCCGGGTCCGGGCTGTCTCTAGCCACGCGGCAGGACGGGGAGGAGACTCAACAAGGCTGGGAGCAAAGCCCGTTGTTCTCGAAGTCGCAGAAAAGTTCGATTTCGATGTCGCGGATGGTCCGGCGGCTCGCGCTGAAGCGGGTGGGTGGGCGGTACAGGTGTCCTACCGATCGGAGGAAATACCTACATACCTACCCGACAATTCAGCAGGTCTTGACGGTATGGGTGAAGATCCTTCCAACGGGAAGAGGATGGTTAGGTAGGTTGTGAAGTTGTAGGCGGTGGGATGTCGGCAGACAGAGATACCTAGGTAGGTAGGTAGGCAGGCGGGTAAAGTAGGCATGTTCCTCTGGGCATGTACCTAACCGCGAGCTGGTAGCTATAGCCAGCTAGGGGCGTGGTGATTACCTTACCTATGGTAGATCGATCCGATCCCAGGCGTTGGGTCGATGGGATGCCCGGAGCCCTATGGGGTTTAGAGCATCCAGGGGAGGGTGTCCTTACATCGGTCTGTGGGTGCGCACATTAGTCAGTTGCCGTGTAGGTCCTATGTACCCATACACGACGATGATGGTGACGACGGGTGATCAGTGGGTGACGAGTGTGTGGACATGGGTGGTCCGGGAGGGGGCAGGGGGAGAGAGGCGGGCGAGGTTGACCAGATAATAGATCCACCGGCCAGATTGCAGATTGCGAGGCATGGGAATTTGGAGAATGCGAGGCTTTGATGGGCGGTCTTACTGTGCCTGATGTGATACATGCCGTGACGCCAAACCGATGGGGAAAAAAGCAGTTCTCGCCGTGTCTTGGCCCCTGTTTTTTTCTTTTCCTATATAACGCCCATTGTCACGCACTGCAACGCAACCCACCCACCAAATCGATTTACACCAGCAACACGGATCCAAGCATAGCCTTAACAAGACGTTGGGTTGGTCGTACCTTGGGCGCCTCCTCCACCTAAGAGGCTACCCACCTACCTATCTACCCACCTACCTGCCTGTAGGCTCCGCTCCTCTCCAACTTCAAGTCGGCCAGACACATCCAGCGGCCTGCCCATACTGCGCGCTTAGGAGGTGGGCATTGACATGTGTATCAGGCTTAGGTATGATTCTAGCATCACCAGGCCACATACATACACAAGGCAGACGGACTGTCGCCTCGTATTCGGCCAAGCAATAATACTGTCTGCGACGGCGGAGATACATGCCGGTCTAGATGTATGAATATGCGCCTCGTAGCCTGCGGGTAGAGGTTGCATCCAAGGCGCAACCTCGCCAGCCTGCCTACGTCGTATGTATCGGAATCGTCGGTTCTCGGTTCTTTTCCCAGCTTCTTTTTCGCCATCCTCCCATCTCCCGGCCATCGAACGACAGTCTCGCTACCGAAATTATCGCCCCAAAATACTACCTACCTACCACGCACTTCTCTGCACATGCATACCCGACTAAGGTGCCGCACATTAGGTACCTCCTAAAGCCGCACCATCAGAGGTAGGTACATAGGTACCTAGTAGTAGGTAGGAGGTGGGTTACGCACCCTAACGATACCTCGGTTAGGTGGTGTTAGTAACGCGCGGGTTACAGTAGGTAGATCGATCCGTATTACCCCCCAGCCAATGCTGGGCTAGCCGAGAAGGAGAACGTGTCCGAGACTCACTGCGCTGGTACGGATCGGCCCGGCTCTGTACCTCGAATACCGTGTCAGTCATCTAAGACGCCGTCGCTCTCCTCAATAATGTCCTAAAGTCGGTTGATCCGAGATGCACCATCCTCCAGACGAGCAAGATGGGGGGATGCTTGCTTTTGTTCTCTTGCTTTCCTTTCTACATAGCATCTTCCAATGGTGCCGCTCTCCTTATCATATACCTAAGGTAGCTACCTCAACCCGCTCAAATAGGCCATAGTTCCTCAGGCCCCGTGAGTCGAAATGCAGAAGATCCCGAATGATAGATTTAAGAGGCGCGCGCAGATGCAGTCACAGTGATCCTTCTGTGAGTATAAGGGTATCATGGTCATTTCAAGTCTTCTTCCACAGCACGAAAACACCTCCGCTAAAATATGCCATCATTTGGCTCCTCTTCCTGCCAAAGCCGACGCCCTTGCTAACCTGGCGTTTCTTGCCTGGTCCCATTCCCGACCCGAGTTCCCAGACTGCGCTTCTCGCTGTGCCCTCTTCTCTTCCTTGAGCGTCCGGGCCTTCTCCCGCGGATCAATGACGACCAGCTCCTCCTCGGCCTGCCTTCGGTAAGACAAGTCCTTACCTAACCTGTCGGCCGCAAAGTTTAACGAGTGTGACATCCACCCTTCGTCGTCGCTTTCTTCGTTGTCTGCCTTGTCCTGCGAAGTGCAGCTCTGGCAGTTGGCAATGAAGTGCAAATCGCAGAGCTCCGCCTCGTCATCCTGGTCGCCGGAGCCTTGTCCGGCATTCTTCTTCTTCTCCTCCGCTGGCGTATCTGGCTGCACCTTCTCCGGTCCGGCCTGGCTAAGCCTCAAACGGAAAGCCTCGAACATCAGCAAGTCCGTATTCGTGGTCCCCTCGCCACCCCTCCGCCTTTTCCGGCCGCGCATGGAGGTCTCCGGGATCAGCTGCTCCAGGGCTGTTTTCCTAACCTCTCTGATTGGTTCGGAATGGATCGTCCGTTTCATGGATGCTTTCAAGGCCGCTATCTCTTCGTTTGCCTGCTCTAGCGCTGATTTTTTCCTCGGCACCTCTGTCACCGAAGGTTTGTCATGAATGGGTATCGACAACTTCTCCGTCGGTGGGAGCGGGGGTGTCGGCTCCGCTTCGCCTGTCGCCTCGATTCGAGACTCGCGGCCTAGTTCTGCTACTTTGTTCACTTTACCATCCCTCTTATCGTTCTTCCTCGGCGCCCGAACGACAGATGTTGACTCTTCATCGACGTCCCTCACAATCCGTGAGTCGAACTTCGCTTTCTTAACGACCACCGCAACCTCGTCGCCGTCGTCGTCGCCAAAGCTTAGTAGCTTCTTCCCCGCTCTGGGCTTCGTCCTTTTGCTCTTCTCTACAACGGGAGCTTGTTGGCTGTGCTTTACCACCCTCTCTTGCCGTTTCATATCGTCGAAAGGGTTGACTAGTATTTCGACGCTTGTGATCTTAACAGGATAGAGAGGCCGCTCCCCTCCTTCCGCGACCTCCGCCTCACCCATACGAGCCAAGTTATAGATAGTGTCTCCTACCACCCTCCCAAACATGGTATTTCTGTTGTTGAGTTCCTCCGCCTTGTCTAGGGTGAAGAAGAATTGACTCGCATTGGTGTCTGGCTTGCTTTCGTTCGCCATCCCCAGCAGTCCCCTCCGGTTGAATTTTAAACGTGAATGAAACTCGTCCTTGAAGTTCACACCAGTTGGCCCAGCATTCTTCCCGCGACGTTGGTCCATCGGCCATGGATCTAGGTCGCCGCTATATGCGCCGCCATCGTAGATGGACTCGCCTCCGTTTCCTGTCCCCGTGGGGTCGCCTCCTTGTATTATGAAGCCGGGAACCAAGCGGTGGAATATTGTGTTGTCGTAGTAGCCATCGAGACAAAGCTGGAGGAAGTTCCTCGAAGTGAGCGGCGTCTGCTTCGCGAAAAGCTCGACCGACAGGTCGCCTTGCGTTGTGTGGAGGATGAGCGAAGCGGTCGGCTGCGGCTCGAGATTGTAGATGGATGACATCTTTATGGACCGACCCGGGACGGAGACTCGAAAATTCCAACGGCCAGCAGAAAGTCGACGCGTAAGGGCGAGGAGTCACCGAGGTGTTGAGATATGGACATCAACGGTATAAGCACTATCCGTGTCGGAGGTAGAATGCTTGAGGGAAGACATTGGTTATGTGCCAACAGCACCGCGTTTTACGACAAGGTACGTACTCTTGGTAATTACAGGTAGGTGCGGTACACTATATAAGCGACTAGGGTTTAGGTGCAAGTATGTTGGGTACCCAGTACCTACCTCCTACATACCATACACTATGATGAATAGGTGAAGGTTCTGAGTAGGGTAGGTACCCTACCTAGATACCTCCGTAACTCATAACCTCGTATGTAACCTGTGTTACGCATTAAAATCTTATCTTATTACTCAACCACCCCACCTACTGACATTCTGAATACCTTCACCAGATTCCCGATGTCAACTTCTAACGAATTGACTGTCAAAAGAGGAACGGGCTAACAAGAATCCGAGACGTCAAACAAAAATCGGCGCCACATCTTTCACACTGTGGGATCCCTTCCCTCTATGGGGATGTATGGAGCATCGCCCGACTCCTGGGGACATACTTGCGCACAAGTTGTCGAGGGCAGTGCCATAAACCTCATCGGGTCTTAGCCTGTTATTCAAGAGGAACTGCGGTGCTTGCTACAGCAAGTACGCACGCCGTCTTCCATCATCATGTCGACACAAGCCTCGAATCCAAATTTGCCGCCCGTAGAGGCGACAAAAGCCGTGCTGGTCCCGTCTGACGAAATACCCGAGGGGACACAGAAAGTAGAGGAGATTGACTTCAACGCTTTCAAGGGACGGCCTATAACTGTCGATGATGTGGTTGAAGGTATGAAGCACATGGGTTTCCAAGCATCTTCTTTGGCCGAGGCAGTACGGATTATCAATGATATGGTTGGTTTATGGAGCACATCTGCCTGTTCCCAACTTGGAGGCTAACGGATCCCGAAGCGGGCATGGAGGGACCCCGAAACAGGTGAAAAGACAACCATATTCCTTGGATATACCTCCAACATGATCTCTTCGGGGCTGAGGGGAATATTTCGGTACCTCGTAGAGCACAAGCACGTGTCCTGCATCGTCACGACGGCCGGGGGCATCGAGGAAGACTTTATCAAGTGTCTCGGCGATACGTACATGTCTTCGTTCAGCGCAAAGGGCGCCGAGCTGCGGGCCAAGGGCCTCAACCGGATAGGGAATCTTATGGTCCCCAACGCGAATTACTGCGCCTTCGAAGACTGGGTCGTGCCCATCCTAGACAAGATGCTCGAGGAGCAGGAGGCGAGTAAAGGTTCACAAGAGGAGATCAACTGGACGCCATCCAAGGTGATACATCGGCTAGGTAGAGAAATAAATGATGAGAGATCGGTATACTACTGGGCATACAAGAACGACATCCCGGTATTCTGCCCCGCCTTGACCGACGGCAGCCTAGGGGACATGCTATACTTCCACACGTTCAAGGCGTCGCCGAGGCAGCTAAAAATCGACATAGTAGAGGATATTCGACGTATTAATACTATATCTGTGCGGGCAAAGCGAGCCGGCATGATTATATTGGGTGGCGGGGTCGTCAAGCACCACATCGCGAACGCCTGCTTGATGAGAAACGGCGCCGAGTCTGTCGTCTACATCAATACCGCCCAGGAGTTTGATGGCAGCGACGCCGGAGCTCGGCCGGACGAAGCCGTGTCCTGGGGGAAAATCAAAGTCGGGGCAGACCATGTCAAGGTATGGGCACCTCTCCCCTCCCTCCTCGCTCCCCCGTCATCTTTCTTCGTTCTTCGCCTCCTACACACTTTGTCTTCGAAGCTCCGGGCTAATATTTAGGACAGGTGTATCTGGAGGCATCTGCGTGTTTCCCATTCATCGTCGCCAGCACCTTTGCTAAAGACGCATAAGATCATAGATTATACACACATATCCTGCATAGGAAACCTAGGTGTTAGCAGTGATATTTTTAAAGCCAGATCCAAATCCCGCCCGGAGACTGATACGAGTACCAAGATGTTGTAACAATGCTTCCGGCTCTATAGAGTGAAGAACCTTGCACATGGGTTTCGAGATATAGATCTCCGTGAGCCTTATACGTACCCGGCCTGCCGTACTGCTGACCTACTTCGACCAGCATCCGCTGGCTTTTTGGCGTAAGAACTCCGGACTGCGTTCACGTTTTAGCCCGTGCCGTACGTCGAACTTGAGCAGTAAGTCTCCAACTCTTTGATGAGATCCCCCAGAGAGAATCTACCTACCCTAGGTATAGAAACCTAGGCGGGGCAACTTTGAGATAGGAGTCGGCCCGGGAATGTGAGCTTACGTACGGAGCCCAGGAAGCCGGGTGGCCTCCCTTCCCCCCTCCCCTCCCCCTAGAAGTGAGAGAAGCCAGCAGCGTGTGATGAACTCAAATTCACCGTCCCTCGTCGGCAATGGCGCCCCGAGAACGTAATAAGTGCGAGAATCCCAGGGCGGCCGATGGTCGCCCCGCGCACAGGTCTATTCAATGCGCTTACACAACCTGACTTGGGCCGGCAGGCGCGACCGATGCCTTCCTTCCTTCCCGTCTCCTCCCATTTCCTCTACGGGGCAACAGCAGCCTGCGCGATTCCCGTGGTGTCAAATTGTATATCTTGCCAACAATGCCTGCCATCCGTCGCCTTAGCCTCGTCTCTGTCACATCTGTTCCGTATCCTTTCGTTGTCCGTCATCTCGACTCATCGTCCACACAAACTCTTCATCCCACACTCATCCTAGCCGGTGCCCTTGTGCGGTTGCGCATGCAGCAAACAATCAGCTACGTTGTTAGCCCCCCATAATACCGCTGCGAATTCCGACGAGGCAGGCGTCTGTCTTCCACGAGCGCCTCCAACCATCGCCCACGAGTGTTTGAGGGATGCGAGCCAGACAGCCTCGAGAGCGACCATGGAACGCCCAACCAACCCAGAAGAGTCGGCAAAACGGAAAGCCCGAGTTAGAGCCGACATCGATGCTTCGGTGGATAAGTTGACGGACGATGTCAACGCGACAGTGGGAGGCCCTCCTAGCGACGACGCTTCGAAGGAGGATTGGAATAGCTACATGAACCTATTTATGGGGGAAATAGGACGGAGAGATGCCGAGAGAGCAAGGCAATCCTGGAATCAACTTGCCAAGGCCAATAAATGTGTTGATAACATGCGGAAGAGGCTGTTTTCCATGGTCGGGAGTGGGGAGCAGGAGGATGAGTCGTTCAAGGGACCCGCCGATGGACCTACAAATACGGCCCCGAACAAGAGCCAAGGCGACAGAAGCCGCCCGGCGAGGAGCCAAGGTGTGGAACTCGGTCCTCTGGCCGTTTCTCTCGACAGCCACCCTCAAAAAGATGCCACGGAAGTCAAGCACACTCGGCCAAGCGAACAAGAGCGAGCCCTCACCCGAGACCAAGCTGCTAGAGTCCTCGAAACGCTATCCGACCCCTCAACGTTCATGGAAGAGTCCACAGAAACCCCACCGCCACGGAACGTCCTGGATTATGCGGAAACAGCAATCGTGGGCCAACAGAGCCCACCATCTAGAAAGAGGCGCCGAAATGGCGTTGAAAACCTTGAGTCTAACTTGGGTACCAAGTGGGAGGCTCACGTGGACGAGGAAGGGCACAGGCCTTCCAGGAAAGGCCGCAACCCCTAGTAATGGCGTTTTCGACATTGTGTAATACAGACAGGAAAGCCGCCGCAGGTCAGAAGGGACCTCACATTTGTGGCAGAACGGAGAGGCGATGAAGGATGTCGTGGACATGGGGGACTGAGGTTAGGCGGCATAGATAGTATGGTAGCTTTTTATTTCCTAGGGAAAAATAGATGGTTGGAGAAGCACCTCACTAAATGCTTAATTCCTAACATCTATCTTACGGATCCTTGAAGCTCTCGCTATCCAGTGTAAAAAAAAAAAAAAACTGGTGAGCTACCTAGGCACTCGGATAGGTGGAGGCAAGTTGCGGATATATGAAGTTTGAGTTGTATATAGGGGGTACTTAGGTACCTTCGCATACAGGTACTAGATGACAACAACAAGGGTACTTCAGTACCTCTAAGACAAGCAATAGGCAGGTTAGGAGATACCTAGGTAGGTAAGTAAGGTTGTTATTGTCCGAACCCCACGGGTAATCGCTACGTTGTACAGGGAAAGCCGCAGCCTAAACAAGTTTAGCGAGTAAGGAAATTAAGTGAGATATTGATGCATGCCGAGTTAGGTATAGCTACTGCATGGACAAGTGCCATTCGGAGTCTTCCAACAACCTGCCCATCCATCATGCAGCATTACCCGAAACAAGTACCTACCTAGAGGTACCTACTATACACATCTGCTTGAGGGATACCTATAGTGGAAGGTAGGTACTCATACTACCTAAAATACCTAGATAGGTACATATAAGTAGGTAGGTAGGTATCTAGGTACCTACGCGAGGACCTGGTGGATGAACTCGAGGCACCTGCTATTGCCATTTATGAGGGGGCACTTACCTACTTGAGTACCTGGTTTAGGGACCTACTTAAGTATCTACCTGTGTAGAGGTGTGCATATTAGGTTAGGTAGAGAGAGGTACCTACCTGCAGGTATATAACCGTACCGACATGAGAATCATCAGAGGCAACAACATGTGCTGCGTTTTCCGCTCTCCCGCTCTCCACGTCGGCATCCTGCTCTTAGAGACCCAGCCTGGGGGATTTTTTTTAATAAAAAAATACATGGCACTCTATATGTAAGGTATGTATGTGCGTGGACTTCGATGCAGATAATCATGTACGGGTTAGTATAGAAGAACGAAACATGACCATGCACATCCCCAGTTGGCAGACCTCAAAATTATGGGCGTCAGGGGACAAGACCTAGGAAAAAGCAGGGATCAGAGAGGGTCTTGGTACGTACCTATGTACACATACTACGTGGTAAGTCCGGGTGTGGGACCCAGAATTGAAGATCCGCCCATACTACATCTGGCGCTACCTACATATGTACATGAGCCGGCAAGTCCTGGCAGTCCGTGCTTTGATTCAGTGCCTCCTAGGAGGTACCGTATAAGTATATCAGTATAGTATATGCGAGGTGCCATATAGGGTCGGATGTTCAGACGCTGGCCCAACATGCAGGCGATACAGGTACTCATAAGAGACCACCTTTCGAGATATTCCCATCCAAATACCTTAGGTACGTACCTACAAGCTTTATATCATGCTTAACGTTGATAGAGGCTTTTAGGTTCTAACTTCGAGACTTAGCACAGGTACCGGGGTAGCTGTTTTCTTAGGAGGTACCGTCTGGATGGTGTGAGTTGCCCCGGCTTGTGAAGGGACACACATAAAGTACGTGACGGCGTATGTATCGGTACTTCGGATATACCTTGCGCCCACCCAATGTTCAGGTGGCGTGGCGACCATTTTGCCTGAAAATGCATGTACTCATACTCCGATATGTACACGTGCATGTACCTTACCTATCACTCTTACAGCACTGTTAACACAGCACCCACACCCGGTGCCACCACGCGCAGACCGAGTGCAAGACTTTGTGTGTGTTTTCAAGATCTTCGATTTCAGCCTCTTCACACTTCTTGCTACTCTCAACGCTCCATCTCGAGACTACACACCAGACAGTGCGTATCCCCTCAATCTTCCCGCCGGCATCCTGCGCGTCCGTCAGGAAGGTTTTTAGCACGGATAAAACCCGGTTCCAGAGCCTTTCCAAGCATTGACGCCCGGTACTGACGCTGTACGAGCGGAATTACCTGCCTCGAGCGAGGCGCTCCGAGCGTTGCACCCTCGCTCCTGAATCCTGAGCCTGTCCTCAACCTTATCGTCGTCCCGCACCATTACAGTTCGGCTAGTGGTCTCATGCCGCAAGTCATACGCGTCATTCCCGAACTCCATGAAAACTACATAAGCCGGCATTCGCACAACGGGCGTCTTTAGCCCCTTGCCAGTCATGTAAGCATGGTATTTCTTTTTTGTTTCAACATTCGCCAGTTTCAGTTGCCGCAGAATCGTGAGGGGCTTTGAGTGTAGACATGATTTTGATAGCTGCACTTTTACCCTATCAAATACAGAGATACTGGTAATTGGCAATCGAGGCTCTTTAAGGGTTCTCACACAGCTCACTGCTTATGTTTTTTGGGGGGGATATTTTAGGGCTTCCCGATACTCCGGATCGCGATATGACGGCGACTCGCGCCGATCTAGGTCTCGAGATCGCTCACCGGACCGGAGATCTCTGTACAGTGATGGTGGGCCCCGTCGCTCCTCTGCGGAATCTCGGTCGAATAGCTCAGCCTTCCAGACGAATCGAGATTCCTTTCGAGATGCCCTGCCTAGAGATACGCCTCGAGGGCCGAAAGCCTTGCTCGATGCTCCCAGTGGACCTCGCGGAGGCGGATACTCGGGCGATTTTCGGGGCAGAGGTCGTGGAAGAGGCCGGGGCTGGCGGGACGATAGCCGAGACCGTGGAAGAGACCGTGAGATTGACTTCAGGGATCGGAGGGATAACTCGTACCGCGATGATCGTAGCCGAGAGCGAGATCGTGGGGATTGGCGAGATCGTGATCGCGACAACTTCAGAGCGCGGCGTCCGTCGCCTCGCGGACGTTCGCCTCCCGGGAGGGATTTCCGGGATGTACGTGACTTACGGGATGCTCCGTTAGGCGTAGATGCCGAGCGAGCACGACGCGGGTCAAGGGATGGGCCACTCTCTGCTGGATCGTCTTCGTCGGACCCGCCATTCGGCCCTTCGTCGTATCGTGGCGCCTACGGAAATCGAGGCCGCGGTAGAGGCCGCGGAGATTGGGATCGCGGGCGTGGGCGGAGCTTCTACGATGACCGTGACCGGTACGGCTCGGCCTTTAGGTCTCGCTCCCAAGAGGGGCGGTACCGCGACCGCGACGATCGCGATCGCGATGGTCGATACCTCGACGCAGACCTGCGCTCGCGTGATCCCAGAGACGACCGAGACGCGAGAGATCGCGATGTTCGGCCTAAGCTTGAGAGGGCCTCACACGAACCGCCATTGCCGCTGGCCAAGGACGTTTCGCCGCCTCCCGTCGCCCCGGCTGCTCCATCATTCGGGTCGGTGCCTAATAGAACTGCATCGATTACTGACATTGGGTCGGCTACAGGCAAAACGCCACCTACAGGACCCAGGGCGCTCAAGGACGAACGAGCAACGTCGGCTGGATCGATTCCCCATATTGATACGAGGATGCCGCCTACGGGACCGTCCAGGCCGTTTCTAGAAATGAGCCCGTCCTCGATTCCCTTTGGACTGCGGTCCCAAACGCGCCCAGGCCCCTCGAGCAAGCAATGGATCAACCCGAATATTAAGAATCGCGTTCCCGAGTCCCCGAAGTTAAATCGGTCGCAGAGCTTCGCCCAGCCACGGCCCCCTGGGTTACGCCCGGAGGGGGGGCATTCGGATCAGCAGGGTGATAGCAACCAACGGCCACACAGTAGCGATGCAAAATCCGACTCTCAGTTATCTGCTACGGATAGGCTGGTCCGTGAGCCGCATGGCATCGACGTACGCGAGGAGCCTTGCAAAACCGAACCGAGACCGCCATCTGCCGGTTCATCTTTCGGACGGGAACCCAAACTCAAGGACGTTTCCGGCCTAATCAGGGATGAAGATATCGTGGCAGAGCGGGCAGGTAATCCGGCCGCCGAGACCTCGATCGCCGACCCGAAGGCGCTGCCGGTCACGAACGAGGCGAAATCGAAACCGCATCGGCGTCCCGCCCTCAAGGTTACGGCTAGACATATCTCCCTACCCCGAAAAGAAGCAAGGCCGCCTATCCTGGATCAATCATCGGAATCTGACGATGAAGAATTCGGCGACGTTATCGAGTCCGGCATGGCCGAGGTTGAGAAAAAGTTAAAGCAACTCAGGAGGATTGAAGACGTGCCGGTTGATGTAATATCACGTTACGCAGCAATATCGCTCGAGGCTATCACCAAGATTATGAATGGACCCGAAGGCCTGGAAGAAATGGTTGGTCCGATCCCGGATGCCGTTCCTCCAAGCGGAAAAACACCAACAGAGCCAGAGAGTCGACGAGCACCTAGTGTAGGACCTAAAGTGCCCGAGAATGTCGAAGCGGATATCAAGGTCAAGAGCCGCTCTCCTGAGGTCAAAGAGTCACCGTTGGAAGCTGCAAATGCCAAGGCTGAGCTTCCGCAACCATCTATCGAGCAGGATATCGACATGCCAGCACCCCCCGAGCCGCCACCTGCGGACCCCAAGCCTAAGAATGACGACGGAGATGTAACTATGGAGGATGTGTTGGATGCTCGTCCTGTAGACTCGGAATTGCAACGCCCGCCGGAAACGCAGCCGTCAATATCTCGCAGACAATCTGATAACGCATCGGGTGAGGAATCCCAGGTGCAGTCCCAGGAGGTTGTTAAAGGTGGGTCGCGCGCGATGTCCGTGCCGGGAGACGATGAGGACGAGACAGACGTCGAGGACATAGACTCTCAGTCTATTGAGATTGTCCGCGAACATAAGGCAACCCCCCCCCTCGAGAGTTTGCCCTACTTCGACGAGAAACCATGGTATAAGGACGACGTTTTTCTGAGGTCGATGGATGCTCCGCAGCCGAGCCTCCAGGCTTTCATTCTAAATAGGTTCAAGGACCAAGATTGGGCCCGGATGGCGGATGAGACGGAGATGAAAGCACGCTACGACGCAAATTATACTCGGTACCTTCGATTTACCCTGTCAGATGATCCCGTCGCCCTGAAGAGCCGTGCGAAATTTACTTGTGTGTCTGGATCTTCTGAGGCAAGCAGCCATAAACCCGGTTTCCACGAATCAAAGCCTGAGGGGACAAGGCGGAGCCGGTACGCGTCAGAGCGCGACCTGGAGAGGATATTAGAGGAATCACGACGTGTAGAAGACGAGAAGAGGGAGCGACAGATGCAGGCGGAGAGAGAAAGGTATAGGACCGAGAAGGAGGCGGTGCTTCCTCGTCAGTACCAAGTGCCGGAAGAACGCGAAAATGATTTCTACCGCGACGTCACAGGCCTTATTCAGGCCGAGAAGACCGTGGCGGCCTGGCAGCTTTTGCCGCCTGTGGATAACTTCACCGAAGAAGAGACGGCCTCGTTCGAAAAGGCCTATCTCGAGTTCCCCAAGCAGTGGGGCCGAGTTTCCGACCCGCTGCCAAATAGGGACTTTGGGACCAGCATCCAATTCTATTACCTTAGGAAGGAGAAAAGTCAGCTCAATCTTAAGGAAAAGCTCAAGAAACGGCCGAGACAGCGTAAAAAGGGCGGCCGGGGTAAGCAACGGTCTAGCGCGCTGGTATCGGAACTTAGGACTGGGGATAACGACACGGAAGAGACGCAGGATACAGGGGAGAATGGCGAGAGGCGCCGACCTCGCCGTGCGGCCGCTCCTACCTTCAACTCGGAGGCCACCCCTGCCACAGACGGCGAGGGCGGGACGCCAAATGGCACCCCCGGCCGCAGGGGAGCCGGTGCGAAAGGAGACGGAAGCGCCGATAAGAGCGAGCGCAAGCCGAGAGGCCGCCGAGCTGCGAAGGATAAGGAACCTAAGCAATCCCGCGTCAACCAGACTCTTGCTGCCGCTCCGCCTGCGACTACTAAGAGTAACCGTTCGCGGTCGAGCTCGAGAGCTCAAGGCTCGGAATGGGCCTCGCAACAGACACCAGCCGAGCCCGCCAGAGGCCCGGCCCAATATGAGCTGGCTCCCAACACCGCGGCCGTCCAACCCGTGGCTATAGCTGCCCCATTCCCACCCGCGCAGGCCGTTATTACCCCTGAAAGAGGCGTTCCTCCTGCGCCTGCGCCTGCGCCTACGCCTCCTGCTTCGCAACCGGACGCGATGGCACCCCCGCCGCTGCGCCCGGAACCGCCGCAGCAACCCTCGGTCTCGATGATTGATCTCGGTCAGACGACAACGCCGGACCGAAGGTCAGGCACGCAAGCATCTAGCTACTGGAGTGTACCTGAAGCCAACGACTTCCCCCAGCTACTCCGAGCCTTTGGGAGCGATTGGGCGGCTATTGCAGCACACATGCGAACCAAGACTCCCGTCATGGTAAGGACTCCGCGTAAGATCTATCTCAGGCTCTAGTTCATAATATCTAACTGCTCACAGGTTAAAAACTACTTCCTACGACGAAAAGATGCTCATGACTGGGAGGGAATCGTCCACGAAGCAGACGGCAGGAAACTTCGAGGAGAGAAGAGACCGGCACCTCCTATCCCGAGCTCCGGTGTGAAGAAGCGGTACGAACCTCCAAGCAATCGTCCACTCGCATCTGCGGACACGATAATGGAGGATGCTCCGGCGCCAAAGCTTGAGCACCAAGCTCCCCAGCCGACGACCGCACGCTTTAATGTCCCAATCCCGATCGCGGCTCAGCCGCAACCGACGCTCATCCCGTCGTCGTTTGTCGCCCAAGCCCAGCCCCCAATGGCACAGAGTCATACCTCTACGCCTCCCGGACCGCAACCTCTTCAACTAGCGACGCAAGCTAGTATGTCTCCAGTTCCTCGGCCTGCCAGGGCGCCTTTGCCATACGCCGAGAGAGACCGAGAGCTGCCTACCCAGCAGCCCGCTCGCGTTCCTACCAGTCAGAAGGCTGCGCATCCGGCGCCCTCGCCAGCACCCGAGCCGCATTCTAGACACCCTCTGCCTACAGCCATGGCCGAGCCACAGCCTGAACGGCCGAAAGTCGAGCCTAAAGCGCCAAAGGAGCAACCCCGGCATCAAGATCGCCAGCCGCTGCGTGTGAAACAGGAACCGGATATGATCCACCAATACGATCACTTCACCCCCCAGGCTCCGGCGAATCGCATGGCCCCATCCCGCGCAGAGAATATGTCATTGTCTCGCCCCCCCGAGCCCCCTCGTGCAACGGTAACTCCACAGGCGCCATTTGCTACTATGCTACAACAGTCGCCACATGGACGGAGTCTGCTGGGCGAGAGCCATCCCTCCCCGCCGGCCCGTCCCCGTCCGATCCCGAATCTGTCTCGGCCGCAATCCCGTGCCAGCGGTGGGTCGGAGCCGTTCAGTGCTCCACCAGCGCAGCCCGCAGTTCCGGTTGTTGTTCCCGCGCCATCTCGACCCCCGGAGCGTAAAACGTCCAACTTGATGGCTCTTCTGAACGACGACCCGCTGCCGGCTCCTCCCAAGAGAGTGACTGAGATACCTTCAGTGACCAAACCGTCATCGACACCGCCCCCTCAGTCTAATCTCTCTCGTCCCCCTCCGCCGCCACCCCCGTCCTCGCAAGTTCGCCGGGAATCGGCGGTCTCGGACGCCCAAGTTTACGGGTACAGTCGGAATCCCCCCCCGGCGCCGTCTGCTATACCGTCTCTGAAGCCGTATACATCTGGCTCGCCTCAAGCTCAGCCGGTGACAATCACTCACCATATGCCTCTGGAAGCGGATCAATACTACAATAATCGAACGCGCTCTTTCCCCTCCGCGCACCAACCCCCGACGGCTGGCTCCCCCCAGGCTGCTCATCGTTATCCGCCTCCGAACCAGCCGCCTCCGATGTCGTACCAGGCCCAACCGTCGTTTCCCTACGGCGCCCAAGTCCCGCCACCCAGTGTTGCGTCCCCTCCACCTCAATATGGCGGACATCCATCCGTCTCGAGGGGCCACGAGCCCCCTCAGTCTAGTCGAGACGCTGGTTGGCCCGGCGCGCATCAGAGCCACCATCTGCAACACCAGTCCCAGCCGCCGCCACCACAGACAGGAGGAGGATGGCCATCGCATCCTCCGCAGCCACCGAAATCCACGCAGCCTCCGCCGACGCAGTCAGCCTGGGCTGCGCAGCACGCGCCTGCAACTGCGCCAAAACCTCCGCCGCCTAGCAGTTCCGTTCCTCCACAGCCGTCTTGGGCCACGGCCCCGCCACCTCCAAGAGGTCACGACCCCATGGCGCTTCGTGACGTCCGAGACATCTACCAGCCTCATAGGATGCAAGCTCCCTTGCAAGCACCTTACACACCCGGTTCACGGGCGCCCGAGCCACCGCAGGCACCGGCGGGATATCCTCGTTATGCGAATACGCCCGTCCCCGGACGAGACCCTCGCGACCCGGGTCCGCCGAGAAGTTATACTCCCGTGAGCGCTTACGATAGTAGAGGCTACCCGCCCCCCGGGCAAGAATTGCGCGATGTACAACTACGCGAGCAGATGCAACAGCGCTCAATCCTACAGCCACAACTGAGGCCTCAGGATAACAGGCACCTATACGACCACCCCCCAGATCGATATGGGAGATAGGGAAACCCAGATCACAGTAAAGTGCCGGAAGGGTCCTTAAAGGAACCAGTCCTAGTTCTGACGATTTCCGTCCGGTTAGATAAGCTTGCGTTAGGCTGGATGGCTGAACGCCAACCCTCCGCGCTGTCGCGCCCTATATAGTGACTTTCCCCCTTGATGGACGGCTTGGGCGCAACACACACGGCCATTTTTGTCCCACCAGCCTGACTCAGATAACCATACGTACCAGCCCTTTCGGCGCTTCCCCAATTTTTATCAGCTTCATACCGATGCGCCATCTTCCCTTACTCTGTTTCGAGGCCGGCCCCAACCCGTTTGATTCGGTTTGATAACGTCTTAGCATTGGTACGATGCTATTTGACCATTGCCTTCCTATCCCTAAGAGTGCGAGGAGGTAGGGGGTTAGGGTAGTGAGTGGAAAAGGGGAAAGGGGGGAGGGGGTAAGGCGGTTGTTTCTATCGACGACGGGAAGGAGAAGGTAGACGGGGGAGTGGCCCAGATGCCGAACAGACGGCACACGTGAGAGGTGTCATCTATCTCGGTGGACGCAACGCACAAGGGAGACTCAGCTACACACATGTGCAGTCTTCCAACGTACGCAGTGCGTTAGTGTACATATACCTAAGCTCGTCTTGCTAGTCATGCTCAGACCGGCATCCTGTTTAGATTTTACTGCTGCTACTACTGCTACCATTATTATTGTTGTTGACACTATTACTACTTCTTGTTGCTACTACCGCTGCGCTGCACACATCTCTGCGTTAAGTATCTGCCGACGATGAACCGCACGACGAGCCTTGGTTATGGGAATATCCATCACGCCTCTGCCGCAAAGGACCAATCCTGTCTCTGTTTTGTTTTTGACTACGAGAAAGGCCGCGGGACATCGTTGAAAGCGCGGTCTAGGCCCAGAGAATCTACGCGAATCAAATTGGTCAAACGTCACGAGGAAAAACGGGAAGGGGGGTAAGGACTCTAGATGGGCGTATATACTGTATTATAGCATAGGCGAAGTCGAGACGACGCCAGTCTAGACCTTGCATATAGAACACTCAATTAGGGGGTATCGAACGAATTACCTAATTCTCAGCTATGGAAATCTACGACGAGCCAACGGAACCGTGTCGCGTGATGCGAAGCACATATCAGGTACATTGCGGCGCGCCCAGTTCCCCTCTTCCCTCCGCTGGCGCCCCCTCCGAACTCACGGCCGGGGGGAGTAAGCGAGCAGCAGCAGGGCCCTGCTGACGACCGCTGCAACCGCGGCTAGCACGGCGAGAGCGGCAGCACCAGCAGCAGCAGTCGGGGTCCAGGACCAGGTGCGGGCGGGGGCGCGCAGCATGCCGTCGAGGACGTCGTCGAGGCGGCGGGCCATCTGGTGGGCGCCGAAGCGGTCGCGGGCGCGGGCGGCGCCGGCGCGGGAGAGGGCGGCGAGCTCGGCGGGGTCGGCGGTGTGGAGGACGTGGTGCATGACGGCGGACCAGGCGGGGGGGTCGGCGGCGGGGCGCAGCCAGCCGGTGAGGCCGTCGACGACGGTCTCGGTGGGGCCGCCCTCGTCGGCGGCGGCGAGGACGGGCAGGCCGGCGAGCATGGCCTCGACGGGGACGATGCCGAAGTGCTCGCCGGCCGGCGTGTAGACGAGCAGGCGGGCGCTGGCGAGCAGCGCCGCCTTGAGCCGGTGCGGCACCGACAGCAGGAACAGCACCTCGACGTCGTCGGGCACCTCGAGCGCCGTCGGGTGCGTCTGCGCCGTCATGGCGCGCAGCCCGAGCGCCTCGGCCAGCCGCGCCAGCTCCCGGTGGTACGCCACGTTCTCGGCCACGCGCGGGTCGTAGCCCCCCGCCAGCACGAGGCGGACGCCGCGCCGCGCGTCGGCGCCGAGCCCGGCGAAGGCCCGGATGGCGAGGCCGACGTCCTTCTTGCGCTCGAAGCGGTTGATGCTCAGCAGGAACTTCTTGCCCCCCCACAGCGGCTCGCTGTCCCCGGGGCCCTCGACGCCGTCTCCCTGCGCCTTATCCGCGGCTGCGGCGGCGCCGACGCAAGGGTACACGACCTGGAGGTCCTTGCGGCGGGCGAGGCCGGGCCAGGTGCGGCGGACGACGCGCTTGGTGAACTCGGAGTTGACGGCGACGGCGTCGGCGAAGCCCATGCTCCACTGCTCGAGCCAGTCGAAGGGCAGGCGGTAGGCGCGCTTCCACCACCGGCCGCGGCCCTGGACCAGCAGCAGGTCCGGGAAGTGGCAGTAGAAGAGGACGCGGCCGCGCGGGCGGAGGAGCTGCAGCAGCGGCAGCCCCGCGCTCAGCTGGTCGACGAAGTAGGCGTCGGGCTGCAGCGCCCGCAGCTCGGGCGAGAGGTGCACTTGCAGGATCAGGTGCAGCTGGCGGAGGATGGAGCACAGGATGCTGAAGCGCGAGAGGATCGACGGCGGGATGATGGTGTTGCCGCCCACGCGGACGTCAAGAGTGCCTAGACACGCGCAAGTAAGCACGATAGGCGCATGTACGCCGATTGGCGGCGCGACTTGTAGCAGAAACGGGGGGGGGGGGGGATGTAGGTTGCCTACCATCTCGGGCCTCGTCGAAGCAGTGCTTCCGGTCGCAGTGGCTGGTGAACAAGACGACCTTGTGCCCGCGGTTCTGCAGACCGACGGCGGCATCGATGACGAGTCGTTCTGCGCCGCCTATTCCGAGGTCTGGGTGGAAGAAGAAGATCGTCTTGCTGGTAGCCTCCCTAGTCGTCTTTTCTGCCATGTTGGGAGGAGCCGTTGGGTAGACGCAGCCATAGCTTGGAGAAACAAGGCAATTTTTGGAGGTTGCCGGAAGGAGGAAACGTTGCGGCTCAAACAGGCCGCGTGGCTTTAATTCCTTTTCGTACGCCCCCTGACGATTCATTCAGCCCTATGCAAAACCCCCACTGCCGTTTACTACCTCCTGTCAAGTACCTACCTACCTCTACCTGGGTACCTTAGGTACCTACCTGTACCTAAACCTGAGGTTATTAGTACCTGACGTTGAGAAGTACCTATATGTAGGCAGGTACCTACACTACCTCCTAGGTACCTAATATATTTACATCGCTCCCGGTAGCCGTCGATAGGCGCCTTAGGTACCTCCTCTAGGTGCCATCTTCCCCGCAAAAGTCATGTTATATGCCAGCGCCCTTATGTACCTAGGTACCTGGTCCATTTGCTTTGCCTTTGATTACGGATAGGTGCATACGAGGCCCATACAACTTAGCTGCCTATACAGATACAGGGGTTAACCTGGGTAAACGTAGTGAGACTCTTACCGCGCCTTATTTATAAATACGTACGACAGGCAAACCCTGCCATTATTATCGTAAATCATTTTCTGCAGCCGTCGGTCTCAAGACGCCCAAATATGCGGCTGCGGTAGAAAGAAAAGCGTCATAAATTACAACCCGACCGAACCGAGGGAGCGCCAGTCCGTGGACCGTGGACCGTAGACCCCCGTGACCCTGGACATACCCATGCGCCCTTCTACGGAACCCCCAGACTTCATGGTATCGACGAAGAATCAAAAATAGTCCGGCAAGTCTAGCTTCTTACCCGCCCACTGACCGATTCACCTATTCCCTCAATCGCTGATATAACTTTCATCATCATCATCCTCCTCCTCCTCCTCCTCCTCCTCCTCCTCCCCCTCCTTCTCCAACGCCGCCTCTTGGCCTTGCCTGCGCGGTGTGATCAGCCCTAGCTCGTCGCGCACGTCCTGCTGGATTTTCAGGAAATACTTCCTCAAGGTTGCGAGGCCACGGAGGAAGCCATGGTCTGGCTCGTTCGGATGCTTCGGTGGGCACGGCTTGTCTCCGCCCAAGTCTCCCGACGTGACGCTGTTTGCAAAGTCGGCCATCTTGAAATCAATCTCTTTCTTGTTTCTGCGTCGTCTCCTAGCATCCCGCGTGTCCTCCGTGTCCGTCGCAAAGTCGGTGGTGGAGTCATCGACCACCGTGTCATAGCCCTCGTCGGACGTGTCGGCATCGTAGAACATGAGGAGGCTGGCCGCGTAGAACCGGTAGCCCTGCAGCCGACGGATAGTCATCTCAAGTTGGTTCAGTTTTTGTATGATGGTGGGGATGTGCTTTAGGACACTGCTGTAGTCCACGCCGTCGTAGAGGAACATGGTGAGCGCGTCCTGAAACTCTTCGCCGGCCTTGAGAGTCCGCCCGTAGTATTTGTCCTTGAAGATATATGTCTGCGATTTGGCGTCCCAGGACTGGAGCCCGCAAACTCGCACCCCCAGCTTCCTCGACGTAGTCGCGGCACACTTTCGCTGTTGCGACTCTCGCTTTTTCGGGCTAGCCTCGACGCCGTACTGCCGAGTGCCCATCTTTAGGTCCATGATGCAAGGCCTTTTCATGCCGGCAGTGAGGTCCTCGAGCAGAAGGAAGTACTCGACTCGCGAGCCGGGCTGCTGTGTCTGCGCTTCCTTCGGGTTGACCGGCCGTGTAATCCTCTTTAATTCCATCGTCGGGCTCGGGAGTTCCGAAGGGACCTCCGACGAGAAATTCGACCGATAAATAGAGCTGCCCGTCGCATTACCGTTCTTGACAGCGTCGTCGCCGCCTTTTTCAACCCCGTTCCCGTCATTAGAGAGCATGCTCAGCGCTCCATGTGTTCCGCTGTCATTTAGGTATTCGACATCATCCGGGTCCTCGAAGTACTTCAGATTGCCACGAGATTCCATCACATCCTGCGGTCTCCGCCGGAGTTTGCTCCCCGAATTGCGTCTTTTTCGCCTTTGCTGGTGAAACTTCTCTGACCACGTTTCGGGCTCTGGGGCGCTCGTTCCTGTGACATCCTCCACGCGATCCACGCTCTCTACTCTAAGATAGCTGGAATCCGCACTCGTGTCACTTTGGCCCTGCAAGAGGCGTGGGGGAGCCTTTGACAATGGTGTTTCGTAGGCTTTTGGGATGCCATTTCGAGCGTCTTCCCGACCAGTCGAAATATCCCCAGAGCTTGCCGGTCGTTCGATTCGATGTACTGATCGCCGAGGAATCGATCGCTGCTGAGATGCGGGCCTCCGATGTTTATGGACTGCGATAGGCTGCTTCAGAAATGCGTCGTTGAAAACCTCGTTCCGTAGCCTCTTGTTAACAGTTGTCGCACCCCAGCTATTTGCATGTTTATGTTCTAGAGAGGGCCGAGTCGATGCTACTACCCCATGGCCTGACGGTCGGCTACTGTCATCGCTAGCATAATGCCGTCCTAGGACTGCGGACGCACTCCACGGGCGGCCGGCGTCTCCAGATGACACTACAGGTCGGAGTAAACTTCGGGGAAGTATATGTCGGTTATCGACGAAAGTGACGGTAGGGATCGGTGTCAGCGTTGATTGTAAGGATTGGCTAATTATCCTGCGGTGATGACGCTGTTCCGGGACGTCCGAGCCCTGTGATGGTCCCAGGCTAACGCTTCCGTTCGTGTTATTCGACTGGCCGTCTTGTTCGCCTGCTTTTTTCTCTGATATCTGGCCATCGTTGTTCTTGATCGTCGACCTTCGTCGTGGCTGTTTCTGGAATGTGACATTGAGGACGCCGATATATCTAAGGGAGACAGCAGTTAGCATTTTCTCGTTCCAGACAGATTCGCAATCTGCCCTACTGAAATGGTGAAGGAGGTTGGACATGGGCGGCAAGGTAGACAACTACACACCTCGGCAAAAAGGGTAAAAGATCACGATGCCATCGTTCAATTCTTTCATAAAACTCGTTCTCTCGGTTGTTTAATTGCTTGCAGACAGCTCTCTTGGAAAATCTCCATATAGTTGTATGACCACCAACCTGATGCTTATAGGGAATAAGCTCGATGGCCTCAAGGGGTAGCTTTGGTTCAAGTGGGAGCTCATGAGCCACATCTGCGCAATACTGAGACACTGATCGGGACTCAATTTCATCCTCGACAGCACATTCATCATCTATTCGTGGGAAGCTTTGAACACGCGGAGCAGTGTGATTATTACGGTCAATATTACCACCGTCCGCTCCATCGGCTCTTGCGTCATCTTCAGCTTCAGGCTCATCTGCTTTAACCAACCAAGGATGGAAATCCTCACTGTGGGGTTTTCGTGAGGATGGCTGAAGCCCATGAAAATCTTTGGGAACGGCATTCCCGTTCTCCGAAGACAAATCTAAGCCCTGATGGGGTAGAAATACAGCAGAGGATATCTTTTCTTCAGACGACTCCTCGCCTTCTTCGGCGACTTCGCTGGTTTCTGTAGCGTCGCTTGGTTTTCGGTGGGCTTGCGCAACGTCCTCATCAGGCTTAACAGAACTGTCATATGCGTCATGGACGTACTTCTTGGGTACGGCCGGTCGCCCCAAGGGAGATGAGCCTTGCTTATAGTCGGCAATATCTTTCCGTGGGTTTGACGAGCCAAAGCGGTCGAGTTCGGCGACGTCGCGGGGACCTGCTGTGTGACCGGGCGGGCCCCATGTGAAAGAACGCGAGGTTGGCAGGCGGGAAGACTGTTCGCTGTCAACAGGGCGAGGTGGGGGCGTTGGCGTCTGCGAGGCACAGTAATCGTCGTCAGGTTGCTTCTGGTGATGCGCATCTGTCAACAGTCCTTTAGCAAGCAATGGCTTGTCCCTTTGAAGGCCTACCGATCTCGATTCTCTCCGCCTGCTTGTCTCTTCTGGGAGGCCTTCCTTGAAAAATCTCAGACTGTGGCTTGCTTTTCGACTACGGGTCGGTTCGACACCCGCTAGCACCTCGGTGATGGACTTCTCGACCTGCCCGTCTTGATGGCCGATCTTATCGCTGGCACCAATAGACCAAGCCTTCTCCGGGCCCATCGAGAGCGTACGCTCAACTCGCCATGCCCTATACTGAACCCGCGAGTCGGATACGGATTCGGCCTTGTCGTTATGGGAAGGGGCGATATCGGCGACACCAACGGCATGGGAGAACGAAGTATCACCGATGTTATCAGCATACGGCTTAGGGCTATTCGGTAAATGCAAACGGATTTCCTTGTCGGTGCGCTCCAATGACCGGCCTCGAATCCTAACACCCTCGTCATAGTTCCCATCGTTCAAGAGCATCGTGCTGGCGCTTGTAGTGCTAGGCATCGCTGCGGGCCGAGCAGATACGGCGTCTGCCGTCGGATACAGAATCGAAGACGGCGACGCAGATATCGTGCTCGCAGGCTCGGAAGTCTGGGGTTCACCCTGCGGGTCAGCTAACGCGGGCCCGATGCGTGCCCCGGATACATTGCGAGGTTGGCTCGGTTCGTGAGAGTGTGCGATGGGCTTCTGCTCGGGACCTCGCTGGTCTGCCTGGGAGGCATGGGAAGGCGGAATTCCACGAGCAGAAGCGAGGGCCTGGGTTAGCAAGGACGGGCCATTGGATCTCTGGAGAGCGGCGGGCGGCCGCGATTTCTTATTGTTTTGGTCGGCATGGTTGGCGGCCAGGGATGATGGGAGGGATGTGGACGGGGACGGGGACGGGGATGTGGACGGCACATGGGAGCCAGGAAGAACTGGCACGACAGGCGAGATACTTGCATCTGGTGGTGCATGGTCGGATATGGAGGATGAGCCAGTCACAGCGAGGGACGAGGAGGATGGGCTGCCAGCCGCCGTCCCAGTGGTAGCAGCGACGGTGCTGGGAGTACCGGCGGCCACACCTTGGGGGCTCACCGGCGCGGCAGATGCGGCATTTCCGGGATTACGAGACGGGCAGGACATGAGGAAAACATCTGGCGAATACCATGGCAATGTGGGAGGAATGATTCGCAGGAAATGGAGCGGGTGGTATTCGGGTCGAAACAAGTCAATGGGAAGGATGTGTTAGAAGGTGAGTTATCAGCCTAGGCCAGGTAGGTAAAGGGCAGGTTAGGTGGTTATGGGCGGGCGCCGATGTGTTGGGTATGTAGGGAGGTACGTACCGGCCGCAGAAGGTTAGAGATTTAGGTAACTGCTGAAAGGTCGCAAAGCCCTAAAGACACAGCGGCCCTGCCGTTCCCCGTGCACGCAATGCAGGCATGCACAATTCCGGAGGGGCGAAGCGCACAACAAACCCGTCTAAATTTCAGGCAGGTGGCCAAAGTGGGGGAGTCCTCCTGCCTGGCTCGCTTCGACCGACCTCAGGAGGTACCGCAATGTGGGCCGGTACTGAGGAGATACACCCCCCCCTTCTCACTTCCATCCCACCCAAATGCGTCGGTTATCGGGGGCCTCTGTTATCGCCCAGCCTGCCTTCGACTAATGCTGCCGCATTTCCGTGCGCCTCGGTACATGTAATATACACCACACTTAAACATTGCCTCATATTAGGTATATTACGCGTACCGCCTGCTGAATAAATTCCGTGGCGAAAGCTGGTAGGAACGGTGATGTGCCCGCCCTGCCTCACGAGTTGGCGTCATCACCCACAACTTTAGGTACCTAGGTACATAGGGGCGTTTGGGTGTGGTACACTAATTGTAAGTGCGGCGTTGTAAGCTTAGGTACCTGTCATACAGGTACCTACCTCTAGATACCTAGGTACCTAACCTAGTTGCCTCGAGTCCAACCTGATCTCATCGTCCAACACCAGCAGCCCACGTGCTGGCTGGCCAGTGACAGATGATGATTGCAACACCGAACCCGTTCTCGTCGTCGATTGCCCACGTCTTTCGTTCTTCCCTGCTCTCCTTTTTTCTCTCTCGTCAAATTCACCCTCCGCCGATACGACCTCACTGCATGGGGAACAGTTCCGTCCATACGCAACCATCACCACTCCCCGCATCTATTGGGCCATCTTATCCCGCCGGTACCACCGGACCTTGTTCGTCAAAGAGTCGTCCAATCGGTATTGCCAATGCTGGTGCAATCCACTGACCGCTCAAAATCCAGAGTACGCATCAAAGCCTCCTGTCACGACGATGAAGACGACGCAGTCTGCGAGGCTAATCCTGGTCTCTTGAAATCGCTGACCGCCAACACCGCAGCCGAGAGTTCCTATCTCCTTCAAGATTCGATAGGCTTGCCTGAGCACTTTGTTGCTCTCCGTCATTCGAGAATCGGGGTCACGTTGCTGCTCCCTCGCTTCTTACAGGCCACGGCAAGGTAAGCCCTCGACAAACGGGAGCATGCTTCGCAAAAGAGCTGGCCCGTGTGCCACAGACATATTCCTGGCAGCGACACAACGAGCCAAGGCCCAGGCGGTGGCTATCACGAGAGGGATGCCTTTCACCAAGAAACGCGCCCCGTCGTTTGTACATGGCTGAGACTAGTACGTCTTCAGCCATGCCCCGTATCGCCCTACCGACAGATTTATCTACATTTATGCCCGAGACCGCGTTTGTCTATGCAGTGTATACCCATCATAGGCGGATTACCGTTTATCACCTACATCGGTAATTATTCCTGGCGGCCAGCAATCAGGGTGTCGGGATGAAAAAAAAACTCCTGATGCCAAGGCACATGACTATCCGGGTACACCTATGCATACATACATGTAGTACCTGGAGGGTCATAGCCATAAGAGAGGCGTAATCTGGCTATAGCTCGCAGCCACGCATATCACGGCAATGGCATCCGAGAGTCCCAAACACCGAGCGCATGGACCAGGACTTTCAAGCAGGACATACTACGTGGTGCGTGCTATGTCGGCCTCAGACGCCCCAAACTGCGTATATCGAGCACGGAACCACACACGGAGCCATACTCCACGGATGGTTTGCTGATACCGACAGAAACATCTGGGTCTAGACCCCCTCCTTTGCTGTTCGCGGACCTGCACACCTCGAGATCGGTTTTCAGCCAATCGTTCGGCAACGTGCCCTCTCAACCCTGTCCCACTCGAAGGATTCGAGTAGCCGTCGAGATCCCCCGGCTCCCATCAGACTACTCCAGGGATAATCACATCAAGATCGGATAATCTTCTGTCGGTATATGGTCGGATGGACCCGAGGTGCCCCTATCTCCGATGTTTTATGTAGGTACCACACACTTGCACGTGGTCCAACGACAAGACTAGCCCGGTCTCTACATGCGTATACATGGGGACATAGATGCTCGGGACGCCGCCCCAAAGTTTCACGAGGCCTACATACGTAGATAATCCCAGGTCGGCCCGGCAGCTTGTACGACTTGGATGGCGTGTCTTCGTCATTGAATTAACGTAGCCTATACAGAGCCACATGCTGTGCTCTAGGTTATCGTCGCCGAAGACTAACTAGCCACGTCCAGGTCAAGTCGGGACATTGAAGTAGGGTCCGTTATCCACGCGTGTTGACGTTAGGACGCGTCCGTAAACATCTTCTTGACCCAGTTTCTAATGAAGGTGTCGGACTCGTCGGGATAGCTCTTTGCCACCCCGCTCCTCGCTTGTTGCATTAGGATCTGTAAACTTGGCCTGTCGTGAGGATTATGCCTCATGCATGCTGCTATTGTCCGGCGGAGCTCAAGATCGACAGACGCGTACTTCTCGTCAGTCATGAGTAACGAGCAATAGCTAACCGAGGTGAAAGGGCCGTCTTGGTGCGGTTCGGGCGGCGATGGAGGATAAAAACCAGTTATCATCATCCACATCGTCTGTTCAGATGTCAGGCCTTAATCCAAACTGTGGTTGCGTTCTTGGGAGGTGTATTACTTGCGCAATGCCCCAAACGTTCATCGGTGATCCATAGTTACCAGCAACAGCTTGTTCGGATATCTCAGGGCCGGAGCCATCTTTGGGTGCTACGAATTCCCACTCCAGTCCGAATTGCTCCGGAGCAAAGAACCCTTCCTTTCCGACCTGGCGGAATGCTAGGTAATAGTAACTGCGTTGCGATTCCTCTGATCAGCTCCAGAATTTATCGGGGAGATGACGGGGGATTCGTATGAAATCGTCGGGACGAAGGGGTTCATGACGTATTACATACTTTCCCTTATCAGGCTTGATCTCTTTTGAGCAGCCGAAGTCCGCGATCTATAGATACGTCGTCCATAGTCAATACATAGCACATACATGTAGACTACTAGTTAGCTCTGGTAACTTGAAACACGCACTTTCAATCGAGGGACTAGCTCGTGCTCGCCGTCTCCGGCACCGACGTCGAAGCCACCAACAAATACTAGTTAACCGTGAGACACTATTCGTCATCCGAGATCTCTGAACAGTGGCGTATGGAAACACCTTGACTCACTATTCCTAGGGTCGATGTCGAAGTGGACCAGACTTTTCCTTTTCCCTGCCCACCTACGAGTAAGAGGGGGGAGGTCTTCGAAAAGGTCGTTGCCGAGGACCTTCCAATTAGGCTGTCCGAGGATGGTTCCGGCATGTGCCATTTCACCTTCCATACTTCCGCTTTGTTCGGGCTTCTTGCGGCGCCGAGGATGGAACTTCCGCGGGGGGTATCTATAACCGCTATTAGTATGATGTGAGGTTTGCCGTGTTGTGTATCTGGTGATTCTATGGGGTCTATATCACGGAGGAAATGTAAAGGTCCACACCCCCTATTTGGAGACATAGGCCTGCATATAGCTTCCTCTACACGATAACTGGTAGCGAAGCACGTGCGTCTACTGCACCAGAGGGCGATGGGCATTAAAAGACACTCTGGGGACCTGGGCCACTCTTACTCCATAGCAACACAGGCTTTAACCACTAGTGACTTTGGTCAGCCAAGATATAGGTCGGGGAGGGGGAGAGCCAAGACACACAACAGGACCAAAAGGACCACAGAACACGATTGGGGACCTTCTCGCCCAAGTCGTTGATCTTGTAAATGAGATGTGCTACGTCGCCATTTTCCATAAATTCCAATAACAGATAATCCATGCGTAGCACGTCCAGGTCAGACGGGAAAGAAAGGTTCGGAAGGCCAGTGGCCCTCAAGTGGTGTATTTGGTGGATTCGGAGGCTTCGATCCATGATCTTTTTCTTCCTCGTTGCGGTCCTTTCTCGCCACTTCTTATGCTTCTCATTCATCGCTGCAGCGTCATTCCGAAGTCGCCATCTCCTCCGCTTTATCGGCGGCTTGTCGACGGGTTCATCCTCGCGACTCTCCTCGCCGCTCGACTCCCCTTCCTCGGAACTCGAGTCTAGAAGATCCGGAGGCTCGAACTCAAACGGCTTGTTGGGGATCACGTTGAGCTCCGTAGGGTCAATTCTCTGGATGCAATGGGCAGCGCGGGCCACTTTCTAAATGTGAGGGGGTGGAGTGGTCAGAAACACGTATGTGGGAGCAATATGCTCATGGTGATCGAGTAGGGTCACCTTTGTCATTTTCTCTTCACCGCGAATGTCGGAGTCCTCCCAACCGCGAAGAGCCACTTTCACGACGATGTCTCGATCCGGCACTCCAGGATGCTGGCTCTTCTGCTTGAATTGGGCTGTTAAGCCCAACCCACCATAGCCCAGAGGTCTTACGAAGATGAATGGACCCCGTGTGTCAAATGTGTTCTTGGTTTGGCGCAATCTTTCTCTCGCTCTGCTCATTTTAGGATTGTCGTCAGGTTGCGGCGCATCGAGGATATTAGCCCCCGGTAACCGTGGCAAGTATGGCTTTAGGGGGGGTTGCAGTATCGGTTGGTCGACAGGGACGAGCATCGTCTGCCTCCCGGGAAACGGATGGGCCAACCATGCTGTTCGATTCAAGGCTAAATAGTCATTGTTGTAGGCAGGACCTAGGCCCTCTGTCCGATATTTGTGGAATCTCCAATTTCGAGCCCGATACATCTCTTCGAAGTTCCGCGGCCAACGCGGCGGTTCTAGATAACCTTCGGCTTGCGCCATCGTGCCGTCCGAAATTAGAAGTCAACTTTTCGATACGCGCGATGTTCTGCTAGCTTGGTCCGACGAGGCACTTGAGGCGTTCCAGCCTGTGCGGCGCGATTTAGCTGGTCGTTTAAATCTGGCGAGTGTAATTTGAAACAGCGCAGCAGATACGGGCGAACTGGTCGTAGCTGGCACCCCTGCGGTGCTGTTTCCGGAGGCGGGAGAAAGCCATACTGGAAGGAGTTGCTATCTACGTGTGAAACAAACCCCTTCTCGAGTACCCAAAGGGGATGCCGGATCCGGGTCCCCGAGAATTGCGGCAGTGTGCTGTTGCTCTCCATACCAGACGGGCTTCGGGGATTTCAGGCGCACGGAGCTGAGTAGTTCACCAGCATCTCCCGCCAGACGCCCAACACTCTGGGTGGTTGTATTTTAAGTTTACGGCCTGTCGACAATCCTCTAGCTAGGTACGCTTGAATGCATTGTATGCTGCGATGCAACCCAACTGGGGCCGTTAGAGAGTATTTAGGTGGAATAGGCCGCGTTGGTAAGTTGGCTTGTCCTCTCGCCTTTGTGTGAACAAATAGGTAGTAGGTAAGGTCACACTATTAGGTATGCGACGTGCAACCCACCCACCCCTGTGGCACCTAAAGGCATCCAGGCATCCAGAATGGAGCCCTGCGATTGGTCAGATTGAAGAAAAACGCACACAGCTAACTGTTCGTAAAACGCTGTATTTAAGCCCTTTTAGCAGTTTAGTTTTTACACCTTCAATTGATCAACTAGGTTCAGCTTTCAACACGTCCTGCATGCCTTACAATTAAGGCAGCGAGGCTCCGAAAGTGAACCGCCATTACGCACACCCCCCTAGACGCTCAAGGTATGCATGTATGCGTCTACCGGATTTGGGGCCGAGCAGGTGCTGTTAGAATCCACGCTATTATGTGAGCAGGTAGAAGAGGCTTCTTTGATAGAGAAGGCGGAAATGATGGAAGCAGAAAGAACGCGGGAACGGTTCTAGGGAGTCCGTAGGCAGGTAAGGCTTACTAAAGCCGAGCGATCACCACGCGCGCATCGGTCCCGGATCCTACCTTAGGTACCGGGCATGTTCCCAGAGTCCCAAGAGGAGACACTACCTGGCCCATACTCGTCTAACGGGCAATTCACAGGTAAAACCTTCGGTACCGTACCAGACTGGGTCTGAGACGTGACCTCCTGGATCTGGCCCTCTCCGGCAATGCATGCCACATGTACCTAACGCAAGCAGCTACATGAAGAATGGCCTGGCCCTGTGCATGTACCCGTGTAGATACAGACGGGGTGGTACCTTGCCGATGGTACTTTGCGTGCCCGGTGCTGGTGGGTACTACACAGCTACCTACCTCCTACCTAAGGTAGTGGTGACTGGCCGCTAAAACAGATGGATCTGACGGGATCCCTCTGGTATTGCGTTACGTCTTCACTTCGTGCTCTCAGTTCAACTTCCCAAGCCTTACCAATCCTTTTTCTCCTCGTCCCTGTCCACCCGTCAACCGTTTTCCAACACCTAGTATTCCCTCCCATTACCCTTCTCCCATCCCGTTCCGTCAGCTCGGACACTCGGTTTACGAGTCCTGCAACCTTCGTCCGTGTTGCGACTCCTTTATGCCGACATATGCTTCATCTCTCTCTCTCTCTCTCTCTCTCTCTCTCTCTCTCTCTTCTCTTCGTCTCCGTCTGTCCCGCTCTCTTTTCTTCTCGCCTCTTATCATTTTCTTTTCTGTTGAGGCCCCATCGTAGGCTTCTCCGCGTTTCTTGAGGCCGCCACCAGTTGGACGCCACTATTTCGATGCCCACTCGTTCCCACTTAGAGTAGTGCGTCACTTTGTTGTTGGCCTGTGGTTGGAGAGCGTCGCGCCAAACGGACTGCGACAACAACAAAGATCGGGTTTGCCAGCTCCACGACCCGGACAAGGACAAATCGCAGCGCACACGTGCCGAATCTGGTGCCTCAATACAGGACATCGATCTTTTCGGGGCCATTGTTTTACGCCCCACCGGCTTTTGGCTTGCCTTCCTCCTCTACCCACCCTCAACCCTCCCCGGACAAGTGCGTTTATAACGCACACAAGACTCGAGCCGCCTTGGACAGGTGCGTTTATAACGCAAACCCACCCGCCTAGCCCTCTTATCATCATGCGTCGCGTTTCCGCAGATTTAACCGACCCCTGTCGAAATATCGAGGAGTCGGTAGGCATGCCGGACCCGTCATCATCTATTGATCCCGACCTGGATATGGAGCTGAGTGTGGAAGAGGAGGGTGCCCGAATCTATACCCCGCCTCCGCATATCGCTGCACGATTCTACCGACCTAGTCAAAGTCGCCGAAAGGACTCGGCCGCCTCGTCGCGCCGCAACTCCATCTCCTCTGCTCATTCCCGATCTTCGCACGGCTTTGCTCACCATGGCGGCCCCCAGAGCAAATACATCGCCCAACAGATGCGTCGCGCCTCTATCCTGGAGGACAGGAAAGCCCGCTTGGCCGACAGGGCGGCGCACGCCGAGAAAGTCCGCCTTAGAGCTGCCCTGGCAAAAGCTGGTCATCACAAGATCTCTAATTTGGAGGAGCGCGCGTTAGCTGCGGCACAGGCCAGGGAGAAAAATCTGGCCGAGATTGTTGCGGCGTGCGCCGAGGAAGTCAAGCGGGCTAAGGCGGTGGCCGAGAGCATGAAGGAGAAGAGAGAGCAGGAGCTTCGTAAGCTCAAGTCTCAGATGGAGGAGCGATTGGCTGAAGCTGAGAAGAGGAGGGAAGAGCTGCGTAACCGGCAGGCTTCTAGGCGCTCTAGAGGCCAAAGCTTGACAACTAAGAAATCCGAGAGCGGTAGTCTCCCGGAAGAAGAAGAACATGAATCCTCGAGCATGAGTGACATCGCTGTCATGAGCGAGGACGTGGCAGCATTCAAGATTCAGTGGTGGTGGAGAGGTGCGCTGAGAATGCGGGCGGTGCAGCAGTTCTCGGGATTGAGGCTGAACATTGACAGTGTTAGAGATACATCGTTTGATCAGGTGGCCGACCTTCTTGCTCAGGAGCGAGTGCTTTTGCTTACGGCGAGAGTATTGCGTATCTGTGGTTTACAGGAAGGGGAAGCAGGGTCAGTGGATGAGATGACGGCTGTCCGCACGTTCTTGAGTGCCTACTTGATCCTGGGCCACCCCACCCAGGTGCTGAGTAACAAGGATGAAAAGGGCGAACAGGAGCAGGTTGGATCCTTTCAAGGGCAGCCCATACCTCGTGATGATCTAGCTAATCCTCAATTACAGGATCTCGTCGCCAAGGCACGAGATTTGCTGATCTCTTTTGAGAACATACTCTCCCGATTGACCTCTATGAACAACCACACGCCTCCTCCATTGTTGCAAGGGGCCCTGTCGGAGTCATACGCGACTTTCCACAATGCCTTCATAGCGTGGAAGGCCCGCGATTCGAATGCGTTGGTCGAGGTCATGATCTTACAATTCGTCGAACTCGACGCAATCCTCCAAACCGTCAAGGAGCGTACTGAAGAAGCCGTTACCGAAACGTACCGGCAGAGTATCAAGGACAACCAATTGATGCTGATGGTTCGCATTAAACGACTTGCTGGTCCTGAACGGGGTAAGAAAATGATTTTCGAAGCTATCAAACAGGCGAGGAAGGCTCGGGCGGCAAAGAAGCCCGCGGGCGACATGAGACCGAGAGTCGCAGAGCATTCCCTGGACGACGGCAGCGCCGTAGGGGACCACGCCACAGCAGAGCACGTTGTTTCGTCGCAGCTGCAAACGCTCACGCCACCGTCCACCCCGCTTGCGGAGAGGGACCTGAAGCAAGCTATGATACAGTCGAAATATCCCCCGATACTGCCGGATAACCGAGTCATTGTTCACGAGCTAGCGATCGATCGAGAATATCGCATCGAATACCAGCATTTCCAGGAGCAGCACAAGCTACGTATGGATCCCCTCTTCGAGGATTTGAAAGTCGGCCCCAGAGACGAAGAAAAGGAATTTCATTATCTCATCATCATGGCCAACTACATCAGGGATAGGCTTCAGCATCTGGTTAGGCCAGGCTCACCCATGCACATCTTTATCGGCGAGATTCTCGACACCGAGGTCGCACAGCGGCAATTTCTAGCTGGCAGTTTCTCGTATGAGAAGTTCTTCTCCTCGATGGGATCGCTACTTCCCAAGCTCTGTGCGCCCGTCCGCGACGACGAGGTTAAGGACCTGATTGAGAACAAGATTAGCCAGGGTCACATCGTGGACCGCCTCGAGGCGCTCATCTCGTTTATCGACACGATGCTCTATGATTACGCCAACTATATGTTGCAGGTTGCGGCGCCAAATCTTGTCAAGCACGCTTCGGAGTATGAAGCCAAGAGATTCGCCGAAGAGCTAGACAGTGGCAAGGTCACACTATCTCGCGCCGAAGTTTCGTGGCGAAGCGCGCGTGCCAAGGTGCACGCTGATGTGGCGCGGCGGGACCCCGAGGGTATCAACCACCCGCGCTCACGGCCCACGCCGGACAAGATCTATTGGCAGATGCTGTTGGACGAGTTCACTCAGCCATCGCCTTCAGACGATACCATACCAGAACCCCTCGCCCTAGACACCAAGCGTCGTTCTCGCATAGGCGGCCGGATGATGCGTATCGTTACCGCCGGCGCTATCCTCCTACAATGCAAGAATCTTCTCAAGCGTGACGTTCGGACCCCCTGGAAGACGGAGGCCGGCCGCATCTTGAGTGTTCTCGAGTCCATGGACGACGATGTGAAACCGCTCCCACAGGCCACCGCGGTTCATGGCATCATGGCAGCGCTGGAGGCCGGACGGTTGATGCCGACCGCGACCAAGGCGCACCTACAAGCGCTCGTAACAAGAGTGCTTGCTGATAGCGTGGATACGAAGCGCGACAATACGGACCCGAGAGAGCCGGTGTTGAGATTGCTCTTGGCGCGGATAAGGGGCCATATACTGGCTAGGCTGCAAGCCGGCTCCGCAAGCGAGAAGGTGAAGGCTACTAGCATGGCCGGGGAGAAGCTTGCAGGTCTCGGACTCCCCGAGTTTGTAGAAAAGGTGCGAGAGGTGGTGGATGAAATTGTTAGGCTGGGGGCCGTGGATCGGGAGGCCCATGGAGTGTGGTGGGAGGAGCTGGCCGAGAAGGTGGAAAGAGACTCTGCTGCCAGCCAGTAGTCGCGCATATGCACATGCGCATGGTTGCATGACATCGATGGAGGAAATGCATATTGTCAATATCGGATGAAAGGCAATGAGCATACAGGGGGGAAGCGATTTGGGTACTTGGTTTCCGCATTTCGAATTCGGCACAGGGCGTTCCCCCCGGTGGGTATTTAACACGCATGCACGCACATGTGCTCGAGGACGGCGGTTCGGATGTTTGGAACCGTATGCGTGCGTTGTGGCGGGTTCACTTTTGTTGCTTCGCTGCTTTAAGAATAGGCATACAAAACGTCGAAAGCTGAACCTGGCTTATTGATTGAAAAAGGAGATAAAACTAAGCGTAAAAACAGCTAATTCAACAGCTTTTAAATACGGCTGCTTTTGCAGTTGAAGCGCTGTTGCGTTTCGTGCGTTTTGTGCCCTCGAGCTGCTTCGGACAGAATAGCCGTCGTAAAATGATTCCTATCGAAGTTACTCGTTACATCCCTAAAGTGGCATACAGAGATATATATATCTCCATGCAATATATCGAGTTATAGGCATCCAATCGAGATACCCGTCATGTACCCAATGAACAGGCACGTGACTTCGAGCTGGTAGGGCAGGACGCGCGCCGCGTTCCGAGTCTGGGCAGCTCCACCTTCTCGTTCCCTCTGGAGCTCCGTGAATTCAGCCTTCGAAGTAGGTAATTCAACAACAAATAATGATTATCCGCACTGCCTTTTCCCGTCGCGCATTTTGTACGGGAATGTGGTATTTGTGGTGATTTGGGCGGTAGTTTGGGGTGCATCTCTCTACGTACTGGCGTTGATTCGTCGCTCTTAACACGCCGCTTACCTCAACTTCCTCAACATGCCGGAATCACAGTTTACGGGTATGTCTTTACTACCAGTACTCACTTCTTTTCTCGCCCCGCAGATTGTAAGTTGACCATACCCGATGGTGTAGAGGCGGATACCATTCGCATTCTCGTTGCCACCGACAACCACGTGGGCTACGAAGAGCGTGATCCGATCCGTGGCGATGATAGCTGGAAGTCGTTCGACGAGATCATGAACCTGGCCCGGAAGGAGGATGTGGATATGGTGCTACTAGGCGGCGATCTGTTCCACGAAAACAAACCGTCCAGGAAGTCCATGTTTCAGGTGATGCGGTCGCTTCGGAAGAACTGTTTAGGTATGAAGCCGTGTGAGCTGCAGTTCCTCAGCGACGCGAACGAGATCTTCGGCGGCGCTTTTGGCCATGTAAACTACGAAGACCCCGACATCAACATCTCCATCCCCGTCTTCTCAATCCACGGCAACCACGACGACCCGAGCGGAGAAGGCAATTTTTGTTCTTTGGACCTGCTTCAGGTTGCGGGACTCGTCAACTACTTTGGGCGCGTGCCGGAGACAGATCGCATAGAAGCCAAGCCCGTTCTTCTTCAGAAGGGTCTCACTAAGCTTGCGCTGTATGGCATAAGCAATGTGCGTGACGAGCGGATGTTCCGGAACTTCCGTGATCATAATGTTCAGTGGTTCAGGCCGAATCAGCAATCTAGCGATTGGTTCAATATGCTTGCTGTTCACCAGAATCACCACGCACATACCGCGACCGGATATCTACCCGAAAATATGCTGCCTGAATGGCTGGATCTAGTCGTATGGGGCCATGAGCATGAGTGTCTGATAGACCCCTCCCACAATCCGGAGACGGGCTTCCATGTCATGCAGCCGGGGTCCTCGGTTGCCACATCGCTAGTCCCGGGTGAGGCCGTCGCCAAGCACGTTGCCGTTGTCAGCATCGCCGGTAGGGATTTCAGCGTCGAGAAACGCCGCTTAAAGTCGGTCCGCCCTTTCATGGCAGGCGAGATTGTCCTTGCGAGCGACAAACGATTCAAGGGTCTGGAGAAGAAGAAGGAGAACAGGCAAGAGCTTACGCGGAAATTGATGGAAGTCGTTGAGGAAATGATCGACGAAGCAAATGCCGAGTGGGAGTCCGTCCAAGATGGTTCTGTACTTGGCGGGCGACCACTGCCTTTAATTCGCCTAAAGGTCGAGTATACAGCTCCGGAGGGGGGCCACTACGATATTGAGAACCCACAACGATTCTCTAACCGGTTTCACGGCAAGGTCGCAAACACTAACGACGTAGTGTATTTCTACCGGAAGAAGACGGCACAGAGTAAGTGGCTCACCTGACACTGGGTGGCATTCCTAACCTTTAACAGAGAGGGGAAAAGCCGGCGGGGAACTGCCAGAGGAGCTATTGGCTGCCATAGAGGAGATCGACGAGATCAAAGTCGACAGGCTCGTGGAGGAATTTCTCTCCGCTCAGGCACAATCCCTAAAGATCCTTCCTCAAGCGCCATTTGGCGACGCAGTCAACCAGTTCGTCGATAAAGACGACAAGCACGCCATGGAGTCATTCGTGAGCGAGTCGCTTGCAGAACAAGTAAAGCAAATGTTGTCGCTCGAGGGCAACGACGAGGACCTTGAGAGCGCTATGGAGAAAGTCAAAGAGAGGCTCGAGCAACAATTTGCCGCGGGCAATTTGAAAATGGCGAGGAAACGTAGGTATAAGCCGAAGCCGGACGTATGGGACTCAGATCTCGACGGTCATTGGGAGGACCAGCCAGAGGCAATCGACCACACGATAAGTCCCACCGTGGAAAAGCCACAAGTAACCCAACCCAAGGGCCGGGGACGAAAGGCGGCACAGGTCGTAGTTGATGACGAAGACGATGAGGATATGGACGATTTCCAGGAAGACCCGCCAGTACCAAAAAGAAGAGGCAAGGCGGCCGCAACGACAGCAGCCAAGCCAAAAGCAGCGCCCGCTAAGGCACCAGCAAAGACAACAGCGGCTAGAGGACGGGGTCGTAGGGCACAAGTTATTGAAGATGACGAAGAGGAGGAGGAAGATGTTGTGATGGACGATGATGAGTATGACCCTCCCGCTCCTCCGCCGCCACCGCCACCTCAGCAAGAGAAACGCACGAGAGCGAGCGCGGCACCTGCGAGATCACAACCACGCCGGGCCGCGGCCGCACCCAAAACGCGGCAGACAAGGCTCAACTTCTCATCGCAGAAGGCAACACAGCAGGAGCCCTTGGAGATCAGCGACGACGAGATATCGGATGACTTCGAGTCGGTCCCTGACACTCGGACTCGTCGGCGCTGAAAATCCTCCGGGAATGGGGTCACTTGGTACAGCGTTACATCGTCGATCAGACCGTGAAGAAGGGGTGGCACGGTTCCTATGTGTGTACGTACTTACAGGGCCGATACGGCCAAGCCATGCTACGCACACAAGCACGTACGTGTCAGTACACCAATATTTACGACGGTCTCTCGCTGCGCACCTAGGTATACGGTACCTCTCTGTTTAAAGGGGGTGTCACTCTACCAAATCACCTTCACCGAGCCTGACAGCAGCGAGAACTCACATCCGTGGATACGGTTGTAACTGTAACCGAGTCGCGATGGATGTTTCGGTGGGTTCCACTGCGTCGGAGCCGCATGCACTACAACGTACGGCATTAGGGGCCAGGGACTGAGACTATTGGAGACTGCGGCGTCTCAGAAGGCGACTGCAGGTGAGGGAGCACCGACTTCCCGGCCTTGGACCTTCGGTGCCATCGATGGTACGAATCGAGTAGTTTGACTTGGTATTATCGGCATGTCGTTTCTCAGTGCATTATGGCCGGTTGTGGATCGAAATCGACTTGGCAGCATGTGTCCCCCCTTTTCCGCTTTCTCCGTATCGTTATTCCCCATTGACGTACCGGCCAGAGAAGCGTTTTAAGCGGGATGTTCGAGGCATGTTTCATCGCAGACTGGCGGGCTGGCGTTTTACTTGAAGCTCGCGGGGCCTTCCCAGATGGCCATATAAACTCGAAAGCTTTGCCCTCTTATACTCGGGCAAACACGGGAGGGAGGGAAGGGGTTAATTCTACTCGCTTATGGCACCCGCAACAGGATCCTCGATATTGTCTAGCCCGTAACGCGACGGCTAGTCCAACCTGATCGTGAAGTTGAGGCAGAACATCATACCGACTGCTGTAACTTGGGAATGATAAGATGGTACGACTTGGTGAATTATAGGTATATAACGTGGGCGGCCCCAATCGTCTCGTGAGAAGCCTATATAAGTTTAGCCCACGAGGGACTCTTATGATGGAGCAAAGATGGACATTAGGTCTCTTTAGCCAAGTTATATAATACTGATAGTAGATCGACATGCTTCGATATTCTCCATAGGTGTTACGCGACTGGGTAGAGGGTCAAAGGGGTGTAGATAGACACTTCGACTGACTACATTTGAATTAAAGGGACTTCGCGTCGTGATCATGCCTATGGCAAGTTGGTCTTCTAACTCATGATAGAGTTAGCTGGCCCTCGGCAACACGCATACACACCCATATGGATCGTGATGCACTACCCAGTAGTAGACCGGATTGGCATGCGATCTAGTTCAACAGAACGTACGGGTGACATCCTCAAGATGCCCCTACCTAATGATCAACCTAGCTTTCTCGTTGTCCCGCCTCGTGGGCGTCCAATCCCCCCCCCTCTCCTTTAGGGGAGAACACGTCCGCTTGCTTTCCTTTAGACTCTATGGCGTTCGAGGCGCCCTCCACAGGTTACCATGTTTTGGGAGACACCTGTTGTTAGCTCGCGACTACCTCCGTTTAAATAGTCGACTAACCACCTCAAGAGACAACAATTTATGGAGGCGCGGATAGAGTGTAACTTTTGTATATCTCTGCCCATAGTTAGGTAGGTCAGGGATCGGTGCCCGCGTAGAGTAAACACGAGCAGACACGATGTTGGGGACCCGGGAACCGCATGAAGGGCGGACTAGGTTTTCATACCAATCGTCTATCTCGGAAAGGGAACAATGATAATTCGCAAGCACGTACGAGCATAGAATCTAGCCGACCGTAGCGGATCTTCCTGAGACCACATTGAAAAGACACCCGGCTTGCAGCGCACTCCGCAAGCTCGTCTATCTAAAAATGTATACCATATTCTCCTTCCTCGTCATCCTAGGACCTCATCACGACCTCCACGGCGACTACATCTGACCAACTCACTGGAGGGAACTCCTCCGCTTCCGTGTCCCCCACCCCTTCTCCGCCTCCTTCTCTAGCGTCGGGACCGCCGACAACGGCAGCGCGAACGAGGAGCGAGAAGCCGACCCCGAGACCAAGTGCTTTCGTGAGGTCGGGGGTTCGCTCGAGTTGGGGCGCTATGACGAGCGGTTCTTCCGGGGGCAGGTGGCGTAGGCGGAGCTCGGGCGCCGCTCCAACGACACGCTGCACGAATTCGCGTTCGCGGAGGGGAACGAAGACGACGGCGGCGGGGAGCGGGGGTCGGGGCTGCAGTCACAGCTGGGCTATATCGGGAGCGACAGCAACGACGGCCGCCGCCGCAGGTTTGTGAGCAAGACGTACCTCCTCGACTACAACCCGCACCACGCGGACGCGGACCGCGGCAACGGCGCCAACGTGATCGACGCGCGGTGGATCGACGTGAGCAACGGACTGTTCTTCGACATCACGGGGCTCGCGGAGCGCGACCCGGCCGGCGACCCGGGCGTCGGGAGCTGCAAGAACAACCACTACTACCGCACGTCCGAGCTGTTTCCGCTGCGGCGCGCCGAGTTCGAGGGTGCCCCCGCCAACGCGCCCTACGCCTTCGACAGGATCCTCATCGACGCGTACGGTGCCGATAGCCTCGTCGCTGCGCGGTGGGCGGGGTGAGTAGGCTTTCTCTTCTCTCCTCCCCGTCCGCTTCCCCCCTTCCCCTTAATCTTTGATTAGTATAGAGAAATGCTCGCTTTTCTTCTTCTGACACTCTACCTCGTGCTCGGTATCAGCAAATTCCGCAAATTGACACAGGAGATCTTCCAGACATCGCTGGGAGCCGGAGCGCAAGAAACGGATCCAGATCCCGGACACGGTCCCGAGCGAGGAGGAAGGAAGAGGGGGGGAGGGAAGCGATGCGCAGCAGGCCGCACTAGAAGCAACAGGATGATGGCGGCCAGGCTGCCCCCGTAGTTGTAGTAGAAGAGCCCGTTGGTGAGGGAGCTTGCCAGGGTTAGACGCCTTAACCCAGACCCGTGCCGCTGGCCTGAACCCCCCCCCCCCCCCCACCCTTCTGTGAATAGGGGGCATTGCACACACTCTCAAGCCATGTGCCCGACACGAGACACGGCGCTAATAAATCCCACGAGGGAATCCGGGTTACATGACTCGATTCAGCCCAGATTCAAAGGCCGAGGTGCTGGGAAGCTAGGAATTGTTTGATGTTTTCTTTGGATTTATTGATTCTTTCCAACCTCCGTGATCCGTAAACGAAAAAGGGTGGCTAAGGAGGGAGCAGCAGACAAATTAAGGCGGATATTAAGCTGGGCCTCAGATGGACGCGTATCCGGGAACGACTTCTACCGGAGGTGAGTATGCGCAGAGCATCATGAATTGCCTACAGACGAGCGTCGCATGTTTTTCTTCGTCGGTACGTAATAACACAATTTTTTTTTGCATCTATTTTGACACGAAGGAGGAGCTTTTCCTATCATGCACAGCGCGCACGCTGCGGGGGTATATGGTTTTCGACCTAGTTCGAAAACATGAAAAGATCACTTCGCTGTACTGTGAAAGGCGATACTTGGTGTCTGTGAGTTGTGTGTATACCAGACAACTTGTTCGTGCGAAACCTCCTCGCTCATATTGCTACGTCCTTCAAACGCCATATCCGGATCCGATGTACCATAAAACGCCCCCAACATTTTCATCACTACCAGCTATACCGTGACTGCCAGCCTGTTGCAGCTGCCTATAGGGTAGGATGACGGGTCATTATCATGCTGATCGTGTCTGTCGTATCCTCGAGCCCAATGCGTCTTTACTTGCCTCCCGAGCCTGTAGTCTCCTCGTCGGACTTGGACTGTTTCGTTTTCCTGATGCGCTCCTCGGCCGCTCGCGCTAGGACCTCTCGTCTAGTTAGTGCATCGTCGCCAGCGGCGCTAGTACCGGCCGACGGCCTGCTGTTGGTACCGCTGCCGCTGCCGAGCACAAACTCGCCACCGGTCCAGCCGCCGTGGTCGTAGGCGACCTCGTCGCTCTGCTCGGGCTCGTAGAACTCGGCATCGCCGACGCTCCTGCCGCCGCTCTTCCAGTCAGCGGCGGCGACCTCGCGCTCGATCTGGTGGCACAGGTCCCAAAAGTTGCGGTCGTGGTCACCGTGGACGTTGTGGGTGAGCTCGTGGCACAGGGTCTTGCGGATGATCTTGTAGTCGCGGTAGCCGTCGTAGGCGTCTGTGCGTAGGCGCAGCTCAATGATCTGGCCCCGGTTGCGGTTCAAGCCGAGGGTGCGCGTCGTGCCCTCGTGCGAAGCCTCCGTGTACGCGAGCGGGTCCATCTCGGTCAGCAGTCCGACGCTAAACTTGTGCTTGAGCATCGCTGCACGGATGCCTGGGTCCTCCTTGAGCCGCTTGAGGAACTCGAGTGAGCGCTGCGGGTTCGGCAAGTTCGGAAGCGGCCGCAGCTCCATAAAGGTGTACGTGCTCTCCTGTTGCGCGCGTCTCATTTTACGGGGGCCGGCTGCTTTGAGGTGACCACTCCTTGCGGTGGCGCGGCGCTCTTGTCGCGAGGCAGCTTGCTGCGAGGCCGAGTTTAGGGAGACGACCTCCTCGCTGGAGGCGCCGACCAGAGTGATCTTCTTGTTCTGGAGGTCGGCAACGGGGCGGTCACCGAAAGGGGCCTTGAGTAGACCAAGCTTCGCGACTATGAGCTTCTGGTTGGTGACGGGGATAGAATAGACAGCCTGGATCTCGTCGGCGAGGTTGGCGATCGTTGCAGCGGGGTCCATGTCGAAATCGGCTTGTTCCCCATGGTGGAATATACTAATGGTGATGGCCTCGGGCTCAGACGAAGCCTCGCTAGGTTCTGCCATAGTTGCCGAGGAATATGATTCGGATAGAATGCCGTTTCGGGGGGAGACGCAGGGACGGACGTTATTTGGCTCAGTCTGGTGGTCTGGTGGAGCGAGCAAGGCAAGTAGAACGATGGATGAAAGGGTAACGAAAGAGTCGACTACTCTCGCCTGCGTCTTTAAGTGAAGGATGCTAGCGACACGACAGCGGTGGTCGAATGTTCTACAAGGGCGCCGTCGCCGGTTGCCATCCGATGGGTTGGTTTGTCAAGGCGGCTTTGTAATCTACGTCAGCGCTGTTCCTGTTGATGGATGCGATCCGATGTTCAGTACGTACATGAGATACGGGTACCTGTCGTAGTAGGTTAGGTTAGGTACCTACCTACCCTACGTGCCTCAAGATGGTCAATTCTACAGCAAGTACCCTGGGTACCTGACCTGACAGAGCCTGAGGTTCTCTTCTAACGTGTCCCTACCTTCCACCTCTCAGGTGTGTACCTACCTGCCTACCTAGGTACCTAGGTAAGTACCTACCCCCCTACCTCCTAGGTTCCTACCTAGGTACCTAGGTACCTATGTCTGTAGGCATTTCCGTAACTGAGGTACCTACCTTTGACGTAGGCAGTTTGAGATTAGGCTAGGTACGTACTCAGCATGTGCATTCTACACGTATTTCGTCGAGAGATACAGCTCTCCTATGCCCAGCCAGCCGCTAACCAATAAGAAATCAGGAACGGGTTCATGAGTGTGACATCATCTATCACAGCAGCTTGTGGCTTGACAATATATTGTTTTGTTTTGGATAATTCGGTGTCTTGCCGTCCAAAAGGTTGGTAGCCCTCACAAAACAATCCCGCTTACCTGCCTACCCAGGTACTCAGTAGGTGCTCATGTACGGGATAGGAGGCAGGTATAGGTATGCAAGGTACTATGAGTAGGTATGAGTACATGCCTACAGCAACTCGCTCCACCACCCCAGCTGAGCCACATCTGGACCTTAGGTAGGTAGGTAGGTACTTGCCAATCCCTGTTTGCAGGGTACCTGCCTCCCTGCCTAAGGTACCTACGGACCGAGCAACCTTGAGGCAGGGGATGGAAGGCCGGGCATCTATTTTCGTGTAGCGCTAGGTTAGGTACCTAATGTATGCATGCATGTATGTACATAACACTTCTATGTAGGTACCTACCACCCAAGCTGGTCCTTCCCTGCGCCGACAAGAAGCAACTCTCGCCCAGCCGGAAAGTCCAATCATACGTCAAGCGCGTTCCATCCCAGCGCTGATGTTGGCATTGTGTCCTTTCGGCCAAACCTGAACCAAATCCTCAATTCTGTCCGCGCCAGTTTCCCTCCCCATACCTCCAACCACCACCCCTCCCTCCCACCGCCCGCCTCTGCGCCGTGGATCGCATATGTCTGTTGGCCGTTTACTCGTCACCTCTTCACTCAATTAGCTCTACGAGGGCTACTCGCTAGGCCGAGCCGACACGTTGTCCGTAACCGTTGCCTGCTAGGAGCTTTGCTCCCCCCTCCCGTCCTGACCATGCCGCTCAATGTCTTTCGCGTCGTCGGTGAGTAGCGATCCGTCGCAGTCGCAACCCCTCCGAGGCAGACCGTGCTGATAGCTGTTTCTAGGGGACTTCTCCCATTTGGCCTCCATCTTCATTCTTCTCCACAAGATGACCGCCGTCAATGTTTGTCGTTCTCTTCCCGTGCCCAGGGCCGCCGGGGGCCGCGAGTGGCTGCTAACAGCATAACTCCACAGGGGTGCTCCGGCATTTCCTTCAAGTCCCAGGCCTTGTACTTATTAGTCTACGTTACCAGATATCTAGGTAGGTTTCCGTCCGGCTTCGACGCCATGACGAGCCCAAGAAGTGCACACACTTACACCACTCCCGACAGACCTCTTTAGCACCTCGAGCATCTATAATATCGTCTTCAAGATCCTCTTCATCAGCAGCCAGGGCTACATCATTTACCTCATGACAACCAAGTTCAAACCCACCCACGACCCGAACCTCGATACTTTCCGTGTCCAATATCTCCTGGCCGGCGCCGCCGTCCTCGCCGTCCTCCTACCGTACAAGTACACCGTGTCGGAGATTCTCTGGGCCTTCTCTATCTGGCTAGAATCCGTCGCTATCCTTCCGCAGCTGTTTATGTTGCAGAGGACCGGCGAGGCCGAGGTCATCACTACTCACTACCTGTTCGCGCTCGGTATCTACCGCACCCTTTATATCCCCAACTGGATATACAGGTACATCACCGAGCCCAACCATCAGATCGATTGGATCGCCATCGTCGCAGGCATCATCCAGACTATCTTGTACAGCGACTTCTTCTGGATCTACTACCAGAAGGTCCTCAAGGGCCAGAAATTCAAGCTGCCCGTATAGGCGCGTCGAGGGTGTAACTCGATCTCCCATCGCTAGGAGCGAAGGACGTCCCCACGGTGCCGCTTACGGCGATCGGACTTCTACCGGATATCTGTGCTCTCCTAGCTCACTAGTGACCCCGGCGAGGATCTGCGAGGGGTTCTCCCCTCAAATCTAACGAACAACACGAATTTAATGTTGGCGGATACTCAGGACGATTCTTCTATAGAACGTGTCTTCTCACGGCGTGTTGGTGTGCATGGCTGGCGTTGGGTCTGACGGAAGGGGGGGAGGGGGCTGAAGGGATCTCGGCTACAAAATGCCCGGCCTTGAAACAGGATGTATTTGTACCTACATGAAAAAAAAAGGTGTGCTCGAAATAATGAAACCTAAATTCAGTTTGAGACTCCGGGATTTCACTACTGTATTCTTTAATTATGCATCCATCCATTGCTACTTGTTCTCTGAAGACGTATATGATGGCATGACAATGCTTTCCATTTTAAAATAGATATATACAGATTATCACATGGACAAAGGGATATATGCAGAAGTAATTGGTATCAATAAACGAGTACTCCCTATGGAGGGTCCTCGCGAGGGGTATATAATTTGGAAGAACAAAAAAGTAGATAAATAATAGGTGGTTAATGAATGTGGGCTAGACACTACGTTACCACGGTGACGGCGTCAGCCGCGGGTGGTCCTCCTGCCGGGGCGTCGACAAGGCGCTCTGGCTATGGTTATAGTAGTGGTAGCTGTCGGGGGGCCGCCTCGGGCTCGGCACCTGGATGGGCAGCAGCGTCGGGGTGAGGCTGTACTTGGCGGGGGGGCGGGGGGGCGCCAGGGCGGCGAGGGGCGCGCTAGAGCCGTGCGAGGAGCCCGACGACGCGTACCTGTAGTTGGGGACGCCTTCACCGGCGGCGGGGGGGCGGATCTGGAGCTGGGGGCGCGACGACGACGACGACGACGGCAACGGCGGCGGCAGCGGCGGACGCTGCAGTAGCATGGCGATGTGGCGCGGGGCCACGCCGCCCTCGGACAGGCTGCGGCCGTGCGCCAGCGCGAACACGTCGCCGCTGAGCCCGACGCCGATCGTGTCGGCGCCCACGGTCCCGGGGTCCGCGCGCAGCACCGGGTGCATGGAAAGGGGATTGCCGGGCTCGGGGGGGGCGTCGACGGCAGCCGTGTTCTTCTTCCCGGGCCCGCGCGCGAACGGCGGCTTGAGGAAGAGCGGCGCGGTGCCGAAGGCGCCGGTGGTCATGGAGCGCTGGCGAGCCGGCGGCGGCGGCGGCAGCGGGGGCAGCGGCGCAGCCGAGGCGTCGCCGCTGTTGTTGTTTCGGCCGCCGCGGCTGCCGCGGCTGCTGCTGGCGCTGACGCTGCTGACGCTGTGGCCGAGCGGCGCGCTCGCGTCGCCCGAGACGCTGAGCGGCGACACGGGCAGGATCGGGCTGGTGCCGTCGGGGCCCGGCACGGAGAGCGGGCGCGCGCTGTGGGACATCAATAGCGGGCGCGCGGCGTCGAGCTGCGGCGGCGCTGGTGCTGCCGGCAGCGCGGCGGGCGGTTTCTGGCCGAGGTTGAAGGCGAAGTCGACATCCAGGTCCGGTTCTCTGTCGCGGCCTGCCGCCGCTGGGACGGTGCGCATGGAGTTGTAGATGGGGCTGTAATTAGGAAACGACGATATCTCGCCGGGAGGTATGTCGGGAAGAGGGGCCAGCCCTTCCGCCCCGAATTCGAGCGGCGACTCGGGCTCGAACTTGCTGGCGCCAAGATCCCGCCGCTCTTGTCTCTTCCTGCGCCAACGCATGAAGAGGCAGGTGGCCAGGGCCGACAGCAGCGACGCTATGAAGGCGACCGCTATCACGATGCCTACGATCTGGCCCGGGGTTAGGTTCGAGCCTTGGTCGGGGGCGACGACTGCGCTGGCCTGTATGTCCTTCTGTTAGAATCCAGTTGTCTCGCCTGACCCTCCTCGGGGGAAGGGCGTTTGATCTCCTACCATGGCGGCGCTGGCGCTAGCGCTCGCAGCATCGACGGCACTCTGTGCACTGCTGCTTGCGCTGATTCTCGCCTCTTCTATCGCTCTGCTCGCGCTCGCCCGGATGCTCGCGATTACTTCGGCGTTGTCTGTCGCGGTGGCCGTCGGTTGGGATGAAGAGCTAGCAGCAATACTGGCGCCTTCCGACGCCGAGACGGTGGCCGATGCGGTAGAGTTGCGTTCCGCCGTCGCTGACGCCGCCCCCTCTTCACGCCCGGCCCTGAGCGCAGATTGGACGTCCCTAAACGAAGCAGACGAGAGCGACATCATGGCGGAGGTGAAAAAGGACGATACCCTGCTCGACACGCTGCTCGACACACTGCTCGATATTCTGGTGCTTGCATCCGTGAACGCCTCCGGGATGGCTAGAGGAGGAGGAGATGCCGCCCCATTGTCGCCGCCGTCGTCGTTTATTGGCCTCCCGTCATCCTGCCGATTTTGAAGCTGCAACCTCTCTGGCCAGGCCGTGGGCACCGGAGCCGGCGGTGATGTAATGGTCAATCGAAGGGGATCCGATGGTCGCGTGTATGTCTCTCTGAGATGTTGCTGCTCATCGTCGCCCGTGTTCCGCCTCGACACCGCCCCTTCAAACCCGATGAACCCTTTTGCCGTGTCGCTCTGCCCTCTGGTCCCAGTCGCAAGCTGGGCCGCTGCGGCGCTGCCCAGCCCTTCGCCTCCCGTTAGCCAGAGCGCCCAGCACAGCAATACCAACGTCCGGCGTCGTGTCATCGTATGGTCGCATTACACGAGCGGCGCCGTCCCATCGGAATATCCTGGCGGGCTGGCGACTGAAATAACGATAGTTGGCAGGAATCGTTCGCACACCATCCCCAATAATATGCGCGATCTTCCGAGCACGGATCTGACTTGGCCGCTTCTATAAAGCGCCGCACCCTGGGAGGAATATCAGACTACTCATCCCGATTCACTATCCCCGCAGACGCAAGAACGACCTATTTTGCGATCCGGCTTTACCGGTCCTGGAAGGCGGAGCTTCGAGGAGCGTTCCTTTGCTTTTCTATCATGGTGAAGCTGGCTACGGGATGGGATGGGTAGCTCGGCCATCTGGTCTCGTAATTCGCTGTCGCGGTGTGGCATCCTATACTTCAAACCCACTGGAAACAAGTAAGCGAGACGGCGCTGAGGGGATGGGTGGTGGTGATGGGATGTGGCGCCGACGGTATTCTCCACGCCCACACGAAGCTCCCCCGTAAGGTCTCGAGGCACTCCTTTCACCCCCCTAGCTAGGTAGTACTCCAACAGGGAGGCCCCGTGTGCCTGCGGGGGGGTAGCTGAATACCCTGGTGCCTTTTTGTCTTGACCTAGTCGCGTTTGGCCGCTGCGACGTTTGGTGTCACAGGTTGTGAGGCCTTACCGAAGCCCATAAGCCCCAGTCTCTCCCGAATCCCTCAGATGATCTATTTTTCTAGCTAGAAGAAAATCTCTCACCCGTAATCAACCGTGCAAGTAAGCCTACCGTGTAACACCTTGAGTACTCGTATATTCGAACAATCCCCTCCGGTGGTTAATTTAATCACTGTTTGTAATGGCCATAGAAGCGGGTTGGGGATGGCCCACGTGTGTGCTATAAAAAGCGACGTGAAACGTGAAAGGCCTTCGCGTTTCTGCCCCCTGGTCGCTCCACATTTCCGGCCCGGGGCCGAGTCCGCATCTAACGACACCCGGCTTACTCTCTCTTCGTCCGGTAAACAAGTCTATCGGATGCGGGCGTTCAATCAGGCGGGATGCAGAGCATACTACAATCATACCTAACCAGTATTATCCACCTTGCCAAAGTCTTTTCTCGTTACAATATCGTCTAGCCTAGGTGTTGAACGGTGTTAACACGCAGGGGTCCAAGATGGCGCAGGAGGAGAGCCCTACAGAAAGAACAGAAGTCTTCACTGAATGTATCTCTGGGTACATGGCATCCGAGAGGTCAGATGTGATGTAGTTTCAAGGCAGATTTATTTGCCCCTTGCTTTCCCTTAGCCAGGCGTGCAGGAACAGAGTGGGAAAACCCGGGACGCACCACGCATAACTCGAGGGCAAAACGGCAGGGCGGGATTTATTTAGAGTTGCGTGGTGTAGCCAAGCTATAGAATAGAACTCTGAGTTGAGCCCGTGTCCCGCGTGCAATTCTGTGTAGACGGCTATCTGCTGCCGCGTCTTACTCCGTACCGAGTCAACTTACGCACCAGAGACCAGCTGGAGATACTTGAGCTGTTGAGCCCACTCGAAATGTGGCTTCTTCGTTTTGAAATCCGGTCGGATATGGGAACTCCGGCATGTAGCGAAGACATCATTCACACGACAGCTCCTTGGCGCTTGAGGACAAAGGAGGTGAGACAGGTCTAGCGCTGAAACCCCGAACACGAACAACCGTATAAGTAGCTTGGGTAGCTATGATGCGAGAGTGCTGCACAGTATGCCGCGATATACCACCAGAGCCAACATTCCGAAATAAAGGAGTTCGGTCTTGCTGCCTAACGTTTTCGCCTCGACACTTGTCTTATCCGGTAGAAATATTACCATCGTAGGCCGACTCACAACAGCTTTCAAGCACCACCGTCTCTAGTTAAGTCATGTACGACCACAAGCCTTAGGGGGCAGATATACACGTTCCAGTTAGCCGATTATCGATTGGTATCGCTTTTCCCTTCTTCTCTTGACCGGGGAAGCATTTCAATTCTCGGGTTGATATCCGAATTGGTATCATAACCGACCAGCGTACGGTCGAGGAATAATGATAGCTAGCCGAGTTGCGTAGCGAATGGCCTAGGTATAGCATAACTCAAGCAACCCTCCAGCAAGCGAATAGGCGGTACCTATGCAAATGTCACAACATCGCATACGAAAAGCGCAATACTCGCATTACTTTGCTTCGGCGTTCTCTTCCTTAGTGGGGCATAGGTAATGCATGCTTTGTTGAGGGCCATTCATAGAGGTACCTGCAGTGTGCGTCCATACTACTGATGCGACTCCCTACGCGACTTACGGACACTCCTTGTTCCCTAGCAAATTAGCGTGAGGCTATCGCGAAGAGAGCAGCAGACGAGTCAATATCTAGGAGAGGCTCTCTTCTTCTATTACCTACAGATCCATCGTGCGTTCCAGATACCCCCTCTCGGGCCTATGTGAGGCCCACTGTAGGTAGCAGGTATTACTTAAAAGAGGGATGTGGATCTAAATAAGCACTTTGCTATGATGTGCTGGCGACCTGGGGAAGGGTTCGCCGTCCAGAGCTCGCGTCCTCCGGAGCGTGGGGAGTATGAGCCTGGCGAAGAAGCCACGGTGGTATGGTAGCTTTAGCGATTATGCGGTGGGGACAGCGGAGACAGCGTGGTGGTGGCGGGACAGGAAGCGTCTGAAATTCTTCCAATTCTTTTCCCAGAGGGAGATAACCTACGTACCTTCCGGCCCTCTCTAAGGACCTCAGGTATCCACTTAGGTACCTAGGTACTAGCAGGTACTTACCTACCTAGGTGAGTGGGTGCGTGTGCTCAGCATGACGATTACCTCTGCTGTCATAATGTACCTATGTGTCCAAGCTCAACCCCCGCGCCTAACCCGAGCATTGAACAACAAGATAATTGAATTGTTTATAGTATAGGTACAGGTATAATTTAGAGGTACACAAAAGAGGAGGTAGGCAAGATGTAGGCGCCTTTCGCCCCAGCTGGCTTGTCCTTGGTGAGCTAAGTGGCGGCACGTCTTTTAGCGTGAATGGCTATTGTATATATTCGCCATCGTGTGCCGCAACAAGTTTCTTCCTCCCAACAAACCCCTCGTTGTCTCCCGTCTATCTGTCCGGTTGCAAGGCTGCTGCGGCTAGCGATCTTTCTTCTCCATTACCCATGTGCCTTTGTCCGAGGAAGAGACAGCTCTGCTCTGCCGGCTTCTGAGCGTGGATACGATTTGGTACCTACTGTAGGTATGTTCTTTCACCAGCGTTGCAGTAGCTTGTCGGTCCCTCCACCCAACCATACCACAGACAGCAGCTCGACACGACCCCGCCATCTCCCCGATTGGACTGCCGCACGACCCTTTGACCAGTACCACGGCATCTTGATCTCTTGCTCGAATTTTTTTCCCCTTCTCACTTGTCGGCTTCTGACGCTGCAGCTAAAAAATTTAAATAACCATAGGATCCCGCCCGTCAACCGGATCGTCCTCTCCTCTCTTCACGATGGGCGACATGGCGAATGAGATAAAATTGCTTTCGGGCAACAGCCATCCGAGCCTGGCCAAGGCTGTGGCCGATCGGTATGTCGGCTTTCTTTTTTTTTTCCCCTTCCCCGTCATAATCCTTGACTCCTTCAGCTACGAAGGAGAGAGAGAAAAAAGGATACGAGCAAATGGCGCTACCGCTCGGTTATCTATGGCTTCCGCCGATAAGCGCCGAATGACGAAATTGAAGAGATCCCCCTCCAGTCTCGTCCCAATGGCAGTCGAAGCGTAGAACAATGCGGCTAACGGCGAGTCCTCGACGGCGCCTAGGCTCGGAATTGAGATCGCGAAGACGATGAGCCTTAATTATTCGAACCAAGAGACGAGCGTCACAGTCGGCGAATCAGTTAGAGATGAAGATGGTACGACGTCATCTTCTCGCTGCCCCTCCCACCGTCGCGACTCTGCGGTCTGAATGATGCTAACCTGATCTGCACGCGCTTCTAGTTTTCATTATACAATCGACCGCGCCGGGCGATATCAATGACGGGCTCATGGAACTTCTAATCATGATCCATGCCTGCCGAACAGCTTCCGCCCGCCGGATCACCGCCGTCATTCCCAACTTCCCCTACGCCCGCCAAGACAAGAAGGACAAAAGCCGAGCGCCGATTTCCGCCAAGCTCATCGCCAACATGTTGCAAACTGCTGGCTGCAACCATGTTATTACTATGGATCTCCACGCTTCGCAGATCCAAGGTTTCTTCAACGTCCCGGTCGACAATCTGTATGCCGAACCCAGTGTCTTGCGATGGATTAGGGAAAACCTCGCTGGCCAGGAGACGGTCATCGTAAGCCCGGATGCTGGTGGCGCAAAGAGGTAAGTCGGCCCTAGGCGACTAGACTCTCTTGGATACAGCGTTTCTCGAGGTATGGGGTGGAAAGGAATTGACAAGGTGTCGTAGGGCCACATCCATCGCAGACCGTCTCGACCGCGGCTTCGCCCTCATTCACAAGGAGCGCCCGCGACCTAACGTCGTCGGCAGGATGGTCCTCGTCGGCGACGTGGTGGACAAGGTGGCGATTCTGGTCGACGACATGGCAGATACTTGCGGTACTCTCGCGTAAGTATGATAACACAGGGCATCCTCCCGAATACCAAAGAGAGCTCTCACAATGCTAACGCATTCCCGCCCAATATAGTAAGGCTGCAGCGACTGTCAAGGACCACGGCGCTCGCGAGGTTATCGCCGTCGTCACCCACGGCATCCTCAGCGGCGACGCCATAAACACCCTCAACAACAGCTGCCTAAGCCAAGTCGTCGTCACGAACACCGTGCCCCTCGGTGACAAGGTTCAGCGGTGTAAGAAACTGAAGGTCATCGACGTGAGCCCTACGATCGCCGAGGCTATCCGGCGCACCCACAACGGAGAGAGCGTGAGGTCCGTCGCAAATTTTCTACTGCTACTACTCGATCTTCCACCTCGATATGGAGGGGTTTTTCTTTTTTTTTTTTCGTTCTCGTTCTTCCGTTCTCGCTGCTGCTTCCTCTGTTTCTAGTTTGCTAACGCAGATGCTCTCCTCCTGTAGCTTCTTATTCACGCACGCCCCGGTCTGATGTGCTTACTCGTTGGACATGTTGGGAGAAGGTGAGGTCCACGAAGATTGAAGAAGAAAAGAAAAAGCAGGCGCGAGCCGACTCGCCAGGGATGCGCGTTACCTACCTAATGGATACAGTACACGTCTTTTTTTCCGCGGAGTTTTTCGTCATTTTCATTCATATTTCAAGAGACTGCATCGGGGACAATTGATACACGCAACGAATATGTCGTACTGGTAAAATAGGGTCATACGTACAAGCAAGGAGTTAACTCTATATAACGTTATTTAGTCTTGACACTGCTCACTACTAGGAGGTATCTGTGTCAAACGCCTTCATCGGCAGTTACAGAATGAGTTACGGAGAAATGGGTCGGGAGGGAGCATCGTGTCACCAGCATTGAGAATGTGTATGGAATGGCGTTACGAAATAGGCATCTTAAAGTCATGCATGGTTGGGGAATCTTAAATCTCATTTTTAGGCGGCGGCTCCCGAGAATACACTCATCATGTTTTTTTTGAGCCATATCACTAGCTGACCCTCGTGCCCCTGACGACACTACCCATGATTTATGTCCCAATGCAAGAACCAGAAGACACCGACCAAACGCCTGTAACTATTTACTTGCGCATCGAGCTTGCGCGCCTCTTGCGCACATCGGCCTTGTGGGCGCGGGCTTCGGCTACACGCTTGGCTAGGATCTGGGCATACTCGGTCTGCGGGTTATCGTTAGCAACCGACGATGGTGCAGGTGGGTAAGGGTTATCAAACGTACGGCCTCGTCCTTGACCTTGTCGGCCTGTCGCTTCTTCAGCGCAATGCGGTGGCGCTTGTGCTGGAGGCGTTGGGGAGTAACCAGTCGCTGGATCTTGGGGGCCTTGGTGTAAGGCTTCTTGCCCTCGCCCTTGGGCTGGACCTCTCGCCGAATCACGTATTTCCGGACCTACACAAGGAAATTCCGGCAGCGTTAGTCTTCCGACATCGATTTCCCCCTAGGTATCCCTCTCAGACTCTACTCGGTGGTATTCATTGCAACGGATTCTTCTCTCTCATCCCGCAGAAGCAACGACCGAGTAGGCGATGACGGATGCTGTACTTACATCGTCATCCTTGCTGAGACTGAAGAAGCGGCGGATCTTGGTGGCACGCTTGGGGCCGAGGCGCTTGGGGTGGACGACGTCGGTCAGGCCAGGGATGTCGTTCTCGCCCTGCTTGACGACCGATAGCGCGAGGACGGAGAGATCCATGGCGACGATGCAGCCGCGGACCGACTTTCGCTTGCGCTCACCACTGCGGCGGGGGCGGTAGCAGGAGTGGCCATCGGAGAGGAGGAGTCGGACACGGGTAGGGTGCATGACGCCCTGCTTCATGGGGAAGCCTTGCTTGTCGTTGCCGCCGGTGATACGGAAGATGTAACCCTTGAACTCATCGCCAAGGCTGTCGCCGGGGACTTCAGCGCCCATCTAGAAGCCGCAACAGCATCAGCATCTCGAAGAGCAATACCGAGGAACCCAAATCTGACGCAATGTGTATCATGTACTGTGGTGGGACGAGGAATAGGGTGCAGTCTCCTGGGAGGGTATCGGGGCTTCGTGTCGAGAACTACGGCAAGGCTAGACGTACGCGCTTCTCTATGAAGTCTCGGAGCTTTCGCTCGTCTTCGATCTCGATCATTTTTTGGCTGCCATTGGCAGGGTATGAGATGTTCAACTTCATCTCGGCGGTGGTCGTCGCGGTCGGCTGTGTGGTGTTAGTAGATGAGGCCGAATCGTGGGGACCAGCAGAGCGGGAAGAAAGACAGAAAATTTGGGTGTAGATACTGCAAAGGCGATTGTGTGAATTTCTTCGCCTAATCCGATTTTGCGTGGAGATACAAGAGGTCAGTGCCTAGGGCTTTGTGCGCACGGACCACCTGGAAGAGAGAAGAGACCTTGGTTGATGTTTTGTACCTAATGACCCGAAGATATCCCATGACTTGTGAGATGCGCTAATACCGTACGGTACTCGGGTACATTCTAATTTCCGCCCTAGCAAAATCACCCGTTGCCTTCTCTTCTCTAACAACATATCAGGGGTCGCTCACAGTGCGGCGAAGATACGGTCAACTGGCCTTCTCAAGATGGCCTCGTCGGTCCAGTTGTACCCTAGGAAAACCGAGGCTGGAACCGCAATCTCTAATCCCCTCCCTCCGCTCATCCAGACACCTTCCGGCTTGGCTATTTTGGAGCTTCAAGGCAGCATCAACCTTCCGCATGCGGGTGAGGGTGGCGAGGACGCTGGTCCCCAAGAAATATCCGTCGGGCGCCTCGTGTTCCCGGATTACCATCCCGAGACCCAAGATCCTTCCAGCACCTCATGGATGAAGCGGGTTCACCTCTACGTCGGCGAGCACCAGAGGCTCACTGGGGAAGTCAAGAAGCTGCCGAAGGCCATAGCCATCATCAAGAAGCAAGTTCGGCCGGGAGAGGACGTGGAAATGGCCGATGGCAAGTCCGAGCCCACGGCTGCGGATCTGGAGGTGGTCGAGATTGTCAAATACAAGCTTGTGTTTTCTCAACGGCCCGAGCCTGTGGGGACTGGGTGAAGACGTATCGATGCGTCTTGCCGATGCATTGCCCCCTCCCCGCCGCGGCAGTTTCCAAGAAGCGGGTATCCGGGCGTATGAGGACTCTACCTATACCACCAACCTGTTCAGCGCTGGAACAACCTGCGTCGCGCAGGCGCCCGATTCCTGCGTATGCCGTGTTGCCTCGAAGCCACGACTACCGACGAGAAAGCAAGCACAGGCTTAGCCCAGGTATATGTGCCCTGGAAACTACGGCGAAATGCCTGTCAATGAAGACTTGCTTCACGAGGAATAAGGCGGTGCGCGAGAGGGGTTCTGTTCATGCCTATCTATCTGGGGCACATGGATGGATAGAAGTTGTGAGAGATAGGCAGACTCGGAGGCTCACCGATACATCCTATACCTAATTATAGGTAGAGCAATCGTCCCTCCTATACCACGTGCGTCCTGGTGGCTTCGATTGAACCCGTCTGATGGGAGCTCTCCTCACCGCCCGAATTCTGCCGTCTGCTTGGATCCATACTTCGCGTACCTGCGGTTCAACGGTTCAACGGTTGCGGCAGGATAGATGGGGGAGGTGTACGATAAGAGATCGCAAGGCTTATCAGCGACCCACCTCAAGTATGGCGTGGTCCCGAACCCGGGTCGAAGTGCCTCCCATGCACGATATGCTACGTAGCACCATATGTATGTGCTATGTAGAGGTGTGTAGGTTGGTGTGGGCGGATGTAGGTGTGATTGATCAGATCCTCAACTTCAGCCACTTTCTGCACCTACTCGAGAGGCACGCCTTGCCGTCTGCGTAGGTAAGGTAAGTAAGTAGGGCCTTTGGGGGGGAAAACGCGGGTGTCGCCCGGCCGCAAGACGGTTGGGGAATTTTTACGAATAACCTCTCTCTTCCTCCTAACACACCTACCTGCCTCCTACCTCATTACTTCCGGAGGCGAAACTGGTCCGCACCGGTTCCTGTGTCTGCTGGCAGCCACTCGGTCCGTGTAAACTCGGGCTTACATAATGGGTCGTCTTCTGGAACGAGCCCCGCTGGCACCCAAAACTGTCCAATACATCTCAGGTACAGGCATCTATACCAACCTATGCTCTCTGGCCTTGTCCATTAGGCGATACAATACTTCCTACCTTGCCTACCTATGTACCGTAGAGACGGTGGATACCCACCCGGGCACGGGCCATGGATAATCTGATTGGCAATTGCGGATTACAACGGGACAAACCTCGACCTCATCATTTTCCACCCATCGCAAAAAGGAAGGCTGTCCTCCGATTTAAATCCTTTTTTTGCCGCTGCCTCCTATCGACCGACCGTAGGCATACCGAAATAGCTTCTTTTCCCCTCCCGACCCCCGGCAGCGTGTGCCATATAGCTAGACCGCTACCGCCCGCATTTTGTCAATTGGAGATCCTGTCCCGTTCTCGCGACGCCCCCCCCCCCCCCCCCCCCCCCGATTCCTGGACGCGTCCGAAGGAGCCGTCTCCCGAGGCTGTTGCGCATTGGGAGGAGTCGGCCGGTGATCGCGTCGCTCGCCCGACCAGCCTGCGCTATAAGCACCCACGCAGTCCGCGAACCGCCTACGGGATTGTCCACCTCGCCCATTTCCAACTTCACATTCAATCGGGTCCTCTAAATTTCCCTTCGTTCGCCCTACCCCAGTCATCCGAGGTCCTTCCGCTAGTCCATCTCCTCTCGCATCACCACGTCATCCTCTTGCTTATCCATCCGCCTTGTATAAAAAGCGAACCGTGGGTGCCTCGTCACCTGTCTCCGTCTAATACCGAGTTTGTTTTGGTCGACCGCTTGAGCCACACCACCTCGTCTAACCCGACTACTCCGCATCCGCCTCCATCATCCGGCATAATGATGGGGAACGCGCCTACAGAGAACGAGCAGGTCCCTCCTGCGGCCATGCAGCAGAACGAAGAGGAGGCCCCCATAGTCGCAGAATCGAAGGTCCCGACTCGTAAAGATATCTCGTTGAAGGAGTTCCTAACTAAGATGGATGACTACGCACCTATCGTGAGTGCTGTCGCCTCGGGCACCTGCTCTCTCCCCCCGTACTAGTCTCTGGGCTAATCGTCTCTCGCAGATCCCCGATGCGGTCACTAACTACTACATGACTAAGGCCGGCCTCCCGCCCCCTCCGCATACGGATCCGCGCCTCGCGCGCCTCATCGCTCTGGCCGTGCAGAAATTCGTCGCCGACATCGCCGCCGACGCCTACCAATACAGCCGCATCCGCGCGTCCAACACCAGCGCCAACAACCCGATGGGTAACCTCGGCGCCGCTGCGGGACTCCAGATCCCCGGCCAGGCGCAGTCCGGCTCCAAGGACCAGGGACGCGGCGGGCCCCTGGGCATACAGCGGGCCGGTTACGGTGGCGGCGGCCAGGGCGGCAGCCAGAACCGGACCGTCCTGACCATGGAAGACCTGGGCATGGCCGTGGGTGAGTACGGCGTGAACGTTAAGCGCAGCGAGTTCTACCGATGAAGCGTGCCTGAGCCGTCGGAGGGTGACAGTGCAACGGGGCAGACGAGAGAGGACATATCTCTGCATTTGTGCCGGGTATAGCAGCGGCACTACACACATCACCGGCGGGCTAGTAAAAGATCCTGCCGGCCGGGAGGGTAATAGCGGTTCAAATTCAAGGAAAAGGAGTATCGGCGTTAGGGAGAGGGGGACTTGTACGCTTATGGAGGCCTGTATTGCCACGCATGGATTGGTACGTTTAGATATGCACTGAAAGGCCATCTCTGCAGTATAGCGTAGAGTACCACTGGCTGCGGGTGGTTCGCTTCTGTCCCGTGCTGGATAGACGGTATTCGAGAAATAGTTTTGACCTCGGTGGAATTGCGCTGTCTCTTTTTTTCTTCTCTAAGCCACATCGCAACGCGCATTGTGTATGCATCTCGTCCCGTTCTTCCCATCACCTAGAACGCCCGAGGCGTGTCCGCATCGCGTCTCGTCTCGTCTCGACTCGTCATCGGATCGTCTACTGCTTCGCCCAGACGAACGGTTTTCTCGTCCTATGCGAGGTAATGCGGTTAGAGGAAGCGAGCCCGTACATGCGCGTGCGGGTTTCCCTATTTAAAGTACGCGTGCGTAGTGGCCGAGGGGAAGGGGGAAGGGCAGGCTTGACGTACGGGGCGAACTCTCCGAGCTTGTGGCCGACCATGTCCTCGGTGATCTCGACCTCGTTGTAGTCCTTGCCGTTGTGGACGTGGAACTTGAGGCCGACGAAGCTGGGCAGGATGGTGGCGGCGCGGGCCTGCGTCCGGATGGACTTGATCTTCTCGCCGGGCGCGGGGCGGGCGATGGGCAGGCTGTCGGACACGCGGGGGCGGGGGGAGGTTCCGGGGAGCAGGTTAGCGAGATATTAGGCGCGGGCACGGCCGGCGGGCCAGCCGGTCACGGGCTACCGAGGGGAAGGAGAGGGAGGGTGTGTCCTTACGGCACGATGTGAGGTCCTAGCGAGCCGGGATCGTCAGTCATTCTCGAGGGGTGGGGAAGGAAGCGGGAGTATTGCGAGCTTGGGTTGCCCACCTTTCCACACGGATCGGCCTTTCAGTAGAGCCCGTGTCGGCTGCATCTCGTGAGTATCCGGACAGTTGATGTTGGTGGAGGAGGAGGAGCTCGTCGCATCAAAATTGGCCAGGATGCTTTTTCTTCACGTTGCCGGTAAGGTGCGGATACATGAGTACCTGTGTACGTAGGTATATACGGTAGGTGCATATATGATACATGCTGCGTGCAAGAGGTATTCACATACCGCGTAATCCCCTCTGTCGATGCCAGGTGGCTACCCGTCTCTCCCACCTGCAGCCAGCCAGTGGGAAAATGTCCTACCTACATAAAGTGGTAGCTGGATGTAGATGACGAGGGTGTGCCTATTCGACGCCCGAGACTGCTGGGAGCGCCTTGCTAAGAACCGACGGGCCTAGATTTTCAGCTTCGAAGGGAATCTGGACTGGAGGGGCAAGACGGGCACTTTGCCGACGCGCCGAGCGCGTAGGTACCCTTTTGAGGGGCGTCGTTCTACACTGGCTGAATGCGGGCTCATTTAACACTATAGAGGCTGTTACTTCTAGCATACGGGTTCTCATCACCTGTCATATTCCCTCTCAAATACTGTCTCTCTCTCTCTCTCTCTCTCTCTCTCTAGTAAGTATGGGTATATAGGAATGTGCCTATGCAGGAGCAACACCGGCACTTGTGAACGAAAGCGGTACTATCTTCCAACGAAGAATGCCTCCTAGTTGGGTACTGCATGTAAAAAAGCCTCAGATAAGTAGACATACTTACATAGGTAGGTAATACCTATGCATATACCCGCCTGAGTATCGCGACGCTTAGTTGGTTGGATGTGTAGATAAGATGACAGGGCAGGCACCTACCTACATATTATGCGCCTGAGCCCGGGTCTCATTCTCCTACTTTACGTAGGTAGTAATTTAATCCGTCCAGTCCGTCCCCAGCTCCAACCGACCAACCAACACCAAGTTTACCTACCTCTCTCTGTGTGTCTTTCTCCTCTCCGCTCCTCTTCTCGCCCCCCCAAGGTCCAACTGGTCGAGGACAACAGACGGGGAACGGAACCTCACCCGAAAATGCATCGTCAGAAATCAGACACGTTCTCAATCCGATCCGGGAGCTCGACCTGTCTTCCTTTTAACCCGGTGGCTTAACGCGTAACTGGTGGCTTCGATATCCCTGGTCCCACGTTGTCTGTCATGCACGAATGTGCGGGACGTCGCCTGCGCATGCCCGTCGCGCCGCCGATGCCGTGTCGAATGCCTGGCTTAGTGTGCGTGGCCTGATAATGTAGGTTGATATCCGGAGCGCTACGCCCCGCCCCCCTGGAAGCAGTAACCAGCTTCGCCAGAGTCTTCTCAACTCTTTTCGGCCCTACCTTGTTGCCCCTCCACTGTATGTCTCTGAGACCGGCATGGCTCGGACCAGATACCCTATTTACTCTAGAGGCCGAGCCACGGTGAAGTCTGCGAAAGAGACCCCCTTTACGTGGACTAGGTGCTCCCTGCGGCACCTGAGATCAGACCACGGTCTTGCTAGAGCTACTCGCGTGCTAAGCTAGACGACTCCGTCGAAAATAAGCATCCCCGCCAAGGATCGACTACCTCTTCGCCCGTTCGAAGGCGGCTCGCTCACCCAAGGCCCGGTTCTGGTCAGGTCTAGTTCACCACGTAGATCAACACATCGGCCGCCCATAAGCCTCAACGGCTGTCACATCCATCCACCTGCAGTCCCAGTGGCTTAATTTCCTTTGGCCATACGTGATCACACGGGGCGCGGAATGTCCACTTCCGCTCCGGGGAACGCACCTACCCCTCGAAAGGTATAAGTAAAGAGTAGTCCGGACCTTTAATCGTATGCCACGAGCCTAGTATCCTCTACCTTTTGTCGTAGCTCTTCGCGATAGTCTAGACATCATGAGGTTCACCGACCTACTCGTTATCACAGCTACCATCTCCGGTGCCGTCGCGGCGCCCACGGAGGCTAAGAAGCGCGCCAGCGCCTTTCAATTCACTGGCGTGAGCGAGTCGGGAGCCGAGTTTGGCAATACTGCCATCCCTGGGCAACTCGGTAAGGACTACATATGGCCCGATCATAATGCCATCAACGTAGGCAAGCCTCCTTCAGCTCGTCTGCTTCACTGCTAACTTCCTGCAAGACCTTGATTCAGAAAGGCTTCAACACTTTCCGGATCCCGTTTATGATGTTTGTCGCCGTGCCCCGGAAATTTTCACTATACCTACGATACTAAACAACAGTTAGGGAGCGCCTCATCCCAACTCGGCTGACCGGCTCCATCAACGAGACCTATGCTGCCGGCCTTGACGATGTGAGTGAGAAGCAAACCTCGGCGGGGAGACGGAAACTAATAATCCGGTAATCCCAGACCGTCAAGTACATCACCAGCCAGTTAGTTTGAGCCCGTCATGTCGATAATCTCCATTACTTACGCTGTATAGGGGCGCGTACGCTGTCATCGACCCTCACAACTTCGGCCGCTACTACGGCAACATCATTACTGATGTGGCAGGTTTTGGAGCGTGGTGGACTACGGTGGCGAAACGTTATGCCACCAACGAGAAAGTCATCTTCGACACGAACAACGAGTTCCATGACGAGGAGAACGATCTCGTAGCCAAACTGAACCAAGCCGCCATCGACGCCATCCGAGGTGTCGGTGCGACTTCCCAGTACATATTCGCTGAAGGAAATGCTTGGTCCGGTGCATGGCATTGGGTTAGTATAGGCACATTCCTCCCTCATGATGGGCCGCCGCTGACTAGAGGGAATAGGTATCTAGCGGAACTTCAGAAGGCATGGGCAAGTTAACGGATCCTCAGGACAAGATCATCTACGAAATGGTAAGCTATCGGGGGCAAGTACTCAAGTTTTTTTTTTTTTACACTGAAAGCTGACAGCGTGCAAAGCACCAGTATCTCGACTCCGATGGATCTGGTACCAGCACAGCCTGCGTGTCTACCACCGTTGGCAGGGAGCGCCTGGTCGAGGCTACCGCCTGGCTGAAGGCAAACAACAAGAAGGGCATCATCGGCGAGACCGCCGGCGGCTCTAACGCCCAGTGCATCCAGGCGCTCCAGGGCATGCTCTCATACATGAAAGAGAACTCGGACGTCTGGACCGGCTGGCTCTGGTGGGGTGCTGGCCCATGGTGGGGGAGTGGTGCGAGCGGATATATCTTCGGGATGGAGCCTCCTTCCGGAACCGCGTATACCGGTGTGCTACCGTCTCTCACCCAGTTCATCTGAGGAGCCGCGCTCTTGGCCAAGTGCGTCCATCACCTGGGAGCATTCCTGGTATGGGCAATTATAAGTAGCTACACAAGGCGAAGACCGACAATAAAGGGATGTAGAAATATCAACACCGCACTCTTCTCAAGAGGCCGGAGTACCAGTAGAAATGGACATCTTGACCGGCCCATCGTTTAAGTGTTGGTATTCTTTAACTATAGACTTTAAGCAGCTTCGGTTGGAGAAAGCAAGTGAACATTAATCTCCGGCCTAGCGTGCGGAAGAATGTTTTAGTTGGGACGGAGACGACGATATCGTAGACTCCTGAAACTAGTCTTAAAGCAGTACTCTGATCTGCTAGTTATCGGGTGATAGTTTTCAGAGAATTCTACGGGATGACCTCTATAGTATCATGTAAGTACACAACGCACGGGGGGTGCTGATCGCACGCCTCGAATCCCACGATTTCGATTCCTCTCCACACACGTACGTTTTTCGGGTATGCGGATTGCCTCTCGGAAAACACGGCGTGACGAAGCCTCTCGGAGTATATTGATTTAGCCTTCTAAGAATAGCAGGCTACCAACCAGTATTATCCCTGGCCAACCTAACCGGGGCCTGAACTAAAAGATGCGCGTAAAGGTTCGTTAAGATACCAGGGTAATCGAATCTACGTTTATGGCATATCAAGACAATTCTAGCTTTCGGGAAATAAGCTCTGTTAAGTAGCTATTACTCTTGCGTGGACCCTAACCTACATATGCCATGAAGAAAGGTGATGGCGGATTCCCCAGATCAGTCGACGCCAACGGCCTGCACTCCGTCGACGTGACCGTCCTGGTAGAGTACGTCTAATGCCAAACGGGAACGCAAACTCGCAAAACTTTCAGGAATAGAAAGCGAATGCCCACCTTTCCCTCTATGCTGTACAAAACGATATGATTATGGTGAGGCGATGCACGGTGACCTTGGCCCTCATATCCTGCCCATTACTCAGGCAAACCCGAAGTAGTCGCTGCCGGTTGTGATAGCCTTGATGAGTTGTCGGCGAAGAATATCGTAACTCTCGTACTCGGGAAGATCAAGTTCTACCTCAATGTTAGCAGGTACACCAGGATAGATGCTCTCGTATGGATGAATGAATACTCACGGTTGAAGCATGTATGGGAACTTGGAAGACGGTCTTTGTTACCGTAGTCGCGATGGATATTGAACCGATTAATTCCGTTCATGCCCTCCAGCTCTTTGAAGCCGTTGAGCGGAACTTTGCTGGTTCCGGTTACGAACTGAAGAAGTTTGGCGCGCTCCTCCTTGTCAAATGAACGCAGCGCTCTCCAGAACCACTGGATTTGAGGAGATGACGGTGTGTAGTTCGAGTATTCGGTATTGCTCTTCCAATCGTCAATGTCAACATCCGGCAGGCCAGAGATTAACAGCTCTAACTCTTGCTCGTTGAAGATGGAGATAAGCTCGGCGGGGATGATTTCGTGGAAGCCTGACACCAGATTAGTTTGGGTTCAAATATACGGCCTCCTTGCGTAGCTTACCTTTCAGGAAGTTCTCCATCTGGTCCTTGACTGAAGTGAGGAGCTTATGCTCCACCACTAGGCGCACGTAGTCGTGCTTGTTTTCCTCTGTGACTGGTACGTTACGCCCATTCTCGATGAGGTCGTGGATCTTAGTGACGCCAAACTCGTCGTCCTCAACCGAGAAAGTCTCCGTGATGATGTCTGTGATGTCGTTGCTTAGCATCCACGAGAGAGATTTATAGTAGTCAGGATCAAAGGATTCCATGTCCTTGACCGAAACAGGTTTTCCTAGGATTCGCTTGTAGACTGCGCGGCTGAAGTAGCAATCAAGCAGGCGACCTTCGTACAAAGCTTTGCCGATGATCCGCCCAATGAACTTGAAGAACATGAGATGCTCGTCGTTGATTCCACTGAGCTTGTTTGGGTGAAATGTTGTCCGGTCACTCGAGACTGGTACGAACAAAGCATAGTTGGCGTCAAACATCTGGCGTGCGAGAACTTGAAACCATTCTCTGGTAACGCCTCCGGCATCCACGCCTTCTTCACCGTGGAATCTAATGCTGAGCTTGCCGAACTTCATTTCGTCGCCTGTCTTGAAGTAGAGTGACCTGAAAGAATCGTGGAAAACAAGTTCTCGGCGAACCTGCAACTGCAATAAAGGATGGGGCCGCTGAGTGAGGTGCTGCTTGTTATGGACACTACGGTTGAACCAATTGCGTTTATTGTCGAACTCCAGGACCTTCGGGTTTTTGACGAGATGCGAAAAGGTGCCTTTCATGAGAGATGGATTGTTGCGAACAAGCTCATTGAGGATCCGACGATGTTCCTCCGTGAACGTGAAGAATAGAGTGGCCAACTGCGACTCTGGCTGGGGACTGGACAGCACTATGTCCTTGCTAATTTGGCCCTGAGACGTCTGGGCCTCATTTTGCGCGGTATCCTTGCAGACTACCATAAGGGCCTCGATCAGAGGGAGTAGAATAGTTGCCACGTTCAGTAGGCTCTCCCGTTGGCGAATTGCGCTTAGACAGGCGCTGAGTTTCTCCCACAGAGCGTTGAAGGTTGCATTGCGGTAGAGAGTGGCGAGCAAATCTTGCTTTCTGGCATCATCGGTCAATTCAACACCCTCCGTTGAATCCGCCTTCTTCTGGGCAAATAAATGATCGAGGGCTGTGAGAACTCGGAGAAGTTTGTTCTGGTCTGAAGCGCCTGGTGAGAATTTGGCCAAGGCAACCCCCTGAATCTCCGTGCCCGAAGCCGCGTTTTGAATATGTGGTAGCAAGTCATCTAGGTGAACGACGATCTTTTCGCTGAGTAGCTGGGCTTGGCGAGCGAGCTCCTCACCAAAGACCAACATTGCGCCAGGTATGACGGAAAGATTCTTGATGGTCGAAAGAGTCTCCTTGAAGGTCTTGGAGCTGCACTCCCGGGCTACAAATATGTTGATGATAAGGGTCAGATTGTGGTCCGGTATGATGGGTGGGTGGAGTTGCTTCATTCTCTTCATTCCTGATTGCTTCTCTGTCTTTGATGATTCTGCCTCGGTAACCGAAGCGATTGTGGGTGCGGATTCCGATGCTTCCACAGGTCCGCTCGGAGACCGGCCTTCCAATCGTTCTGACCCATCTGCATTTCCACTCTGCGTAGAATCTGGGATGTTAGCTGTTGTCGCACCGGAATCTGCAGGTACGACTGTGCCCGAAGACTCCGTTACATCTGCAGTCTGAGAATCTAGGTTCTTAATAGCTTCGGCGGCCTCTTTCTGTTTGCGATCCAGAGCCAGAAGGGGCGCCGTGACTCTGCTCAAGAGCTGAGAGAGACTGTCCATAATGGAGGAGCTTTCCATGACGAGCTCACGATCAAGGAGAGCGAGCAGTGAATTGATGGCGTATTTGTGGGCCTTCGTATCTTTAGCCTTGCCCTTACGACCGAGACTGCGCTTGACACTCGAGTTGACTGCCTCGTGTTCTGTAAGGAACAGTGACGGAACATGGACATTTTGATCCGCTAGGTAACAGAGCAGATCAAGACATTGTTGAACGATCAGTAGTGGAGACGTCTCCGAGCCTGCCTGGATTGGATTACCGCTGCTGATGTTCGTGGAGGTACGCTTCAGACCTTGAAGTGCCTGGATCTTCGCATCCTTCTCCTTAGGTTGCCTCGCCTTAATCGAGAGTTGAGCGAAGCTGCGCTCAACAGCGTCTACATCTGTTGAGCCATCTTGCAGAATCTGGAGTAGAGTGCTGACGACTTCAAATCGGGTCTGTCGATTTTCGCAGACGTCTTTGAATAAATACTTCAGAGAGGTCTCGATAGACCCACCCTTCATGTTGATAAACATTAAGCGAAGCAGGGTGGCAACACCGGGCTTGTCCAGCATTTGCACGACTGTCTTTCTGTGAGGCTTGTCTCTATCAGTGGTTGCCCCAATTTGCGCATTATCTCGCGGGCGGCTAGCACCGGAAGACGCTCTATCGTTGTGCACGACGGGGTTGGATGACCGCACAAGCCGTCGTGCTTGAGCTGCTAAATCAGGCGGCAAGGAATCGATAATATCGGCGCCTTGATCCATGAGGACTTGCTCACGGAGAGCAGGGGGGAAAGTCATCAATATACTCGCCGTATCCATATCTTGAGGTTCGGCTGTCTGTCGTCGTGTCTCCTCGCGCTCTCGTCGGCGCTGTTCCGCTAGCTCCTGTTGTACTATTTCCCGGCGGAGATCTTCGGGTAGGGCCTCCAAGAATTCCTGGAATACTTCTGTCTGCTCCCCCGAGGCCCCGGGCGCCTCCCGAGCTTGTGCTCTACGCGTGCTGACTGTCTGAGCAATGACTTCTTCCCTAAATTCTTCGGGGAGCGCCTCTAGGTAGTCAGGGTCGATACCCAGCTCTGTGATATCAACTTGTTCGCCTCTAATAGTAGTAAAAGCCCGTGTATGCGCGCCGACTGACTCGTTGTCTGTTGGAGCTGCGCCTTCATCAGACGTCTCTATGCCCTCCATGGCTTCCGGATCTCCACGGCCATTCTGTTCGACTTGGAGATGGGTAGGAATTTCAGTTTGGGTTTGTGCGGCCGATTCTGCAGCGGCTCGTTCCCGTTCTTCAGCTTCCTGCTTCTCTTGGGCGGCCTTTTCCTCAGCTTCTTTGGCCTCCCTCGCCTTCCGTTCTTCCTCCTCGCGTTTCTTCCGTTCCTCCTCCTGCTGCCTCTGACGTTCCGCTTCTTTAGCCTTGAGCTCCTTTTCGCGCTGGATAGCAGGTGGCACAAGGTATGAGAGAATCGCCGGGACAAGACGCTGAGATTTCTCTGAATGTTGTACGCCAAATATCATCTTGACTTCCTCCGTCCATCGAGTTACGGTGGACTCCGTTGAAAAAGAGGCTGCCTGTGTGGGCTCTTGGTACGCATCCCTGCGGCTGTCGGAACGAGATTCGCGCAAGTGTGGGCCGAATGGAAAGAGCATATCATGGCCACCTTCGCGTGGGCTATGCGTTATCTGAAAGTGTAAGGCATGCGCATTACGACTCAGTGAGGCCGGAAGCGATGCGACGAGGTCATTTATGAATGACATTGGACTATCGATATTAGCGCCACCAAATAGACCTCCAGGAAACCCCAGTCGAACTAGACCACCGAGGTGTGAAGGACGGGGAGACCCTTCTCTAGCGGCATCGTTGCCCCGTCGAAGCAAAGGATTTAGGCCATCTTCATTGACAACGGGCCGCTGGTCATGCCGACCACTGCGGGAAAATCCGCGTGGATCTATACGCCTGTTAGCCGTCATGTATTCTCGCCGACGGATTTATTCATGCAGCCTAATAGACTACAAGTCACGAACCGCCAAAATGATTCATAGAATCTCGTGTTCCCATCATGAATGGAATGGGTGGGAATGGACTGCGGGTACCGTGCCGATGCCGATGATGGTGGCCTAGTATGGTCCCATGAGGTTCAACAACAAGAGTATCCCAGCCGAGACTTGGTGCCCCAACATCCCGAGGCGGGGCATCATCTCCTCATCGTTAGCTTCTTATGGAGGCGCTTGCTTGGGGGGGAGGGGAGGGGGGGACTTACTAGGAAAGTCATCTTCGTATGCATATTCATCATCCATGTCGTCTTCTTCATCCTCATCTTCTACACGTTTGGTTAGCATGGCTAGAGTTGATACGCTATGAGTGATGCTTGCCTTCTTCTTCCTCATCTTCCATGTAGCGGTCGTTGAGAGCGTTCAGGTCTTCGGGGTGCTCAAAGTCCTCTTCCTCAATTGCCCGCATGATATTCCCAAACCGACCTAGTCCGTCAACATCATCTAGGTCACGCATGCCAGCAGCATCTTGAAGATCCTGAGCTTCTGCGTCATAATCTACCTCCTCTCCTTCTTCGTCTTCATCTTCCTCTGCCTCATCACCATCTGTCTCGCTTTCCCAGCCTGATACTCCGTCATCCTCAAGTGGGTTGCCTTCGTCGTCGACGATTTCGATTCGGTCCTCCACTTCGTCGATATCGTCGGAATCGATTTCATCTTCACTACCGTCATCTTCATCGTCTTCATCCATGTCGTCGTCATCTTCGTCCTCATCTCCCATTGTGACTTCGATGACGCCATGGTCTCCGGATAATCCTTCGATAGGGCCCATTCCCTGAAGTTCATCATCTTCGTCTCTTTCGCTGACATCTTCTTCGCGATCTTCAGACTCATATCCCATATCATCATCGTATTCGTCGTCATACATCTCTTCATCATCGTCTTTGCATGTTAGCATAGTTCAAAGCGAGGGGTAAGATCAGTTCCATACCATCCTCAGACTCTTCCGAATAGTCGCCTTCTCTGTCTCTGCCAGGTTCCAACATGCCTAGAGCCGAGTTGCGATAAAGATCTGGGGTCTCTTCTCGGTCATCATCGATGTCCGACAGGGAGCTTGCCGAAATGACCTCCTCATCAACACTACCCTGGGTTGGGATGGCGGGGATAATATTAGAATGGCTAAGGTAGATGGCGGTACTAGTTAAGATGCGGAGTACGCGAAGGATGTACTTAATAGTTCGTTTCACAGGCGGAAAGGCCAGGTCAATGTCGGCGATAGAGGAGGTGAGAGCGGCGAGATAACCCTTTTCGTACATAAGGCGTCGAATCTGAGCTTGCGATCGCTCGAGGGAATCATGGCCACCTCGGGCAGGCATGGGAGCATCCTTGTCTTTGTCACCCATCATGAGATGCATTATCTCCGACAGGGCAAGCATCCTCGAATATCTATTATCGAATGGCTCACTAGATGTTGCGGCATCTTTGTACGATCTTAAAATCGTATCCAGCACGAACTTTCGCACAAATAACAAATCCGGCTCGTCTTCGTAGTCGTACTTGTCTCGATTCCGTTCTATGGGCTTTTCTCCTGTCCTGCCCACAAGAGCCACCAGTAGGTTCTGCGCCTGGACAGATGTGGCATATCTCTTCTTGTGCGCAATCGTATCCGACGTACCGTCCATATGGCTTGGATATAGGAGATCGTTGAGAAGATAGTTGAGAACACTAGATCGGGGTTTCACCGGGGTGTTGGCGAAGAGTGGCGCGCCTCTCTTGAAGTTGATAAATTCAACTTTGGTGCGATTATAGCTTTGCAGGAGCTCCGTGAGACAGTGCAAGAGGAAGCAACGATAGATGAAGATTGGATGCTCTTCTGCCTTAAAAGACGGTTTGTTTTTCTTTTCTCTACCCTCTGCTGTGCGATTGTCGGCTTCAGATGCGCCAGTAGGAGTAGTCTGGCCTTGATCGTTTGGCTTCTTCCCATCTTTGGGAACTTGGGGTACCTCCTTATCGTCGACTTCCTTATAATTCAGGAGCTCGCAGAGCAAGAAATGGACGACACCATCCGGGTTCTCGAGCACGGGTCGCTTACTATCTTGAGACAAGGGCTTAGAAGTATCCGCCATCAGCTTATCCTCACTTTCGGTGGATGGCTTAACATCTTGTATGGACAAGTCCTCGGTGGCTCGAACGGCTGGTGCGACGTCGTCCTTTGGAGCATCTAGTTTTGGTTCTTTGAGGGTTATCATTTGCCCACGTCCAAGGTTGCTCTCGGTGGGCGTCCATCGGTTCAGTCTAACAGTCTCGTTGCAGACCTCAATAAACAAGGCCGGGTCTCGAAGAGCAATATGAGAGAAAGTCCTTGTGAAATTCGCCGGCTCGAGAGGACGTCCATTTCGACTACCATCAAAATACGTTTGGATCTCGCTTCTCATCATCTGCTTGATGACCTCTTCATCTTCGATGATGTGCCTGAGTATAGTGAGGATATGAGAAGCAATGCGAGTTTCGCTTAGTCGAGAGGACCCAGCGCCAGACAGCTGTTTGGCAGTGACAAACAGACCCTGAAGGTTCTTCTTGTCACCAACCTGTCGGGCAATAGAACGATCACGGGTAAGGATGACGAGGATTCGGAGAACGGATACCGCCAATGATTCTTCTTTACCGATTCGTGGTAAGATGTGTAATACCGCCTTTAAAAGCGTTTGGCGGTCATCATCTTTCACATTGAGATCTTTGGTAGACCATTGCAACGGTTCTATTGGATCGTTCTCGGATGCCGGGGATTTCCACCTGATCTCTCCTGGTTGTTCATCATCGCCCAAAAGGATCTCAAATATGAGTAGAATGTAAGGCGTCCAAGGGGTGTGTTCATCGGTCGATGCTGAAGTTGAGTTTTGGAGAAATTGCAGAAGCTCTTTAACGTTGTCCCTGAGGCTGTTGACGGTCGCTCGGAAAAAGCCTCTCTCCTGGAGAAGCAGAGACAATAGATGTGCATAAGCTGCAATGCTTCGTCCGTTGACTTCCAGTTCTTCGTTTTCTGCAAATGACATCAAAGCATTTGTTAAGGTATCGCCTATTTCTTGCCTTGAAGACAGATCATCGTGACTTGTTCGTAGAACGCCAGAGATCAACTCCGAAACCTCATGGGTAGAATCCGGATGTGCTCTTACAACGTCCAGGCATCTCTCGATAAGATTTGATCGCAAGCGATTGCGTTCTTCGTCCAGATCTTCTCTAGCTACCACCGTTCGTTTGGCAAGGTCTGTTTCGGCACTCGCTCCAGCCGAAGAGTCCTGGGCAGGGGTGGTTGATGAAGATGTCGCACCATTTTCATTCCGCGGGATCAGAGGAGGGATAGGCGTATCCCGATCGTTATCATTCGACAATGCTGCAGCTTCCCTTAATTCACCTAGGATATCTTCTTCAAGCAGCATGCCCGGAGCCAAGTCATGGCGCATGTCTAAAATCATCGGGTCGTCCTCGCTAGACGTACGCGTACTGTGCTCTGTCGGAGGGGCAGGTTCGTTCTCTGCATTATCTGGCAAATCAGGCTCAGGGATGGGATTTCGAGTGCCTGCAACGCTAGATTTATGCGCTTTGCAATACTCATAGGCCAGTGCTCGGTTGCCGTTGGCCCTGTAAATACCCTCTTGGGCAAGATCTTCCGAACAAGCACACTCATTCACAACCTCTCTTGTATCCTCCGATATATTCGACCAAGAGAAGCGGAGAGGCGTCGGTTGCAAATACGCAGGGGGCAGAGTCTAAAGAGATTAGCCTACGCAAAGGAGATGAAAAGGGGTGTGAAAGACAAACCTTGTCGGATCTCCGATAGCCAGTGGCTTCCAATTCAGTCTGGGATATGGACTTCAATATGCTAATAATCTTTGCAAGAATGTGAGCTGAGCCTTTCTCAACTAAGGGGGAATCCCAAAGTTCCCTCAGCACTGGCAGAACAGCCATTCGTAACTCAACAATCAAGTTCGGAGCAACCTGTCCATCGGCCCGTCGATCGCTGCTGCCCATATTTCGGGGGAGGATATTAATTTGGCCCACGGAGTCAGTGATTGTCTTGCCGTTAATTATCATCGAGTACAAATCCAAGATCTTCTTCATGCCGATGACCGCAAGACGTGACATAGACTCCTCCTCCCCATCTTTGTGCTCCTTGCAAATCTCATGCTTGAAGGTCCGCAACATAGCATTGAGCAATTCGAGGCCACCATACTTCTTGAAGGCGATCAAGACGGGTGCTATGATTTGGGATGGCGATTGTCGGTCACGAGCTTGTTAAATTAGTATAGCTGACGCAGATATGGATGGGGAGGCATAGAGGTACACTTACTTTCGATCGTACGATTCACCAGCATCTCGTGGACTGCATGCAACATAATGATCCAGTAGTGGAAATCCTTACTGGACTTCTCACGGTCAGGCAATTCGAATTGCTCCAGGATGGTCTGGGCTAGATCCTCGGCTAATTGCAGATGATGCACCCGTAAATACTGATCGCGTTCGCGCCGAGGCAACAGGGACTTCCCAAGGGTCTGGAAAAGCGGAAATGTAGCAGGCATCAACGAATGTAGAAGGAGTCGGAGAGTCCTGTAGTTTTGATACCGAGGACTTGATTGCTCGCTCTTCGAAGGGCCATCGTTGGCACCGCCATCTTTAGCCGTTGCGAGTTTCCATAATGTAGCAGATGATAGAACATCTGGCAAGCTCGAATCCTCGGTCTCGGAATGAGCAGGATTCCCATTACCAGACGTAGAAGGGTTGTTCGGCGGATTTTGCCAATCCAGAGACTGACCCGGCCTCCTCGCCGACCAATTCTCAGGAACACCATTAGAAATAGCTGCCTCTTCCAAGATCACAGCGCGCAGGAGCGGCCCCAAGGACTTGATCAGGTGACTGTAATAATCAAAAACAATGACGGGGTGTAACGTTACGGTCTGCGCCCGTGAGGAAAAGGGGAAACACTGGTAGAGAGTCTTGATGAGCGACTGCGTGTTTAGGAGAGCCTTTGCTAGGTCGGTCCCACGAGAAAGCCGCTCGGCAACATCTTCTTCTGCCCGGTCTGCCCGGTCTATATCGGGCCTGAGGAAGGGCAAGAAATAAGATCCAGTATCTTGAGCTTGCGTGACGGGATTAAGCACATCAATGGCAGCCTGCGTTCGTTTGAGTAGGGAGGGTAATCCGATTATCGGGGTAGTCTCGACAAGCTGCGAGACGACCGATTGCAAATTTCGAGATGCTACAGTATCTCCGAAGTCATGCGGCAAGCTGGGCGCCGTGCTGAGGTCCAGCAACAATTCTATACCGCCACTGTTGATCAAGTTGATTTTCAGGTTCGAATTTCCGACGTAATGGGCCAAGAAGTTGGAAACCGCAAAAATATAAGGGGTGATAGATGAAGTATCTGCCGTGGCAACGCGAAATGAGAGTTCGCCATCTTCTCCCTGCTGCAGGCTTGCATCTATCATCTCGACGTCAGTATCGTCAATAGTTGCGAGGGCCTTGCCCTTGCCCTTATCAGGAACTACTTGGGGTTCTTTTAGGAGCCTCTCATTTGCAATCACTTCCCGACCCTTTGAATCGTTGACGAGAAGCTTGGCTCCCCACTGAGCATCCCTAGCCTTTACGCGAGCCAGATGGGTGACTCGAGCAACCATGTCCAGCACGGCGTTGGCAATGGCCGGCCTCAAAGATGGGTGGTGGCGTGCAAGCTCATCGAAACTACCCCCGATACTCTGAGAAACGTTCTCGTCGGCGGCCATTACCCTGACGTGCTCAGGGCTCTCGAAAATCTCGAAATAGCTATCGAATGCACGAGAGGATACGACCATCTTCATACCTAGATTGTTTAAGCAGATGGCATTCAGAACAGTAGGTACTATTGTGATAGGGTCCGTCGATGGTAAAATGCCGCGAGCCAGCGGACCGTCACGTGGCGCCTCCAACATCTCCGGCGATGGAGGATGCGGGCGGTTGTCAGGCTCAAGAAGGTCCGGCGCAGAGTCATCGGTAGGCGACTCGGAGTTGTCATCCCGATTCTCGCCGCCGCTCGAATCCGCTCCACCGAGCTGCCCAATGGACACTGGACGGCCCGTCAGGGCCTCGAGGTAGCTTTGAATCAGCCCGGATTCCGATATTGCTGCGAAGCTAGTTGGGTCGTTATTGAGGAAATCACTCAGGATGGTGACGGCGTTAGTCCAGACTAAGGAGCCAAATTTAGCCATATTCTCAATGATCTCGCGTATGCTGCGGAGCAGTGCAGACTTGTCAACCAGGTTCCTCAGCAACCGATCAGTATTACCGCCGAAGGCGAACGCATTTGTCATGAGATGATGGATGAACTTCAAGAGGAACTTGAGGTTCTGCTGCTGGTAAAACGGAATCTCGTAGTCAACAACCTGAGAGCGGTGAGCTGCGAGCGTCCCTCTTCCCTTGGCGATAAGCTTCTCCGCAAGTTCGACCTCGTAGGTAACCAGGTTGGTGATAGCTTCTAGACCGTCCGCATTGACTAGTGCTTGAAAGGAGGGCTGCACGTTATAGACGAGACTATCTAGAAACCCCACCAAAGTACCATAAGTACGTTCAGCTATGTTAGACCTCAAGTTAAGGATCTCGACCATGATGTCCAGCAACCCGGCAGAAATGATTTCGGGCAGATTGCGTGACGTATTATTGGCCATGGCCATCGTAATATGAAGCGTCAGAGAAAAGAGGCTATCCCGCCATTCGTCTTCTTCGGTCCATTGCTCCCCGGAGTCATCGTTTTTCATTTCGGCGACCGCCTTCCTGATCACATAGAGCAGCACGCCGTGATTCACTGTCGCATTCAACGCCGAGAAAATGTCGGGCAGCTTGTGCTGGAAACTCGCGATAGCCTCAAGCAATGACGTGGCGATTGACTGTAAATCGATAGGCACTACCATAGCACCGTCGGCGGCAGGGTGGATCAGCTCCGCGAGCTGGTAAACAAGCTGGAAGCGCCGTGGCTCATCGTTATCCTGCCTAAGGACCTTTTCGATGAAAGTAGGCTCAATGTGGATGTACGCCAGGTTTTGTATAGCCAACAGGCGAGCCTTTAGTGCTTGTCGTCGGGATTCGATCGACCCCGTGAGGGCTTTCGCAACCCGAAGACGATTGAGCAATTCGTACTTGGATTCTTTCGCGAGATCCACTGGCATTCTGGCAAGAAGTTCGTAGATCGATGTTGAGCCGACCGCAACATGTGATATTTCCAGAGTCTTCTGGCCAGGGAGGCTTCCTTCATCCCTGCCCGCAACCGAAAATCGGGAGGTCGAGACGGGACTATCTTCCGATACACCCTGACGACTCGCACGCGGTGTGGATTGTGTCGCAGTAGAGGTGCTACTTCGCCGCAAAGGAGTCGGTGTTGCAGGTACATTCGAAGCACCCCGATCATGTAGAAACGGCTGCTGCGTTGACCCTTGTGTGTCGTCTGGCGTTGGGTAATATGTAAGCTTCACATCGCCCCAGCCGTTCCAGCGCGTCTGGGAGCCCGAGTTCTCGGCAGTATCCGCCTTAGCGAGCGCACATAGATCATTTGCGTACATAGTCGCTACGTTCTTCGGGCTTCCACTATGGCTTTTTTCTTTGCCCTTGTTGGCGGAACCCGGAGTGGTGAGAGGCGTATGTTCCGAGGGTTTCAGAATAGGTGTCTTAACGAAGGGCTGAGCGAGCTGCTGCACGCGATCGAGATCAATGTTATAGTGGTTTGATAGCAGAGTTGTGTGCACCTGTCTCGTTGCCATGCCGTGAATGCGCTTAACGGAGGCCTGATAACGCTGAGCCAGCTCCACCCCAACACGTAAAGTCGCACAGATTATGGTGAAGTCGGTGCTGTTCAGAAGATCATTCAAATGAGAGCTGCTGGCGTATATACTACGATTTCCACAGTGGTCCAGCAGCATCTGAGTGAATTTCAGAATGGCCACGATGAGGTAGACATCACCATCATTGCTGTAGCCCGTCTCCGAAAGGTTTTCCGGCTCGCTTGGCTGTCCCCCGCCATCGCTGGCGGAGTTTGATCCGCGAAGAACTTCGCAGCCGAAATCTCTAGTTTGGGGGCCTTCATTCAGCTTGTATGTAGAGCAAAACGACTCCAGAAGCGCGTCGAATCGGTTCAACAAGGGTATCCAATGATACAGGTCACCCCTCGGGAACGGCCATCGTGAGGGGAATGTGGCGAGGACTTTGGGTAAGAGGGGTGCGGGCGCTGAAGTCGCAGCATCGACGAACTCCTGCAGCCACGGAGACTACGGGGAAGCGGATTAGCAGGCAGCAAAAACAACATGATACCAGGGCCACGAAACTCACCAGAGTCTCCTTGTGCTTAGCTTGTATGGTCTTCGTTATCTTTCCCATGGTGAAGGCCGGGGCGGCCGAGCCGCAAAGAATGTATCTACTCCCCCTCCACTACCAAGGCTCAAATGATCGGTGACGACAACTTGGATTGCCGCGTGGGAGCGTCCAAAATAGCATGGACGGCTCCTCCCATAAGCTGTCTCGAGTTGCTCCTAGGTACAGAAGGCGAGGTGGCGGATGCTACTGAAATCGGTGACTTAGTAAACCTGGGATGCCTCGTGTCTAGATGTCAGCCTTGCGTGAGTCGAGGCAAGTTCGTTTGCGGAAAGGTTCCGAGGTTTCACGACGATTTCGAGTGGTGGTGAGTAAAAAAGGAGGGTGTTTCTCCACCCTGAGGGTCGCGAGGTGCGAGAGGAGTAATGCGGGTAAAGGTAAGGCGGACGATGCACCGGTGAGGGGCAGTGATGATGATGTGAGGCGTAGACGAGAAACTTCGCACGGTTGTCGAGAAGCTGGAATAACTTCGATACAGACGGGTGCAGGCCGCTGATACCGTCAGTTCCAGGTTCAGAAGATTCACCGTGATAGGCAGCGATGTTTGGCGGAAAGGCCTCGAACCACCTGCTCTATATGCTCGCAGGTGTTGGCCAGGTCGTCAACGAGATGCAGATTGGCGGAGTCGAGAATTGTCGAGGAGGGAGAAAAATTAATTAGGTGAGAGAAAGGTGGAAGAAGTTCGCGGCTGATGATCAGTCACGGCCTTCTGCGTAATGATTGCGCCTGTGGAGAATCGGCTGCTTGCCCGCACTTAAAAATACAAGTGGATTTGCCTCACAATCTCTCAAAGGGTTAGGTACATACTACCTAACGCAGTAAGTAGCTTGGCAGGTGGAAGCTGCCGGGTACACACAAAAGTCACCTAGGTAAGTACACCCTACCGTATGTAAAGGTTCCACTGTTGAACGTGGGTATCGGAATCGTGTCAGATACATGCCCGCCCAGTCTAGCGGATGTACGATACAACATGCTCTGTAGACGAAATTTATAAGCAGATCTGCCCAGAGGCAAGTTAGGTACCTTGGGGTGCCTGACCCGAGATTAGGATATACCTGCCTGCCTAGATGGGTACCTAAGGTAACTACCTAACTTACCCACCTACCTCCCGTCTTCCAACCTGCATAAGAAAATATACCTTCCCTTACTGAGACAAGTCATCGCCTGGGGCAGGTACAATAAGGACGAGTCGTGAGGGCATTATCTACCCACTTATCTAATCTTAGGTACATGGGTACCTGATGTACTTGAATGGATCCCCGCAACCCAACCAACCTCAACTTTCCACCTTAGGTACCTAACCTACCTACCCCCTACAGGTACATACCTAGGTACCTCTACACACATGTAATGTTGCTCAAGATGCCGCGTCAAACTGGAAAAGATTCCGGGTATGCTTCCACCTTCTAAAGCAATGTGGACGGCGGGCAGCTGTTACCACTCAAGGTATATGTATAGGAGGTATATAGGTACCTACCTAGAGGTAGGTATGAAGCACTTAATTTAGTCGGATGTTAGGCCTATATGCGGGTTCCTATATCACACCTACGAACTTTCGACATGCACGGAAGAAACCAGAGGTAAACGCGTCTTCGCGAATAATTCCCACCACTCAGCCAGGTAGAATGTCCATATTAGACCCGAGCAATGTACGGTTTCCATGCCGAAACCTCGCTAGGACCTTATCTATAGGAGTTTGTGAATCTCGCCCTTTTATTCCGCGGTATCCAGCGTCTAAAACAAAATCATTGATTCACTGGGGAAAATTTTCGCGTCCAGACTGCAGCCCAATGTCTCAACCAAGTCGCTATCACCTGCACCTACAGTGCTTCTTTCACATCTACCTATGTATAGATAGAAGCCGTTGATGCCCAGGGCGGCCTTCAGGCGCGCATCAAATCTATATCAAATCACAGGGGGTCATTCCGAATGGGCTAGGTACCTACTCATAACCCTCTTGCGTGCAGCTTTTCTGCGGATCGTAGAGTATGGCGGCCAACAAATCAACCCATCTACACAATTTCCATTGAAGGTCAAAGATATCTTCCCTACGGAGGTTGGGGATCCCTGGCCCATATATGCAGAATGAGTACAGGATAAACATATTGCATATGTATATAGATCAGTGTGCCCCTACGTACATAACGAGTAGTTAGGTGTAGTGACCGGGCACATTTGTATTTGTATATACCTACGAGACAGGAGTCAGCGATCGGCAACAAAAGACGGCCACTGACCTTCGGACTTAGCTCTGCTCAATACTACATTAGGTAGGTATAGAAATGTATATACGTGCTCTTGAAAGAGAAGTAGATCACATTGAAGTAGCCAGGTAGATTGTAGGGGAGGTCTCTCCTACGGGAAATCAAACCCACACCTATTATCTGCCTACACTTGGAGGCTATGCAAGAGTCCTAGATGCCACCTAGAGATTCAACCTAGGGCCGCCGGATTTCAATCAAAAGGCACACAGGGTTGAAAGTTAGGTACCTAATCCCGTCAGCGTCTACAGTGTCAATAAATATATCCAGTTATTTATTGAAGAGGTAACGCCTCTTGAATTACGAGCTAAGAGGTTGTTAAAGAGTTACTTCTGTTCGCTACGAATTGAAAGGTCGTTGAGGAATTATCACGTGTCGCATATTACCTAACTACCTCCTAAGGTACCTAATGCTGCAGGCCCCTCAAGCACGTAATACGAAGAGGTTACGTCTACGTGGGTACCTACCTCTATGTACCTACCTAATGTTCAAAACTAGACGTATATATCAACACTGGGTAAGGGTAGCAAATTAAATCAGGGCTCGTGGTTTAGTGGTATAATACTCCCTTAGCATCTTTATCTGGGAGTGGTCCGGGGTTCGATTCCCCGCGAGTCCAGCAACTTTTTTTTCTACAGGAGATCTAGTAGCATTCGTAAACCATCATCGTTCAAGTCCCGTGGCCTTATCTACTTTTTCGCCCGGTCTACAACGCATATCAGCATCTGTGTACGGGTTATCGCATCGGTTTGAACAGCCTTCTAGAACACCCGCATTCGTCAGCATTACTAGGCAGCTCTTCAACGAAGAGGCAATAGTTCCTCATGTGAGACTTACCCGTATGCGATTAAATCTTCCTAACCCGACTTATTCCCTGATTCTGTGGAACTAGGTCGCGCAAGCCATGCCAGGACGCAACTCCGCCATGTGGTGTTTCACGCCAAGCGGATTGCCAAATGCTCACGAGTACTCTTCTTAGACTCTGGAGAGGGCGGCGCCCTACCGTCGGCCCACGGTCCTTCGATTCATCCCTATCTCAGTCCCAGGCACAAGTTAGGGCGGGGGGGGGGTTGAGTTCGTACGCTTTGTGCTGAAGGGCTCGAGAACGCTGGAGAACCGTTCGGCGAGTTCTCCCGCCTACTCGCAGCCCATTCTAAAGCCCAGGTTTTCCTTCAATCGAGGATCGAGAGGTTCATCTAAGAAACAGACGAGCAGTACTCGGCCTAAGTATAAATAGTTGCCGTAACCATCGAGACTCTTTCAAGAGAGCCTCTATCTAGCCTCTCCATTGCGCTCTCCTTCCTTAACATTGTCTTCAATGCTATAACTTCCAAGAGAACCCCCTTACCGGCCCCATCTACCCTGACATCACCCCTATTCATTAAAACAACATATAAAATCTATGTTTGAACATCTTGCAGGCCGCTTTGCCATATTTGGATTTTCCTATGATGCTGGCAACGATGAGGGCTGCAGTTGGGATGTTGCCAGCCTAGCAGGCTGCCAAGCGGATAGACATAACAGACATGTAGAGCAACGACGGGCTCTCGGGAGGGTGAGCACCCAGGCGAAGCAGAGAATCTAGCAACTCCTTCCTTCTAGTAACTACGATAAAAACGCTGACAGCTTGAGCTCCGAGGTGTCTTCAGTTCTTCCATTCTTGAGCGAGGACATCGTGATACGTAGGTTGGTAATATCTGGGGACCTTACATACAGGGCCTACGCTGACCTTAGGTAGCAGGCTTCTATTAGGGCATGTCGACATATCATGTTCATCGAGGTTGTTGGGTACCTAATATTGCTATAAACGCTTATGACGCTGGTAATGAACCGGTCGCTGTTGCAAGACGCTACGCCTCGTTGAGCCAGGGAGGCGTGATATGCGTGCGGGTTATCGCTGGTGTAGGACATCAAGGTTCGCTCATAGCCTCCCTACGAGTACGCATCGCATCCCCAGACCTAATCCTTAAATATAATCGCTAATATCGACTCCTTAAACCCCTAGAAGCAAATCGTGATTCCTAAGCGGATATCGTATGGCTGTCGACTTTGCAAACAAGCGCTATAGCATCATGGGGGTATCGAACTCTGTGCGACTCGCTCCGGTCATCTTCGTTGGCGGCTGTATCGACAGCGGCCTGCAGTTCCTCCCATGGCTTACCAAGCCCCTTCCTTATCTCCATGTCGAGACGAGCAAGTTCTACGGCGACGTTGCGCCTCGGCTCTAGAAACTCCCTCAAGCATAATGCCGCACCGGTGACTAGTTCGCTAGATTGGCCCTCCGCGCCCTTCTCGAGCGCCATAGCGATGAGCTTCGAGTCGCGCGAGAAAGCGGAACGGTCGGGGCCTTCGACCCCATCCAGGTACCCGAGCAGATGAAAGATGCCTGGGAGCTCCCCCTTGCGAACTGAACCACGCTTTCGAAGATCGTAGGCCGTGCCGGACAACTCAATGATAATACTCAGAAGCGCGTACACCACAGAGTCAAGAGTATGCCACCACTTATCGATGCTAGTCGCCATATCATCGGCCACTAGTGTGTGTTGTGCCATCCTCAGGGGCAAGGGCAGACGGTGCTCGACGACGAACTTATCGATGATCGATTTAAGGCGGAACGCACAGTCGTTTGCCGGCGTGGTCTTGGGAGACTGGCTGCTTTCCTTCTCGTCGGCGTCAGCAAGGTGTATCATGCCGCACTCGTCGACGCGGAAGGTATCGCTGGACACGAGTCCTCGGTTGACGGCGGCGCTGATGGTGGTCAGATTGTGCGTCCGGAGGCCGCATCCGGAGGCCTTTGGACTGTTATGCATGTTGTCCACCGTGGTAGCAGGGAAGCTCCGTGGTTTGGGGAGAGGGGAGGTAGGAATTTTGCTTCGTTCGTACAACGAAAGGCGTGTAGAGTTGGGGTTGGATTGCCTATCGCCTACTTATAAAGTCCGATGGGGGCTGGGAGTGAGATGGATGAGGAAGGTCGGGAACCGGTTAAAACAGCAAGCAAATTACATGGAGGTATTTAAATGCTTTTTTTGTAGCTGCAGGTGCTGCCGTACACAGACACCCGCATGCGTGCTGCGTGTTTCTCGGGTCACTGCGTCGAAGGCGAGGAGTCATCCCCGGAGGAGAGGAGGTTACATATTTCGGTTCATCCAGGAATTGTACTGTCGTATTATCGAGGGAACAAACGAGTGTGAGTTATTGAATCTCTCCCCCCCCCAAGTGTGTGTCATTGTCTGCTTATTGTCTGTGGCCTACTCGAGCTTGACCCAGAACTTTGCCTTGGTTTCATCACAACCATCACAACCACTTTACCTCTTGTGGACTCGTAAGCTTGCACAAGAGGGCTTCTCTACACAGTAATTATCCATATCGGTGTATTCCGGTTAACACGTACTATGGGGGCACCGAGAGCCCAAATGAATCCCCCTCCCCACCCCCAGTCTATCTCTAGTTGTTCTTTTCCTACACAACAAGAGCAACGTTACGGACGGTAAGTAGAATGCTCGCCCATCTCTAGCCTAACCCAAGTAAATATTTGCTAGACGGCCCACGGGGGTTAGGAGTCTTCCAGCGTAGGTAGGGATAGCCGTGTGACATGTGTGGCATTTTGTTTAACTGACGTCTTAATAGCTAGAGGCTAGGCAGTGGAAACCAACGCACACCCTTCTCGCCCATCCCTTTACTATTAAGCTAAATAGACGGGACGCCGGAAGCGAGTAAGACGCCTTAATTAAGCGAGGGAGATCCAACCTCACATATGCACCGCGGAGGGCACATCAGGTGCACATACCTACCCGGAGAGAGGGAGCTGTTGACGCCACATGCTGCAGGCCACAGGTATTGGCATATAGCGGTTGCTGTTCAAATTGATACCTACCTCCTAACCTGCTCACCTGGTGTGGTTGCTGCGGACAGTTGGGTACGGCGCTCTGGGTAGATAGGTATGGACGAGCTGACGAAGTGGGAACGACGGCTCTGTTGCCACCAGCCTCACGAAGGCGAAACAGGACGGAAATAAGCAAATGAGCAGCCGGGTACGACCTATGATGACGATGGTGATGACGATGGTGATGTGTGTAGCCCTTCGGCTATTACCTACGTACGCATGCGCACGCATGTGCACGCATGTATCCGTACGGACGGTCAGTAGGAGGCATGCAAGGACAGAGACGCCAAGTACTTAGGTATATGATACAAGGCGAAAGGGGCCGTCTCCAAGACCGGACATTAAATATGTCGTGTGCACGCACTGCCTTCCCGGAGGTCCAATCGGTCTGGTCCTGATTGTGCAGGCTGAAGATACCCATATTACAACGTACCCAAGGCAGATAGGTGTTAACCTCCGAGGTGTTGGATAACGTCAGGTGGCTAGCCGTTCCAAGAGGTTGGCGCTGAGAAGTAAGAAAGGTAGGTGGCCTCGCCCGATTCCGTCCGAGGGCGTCAAATTTGGCCTGAAAATTCCAAATATAGCAACATGGACAAGATGTCTCCATCGGTGCTGTGTTGTTGTGTTATGTTGTTGTATGGATAGGTGGAGGATGGAGGTTACGTGTTGATAGCAGCTTAACTACCTACCTACCTACGTACACATGTAGGTGCCTTAGGTTAAGAATCGGCGGATGCCATCAGGTGTTTTGGTGTGCTCAAAGTACTGGCGATGATGTCACACGCAGGTTGCGGTCGTGTAAGGTTGTTACGGACCCGACGTTGGAATCGCCTAGGTACCTAAGGTTGTAGGGGTGTACTACGTGAAAGGCAGGTACTTAAGCTATCCGCAAGATTAGGTACTTGTGTCCCCTCGATGTGCCTGACGCCATATATAGGAGGCAGAACATCCACCAGGGAGCCGATATACAGGTGGCATTTTTACGAGAAGAGACCTCCCTTTACATAGTACCTAGGTGTTATAGGCACAGGTACATACTAAAGTCAGCTGAATAAAAGGTACGTGCCCAAGGTACCTAAACTTCCACTCACCTACCTGCCTCCTCTGCCCTCTTGGACCATTCGCATAATTGGAACATACCTACCTAGGCCATTAATAGGGCACATTATCGTACTATGCGCACATCCGGGCCACGATGTCAAGGACGGGAGATAGGTGGTTGGTATGTAGGTAACTTCGCGGTAACCCTAGAAGAGCCCCTGAGCTAACATCACATACCCACGCAATGGTTATGACTTGGAATTGAGGTTGTTAGCGAACGGTCTTAGCGTTACACTAAGCACCATGCCACCGGCCGGCGGCAAGTGCCAACAGCGTATAGCACTATGAGTAAACACCTAAAGCCAGTGCCTACTGTATAGGTAGGCATGTACCTACCTACCGCCTGCCCGCAGTAGGGCCGATACTTGTCCCTCTAGGTACATAACCTACCTCCTAAGGTAGCCCTGGGGCTATTTCCTAGGCTGCCTACTTACCAGGTACCTAACCTACCGACCTACCTACCTCCTAAGAGAGGTACACGACTCATCCATTAGGATGCCATGCGCCGTTTCCACGCGTTCGCGGAACAATAAATAGAACAATGGTGAAATGCTCACACCCATCCGTCGCCTTAGGCATATATGTATATATCTACATATCTATACCGAGGAGGCACCCGGGAAAGTGTTATCAAATACATTCCCACCACCGCTGCGTCCCGGCACAAACGCGCCACTTGCCCACCGATAGACAAGTACCCTGGGCCGAGGGAACCAGGTACCGGTGCATGTACTTATACGTGCCGGCCTGTTAGTGCTGTGAGCGCGGTAGCGTTTTCGGGGCCGTGCATCTCCATTGGATCAGCGTCGAGATCCATCCTAGCCATCCTGGCCATTCTATGCGCAGTTCTCCATACCTGAGTAGGTTACAATTCCACCTCCAGCACCCCACACATCCCAGTCGACTTGTACGAAGGGGCCAAGGGCATTCAAACGACGGTGAACTGAGTCCATACCTCGCCTTTCTCTTTTTTTTTTTTCCTTCCCTCTCTCTCCTTTCACTCGCCTTCCATACGTACACCCTTCCTCCTTGCGGCCAGTCGTCCTTTCTCGATATAAACAAAAACACCTGCCACGGCTCGACACGTTGTATTGCTCGTTTGCCTCATATCCCCTACTATATGATACGCTATCGCCGATGGCCAGGCCTTGATCAACAATACTGGTCCCTCCACGTCGACTTGACTCTCATCCCGAATATCAGACGCATACCGAGAGTAGCAGTACATCGTCCGTCCTCCTCCACGTCTGCCGTTGGTAGCCAATATGTCGGCCCAGGACGAGGCGCACTCGTCTGACGCTCCTCCCCGGGTTAATGGGACTCACTCGCCTGCTCCTTCGGACAAGGACGCAGTACGTTAGCCACCTTCGTGTGAAGCATACCTCTTGCCAGTCTGGAATAATGCATTCTATCTACATAGCAAGCCGCTTTGGCAATTTCACAATGCTGACTCCCTATCGTGTGAAGGATACCTTTGAAGATGCTCTCGACACCGGGTCTGTGAGGTCCCTGACGAATCGCAGCAAGCTCTCGCCGAGGTCTAGTAGTGGGATTACGGACGAGGTCTCGGAGCCCCCCGAGAGCCCACCCCCAGAGCCCCAGGCAAAGACGAATGGGGACACGGTGGAAGTAAAGGAGAACGGCGAAGTGGGTGGCGGCGATACGGCCGCGAAGTCTCCACCGTCTCTATCTAAGCGCCTCTCGAATGTGTCTCTCGACAACGTCGACCTCGGCGACGGGGCTATAGGACAAGAGGAGCCCAAAGGTTGGTGTACAAGCCGATATGTCTAATGGTTACGTCCGCTGATGAGTTGTAGAGGGGCCGCTTCCACCTCCTCCTGCCACCCAGTCACAACCGGAGCTACCCGTGGTAGCAGACAAACCACCCTCGAAAAAGCTATCTCTTAGCAATATTACCAGCTCGTTGCCTTCGATGCCGTGGACCCCCTCGAACGCGGATTCGACGCCAAAGACGAGTCCAAATCCTGCCATTAATGCTGTCCCAGCCCAACCGTCGGCGCCGCCCGCCCCGCCAGCACCCCGAAAAAGCCCGTTTTCGTGGCTGTCGCGGACCTCGACACACAGGGAGAAAGATCCCGTTACATCACCGCCCACAACAGCTACGGCCTCGCCGAGGCGAAACACAGATAGCTCGATAGCTACACTAACCAGCAATCCAGAAATGGCGCTCGGCAAACTCGATGAGGAGGCTGAAGGGAATGGCGGTGGCCCGCGTTTGTCGAGGAGTAGTTTGAAGGACAGGTTCAAGATGGTGCGACTTCGAGAAGAGGCTGGAATCTCTATCACCCCTGGTGACGGAGAGAAGTCGCCGGCGGTCGTCCTCCTTTCGCCAACTGGAACAATGGGGTTCACGAACCCGGCCGTGGAGAATGGCCAAGAGGGAAACTCTATGGCACTGCCTCCGCCATCTCCATTACCAACTGTGGACGCAAATCTAGCCCCGGGGACCGTCTCGGGTGTGTCTGTCGGCCCCTCAGCCGTCTCGGACGCCCAAGTCGATTGGGACCTGTGGCAGTCGGTCGTCTATGAGGGCCCAGCCGCGGTCGCCAGGACAAATCCCGAGGAGCTCAACAAGGCAATCACCACTGGGATACCTAACGTGATCCGCGGTGTCGTCTGGCAAGTTCTCGCTCAGAGCAAGAACGAAGACCTTGAGAAGGTATACAAGGATCTGGCAACTCGAGGCTCTGAGAAAGACAAAGACAGGAATAGCAACAGCACTTCAATCAGCCTTTCGAGCAATGGGAACCTGAGTTCCGATAGGGACGCAATAGCATCTTCGGCCTCGTCGGTACACTCAGAGGGATCGGGAGGCAGCGGCAAGAGGCAATCGCCTACGTCGCCGGAGCAGTCTGAGGCAGCTCTGAAGGCCCAGGCTATCGCCGCCGCAGAGAGGAAGAAGAAGGAAAAGGAAGATGCGGCGGCCATATTGAGGCTTGAGAGGACCATCAAGAGGGATCTTGGGACCCGGACAAGCTTCTCGAAGCACGCGGCAGCCGCCGGCCTCCAAGACGGACTCTTCGGCGTCTGCAAAGCCTACGCACTCTACGACGAGGCGGTCGGATACGCGCAAGGGATGAATTTTCTAGTCATGCCGCTGCTTTTCAACATGCCAGAAGAAGAAGCTTTCTGTCTCCTGGTCCGACTGATGAATCAGTACAAGCTGCGCGATCTCTTTATCCAAGATATGCCGGGCTTGCACATGCATTTATACCAATTCGAGCGGCTGCTAGAAGACCACGAGCCGGCTTTATATTGCCATTTGCACCGACGCGGTATCTCGCCGCACCTATATGCGACGCAATGGTTCCTCACCCTTTTCGCGTACCGCTTCCCACTCCAGCTTGTGCTGAGGATCTACGATCTCATCCTGTCGGAGGGTTTATCCGCGATTCTCAAGTTTGGCATCGTCTTTATGCAGAAGAACACCTCGACGTTGCTCGGCATGTCTGATATGTCCCAGTTAACAAACTTCCTCCGAGACAAGATATTCGACGTGTATATCGATCAATCGCCGAGCGCCGGTAGCATTCTCGAGAACGGGTTTTTCGGAAGCAGCTCTTCTAGCATCGACAAGGAAGTATACCGAGCGGATCAATTGGTTCGCGACGCGTGCGAAGTGAATATCACCCCTGAACTTCTCAAGGCTTACACGACCGAGTGGGAAGAGAAGACGCGCGCTGAGAAGGAGCGAGAGAAGGAGCTCGAACAGCTCAAGACTGCAAATTTAAGCTACGCCATCAAGATCCGAAAACTCGAGGAGAGGCTCGAGGCGAGCGATCGTGAACAAGCGACCGTGACGACGGATCTGGTTCATACCAAGATTGAGAACGAGGACCTGAAAGATCAGAACGAGAGCCTGAGCGGGCAGGTTAGGGAACTTCGCAATGTCATTGAGAAGCAGCCCGAGGAGATCGAGCAGACCTGGAGGCTCGAACGCGACGATTTGATGAAGCGAAACGAGAAGGTTCACGAGGAGAACAGTAGGTTGGAAAAAGAACTACAGGAGCTCGAAGAAGAACTCGTGCAGACGAAGATGCGATACGCCGAGGTACGTGGAAGCTTTCCGTGTGCGAATCCCGCGTGGGTAACCCTGACTAAATGCCTCTTATTAGATCAACTCCCAACATGAGACTCTCCAAAGAAAGTGGGCTGAGCTCAAGCGCCAATTTGCTTGAAGCTCAACCCTGATCCCTCCCTGGCCTTGTTCTCCCGAATCCTCTTGGATCGATGCCTTCACATCCTCGTACAACAACCCTCGTACGGTCGTCGGTGGTAGGCAACTCGCCAGGTGGGGTAGCGGAGGAACGACCCCGCGCGCCACCATGTCGGAAACATCAACGAGGTCAGGAATTCTCTCCCGCCGAGCCTCCTCGAACCCAAGACGGCCGCCTTCGCCTCGAGCGTTTACTAGAGTTGTTACTTAGTTGGCCGAGGGCTGGTCTAGGCAGTGCTGGGGTGGAAGAGCGGGGTTCTCCAACTTCTGTCGTTGTCGTTTGTTTCGGTTGGTTTCCCTTGGCTTTAGCAACCTCGTTTCCCTGCGGTGGCGCTAGAGAAGGAGAAGAAGGAAAAAAAAAAAGACAACCCTGGAATCCATATCATCGACGACCAGTGCATTATATCGACATGCATAAGAGAAAACGATTCACGCAGCCTGAATGAGTCCTGTATAGAATCAGCCCAGAGGCGCTAGGGGGCGGGATGAATACCACAAGAGAATCAGTCACGACCCGCCTACATTTGTCGATTTGATGCGTTGACCACTCGATCCCGTGCTTTCGGCTCGCGATTAGTTAGATAGCAGAGCTCGGCGGCTGTTCCGAGGCTTCTAGAAATGCTAGATGTTGACTCGTGACTTCTAGAAACCCTACGAACGTTCCTCTGGTAGAATAAGCAGCATTGGTGGGTATGGGAGCGTATATACATAGCCTTGATATAGGAGCCCTGATGATGAACATTGAGGGTTCCTGGGGAAACACCCTCACCAGATTAGTCTTGCACCCTTGAATGGTGCTCGATGACCGTAAGTCTGCGGCACGCAACCACGAACAAAGGTAACAGGGGCGCCGGATAGTTCATTTTGGTGATCTTTTTTTTATTGATCAGAACCTAGTAGACACGATCCTCATTCCATGCCGAAGACGAACAGAATCCATGAACACCGGTGCCATTGCACGTAAACCTCCATATCCGCCGCTGCTAGCGAGTACGTCCACATTTTCCCCGAGACGACGTCGTTTATTTGTGCAGCTTGCGCTGGTAGAAAGCCAGCTCTTCTCCCTCGAGGATGTAGCCGTCGCAACGGCCGCTCTGGCCGGGCCGGCTGGCAATAACAGCGTACAAACGACCAGCCTCGAACTGCTTCTCTAAGGCGTTCTCAACCTTGCCGTGGTGTGTGAAGCGGGCGGCCTGCTTCTTCTCGACGGCCCTGCTCTTCTTGACTACCTCCTCCTCCTTGCCGGACTTCTGCTGACGTCGGCGGCCCAGGGGCTGGCCATAGTGAGCCTCGTACCATTGACGGAAGGGCGCGGCATCGATTTGGACGACGGCGGACTTGGTCAGGGTGTTGGTTCGCACCAGCTCGTTGTTGGACGGGTGGTAGGCGACGACGATGACGCGGGTCTTGCGGGTGCAGCCCTCAGAGGCCCAGGCAAAGTTGCCCGAGTCGAGACGCAGGGCCCGGTACTTGTGGTTGCCGCCGCGAGTGCGGACGGTGTGGATTCGCTTGGGGCCGATCCTCGTGTTGGCCTCTTGCCGGCCAGCCTCGAAAGCGCGCTTCTTCCCTGGTGGAGAGGTCAGAACGTATGGTCATCTAGACAATGACGGCATACGGGCTTTCGGGTTTTCCCTCTCACGGGGAGGATGTGTGTGTGTAGGTACACGTAGCAGGGACGCGGATGCGGTTGGTCACGTACGGTAGAAGGCTCGCTTTGCGCCCGAGGCGGAGCGCTTGTGGCGGGAGTCGCGGGAGATACCCATGATTGCGGATTCTAGTGGGAGGATGCTGCGGTTAGCCCGAGGCTTCGACGAAGAGACGAGACAATGAAAAATAGAACCGATTCAAACGTCGGTGATAGGAGAGTCGGGCAATTTCGCGGCAAGAAACAGCTCAAGGGGTCGAATCCTCGCAATCATTCGCAGGGCCGAATCTCAAATTCAGCAGACGACTGCACACATACCTAACTAGATCGACGGCAATCGAGAAGGGAGCTGGTGGGCGGTGGGCGAAGCGCTCGGGAATGTGTTGGCGAAAATGAAGTAGTTGGAAGAGGCTCGGATAAGTTCAACAAGCGAATTTGCAAGTTCCAGCGGCTGTGGGCTCGCGAAAATTTCCGGGGGAGGGGGGGGGTACGACGGTACGTACCTAGGGTTTTGCAAGTGATTTTTAGTGTCTTGTGTGATCACATGTGTTAGGTACTTAGGTACCCTTATCCTCACCCAGCATATCAGGCGTACATCACGTGCTGATTATTCTCAGGCTAACAGCCCCTTTTTACTCAGCCCCTCAGCCCGGCCTTGACTCCGCACCACCTACCTACGCAGCAACATGCCTGTATAGACTGGCACGATACCTACCGTCCCATGCATCAATCACACAAGCAAGCTATGAGATGACAATGCACCTGGATAAGCATGGCTAGAGACACCTCCACGTAGTTGGGTATGTATATGTAGAGACGTTTTCGCCGTCATTTCCGTTTTATTATCCCCAGGCAACTAAAGAACCACCTACTTGCATGAGGTGGTATTCTAGCCTAGGCGATGCCCTCGATATCCGCAGCATATCAAGGACGAGGAACCATGCCGCAATGCGAAACCAAGCGACCTCCATTGCCACATAGCAAGTATCATGCCTCTCCTAGAAGGCTGAATCCCCCCTATTCCAACCACGACTTTCCTGTCGAGGGTTGATTTCCCGCCATGCCAGACCAACTTTTTTACCCTCCGGGGCCATTGCATGAGCACCACCGAGGACAAGTACGAAAAGAACAAGATAGAAAACTCAGACCTAGTTCCTTTTATCCTCCACTTCGCAAGATACTTACTTCGTAGAGGGCGCAGAGCGATGACAATAGTCGTACGAAGGAGGAATAAGGGGGTCGAGCCTGTTAGTCATCATTTTCGATATCATCAATGAGGCCGCGTGTGAAGGAATTTAGCTCTTCGATCCGAATCTCCCGTGTCGGCTCGACCATGGCATGGCTCTCTTCCTTCGTCATCGAGTCGTAGACGGGGTCAGAGGCGAAGGATGCGACTTTGCGAAGCTCCTCGGGAACGTTGGGGCCGACGACGGGGACTTTGCTAGGGCAGCCCATGTGAGGGAGGTGTCGCTCGTCGAGCACCTGCAGGCGAGGTTGGGGCACTCGGCGGTCCAGGCCGGCCGCTGCGCGCTCGTCTCCCTCTTTCTTGAACTCGGCTGCATTTGGCCAGTCGATCTCGCCGGCCTGATCCTTGAAATAGTTCGTCCACACCGTGGGCCGCGCATTGACGAGGCTCAGGTTGTCCTGGGATATAATCTGCAGCTTCGCAGACACCTGAGCACGCGGGGGCGGGTGTCCCGAAGTACCTGCTCGGAGGCTTTGCTCTGCTTCCTTTCCTCGATCACGAATTTTCTTCAGCTCTGCCTCTTTCTCGGCCACGGCAGTTTCAGTCCGCAGGCCGAGGTACTCTTCAAACGCGTGAGGTACGAACGGCGATTGTGCCATGCCGGCACGGCGCAGGTTAGCCTGCATTGTCTCCCAGCGTCGATACTCCTCGTCGCTGAAGTGCACCAACGTCTTTGGCGGGGCCCAGCCGGCATCCTGGTTCTGGTTGTGATGAAATCGTCCTAGACCGGAGTCTATGAGCGGCTGGCCGGCAGGGCCTTCTGCGAGCTGATGGTTCTCAGATCCAGCCCGGTACAACAGCGGCCGGGGCACGGTGGCTAGTACTGGAGTATTCGTGCCATAATGGCCATTATTATCACAGCCACCTTGCTCGCAGTAAAACTGAATGAGGCGATCGATATCGATGTCATTGGCATAGCCGTGGATATTCGTAGATTGAGACTGGGGACTGTAAGGCTGAGGTTGAGTCAGGCGAGCGGAAAAGCTAGGATGGTTACCGTACTCGAAAGAAGCCACCGGCTCGAAGCCATTGCTGCCATGGCCCGTCGAGAGTGTCTGTTTGTCGACAAAGCTCTGTGTAGCGGGCCGGCGGTGTGGAACGATGGAATTGATGTAGTGGCTCTGGGCGCTCGATCCGCTCGAAGTGGTTGAGGCCAAAGAAGCTTTAACGCCGGCACTGCCGCCTGTAGTACCACGAGAGAGACCAGGCCATACCATTGATTCTACACCTTCCTTGGTGGCGTCATCTTCCTTGTGTTGGGTATCTTTGACGGTGTCTACCAGCTTGTTGGGGTTTGCACCTGCAACACCCTTGCGCGCGAGGCCAGCCTTCTCCTTGTTGTAGAGGACCACATCCTCTATGTCAGGTGTATGGTCTTCGTCAAAATACATGTCTCTTTGGGGCGTCATCTCGAGCGCTGGGGATTGGCCATTGTCGCTACTAGGCCCAGCCATGTTGATGCCGGTTCCCGCGGAAAGGCGAGAGGTCTTAGCCAGGTTGGATTCAGGCTTTCCTGGGACGAATGGAAGTGCTTTGGGGTTCATATTCTCTAGTGGAGATGCATCCGAGGAGCTTCGTCCTGCAGTTCCCACGATCATGGTGTCAGACTCCTTTAGCTTCAGGCGTGTTGGAGTATGGACCTTGTTTTGCGAATAGACAGGCAGCTGTGTCCCAGTGATGGTTTTAGATCTTCGTTGGCGTCGAGATTGCCCAGAGGAGGAGAATCGAGGCCCATTAGCAGAAGCTGGACTCTTGGGGGCCGAGAACTTTGCCATGACAACCACTTTGTCGAACTTGGAAGATTTAGATAAATGGATCTTAACACGCGGATCAACGAGATGATAGATGGACTGACGAGGTAACAGATGGCCTGACAAGTTAGAAATCTTTCCAGTAAACGAACAACAAAATATGGAAATACCTGTCGAAACCAAGGAGGCAGCTCGTTCGGGGTTGGCACTGCGGTTGCTTAGAATGGAACAGGCCGTACAGGGAGATTTAATAAAAAAAACTGGGGTGTTGTTAACGAAAGAGGAGGGAGGGATGGCAGTTTGACGCGCCATATGAAATTTGTAGTTGTATAAGTACCATGTGAATACCACGTAGGAAGCTGTTGATAAGCAACTTTGTAAACACCACGCAGGAAACGGTTTATAAACAACATTGTAAAGATTAAGGCCGTGGTTTTAAGAGATACACACACTACGAGCTGAGAGACTGAATGGGGAATACCTTAGGAGTAATGCACCTTAAGCAGGCAACTCCATAGTAACAGTACAAGTTCATCTAGTACTGTTTGAGGTCTACTGCCAGGCAGATTTATTAACAGCTACTGGGGTGAATGGGTCTTGGTTGGGCTTCAAGGGCCAAAGGTAATGGACGCAAAGAGCCGTCGTTGAGATTTAGCAACTGCTCCTACAGATATAGGAAATTCCCCTGTCCTCTATAAAACCGATTCCATCCTTTAAAACTCAGCTTATATTTTAAACTATCATAGCTTATGAGAGCTTCCACCACGGACATCTAGTAGTTAGTTGGCCTAAGCATTTAGGTAGGTTCCATGCTGCCATTCGAAGACAGGTAGGTATGTTTTGCAAATAGATCCTCAAATTGCTGCTACCTATAAGATTACATGCCTACCACCAGGCTGCGTAGATGTAAGAAGAAGCTAGCTAGAGTGGACAGAAACAGATGTTAAAGCCGAATTAACACTCATGAAATCATATAAACGCATACGATGGCAGCTAGAACCTTAAGGCTCTTACTATGATCCACTTCCATCTTCCATCGCTTTCATGTTTGAAACTTGCAGTTAGTATACCGTCAATGTGTGTAGGAGGTGATTAGTTTTAATGGATTCCTAGTGTTATAAATACTACGTATACATACTGGGAGCGCACCTAAGAGTTGAGGAAATATCCCTACGGTGCTGAGCTCTTTGGATAGAGTCATGGTAAGGGCGGTGGTCTCCACCCCGACAGCAGGTACCTAGGTACCTATATGAGTACCTCATTTCCCTAGGCAAACTGACACATGATAAGCAGGTACCTCCTACCTACCTAAGGTTACATACCTACCTAGGTACCTAGGTATCTGACTTAATGTGCTTCTAGTATCGCATATATGTACCTAGGTACCTAGGCGCTTAAATTGCCTCGTGAACCTTATGTACTGCTACGTTTAGATACCTGCCTGCCTAGGGGAGGTAGGTAGCTGTATGGCTGCATTGCCTTAATTTGACATCTCTGGCCGACCCAAGATCAGATAGGATGCTGTAAGGTGAGCCGGGAAGCTCGCAGGACCTGATATTCCCTCTACCTCCCCCAACCATCACCTGTCCAACCTGGAGGTTATAGGAGGCCGTATCTATGTACCTGAGGTAGAGCAGAGGTACCTACAGGCAACTCGCGTGCGGGTGCTAAAATCGGGGATTTGGCTAAGGAGGTTGGTTACCTAAGCTATGCGACTTTCCACGTCAGGTGAGTACGAGCAGATCCGGGCTGTCATTTGTAGCAGGCAAAACCCCGATGCGGGAGGACTCTCCATCCCCATTATCCTTTTCCCGTCGTTCCCAGACCCTTGCGAGTTATTTGACCTGCCTACAACCGTGTCCGCAACTAAACCCGTTCCGCGCCGCCTTCTGCTCTGCCTCTTGGAGGCTAGCTAGCTCCCTTGTCCCTGTGTCTGCATCGCGATTATGCCGACTCCGTCATCCTCCGACCCGTCGCTCGCGCCCCTTCTACGATCAGCATCGTCCTCGACGTTAGGCCCGCCGAGCTCGCAGGCTTCTATCAGCGATGGCGCCTCGGGTTCCAAGGCTCGGTACCGGACGCGTGCTCTACGCATCATCGTCTTCGTCGTATCCGTCATCGCCGCCCTCGGGGCTGGTTCCATCACCGTCTTCTCCCTCTACAGCCACCTATTCCAATCGCGATTGCATTATACGCAGTTTCAAATCAACGGGATTGCTAGTGCCATGAGCATTTCCATGTACATACCCGTCCCAGCCATTGGATACATGTGTGATCGCGTAGGGCCCGGACCGCTCTCCCTGATGTCGGCGATTCTACTCGGGAGTGGCTACGGCTTAGCTGCCGGCCTGTATCGCAAGGGTTTAGATGAAGCAGACGCTGTCGGGGACCGGTCCCATACCACATTCGCGCCCATGGTCGTTGCCTTCGTGGCTATCGGCGTGGGCACAGCCTCCCTCTATATAGGCGCGATCACGACTTGCGCGAAGAACTTTGGTAGAGGTAAATATCGGAGTTTGATGCTGGTCGCCCCTATCGCGTCCTTCGGCCTGGGCGGTATGGTGCTCAGCCAGATTGGAAGCCGAGTTATTTACGAGACCCAGCCGGACGGAGCTAGGGGAGATGTGAACGTTTTCCATTTCTTTTTGTTCCTCTGCATTGCGCTGACCGCCATCGGGCTTGTCGGCACTTTCTTCTTGCGTATTGTGGATGAGCAAGATCTCATCGACGAGGCCGTGGACGAGTTAGAGAGGAGCGGGCTCCTCGACGGGAGCGAAATATTCCGCCGTAGAGCTGGGCCTGGCCGAGATTACGGCGCCCTCGGCGCGGACGATGAGGATGCTGGCGCCTTGGATCCGACCGGCTATGGCAACGACGACTCGGACGACACCAGGCTGAAAAAGGCCTGGCTTCTCAACGCCGAAACCAGCAGGTTCTTGACGGACCACACAATGTGGCTATTTGCCATTGGCTTCTGGCTCATCATCGGCCCTGGAGAGACATTCATAAACAATCTCGGCACCGTCATCGGAACACTGTATTCCCCGAGTATCCAGCCCAAACAAACATCCGCGGCCACCCACGTCTCCATCATGGCGACGGTTAGCACCGTCGCCCGTCTGGTCGTAGCATCGCTGAGCGACCTGCTATCGCCCAGCCCCCATAGCCAGCACATTCAAACGGGGATTCCGTCTTCACTTCCACTGTTACGACAACGGCTCTCTGTTTCGCGCATAGTCTTATTCGTAATTTCTGCCGTTGTTTTATCTGTCGGGACGGGCTTCCTAGCCTCTGGCGCGGTCCAGGAACATGGAGAACGTTTCTGGGTCGTGTCTAGCTCGATCGGAGCTGGGTACGGTGCAGTGTTCAGCTTGACCCCCATCATCGTTACGATTATTTGGGGAGTAGAGAACTTTGGCACAAACTTTGGCATCATCGCGCTCACGCCGGCTTTGGGTTCTACGATGTGGGGTCTCCTCTACTCGGCGGCCTACCAGGCCGGTGCTAGAGATTCACCTCCGTCGACGATAGGGACTGGTGGCGACGATGTATTCTGCTTTGGCAAGAAGTGCTATTCCTCGCCGTTCTGGGCCATGACGGTCTCCGTCTGGATCGGGATCGCCATGGTCCTTTGGGCATGGAAAGGCCGGGACGGTTGGTCTAAGAGAGGCATTATCATCTAGAACGGTATCCTGCCCCGGGGGGCACTAGTGGAGTCGGGCAATAATTGTGCGTGTTATTCCGATTGCGCAGATAGAATGTACTTATAGGTCAATACAGACAGGGCTGTTTCGTGCGTGTCGAGTCTCGTGTTCTTCTTACCACTAGTCTGACTCAATTATAGAGGCGCTAATCACGACTCTGCAGAAGTGTCCCCGCGGGACGGGGCACCGAGCTTCTCGATACCCAAGTGAACCGGGGGCTTACGCAAAGTATTGCACGAAAGCGAAATCCTCGCCTCGAATAAACCTTCGTTACGTTTGCTCTCACAATATTTCGGGAGTCTCTCATAATATCCGGCTACAAGCAGCAATGGAAGAACCACAATTCACACAAGAATCTATCCAAACACGTATCAAAAGCACTAGGCACCGGGGTAGGATTTTTTACGGCATAGAGGAGAATGTATCTAGGTAGACAGCAACGGGGCGGAGGGTATTTTCGTGGCCTGTATTCTTTAGGCTCTCCGGCAAGTCCTCTTATTCCCTAGGCATTCCTAGCAAGGTATCTTTCTACATGCACACTTACGGGCCGCCCCTCCAACTCGCTGGCTCGATGGAGATGGTTACAGACAAGTGCGCCTCTTGGTGCCGCATCACACACCGGAATGTACAACCTTCCTCGTTCGGACCCAGACGGCGAATCAGAACGCCGAGCTTCCCTAGGTACAGTATGTATGCGACTTTGACATAGGTAAGAGTATCCATATGTTCCATCTGTATCGACGCGTCGACGTGATCCCTTTACCACCTAAACGTGCGGGCACATACCGACACAGCCGACGCCCCTCAGATCACGCAGTACACACGGGTAGGTACAGAGGAGGGCGACCGGGTTACCACGCCTGCAGCAAGCCTGCAGGATACCAATCCGGTCGAATTGCCTATGGGAAGTGGTTATGCGGCGAGGCGGAGACGGAGCACGCGGCATCGACTTCGGACTTATAGTTTTCTCGTTCTGTATATGAGTATGCTGCCACCCCACCACCACCTGCAAGGGCACGCCGGCACTTTGTGAAATACGAGCTTGGCGCATGTCGATCCCGCTGATACCACGTAGGTAGTATGCCGTCCATCGGCCGCCATCCCGGCCATACCCACTACATCTTGAATAGCCGCACCCGTCCTTTACATCACACAGGCAGGCGTGGGTGTATCCTCCGGGTGGAGCTGGGTGCTGTAGAGCCGCCGGGTAATGGCCCTCCACTCGGCCACGACTTCTTCGGGCCCTTTGGTCGGTTTCTCCGATACGAGGGCGTAGCTGTCTCTGAAACGAAGTGGCGATGCGTTGGTAGGCATGCATCTGCCCAGGGAGCGGAGCGGTTAGCGAATAGACTGAAGCGATCGTCGTCTACGCGTATAAAAGCCGAGACCGCCCCAGCTAACCATACTCCTCCTCCTCCTCCTCCTCCGAGACTTGGTAGCTCACTCAACCCACCACCGAGCACATCGTCCACGCCAAAGCCACTCGTTTGTGACCCTCTAATCCTAACACCTACCTAGATATAACGCTGTTGCGAATATTAATTCTTCGACTTCAAACAAAATGCAGCTCTCCACCGCCACCTTCCTCCCCGCCCTACTCTCGGCCCTCGCTTCGGCAACCCTCGCGGCACCTCTCTCGATGGCGGCACCAGCTGCGACGGAATGGACGATCCAGTCCCTGTCGCGGACGTGCGACGAAGGCGATAAGACGTGCCAGTGGGAGTTCGGGATCAACACCGGCGAGGATAGAGTCGCCCCGGTGCATGTCAAGTACATCGTCGACGCCACCAAGGCGGCGCCCGCGAGCCGCGCCGCCGGTGGGCCTCAGACCTTTGGCAAATTCACCGTCACCAGCACCTGGAGTGGCCAGTTCGGCGAGGGCTTGGGCTTCACGACGCTTTCGATCGTCGACTACGCGAAGAAACTAATCGTGTACCCGGCCGTGAGTATCAGTCAACCCTTTCTGTCTACCCGATCCCACCTTGTCTTAGTCGGTTCACAAGCGGGACATCTCCAAGGGGGAAATTCTAGCCCCAGCTGTGGTCTGTCCGGTACTGATTCCATACTAATCCTCTCTTTCTGGTATACAGTACACCGACGGGCAATTGGCGAGCGGCGCCGTCGTCACGCCCGACCAAAGCTACCCTGTGTATCGTCTTCCCTAAGGGGCGACGCGGTGTGATATTCCTCTTGTTGTCCACAGAACGGGCGACGGGGGACAAGATTGGGTGGGGAGGTGCAACGAGTTTCAGCAGGATACCTATCTCATGTAACTTGCCTAAATGCACGCTCGAGGCAAACGTCGGGGTGCGGGCTTCGTATCCACATTCAACAATAAGGCTGCCCTGACGCGTCTAATGTCAGCGAAGGGGGCAACGCTCGGGGACTTATTCTACAGCTTCAATATGAACATCATGAAGAAGACTGGCAAAATCTCGTGATCTGTTCACATTCCACCATCGTAGTGCGGTCGACCTGGCCACAGGAGAGGATCAGTTGGGTTCTCAGTTTAACGGCATGGATATGGATTGGATGCGGCAAAAGAAGCGAAAAAAGGAGGGACGGGAAAATACTGAGCACCTAGGTCTAGGTAGGTAGTTACTCGATCAGGTGGGTATTAGACATCTACCTAGGTACCTACCTAGTAACATAGGTAGGCAGGTTGGGTACCTAAGTAGGTAGGAACCTCCTTGGAGCCGAATTCGGATACCCGGTAGGGAGGTGCAGCTGACTAGTGACGGCGGTGGTCACCCGCTCTCGGCAGATACCTACTTGGCGTAGCTTGGCCATTTTCAACACATGTACCTACATTAGGTACATATACCTAAGTAAAATGCACAGTGAGGATCTGAGGCAGGTATCTCTTAACATAGGGAGCTAGGTGGGAGGTAGGTAGGTATCGATTTTTACCTGATATACCTGCCTCTTTAGATTCCTCTAGGTAGACACCTAGGTAGGTTTATACTCCGTATGACTTGTTTCTGTTTCTTTTTTATGAGGCCAGCTAGGAGGTAGGCATGATGTATTATAACTTACATAGATAGATTGCATTATTGCCCGATATTGGAGGTCTTAGAGACGTTACCTTAGGTACCTCAGGTTGGGAGATTAGGAGGTACCTAACCTAATGTACTTCGGCGCGGGCAGTGGTTGACTAATACGTAATGTAACTGCTGTGGGATGTGGGATAGATGTACCTACCTTGATACCCCCTATCCGTCTCGCCCGTTCTAATCTATCATCTGTCACCATTCCTATGTCGTCGGTCGAATACAGACCGGGACCTCCACTCACCAGGTACCGCGTCCTCTCCTACCTGTTCCATCATATATGCTGCGAAGATCATCTCCTACCTCGCAATTTTCTCTCCTAAATGCGAAAAAGTTCTCCTGCTGGTTTTCGACTTGTCACCATCAGCCCCTGTCACGCCTACAGCCATGGCGCCCGATAGGGGAAGTGGCGTTGATCCTATCCGCGGGGAGCCCTCCGAGGCCGCAGCGCACGTCAAGCGCCTTCCGGAGGGCCACCATTTCACGATCCGGGGCGTTGCTGTTGGTCTACTCGTGGGCCTGGTCATCTGCTTCTCGAACATGTATTTTGGCCTGCAGACGGGATGGGTCAGCATGATGACCATGCCCGCTAGCCTTCTAGGCTTCGGCATTTTTAAGACCCTGTCTCGCCACCTCGCTTTCCCCTTCTCGCCGGTGGAGAATGTGCTTGTGCAGTCCGTGGCGGGCGGGATGGCCACAATGCCCCTGGGTTGCGGCTTCGTAGGTGTGGTAAGCGGACTCTGGCTCAAAAACAAGGGAGTGGACGCCCCCAAACTGGCTAACCTGGCTCGCATGTTAGATACCGGCGATGGAGTATCTGCTAACTGCCGCAGAGCAAGGCCCGATATTGCTGAGCATGTGGAAGTTGATCATCTGGTCTCTGGGTCTTTGTTACTTTGGCGTCGTGTTCGCTGTCCCGCTGTGAGTCGCGCCCGTGGGCACAATTGGTCTAGAACAAGGCCATTCTAACCTGCTTCAGGCGGCGCCAAGTGATCATTAGGGAGCAACTGAGGTTTCCAAGCGGGTTCAGTACCGCTGTTCTCATCGGGGTCCTCCATGGTAAGGGGCAGGTTCAAAACGGCGGGACTCTGGACTCATCCAAGGTTGCAACATTTGGGAGTTTGGCGTTTGAGAATCGACCCCTTCTGCTGGCAGAAGGCGTCGATACCGAAGACGACACATCCGACCTGGATAACGGCCTACCGCCCGCCGAGACGACAAAGGCACAGAGTTGGAGTTCCAATATCCGACTGCTTCTGATCACGTTTGGGATATCCGGCTTCTACACCCTCTGCACGTACTTCTTCCCTGTGCTTCGCAATCTCCCCGTCTTCGGGAAGGTAGCAGCTGAAACTTGGCTATGGACTCTAAACCCAAGTTTCGCGTACGTCGGCCAGGGAATCATCATGGGCCCCTCCACAACGATTCATATGCTTCTAGGAGCGGTAGTCGGCTGGGGCATTTTATCCCCGCTTGCAAAATTTCGTGGTTGGGCACCGGGATCGGTCGATGACTGGGAGACTGGCAGCAAGGGGTGGATTGTTTGGACGTCTCTCGCCATCATGCTCGCAGATGCTGTTGTCAGTCTAGGCTATATAGCCTCTAGCCCCCTCCTCAAACATGGGCCTTCCTTTTTCTTAGCCCTCAAGCGGCGCGTCCAACGAAACGAGCTTAGTGGGTTGTTCCTCCGTCGAGCCAACGGCTACACAGTCATCCGGGATAACGAGGATGATTCTAGACCTACGGTTGCCACAAGAAGCTCAGAGGACGCCGACATCCCTTCAAACAGAGTCCGCGAAAGCCGGAATCCCTTTAACTCCCAGCCAATGCCTCCCCAGGGGGTATGGGATTACGACGATGCCCCCCCCGAGCAGTTGGTCGGGAACAAAACCGTCGGCATCGGCCTCGTCGTATCGGTTCTCGTCTGCGTCGCTAGCATCCATATCACATTCGGTAATCTAGTGCCCCTATACGCTACCGTCATAGCCGTCTTGATGGCCATGGTCTTGAGTATCATGGGCGTGCGAGCGTTAGGGGAGACAGACTTAAACCCCGTTTCCGGCATCAGTAAATTAGCACAGCTTTTTTTCGCCTTCATCATACCTCAATCTCACAAGGCCAGCGTGCTCATCAACTTGGTGGCGGGCGCTGTATCAGAAGCCGGTGCGTTGCAGGCTGGTGACCTAATGCAAGACCTGAAGACTGGCCACTTACTGGGCGCGGCACCCAAGGCGCAATTCTGGGGCCAGATTATCGGCGCGACCGTGGGAGCAGTCATAAGTGCCTTCATATACAGGCTATACACCGCCGTCTACACGGTGCCGGGCGACCTATTTCAGGTACCGACTGCCCTCGTATGGATCCTCACTGCGAGGTTAGTAACTGGAAAGGGGCTGCCTCCCATGGCGAGGGAGTTTGTGATCGGGTCAGCTCTTATATTCGCTATCTCAACTGCCCTACGCGCGAAGATGATGGGAACACGCTGGCATGCTTATATACCTGGCGGGATCGCCGTGGCAGTTGGTAAGAACACTGGAGATCCATGGCGAACCTAGCGCAGAGAGCTAACATTCTTTCAGGCATGTATAACATTCCGTCCTTCACCCTAGCAAGAACGATAGGTGGGGTTGTGAACTGGTATTGGAGAGCCTATCTGGGAAGAGATGACACGCCTCTCATAGTTCTTGCATCGGTGAGCCTTTGATTCCCGCGAAATGGGTACCATCGAAGACCTAACTCACTAACGTGTCCATCTTAGGGATTCATCTTAGGAGAGGGGTTCCTGAGCATCGTAAATTTACTACTACAGAGCTCTCAGGTTTCTCACCTGTGAAGGCAACCAGGTAATGTCGCGTACCAATCGAAATAGATCTGTGTTTTTATATAGAGGGAGCAGCGCCTAGTTCTATCGCATCCGGCCTATGGGCGTCCAACTTGCCTTTCAAATGGCGCGTTCCTTGCTCGCGGTGACCTGTGGAGATGGATGGGACTTGTGACATTCTAAGATTCCCGAGAGAGCAGAGCATCTCCTAACGGCTTCAGCACCGCACGACGGCAATTTCAATTGTCGCATCGGCCCCGCTGCAAGTAGAGCGAATCATTTTACGCCGGGACAACAGAAGCCGACGAGCTGTGACTGACAACTCCAGAGCTTGGAGACTCCGAAGGCAGGATTCATGATCAGGACCGATCGATGCCCGAGCCGCGGCTAAGGGAACCCGCTTGCTCTCCGGAATAGGATGGTTCCATTAGCCGACGCGGGGCATCAGGTAGGCAAAAGTGATACCTATAAGAATCAGGCCACATGCGGGGGTTCCCAAATGCTCCCAAATGCTTCCAATCCAAGGAGAGCCCGCACTTCCTACACCTAAACCCAACTTCAGCCAGGCGAGGGAAATAGACATTCGATCAAGATGCTGATCAACGAGAGCTATACCGACTTCCAAACCACGGTGGATGGGAAGGAGACGACGCTGAGTGAGCGAGAGAATGCCACAACGGGCAATAGAAGACCCTAGAGCTCCTGGGCCGCTAACAACGTTGGGCAGGAATCTTCCTCTTCCATCCCACCATCCCGCAATACCCTGAAGCGTATGGCCTTAATCGCCGCCCTATACGAGGCACCTAGCGGCAAGGTTACTGATAAGTTGGCAGTCGATTCCCCGGCGTTGTTCTATTCAGCGAGATCTATCAAGGTTAGCTAGCATCACATCCATCTCGCTCGCCTCTCGATTGCCCCGTCGGCCGGACCGGTTGGTGGTCGTGGAGGGCGATCGTGAAGCATCTGCGACTGACGCACTCGCAGTGACGGGCCCGGTAGAGCGATTCGCGCGTCAGATCGCAGGACAAGGCTACGTCGTCGCAGCGCCGTCCTCGTATCATGACTTTGTTGGACCGGAAGCGCTGCCCTACGACGTGCCGGGCACGGATTTAGGAAACGAATTGAAGATCAAGAAGGTAAAGGCTGCCTACACGCCCCCTCCACGCAGTAACCCGGCTAACGAAGATGGTGTGGCAGACTCTCCAGTCGTATGATGTGGATTCGGCCCAGGCCGTCGAATACCTGCTTAGCCTTCCGACCTGCACAGGACGAGTAGGCGTCACTGGAATGTGCCTGGGAGGCCACCTCGCCCTGCGAGCTAGCGTACGAGATATCCATCCTCCCAGATTTACCTGCTCACCTGCATCTAACCCCGACTGACCCGTCTCGCAGCTGAACCCGCGGGTCAGCGCTAGCGTCGCCTACTTCGGGACGGACATCCACTCCCGCACGCTGGGGCCTCATAACGGGCCCGATCTATCGGTGCAGGGCGCGGAGGGCAGCAACCACACGATCGACAGGCTCGGGGAGATCAAGGGAGAGGTGGCTATGATCTTTGGCATCAAGGATACGCACGTCTCGGACGAGGGCCGCGACCTGATCAGGCAGAAGCTAAGGAGTGCCGGCACCGTGTTCAGTTTCTACGAGTTCGCGTGGTCGCAGCACGCCTTCATCCGCGACGAGCAGAGCAAGGGGCGGTACGATCCGGCCATCACCAAGATCTGCTTCGAGATCTTGCTCGAGCTCTTTGGCCGCGTGCTCAAGACGGATCTGGGCCCGAAGGACACCAACCCCCAGAAGATCGAGCATGTGTGCTGAAGATAGATAAAACCTTAGTAAACCGAGTTAAGCGGGCTGAATCTACTAGGTAGGTACTCATAAGCACGCGGTCCCCCGAGGAGCTTGAGCTGAACTGCGTTGGCGCTCTGCCTCTGACCGGGTCCACAATAGATACCTATACCTAGGTCGTGTGCGTGACGCAGAACTGGCACGTGAATGACCTGATACCGTAACATTACTTGCTCTTTGTCGTGTCTCGCTTCGCTACGAGCTGCTCAGATGCGACTGGGCTCAGTACCTCCTACACGCCATCGGTCGAGAACGGCCCGTTTGGAAAGGGGGGGATTTGTCTGTCGACCAGAGATTTCGTTAGATACCTACGTGTAGGTACCTGGGTATCCATGTAGCAGGCACTAAACCCTCCTCGCTAGTGGATTCCACCGAGTTCGACACATCTGGTTACGGGAGGTATAGACCTCTCCTGCCTTGAGAGGTAGGTACACTATGCAGCTTGCAGTTAGGTACATCAGCTACCGAGACACCGAATAATCGGTCGCTTTCGGGTCCATCCAGAAACCCACAGGGAGCTTTTCGAGCACAGATACACAGCTACCTAAATAGGCCTACGATATTAGATACCAGTGTCTGAATCTGCCGTTTTCTCTCCCTCTGTATTTTTCTAGCCACTTCTACTTTACATCTGAGGCTGACTGACGAGTTTCCTCGATAGAGGAATGGAACCTTCGAGCGCGATACCTGAGGTATGCCTCCTTACCTAGATAGGTAGTACCATGTACTCGTTACCTGCCTTCTCCGAATTGTCGATAGCTATGAGTTAAGGTGTTTAAGATGGAAATTCTACTCAAGGGTGTCGATTTTAACGCCCCTATCTACAGCTTGTTCGTAAGCCTAACTGCTTTAAAGATCTTGGAAATATAACGTTATCGCTGCTTACCTGCCTTTGTGGTGGAATGGAAGTACCAGGGTTTCCTCGGGTTCTTTGCTGCCTAGGTACTGGTCTTGCTGTTAGCCTCATCACCATACCCCTGTAGGGCCTTGCATGATATTCTGGCCGTGTGTGGGTAAGGCATGCTCTGGACGCAGATTCGTAAATATTCCAGGGCACACAGGGCTGACTGACGGTTGCCTTAGGGACGTGATCCGCTTTGATAAACGGACGAGCACCTATGAGTATATGCTTGCAGGAGGAGGCACTGTGTATCTACCTAAGGTATCTGCCTATTATTCTCGTGCTTGCTTGTAGGTACTCGAAGGTGTGGTACTTCGTTTAGTAGTGATATTTCTAAGGGGACAAGCGGAGGAGTTGCGAGGAGGGGAGGGATGAACGAACGCACAGGAGAGGAAGAGAAATCAATTACCTAATTTGTTTCCCTCGAGTTCGGTGGGTCTTGTTGGCCGTTTTTGGCCCGGACGACGACTGGGTAGTGATGTCAGGAATTCATGCGTAGAACGGGGTCGATTTCGATAGAGGTACTTGAGATTTGCATACCCAATGTGTGTGCGTGCAGTGTGAACATGGCGGGGTAGGTACCTAACCTACTTCAAGGGTGCAGCAGGGCAAGTAGGTACAAGACGTGCAACTTTGCGCCTTATGTTCGAGGAGCTCCCGAGACTCAGCAACTGTTCATTTTGCGGGGGTTTTTTTTTTCTTCCCCTCCCTCTTTCTGGCGAAAGTACCAGGTACAAGGGCGCCTAGCTAAGGTGACTGCCACTTTCGTTTGGATCCTTCTTCCGAATTCGTGAGACAGCGAGCACTTTCTGTCGCAGAGTTAGGCGGAAAGTACCAGAACCGAGTACCTCTTTCCAGCAATTCGAGAAGCTTCCCTGGCCCCACTGCAGCTCCCACATCGATTCTATAAACTCCAGCTCAGCTCCCAAAGCCCTCCCGTCTTCCCATCTCAGACATCAACACCTTTTTTTCCTGCTTCTTATCCTTCTACCGTCTTCAGCAAAGGACGCACATTCGTCTCGATTCCCGCTCCCTTTGGGTATCAGAAATTCCTACGTTTTTCCAAGCCCTGTACACGACCTTTTTTTTTCATCCATTCACCTCCAGCATATACCTATCTCACTACCCCACATCTCCATCATCCTGACCCAGCCAGGTCTCTACCACATCCAACATGGTTGCTGCAGTCGGAATTGACTTAGGCACGACCTACTCGTGTGTCGGCGTCTTCCGTGATGACCGGTAAGGGTGCCCCCCTTCTCTAATCGTCCCGTTGATGGCTTATAATACTAACTGGCGCCAGAATCGAGATCATCGCCAATGACCAGGGAAACCGGACCACCCCGTCCTTCGTGGCCTTCACGGACACGGAGCGTCTGATCGGCGATGCGGCCAAGAACCAGGTGGCCATGAACCCCCACAACACCGTGTTCGACGCCAAGCGTTTGATCGGTCGTAAATTCTCCGATCCTGAGGTCCAGGCGGACATGAAGCATTTCCCCTTCAAGGTTGTCGACAAGGGTGGCAAGCCGATCGTCGAGGTAGAGTACAAGGGTGAGCAGAAGCAGTTCACCCCCGAGGAGATTTCCTCCATGGTCCTCATCAAGATGCGGGAGACTGCCGAATCTTACCTTGGCGGCAACGTCACCAATGCTGTCATTACCGTCCCCGCTTACTTTAACGATTCTCAACGACAAGCTACCAAAGACGCCGGTCTTATTGCTGGCCTCAACGTTCTGCGGATCATCAACGAGCCCACCGCTGCCGCCATTGCTTATGGTCTCGACAAGAAGGCCGAGGGCGAGCGCAACGTCCTCATCTTCGATCTTGGTGGTGGCACCTTTGATGTTTCTCTCCTGACCATCGAGGAGGGTATCTTCGAGGTGAAGTCCACAGCTGGTGATACTCACTTGGGTGGTGAGGACTTCGATAACCGCCTAGTCAACCACTTTGTCAATGAGTTTAAGCGAAAGCACAAGAAGGATCTCTCCACCAACGCCCGCGCCTTGCGACGCCTCCGAACGGCTTGCGAGCGCGCCAAGCGCACGCTTTCCTCATCTGCTCAGACCTCGATCGAGATCGACTCTCTCTTCGAGGGTATTGACTTCTACACTTCCATCACCCGTGCTCGTTTCGAGGAGCTTTGCCAGGATCTCTTCCGATCCACCATTCAGCCCGTCGACCGCGTCCTGTCCGACGCCAAGATCGACAAGGCTCAGGTCCACGAGATCGTCCTCGTCGGCGGATCTACCCGTATCCCCCGCGTGCAGAAGCTCATTACCGACTACTTTAACGGAAAGGAGCCCAACAAGTCGATCAATCCCGACGAGGCTGTGGCCTACGGCGCTGCCGTCCAGGCTGCCATCCTGTCTGGCGACACCAGCTCCAAGTCAACCAACGAGATCCTCCTTCTCGATGTCGCTCCGCTGTCACTCGGTATCGAGACTGCCGGTGGTATGATGACGAAGCTTATCCCTCGTAATACCACTATCCCTACCAAGAAGTCGGAGGTCTTCTCAACCTTCTCCGATAACCAACCCGGCGTGCTTATCCAAGTCTACGAGGGCGAGCGCCAGCGCACCAAGGACAACAACTTGATGGGCAAGTTCGAGCTTACCGGTATTCCTCCGGCTCCTCGCGGTGTTCCTCAGATCGAGGTCACCTTCGACCTTGATGCCAACGGTATCATGAACGTCTCCGCTGTTGAGAAGGGCACCGGAAAGTCCAACAAGATTGTCATCACCAACGATAAGGGCCGTCTTTCCAAGGAAGACATTGAGCGCATGCTTTCGGAGGCTGAGAAGTACAAGGAGGAGGACGAGGCCGAGGGCCGCCGTATTAGTGCCAAGAACGGTCTTGAGTCTTACGCCTACTCGCTCCGAAACACTCTGTCCGACTCCAAGGTGGACGAGAAGCTCGATCCCGCCGACAAGGAGAAGCTGAAGGCAGAGATTGACAAGATCGTCTCCTGGCTGGATGAGAACCAGCAGGCCACCCGTGAAGAGTATGAGGAGAAGCAGAAGGAGCTCGAGGGCATCGCCAACCCCATCATGATGAAGTTCTACGGCTCTGGCGGAGCCGGCGGTGTGCCTGGTATGCCTGGCGCTGGCGGCCCCGGCGGTCCCGGCGGCTTCCCTGGCGCTGGCGGTCCCGGTGCTCACACGGATGACGGCCCCACCGTCGAGGAGGTGGACTAAACGGCTCCCTCTCCCATCGTTTCCCCCCATTTTTCCGGCGTTTTTTTTTCCTCGGGTGTTTTTTTCATGACACCCTCAGTGGCGGGTTCGGACATCATGGGCTTACTCTAGATTTTCACTGGTAATGACGATACAGGGAAAAGTTGCGGTTTTATGACTTGCATGGGATGTATTCTAGGCAGGAATCACCCTAGGACGAAGCAATGAATTAATTCAGAAAAGACGCATAGGCTCGTATTGCAACATGTGATACGTATCGTGACATTGCTTATAACGAAGGGAATATCTGATTCGACGACATTTGGTGATGTAACCTTTGACTATCAACCTTGTCGTAACGTATGAGCAATGAGTTCATTGTGTATACCTAATTGAAACCACCACTTCAAGTTACTGTTATAAATCTTTTTCCGGCGCGCTCGGCGGGGAGGGATCGGCCGACACGGAAAGGTTAAACAGCTTCGGCCTCGGCATCCAACCTCAAGGCCTCACGAATCCTACGACGGCGCTCAATCTCGAGACGACGCCACTCCTCGTCGTCGACGTCGGGCGTCTCGATGGGTTCGCGGAAGGCCTCACCGACGGGCAGACGCTCGGAGCGGGGTTCCCAGACGTCGGCGCTGCTGGGGCGACCTGGGGCGTAGTACTTGTCGTAATTGCGGCGGCGGTAGTGGTCGCGGATGGCGCGCTCGCGGGTGGGGCCGGAGTAGGCGCGGGTGCGCATGCAGAACCAGAAGTCGTCCCAGTGCTCGGAGCAGGAGCGGGCGGTGCCGTAGCGGTAGACCGAGGTCCACTGGCCGCCAATCGAGTTGCAGTGAAAGGCGGCGTCGAAGGCCTGGCGGCAGGACATGGTGGTCGGCAGGAGGGACTCGCCGACGGGGTCGAGGCTGCCAGGCCCGGGGGCGGAGGCGCCGGTGGAGGAGACGGAGGAAGCGGAGAAGCGAGAGGAGTAAGGGGGCGGCGAGTCCTGTGTGGACGAGCTCCAGAGGGACCAGGGCGACGAGGAGGACGACGAGGTGTTGGAAGACGCCGTCGATGGCGTGGGCGTCGTCGTCGCAGGTTCAGGAGCGGATTCGGGAGAGGGCTTGCTGCCGCTGCCGCTGCCGCCCAGCTCGGCCTGGAGCTGAGCGATGAATTTGGCGATTTCGGGGTCGGAATATTCAGATTCGGCTGCTGGCTTCGCTGGAGGAGGGGCAGTCGGCGCCGGCTTCTCGGCCGCGGCGCGGGAATTGGAACCGGGATTGGGGCCGTCCGAGGACGACGGCGACGACCACAGCCAACCCATCTTGGCCCGGCCGCTCTGGTTCTGGGAGGAGGGGTAGTGGGAAGCGGAGATTCGCTGGGGAGGCGGCTACGAGGTGCTGATACCGCCGCTTCCGATAGGTACGTCGAGCTCGCTGGGTAGAAGGCTAAATAAAGCCGAGGAAAAGAGGGCGGCAGAACAGGCAGAGAGCGAGGAGGGCAGGGCACGTGGGGACCGGCCTCAAGCTGTCGAGTCAGTCAACAGATCGCGTGCGGGGAGAGGGGGGGGGGTTGGCGCGCGGGGCGCTCCAATAACCGTCTACATACCTACCTACTCAGAGTATCCGCTTTGCTGTGCCAGGTCTCGTGACGGCTTGCCCTTCTGACCAATGGGAAGGTCGCGGGCTCCGGCGGCACGATCGAGACGCCTTACGATCGAGACGCCTTTCGCAGGACATGGGGTTGAGGATTGATATACAGACGGGAGTCGAAGAATCGAATATTTCTATCCGACGATGACCAACGAATAAACCGAGTATGACATAAGGGCCTTTTCGCCGGAAAGCGCCCCGGTTGTCGAATATGAAACCCCTCCTACGGTTAGGTTAGGTGCCTACTAACCTGTATCTAGGCGGTACACATACCTACCTATACCTAACCCTATAGGTCTAGGTAGGTAGATAGCCCTAGCGGGTGTTAACGGGTGTAAGGTGGAGAGAGATAGGTGCCTTAGGTACCTACCCACCAACTCTGATATCAGATAACCCTAGGTACCATAGCGTAGGTAATTCTTGGGACCAGCTGGCGATGACCTCATTGGCGTGGATCGGACTTTCAGAGTTGGGCTAGCCGAGCACCACCGCATATGCACATAACCACCGCATAACACAAACACAACGCAAATGTGCCTGGGGATGCTAAGGTCGATAAATTTCCGGCATCTTCCTTGCTGCTGCCGCAGTCGCCCATCGCCTACTGCTCTTCTTACTCCTCCCCCATACCTACCTACCTAACTACGCAGTACGCCAGGCCAGCATGGGGAAGGCCGCCGTCTCCTCTGCATCATGATCCTGAGACGTTCAGGCTTCGGGCCGAGGAACCTGCCCGGCCTTATACCTCCGAGGGCGTTCATCCGCTCCGCCCTCGCCCCACGTTGCCGGCTGCGCTGGGCATCAAGAGCTTGGGCGACCACAGCTGCCAGCCGAGAGAAGACTGGTCATATCGACGCCGCCCCCAACGAATCCATTCTCTGGATTGACAGTATGAAGACCAAATTTCTCTGTCCCAATTATGCCTACCATAGCCTACCATAGCCTGAGCTAGCTAGCTAACGGGAATTAACAGACCTCTTCCCCCTCAGGCTGTCTAGCCTGCTGCGCGCGCCATGGAAGGCCCCGGACCAGGACCTGTCCCAGCTTATGAAACGATTCGAGAACTCGACTCCAGGCAGTTTAGATCCCATCAATATGGTCAGGCGCGCTGTTCCCGATACTGCCCCAGCCAAGGTCACAGAAATCTTGCCTCGCCTCAAAGACGGCGGCGCCTTTGTCAAATTCAACCACCCGGCCGACGTGCCCGCCCAGGAGATAGAGGAAATCGTAATAAAATCTCTCCAGGAAAAGCCTGTGAGGCCCCTATTCAGCCCCCTGAGAGGGGTCCAGGCGGGATTGGTCAAGGGCATCCCCTGGCTTGAAGATCTGCACAGGTTTCCCGACGACCGACTGCGTGTCGAGTTTGTCCCAAAGGATCCCGGTGGCGAGGCGGTTGAGCTATCCCAGGAGACCCTCTACAGTTTATTTCGTCGATACGGAAAGATCGCCGAGATTACTTCGCAGCCGTGGGATTCCAAGGTTGTTCCCAAGTTTGCCTACGTCGACTTCGCGTCCGTGAGGGACTCCATTATGGCGCGGAACTGTCTGCATGGTTTTGTCGTGCCCGAAGAACTCGGCGGTGGGAAGCTAGGGACTAGACTTCGAATGTCCTACGAGGAACGAGCAAAGTCTCACCCGACTTGGGGGTGGATATCTAGCCACCCCAGAATCGTCATTCCCGTCATAGTGGCATTAATAACCGGCTTCACTGTCATAATATTTGACCCCATCCGGTCATTCTCCATCAAGGCCTATGTCACAGGCAAGTTCCGCCTCAGCAATAGTAGGTTGTATCGGTGGCTGCGAAAAAGAACATCGCATATCTTGTCTTTTAGACGTGAGAAAGCCGACCAGGCGGGACTAAACGCGATATGGACTCATCGGAAGGACCTGATCAACCAGATCCAGAAATGGCTCATGGAAACCAGCGAAACTTTTATCGTCATCCAAGGCCCTCGCGGCTCTGGCAAGAAGGAACTGGTGCTGGAGCAGGCCCTCAAGGGGAGGGACAACGTCCTCGTCCTTGACTGCAAGCCTGTAGCCGAAGCGAGGGGCGAGGCGGCAACGATCAAGCGGATGGCATTTGCTGTCGGCTACCGACCTATCTTCTCATATGCTAATAGCATCAGCAGTATGGTCGATCTTGCTCTCCAGAGTACTACCGGTGTTAAGGCAGGCTTCTCGGAAACCTTGGAATCCCAGCTGCAAAAGATACTCCAGACGACAGCCGGTGCTCTTACCGAGATTGGCATCTCGAGTCGCCAAAAGGACGACTCCGACGCATCCCTGCCTGTGGATGCCTATCTTGAGGCCCATCCCGAGAAACGACCTGTGGTTGTCATAGATAACTTTCTTCATAAAAGCAGCGGCAATGCTATTGTCTACGACAAGATCGCCGAATGGGCCGCAGCCTTAGTCCAGTCTAATATCGCCCACGTCATCTTTCTCACCGACGATTCATCCTACTCCAAGTCTCTATCCAAGTCCTTGCCTGATCGAGTTTTTCGCCAAGCCGCACTTGGAGACCTTTCCCCCGACGTCGCTAAGCGCTTTATCCTAAGCCACCTCGGTAGCGGTGAGGCAGAAGACGGTTCTGGCGAACCTCGGGGGAAGGGGCCACGACCAGGGGGTCGCGTTGATCTGACAGGGCTTGATGACTGCATCGGCACGCTCGGTGGCCGCTTGAATGATCTCGAGTTCCTCGCACGCCGTCTTGCAGCTGGACAGAGTCCCAAGCAAGCTGTCGACGAGATTACAGAACAGTCGGCATCCGAAATTCTCAAGATGTTCCTCCTTCCGGGGAAAACCGCGGGCAACGGCGAGCACCGATGGTCGGTGGAACAAGCCTGGCATCTGGTTAAGGCGTTGGCCTCGAGCGAGAGCCTGCGTTACAACGAGGTGTTGCTGCACGATACCTTCGCGTCGTCCACTACCTACCCTGACGGCGAATCGGCACTCGAAGGGCTAGCTAACGCGGAGCTTATTACCGTCAACTCGGTCAATGGCCGCCCTTCTAGCGTCACCGTCGGGAAGCCCGTATACGCGGCCGCGTTCCGGCTGCTGTTGGGCGATGCCGTGCTCGCAGCCAGGCTAGACCTTGCGGTTCTCGCTGAGTTGGCTAAGGGCGAAGCTAAGAAAATCGATAAGGCCGAGGCCGAACTCGCATTGCTGGCAACCCTTCCGAAGCAGGTGGCAAGCCGCGTCTCTTATCTTCGCTCTAAGCTCGAAGGCGCGCAGAACAAGGTCGAAGAGTATGAGAAGGAGATTGCGAGGTTAAAGAAGGTGCTTGCTAGCGAGTACTAGTTGGCAGATACGTGTAATCGGGACAAGCTTCACTCAGCTCGACAAGGACTGGGTGGAATACCTTTGGAGTGAGGAATTGGGGAGGGAGAGGGTGTAGATAAAATCAAAAAGGGGGAAAGGGGGAAAGGGGGAACTAAAAAAGAGTGGTAAAGAAACGAGATTAGGGAGAGGGTTTACATATGGAGGGTTGTTGATTTGCGCACCCTCCTCCAAATAAACTGATACCCGTATATTAGCAGTTGGACGGATTCTACGAGCGTAATTACCAGATACCCAACTCACATTTTAAATGCTTAGCTCGCTCCTCATATAAAATATAAGGAATCGACTCTCGTACGCATCAGCCGAGTAGGTATCGCCTAGTGGAGACGTATAGGAGACATGAACGGAACTGGGTTGAGAGAAGGATAATAGCGTTCACGTTAACTTATCCTTTAAAAAAAAGGGAAAACTTGGTTTTCGACTCGGAGTAGAGGAACAGGGGAAAGGCAAGAGGAAGATTGTCTCCTTTTCTTTCTTTCTTTGGGTGTGAGGTTCGACATTACACATCCAACCCTCGCCCAGCGCATATAGACACCACTCAGCAGCGGATTTTGCTAGGACCAGCCAACCGGCTTACCAGCCAGCGAGGGGAGCTATGTTGGGAAGGTATCTGACAGGGCTTGGGGTACATATATCCATCGATGGCGCGAGAAAAGGGGGAAAAAAAAAACAAGAAGCCCTCTTCTTTCCTAGGACAGACACAAAGACATCTCGCGCCTCCTGAGCAGTAGTAGTTATGTACACACGCGACCTCACGCGATGAACAACCCGCCCGCGCCCTAAGCCCCCCCAACCCGTATTCATTTCTTTTTTCCTCCTCCTCAAACGCCGTGTCTGGTCTGGGTAGCTGGCGGCGGAAAAAGGTTGCCGGTAGATCTCGGGAACAGGAGAAAGAGAAAAAGAAATACGACGGCGATGGCGACGGCGACGGCGAGGTAATGCCGCCCGAGGGCCGAAACATACACAGGAGCAGGAAACGTGAATCAACGGTTAACCTATCTTTCTTCTTTTACCCCTGTGCCCACGGCAGAGCCTCGGCTCCTCGTACAAAAACAGAAGTTCCCCGAGTGTACCGATTCTCCTCGTAGGAACGTTCCCCTTCGATTCCTCTCCGCCTCTGTTTCTCTCCCATTACGGGCGCAGCTAGGAGAAGCTGCAAAGATCGGCCGACTGCCTATTCTATTCCTGCGTCCCGCCCTGTGGCTCCTCGCTCTGGACGAGCACCTCGCAGCCCTGGGCGAAGAAGATGCGCGCCGGGTAGTCTGAGTCGTTCGTTATGCTGTAATGATTTCCTGAAACGAGCCACTCGTTAGCGTGTTCTCCTTCCCCCGCTGGGTGGTCGCGTCGTCGATGCCCATTACAAAAAGAATTATAAAAAAAAAATCGGGCATCATCATCAGAGCCCCATGGGGGGGGGGGGGAGGTTGGGTAGTTTCGTCGTCGGACTTAGACTTACCTCTTGGAACAAACCACATGCCGCCCTTCCCGATTCTGAACTCGGTCTGCGCGACGATAACCCGCACGCTACCCGCGTGCACGAAGAATACCATTTGCATCTTCCTAGAATTCTTAGTACGCTTCTCGGAGCCCGGGGGCATGTCCACGATGCCCGACCCGAAGAAGGGCATCGTCAAGGTCTTGGCGAACCGGAACGTCGCGTCCTTGATGTCCTTGAACTGGATCGCCGGTTCGGAGATGGCCAGCTCCTCCTCCACGACCTCGAGGTCGTCGTCGTCCAGCTGCTGCTGCAGCTCGTGCTCCGGGTGCCAATATATACACTCGCCCGTGATGGTGCCCGGGTCGTGTTCCCAATCATCCCGCTCTACCTCTTCCTCTTGGATGGCGGACGAGCGGCGCCCCGGCTTAGATCGCTTCGCGGGCCGTCCACGCCGCTTCCTCGGCTGCCCCTCAGGGCTCGTCTCGGCGGCGCGCATGACGCTCTTGACAGCCGGCATGACAAAGTGCCGGCCTCGGTCCTCAAAGACCTGTTGCTTCGCGCTGTCGAATACGACATGTTCTCCCTGCCAAAACTTTAGGGGTTGGTACGAGAGCCGGCCTGATCGCGTAGTTCGCATGATATTCTCTTCTTCCCGCCTCAACGTCACGAGGCCACGACCCCTGGGAAGTGGGGGACCGCGTTGGACTACGGGCGAATCGACGCCAACCCCGGACGATTTCCGCTTTCGACCCGGCTTCCCCTTTTCCTTTGTTGCGGCCGGTTTGGATGAAGTATCTTGCGCCGTCTTCTTCTCTTTCTTCTCGGTCCGCTGGCGTTTTGCATCCCTATCTTCCACATCCTCCTCTTGTTCCTGTTCCTCAGTGCTGTCCGCCGGGCTCTCTTCGGGCCTCCTACGTTTCGGCGACTTCTTCATAGGCTCGGGCTGCTTCGCCGGCTGTGCGGTTTTCGCTGGTCGCCCGCGGCGCGCCTTGGCAGAACCCTCAGCGGTCTCAGTTCGGGCAGGCGCCTCTTCCACCTGCGCTATAGGGGACTTTGGTTTACGACCTCTACGTTTCGCGACCTTTGGCTGCGGCTCCTCGTCCTCTTCCGGCTCTGGCTCGGGTACCGCGGGTAAATCGTCGTCTTGATCATCGTGATCTATAGGGTCCACTTCGTCACTACCAGCATTCGGAACGTCAATCGATGCTTCTTGACCCACTTCCACTTCCACTTCCTCCTCCTCCTCCTCCTTCTCCTCCTTCTCCTCCTCTCCCTTTCGGGGGTTGCGTCGCTTGCCCCGTGGCTCTTCGTCGGATTCAACGATAGGAGCGTGGCCGTTGGTGAGTTTTCCATTCCGGGCTTTGGCGCCATTTACTTTCGGTTGTCCGTTTGTCGAGGGCTTCATTCTGTTTTGAGAGCTACTCTGGGAGATCTTGACGAAGTCGAGTTTGCGGTTTACCGCTTGGGGGGGACTAGCCTCGCGCGTGGCTACGATGGAGCCGCGGGTGGGCGAAGAAGACGGGCCAAGATGCGGATTCTGGCGCGCCGGAGACTGGAGGTGCGTCTTGATCGGGGACCTTGCACGTGGCAACGAAGGGCGGTTCTGGCGCTGCTTAAGGGCCGTGGCTGGGCCCATCACAGACGCTACAGAGACGGGTTAGCAATGCTGAGGAGAAGGGTCCGGCGGCGCGGGGCGTACCATCGTCGATTTCCATATCCTGTTCCTCGTCCGACTCGGCACGGCCACGCCCGTTGACTCCGCGCCCGTTGACAGCGCCATTGGGCTCGTCCTTGCTAGGCGAAGAGAAGAGATCGTCGACAGCCTCAAACCCGTTTTCGTCGCGCGGGCGCTCTTCTAGCCTGAGCCCAGTTTTCCTGCGGCACGACTCATCAGCCTCGGAAAAAAAATACCATCACCTCTGAGCGCGGTAGCGAATACCTTCCCTGGACACCTAGCTCGTACACCTGGTCGCTTTGCGACTGCGTGATGCGCCGCTGGGACTGTGCTTTCGGCGGCATGACACCGTCGGGGCAATTGACGGAGAGTGTTGAATGAAAAGAAGATGCGATAGCACGGCGATTCGTGGTGGCCGGAAAATGGGTTTGAAACGGCGAGGGCGGCGGCGCGTTCGGGCGTGGTGAGACGCGTTGAAGAGATGAAATCTCGGGGGAGGGGAGGGGGGAAGAGAAGTCGACAACGACAATGTTTACACTACGTACGACCTCATGCGTGCATGTGTATGTGTGGTGTGTTGCTCTTGCAATGGCCTACTCCAGGATCCTTGGGTTGGCCCCCTAGAAAAATTAATGCGGGCCACCGCTTCTGCAGGTGCTCGGCGAGGTACCTTCTCGGGTACCGGTAAGATACAAGCATCTACACATAGCCTCCCTCCTACAGACACTTACCTAAGCATAAGTGCTGGGCGCCGCATAATCCAGGCTTCGGGTAACGTGTACGTTTAAATTCACCCATGACCCTCCGCGGGGGATGCAGAACGTAAGCAGGTTTCTGTAGGCACTTATCTCAGTGTGAATATATATAAAAGAAACATCAGGTTCGAGACCCATCGCACCTATTCTTCCTGAATGTCTTGCTGGTACAAGCATGCCAGGGCCCCCCTTCGGGGGGCCGTAGGGGTTTTAGTTTATTTAAAGGATAATTAGGTTATGGACGATATTATTATCTATTATATAAAACGTAAATATTTATTCTATCTAGAGGATAGTTATAATACGTTTAACTCTTTATTATACTAATTTATTTATAAAGGTAATTTCCTTATAAAAGTACCCTCATAAATAACCCTATAAATAATCTTATAATTACGAAGTTATTTAGAAGATATTCTATTTTTATTAGTTAAAAGTTTATATAACCCGTTTAAAGAAGATATATCTAATAAAACTATAGCATATGTAACAGGATCCTAATTTACTTACTAACGCATCTATTTTTTACCTATTTTAATTCTATTTATATATAAATTAATTTAGGTTAATTTCTCCTCGTTTAATCTAGTTGAGTTTTTTTTTATTAAATCTAGGTTAGTTTCTTTTCATTTAATCTAGGTTAATTTCTCTCTATTTAATCTAGGTTAGTTTCTCCTTCTCTAATTAAGGTTAGTTTCTCTTTATTTAATTTAAGTTGATTTCTTATTATTTAATTTTAGTTAAGTTCTTTTCATTTAATATAGGTTAATTTCTTTCTATTTAATCTAAGTTAGTTTCTTATTATTTAATTTAGGTTAGTTTCTTTCTATTTAATTTAAGTTAATCTCTCCTTATTTAATTAAGAATCGATTATTAATTAATTCTTTTTCGTAGTTAAATTTAGCGTCGATTTTTACTTACCCTTTTTCTCCTAGCCTTTAGAGAGGTTCTAAGTCTTCGATACTAAAACTTAGAGAAGCGTAAAGCACTTCGGCGTATTTTCTTTATACTTTACTATATAAAGGTATATAAAAAGTACTTTAATTAATATATAATATTAATTTAATTTATTATTATCTTATTACTACTTTAGTATTATTATTATTTATTTATAATTTTATTTATAATTTTATTTATAATTTTATTTATAATTTTATTTATAATTTTATTTATAATTTTATTTATTATTATTTATATAGAGGTAGTTCGTATTTCCTTTATTTATTTATTTTCTTTTTAAATAATTAGTTAATTTACGTTCTTCTTTTTATATTTAATTACTTATAAAATAACCTAAATACTTACGTAATATAATAATATAGTACGACATATCCTTTTAATATATTATATAATATATTACGATAGGCCTTATACCTATATAGAATAACCATAGCTCCCGTAAGTACGGGCCATGCTATATTTATTATCGAGTTTACTACCTAGCTAAATTACTATCTTTATTATTTTTACCTTAATTAAAGATTCGTTTTTATCATTAAATTCGTCGTTTCCTAATTAATATATTTATTTTAGTTATAAGCGCTTAAGTTACTTTATCGTACCGTTATAACTAAATAAATAAATAACTTTTACGTTTTACCTCTTTTCTCCCTTTACCTCTTATACCTTCGGGTTAGCGATTATTATATCTCTACGACTAAGGGGAATAGCTAAGATATAATAACTACATTAAATTCTCCGTCTTTCGATTAATATAGTAATATTAATTTTATCTATCCTAGATCATCGTACGTACCGTAGTCTTCGATAAAGTATACTTTTAAATGAACATATCCAGAACTCTAGCATCGCGTATGCTCTACGCCTCCTTAATAGCTTTTCCATTTTACGTAATGATATTTATAATATTTATAATATTTATAGTATTTCTTATATTTCTTATATTTCTTATATTTATTATATTTATTATATTTATTATATTTATTATATTTATTATATTTATTATATTTATTATATTTATTATATTTATTATATTTATTATATTTATTATATTTATTATATTTATTATATTTATTTTATATATAAAGCGTTAATATATATAACTATAAACGTTTAAATAGATTATTATATATTATATAGTTTATTTTATTATTATATTCTATTTAACTTTAAGGCTTTTATATATAAGCTAAAAGTAATTATATTAAAACGTATATTTACTTTAAGATATTAAATTATCTAATTAATATATAATTTATAGGAAAGTATAATATATAATATTAATTATTTACGTATATCGTTAATTAGTACCGTATATTACGTAACGTAAAACGTAAGCGTACGGTATATAGGTACGTAGGTACGAACGTTCTAGACGTAGGCGTACGGGTACGTAGGTACGAACGTTCTAGACGTAGGCGTGTGGCTTCGTGTGGCTTTGTAGAGCGGCTTACGTGATTATGACCGTTTCGCCATTTTCGTGGACCAATTACCTTCGTAAGACTGTGGCCTATTTCGGACTGTGGCGTAGGTTTGATCTTAGTATATTAGACTAGAGACCTCCTCCTAGGGTGCCTTAGGTATTTGGAGGGTACCTAAGGTAAGGCAGGTATATCATAGGTACCTAGGTATCTATAGATGTACCTACGTTGTAGTGGGCCTCTAACCCACGCTCACCTTCGCGCCTTGCCGTTCTAGAGACGCGTCTTCCACTAAATACTTAACCTCTAGACAGCTTCAACTCTTGAAAAGCCCCGGCTGCCTCTACCAAAAGACCACCCAGACGCTGCTCCTAACCAACTCGCCCGCTCGTTCCCTGCACCTATCCTACCCAAGTTTATAGGTTATAACCCAGTGCGACCAGCCAGTCAAATCGGACTCAAGTATCTCCATTTCTTCCGTACCGAGCGCAAAACAGCTAGCTCCCCTCCCTAGGGCAGTTCCTATCCCCCTCTCGCACTTGCTCGAGTCCCTCCCTCCGTCATCGGCCATGGAAGACATACAGATGGACGACGGCAACGCCGACCTCGATACCCCAGCATCCGACGTATTCGTCCCTCCCTCCATCCAGCGACCTGCCACACTGGCCGGCGACTCCTACACCTACTTCTCTCCCGTCCCTCCTTCTCTCCTCGGCAACGCCGAGCCTTCGACGACTGAATCTCCCGACCCCTCGCCCGCCTCGCAAGACCCGGCGCCGGCGAGCCTGCCCTGTGTCCTCGGAGTGGATGAGGCTGGGCGGGGCCCCGTCCTAGGGCCCATGGTGTATGGGGTGTTCTACCTGCCGCTCTCGCTCTCGGACGCGCTCCTCCGCGAGACCCCGGAGCACCGGTTCGACGACTCCAAGGTCCTGACGCCGGCGGTGCGCTCCGCGCTCATGCGGACGCTGTGCGCCCCGGGGTCCGCCCTGCACGCCTCCTGCAGCTGGGCCGTGTCGTGCCTGTCCGCGCGCGACATCGGCGCCAACATGCAGCGCCCCGCCGCCGCCGCCCCCTACAACCTCAACGCCCAGGCCCTCGACGCCACCGTCGACCTCATCCGCGGCGTCCTCGCCCGCGGCGTCAACGTCCGCGAGATCTACGTCGACACCGTCGGCCCCCCCGCCACCCACCAGGCCAAGCTGGCCCGCCTCTTCCCCAACGTCAACATCACCGTCGCGAAGAAGGCCGACAGCATATACCCCTGCGTCAGCGCCGCTAGCGTCTGCGCCAAGGTCACGCGCGACGCCGCCCTCGAAGTCCTGTACGAGGATCGCATCGCCCAAGGCCCCGGTGCGCCTCGCCATAGGAGTGCTCCCGGCGGCGGTAATGATGATGACAACGCCGAGAAGGAACCGGAAGCGGAGAATAAAGAGCTGAGTTGGGGCTCCGGGTATCCCTCCGACCCGCGCTGCGTCACCTGGCTGAGGAGAAACATGCATCCCGTCTTCGGCTGGGGACCCGAGTGTAGATTCAGCTGGGGAACTGCCAAGGATATGTTGGAAACGAGGGGTGGCGTCAAAGTGGAGTGGCCGGCGGACGAAGAGGATGGGACCAGTCGGCTTACCGACTTCTTCGTCGGGGGCGACAGGGAGAAGGAGGCCGACGAGTTAGGCAACTGGTTTGGCACTCCGACAGGTCTCGAGGCCTTCTAACTACGACATATTGCTGTACACATAGCTTGCACATATATAACACGCGCCGGGGTTAACATCGTGCCGTTTCCGGCATGCTAGAACTCACCCGGAACAATAGTATTCGAATTAAACAATGGTGTAACGACGACAAGTATATATCTACGATATCCTAGCCCCTTCCTGTCGCCCTTTTTACGAAAGTAGGCCAGCTCGGTTTTTTCTCCCCCTCTCCCCCCTTTAAATATCGTCGTCATCGTTGACCACCGCCTGAGATTTCTTTCCCCGACTATCTAAGTTGTCTAGACTAACCGAGCCATTATCCCGGCCCGGCATGCCAATCGCCTGTCTCGCCGTATCGTTGTTCTCAAGGAACTCGCGAAGGTGCTGCTTGCCGATCTCGACAGCCTGGTTCCAGGCGGCGTTGGTCATCTGCATCATAGGGCCCAGCAGGTTGAGGCTATACGAGACATAGAGTCCGCCGGCGATAACGATAACAAGTAGAAAGAGAATAGGATTGCGCAGAACTAATCCGGGTCAGTGGGCCAACGACAGCACGATGTCGGAGCAACTTACCAGTCAGAAATTCGTTCCACCCCAGCGCCAGCAACAATCCGTAGAAGTACAGAGGCACCTGCGTAATCCCACCGATGGCGCTGCGCTTGGCCTCGACATATACTCCATCGGCGGTCTTCTTAAACCTGACAACCAGATCCTGCCGCTTGCCCTCGCTCAGCACGGTCATCTCCTCCTCGAGGCTCTTTCCATCCTCCTCGTCGATGCCACCGATTGGCGCGAGATCATTCTCATCCTCAGGTTCCGTGCCCGGGGGTTGGTGGCCAATAAACTCAGGGAGATCTGGAGACGCATTGGCAGCGGACAGCCTGAACTTCGATAGGAGCGGGATAAGCGTCAGAGTCGACTCCCGAGCACGAGTGTATATACCCTCGATGTCATCCGCCGGCCGCCATATCCGCGGCACCCCAGCTTCGTCATACCGGAATTTGTCCTCGAAGTTTTCCCGTAACTTGAGTAGAATATTGCCTTCCATCACTTCCTCCTCAATTTTCTCCCTTAGTGCCACCCAACTCTTGCGTCGCAGACGCCATAACCCGACTTCAACCTCTCCATCGTTTGCCTCAAAGCTCTTAGCTCTCTCCACAAAGCGGCTCTCGGCCTCCTTGACGACGGAAGTAAAGACATTCCAGATACGATCCCAGAGGTCTTTCTCGCTCGCAGGCTTTTCTCCGGCTTCGGGTGCCCCGGACCCGCCCCTCCCAGAGCCAATCTTGTTGAACTCGAGTCCAACGGCATCCCCAAGTCGAGATTTGACCCAACGTTCGACTCGAGTAGCTAGTCTGCGCATCTCCTCCTTTCTTAAGCGAGCACTGACCTCGTCAAGCTCCTTCTCGAAGAGCACATATTGAGAGTTGAAGTTGGTCCACGCCACGCCTGAAATTTCCAGGCTCTGTGTTTCTTTCTTGAATATGCCCAGAGCTTTTGTTTTCTCCTTATCGACGATCTCGGCGAACTCATAGGACCCTCCCGACTTCTGACCTGCTTTTACTGCGCCAGAGACGGCATCGCTGAAAAGGGCCACGCTGGACTTGTGAGCGGCAGATAACTGCCCATGATACAACGCCTTAAGGCGTTGGTCGATTTTGCCTTCCAGGTCGGTTCGCTTCCTCGTATAGACGGTTTTGTGATACCTGCTAGCCTGCGTTTCGAACGCCTTGACACATTTCTCCCTCGCTGCAGAACCAATGCTGCCGAGATCGGGGAGCACAATCGGCTTCCCATTATGAGCGGATTCGGCTTGCTTCTCTTCCAACGGGCTAATGGCGACGTCGAAGGCTATTAAAACCTCTCGTGAAATCTCGTCGCAACGGAACTGAGCAAGGAGCTCTTGCTGCGTGGGGAGATCGAGATCCTTATTGTTAACGATCTGATCCCACACGCCCTCGGCATATACAGAAAACCCATCTGCCGGGATTCTTCGGTGGTATTCGGGCAGGAAGACACCGCCCTCAAGCTCGTGTTTGCCATGCTCCAGATGGGTCTTCGAGTTCCGATTCCCGGTAACGAATCTTCTACCTAGGTTCACGACCTCGGTCTCAAATTTGTCTGGCTGTAGGATCTTGTGAGGTAGCGCAGCAAAAGCAAAGTCGAAATAGTCTTCTATGCGTGACTTCTCCAGACCTTGTGGCTTCGAAATCGACGACCAAATTTTAGTCAGATCCTGGATTAGGGTATTTCGGAGGTTTACTAGAGGAGTGTGGCCAATATGGTCGCGGATAACGAAGAATAGGAGCGACCTAGGCGTAGATCTGAACCCATTTTCATTAGCCCTTCGTCGGCGATGTCAGCTAACCTCCTGTAAGACTTACTGAACATCCTTTAAGAACAGTTGGAGATTGACTTCGAAGACTGTCTTCAGCAACCCCATGTTTGCACCTTGGTACAATCCAACTTGGTGTTCCCATATGTTCATGATGAGCACCTCGCTAGTAGCTAGTGCGAATAGTGCGCTCTTCCTCTCGAAGTCTTGATCCTCACCCCTCTCTCGACCATCAGTACCTTCGACATCCATGACCAGGATATTGTCGGCCATGGATCCCTTTTTATTCTTGGACATCCATATTCCCTTGGTAGTTTGCCGACGTTCGACCTCGGACATGACATTGAACTGGGTACCGAATAGATAATTAAGCAGTGTGGACTTGCCGGTAGACTGAGAACCGAATACGGATATGAGGTGGTAGTTGAATCCAGTATCAGCGATATCGGTTGCTTGCAGATAGGCGTTGATATTCTGGCTACAGTATGGTGTAGGTTAGCAAGGGCAACGAAGCAGCGAACAACAGCGGTGTAGAGACACAGAGGAGGAAAGACTAACTTGAACTGCTTGTCTTCGTCTATAACTTGGATGCCATGCTCGTATTGAGCCGTGGTTGGCGCATCGCCAACAGAGGAGAAGTGACCGTTCATGGCGACACGTGAGAGGCAGAAGGTCGACGGGAAGGCCAGAGATCAATAAAAAGTAATGGGCAGATAAGTCTATGAAGAAAGGAGAAGGGCAGCCATCTCCAGACCTCGACGGAGCTGCGGTGCAGAGGGAGGGAGAGGAAGGGAGCACTAGCTGGGGGTTAAGAAAATGTGTATGTAAGTAGTAGAGCAATATGGCTTTTTGGATGCGGCATCCCTGTTGAGAGCAACAGGTGGCTGACTTGGACAAGGTGGCGGATCCGCCCTGATTCGACAGCTGTTAGTAGCCCGTACCGTCTGTAAAGGTACCACGCTGTCACTGTCACATGCACCAATGGAGGGGAGGGTGACCGCAGCAACACGACGAACGGTTGAATGATGTCAGCTGGTTTGGTCGATTGCATATCGAGGGCGGCCTCGAGGCAACGAATAAATCAGACTGCACCAAAAATGGGTTGACAGCCCAACCTTCTCCTTAGTCTCATAGAAACGAGTATGTAGACGCATACATGCATATCGCCCCCGTTCTCTCTTGCCGCTTTGTTGCATATCATTCCACACGCCCGGGTTGCTTAGGCTGCCCGACCAGCCAGGTAGCTATCCGCGTTCTAGCCATTCACTGACGAAAGGACAACAAGACTGGAAATACCTTAGGCCCCTAGACTTACCTACACGTATACGTCCGCCATAGGCCGTCATGAAATCCGATGTATCATGAAGTGGTCAAATCATCTCTTACATTCCTCACACACATCACAGACGCTCGCGGCAAGACTGGATGTCGACGGCCAAAACAGCATTTACCAAGTCCGACAGCATATCCATGGGTATAAGCCAAAGTAATTACCTCTACTCCCCTCCCTCCCTCTGTCCCTCCGTCTACGGATACACACCTATACCTATGTGGATATCATTTCCATGTCTCGGAATGGACACGTCCCACCAGAGCCATCGAGACGCCAGGGTCAGGTTATTCCTTCTTCGCAAATCTAGCCAGAGCCGGTCCAAGCTCCTCCTCCTCCTCCTTATGTTTCTGCCGCCGTTCTTGCAGCTGCTCCTTCCACACCTCTTCAACCCTGAGTCGCTTCTCGTCAATGATATTCCTAGCCTTCTGTTTTCTCAAGTATCTCTGGAGAGCGCCATTCTTTCCGCGAGCCTTCTTCCTGATTTCTGCCCCGATGTCGACAGGTTTAGCATCAAGGTCTTTCTCGGCTTGGCGCTGCTTCTCGGAACGGAGATCGAGATTCCCGATAAAGTTAGGGTCCAGAGCAATCATCTCGGGCTGGAGCTTGGTTAACAGCGACTTGACTTCGGTCTCTCGCCGCTGTTTAGGGGTCTCAAACGGATTGACTTCGAGAGCATCAAAGTTAGGCTCTCCAGCGCCAGGGACGATGATCGACGAGAACCCTTTGTCGTGGCCGATACCTAGCGTGTCCTCAAACGGGCACCAGCGAACACGTTCAATGCGCTTTTCTTGGTTGCCCCATTGCATGTACGGGCTTTGGACCTTCTCCTGCTCGACGCTGTGCTTAGAGTAGAGACCTTTCCAAATCTGCGTCTTCGTCCCCCATCCAACGGCAGTCAGGCCTCGATCTGATATTGCGATGGATGAGGCTGGCTGTCGCGTAAAGTAGTTGTTGACTTCTTTGAACATTCTAATATCCCACACAGCCATCCTACAATCTTGTCCTGCCGACACCATATACCTGCCTTCCCTATCGACCGCTAGGGATCGGACGGGCCCTCTGTGCGCAAGGAGCTTCACCAGCGGCTCTGCGGAGTTAGGAGACCACAATGTAACGGTTCCGTTATGGTGTCCCACGTGCAAGACGGCGTTATGAGGATTTTGTGTGAGAGAAACTGGGGCTCCAAGTCTCGTCGGCATTTCCGCGACGAGCTGCCCAGTCGAGGTATCCTGATACTTGAGGAAACCGTTCATACTCTAACCTTGTAGTTAGCACCTATAAAGCCACCGCACGGCCGACCGCAACTCACCAAGGTCGCCAATAGAAAGTGATACGGCAGGTATTCCATATGTGTAACCTCTTGATGCTTCCTCAAGCAATGCAGTTCGACGCCATTGTGGTCATATATGTAGACGTGCCTCTTCTGTGCCACGGCGAAATACTGGTTGTTGTGCAACCATCGCACGTCTCGCACGGTTTCGCCCAGCTGTAATTCGCATCCCAATTTGCCCTGACGCCAATCCATAGTGGCGACATGGCCTCTCCGCCCCGCCAGGAGCAATTCTCGACCAGTCCGGGAATACTCGAAGATGTACGGGCCGAGCTGATCAAGCTTCAGGTCGAATCTCTTCTTCGCTGTTTCGATGGATACCTGCGCCTGTATTTGCTCCTGGGTAACTTTATAAGTCCTTTCCATCTCATTTTCGGGCTCTAAGAAACCGCTGGTGTTCTCAAGTAGAATCTCGGCATCTTTCGCCTTCACCGTAGCCTCCTTGTATTTATTTTCTAGAGCCTTCATATTACTTCGCAATTTCTTGTCCTTGACGCTCTTAACATTGACCTTGCGTCCTCGGCCGTAGTCTCTCTGGGCCTCCTTCATCAGCCGTTGCCTTTCGCGCTCGTGTTTCGGGACGAGTTCCGCCCTAGTCCGCTTGATAACGTGAGCGCCATTGTCGTGCTTCTCCACCGAGGGTTTATGGACGTTTTCGTCGGCTTCCATCTCTATCCCTTCCCCCTCAGACGGTACCGGTGGAAACACAATATGTGATGTGTACGTGGCGATATGGTAGCCGGCCGGCGCACAGAAACGAAGGAAGGAAAGAATCGGATTGGAGGCGATCGACTAAGTACCTAAGATAAATGTAAAGAGGGTGATATTGACGCAGATGCGAAAGCGCAAATTCCTGGTGTAGAGACACGATAAGGGAGAGATTACCTGTGCGACAAGACTCGATAAGACCTGATAAGAAGTTTGGACCCCATAAAAAAGATACCTATTCTACATCTCTTATCAGCCGGTGAGTAAGCTAGCGCAGAGTACCTAGGGTAGGTACCTTACAGGCAGCCAACTTAACTCAGCACTGCCCACACAAAAAAATTTATTACCGACCTGGGAACCTGCATTTGTCAATTGCCCCTCCATCCTCCACTCCGCCCGCCCCTCCAAGGCTTTCGAGCCACCGGCCAGTATTTCAACACAACTTGTGCATAATATATCGAGCCCAAATCAGATTTCGAGCCGTCAATCGTGGCATCGCTACCGTTCCGATTCAAGGCAGGAGGTGACGGGAAAATGCCGTCTGCGGTGGCCTCTCACTCCCATCGGCCGACCAGCAAGGTCCTGCCCAAAGCTTTCAAATCCAAGAAGGCAACGAAAGGTGCTTTAAGGGATCAGGCCAAAGGTACAGCTACGATAATATGCAGACATAACAATATGATCAGAACCTTTTTTTCTCAGCTAAAACTTGACCATCACAGGTAAAGCACCCAACGAAAAGGGCCAGCGTAAGACTCCAAACCAACAAGTCGTGTCGAAAATCGACCGTCGCAACCAGGCAAAACAGCGTCAGCTGTCCAAGCATAGGGAACACCAGAAGGACGCGTCCATCTTCTCTGGGCGAGACGGTGCGCCTAGAATTATTGCCGTAGTGCCACTTTGCCCAGACAGCGACGTCTCCGCGGCTATCGACAACCTCAATACCAGCCTCGATATCGAGCCCGGCATCGAGCCCGACATCTCCGAATCCAGCTTCCGAGTGTCTGTCGACCGGTTCAAACAGAAGCTTCAGTATGTACCGGTTGGGAGGGATCTCACGGCATGTATGGATGCTGCGAGAGCAGCCGACTTCGTCGTTTTCGTACTCTCTTCGGAAGTGGAGGTTGACACCCTGGGCGAGCTCATTATCCGGAGCATCGAGAACCAAGGCATGTCGACCCTTTTCACCGTCGTGCAGGGCTTAGAAAAGGTCCAACCCGCGAAAGCTAGACCGGACGTCGTCAAATCCTTGGCTTCATTCATGGCACACTTCCACCCAGGACAAGATAAAATATACAGTCTTGACTCGAGACAAGAATGCTCGAATCTTATGAGGTCCCTCTGCACCACAACGCCGAAGGGGATTAATTGGCGAGACCAGCGGTCGTGGATGCTCGTAGACGAGGTTCAATGGCCGCTTACTGAGACCGAATCGACAATACTAACAGGCGTCGTTCGAGGCAAGGGTCTTAGGGCTGATCGTCTCGTTCACGTAGCAGATTGGGGAACCTTCCAGATAGAAAAGATCACAGCTGCGCCAGTCCCAACCAAGAAACGCAAAGCCGATGGAATGCCCGTAGAGGAGACGCAACTCGGTAATGTTCTGGATGTTCCAGATGAAGACCAAGATGATCTCGCCGAATTAGCGCCGGAAGAAGTGACAATGGATGACGCCGAATCTGAAGGCGGAAACAAGTCCATTGCTACGGCCAACCAAAAAGGAGTCCTTCTAGATGATCATCACTATTTCTCTGAGGAAGAGCCCGAGGAATACGCTCGCCCGAAGAAACTACCTAAAGGAACGTCGTCTTACCAAGCCGCGTGGTTCCTTGAGGACGTATCAGATTCCGAGTCTGAGTTAGATGACGTAGAGATGGAAGACGCTCAGCTCGAGGACATTCCCGCCGCCCCAGAAGACGGTATCGAGGGTATTATCGTGGACGAGCCCAGCGAGGCCGCCATGTCAGAATACCCTCGGTCAGAGATATTTATCGAACCAAACGAGGAAGAGGATGCTGTTCAATTGGAGGCATATAGGGCATGGAAACGCGACGAGGCGGAAGATGATAAGGAGTTCCCAGACGAGATAGAGTTGCACCCAAACGTTCTTGCGAAAGAACGCCTGTCCAAATACAGAGGGCTGAAGAGTCTGCGGACGAGTCCCTGGAATACGGAGGAGGACCGACCGTATCAACCAGAAGAGTGGTCGAGGTTATTGCAGATTTCCGACTACCAATCTTCCCGAAACCGGTCTGTGCAAGAGGCTCTCGTCGGCGGGGTGACGCCAGGAACGAGGGTTCACGTCCATCTCAAAGGTGTCCCCCGGGATTTAAAGAAGTTGAATGTCCCTTCAAGACCGGTCACACTCTTTTCACTCCTACGGCACGAGAACAAGAAGACATCATTGAATTTCGACGTAACCCACAAGGAAGACTACGATAAATCTATCAAGGCCAAGGAGGAGCTCATTGTCCAGTGTGGACCTCGACGATTCGTGGTCAACCCCCTATTTTCCCTTCCGGGTAATACGGAGAATGATGTCCACAAGTACTGTCGCTACCTCCACCCTGGCCAATCCGCGGTTGCGACATTCGTTGGCCCCATCACTTGGGGGTCTGTACCTACATTGATATTCAAGCGAACGACCCCTCAAGATAGCGGAGGAACCGGAGTATCCCTACACCTAGTGGCAACGGGAACCACTCGGGCACCCTCAACGTCGAGAGTAATCGCAAAGCGTGTCATCCTGACCGGCCACCCCTATCACATCCACAAGAAAGTCGTTACCATCCGGTACATGTTCTTCCACCGAGAGGACGTAGACTGGTTCAAGGCGCTGCCTCTTTGGACGAAACGAGGGAGAACGGGGTATATCAAAGAGGCCCTTGGCACACATGGGTATTTCAAGGCCAACTTTGACGAGAGGATCAACCCGCAGGATGCCGTTGGCGTTAGCTTATACAAGCGAGTGTGGCCGCGGAATGCCACGCCTTTTACCGGACCACTCTTAGAAGAAGAGGAGACAGGGCCACAAAATGAGGCTATGGACGAGGATATGAAATAGTCAACTATGCGTACGGAGTGTCGACAGGCTTGTTAGGTAAACGATTATTTGTATTCGGGCACATGGCAAACAGCTCGAGGCTGGGTCGGTAGGATCATTCGATGATGAAAATATTAGATTCCATCTCGTATTAACCAAATCGCGTTTCGTCCAGCGTGACAACTCTCTTTTATTATTTGTATTGATGGAGCGGTAGACGCATTCGTTTGACAATCCCTAGCATATTCATACCGTATATATAGGTTAGTTAGACCAGCGTCTCCAGACCCTCCGTGGGTTTCGGACCCCCCTTTGCTCTACAAGCTTCCTCGGCGCCACTGGCCTTCCAGGCGCTAACGATGAGGTTGATGATGTGGTCAACACCGACGCCCTTCTTGACCTGGGCAAAAACGGTTGGGCCACCCTCGCGCATCTTGCGGGCGTCACGCTCCATGACGGCGAGGTCAGCGCCGACGGCCTCAGCAAGGTCAGTCTTGTTGACGACGAGGAGGTCACTTTGGGTGATGCCGGGGCCGCCCTTGCGAGGGATCTTGTCGCCGCCACTGACGTCGATGACGTAGATGATGAAGTCGGCGAGCTCGCGACTATAGTTGGCAGCGAGGTTGTCGCCGCCAGACTCGATGAGCAGAATATCGGTGGCGAAGGCGCGGTGAAGATCTTCGAGGGCGGTGAGGTTGGCGGATACGTCCTCGCGGACGGCGGCGTGGGGGCAGCCGCCGGTCTCGATGGCGCGGATGCGGCTCACGGGCAGCGCCCGGTGCTTCGTGAGAAACTCGGCGTCCTCGCGCGTGAAGATGTCGTTGGTGACGGCAGCGATGGAGTACTGCGAGCGCAAGGCGAGGCACAGGGCCAGCATGAGGGCGGTCTTGCCGGAGCCGACGGGTCTAGAGGGGGAGATATGGATGGCTCAGCTCACAGCTCTGATCCAGGCGGGTGTTCGCAGGCCAACCTCGTCTGTGCCTCGTAGAGGAAACAAAGAAGCCAGGCCCGATATGCCAAACTATAGGGGGAGGGGGATACCTGTCTGACCACTTACCCTCCAATGCCTACGGTAAAGGCGCGCTCATTCCAGTTCCGGCCCTCAATAATAGGCATCTCGCGGCCAAGAAAGCTCCCCGGCCCACCAAGAATCTCGTGTGAGTGTCCATGCTCGGCAATAGAGAAGCCACCGTGAGAATGTGCCGTTAAGCCGCCATCGTGAGAGTGGGTGTGGCCTACAGCCTCCATTGTGGCAAGTCTCGGTGACGACGACGGACTCGATACTCCGGCTATCCAAGCGGCGTATCAAGCCAGGCTTTACGGGACGGAGCTGACGCTTCTCAGAAACGCTTCTCAGAAAAAAGACTTTACCGCCGGGTTAGGGCGGGTGGTGGTATAGCTGAAGTTGGTTCTTTGGGTATGCAGGCCAGTGAAAATCTACCTAGTGTAGTGTAACTCGATCTGGATTGATCTGACCGATACCTCTATACCCGCACGTAGGGAGAGATGCCTATCTAAGTAGCAGAGGAGGTACCCAACCTATCCAATGCCTACATATCTCTACCTCCTCAGACCTACCTCAGGTACTTACCCCCTTCCAACCCACCTACGTGATCCTAGACAGCGTATGTACTTCACAGCTATCCGCGCAATTCTAGCCTAGTGGGAGTCCGCGATGTGAGATCTTATCGGTAGTGTGATGAGGGGCCTTATCTTATCAGCCGACTAGCGATTTAGAGTAATGAAGATTACGCCTACGTAAGAATCAGAATCTACCCCGCTTTGGAGAACCGTCGGTGACAATGCTTTCAATGTGGTAAGGCGCCTCTCGCGGCTTCAACTTGGTATTGAAGGCAGGTAGACACCTCTTAGTAGCAGAGACATTGAGACATCAACTACCTAGGTATAATAGAATCCTGGCTACCGTAAAAGTATTACCCACATACCGTGTAGGGTATACACATCGGCACAAACGCATTGTCTGCAGTTGAGGACTTGGAAGCTCAGTAGGGGTGAAGCAAATTTATATATCTACCTGCGTAGAAGGCATCTGCGGTGCCTTTACTAATAGGTATGAGGTACCTATTATATTCAGTTACCTAATACCCAACTTCCAATATGGAAGGGCCCCCACCTAAATGAACACTTATGTAAGCAAGGACAACAAGGTACTCCACTGGCACTCCGGTGCGGGTTGCTCTCCTTTCCGCCGAAAGACCTGCAATCATTATAGGACATCTTTAGTGAATAGTTTGTCAACCAGGCAAATCCAATCACCACTCCCAGAGTGGTCAGGTTCCTTGAGTGGGTTCCAATCTCGATTGGTCTAGTGGTCAGGATACCTGCTTGTCATAGGACAATACGCAGGTGGCCGGGGTTCGATTCCCCGATCGAGAGCTTTTTTTTCGTATTTTCACCGTTACTTAGGAACAACAACCATATTAGTTATCTCCCATCTCTGCTAGTGGGCGGTTTCGCTTACCACATACGCAATGTTCTTCGCCAAGGAGGAGATGAGTTGACGGACGTTCTTTTCGGTTTCTTTTTACGATGTCCCCCCCTGCTCTCCGATATGTCGGTCACCTCTCAAGCGGGGCAAGGAGGGGAGCACGAGTTTTCACCAACGTTATGTAGGTGTAATGAACCTACCTATCTCTCTATACCTATGAATATATATACACAGAGAGAGAGAGAGAGCTGGCTTTAATGTGGCCGCTCTTTTTCACTTGGTAGGTCAATCATTATACCACCTACACACCGACCTTCGTCTTAGACATTCGATCCGTCGATCATATTACCTCTTCAAGCCTACTAACCCTTGAATGAATGACACTCTCCATTGCCTCCCCCTCCCCTTCGTCTCTACTGGCCGTCCCAACATGGCTTATAGCCCCGAGTACCTCGCCGCCCTAAGGCTTGAGCCTCAATTCGACGAATCGCTCTTGTATCCAGACTCGGACCATTCGAGACGTTTGAGATTGAAACCTCGAGATTACCTGAACGAGTACCGTACAGATTATCCATATCATCGTACACGTTAGCCCCAGCATTCATCTCCGTTCCGACATCGTCCAGGGCGCCGGGTCCGTCGCCATTTCTCCGCAACGATCGTCGCGTAGTAGCACGTAATGCGTGCCTCCTACATGCCCACGCACGTATGAGTATATTCATACATACGCCCACCGGACCTATTTTCAGGCCTCCGAGTGGATGGCGCAAGGAATAATCTCCAGTTGCACCGACGACCCCTTTGGCCCCGCATACCGGGGCACTTTTTATGACGAATCTACTAGTACATTGAGGCCGCCGCCCGCCTACATACACCTTATATCCGTCGCATTCTGGTTTGTTGTTGCGCGTATTTTCATCCATATAAGCCCGACGGGTGCAAGCGACTATTGGACGGGTAGCGTATCAGGCGCTGCCGCTCACGAAGTTGATATACGTGTATACCAACAATTGCCATGTGCAACTGGTACCTACACATACCTACCTAGGAGGTAGGTAGGCGTAATCGGGATGTGCTGCAAGTAGCCGTTGTCCGTCAGAGGTGCACCCAGCGTGCCCGGTGGCGGACTGCACGCGCGCCCAGATCCGCCCGCCCTCTCTCAATCCCGACTGCCTACCCAGACAAACCTGCCTGCCGATCTGGCCATTAACTGCGGTATTATTAGGCGCGTTTGTGCCTGACTGGATCTACCCGCTCTGGCGAGGCCTCTGGATCCGACTACAGTCGTTCCAAGTTGAGATTGGTCTCTTGCCGCCCACATTCGTTAGCTTCCGGCGGCGAGGCGCGAGTGGGCGAACATTTGAAATACCAAAGGGAAAAAAAAAAGGAGAAAAAGAAAAGGCCAGGAATGGCACGGTACGGCAAGGTGCCTGTTAGGTAAATGCATATGTATTCGCCAAGAGGCACGTCCATTGATTGGTGCTCGACGGCGCAGAGTTGCATCTATAGACTCCAGCAACCAGCTAAACCTGTCGAGGGGGCGTCGAAGGGATTTACCCATGCAGAGTCGCTGCAGAGCTGGTATGATTTTATGTAACCATCTCAAAGTGCCGGTTGGCGAGAACTCGACGATAAGTAAATATGCCACCTATTGGAGGCCGAGGGGGCGGTCATACTGAGTACACATCTGGAGGTAGGTACCTGAGCAGACCTATAGTATGCGTATGTTATGTACCTACCTAGGCAGGTATGCAAATATGCGAGTTATGTGCCCCTGATGTCCTCAGTATGGGCAGGCGATAAATTCGGCACAATGTTCCTAACGTACCAAGGTAACTGTTATGCAACCTGTGCCACATAGAACTCGACACGGCTGGACTTAAACTTGAACCCAGGGCCCCTGGCGTTTGGCAGAGTACGTGCCATCCGGTGCCTTGGGGGGTACTATCACAACGTAAAACGGGCGGTTTAGGTACCTCCCTATATTAGGCACCTTGGGTACTTTCTAATCTCGTACACGAGGAGGGAGGGTGCACGCGCATATATCCGCACATACCTACATACGTGCATACATTCATACATACAGGCTGCAGAGGGCGTGATTTCGGCGCCATCCCCGGGTTGCGGCAGCTGGACGCCGACGCGCCTGGTGGGGCGATACGTACCTGATGATACCGTCCGGACAACCGACGCTGTGCGACAAGATCGAGGGCTAGATCGAATCCCCTAATTTACCCTCCGTTTGCGGTGCCTGGGGTGCTGATAATACGTACCTCGGACCAGCAACTCTCTGCACGCCCTCTCCTCCCCGTGTCGGCCTGCTTACCTCTTCTTCTTCCGCTCTCCTCTTCCCCCTGGGGAAAGAAAAATTCGCCAGGCTACATGCATGCAAGCCATCCGGCACAGGCCAATCTACAGACCAGGCTCGGATTGGGGGGGGATTGTCATGTAGTATACGACCGGGATCGCGACAAGGATCCAGCCGCCATGGATCCCTTCTCCATCGGCCCCCCCTCCTCAATCTTGCTACGTACGGCCCACCTCACACGCCAACTTGCCTGCCTACACGGTAAGCTACCCGCTCACGTACGGATTCACAGATGATACCCCCAAACGATGGCCCATCAGACCGCCTCCCTCGTTCCTCGCGAGAGGGCGTCGTAGTGCATGGGAGATACGGGGCCGGGTAAATTGTGGCACCAAGAGCGCGTCTCGGCCCTGGGTGGCAAGCCTACAAAGATCTCAGCGTGCAGAAAGCAGGGTGGTAAGGGGGGAGTCGAGGTCACGCAGTCGCCCGAAGCCATTAGCATCCCCATGCTCCATCTCTTCTCAGCATAGCTAGCTACAGGAGGCTAGCTAGCTACCTGGCCAACGATGGTGGGTAGTCAAGTGATGGCCCGCCCTCGTTCGGTTGCCGTTCACGAGCCCCCCTTGTGTGCTCACGTTACATAGTATGTTGAAGTTGCTTCACCTGCTTGGCCGAGACAGGCGCATCGCATCCCTCGACCTCGGACGCAGGCCCCAGATCGCCATCCCTCAAATAAAGAGGCGTCGACCTCCCCGATGTATACCTGGGCCATGGGTATACATATGTATGAGAGGGATCGCCCTATCACATAGACCCCCCCCATCGCACACCACAGAGACCACACGTTATTATTACTTACCACACACAGTTGATACCACTCACAGATACTACTCACGGATACCACCGTAGCCCTATCTGCCCTTTCCGTCATGACTCCGGTATAGATCCTTGGGCGACACCAGGAAGGGTTCCCTTTAGTTTGTCGACGCCCCAGCCAGACAGATCTGGGTAGATGTCTGGTTTAGCTCGGACAGTCGACCAATTCATAACACCGTCCGCTGTCCTAAGAACAGAGTAGAGGCTCTAGAAGCCCTCTCGAAGCATACGACGCGGAACCACCTACACGGCATGAGATTTATGTAGAAGGGAGACAGTGGCTCTACAGGAACAGGAGCGAGAGGCGAGGATTCATTAACCGTTTACTAGCTTCCCTTGTTAAAGACAGACAGTTTCCTTTCTTCTCCTTGCCGGCTTCCGACTCATCTATTTGGATTGTTCTTGCCTTTGAATTCTACGAATTTAATATCTGCCTTGTTTCGCTTCCCCCCTTCTTTTCTCACGTCTCGACATTCTTCGGCGTACCACGTTTTTCTCTTTGCTTCCCCACATCCGGCTAAGCAGAGTACGGCGCAATGATACAGCTCGCTATGAATTACCACCACACCGATGATCAGCGAGCGTCGGGCTTGGGCAGGCAAGCCGCCGCTAAGCCGGTCCCATTCAAGCAGAGCTACTCAAAGCAAGGCCGGCACGCAAAGCCTCAGCCCTTCGATGCTGATGATCTGCGCCGGCGACTTTACGTAGTGATGGCGGAGCAGAACCGCAGGGACAGGCTGCAAGAAGAAGAGAGGTCGACACCGAAGAGGGAGCAGGCCGCACCATCAAATCGACCGGGGACGAAGAAGACGGATACAGCTGCCCCCAATCCGGCCATTGCGCACCCAGAGGCTAGCGAGGCCAGTTTTTCGGCAAGAATAGGGAAAAGTAGGATTCCTGTACCGAGTTCGCTATCGAAGGAAACCCGCGCCCGCTCGTCAGAACCGAAGCTGGGGCGGCCAGCGTCGAAACCCACCCAAAACCAGTTGCGGCGCAAACCGTCATCATCGCCGTCGGCAACCGAGTCGACAGTGTCCCCAACAGAGAACCTCACAAGAATCCCGTCTCCGTCGGCTGCAGCATATCATCATGTCCCGCAGCAGGCCGCGGCGCAATTCGAGAGAACCGCGACGGCTAACGGCATGCGCGAGAGAAACGTAGTCCACAGCTTATCCCAAGCCGCGCTCCGCTTCCACGCCGAGGGCCGGCCGTTAGAGTTCGCCGAGCTCGACGCTGGTCTGACGCCGGCGCAGCAGAACTCCGCTCTGCGGAGGGCACGGAGCTATCGCGAGAAGATTCACGAGCGCAATCAATTCCAGGACCCTCGGCCCGTCTCGGACGAGCGCAGCGGCAGCTTTGTGGAAGAGGCCCGCGCGCAGAACGGCCGCCGCCGGTATAGCATGCCAGTCAAGCCGGAGAGGAAGGGAGGTGGTGGGGGCGGCATCGGATTTATCCCGGAGAACTACGAGGTGCCGCCAGTGGCGTCTCTGGGCCCCGCACCCGTTGACGAGATACGCTTAGAGGAGACGCAGGTCGTCGATCCGCCGATCATAACACGGGACCACCGTGTCGACTGGTCGCAGAGCGACGAGCCCGGCGAGAAACCCAAGACAATGAAGGTTCCGCTGCTAAAGAGGGTAGACTCCATATGGACACTCAAGGGCAAGCTCGGGCATCTGGGGAAGGGAGGCAGTAAGCCAGACGAAAAGATGCCGACGGTTCGGGAGAAGCAGGAGTTGGGGCCTACGTCGCCTTCGTCATCCAAGTTCCCGAAATTGGGGTTTTTTAGCAGGTTCAGGCGAATGTAGAGAAGATATAAGGGGAGGGGGAAACGACCACATAGCATGACCGCCATGAAAAAGACGTAGACGACGTGTACGTAATGATACCTACAACTTAACAATAACTTATCTGCCACCTATTCTTTTCCAAGTAGACACGTACTTTCATCCGCACGATCGAGATAGATATTTACTAAAAGTGCACGAGGCGCTCCCTCGAGTCTCACCCAAGGCCTGACAAGTGTATCCAGCCGATTCAAAAATAATGCATACGACCCTGTGCCCCTCGTCGCCATCTCTTCCAACGCCCTAAAAATTAGGAAAAAGAAAAAGAAAACGTCAGATTAACTGGATTCTGCCGTCTTGACTTGGACTTAGATTTAAGGATGCCTATGTCCAATAGCCAACAGATATCTAAATACACTTATATTTATACTCAATGCAACAGAATCGTGCTAGTCTAGCGGGCATCCCGGGCAATAACAGCACCTTTCTGCATTATTGCCGTTAGTCCAACTAATAGTAGACGATTCACAGAAGACGGCCGCCGCCACTACGACTAACTATCCTCTATGATAGCGTGCAGGTATAGGTATATATAAGGGGATGCAGGGGTAGGTATTGTACTATAGTGTCTCGTCCTTACTAAGCCTACAAGACATGGAGCGCGAGCCCAAAGGTTGTCGGAAAGCCTGCAGCTCTATCAAGCCATCTTAATTATTTGCCTGCTCCTGGCGCCGTATCCGCTCGATGGTTTCGCCAGTGTCCAAACTACCGAGCCTTGTCGAAACAATAGATGGCATCCTATGGAGCCGTGGCCGTTTTCACTGAAGGGGGGATCTTCGGCTTCGCCGTAGCTCGAATAGGTAGGTCTATACAAACAAACCTGCTAAACAACCAAGGCATCATCAGACCTTACAGAGCGAGCTCTGTTTACTTGCCTATTTCCAGCCGTGAAGAGAATGTGAGGAAACAAATAATAACCTAGACAGGAAATGTGCGAAGAGAGGAGAAGGGGAGGGTAGGGGGTTCTACGAGCTTAGGCCAATGCCCATCACGTTTGAATACGACACGAGCGGGATTTTACCGGCTAATCATTCGGGAGAGCATCTAGTAGATAATTAATGATTCCATACGGGGTTTCTTTGCTAGGGGGAACTTAGCGTGGTGAGGTGAATCTAACCGAAGCTGCCCGATTTTCAACCCGTTAATTACTCGGGCGAACACCTGAGGTTTGAGCATTCACGATGCACTTACAACCAACCCGAGCGCAAAGAAATCGTGCACAGTATGCTGAGGCGAAGATTTGGGCCGCACATGATGGTACGAATCATCCCGATGAGGCTGGATGGTGTCGATGAACCTATATAAGGGGCGTCAATCCCAAGATAGGGGGATATTGCCAAACCCACCCTATCTTCCTCGAAAATCCCCCAATAGGAACAGGCTGTCACATATAATCGGTATCCCCTTACGGATTTCTGATCGTGTCCCGTCTTTGTCAAGCCTGCCGCGAGAGTCTTCGCACTCTTAGCTGTCCCGCCCCAGGATGTATCTTTCCAATGCCCACTATAGCGGTAGGCCGGGTACAAATACAAGAACTGACCAGTACAAGATTTCGTGTGTGGTAATGCAAACACCTCGAGTCAATTGTGCTATAACGGCGGGCAGGCTATACAGCTTCTGAGCGGTTTACCGAGCCTAAAGGCTTGTCTGTTGAAAACGCCCAACTTCCACTGGCAGCGCGATATATGGGATAAGCCAAATCTACGGCCCCCCAAAGCTAGACGGTCTGGATACTGGCTTAGCAGAGCCGGATAATGATAGAAGGATTCATAGAGGGTCGCTTTTTTCCTCGGGGGTGCAGCACATACCTAGGCAAGCAAGTATGTCACATTGGCTTCATGTGTGAGTTGACCATCGGATGATGAAAGCCTAAGATACATCATCCAACTTCTCAGTACGCATAAGATCCCCAATAGCCTTGGCGTCATCTTGGGCACGCTGCTGTCGGAGGCTGTCTACAGCACTGATGGATGCCTTTCTAGCCTTGTAAAGTCGGAAGAGCTCCGAGAACTCCCTGAGAGCGTTCCTATCCTCCCCGGGAGTCTCCCTAGTCCGACGGAGAACATCCACGCCATTCTCGTAGCCGACATCTTGGGTCCACGGTTGGTTTCTTGGACGGCGATTTTTGCTTGATCCAGACAGCGAGCCGTGTCTAGAGTTGCTACCGTTATCGTTTGCTGGCGGGTCCGTGGCTGCGGCGATGTTCCAAAGCAGCGCTTCTAGCCTGGGATACTTCTGCGTAAGCGTCTTGTACTCCGGCATGTCGGCGATTCCCGACAGCTCGGCAGTGGGTGGCTGCGTAGGATCAGAAGACCCGTCGTGAGAGCCAGCACCGCCAGTCGACGTGACCGGGGCACCCTTCGACTGCGCTGGTGTCGAGGATACAATAGGCGGGTGATTGTCACGGTGTTTCTTGAAGCACGGGACCGAGCACCTGAGCAATGACGGTAAGAATAAAAACGCTTCTCAAGCCCAGGGTCTGCCTGCACTTACGTGTACAAGCTACAGTGAGGGCATTTGTACTTGCCCTCGGCGTTTTCGCAGACGAGACAGTGAGCTTTGGTGCTTGGCATGGCGAGAACTGGGGCCTTGATCTCAGCGAGATGCGTCAAGAGGGTGTTGATGGACCGGCAACACGAACCCGACTGGAGCCTAAACAAAAGACTCGTTGTTGCCCCGCTGCTCAGTCTTAGGTGAGATTTGTTTGATTCCTGGAATCAATGGTTAATAATGGTATCCATTCCTTGAGACGACGATGCTGATGTACCACCCACCTGGAGACTTTCCAGGTCTTCTGACCTCTTCTCCCTCTTGGTTTTTTTTTCTTCACGAAAAAAAAAGGAAAACGTAGAGAAAAGGATAAGGCCAGAAAGTATCAAGACGATATGATACGAATGCAGTGGCAGTGTTGGATGGGGTACCGCATGTCCAAGTTGCGCTTCTTTATTTTCGGCACCGCAAAGACCTGACTGAATGTGGTCACAGGTGATGTATGCGGATAGCCAGTGCTGGGACCGAAACCAGGTTGTAGGAGATAGGTTGAACACTGTCTTGATTCCCCATGTATTGTTGATGTCTCAACACTTTGTAGGCTGCCGGAGCTTGAAGGAGTAGATGGTCTATCGTAGGCCCGCCGGCGGCGGTCGCGGCTAAATGTGAAGGGCGAGGATGCTATATCAACAATGTGTATGGTGAAGGTTGATTTGGGGGGTGCAAGTGACTTGATGGGTATTTTCAAGTGCGATATGAGTACGGATATCCGTTCGGAGAGGTTACCTACCTAACCCATTATACATAACAAGTAGGTACCTATTATGTGTGTACCTATATCAAACCCGGTAACCTTAGCTTAGCCTGACCTCCCCACAGTTGCATTGCTCGTTTAAAACTATCATAAGGTCAGCACAAGTTTACAGGCATGCGTAAAAACATGTTTATGCAAATATGAGAGAAAGATTATTAGTCGAAAAGTAGAAGGGACCTTGCCTACTAACTTCGATTCCTGTAGGTACCTAGGTACCTACCAGGTAGGTATCTGCTGGAAGTACCGGACCTAAATAAAAGCTTTGCGTCATTGTCATTGCCGCCGATTGATAAGCCGTGATTTTTGTTGGTTACCGGGTCTTGAAGCAGTCATCGTCATCTTTCCAACTGCATTATCAGCCTCTGTTCCAACACTTGATCCTCACCGTTGATCTGTGCCTCTCGGTATTCTCAAACACCTTCGCCATCCCTCTTGAAGATAGAAATCCTCTCCGCAGCGCTCGACAGATTATAAAAAACAAGACTAGACAAGGCAACATGTCATCACGCTGGCTTCGCCGGCCAGCCGGCACCTTACTATCCACAATCACAAGGACAATCCAGCCAGCCGCCTGCTCTCCGCTCTACAGTGTGGCACGAAGATCACATACAAGCGCGCAGGCACTGGGTATCGCGGCGAGGCCGAGACTCGCCTCACCACCGACCTCGAAGTCATCGGCCATTACGCCATGGGGTGCCCGCGGCATATTTATTCAGACCGAAAACACTCCGAATCCCGACGCTCTCAAGTTCTTGCCAAACCACAAAGTGGTACCTCCCGAGATTTCCACGCCTTTTATCGAATATCTCAACCCACGGAGCACTATCTCACCACCGTATCCGTCCCCCCTAGCTGCGGAGCTGATGAATATCGACGGGGTGAAGTCTGTCTTCTACGGACCTGACTTCATTACCGTGACGAAGGCGTCAGACGCAAACTGGGTGTACATCAGGCCCGAGGTTTTCAGCATGATCACTGAGACTTTGACATCCGGCCAACCAATAGTCTCTGAGAGCAAGAAGGAGGGTGCCGAGGGAGACCAGGATACGATAGAGGCCGACAGCTTAAGCTACGACGAAAACGATAGCGAGGTCGTAGGTATGATCAAGGAATTGCTTGAGACTCGAATACGGCCTGCGATTCAGGAAGACGGCGGGGATATCGAGTTTCGTGGCTTCCAGGACGGGTATGTGAATCTAAAGCTGAGGGGAGCATGCCGGACGTGCGACTCGAGTACGGTGACTCTGAGGAATGGGATCGAGGGGATGTTGATGCATTACGTGAGTTGCCCTTCTATCGGTTTGATCCTAGCCTACCACTCTGCTGGCGCAGCGGTCTCAGCTCTGGACGTTGGCAGACAGCGCACGCTAGTAAGCGTCTAGGGATGGGTCGAGTCGGAACCCCGTCGTTCATCTGGTCCCTTGTGGTTTCGCCCGATACCCAATTCCCAGGCCCAATGACGGAGCCAACACTAACTCGATCTATAGATAGAAGAGGTCAAGGGAGTGCACCAGGTCATGGACCAGGAGGAGGAGATCGCAATGAAAGAATTTGCAAAATTTGAAGAGAAACTCAGGGCACAGAAGGGACCCGACGCAGCTCCAACGACACCCGGCAAGGACTCACTAGATTCTGTCCCCGGATGAGCTAGTAGAAATGTGTGGCATGCGCTCATCCGACGTAGAGTGGGAATTAACCCCGAGCACATCAATTTACGGGTAATAAGAATATCCTGACCCTATTCTAACGTTCTGTGAGGCGACATTGATCATGGGTCTGGTGAGATGTTTGACAAGCCATCGCACCGAGCAGAGTTCACTCCTGGTGGCGACCTGTCGACATCCCGAGCGGGTGCCCATGCGGTCGCCGATCGGTCAGCACCTAGGACCAGTCGCCTCGACCACCTAAGTTTTGACGAGGGGACCCGATCCGTCATATCCCCGTTCGATATACAAGGAGGCCGGTATCTGGCTAGCTTCGGTCGCTGGCGATAGGCACTCTGCATACATAGCCGAGATCTCTCCAAGCCGGTCATTGTGTTGCCCCTCGAATCTCGCCCTGATGCTCAAGTTTCGGTGCCATCTTAGCAGTGATATCTGAGCCCTTCTCATCGGTCTAAGTTTGCTGTGAGGCAAGAGGGGTGGCACCACCGGGAGGCGAGTAAGAATGCGAGCTAAGGCTGCGGTGGGCAACAATTTGCACCGGTGTGGCAACGAGGAGGCAAGGAATGGCCTTGGTCACATGGGCAACGTGCAGCTCAAAGGCGTGGCCACCACCAAGCAGCCCGCTCATGAAGGGATGCATGATGGGTCGGCCTTGTCATTAGGTCGGTTGGATGGGTTGCAGCACGTTCAACCCCGCAAAAGGTTCGCCAGAGCGTACGTCAAGCCGCATGGCACCATAGCCCTCAGCATTACGGGGTTTGGACTAGTAGAACCGCCTATTCCCAGCACTATCGCTTCGATGCCCACTTCACCTATCCTGTTGCCCCAGGCGGCTTAGCGTCCGGGACCAAGCTAAGTATCCTACCTAGGCCGGGCGGCGGGAATATCACAGGATCTAGATCTTCCCCCGAATCCCCTGCGTCTAGGCCCGTCTCTTACCTACGCTACGCTTTACATTCCGCTTACGCCATGGTGTCTCATGACTGGGGGAGAGAGGAGAGGGAATCGGCAATCGGGGGAGCGGCCGCGTCAAGCCTATAGAAGGTGCGCGCACAAGAAGTCAACGAGTCAACGGGAGTTGTCGAGTGAAGAGCCTGTAGGTCCCCGATCATGCATATCATTTGGAGTCACGGGGGCTAATAGGTGAGACATGCCTAGTTTGTGCGTTACGCTCAAGTTACCGAGGTGGGCTAATGCATGCGTGTTCACCGATGCGGGACGTGAAGGGCTGGCAAGGCATACAAAATGCACTCTACACGGCGAAGAGGCAACCTGTTCGCTATCCTCCGTTGCCGTGGCGGATTCACGCCGGTATGTGCACAATTGCCTTGTCCTACCTAGACCTCCTTACCCACCCGGGTATTTACTTAGCCACCTAACTGTTAAATCTCTAACCAACAGGTAGTTGGGGTCGCGAGGTCGTCAATCAATACCTAAGCCACGGGGCCGTCTTGCGCCGGCGGCCGTGTACGGGCCTTAGCATGCGTATGCGAATTGTCGTTGAGCGATGCTAGCGGGCTCCTACAGAGATCTATCTCTACGAGTATCTCCGCCAGAGGTCGGTGGTGGAAATCCTTTCCATCGCTATCCCTGGAAGGGGTAAGAAAATACGCCTGCTGCTCTCCGCCCCTCCATCAAATGAACGAATGCGTCAACCCGCTGGGTGCGACGCGTAGAGATCGTCTAAGGACAGCTAGCTCGGCGCATGTTCCCCTCGTCCTACACAAGGTGGAGGAGTGCAGTAGCCCCTTGGAGAGCGCCTCGTCGATCTCAAAAAAGAGGACATGCGTATGTATGTATGTGTGCATGGTGTGCCTAGAGTATTATTACACGTAGGTACGTACCTACGCAATAAGCCTCCCTCCCTCCCTCCTACTATATGCTACTCATATGCTGACCAGGGTTCCTCACTTGCGTCGATTCACAGGTGCTGCTTTTCCGGCAAGGCCCCGTGAAGGATGGATGTGTGGCCACAAAAGCGCCTTCATAGTGTCATGCCTCCTCGTCCGGTCTAAATTACCAGGCGTGCTCTTCTCCGGCAGTTGCACGGGACTCGTAATAGAACGGATACATAGCCGTGATGAACACAGAGCGAGCCAACGAAGGAGGAGAAAAAGCACAAAATCCGGGGTAATACCCCTGAGGGATGTCCCGTGCGACGCCTTTTTGGGTACGGGTTCTCTTCAAGTTTGCGCCGCCGCCACCCAAGGTCCTACCGACAAAGAACACACGACACGACCCCATGCGACGACATCGCGGGTAGATCGTTATTCGTGTAGTAACAACTACGGAAATAAGACTGGAACCTCTCTTTTATTTTTCCCCTTTCCGATTTCTTGGGGGGTTTCTTTGCTGTAAAGAAGGAAGAGACAGATCCAAGACCTACCTACGTGGAACCCCCGTCGTGTGCTACCACTATATCGAGTGGCTCATTCTAACGCAACACGGGTCCATTCTTTAAGCCACTGATCTTGCCGTTTAGGCTGAGGCTTGCAGGGACGGTCCTAAAGAACATAAAGGGCCACGACACCCACTGCCCGACGAGACAATCCCCGAATTTCATGTAGGTCGGGGGATGTGTAGGATGTGCAGGAGAGCGCGATGTGGGCGATGCATAAGTAGGTGATCGTCAATGTAGGCAGGCATCTAGGCGGCTGTAGCTTTCCAGACAGAGACGGTTGTCCCATTCCAGCGTCTTCGCTACGCGAGGATGACGAGATCGCCTGTCTGGTTGAAAAGCTTGGGGTGGCCAAGTGTGATTCCAAGTCTCCTTGCAGGTTTGTGCGAGAGCGCGGCAGCACAGTTATGACCCATCGAGACCTTCGAAAGAATCAACCCACTTGGCATGCGCCGTCGGCCGGTGGGTCGTATACTCATAGCGGCGCACGATGTGTTGCATCTTCTAGGCATGCGAGGACAAGCTCGCTAATCCCCGTCCCCAGAGATTCAGGGAGGCGTCGATTCGCACTCCGTCCACATCTGGCATCTCACCTACCGGTCCGGTAACTAAGAACGAAGAATCTATTTCCACCACTGGACGTTCTAGGCATTCGAGGGCGCGGGGCCCGGCGGACAGACTGCAAGACGGGTTGCACAATGCCTACCTCCCGTCACATATACCGCACCCGTCGTCACGAGGGTCTCTCTACGGATCTCCTGATTTATTGATGTGCCGGGCCAATATATCGCAGCATCGACCCCAGAGTCCGAAATGCTATATAAGGTAACAACCGTTTTGACGTGCAGTGCATGCATAAATCAAGTATGCAGGGAGGGCCGGCGCAGCTTTGTCGGCGTTCCACTTCCCTCCCCGACACACGTATCTACGATATATATGCATACAACCACGAGGTGAAAATGGAAGCTGGCCAACTCCGGTTAAGACGGCCACGCCTCGATCCTGGATTAGGGTCCGGACTCGCTTGCCAGTCCTGGAGGAGAGAGGGGGGCACGAAGATAGAAAGAGAGGGAGAGTGTGCTGCGTGTGTCGTACCAAGTAAGCATAGTATGCTTGATTCGCCATGCGGGATCAGTTGTCATTGCGAGATCTTCGAGAGACGAGCCGAGGCCGCAAAGGAATGACGACGCCACAGTTCTCAACTCCTGATTAGCGAGGCTCGTGCCCACCTTCGCGCACGCAGAGCAGACCATGGTCGTGGACGTGGACGGCCACCTAGCGAGCGGCGTGTGGAAATACTCATAGGAGAAGGAGGATCTGACAAACTAGACCGCTGCAAGGGCTGTCGTCGTAAGGGCTTCCAAGTGCTGGAGGAGGGGGGGAGCTTGCTTCTATCGCGATGCGACGTGGCCATTTGGGGACGCAGATAGCTGGCTCCAGGACTTTACCCCAACAGAAGCTCAATGTCCTAGAGGTACCCAGTACGCCCTTCATACATCCCTAAGATACCTCATACCAAGAGGTAAGAGTATGGATGCAAGGTACCTTACCGAAGGCAGGAGGCGGGTATACATCAATCCAGCAGTGGAGGTACCTAAGGCATGCAGCTTCTGGCCTATCGCAACATCTTCCACGCTCCAGGCTTCTGGGTACCTGGCCTAACGTCCGAATATACCGTACCTGTTAGAGGTAGGCGCCTCTAGGGAGAAAGAATAGGTGCTACATAGGTAAGTAATCTACTACCACTTCACATAAAGTCTTCGGGTCCCTAAACCCGTCCCCCTGGGACAACCTACTGCCTCAGGTACCTACAGCATCTTCCACCCACATATACCTGCATAGACAGGACGTGTGTATGTATCGTGGAATGCGCCTCTGTGCAGTGTACATACATAGTAGGGCTGAGCTGGCTATTGGTTCGTACCTGTCAACCCTATAGGAGGAGCCAAGGTGGCTGACAAACAGTAGGTATGTAGAAGGACAGGTTCTCGGGCCAATAGACGCGCGCCTCTTGCTTGACCTGCCTCGCTGCGGGTTTCGCAACTTGTCGCGATCGATGACCCCCTCCTAATATTCCGTGCTTTGCTTATATGTCATGTCACTTAGGAACCTAACATACATATACATATGTAGGGAGATGGCATGCATACCGAGGCACCCGGTTCTGCTGCCTCGTGTAGGCACGTAGGTGCCCACCTAGGTAGACCTAGGCAGAGTTTGAAGAGAGGCAGACGAGAGTTGAGACCGAGATTATCCATGTTCCCGACTGCAAGCTAACCGTCCGCGTAGATGCCGCATCCCGTATCCATTTCTACGCATAGGATTTCTCCTCATGGGATCGTTGCTTTTCAATGTGGAGGACCTACCTGATCAAAGAAAAGGGGACTCCGATCCTTGGCATCGTCCCCCCTATCCTTGTCCCAGTCAAATTATACATACGCGCCTGTATACACGTATACTCATATATATGAGTAAGGTGTTGAAGCTAGTCCGATATATCGATGCTATCAGGTACCTTAGGCATCTAGGTAGGTACGTGGGCAGGCAAGGTACAGTAGCATCCATCCTTCCGCCCATCCATTCTTCGCGCAATCGTATACCTTGGGTACCGTATATACCTGAGGCTGGTATGTAGTGGAGTGATTAGGCATGTAGGTACCTATTCTTCCTCCTACACATATGTTGAGTTACCTAACTTGTGTATATACAGACGGACATATGCGTATACCTCGCCTATAGGCCTTGTATAACCAATAGTTGAATTCATACCTGCCTGCCCACGTTATGTATGATAGGCGCCTAAAGTACCTAAGGTATGTGAGGTCAGGCACGTATGTAGGTACGGTAGGTACCTAAAACGTGATCGTGGACGTGGAGTATCCAAAGATTAGGCGGCTCGAGAGAGCCACGGTTAGTTGCTGTTATGGACATCAACCAATGGGATCTATATCTAGGTACGTACACAGGTACCTAGGTATGTATATACACATACCTACAGAGGTGGGAATGTACATAGGTATGTATACATGAGTATATGTAGTATAAGTACTTAAGTATAAGCCCCACCCATTAGCTAGGTAGGTGTCCCCAGACACCCGAATTCTTCGTACTTGCCCTTGCTCGATTTGGACAAGTCAGACGGGGTTCCCTTTTGCTTTGTTCTTCTCTTGCCTTTAGGCACATACATAGTGGCGTCTTTGCTGACTTGGGCGTCAGGTACCCCAGTCGGTACCTAACGTACCACCTAAATCCATCAGCAGGTGCGGAAATACGTGAAGATCAATGCGGGCAACTTGCCCGGGATATTAGGGACCCAGGCCTCATACTGGGCAGGTACATACATGTACCGGGTACGCAGCATGTAGGTAGCAGTCAGCTCCCACCTCGCCCACTTTGCCTTCCAGACTGTTTTTTTTCTGCACGAACCACTGGCTACCAATCCGGTCTCGTCCCATCCTACCTCCCATTCCTATTCATCCACATCTATCATCTCCAGCTACCACCTCCACGTCCACCATCCACACGTAGGTGGAAGGAATCTATCTACCCGCTCTCCAGAAACCCCCCCATCAGTCAATCAACCCACACCCGTCTGCCCTGCAGCAAATACTGGAGGTATTGCTAGTTTGTTGTGACAGGATCAACTCGATAGAGAAATGGCCATTTTCGTTTTCATACCTGATCATACCTGATCACACGCTTCTTCTCACTTAGCTATTGGATGGTCCCGTCTCCCTGTATTCACCCAGCTTACTTACCCTCGTCATTACCTGTCACTTTCTGGCCAGTCTGTTTGATAATTATCTGTCACAATTCCTGCCGTCTGTCCTCCCACGAAGCCTTGTTTTTTTTTGTTTTTGTCTTCCTCTCCCAAACCTCTCTCCCTCTCTCTCTGTCTCGCTCTCGCTCGCTGTCTGGGTTCTTGGTAGAGTCAACCTTTGCTGCTTGCCCTGCCCGGGGATCGTTACTGGGAAGCGGATGTGAGGTGTAGGTGGGTGTAGGTACGTATTGGTAGTGTTGTCTGATTCGTATGGCGATTTTGCAGCCTCGGGAGAAAGAAAAGAACGCCTCTGAAGAACGAAGTCTCAAAACCCCCAAGACCTGACCGTTGTCGGGTTGGAGCGGATAGGGTTACGGCTACTGTACCATCCCTGCCTGGTATTGACCAGCCTAACTTTAAAACCCAGCTTCCGTGTTCCCCACCAGTCACTTTCCCTCACGCGAGGGTCTCGTGTCGCAACGTCCTATCGCTGGCAACCGGCCGGGGGGGGGGAACGAAGCTGCTGGCGCTGTTGCTACCTGCCTCTCGACCTTACCTACCTACCTCTCTACCTACCTCTCTACCTACATACATACATACATACCTACATACATATGTACAATACCTACATACCTACATACACCCTGACCTACCTAATACCAACCCAAAACTGCCTGCTGCTGCTCTTCCCCGCTCCTTATTTTTCGAACCCTACCAACATCTTCCTGACATCTCTCGACATCCTTTTCGTGACTTCATCTCGTTGACCGTCCTCAATTACCAGAACTCGACAATCGACGGCGAAATCCCACACGTCCCTACTAGCCTTCTTTCTCTGTGCACCCACTCGGTAATTGCCCCGCCCGCGCACCCTCTCTGTTCGCGATTATCGTCCTCGAATCCTCTTTTTTAACGATGCGCCCCTGCGAGTAGCTCTGTCTCGAAGAAAATATTCGAGGTCGCACGCATATGCCTACGAAGTCAGCGGGAGCAACAGGACACGGGACATTTTCTTCTTGCCTAAGCAAAAAAAAAAAGGAGAGAGAGAGAGAGAGAGACGGAAAGAGAAAGAATTTGCGCGTTAGACTTGCCCCAACTAGACCATATTCTTCTACCGCTACGCGGCGTCGATCAGAGACGTCTGCGGGCTTTCTACCTCTCGCGATAAGAGATCTTCCTGGAGCTCTCGCCTTTCACCACGTCAAGAAGGAGGAGGGATCCTTTCGGCAGCATCTCCAGAGACTGGATCGAATTCTACCTCGTAGTCTTTTTTTCTTAACCTCTATCGTCGAGCACTCATTTTCCGGCCTTATTTTTCTTTTTCTCGATTTCTAGACGTCGCTTTTTCGATACCCTATGAATAGATCTAATAGTACCTATCCACCTCTCAACACTGGTTAGTATGAATCTGCTTCTTTATTTTCGTCCTTGGTCTCCGTTTTATTTTAGATCTTCTCTTCCGGCAACCTCGTCAGCCTCCGGAGATGACCTCGTCTGCGTCGGCGTTTTGCAGCTCCTGTTGTAAGGGATGTGCGGAGATGATCTTGCCGAGGGCTCGTTGTCGAGAACTGGGCATCCGAGAGGACTCGTCATTCAAGACTCAGAGTCCTGAATCATCCCTCGTCTACATGTGGCTATATATATAATCGTCACCTAACCTTCCTCCTGCGTGGACTAATTCTTTCTTCTGTTTATCGATGCTTTTGGTCGCGCAACCGGGCTGACATACCTTGTAGCTTTACACGATCCTGCTTCGGTCTTAGATCTTCTGGACGACTCAGAAGTCATTTGCGGATTCTGAGGGGTCACCATCCACACTGTTAGCTCTTTCTAGTTCTCGATCCGATACCTTAATTTGGACACCGTCCTTGCGCTTTCATTGTGTTGCATCGCCGGCCATTCAGCCGAAGGAAGTTGTTCATCCGCAAATCATGAGCTCCAACAGCATCAAGTCCAGTACTGCAGCTAAAGCCAGTCAAGGTGCATTTGCAGGGGTTGCACCAAGTAATCAATCCATCCTGCTTGAGAAACTGAGCGCCCGAAGGTCTACGCCCGACTCGGAGGCTCTCGCAAGCTCTGACGACGAACCCGACCCTCATCGTCAAGAGGCGCCTCCGCCCCTTGCGCAGCCTCACAGGCCTGTACGTCGCGCCTCCTGGTTGAATGATACTTCGCAAGCCGCCCTGCCACACCCGAGAAAAGGTTCCTTTGCGAGTAGCTCCATGTCACCCACTGCTTCACACCCGAGTACACCGTCGGCGGAATCAGGTGCGGCCACTTGGGGCTCGCATGCGACTTCGTCCGGACCAATGGGACGTGGACATCAAGGGCCGCCGTCCTTCCCGTGGGGGACCGGCATCTGGAATACAGAACGCAAGGAGCCACCGTCTCGCCTGACCGAGGTGCTACCTTCTCCCACTTCTACCATCCCCGGCAATGCGGGATTCTTTGGCGGAGAAAATCCGTTAACGCAAACCTCCCCGACTCCAAGAGACCAAAGCTCCAACTCGCAAATTCCCTTCGCCATTCCTCTACACCCGACACCGAAGACATATCGTTCTCAGTCCTATTCCGTGGGCCAACTCGACCCGGATACTGCCGCTCCTACCTTACCTTCCTCTTCGATGTTGCCGGGCAGGTCACGTCCTCTAGGACATCCGGGACTACAGCATAGACCCTCGCGACCTAGTATGCTTAGTGAAATGTCTAACGAAGGCGCAATGCTTGGGAAGGTGAAAGAAGTCGAGGACGATGACGACGGAAGCGCGAGCGACTCGGCCCAGGGGCCCCATCAGCAGCAAAGTGCTGAAGCGAAAACCATCGAAATGCTCACTCGCGAGAACGCTATGCTAAGGCAGCAGCAGCAGTACCACAGCTCTCGGCTCAGACCGCGCGCATCAACCGCTGCCGCGTACGGACTCGGCAACGGGTACGGTGTACGTGGGCCGGTACCCGAAGAGTCCGATTTCGCGATTGATGAATTGGACGAACCAGGCGAGGGCCAAGACGGCATCTCAAAGCGAGGTTTAGCTAGGCGCATGAGCGAGTATGCCTCCGGATCTTTCCGTTCTCCCTATCCGCTGGAAAATAGGAAGCTCGAAAACGTCAAGAAGGCCTATTGGCAGAGTTCACTAGGTTTTGGCGGTCTCTCCGATATCCCGCAGAGCCGTAGGCATTCGTTCGCCGATATACCCACGCGACAGGCATCGATCGGCTCTATTGGAGAGGCAGTCTCTCTTCACGATGTAACCTCTCCAGACGTACCTCAGCCTCAGGACTTCGGTGGATTCTCCGAAGGCGCTGGTTTTGGCACCACCAGTCCCGGTAGGTTCGATCCTGCGGCACTAAGCGAGGCTTTCAAGACTAATATAAATGCTGTAGTCTCTTACTATCCTGGCGGCACCCCCAGTGCGCACCAAGCCATCGCTTCCTCGGCGTACGGAAACCCTTACCAGACGGCTTACGGGCTTCCTTCGAGTTATGGCAATCGTGCGCCTTCGCCACATAGGAACATGTACGGCATGAGCCAGCCGAGACACAACCAACTCCTACACATCGTCCTTTTCAAATGTTCCAGGGCAGACGTATTTTACATCCAGGAGGGCACTGGCCTCACCGTCAAGCCGGGTGACCTTGTCATAGTTGAGGCAGACCGAGGGACAGACCTTGGGACCGTAGCTCGCGACAACGTGGATTGGCAAACCGCCAAAGAGCTAAAGGAGCACTATGCTGAGGAGCACTACAAGTGGCTGATGATGTACTCACAAAACGCAGCAGCCGCTCAGGAAGGGACCGGAGCGGGCTTGATGGCCGCATCCAATGGCTTGCAGGGCAGTGCGATTGGCGGAATGGGCCCGCCCAGCCAGCATCATATGCAAGAGCCAAATGCGGGCGAGCTGAAACCGAAACTAATAAAGCGCCTTGCGCAGAACCACGAGATCCACGGCCTCCGAGACAAGGAAGGAAACGAAGCAAAGGCGAAACGCATGTGTATGCAGAAGGTGAAAGAGCATGGCCTGAACATGGAAATCCTCGACGCCGAGTTCCAGATGTGAGTATATTGTTATTGTATCAGGTGCGTTATTGAGACTGACGAGCTGCTGGACAGGGACTGGAAGAAACTCACATTCTATTACTTTGCCGATTCGTACATCAATTTCAACTCTCTCGTCACTGATCTTTTCAAGATCTACAAGACGAGAATTTGGATGTCCGCCATCAACCCCGCCTCGTTCGCCAGTCCAACCCTCGGCCTACAGGCTCCCAGCGGCATCGGCCCGGGCGCCGTCGGCTTAGGAAGAGGAAGTGGATCGAACAACACAGAGCGGAGAGCCAATCCACCCCAGGAAGCCCAAAGTGTCTTTCCCGGTGGAGGCGCGTCCGGTCGATCCTTTCAACCTACTTTCAGCCAGCCGTTCGGCGGGGCAGAGCGCCCATCGGTCGCCGGCTCCGCATATCCTGCGTCCGGGTTTCCCTACTCTGCCTACGGTGCATTCAACAGTGCTCCAAGGTCTGGCGCAGTGTCTTACGTCCCGGGTGTGATCCAGGGGATGGATGCGTATCCCGGGGGGTTCCCTCAGGCCGGAGAATTCCCTCCCAGCATGAGGGCACGCTTCCCCAGCCCCCATACGGCACCTTCTCCACATGATACGGCTGTACCCAACATGGCAGGGCAGAACGAATGGGTCGGGGCATTCCAGGGGTTATCTCTGAATTCTCGCTGAACTTCTCCGATCCTTGGGGACGTCCCCAGCACATGTTCGATTCTCGTACTATATTTCGCTCGCACCTTATCCACGAATCTCTTCACACGGCCGATGAGGCTACGACAGACTACGGACAGACTAGAGACGGAAGATAACCAGACTTTTTGGCGTTGGCCGGCATGTTTTGATTTTCAAGGAGAAAGACTTTTTTGGGAGGGGGGGTTCCTCGGAAACAAGAGCGGGTTGGAGGGAAGGGCGACTTTGGTTGCGAGACGCTCAGCAAATCGTTTTGATTCATGATGACGGCATAAGAGGACCGCAAGACAAAACTGCTTTTGCACTTGAGGGAGATCGCTATAGACCTGCTGCACGAGCATCTGTCTGATTTGGTATTTATAAAAGGGGCAGTTTTCGACGACGACCGTTGGGTATGGGATGGGCTCTTGTACGACGATAAAAGGGTTGTTTTGTCAGGCATGGATGTTTACAGGCAGCTTGAGGAACACATCCGTGTTAGGTAGTTTTGATACCGCTTATAAAAATTGAGGACACTGGTAGATTTTGTTGTCGTTATATATTAGGTAGATATTCCCGCCATCCCGTACCATACTGGAATAGTTTTAATATATCAACCCCTTGAACCCGGCGTCCGCGCGCGGGTCCTCACGTGCGTAATGCACCCCTCCGCTATCAGGTAACTACGCGTCCAACAATCTCAGTGTGTGACTCCCAAGATGCTGGTGTGGGGTTCGTAGTATGTTGACATGGGGTTAGAGTGCCTTGCCCACCCCCCCCCCAAGCACTCCTTTTAGCATTTAATCTACCGTGATTCTACATCGTATCTATAAATTATATTACCACTATTGTCGCGGCTGCCTAGGTACCTACCTACTCACCTGCTCTAAGGTACCTCCTCTGCCCACACATTAGAGGTAAAGTACTGCCTTGGTAGGTACCTGTAGTAAAGGAGGCCCAATCGAAGGAAGGAGATGGATGTTAGGAATACTGACTGTACCTGTAGAATACTATAGGTACCTACCTACCTAGGTAGGTGTACCTAGGTAGGTAGGTAGGTAGGTATCTACTACATACCTACCTACCTACCTCCTATACGAGGTAGGCGAACTTATCTGAGGTAGGTAGGCACCTATGCAAGTCAAGTAAGGAAAGAGCTCTCTATCTAAGGTGAAGTCTGTCATGGCTCGTCTCAACCTCCCATACCAATACTCCCGTGCGGCCATCATCGGTCATCGAGTCCCACACCATCATCAGCCTCCCCCCGGAACAGAAGTCCTCCTCTAGCCGTCGTTGAATTCCCATCTAGGCACCCACCCATTCCGTATTATAAGGATCCCTAGGGTCTAGAGCCAAGGGCCGCTATGCCGAGGGGAGGAGTCAAAAGGAAGGCGGTTGTCGAACGTCAGTATTCTACAAATTATACCAATACGATAGCATGATAGCATGCATATTTACCTAGGTGTAGCAACCCCGGATGAACTTGGCATCCCGCTGGGCCAGCGCGACGGATCTTCAAGGATTAAACCGGACAGCAAAACCAAACGACGGTTCTCGCGCCTCGAGGAGCAGGAGGAAGACGGAAGCCCAACAGGTGGCCGGCATGCAATGTCCCCACCGGCTTCCCGCCACCCATGCTTACTTGAGTATAGAACATTTCAGCATTGGGCTGATATCTTGGAGGCAAACGTTACAGCGGAAGTCACGAGATCTGGCATGTTCGTAAAAAGCTTCGAGGAAGAGGTTAGGAAGGAAACAGAGAAAGTACGAGGACGTATGAAAGAGCAAGATGAACAGCTGTAAGACACCGTGGGTACTTTTGCAAAACTAGAGCTGACAACTCCCCAGCGCTGCTGAAAAGAAACAATTCGTCGTGATTTTCGAGGAGCTTTACTCGGCCACAGCTACTCCTTACCGACCGCCCAGCAGGCCCAATACAAGGTGCGACGGCATTGGCAAGGAGGGCCACGCGTTATACGCAAACGCCCAAGCCGTCATGACGGAAAGCCACGCACTACTCAAGCATTTCAAAGAGACAGACGAGCGATCCGGGGCATACAGGATCGACTTTCCTGCTTCGAAGTGGAAGCAGGATAAGCATGAGATAAAGGAGCTCCTTGCCCGCGGCCGCGAGTACGGGGAGAGACTTGTCGAAGATCAACTCGCTCCAGATACATACCAGGCCCCCAAATTCGATGCATGCAAGGCGAATGAGGAAGACGACGTAGCCTTGGGGCTCTTCAAGGAAGGCCATAAGGCGTCGTACGAGGATAGCTGGGGCATGGTGGCCGTGGATCAAGTCAAGAGACTCACAGCTGTGGCGAATACAATTCCGTTGAAAGGCTTCGAGCAAACCAGGCCCTAGATCGGAGGGGTCACTATATTACGTACCTACCGGTTAGAGATGGAGATGTATAGCTCCGGTGGGAATAAGTAGGATGAGCTACTTTTACCTACCTATTAAAAATGAAGCTTTCTCGATAGACCGATCGATTCGATTAATCGATCATATCTGCCTTGCTGCATATGGATTCAAGGTATGTGCGACTTACCTGCATGTACTTCTACATGCCATTACGCTATTCCATATAGAGACTAGTTCGCCATCGCTTATTTTCCGGCGCAAACCCACCCGCGCACAATTCAAGTAAATTTCTCGACCTTTTGCACTGGACGATTTTCCAGCTCTCCTTCCACCACCACCGACACAACGACCACACAACTACCCACCTATCGCCGTCGGCCTCTCCTCCCAACCTGGTTTGTAGACCTCCAAAAGGCAACCTACGGTCTGGTTACTTTGAGTGTATTCGCTAACCCCCGTCCTCATCCTAGCCAAGATGGGTGCCCTCAAGTACGTCGAAGAGCTTCAGAAGAAGAAGCAGTCCGACGTCCTTCGATTCCTCCTCCGCGTCCGCTGCTGGGAAGTATGTTGATCTTCTACGACTCCTCCTCGTCTACGTTCCGCACCTAAGGCGTACGATATCTCCACGCCAGAAAAATATGCTCGTCGGAAATGTTGGCGCGGATGTTCTTGTGGACGCTGTCTTTCTCGGTTCGCCTTCCGGGCGACCGAGAATGAAAGCGTCCTTGCTATACACTCGTTGAACATGAGCTGAGAGTGCATCAATATAGCTTCGTCAATTGAACGTCATCCACCGCGCCTCCCGACCGACTCGCCCCGATAAGGCTCGCCGTCTCGGATACAAGGCCAAGCAAGGCTATGTCATCTACCGCGTACGCGTCCGCCGTGGTGGCCGCAAGCGCCCGGTGCCGAAGGGCGCCACCTATGGTAAGTAGATTACGCATTCTCGAAGCTGATGCCGGCCGATTCTATGCTCTCTCGGGACGGGTCGTGGATTGACCCCGTTTCAAAATCACAGGCAAACCTACCAACCAGGGTGTAAACCAGCTTAAGTACCAGCGATCTCTGCAGTCGACTGCCGAGGAGCGTGTCGGCCGCCGTTGCGCCAACCTACGCGTCCTGAACTCGTACTGGACCAACCAAGACTCCACCTACAAGTACTTCGAAGTCATCCTCGTCGACCCTCAGCACAAGGCCATCCGGCAAGACCCCCGTATCAACTGGATCGTCAACCCCGTCCACAAGCATCGCGAGTCTCGAGGTCTCACCGCTACCGGCAAGAAGTCCCGTGGCCTCAACAAGGGCCACCGCTACAACAAGACTCGCGCTGGTCGCAGGAAGACTTGGAAGAGGCACAACACCCTGTCTCTGTGGCGCTACCGATGAGCGTCTACTAGGGACGGCGGCTAGGGGACAGAGAGCTCGGTTGTGGTTACGAAATAGTATAAGGTCTTTTGCGGTCAATGGGGCATGCATCTGGCTCATGGATTCCGCCTGGAGTTACTTTACATAGTCGGCAGAGGAATGTGATTTCCAAGGGACAAAAAGTTTCTACATTGCCTAGCTCTCCCCCCTATGTTTCTCTCGGGCTCGGTTTCATCCGTGATTTATCGTAGACTGGGGGCGTGCCCTCTTTTATGGAGTAGTATACATCAGTACTCGGCCGATCTCAGATGCGAGGCTTCCTCACAGGTACAGGTGCGGCTGTGTGGCGTCGTTGTAAGTATATATATGCTTGTGTCAGACTCTTCATGGGGGTAATGGGAACCAAACATACGATTATGGTCACCGCCTAATAACTTCTTGCATCAAAGAGCAAGGGGGTATTTTGAGCTCCCATCTACACAGATAGCAAGCCGGTTCCCTGAGCGTAGTCATAGCCGAAGGGGGGGATAACGGAGGCCGGCCTCTGGGCATCCAAGCATAGGTATAGGTGCGTGTATATGTGTCTTCTACAAATAACCCCGGGGTCTACAAGAGGATTCTACAAGAGACAGCGTACTGCCAATATCTACTAGGCCGACACGATCCGCGAAGAAACGGGAGACGGCCTATCGTTGGCGTCCTGGAGGGACTTCAATATAGATAGACGCGTAGGCTCGAGGCCACGGTTATTATTTCTTATTATTTGTCACGTAGGTATGCACGTCTAGTAAGAGAACTACCTAAGGTGTCAACACCTGCCACGCTGGGTGTTTCGTCTCTAGCCTTCCCCCACATGGAGTGTTATCCCTCTGGCCCCTCGAGGGGGCTGGAACAACGAACACCTGCAGGCCTCGCGGGGTATCTAGTTTCTGGCCCCCCCCTATATGGGGTATTCACATTCTGAGCACCTCCGAGAGCGACCTACCTTCCATCTTGCCCCTCGGGGGCCCCCGAATCACCAACCCCTGCCATGCTAGGTGTTGTGATTCTACGTGTAGACTCCCCTACAGGGGATGTTCACATTATGGGCCCACCCCCGAGTGGCACGTCTGTATATACCTACTCATAGGTAGCTCGCTCCTCACCTCTAGATACCTGTTCTTTCCTCTAGTCAGTTCCATATACCTACTCTTCCACCCACGTCCGGTCGCTGTCTTCGCGCACAAACCTCCATCGATGTTCTACGTAACGTTATTATTTTCTAACTCGAGAGCTGAGTGCTAGAGGGAGGGCTAGAGAAAACGAGAGGTTCGTTCGGCTCGAGATGACGCGCTGGCTAGCGATAGGACGATGCAGGACAGCTCTGCAGGTCTCTCGCGCGGGAGAGAGAAGAGAAGAAAGCCGGGAAGGTGGGCATGCCGGGGACGCAAGAAGACGGAGCACCAGAACGGGCCGCAGTTCCTGGGTGCCGAATAAGGATAGGGCATGCCGTAAACGAGACTAAAAGACCTTAGAAGATAAAGTGAAGTGGTGTCTGGACTTGTAATGGCTCCGAGGCTCGGTACTTGGCTGTTCTCGACGACTCGGCCCGTGATAGATTATTTGCCCCCTTATAGCAATAGCCATAATAACCAGCGATATATAGTGGACTCGGGGTTGTGGGAAACCCGAGACGGGTCCCCGTTCCATGGTTAATAGGAACCCGAGTTTCAAAGACAAGGGACGGCTCTAAGTTGGCTGGTCACGGAGAAACAAATTGTGGGAAACCCCTTATTTTATGAGCCACTCTCATTAGGCTATCTGCAGAATACAGGTGAAGTAGACCTTCACCCTAGAAGGCACATAACGACTTATCGTCCAATACCGCCATTTCGGCCACACCGGCAAGATCCACTAGGTGAAAACCATCGCAGAAGAAATATGAACAAGCATGCCAACCCAATAGTGTAAATCACGCCTAAGGATCATCCAGGTTGTGACCGTGCGAACCATCTATCCAGCTCCTTCCTAGGTCTGGCTGGCGACCGGGCTCATGTTGCCACCGATCACAATAACCACCATTCCCGACGCACCAGCTTTGACTGCCCATTTCCATGATAACCCCCCTGGCAAAAACTGCAGGCGGCTTTGGTTTCGACTTCGGAGAAATGTAGCACTATGATTGTAGAGTACATTGGAGATATCAAAGAGTTGCGAGAACGGGTGTATGTATTATTGTGCGTGGCCTGACTTTGACCTAACACGGCGGCGGGAAGGGGAAAAGGGGGGGGAGGACGCTGTTAAGCTTGTGCTCGAGAGCACGTCGCGGGTCTCTAGGCGTCACGGTACGTCTGCGGAGAGTCATCGCCGGGTCCTAGGGAGGTGACTCCTCAAAACTGAAGTTCGATAGGCGCTGGGATTCAATCTAGGGGCTCGGGTTGTGGGCAGACGTAGCGTGATGAGAGGGACCCCTTCGTGAAATGGGCCGCAAATCTTGGATATTTGATCCCGCAAGACTTTGGGCTGAATCCTCGCGGTAATCTTCATGCCCTGAGAGAGATCTGGAAAACGAAAAAGAAAAAGCAGAGAAAATCTATGTCAGGGTTTAGAAACCCAAGTACATAGGTACAAACGGGAACTGTGTGTAGGTATTGCAAACCTGCTGCAATTGAGACCAGATAGATCGAGATTCCAGCTGCATACACAATCTGCGGATACCGTCGAATCGAGCACCATCGGGTGATTAATGTACAGCGCAGCCCGCGAAACGATGGGTGCTGGTAAGGATGCTTAACGATGCAAATGAAACCATGTAATGCACAACGTAGAATAATGTATGGTATGATGCGTAATGTCCGTGTGTCGTCAAGCTCGTGGGAAACATTTCACTCATTTCTTGAGGGAGACTAGGGGCACCATATAGACTGGCGATGGAACACCGTCTGAATTATCGTCCTAGTTCGTATATCGTACCATTACACATGTCGTGACCTCCGTTCCCGGGAGAGGAATGTCTAGAAGAAGTTTTCGTTGGCTCCGGGACCGATGCCGTTAGTAGGGTAGGGAGGAAATTGGTGGTTTGTACGTGGCGGTTGGGGAGGGGCACTAGTAGGCACGTTCGACGCCGCCATTGTGCTCCCGGATTGGTATGTCACTTTTCCGCGGGCGCCGTTAAGGCCGTTGGAATAGATGCCAGAAGGCACGGCTGACTGGGTTGTCATCGTGCGGCTATGCGGAGGGCGAGCCGGAATCTGACCCTGGGTGGGGTCTGCAGGCGTCGTCTGTCCGCCAGCGTTGACATTGCGCGAGTCATGTTGCTGGATCTTCGCTTGCAGGCGCCGACCGTACGGGGTCGCCCGGATGTTAGGCAGGATTGGCCGAATAGCATCAACTAGCCGGAGTTTCATATGGTAGGTAGAGTGCTCCAGCGCAGTCTGGACAACGTAGTTACCATACGAGTCGCGGAGCAGACGTTCCATCTCGCCTGGCACAAGGAGTTCGTTGACCATCATGTCCTTAGATTCCTCGTTACCGCAACGGAGGCACTTCTCCATAACGTTGGAGCTGAACTTGTGGCGGGATAACTGCCCAATCTTTCCGCGAAACTGTTGAACTAGAGGCTCGGTGAAGATGGACTCGTTGAGGTCGATAATATATTGGACAACATAATTGCCAAATGGGTCCTGCACGAGGCGTGCGGCATTCTCGGTTATCTTGGTCACCAGCCACAGCTTTTGCTCTCCCGAAGCATGGTCGATACAGCGCTGGAGAACGCAACAGCCGTGACGGTGAGTGCCCACCTCAATACAGTTGTTTCCGACCGCGTTGAAGATAAATTCGGCGTCTTCGGCGCTGAGCTTGTTAAGACACTTCTGAATCACGTGGTTTCCATTTAGATCCTGGATGAGATCGACGACGCGGTATCGCAGGGCATCGATGATGAGCTGGACATGAGTCGGCGTCGAGACAAATTCAATCATCTTCTGTAATGCCCGCGTGCCATGCTGATTCAGTGCGATACGGACCATGTCTTGCGTAGCATTCTGGATCAGTACCGTACGTTCGTCGTCGTTGCAATATTCCAGAAGCTTTTGGCACAAGTAATTGCCGAAGGGATCTGTCATAAGATCGACGACATGTTGGTTCGTCTCCAACCAGATCATATGGACCTGCTCCGGGATTCGATTCTCTAGTTGCTTCTGGAGGTAACGACATCCGTGCTGGTCCCTACAAAGTTCATAGATAGTGCCCCCTACTTGCTCGAGAGACAGATTTGCGTAGCGGCTCATGGCTAAATAGACTGTTAGTCACGACCTACAAATCTTCAAGGGGAAGGAATGCTTTAGAAATGGGTGAACCGACCTTCGGTATCCTGCGCGCGGCGTTGCTGGATGACACGCTGTTGGGAATCTCGCGGCTGTGCAGGACCCTGGTGCGTCGGGCCCTGATATACCGGGCCATAACCGGGATAATTCTGCGGCGCCGGATAGTTGTTCATGCCCATGTTTTGCATACCCATCGTAAGTACATTCATGCTGTAGCCATTGCTGCTGGGGCTCGTCTGGTTATATCCGCTGTAGTATTGGTAGGACCCGAGGGGAGATGGCGAACCGACAGAGGGCGGCCCAGCGGAGACAGGCAACTGAGCGGTAGCCTGGCTGGATGCGACTGGGCCAAAGTTGGGAGCACCGCCTTGCAGCTGAGTTTGAATAGAGGGGAACTGCGTCCCAGGCTGGGCATTACCGGTGTGGTTATCAGCAGAAAGCTCGCGACTATGTCGTTTAACAGCCCCTGGAGGGATCCGACCGATGCTTGCATTGTGGTTGTGAAAATGCTGCTGGGCGTGGGCGTTAGCATTAGATGAGGGCGTCAACGCGCTATTAGGAGCGTTTTTAATGGTAGGCACATCACTAGTCGAAAAAGACGTCTGCAACTTTGGAGGAGTCGACAACACCTGGGTAGATGCAGGTGACATCGTCGTGGTTGTAGTTGTCTCGGTATTCATCTCTCTGTACTGATTCAAGTCGAGAGAGTGACGATATGGCCGAGATCCGATGGAGTTAGCATCGCCAGAAGAACCGGTCTGGTTAGAGGCCATGCTGTCTCCCGCGCTCATCTGAGAAGATCCCAGGCCAGACAAACTCTGCTGCTGCCGGTGTCGTGGTATGTTTCCCCAGTTGTTCGTAGGCGTAGGTTCACTACTCGGGAGCTGAGAGGCAATATCAACTGTCGCGGAGGAAGCAGATAGCTGAGAAACAGAAACGATTAGCTGTGTGAAACCGGATGTGAATGATTAACTCCGCAACGACATGAGAGAGAGGGTAGATGGTTCATGGCAGGGTGGAGAAAGACATAGAAGTTTATGTATTTGATATGAATGTGTGTGTGGGGGGGGGGGGGGGGGAGAAGGCCGAAGAGGGGAGGGAAAAAGAGAATAGAAAATAGGTAGTCGGAGGAAAGGAGGGGTTAAAAGTTTTACCAGCCCGAGTATCGCGCACTGTTTTGCGGCACACAAAATGCCTAGTGCAAAGTACCTCTCGGATTCCATTCATCCAAGATCTAGGGCTTTTGTTCCAACGCAAACAATAGGAAGAGATGAGAGATACACAGTGGACAGTGCGCCAATACAAACGCATACAGTGTATAAGGCATGCTGAGGGGTTCCCCAAGGTCTCGAGGTGTCCGAGATTACTTACCATGTTGGGGTTTCCCTTCTGTGCATAGAGCTGCGGGAAGTTGTCCTCGACTGTGTCGACACCAGAGAAATTGCCCAAATCCATCGAGGACTCGTCGTCTCTAAAAAGAAAGCCAGCTGTGTTTGTCTGGTCAATATTGTCGTAGAGGTTGCCGCGACGAGTCACAGGCATAGAGTACCGGTTAAGGCTAAGATAATTTTCAAGTCAGCCGTACGAACGGACACCAAGAAAGCTCGTTGATATGATATGTCGAAAAGCCGCAGGGGAGATTAAGGCTGTACGAGTGTCTTGAGGTGCCAGCAGCTTTTGAACGAGCGTGGGAAAGAAGGGGATTCGACAAGCGGAGGAGATCGAGTACGCGTGTGGTCTGGTGGAAAGGTAGGATAGGTAACAGGTACCAATTAGGGGTGTGGACGAAAATGGGAACAAGAGAGGGTACTAGGCCATTGTTTGCGACAGGTTTCCATGTGATCCCTGCCTTGATTGAGAGCTCACGCCAACGGGAAAAAAAGAGACGATAACAAACAGGCCAGTGACAGCCAGACTTGTTTTCTGTTGTTGCCCCCTATATGGCAGCTCACCCATATCCATCCACCTGTCCCCAAACCAACCACATGACAGAAGTCGAACTTCAAGGCGGAGAGGGGCGTCTAGAGGATGTCGCGCTTGAAAGTATGAAATAAACATTCCGGAAACACAAGAACTTACGCGTTAGTTGACCTGTGACTGGTAGGGTCTTGGCGGAGCGCCTCTTCCTTCTCGTCTTCGTCACTATTTCTTCGAGATCCCGGTACGGAGCGGGACGGTAGAGAGTCATCAAAAAAGCGAGATTGAAGGATGCCCGACTGGGGAGAGGTGAGCTGCGAGCCAGATCTCGCGGGTCGATTGAAAAGCCCCGGCGGGGAAACGAGGCCGAGGCTCGGAGTAGAATATCGGTTGGGGCGAGAGAACATCGTTGGAAACCCCGAGCTCGTCTCGCGATACTCGGGTGGCGTAGTCGGCTCAGATTGGTGGCCGGTCGGGCCCATGCCACTGCCTCGGCCTAGATCCTCCTGCATCTGGGCAATGTCGAACTCATCCCGTCGCTGCTGCTGGTCTAATTTGTGCATTTCGGCTTCGAAGCGCCGCTTCTGCTCTCGAAGCTTCTCATACTCGATCTTCTTCTTCTCTAACTAAGGGAGCTAGTAAGCATCAAACTTGGCTGAGCGGCGGCAATGGCAGATAGGTGCCGGTATTATACACGCGCGCAGAGGTGCGACTCGAGCTGACGTGATCCCAGGCCGTGCTCGAGAGGGGGGCAGCCTTACCAATTGTACTTTATACTGGGTCTGGGTTGGCCAATGTTAGTTGCGAATTCTTAAAGGAGCAAGACACCCTAATCAGGGGAGGCGGCGTTATTGAGACATGCTTGGGGTGGCTCTACGTGGGAAACGCCGCTAAGCAAACAGGCGCCCATCCACACACCACCCCATCTCGCCCAACACCGGGGTGTATCGCAAGACTCACAGCGGTATATTCTTGAGGTTCCGGCAATCGCTGGGTGGATATGGTGGACAATGTTGGTACACGCCCCGAGTCGGTGGTGAATCGTCGAGGCAAAGTTGTTCGAGGGTCTTGCGAGACAGGCGGGGGCATGGGCCTGCCGTTTCTCTGCGGTGAGACAAGAGAATTCATCGGCGCCTCGTTTCTTGGGGATTGTTGAGTGCGAAAACGGTAATCATCCATGTTTTTTCTGTTGTTACAACGCCGAAACTTTCGTACAGGCCAAATTGGCAATCACCGGTTTTCTATAAACTGAGATTCCCCAGGGGAAGGGGGGGGAGCTGTCAGCTACACGCAACATTGGAAGACGGCGGGAATCGAATCGTACGAAGGGGAGGGTCGACACCGTCGATGTCCGCTCCTAGCAAATGTGCAATGAATGAGGGGGGGAGTTCAGGAGACAGATAGCCAGCAAGTTGGCGCCGCACTCCCGTTATGACGGCGCCACATATCCCTCGCTCGCTCAGAAGTGATCGAGTTGCGCGGGTAAGGCAAGTTGACGATGTCTCAAGGGAAGGGGGGGGTGTAGTTTGGTTGGCGAGGGTTGCTTTCGGCTGTTGACAATATGGGCTAGACTGGACTGGGCTGGAGTGTGCGTGAGGGTGCGTGGTGGACTGGACAGGACGGACTAACCTCTGATGAGAACAACTATAGCACAAAACGCAGAACGCAGCCCTGGAGAGCCAGGAGCGGCAGCGCAGCAGGGAAGAAAAGAAAACTTTTTGCAAATCGCGAAACGGGAATGCTCCCCCCAAAATAAACGAGTGTGGAGTTGTGCGAAAGGGAAGGGAGATCGCAATGTTTCAATTTGCTGTGAGTGGACGAGGTGGATTTGGGGACAAAGGCGTGACGGAACCTGTTGTACCTTCCGGAGAATGTACCCAGGTACCCGAGTCTTCCTCCATCCCTTCTCTTTCTCGGGGCGGATGTTCTTAAATAGGAAGCTTAGCATGGTACCGGTCACCACGCTGGACAACTAAAACTCCTCCTCCTCTCCTCTCGTCTTCTCTGCAAAAAAAAAAAAAAGGCCTACCCAAGAACCCCACCCACCCCCAGACCCTTTTCAGAGGCACCAGGCCGTCTTTCCCTTACCTATTTGCCCGCTACAAATCAGGCTTAGCGCCCTTGCTACTTTAACCAAGTACAACTCATCCCATGATGATCGTCAAACGGCACCAACCCAGTGGGAAGTCCGTCGCTACGACGGAAATCTCAGAATCGAAACCCTTGATCTCGAGAGGCCTGTTACTAATGATATTCCCTAGCTCGCCGTCCTCACAGCCCCTGGCTTGGATACTTGGATATTCCGAGCATTTCCAGACATATTCAGACATATAGGTAGAATGATATCCGCTAGAATTAAACTTTTTTTTTTTTAATCATCCAGCGTACTTTCCCATACCCTCCTCCCGCTCATTTGCTACGTGGCATGCCCGATACCCAGTAGTCAATCGTGCCGTTCTCTCGATGCTACCTAATACTTTCAAATTGTCAACGACAACGCCTTCTGTAGGTCAGTATCACACTGAACGCTCAGCCTTACGCTCTCGTGGACATCTCCTACGAGCCTCGCTGATTACCTAACCTCTTCACGGTGGCTCGGAATTGAAACGGGATTACCTTTACCATCACGATTATCCTGACGGAAAACCCCAGCTTTCGCATGCCAGTAGGCTTGCTTGGGTTTAAAGCGGCAAGCCCCAGGTATGCATGTAATGGAGTTGCTTCGAATTCCGTCGCTTTGAAGTCTCCGATGCTGGCCGCTCCATTCCTCTATCCCCGGCCCACTGTTAAGTACGTAGGGACGCACGCACATCGCACACCATCCCCCTCCTCGGCTGATTCATATATGCCTAACCATCGTATACATCCTCACACGCAAAATCGAAAAGTGGTCTTCAACACGTGTATGCCATCAGCATGGAATTGTATTACAAAGGGGAAAAACATATCAGAGGAGGCGAATTTCGCGGACCAACTTGCTATTGTATGCGTAGGTATGTTGCTAATTTAGTTTTCCTCGCAGAATAAAAATGTAAGAGTTTATCTCTTCGACTGCTATACTACTCATAGAGCAAAGGCCTTTGTTCGTCTTGGGGACCCTTTAGATTCTCCCTTATCAATTCAGGGGACCTAGAAGCGGCAGGAACACCACGAGCCGCCAACTCTAATCAGAGGCTTGGATCAAAGCGCGAAGTTGGGGGGCTAGTGGCACTCGAACATCCCGACTCGGGATGCAAATTGTCTACCTACATACACCGATGAACAGGCATAGCCTGGTGGAAGATGATAAAAGTATGAGGAGGTAGCACACTGCCATAAGATACCTGCAATACTGGAGGTACTAGCCAACCTATCAAGGTAGACGGGGAGCGGTGAGCGAAACTACGTAAGTCGAAAAACACCACTCCAGATGCCACCTTAGCGCGTAACCCCGATTCTCCTCCCCCTTTCCCAACTTCAGATACCCCCCGGGCTATGCATCGGCGCACGCAGGTATGACCAACACCCAAACTGGCGTATAAAACAACCTAATCCTTAGTAATTAATCATTAGGGAGAGAGTCTCCATCTGGTCCGAGCCTACCTTCTATGATCGATGCTGTAAGATGGTTCGTTCACTTAGTTGTCTCTTGCTTTAGTTCGGCTGCCCAATGTGATGCCGCAGCCAGGAGACTGCAGCCGGGTGGCGCATTTTCCTTGCACTTGGTGTCGTCGGACTGAGCCTGGATATTTCCGACGGTCGCGTATGCACGTACACAATTGTGTGCATGGGCGAGCTTTCGTTGGATAGAGTTCCTCCAATCTGCATAAGGGATCTGTTTGCTGGCACACAGGTCGTTCAGCATACTCATATATGGATCCAACTCGACGCATTTTACCCGGTCCACTGGAGCTAAGACCTTGGCAGTACCAGAGGCCGTCGGGAGTCGCCACTGCCAACGCGCCTCAGTTTGTATGCATATTTGCGTCTATGAGTAGACCTGCCCGCTATCGAGGAAAATGATCCAAGGCGGATTCTTTGATGATGCTCAGGACAATACGCTGAGCCGACATAGTAGTGGACGATGCAAGTATGTGTTGCGTGAGGTCAGATCTAGGGGGGTTTTATTTTATTTTATCAAGCGTCTGCCTGGTCTCCCTATCCACCTAGCCTGTATCCTAACGAATGCCGTGTCGCCTGTCTGCCACCTCTCGGCGTTGCAAGGTCTTCCCCATTTGAGATTTCGGATCGAGCCTAAATCTCATCGCCTGCAAGAGGGGTTAACATGGAAGGTAGGCAGGCAGTATCAGGGACGTTCCCCGTGACGTACTACTGTAGGTACCTACCTACCTTAGGAACTTCACATCGCTACAACCACAGACTAAAGTGTCAGCTGTAAATTACAGTACGTACCCAGGCACGCACCTGGGCTCGCTTTCATCGACCGGCGCTACTTACCTCCTAAGGCAACCTCACCGACTTATGCCTAGGCCCATCTGTCCTAGTGGAGTCTGCACGTCACGCAGTCGGCCTTGGGGAGAGAAGCCTGAGGAAGGCGAAAAAGGGAGAGGGGAGCTCTCTACTCCCCGCCGATGAGCAGCCTGGGTCGCGATGTGCCTCAACAGGTTAGGTAGTTAAGCTTCAGACACGGAAACAAGGCGCGAGATCGAGGCTCCAGATTGCAAACCAGCGATCGCTTAACGGGGGTGTGCTTGGTTTGTGCGGGATGCTAGATTGCTAACGAATACTTTATACTTACATATAATTAATATCCTTCGGATGGGATAAAGTAGGTCTGTTGACAATCCCCGACGCCGTGGTTGGTTTCACACTCTTGGCGCTGTGCACCCGCGAGGCGCCAGATTCTCTACCATCGCATTGGTCGGATTCGCTGCTAAGAGGTATATGCCTGTGTACCAAGCATCGGTCGGGACGATCCAGACCTCTCCTTTTTCTCCCTCCGCATCCCACCATGGGGACAGAGGGGTGATACCCCTTCCTGACCACTGCACGGCGATCGATCTGCCAGCACAGAATTTCCATTCTTGCATCGACTCTGCAGGAAAAGCGCTACACCAGCCGTGATGATGGGATGAGGGGTAGCACCTCTTTCCATCGATGATGACGGATAGAGGAGGGGCAGGGAGGGGTTCGGATGGCGCAGTCTGGTAGCTACCTCCTGGCTGAGCATGGCCTCTATATTGCCCCTTGTACCTATGAGTACGTCCTATGAGGAGGCAGAACACGATGACTTTTTATGAAGAAAAGCGGACATGCCTCACCATTGGAGAGGCCGGGCTTGGCAGACTGTATCAACTCGGCACCATACCTACCTACTCACACACAACCCCCCCATCCAATCGACGACGGATTTACCTATGAGTACCTACATGACTACCTAATGTACCTAAGCATATCACACGCCCACCGTGGGCGGCTTTGGGTACCTGCTAAGCACTGCAATCAGGTAGCTATATGCCTGCGTTACTCTCATGCATGGCGCAGGTTCCCCACTACCTACCACCTAGACTCTGTGCCGTGGCGCGCGCGCGCGATGGGCAGATGGCCGTGATATGTGATATGCGTCTCGGAGCAGGCCGCCAATACACCAAAGAAAGCAGTGTAACCCCTCGCGAAGAAGAAATGCAATCCAACGAGCCACGGTCGGTCGGCATTATGAGATCGTAGGCATAAAGCTGCTGTGAGGTTCCACCCCCGGTATGTAACGATAGGCGAAATGAAATCTCCGGCTTTGAGATGTTCCCCATTTTCGATGGGCGATAAGAGGCGTCTACCACTTGATACGCCATATCTCCATGTCGCATCACGCACTTTGAACTTGCCCATCTCCTAGAGTCGGTTCCTCATCACCTACCATCCTTTCCGCACGATGCAGAGTAGGTTACCCGGGTGTCTAACCTGAGGTGCCATCGTTGATGTACCTATGCAACCTATATAGATGCATCCTAAGCTACTTTGAACCGCAAATCCGGTTGGCGTTAAAAGTTGGCATTTTTAATTAACTGCGTCACATTCACCGCTTATCACGGAGCTAGGAAGCTGAAGGCAACTGAATTTGCACTGTACCTACTTTAGGTACCTCTTACCGCAACCTACCTCCTTAGGTACCTTAGGTACCTAACCTCTTAGGTGCATTTTGGCTTGGTACCTCTATGAGGCGGCACCAAGGGCCGATCTCGAAGTACATATGTACATCAGGGGGCATCCACATCTCTCAAGGCGGGTGACCAATGAAGACGCGGACAAGCTACCTAGGTAGAGCTCTCGGATTTTTGTTGTTATTTTTATTTTTCAGTCGCTTTGGTGGGGGCACTCGCAACCTGCAATCATCACGGGTCCCTCACTCACTTTGTCATCAGAGACCATTACTTCCTCGCGCTACCTCACCCTCTCCCCGGTGCATCGCGTAACAAGAATCCCACAGCAATGCCCGATTTCCAGGATGCCTTTTATCGATGACGGCTTCGAGGCCCTCCTGGAACCATTCTATAACGGCAAGAAATTAACGGACCCCATCTCCACCGTCGATGACAAGAACCAGCTGCTCCCTGCGTTCCTAAAGGTCAAAGGTACGTTCGCCAGCGCCATCGAGGTAATATATGTAGCTTTCTAACCTGCAAATCGTAGGTTTGGTGAAGCAGTATGGCTCTTCTTTTCTTATGCCCTACGAACAGCCGTGGTCTGCGTTCCATGTCGCTAATCGCCATCCCCCAGGCATATCGACTCTTACAACTTCTTCGTGGACCACGAAATCAAGGAGATCGTCAAAGCTAATCGCACCGTGAGAAGCGATGTCGACAGCAGCTTCTGGATCGAGTTCATGGACATTCGGGTCGCGGCCCCGGATCGCTCCGACTTCACCGAATATAGGGTTGAGAATGAGATCACTCCTATGGAATGTCGCCTGCGGGATATGACATACTCCGCCAAGATCCTCGTCGATGTTGCTTACACTCGCGAGCGGCAGAAAATCATCCGTCGCGATGTCGAGCTAGCTCGCATGCCTGTTATGCTGCGGAGCAATAAGTGCCGGTTATACGGCGCGAACAATGCTCAGATGGAGCTCATGAACGAATGTCCGCTTGATCCCGGGGGATACTTTATCATCAACGGGACAGAAAAGGTCATTCTTGTCCAGGAGCAGCTGAGTAAAAACCGAGTTATCGTCGAGGCGGATGAGAAAAATAGCATCATTACGGCATCTGTGACCAGTTCCACCCACGAGAGGAAGTCAAAGACCTACGTCACTTTGAAAAAGGACCGCATCACCCTACAACACAACGTTCTGGTTGAAGCTATACCCATCGTCATTATTCTTAAGGCTCTCGGTGGTCTTTCCGATTTCGAGATCATACAGTTAGTCACTGGTTCTGATGGGAGATTCCAGGACGATTTCGTGGTCAACTTTGAGGAGGCAACCAAGGTCGGCGTATTCACCCAGCAGCAGGCCCTGGAGTTCATCGGTGCGAGGGTGAAGATGGGTGGTAGGGGGAAACCGTTTGGGGGCCAGCAACAAGCTCGGCGTGGCAACATCGAAGAAGGAGTCGATGCACTAGCTAACATCATTATCGCGCATATACCGATCGAAGGCCTAGACTTTTACCCGAAGGCCATTTACATAGCTCTCATGGTCCGTCGGGTGCTCATGGCCCATTACAACCCAAAGCTCGTTGACGACAGGGACTTTGTGGGCAACAAGAGACTGGAGTTGGCTGGGCAGCTCCTGGCTTTGCTTTTCGAGGATCTTTTCAAAAAGTTCCTCAACGAATTGAGGATCACAGTCGAACACGCTCTGAAGAAACAGCACCGAGCCGTTGCGGTAGACCCTTTAGTACAAGTCGGCGCACAGGGAAAGCATATCACTGAAGGCATGAATCGTGCCATCCAAACTGGTAATTGGAGCGTGAAGCGATTCAAAATGGACAGAGCTGGCGTGACGCACGTATTAAGCCGCCTCAGCTACATCAGCGCTCTCGGCATGATGACTCGCATAAGCAGCCAGTTCGAGAAGACGAGGAAAGTTAGCGGGCCTCGTGCTCTACAGCCATCGCAGTGGGGTATGCTCTGCCCTTCGGATACGCCTGAGGGTGAGGCCTGCGGCTTAATCAAGAATCTGGCCCTTATGACACACATTACTACCAACGTTGATGAGGACCCAGTCAGGAGATGGGCGTTTACTTTGGACTCCGGGGTCGAACCTCTGCGATGCTTTTCAGGGGCCGAGATACACAGGAAGGGCACCTACATTGTCTATATCAACGGGACCCCTTTTGCCTTGACTCGGTTTCCAAAACGTTTTGCCGCCAAGTTCCGCACCATGAGACGCCGAGGGTGGATCTCTCCGTTCGTCAGCATCAACGTTAACACTCACCTCTCAGCCGTGCATATCGCAACAGATGAAGGCCGGATTTGTCGGCCGTATATCATTGTGAAGAACGGCGAGCCCAAAATAAAGGAGGGCCATCTGAGATTGCTACAGGCGGGTAGAGCAACATTTGACGACTTCTTGAAGCAAGGCATTGTCGAATATCTCGATGTCAACGAGGAAAATGATACGTTGGTGGCCCTCTACGAAAAGGATATCACCAAAGCGACCACGCATCTCGAAATTGAGCCATTTACGATACTCGGGGCTGTGGCCGGACTGATTCCGTTTCCGCATCACAACCAGTCTCCAAGAAACACATATCAATGCGCTATGGGCAAGCAGGCAATCGGAGCCATTGCGTACAATCAGTTCAACCGGATCGACACTCTTCTTTACACTCTTGTCTACCCCCAACGGCCCATGGTTATCACCAAGACCATCGAACTAATCCACTACGATAAGCTACCCGCAGGGCAGAATGCAACCGTCGTTGTTATGTCGTACTCGGGCTACGATATCGAAGACGCCCTCGTACTGAACAAAGCCTCTTGTGATCGTGGATTCGGGCGGTGTCAGGTCTTTCGCAAGTATACTGCAGAGCTACAGAAGTATGCGAACGGTAGTCGCGAGAGGATTGGGGACAAGGACCCATCACAGGCCAAGAACAGCGCACTCTCTAATGATGGCTTAGCTGATGTAGGATATTTGGTTAGGAATGGCGATGTTCTCATCAAAAAGGAAAGCCCAGTGGACGTGAACCCGGTGGCCGGGCTGGGAAGACGGAATGAAGAGTATCGCGAGACGCCGCTATCGTATCGACTAGCCGACCCGGCTTATATCGACAAGGTCATGATCACGCAGACTGAGAAAGAGACGCAGCTCATCAAAGTTCAAACCAGACAGACGAGGAGGCCCGAATTAGGCGACAAGTTTTCCTCTCGGCACGGCCAAAAGGGCGTCGTCGGGATCATCGTGGATCAGGAAGATATGCCATTCTCGGATTCGGGTCTCGTGCCTGATATTATCATGAACCCCCACGGCTTCCCGTCTCGCATGACAGTCGGCAAGCTACTTGAATGCTTGACTGGTAAAGCTGCGGTTGTCCAAGGACGGAAAGATTACGGATACGGGGACGCGTTTAGGTCTCACCCACTTGAAGAAATGAGCAGGGAATTGGTGAATGCGGGGTTCTCCTGGGAAGGCAAGGACTACTTTACGTCGGGCATAACTGGCGAGCCGCTTCAAGCCTACATCTTCAACGGTCCGATCTACTACCAGCGACTAAAACACATGGTACAGGACAAGATGCATTCTCGTTCGCGCGGCCCCCGTGCCATCCTTACCCGTCAACCTACGGAAGGACGATCCCGGGACGGCGGCCTGCGTCTCGGAGAAATGGAGCGCGATTGCTTAATCGCATACGGCGCTTCACAGCTTCTTCTCGAGCGGTTGATGATAAGCTCGGACGCAGTCGATATCGATATCTGCGAGAGGTGTGGTCTGTTCGGCTACAAGGGTTACTGTGGTACGTGCCGGAGCAGCAGGGAGGTGGCCAGGATGACGATGCCGTACGCTGCGAAGCTTCTTATCCAAGAACTGATCAGCATGAACGTCAGCGTGCGCCTGCAGTTGGAGGACGAGTTTCCCCATCCACGATGATGTAAGAAGTATTGTAGACACTATGAACTTGTACATATATTGGCGTCGGACTGGCTTGGGTCTCCCGGTCTCCCTGTTCTAGCATTTGTATGCTCCGGAAACGTGTATCTCGGCATGGGTTTTGTAGCATCCCCCCCTCACTCGGAGGGACGTTGATAGTGTCGAAGGGGATAGTCGATTTGTGAGCGAGCAACATGAATTCGTAAATTCATGCCATGTTTCGTATACATTATATCCGTCGAGATCATTTGGCAGTGGCACTACGCATATGGAGCGTAGGAAGCTAGACACAGTTGTAATGAACCATTTCAACATGCTCGTCCCCCTCCCTTTGATTCCGTTCATATTTGTCACCAAGGAAACTCTATATCGCTGACTATCGGTAAATCGGTAGTATAGACGCCTACGTCTCCTCACGACGATACCAATATTCGAAACAATACCTACTGGCTCGCCGTCGTATGACAAATGCTTGCGAGATATATCCTACCATGCACATACAGGTATACAGGATGCAGCCAGCATGCGTAAGGGACCTAAGTATCCTGAGCGTCCGTCTGCGCTGCCTTCTCTTCTTCTCTTTCGCCCTGCTCCTTCTTCTCTCCTGCCGGCCCGCCCGCGGCCCTCAGCCCGCCCATCGTGACCTCGAACTCGACGGCGCCGTCGATGCCCGGGCCCGTGCCGGCGACGTGCGGCGCAAACACAACCTTCACCCAGCGACGCCAGGTCTTCAGCGTCGTGGTGCTTCCGCCGTCCTCGTCCGCGACTACGTCTTTGCGTCCGTACACCGGCCGCCGGAACAGGACGACGCGCGCCGCGATCTGCGTCGACCACACGAGTCCGAGACTCGGCGTCTTGAGGTTGTGCTCGTGGCTGAAGTCGTCGCCCCACCCCGTGAACCATCGCTGCTGGTGGTCGAGAAGCAGCGCCGGGGGCGCCGGGGGATCTTCAGGTGGTGGCTCCGGCATGCTGGAGCGCACGGGAATTTCTAGCTGCTCGGCCGTGCTGCCACTCAGCGGGTTGGTAGCAGAGAATGGGGGCGGCACGGGCCCGCCCTTGCTTCGCGCCGCGAGCGGACTGTCCTGTGACACGCGCGGGGACGGAAACGGCGCATAGGCGCCGCCGCTGCCGACGCCGCTCTTAGGGGCGAAGCTAGCGAAGCGGTCGGCGACCTGGTTGGCGACGACGACGGCAAGGCCGTGCTTCTGGGCGAGCTCGTGCAGCAACTGGCCGAGACGTGCGAGCTCGTGGCTGCGGGCGGCCATGTTGTTCTTAGACGAGGCGGCGCCGCGTTCGAACTCGGCGCGATAGTTGGCGGCGACGGAGTCCAGGACCAGGAGCCCAATCCCTCGACGCGCGACCTCGACGGGGACCTGGTAGTTGAGTATGTGATCCTGGGACTCGAGGTCCGGGGTCACGGTCGCGACTATGCCATCTAAAGAGGGTTTGCCCGCGTTGGCGGAGGAAGACGCGGAGGAGAGGCCCCGAAGATAGGGGTGATGCGCTAGGATCTGGGATAGCCGGCGCGTCGAGAGTGGCGCCTCTGTCGAGATGTAGAGTGCGGGACGCCCGAACCCCCGGGGCGGCGGAAGCTGGCACGCGAGAAGGAGGGTAAGCAGGAATTGGGTCTTGCCGGCGCCGCTTTCGCCCGTGATCTCAGTGACGTAGCCAGCTGGAACGCCGCCGCCAAGGGCGCGGTCGAGACTATCGTCTAGAGTGCTGATGAAGCGAAGGGGCGTGGCAAGGAGCTCAGTGCCGGTCTGCTTACAATTGCCGCAAACTTCGACTCTAGAGTCACTGCCTATAGTGTGCGGCTCATCTTCCCGCCGCTGCTCTGGTGGATCTGAAGTACCCAGATCCTTATGGAGAGCATTGAGCACAGCGGCGCAGAGGCGCTTGACGTCGAGTAGTGGTAGCTGGGTACGCTTACCGATGTCGGCGACTTGAAGTGTGAGGAGGTCGCTGGTGCTCAGCTGGTACTTCTCTATGGTGGGCAGGAGGTTCGCGTATCGGCCGACTGGGAAGTCTGGCAGGATTCGCGCCAGATCGGTCATGTCATCTCATGTTACGAGGAGACGCCGCCACACCAGCAGCACGTGTCTGTCCTCGCGCCGCTGTATAACTTCGCCCGATGTTCCCTCGCGACAGCTGACCTCAGTGGAGGGGTAGCCACCTAGCTAGTCAACAGGTTCCAGCTGAGGCAGAGGATAAGCAGCCAGAAAGATGATACCTGAGGTAGGGAGTTGAGGTGTTATACCCAAGTTGGATTGGTAATCTAGATACCTATCCAGCATTTGGTGGGCGAATCAGATCGCGTCAGCGGATCCCGCAAGTAAATACGTGTACATGTAGGTACTTAAGTATATAGGTACTTAGATATATAGATACCTAGCTACACACCACTATGTACAAACAGATGGGTAGATATATACAAGAACATATTAGTACCATCAAATGATCCCATAGGTGCCTAGTACCTCCTTTTCACTAATGCTCATATACAGGTAGTACCTTAGGTAATTACCTTAGGTACCTAGGTACCTGCTGCTAGGCTAGGCACACGGATACCTAACATGGGTACTGCCGCTACGATACCTGTTCCCCTAAGAGGTGCCTAACCTCCTAATACCTCATTCATACTAGCCTCATCACCACAGCAAGGCGGTACGACACCATGATGCTTACACCGTATACCTACCTCTTATTCTGTAAATTGCCCGCACGCCGAGATGTTCGTCGTGCCAGGCACATAATATATTAGTCTCCGTCCATGCGACCTTCATCAGCTATCCATCTTCATCCGTCTTGACAAGTCTATCTAACCGTCCCTCCGATACGCCGGCATACCATGCATAGGTACCTAAGTAGGCATCCTACATGCATTCTTGGTTGCGAGGACAGCACGCGTTGCGAGACCGACACGGCAAGCCACCGACGACTGGCTGTCACGCTGGGCTTACCTGGCTGCCCTGACCTCGAGAATCAACCGATATGGCATGGAAACTGGGCTCCAGGTCAGATCGGCACCCGCGTTTGTCCCGAGACTAGGGCCGTGGGTCTAGATGTTCAAACGGTGCCGGCCATGGTGGTTCTGGTTCGCTACTTGGGACGCGAATGGCTCCTATATGTAGAAAGCCCTACAGATTTCGTGAAGACGAATGTGCGTGCGGCTAGCAGGATGCCGCATGTCCCACCTGTCGCAACGATATCCCCAACGGCTTCGGTCTCGAACTGGGAAGCCGACATGGGATGTCCATCGGGGGCCATTTCCAGCCGCAAGCTAGCGTAGGTACGCAACCATGTGCAAGTTGGCAACCCAAGCACATACTAACGGGGCACGCGAAGGAGAACTGACCGATCGCCAATGTCGATTCGGCTCTGTTTGCGTTGAAGGAAAACGCTTACCACGTCATCTCTGGACGTATCAATCCCTACATATGTAGCACCCCGGCTCCGCCTTATTAGGCCGGTGTGGGAAAGAAAGGGAAATTTTCGACGCTTCGGGGCGTCGCGCGAATCTTCATGCGACCTGCGTATTGGATATAGCCGCTTGGCGCGGACCACCACCTTTTTTTCAGCTCCTGCAAACCGTACCGCACCTCGCAAGATCTTCATTGGCCAGGCAGACTCGCGATGCTTGGCGTTTAATCTCCTTATGCGGAAACAGGATGGCTCAAGGCTGAACCGATACTTCGGCTTATGTGTGGACTAGCGGAATGGGATCCTCACTTGAATGTGGCCCTACGATTGCCGCCACCGTTCGGATCTGCTGGATACGTCGGCCAAGGGGTACTGCGATTCGCCCAAGACCCTCTTCTTCGTTTGCGGTTTCTATGTACCGAATAAAAAGCTAGCGGTGGCCCTCCGCCCGCGCTCGGGGTTCCATTCCTCCTTCGCTTCCCCAGGTGACCATCGTGGTCTGTGGCATCTCCAAGATCGAGTAGCTCCTCTTAGTGCTCGAGACGGGAGAGTTAGCAACCGCCACCCAGGTCGTGTTCTTAGGTCCCTCGCTCCTTTCCGCATCGTAATGGCAAGCCTCTTTACTACCGTGGTGTTTATCGCCGCCGTTCGGGCCTTGGCTCTCGATGGGAGACTACCCCAGCAAACCAAGGCTCTCGAACCGAATCCAACCTTCAGCCTGCCCGAGGTCACGGAGCCGCCGAGTCTCAAGGGGCTTGTCAAGAGACAGAACGGACAGACGGTTCTGATAGGACCAGATAACACGTGCGGTTTCGTCAGCGGCCGACCTGGTATTGAGAACTCTGGGACGATGGCCTGCTTAGATAGCTGACATCGATGACAGGGGCTGCATTTACTTGCAATGGTAGGAGCGCAACCTGCGCCCTTGTTACAACATCGACGTACGGCAGAGTCGCTTGCTGTAACGGCGGTAGTTGCGGAATTCGCGCTACGTGTATCGACTATAGAGACTATGTGCTGTCGAGCGCGTGCGACAACGGATGTGCTGCGGACACTTACACTGTCAAGTGGTGAGTTTCTGATATGGGGAATGGCTAGTACCGCACTCATGTCTCGACAGTACCAACATCGCGACCCCCTATTGCGGCACGGTCACCTTCTTCAGTGGCATCATCGACTACTACTGCGACACGTCAAGCTATTCGACGCCGCAGCAGATTTATACAACTTGGAGTGGCGAGAACGACGGCCGAATGTTTACCCCCGTTGTCGTTAATCTAGACGAGTCGATCACGACCCTTACGACCCCATTGCCCGGTGGTGGCAGCAACAGCGATGGAGAAAGCTCGTCGAGCACCGCTCCTCCAGTCCCAACGCTACCTGGGGACAACTCCGGAAGCTCTGGCTCCTCGGGTTCATCCACGAATATTGGTGCAATTGTCGGTGGTGTTGTGGGAGGAGTTGCCGGGCTCGCCTTGATCGGGCTGGGCATCTTTTTCCTAGTGCGTTACTCGAAGAAAAAGGATAACGCCCCGCCGCAACAGCTTGCTCTCCCGATGGCGCAAGCACCTGGACCCGACGTCCCCCCAGGGCCTGGTGGTTTCCAGCAGTCCTACAATCCACACTACAGCCAGCCATATCCGCCGTCCTACCCACCGCAGCCGTCATACTACACCGACCCGACCAAGCCCGGCGGCCTCGCTGCCGCGCCCGCCCAGCTACCGGATAGGAACGGCTCCACGAGCCCCCTCTCCCAGCACACGGACAATCGACAGAGCGCGCAACCGACGAGCCCAACCTCGACCATCAACTCCGGCTGGCAGCAGCATCCGCCACAAGCCGCCCCCTACTCGGGCCAGCCCTCTCCCAACATTCCACCGACGGTACATGAGGCTGGCGGCAACGCCGTTGGTGTGCGCGACTACAACGCGAACCATCACGGCCAGCTCCACGAGCTGAGCTAACCTCGAGCTGGGCCCGATTTACACTGGTAACATATTTTGTGAGATCTACATGTCGGGGCTGGGCTATGGAGCGGTCGACGTCTTGTTTGATCATGGAACGGACTATCGCAGTATTGCATCACGGGGGTTTTCTTGTTTCCTTTTCAAGCGCCGGTACTGATACGCTCCCTCGTGGTGAACCCAAGGTGGGAATTCAGCACGCAGGCCACGAACATATAGATAACATAAATGAGAGCAAATTGGGCGTGCTACGGCATCTAGGAGATGGACCTGCTGCATCATACCACAAGACCCCCTAGAAACACTAATTGGCATTGCCTTGTTTGCTCCTAGCCACGCTGTATGCTGTGCATGCGTGTCTATTCCCGCCTGCGGTCGACGTTACTTTGTAGCCGACGACGTCCCGCTCTAGGTTGCGCAGTCGCTGCTAGATGTCACCTATCCTCATCCATAGCCACGGTGTCATGATAGTCACTCAATCACACAAGGTATCAAGAACTTAATTCGGCATGTGCTAGAACTACGAACGACCTTATGCAAAGGTTACTAAATACCATACAAACTAGACAAAACCAAGCCGAGGCAACAATGCACGTTTCCACATATGCGGGCACAACCATTCTCCGTCTTCTCCTGCCCCCCATTGGGGGATCCTGTTGGTCGGCAGTCGTGATATGTCGCTCTCTCTCGGAGACCATCGAGGGTGGAAGTAGAGATACGTGTCACTTAGTATTCGACTAGCCGTAGCTTCTTGCCAATCTCTCTTCTCCTCGCATTCGCGGCCGCCCTCTCCGACGCCTTCGACTCCCCCTCGAGCGTTTCGCCGCGAGCCTTCAGCGCCTGGAGCAGCATCCCTGCGTCGAAAAATCCATCTGTGACGAATATTAGTAAAATTAGATGGGTGTTCAATAATGGTGGTAGGGGCTGGCTTACACCCCCCCAGTTCGTCATCCTCGCTCATCATGAGACTCTCTTCTGTCGGCGACCGCGTTCCCGTAGAGGACCTCGTTTGCGACCTGAGAGTATCCATGCTGGTGATCATCCGTCCTCGCGCTTTAGGACGGTGATTTGCCCTCCTCGCCTTTTCGGGATCGATCTCGCGGGCCCGAGTTTGTTTCGAGCTTGTAGACTTGCGGTTCGTGATCCTTAAGATCCGTCGGATCTCGAGGAGGTAACCGTCCAAAGCATCGACGAACCGCTTCGTCTGGCGATGCTTGCTAGACACACATATACTAATGCTGTCGTCTTTGATTATATAGCCGATGCCGAAACCGCCCCCGGATGTCGGTCCGAATCCGAACTGGCGTAGGGAAGGGTTGCCACAATTGGACGTTGAGAGAATGGTGTTGTTTAGCTTATCCCACCCGCCGTCCGCGAATATCGGTGGTACAGGATGCGCATCCTGCCATCGCGAACTCGTGCTATCACCGCGCTGGCGCGTCCTGACTTCCTCGCTTGTTGATAAGATGGAGTCTTTACCGGGGCTGCCAATCACGGATCCCCGCTCCGAGTTTTCAAGTGGGCTCGAATATCCGATACTGCTGGACGAGCGGCTGTTTTCTTCGTCCAGATACCTTTGCCACACACAGAATAAGGCGTAGAGGTGTCGATCGCAACCTCGTCCTTTCGAGCATTCCCTAGTGCTGTTGACGTGCTGTTGGCACGCCTTGCGCAAAGCTTCCACCTTAAGCTCGGCCGGATTATCCGCCCAGAACGTCTGGACAAAATTGACCGACTCCTCCGAAACCGTTCGGACAGCTTCGGTCCGACCGCGGAGGTATGCCTTGGTCATGGCCGGTTCGTAGGTACACTCAACACGGCCATAAAGCCCATAGTAAGCTGCTTGGAAGGCCATTTGGACGAAAGCGTCAGGTGAAAAGCCGGCCGAGGTGATATAGTTCTTCCCGTAACCATTGAAGTCTAGGCATTCGAACTCATTCTGACTAAGTAGGTCTGCTAGCCTGGTTTCGGCGAACCGCACAGCGATGCTAAGCTCCGGCGACATGTCCCATTCCAGTTTATGAGGGGTAGTAGTAACGTCTCCGAAACTTTCGGGATCGCGTTTTGAGGGATCAGGACTGACCGTCTTCCAAAGACTCGGGGCCTGGCCGTTGATGGTTCTCGCGAACCGGAGGATAGTGTCCGTGTAGAGGTCGCTGGCGAATCTGAGTACGGTGTGTCCGTCTACACCGGTATGCTCGAAATTTATCCCTGCGCTCCCGTTCTTGCAGACAATTATTTGGAGTTTATCGTACCATCGGTTGATACAAGTACCAATCTGTACTCCCTTCACAACCTCGTTCGTACCGCAAAGCATATTCTGGCACAACGCAGCTGCGGTGGCGGGTTCGACGTAGTCGAGACATAGCACGAACAATGCCGAATCAACAATGCCGAGAGAGTCTGCGTTGTTGGAGCCCTCCTCCTTCGTAAGAATATCTCTCAACCCTGACCAGGTCTTCCGGTTTTCGGTACTCAGTATACCAAGAGCCCCCTTAGCAACGTCCTGTATGGGCGTTTGGGCCGCGTCATCGATTATTGTCTGAAGATTGATAGAGAGGTCCTTCTCGCTCATGATAAGGTCCGAGTTATCGTCGAGCACGTCAAACCAATAGAATTGGCCATGGCATAACACAACAATGTGTTTCGAGTCTGGATCCTGTTCGATCTGGCAGCCATTTTCTGTTGGCACCCGAGCGGTGCCGAACAATCGTGAGTATTGATACATATCCAAAGGAACGCCCTTGACCGTATCTGGAGGCAACTCTTCTCGGCGAACGGCTCGCACGAACTCCAATGCCGATACGGCGAGAGAAGCCGCGCGAGTGACCTGGTTATTCCTCGCGGGAGTCGGGTCATCTTCTAACAGGAAGAATGGATTCAAGTTCAGGACGACAGGGTTGTCGAAATTTAGATACGAATCATACCCTACGTGCGTATTAGCAAAGTTTTTTCTTTCCTGTCTTTCATTACGGAGGGGTCGGGCATACAAAACTGCTCTATATAGCTTGTCTTTCCCACTGCGTACTCCTGTAGCTTCCTCTGAAGATCAGGCCCATCCCCTTTCAGAAACTCCTGGACGGCGATAGTTGTTTCGGCATGCTCCCTGGGGCTCTGTAGTGGCTTCAAGGCCGCCAGAAACTTTTTGCATGTTTGCTCTAGTTCTGGTATAGGAAGCTTGGGTAAGCTGTCCTGGCAAGCAAATGTGATACCGCCTTCTTTTGGTTTCTCTAGAATGGTTTCCATGATCGGCGCTCGACTTCTGAGCTCGGGGCTCGCGGGCCTTTCCCCCGTATACTCCGGAATCGAACGAGGAATCGACGCTGAGGAGCTAGCACTGAGAGTCTCGCCTAGAGACTTTGGCATAGCAAATATACGAACTTGAGTAGGCATCCTGTTAGCCCGCATCCAGCAGCTCAGGTGTATAAGGGCGAAACGCAGGTGCTGATGTTCAGGCCGCGCAAGGCTGTGCGGTAGAAGTAATGACAATCTTGAAGATAGTAAGGCGGCATTCCCACTTGAGGTGTATCCTAGCAAGAGAGGGAATGGTATAGAGCCATGGCGAGATTGGGGAGGGGGACACCTTTGAATAAAGAGGGAGACTACAAATCATCCGCGGGAACAGGTATTGAAAGGGGTCCAAAGTCGATGGGTTTATTGAGAGGGGGGGTTCCACAGCACTGCGGCCCGAGACTGCCATGTAGACCGAAGAGCATGACCAATTGTCACATGTGTGAACGTAATGTACTTCTAGCTAGGAGGGGTGCCATCCAGCGTGCAATGTCACGGAAAAGTAACATGATTGGTCATGGTGTATTGAAATGGGCTAGACACTCATCCGTAGGACCGACGACGTCTGATTAAGACGCAAGGAACCTGACGATCTGCCGAGACTTGGGTAAAGGTATCAGAAATGGGGTGGAATTCCACGTACCTCCAGCCAAGGCAGCAGCTCCAGCGAACAGCCGGACGAGCTACGTCCAATATTGAGACCGGTGTTATACCACAATTTCGCGCTTATTAGATTTATCAGACGACTCGAAGAGAGGACTTATAATCTGACGCCAGTTACCCCGTCTAGAGTCATGTTAGCACATTTATATAGGGGAGAATCATAAGCAACTGCATCAAATGATAGTTTTGGTTCCACATATGGCTAGACGCGGAACGAGCGAGGGAGGATGATGTCGAGCACGGTGTGCGAAGAGAGGGAGGCGGGGGGGGATGGATGAAGGGAGGGACGGAGGGTACCGTAACGTTTGGAATCCGCCCGGCCTGTTGCAGTGGCGATTGACGATTGCCAACCCCACGGGGTCAAGACCCTCGCGACTTGAGGACGACGTAACGAAGATTCCAGGTTGTCAGGTCGTGGGGTGGACTTCGGACCAGTGGATGGTCTCTGGTTGGGTACTCGGGGAAAAGGGGACCTTGCATTCCTCCCAGGATGTAGTAGTAGTAGGAGCCAAGATAACCCACCTAGTTTAGGAATATTAGGAGGAAGAAGTAGACCCTAATTTGAACGTATCCAAGTATGGTGCCACTAGTCCAAGAAGAACTGCTCTTGTTGTGGCGACTGATGAAAATGGAGCCCCGCTTCGAGTGTCGTCGGCATAGGCGACTGAGAATGTCTCGCGTCTCGCGTCTAGAGGAGCTCTATTTTGGAATCGTATTGGTATAAAGCTTAAAAGAAGCCAGCCAATGTAACCCTGAATGACGATGCACACCTAGGCTACCATAGGACGACAGCGGGGAGACGGAGCCGGGGGGAGGGCCAGGTTACGCGCTGCAGACCTGTGACCCGGGAATCTCCTTAACTGGAGACCTGCACCTCACAAGCGACCTCTAGGCGCCCAAGAAGACTTGTAATATAGTGGTCCGTAGAGATCGTTGTAATATCGTTATCGTGTGACGCGGGACAACGACGAGGATGAACTGCATATGCGGATAATGCAACGGTCGGAGTACTAGGCAGGCTGCCTCAACTCCCATGAGCTTGAAGGTCTCACAAAGCAGCACACTACATCATACACACCCCAGGGCTGATGGGCCTACCTGCTACGGAGTATAACGGCGTTGGTAGTTGAAGACTAGTTACGTCTCGTCCCGAATGCTTGTTTGCCGTTCGGCCGTTCGGGCAAGCTACCAGTCGAGGAGGCGAAGAGAGAGGAGAGAGAAAGAAAAAAGGCAAAGGGAAGAGGTGTCTAGTTGCCACTAAGATTCGTGATTGTGGGTGGCGCTTAGTCGAGTATCGGACAAACGGACCACAAGGATCCCCGCATTTGACGATGGTCTCGGGGTTCTGGAAGAAATAAGAAGCGCCTAGATAAGCTGCTGCTGGTCAACCTCGTCGGTTTCCCTAGAGATAGGGATGCTAGAAGTCCTAGTAGCCTAGGTGGACCAAGGAGACGCCGTCGACGAGTACGGCTATTTCAGTGGTAGTAAAGGATACCTTCGTCCGTCCTCGATAGCTGACGGGAGCGGCTGTCGTTGAATTGATACTAGACATGATGCGGACCGTGGGGGAAGACTGATGATGAGCCCTGACTCCTGATCCTTCTGAGTTGACGGGTTCGGCAGCCTTCGTTTGTAAAACCCAGGTATTAGTAAGCCGATAGGTACCTACCTTACTTAGGAGGTAGGCATATGTAGTAGAACCTTCGATGTAGGTACATGTGTTATGTTACAGATATACTAGTAAGGAGCAAGGGTAAAGGGGTATGGGGCGTTTGAGGGGAGTACCTGCCTAGTTTGATGCATCGGCTTTTCTGGTAGGTAGGTAGGTACCTGAGTACCTGCCAAGAAGTGGAAATCTACCTAGGTACCTACGTAGTAGGTGATGTTGGATATCATCATCGTCAGCACTTCATTCTACCTAGGTAATTAAAGGCAGGCGCTGCTGGGGGCAAAGGTGAAGCAACCCGGAATACACGAGATATTATATTCCATAATAAGGGACGGGAGCACAGGATCTGGTTGATTCTCGCAAGTTTTACTTTTCTGCCTCTCATAATTCATCAATATGTCTCATTACTCACCTCCTTGTTGAGAAGGCAACTGGGTTCTACGATGGGATCCGCAAGAGGTGAGGCGCACGGAGAAGGAGCGAAGCTGAGGGCGCCAAAACAGGGCAGAAGAGAGCCCATAACCGACTTTTAATACCTGTTTCACAACATTTCTTTTATTTCCTTGGTTGCGTGGAAGCGCTCTATACTCATACCTACGCAAGACGCCGACTCGGGGCCTAGGAGACGATAAGCCCTGTAAATAGGCTGCGCCCCCCGCGAAACAAAGAACGGAGAAACGAACTCTCACAGAGAGGAGGGAGGATCCAGAATGGACCCCGCAATGCGAAACGAAGAACAGAGAATGCTAGATAGGGAGCCAAAAGCTGTAAATAGCCTAGCCTAATCTAGCCCGCCCCCCAGTACCCCATGGGAGGTCACGGGATAGCCTCAGCAGGCAGTTCCCCATGGGCGTTAATAATCACTGCTGCTACCTTCTACCTAATTACACGATATGTTTAGTGGGTGTTTATGAGCAACATGAGTGGCACATTTTTTAACCCCCCTTTCCCTCCAACCCGGAAAAAAAAACAAAGCAAAACAAACCCAAAAAATCACCCAAAAGATGGAGCATCGCGGTCCTGATAGATAAATAGAGTTGCTTTCTTTACATACCTAACGCCGTCCTGGGTTGTCGTCTTCTTTTCCCGCGCTAGCGCAAGATTGGTTCACATAACAGGTATTCCTGCGTTTTAGTGAAGGGAGATTGTCTGCACTCCCTTGTTGGAGCTGTAGGGTTATGTACTTAACTTCCCGCGCGACGGGTAACTTGCACAGGATCGCGGAGAGCAGAAGATCGATGTCCGAAAGGTGGGCATCGTCACGTCAGCCACAATCCCGTTCGGATTCGGATCCGTTTTAAGTGGAACTCAAGTGGACGTTGGACGTCAAGCCGCGCTGGGGCTGGCAAGAGCTTCTCAGGACTGTCGATTTTACGGGTTCTTCGGTCTCGCATTCGCTTCGTTTGCAATAAACGGTCTAGTTTGTCTTGGCAGCTGTATCCCCGACGTCGCGACATTGCTTACCTTCCATGCCAGCTTACATCTACAAAGCCTGGATCAACATTGACAACCATTCGGAAAGCCCTCTCGAGCCAGTCATCGGTGATGATGGGGTCCTTCAGAAATTGGCATTGCTTCGTTAGCATTAGACAGGCCTCCTCTCGAGGCTGTGTCCACGTCGATCCTCAATGCTTAAAAAAACATTCTCACGGTCTAAGACACGGATAGGGGACGGTGTATATATACATACATACTCACATACACATATATATATGGCAATGCCTATACACTAGCATGTTGTTGCTCTCTCTTGGTACAGTCGTCGAGTCGACTTTTCATAAACGACAGCCGAATTAACACGAGAAAAAAACAGTCGACCATCTTCACCATGTTGAGAACTCTGGTGAAACGCGCGTTCGGTTCGATAGGTGGTCGCGGGAGTGAGGAAAGGCAGAGAGTGCTATGTTTGCACGAGAGGGACCTGACACAACCCGAGTCCAGTTCGCAGTCCACGGGTGAGGCTCCCCTCGTGAGGGCGTGCTCTCAGTGCAAAGAGGAAGGACGGGCAGCGTCGAAGTACCGGTGGAAGCTCGTCCTGTGCCTTATTCTTCCCTATTCTCTACAGGCTCTCGACGTCACTATGTATGTCAGGTCCGATTAGCAGTGGCTTGACGAGAAATCTAACAAGAGTCGTAGCGTCGCTAGTGCTTTACCATGGATCGCTGCTGATTTCGGTATGAAACTGCTGTCTGGTAGCGCTAGGTGGTTTAGTGGTTTGAGACCGACTGACGGCATCTTAGGCGAAATATCCCAGATGAATTGGATCATCTCGGCTTTCAACCTAACCTCGGCGGCATTTATTCCCTTCTGGGGACAGGTAGCTGATATATTCGGAAGACATTGGCCTCTGCAGGTGTGCTCCCTCATCATGCTGATCAGCAGCGCTCTTTGTACAGCCTCTCCCACCGATACTTTCGGCCTTTTTCTTCTCGGTCGAGCCTTGCAGGGGGTCGCCTGTGCCGGGTTGAACACGATAGTCCGTGTCATACTAGCAGACAACGTGTCCCTGAAAGAGAACGCGAAGAACTGGTCTCTGTTTGCCTTGGCAGGAGGCGTTTGCTATGGTATTGGGCCCGTCCTGGGTGGCTACCTCACTGCGGCCAATTGGCGGTGGTGCTTCGCTATTAATCTACCCATCGCGTTCGTCGGCGTTCTTATTGTCTTTTTCTTCCTTCGGAGAGACCTGCTAGGGCCACAGCCCATCCCCGAGCTGGACGGGTACGAGGTCAGTCGACGTAAGCAACTTGCCCGGCGCATCGCGAGCATCGATGTCGGCGGACAGCTGCTGTTCCTCCTGGGGTTCGGCCTGTTGATACTGGCTTTTACTTGGGCCGGCGCAACTTATGATTGGGACCACCCTGCGGTACTGGTGCCCCTCATCATCGGCACGTTTGCGGCGTGCGCCTGGCTCTACTACGAATACTCGATGGCCCCGGGCGGGGTGGTATTCCGCAAGCTCCCTCTTCAAAGGCCAATGATGCCCTGGAACTTGGTGCAAAACCGCAATATTAGTCTGTTATGCTACATCAACCTCGCCACGGGAATGGCCATGTATAGTGTAGGTGGGAGAGCTTCGGTGGCAGGTCGCTTTGTTAATTTCCCAAGGTCCTCTATTTCGTCGACCTCTATTTTACCATAGTCAAGGTAAGTCGTTCCAGCTGCAAAGGTAGTTAGACGTGTTCCCAGCCCGTTAACGCTGTGTCCAGGGTTACCATTCCGACAAGGCAGGCGTTCAGTTGCTGTACTACACGCCAGGATTAGGAGGTTTGTGGTAGCAGATCTTCACTCTAGTACCGCTGACCGACAATTTGTAGCTGGTGTGTATCTCTCCATGATCTTGTGCAATCACTGGCCATGTCAGACATTTCTTCCGCTTTTCCTCGGGTCCGTGGTCGAAGCCATTGGCGTCGGCATGATGGCATGGGCTTTGCACTACGAACATGCACCTACCATCTACGGTATGAGTACGTAAATAAAGCCTTCGGTCGAGTCCATTGCGCCCTCCCCCGCTCCTACAGCCTATCCCAGCACCAGCATCTCGAGCGTGCTCATCTTGGGCTGTATGACTTCACTTCAGCCGTCGTGAGACATGTTTCACGGCGCCAGAGTTTCCCGGGCGTAATGGCTACTAACTCGTCCAAGTGGCGCTCACCGGTGCGGGTACGGGGCTTCGCTTCATGCCAGGTATTGATATCGACCTTTTCTCATATTCCAGCAAGGACAGGGAACCCTAACCTCGAGCAGGTAGCCTCCACGCCATCGGGCTCTTCCCGGAGCATATTCCCGCCGTAGTATCCCTCATGGGTGTTGCCATGACCTTCGGGGGCACCTTAGCTCTCACGATCATGTCTACCGTCTTCAACAATACGTCGGGCAGCATCTCGCGCGACCCCCCTTTCCAGAGTGGCTACGATGCCTTGCATAATCTCCCCGATGAGCTTAGGATGCAGATTACTGGCGGCGCTAGGGTACATCCTCCCGTCATTGGCGTCCGTACTTCTCGACTTGGGGTCAACTGACTGCTAGATAGGACGGAATCACGTGGGCGTTCGTTTCGTTGACACCCTTCATGGCCATCGTAGGTTGCCTGCCACCTGCGCCCATCGCTTCTTGTTGCACAGTTAGCCCGCTGACCGCCAGTGCTCAGTGTGTTCTGGCATCCGCCTGCCTCGGAAATGTGCCCATCGGTGACTCCAATGCAGACGCCAGCGTCCGCCACTCGGCCGACGGGAGTTATTTGCTCTCCCTGCTACGTAGAAGGAGGGGCACGACTATAGGTGTCGACTGTGAAATGGAGATGATGTTTCAGCCGCAGGGAGAAAGCCGGCCGCGTTAACTGGACTGAGAGGACTGGCTGCAGCTGGTCTCCGGGCTCCGCCCACTCCCGTCAGAATTGTCTTTGATTCGTAATATTAGGATGCCGCCTAGACCGACACGTCGTGTTACCTATCCCATACGCGGGGAGGTTGTGCGCACATATTAAATCTCGACACCGCCGTCTGGTGACTTTAAGAGGCGCACCTGTCGGCTTGGGACAGGCAGCGCAGATCTATGCGGTCGGGACCGCACCGGGATCTGGCGAGCGGTGCGAGAGAAGCCCGTCATCTCTCTCCAACTGCCTTCGCGGAATGTTATTTGACGAGACGGCGGGATCTATTGATTCGGCAAAAGAAAAAAGGAGAAACGAAAAGCAACTCGCTGATAAGGAAATTCACCGGGTTCGGTGGATGTGGCGGCTCCGAATAATATGCTAATATACAACGTAGTAGACATGCAGGCGCCTCTTCCTACTCGTTGCCGCCGGCCGCCCGCGCCGTTGCTTTATTGATTCGCAGCACCTCTACTGTCTGCCGACTCTTGGTTCACAGCACTTCTTCCATTGCCTACTTAATCTCCTCCCCGCACCTCGAGGTTTCCTGCTATCCCTTCTTTGCCTGCTCAACTCGCACCTCGTCCGCGTATTTAACTCATTCACTACCTCGCCGCACCACCATGACTGAGTCTTGACTCTCTGAGAGCCCATACATCTACAACTACGCCCGCCGTAGCTTTATTTTACACCCCCGTACCCGAGGGAGGATTGCTTGCCAATCTTTCCTCTAAGCCCCCTATTAACTCGTGTATTCGCCCTAGACGTAACCGGCAACATGGCGATCGACTTCGGCTTACCCGGTATGGATGGCCTGAATCCTGACTTCCAGCTGGAGTTTGACGTCGTTAGCGACGGGCTCGACTGGGAGACAGCACAGGCACTGACGGAGAAAGGGAAGCACGCTCATCAGGGTCGGTTCGAGTACTTCCAATACCTACCACCCGAGCTGCGCCTAAAGATCTGGGAGTATATGATCGCGCCGCGGATCGTGACCATAGAATGTGTCCGGATCGACAGCATCGCCGCCGAACAAGGCGACTCGCCTTCCGGTAACGCGCGCCGTAGGTCTCCTGCCTGGGCTCGAGACGAGGTTCTCCCCGTCAGGGAGAGGGCGCCTATTGCAGTGCCAGTTCTCCTCAGCGTCTGCCGCGAGGCGCGCTGTGTAGCCCTTTCCCGGTACGAACCTGCCTTCTCCTGGAAAGCCCCCGACGTTTTCCTGTTCGACAGCATGGATCCGGACTCTGATGAGGAGATGGACGAATCCGATCTCTCCTCAAGCGAGTCATCGTCTTGGTCTCAGCCAGGCGTCTGGTTCAACTATGACCTCGACACCGTCTTCATCCGGGGCAAGCTAGAGCCCCGCGACAACTACGGCATGAGTAATCCAGTGGCCTTCTTCCTGCGGCGCGAGGATGCGTCCCGCGTGCGCAAGCTTGTCATCTCGTTTTCAGCTCTGCGCTACGGCCGCACTGCCACCCAACAGATATTTGGTGCGCTGTTCCACGTGCTCGACCGCTTCACGCATATCAGTACCGAGAAAGGTCGTGTTCTGTTCACCGTTAACTCGAAGGACGAATGGGAGAACTATCTCACAGGTGGAGATGTGCCTTTGGTCGAAGAACTCAAGTACTTATGCGCTGCGCTCAGGGCTGCGCAGCGACGGAACGTCAGGCGGGTGGTAGATGACGATGGAATCAATGCTGTCCAGAGGATCTGGCGCGACTGGTATAAGGGCACCGTTGTCCAGCCATCTATGGTGGATATGCAGTTCCAAATGATCTGCGAGACCAACCTTAAGCGGCATGTGGCAGAGTTGGAGTAAACTGTGGCGGTTGAAGGTGGCCGATGACGCGACGCCAGAGCGAAGACGGTGGCCAAACAGGGGTTTCCATGTGGGCTTTTTTTTCTTCACTTTTATATTCACGCTGTCCTGGAGTTGAGTGGTTGGGCCTAGTTAGTCCCAGAACTTTTCCTATGATACATGTATGTACCACGACGATTATGACTCAGCCGAACACTCCTTAGCATATCTTAACAGCTTTATCACATCTATTCGGCCTTCTCTATCGTGTATATTTGCCCCCTTTTCCTGAGACCCTGCATAAGGCGGGAGCACCACCCTCCGTCCGGCCTTTTATGCCTCCCAGGAGCCAATCTGTGAGGCCGACAACCCTAGCTCCTACGCCTTTCTCCCACTCTCCGTGCTCATCTACATGCTCGATGGTGTGGCTTATGATCCTCCCTTCCTTGTCAAACTCGAAAAGGAACAGGCCGGTGAATGCTTTCTTCTCCCCGATGGCCTGCGTGCCTCTGAGGGTCCCGTCCAGTTTCTGCTCCCCCTCCTCGGTCACGAGAGGGTCCCGGTCCTTAGATTTGCTGTCTGCTGTCCTCCATTTGACGACCAGCTGTTCGCCGTACGCCTCGGAACGCCTGGGCGAGAAGTGTAACGGATCGTTGACCATGCGCTCCGATAAAATCTCTAGCTTCACGTTGCCGACGATAGGAACTCGATTCCACGCTAATGGGGATGTCCACAACGCTGCCATGTAGGCGACTCTGCCCGATACCGTGGGGAGGTATGGGTATGTGGAGGGGAATAGGTGGAGCGAGATATGAGGGGATAGGATCTCCTGTGGTAGCGGAGACTGTAGTAAGGTAGGCAGTCGCTCTTGGAGTATACGCAGGGCTTCAGATATGGATCAGCCTAAAACACGGACATCCAGAGGAGGGCAGGGAAACACACTTCTCCCAAGCTTTATTTTACGCTCGTCTTCTGGTTGGCGTGAGCTTTTGGCCGACGATGGGCCCGACGGGGCAATGTCGTATAGCGGGAAAGAGGAATTGAACCATATCGGCGTGAGGTTTTGTTGCGGCGCTACATGTGCAGTGCTGGGAGAAGACGGCAAGGATATCGTTGACGTTGAAGTTGTCGAATAAGTAGACGAGGGAGCTTGGAGGAAGAATGAGGCGGCTTTGAAGCGAAGGGAGCGAAGGGCGTGGGTCTGCGCTCGAGCGACGCTGGTTGGGAGGAACATGTGTCTGGGGCCCTTGATGGCAGTGTTGAATAGGGTAACTCATCAATTCCCTTCGAGGGTTTTGTGCTGAGAGTATCCTTTCAAGCACAGCGGCACTGGCGTAGGTTTCCGTAACTCAACACAAGCGTGCGGGCGAAAATGGGTGGTAGATACATTAGGAGATGGGGGGTAGGTAGAACTAGAGAATGAATGGTATGATGTAAGTGAAGCTGGAAGCTTTCGAAGTTGAATTTTAACGTCCGGACAACCCCCCGATCAGGCTACCTAATGGCGGGGTTCCACTAGAAGCGTTATGTTAGGCACTAGACATAGCAGATAAGTACCTCTAGCTGCTAGTAGCTTAATCTAGTTTCTCCTATTTAATTTTCTTTAAATAATATAATACTAAAGTATATATAAATATATATTATTTAATTAAATAGCTTATTTTTAATAATAATAATAATTTATACATTTAATTAATATAAATATATTATATAATATAATAGTAAAATTAAATCAACTTAGCGAGTTCTTAATAAGGCTTCTGATAGAAACTTCTTTCTCTTTATTTTTCTTTATCTAGAAGTAGGTACTATTATTATAAGCTGCTGTCTATAAGGGTACATTACGTATGTAAAACATAAGCACAGATACCTCTCTCTCTTGAAGTTATGCATGTTAACCTGTGCGCTATGCACCTATTTGTGTGATAGATTCATTGCGCAGAAGGTACATGGTAGGTATAGGTAGGTACCTTATGTGAATAGGATGAAGAGGATATACCTCCTAGGCCACCTTATACATCAAGTGTCCTACTAATTACCTGCACGCTCTAGGTACCCCCAGATCAGTAGGTTACTTAACGAAGGATAGGTTCGATTCCTAACAGCGCTACTTGGTAGTCTTCGCTACTTAGCTCATCTCCCCCCTCTGTCGACTTCTACAAGAGAGGTAGGTACCTTAAGTACCTAAGGTACTTGCATCAAAGGCTGCACCCTAACCTTAAGTACCTACGTACACAGCTCCTTGACACCTGGACATTACCTAAGTTCATTCTAGTGCCGCGTGATTAGATCATTCTACCTGGAGGTGGTGGTGGCGGTCCGGTACCTAAGTACTGTAGACCGACTCTTATTACGTTAGCAGCAGGCATACGACCAGAACCCACCGGCCAATATACGGAGCGTATTGGGTGTGTGTGCACGGGGCAGTTGACGGTGAATGGCCCTGAGTGCTCCTTGACGTTCCTTGATGCAGCGACCTACACTTGTCTCAATTCTCCTTCTACATCATCATCAACATCAACGCCAGCAGCCGGCCCCTTATTCGTACATCGCCAGAAATCCTCGCACTTTCGCACACCACGCTCATCCCCTCTCACCAAATCTAGTTTTGCCTATCTGCGCTCCCTGGCTTATCAGCGCCCGATTCACCAAAGTACCTTGTTGTCTTCCAAAGGCAGGCAGCGCATCTGCATTTCGTCAAGATGAATCCTGAGTAGTACGTCCGCTTCCCCCAATACACCAGCGACGACAACATTGTTGACGACGGCAACGCTAATCCGTGTGTTACAGAGTCAAACTCTAGCCAGCCTCCCGTACCTTTACCTTTTCCCTCTTCCTATAAAGCTGCTGTCCTGCCTCAAACCTTCCACCAACACCCACAAGGCTGTACCATGAACACCACAACAGGCTCAGCCATGGCATTCAACGCCAGCAACAGCACTGACACCAAGGCCCTGAGCCTCCATCCTGCCAACCATGCCAAGCTTCAGGAGATCATGGCCCGTGACCAGCCCGTACTAACCCAGGCTGCCGATAGATACGACTACCTCTTTAAGCTGCTCCTCATCGGGGACTCCGGCGTTGGAAAGTCCTGCCTCTTACTCCGTTTCGCCGACGATACCTATACGGAATCCTACATCTCCACCATCGGCGTCGACTTTGTATGCTACCCCACATCTGAGAAGCCCCTCTCAAAAGCGATGCTAACTACGGATAGAAAATCCGAACCATCGAACTCGCCGGGAAGACCGTGAAGCTGCAAATTGTGAGATTGACAACTTTGATGATGCGAAGTGCCTGTCGCTGACTAGAGGAAAGTGGGATACTGCTGGCCAAGAACGCTTCCGAACTATTACTTCGTCCTACTATCGAGGTGCCCATGGTATCTGTGTCGTCTACGATGTTACCGACATGGACAGCTTCAACAACGTTAAGCAGTGGCTCCAAGAGATCGATCGATATGCCACCGAGGGTGTCAACAAGCTCCTCGTGGGCAACAAGAGTGATATGACGGACAAGAAAGTCGTCGAGTACACGGTTGCAAAGGTACTGTGTCCTCGCACCCTTGGCATATCACAAGCGCTTGGACTTTGCTAACTCGGTGTGCAGGAGTTTGCTGATAGCCTTGGTATTCCGTTCCTCGAGACCTCGGCTAAGAACGCCTCCAACGTCGAACAGTCTTTCTTGACCATGGCCCGACAAATTAAGGAGCGAATGGGATCGCAGGCCACCACCAACACCAAGCCAGGCGTCCAAGTTGGTCCGGGACAAAGTGTTTCCAGCTCGTCCAACAGCGGCTGCTGCTAGAGTAGCTAATCATGATACCCTCGTATGACAGCATCCTCGCATCCATTTTGATTTTCCCGGGACGGACTGGCAGTTAGGGCATGCAGGTGGTCAGGATGGCAAGGTAGAATGTGTTTGCTTCTCGCTTTTGACTGCGGATAGATGAAATGATCACTTCACTTGGATCCTACCTAGTCGCCGAGCCGCCCATCAACTCGTCCTGTAGGAAAGCACCGATTCTGACATGCGAAAGTGGGGCCGGCTCATAGTCAAGGCTGAGTCGTCTCTCATCAAAGATAGCCTAGTGTGATTTCCCACGACCCGGGTGAAGCTTGTTTGTGCTGGATTTCGTGTGGTTGCGTCTAGAACCGATGGCATTTCTGCGGATGGAGATGACTGTACGTTCATGTTTGTTTTCCGGGGCCTCGGAGTGACGGATAGAGAGAATGGGTCAACGTCCCGATCATCATAATTACAATGTCCTCGTTCGTTTCCACTCATGCAAGGCCGCCTTTGCGCAACAGGAGCTAGCTAGGTAGTCATGCAGGCTTATACACAGATATCATGCATTTCAATAACCGTGGTTGCGTGGATTAGGACGTAGACCTTGGGCGGTTATCTACTGTCCAAACGATTGGCTCCGGCTTATCACTCTCAGTTCAGAAAGGCGAGGGAAATTATCACAGGTATCACATCTCTAAAGAAAAGAATTCGGGGTAGGTCTCTTGAGCCGACTTCAGCTTGGGATTCTTCCTTCTATCCCGGAGAAATTTATATGAGGAAAGAAGTGACCTATGCTAGGAATAATTATCTATTTCAACATATACACATTGGGCCATCCGCGTCCATTCGTGTGTTCGAGTAGCGGTAGCGACAGTTACTGCACCTACGTATGGGTAATCCCGCCACCAGCTAGGTAATACGCAGGGTAAGCCACAGACGGGTCTGAACACATGAACAGGAAATAAGTAGGTAACGATGGTCGAAGAAAGACATGTCTTTCAAGCCCAAATACCGGCCCCTCACTCCGGATAAACAGCACGCCACGTTAAAAAGAGGCGTGTATAGAAGCGGCATCCTAAGCGAGAGTAAGAAGCGGTTTGGAATCGCGCTCGTTTTTTGGTTTTCGAGGGAGGGGGGGGTTGTAATCTTCTACAACGACTGGGCAGAATCCACGCGAGGACGTAGTGGGGCCGTTTAACAGTTGCACGAGTGAAGTCGACGAAACAACGAACCCCGTCAACCAGGCAACAGTAAGAGAACACGGAGCACAATATATCTAGACGGGAAAGGAGGCCGGGAGGTCACAGTGTCGCCAGACCCAACCACTTCAGCGCCTTATGGCTGTTTCCCTTCCTCGGACCGCCCCGTTTCCCGTAGAGGGGAATATACTTACGTTCCTCGGCGAACAACCCGTCATCTTCGTCGTCCCACGACTCGTCGGCCGAGGCCGAGGCCGAAGGGGAATCCGACTGTATAGTCACGGCGTCGGCGTCCACCTCCCGCCCGAGCACGATTCGCAATTTGTTCTTCTGGCTCCTCATCGACTTTACCGTCCGACTGCTCTTGGTAGTCTCCGATAGCGACCCCTTGGGCGATTCGGGCGGCGCCTCCCGCCGGGTCGAGCACTTTGAGGTGCGGCGGAACGGCGGGTCGGCGGAGAGATAGTTCTCGCTTGGTGGGGCATCTCCCGCCCGTCTCGAGAGATCTAGAAGGGCGGTTGCGCCGGCGAGCGGGGCGTATTGCAGTGCTGGGTCGATGAGAGGTGTCTGGGCCAGTGACCCACTTAGGGATTCGCGCTTGGATTCTTGCTTCGACTCTGGGTCTTCCCGTGGAGACGACTCGGGAGCTGCTCCCTCCGGAATATAGAAGGTCGATATGTCAATGAGAATCTTCCATATAGTGGAGATGAGGGTTGCGATCTCGGATTCGTTGGCGGACGAGGTGAGAAGGAAGTTAGCTTTGGAGAACGAGGGCATCTCGGCCTGCTTCGTCCCGGGCGGCGTGAGAAGAGTGGCATCGGCCCTCTTTCCGGCTGCCAGGATTCCGGACCCTGAATTTTGGGGCGAGTGGGCACTCGTGCGTGGTGGCACTTTGAACCCTGGGTATGGTCTTGGCTGGTTCGCCTCAGAATCTAAGATTCCCGCGACTTTGAGGAGGTCGACGCCCACCAGCCGCTGGAGCGCCAGTACGGTTGTCAGATGTTCGGGGGGGTACTCGAGCAGGAGAAATCGCGTGGTGGAGTTGGCGGCCATGTAGGTCTCTAGGTGGGGTATGATCAACGTTGCTAGGAGGAGTGGGTTGGAAAAGGGGTTGTCCTGCGTCTGGTTCGTCAGGGGCTGTGAAGTAAAAGCTTGCATGGTATTTGCAATCAGAAACCTTTGCAACGCCTAGTTAGCAGCAAATTTTACAGAGGCCTGGGCATCCTCACTAACCTCAGATCTAACCTCCCGCTCCGGGTAAACCCATTTGGTTTCGTGCCGAGCTTTTCCAACGAGCCGCTGATCGCACCGAGAAAATCCCTATTAACGCCCTTCTGCGCCCCGATGGCAACAATAAGGTCAACCTTCCGCCTTCGCTTTACGCCACTGCAGTCAGCGCCTGAGCTCGTTTCCCGAAAGACGGGTTTCCAAAGACTGCTGAGTTCGGGGAGCAAGGGGAAGGTGAATTGGTGGTATCCCGCGTCCTCTGGGGGGAAGTACAGATTCAGGACGGATCGTAGAGAGTTTTGCATACACACGGCTGTTCTACAGCCTGTAGTGGTAAACTCGTGGAAAAACCTTTCCGGTTTCTTTGAGATTGGCGGTGGTGGTGTTTGTACGGGCGTTGGTGGTGTGGAAGGTTTGTCACTGCCTGTATGCCGCTTGGACGGCGAGAAACGAAATGAGCGGAACCGCTCTTCATATGCGAAAGGATCGTACTCATCCATATCCGATCGGTGAACCTCTCCATGTTGGACCTCGCTCGCCGCCGGCGGTGCCGCATTCGGCTGGCACGAGCTCTGTATGCTAGGCTGGCTGCGGTCTGTCTCCGCTTCCGATACTGATGGCCACGTAGATTTGGGGTATATACCTTCTTTAAAGGCTTGGATCATGTTTCTCAGCTGCAAGTCGGATTCTTCGTCCCTGAAGTGTATTATGAGGTCTTCGAACATGGGCAGGACTGGTTCGAAATGTCCACGCGTATCGAGTTCGGTATTGTGCTCAAACTTCCGAGAGATATGTGCCCCCGTATCAGGTTCAGGGCCCGCGGGGGCCGAGTCCGTACTTGTACTTCTGTCCTCGTAGGTGTATCCAGTATTTGTTCCACGGTCAACATAACATGTCGGCCGCTTTATTTGGTCGCTCAACTTGAGGGGAGACGGAGGGCTACGCCTGATTATGGTCCTACTCGGCGTGCCAAAAGTCGGTCTTGGTATTTTACCGGGGAGGCTGGACTGGGGCATGGCTTTTTCTTGCTGGCTCGGTGCTGGGACGGGGCTGTCGGATGGGCTAGATAGTTGCGAGGGAAGGGGCAGTGAAATATCCTGGTTCCGAATGGCGCTAGTGTACACGCGATCGACCGACTTCGTTCTCTTATGGAGAGCAGTTATGGTAGATGTTAAGGTAGATGACCGAACATCGACCGCCAAGGCTTCACATATCCCCACCGGGGTAGTAGATGTCGACTCGAACCCGAGAGAGTGTGGACTCGACAAATCTGCACTTGCGGGAGATAACCCTGTCTCGGCGTATTCCTCCCCAGCATCATCCGGACAACTATAGTGGCTCTGTGGACCGGCCGCCCGATATACGACTGAATCAGTCGCTCTCCGGACGACCATGTGCGAATCTCGGCTAGAGCAACTTTGGTGGGGACTCCGAGGCCGACGAGAGCCGCGGTTGATTCCCTTCAGGGTTCGACGAGCTCCGAAGACGTAGAAAGGGGCAATGTGCTGGAAGTCATCCGCCATTCGATGGGTCGGTACGCTCATGCTTCGGGGTCTGGCCATAGCCGCAAGGTCGATCTCGTCGGAGCCCGGCTGCAGAAAAGCCGTCTCGAGATCGAGAGCTTCGGCAGCTTTCATTGCCTTCGTCCTTGGGTCCTCCGGAAGCTCCTCTTGTTGACTCAACTGGTTGTTCGCAGTGACTGGTTGCCTCGACTGAGAATCCGCTCCTATCCTACGGCCACTCCCCAACCCGGCAACCCCGTTCCGAATAAGCTTGTTGAATATATGCTCGGCCTTTGTAAAATCTCCACCAGTTAAGTGTTTGCCTATATCGGCTATACATTCCGCCTGGGCGCCCGCCGTACCCCCGTCCATGAAAACAAGCCGTTTATTATTCGGGGTAGAATTTTGCAAAAATAATCGTGCTAATTTGACTCTATCACAACATGCCCTGTGTACGGCCTGGATGTGTGATCGAGCATCGAATGGGGTCTCTGGGCCGCCTTGCTTGATGAAGGAACGAACTGGTGGTATAAGTAAAATCTTGGGGGAGTTCGGAAGCAATCGCAGTTGGGTTGAGAGGACATCCTGAGGGCCTTCAAAGGCAACCAAGCTGCCGTGATATTGGGATGTCGGATCCATCACGTCGTATGAAGCCTATTGCGAAAATACTGACGATTTGCACTATACACGCAGACTACTCAGAGGTATAGTCCACGGACTCATGTATTCTGGTCGGCAGACTGAGTACCAGTGCTGGGCGGTACCCCTCGAGTCAATAAGGCTTGTAGCTGGCCCTGGTGACCTAAAGAAAGACAGACAATAGATGTGGCCGGACACGGTATATTGTCAAGTCTCGCCATCCAACCGGATTTGGGACTCTCACCCACGGAAGAAAGTGTATATAGGGTCTCGGAAACTGACAGGTACAGGCAAGACTCGAGAGTGAAGAATTTGAATGAGACAAAAGGTCTGTTGGGATGCCTAGAGCAACCGAGTAACCTGATTTGTAGACATCGATACGTCAGGAAAAGCGACATTAGCGCAATGAAGGAAGATCATATGGGGGCGGGGGTAGTAGCATGTCCAGGAAGCGCATTAGGAGGAGGATGTGATAGGTACAGTACCTACCAACCTGCCTACCCCTTGGGATATATCGAATACCATCCTGGTGGTAGATGGCCTCGGAATTCCGCACATGCTATGTACTACGGTATGCGGTGTCTGGCAGCAAAGACATAGAAGCCAAAGGCGCTTGCTAGGCCACTTCCCATGCTTCCGTGTTCCCTTTTCTTTTTCTTCTTCACCTTCTCTTTGTCCTCTTCTTTCCCTTTTTTGGTAAAAGAAAAAAACAAACCCGTCTTCCTCAGGGGTGGCAACGGGTAGCCGCACAGAATGCGGGAGGTAGTGGCTAGGTATAGCCGTTGAGGGTGAAATGTCAAATGCGGGTGGTATGTGAATATGGAAATCTTGTTAGCCAAGGAGGACATTGCGCGTTCCCAGGGAGGGGGGATGATATCCTTGGCGTAAGAAAGGGGGGGTTGAAGGATGGCGTAACGCTAGCTTACACTGTAGAGGTATTGAGAGACCAGCACTTCCCGTCCCGTTTGTCAGGTGTCAAGGCCAGAATTCGCCATCGGGTCTATATTACACATTTTGTACTTAAACCCGTCGGCCCGGAGAGACTTGACGTATTATGTTCATCATATTCAGGCACGGGGTACGGATTATGGGATCGATAAAGCAGAACTTGACGAAAGGGGGAGGGTTGAAACATTAGGGTCGAGGTGTCGAGCTTGGTCCTCGACTGAGACATCGATTGAATCCTCAAGCTAGTAGTAGTAGGGTGTGCAGCTGCAGGTGTAAATAGCGTGGACGTCCAGAGGATAGAGAAGAAAAGAGGAAAAAGGAAAAAGGGAAAAATAATTGAAAAAAGGGGGCAGGGGTGGGGAGGTAGGGAGGGTGCTCAATTACCGGGTCGCGGTTTAGACTCAGACACGCAGATAACAGATGGACCGAGTCGAGAGAGAGAGAGAGATGGAAGTAAGTTCCCGTTGGTATCAGAGAGGATGGTTAGGTAGTCCTTTGGCGCACATTCGCGTTGTTGGCGGCATCTTCACTCTAGGGATAGAATGAAGAGTAGGCATCTACTCACGACCTACGTCGGGGCAAATTCACGGGGGTCCCTTTCATCGCATAAGCGCATAGGCGCATAATCTGGGATTTCGCTTGGCTGGGGGGCAGGTATGTTAGGTACCTACCTATATACAACTACATCCATGGAGAGGCGCCTCGAAGGGTGGTGAGAAGGTCATGGAGGATCTTCTTGTATTAAAAAATAAATAAACCTTCGAGCGACAAGTCAGGTCTTGCTCCACCACATGATATCCGTAGCTTCGAGGCCATGCTCCTAGGCCGCATGCGTTTTCTCCTTCAACCCCTGCAGCGACTATCCACCCAGGACCGTTTTCTTTGGTCTGCATATGTATGCGTCTTGCATGTTATGTCAGACGCTGTCGGACATGGGTTTGGTGACCTGCGGAGAAGCTCGTGGCGGTTGCGTAGGGGGTCTAATTGTGCGCCTTACCAAGATCGTCTCGCTGGAGGCCAGTGATCGTCTGGGCTTCATTCGAAAACCCGTCTGGCTGGTAACGCAGTAGGCAAGGGGTGCCAAGTGCGGCGCTATTACAGGCGTGATGCGAGGTCTCGACGGACTCAGGTGCCCGTGGGACGGCTTCACGCATACAGCCTACCACGCAGCATCTGGCTTTGCAGCTCTTGGTGTGGACAAACACGATACATCACACCTGCTGACGGAGCAGTCGGTTTCCTCGCCATCGCCGAATCCTGAACGTACCTAGATCTCCACCTACGGCTGCATCCTGGTTTGACGCCCGCGAGTGCGGACATACGCAGTATTGAAGGATTGCTTATTTCGTCGTTCGTTCCAATATATGCATGTATGTACAATAGCTATCGGGTGATGCAGCCAAAGGCGAGCTCGATCTACGCCGGGGAGTCCCTGTCCATATCTTGTGCTGATCGAATATCATCAGTTGACTGAGTGCTTATGCGTGGTACGCTCAAGCTACATACCTACGTTCTCGTATTGGCGCGCGCAGACTTACGTAGTAAGCGTATGAGTTACCTACACGCCTGCTATGCCGGATCTCGATATTACACGTCTCGGCTATCCGCGTACGTCCTATCTCTGACTTACCCTCCTCAGTCCTACCGTTGACCTAGGCTCGGTTACCCGGAGCAAGCAAACACAAGATATTTCGAACGGTCAAGCTCTCCAACGACATAACCCATGCTATTTGCATGCACCTAGCCAACGCTGGCTGCGCCAGACGCACCTACTATGCAGCTGCACTCTCGGGTCTCCTGGGGCCCCAGACCATTCGGGTTCTATGGAATCCGGCAACCTAGTTGGCGTGCCGTCTGGAATCAAGTTATGCTAGCAACCTTCGCGGGACGCTACTCGACCCGCTCCCATCGATCCGAGCAAGGGACCGCGAGGTATAGCGTGCCATCTCACTGTCTAGCGACGGCACGGGAACGTGTTTCATCGAAGTAGGACAACCGAGCACCAATATGTGGGAGGAAATTAAGATTGCACCCGACACCCGGCGGGTACGACATTCTGCATGTTACATCACCTCGTGGTTATCTTCACGGTCATACCATTTAAAAGAGAGGGGGGGGACCACTCTCATCCCGTGTAGCCGTCAACTAGCAAGCTGTGCGCCGTCTCGTATGTGGGAAGCCGTTGAGTTGCCGCCAACCGACACGGCAGACGTCTTAGGCCCGTCGAGCTGGTCTTACGACACCGCTAGATATCGAAGCCATCTAGTTCCGGCGGTGTACGCATAGGTAGTCGCACTTGGGCTAGAGTCATCGAGTGGCAGGTGGAGGGGACCGCTATCATACCGACGGGAACAGTTCTGGTGAGGGTTTCAATGCCTCAGGTACTTAGCCGGCTACCGGAAACCATTCCAGGAGTAAGTTAATCATCCTCCTCCATCAAGGCAGCAAGCTCGGCCTCCTCCTCCGCGGTCATGAGACTCTTCGTTGGTGCTGGTGGGTCCTCCTTTGCAGCGTTCTTGGCCCTATCTTCTCTTTCCTGGTTGATCTTGCTAAGGCCGGCTTGGTCAAGCGGCCAGGTCCGTACGGTTCCATCGATAGACACCGAGGCGACTCTTTTGCCCTTATCGAGGACGATGAGATCGGTAACCTCGTCGTAATGGCCCTCCAGAGTGCAATACAGCTTCCCCGACGAGCGATCCCACACTTTCACGTCCTCGTCTCTCCCTGCAGTTATCACCCACTGATCTGTCACAGCAACTGCCCGTACATGGTCGCCATGACGGATGGAATCGCCGGTAGCGAACCCTCTGAGCCGTGATAAACATTTTGCCGTGCCGTCGCCACTAGATGTCCACAGGTCGACCTCTTCACCTTCGTGGTCGAACACGACTTTGTATACCGTAGTGTCGTGCTCTAAGATCGCGTGACGCATAGCGCCAGGCTCGTCTGGCGATGTCTCCTTGACTTGCTCAAACCCATCGGATCGGATGCGCCATCGACGGATGTGGGGATCGCTGCTGGCACTGACGAGTACGATTTCGTCGGGTCCTGACTGCACTGGGTCGATGACCAGATCTTGGATAGCCATCATCGACACCGTCTGGTCTTGCAGCACGTAGAGCCGGGTGCCCGTTTCGACATCCCAGACTATGATCTTCTTGTCCGCACCGCCGCTGATGAGGATATCCTTACCTTTGAGCTTGGTAGCCACGAGAGCCTTCACAAAATCTGTGTGGCCGCTGTACTTGAAACCCGGCGTCTTCGACGTCAAATCCCAGGACCAGACATCTCTGTCCCAAGAGCCGGCGAAGAGCGTTTTATTGTCCGCACCACCGACAGTAACGCAGGTTACCGGCGCGGACGGGCCCCGGAACGCTTGCCGCGTATCCCCTGTCTAGAGTATGTAGTTGAGCAAAGACTCTGGATGTTTTTGTTGTCGACTCGGCTACCAGAGTCACTTACATCCACATTTACTTTACGAACCGACCCGGCAGACTCAGCAATGAGAATAGAGGATGGGCAGGTGGGGTCTGGCACGGCGGCCAACAGCTTCGACTTGAGTGCAATGGGGTTGCCGTGCTTGTTGCCTGCTTTCGTCGCTCGCCTTTCTCGCTTGGCCTGGTCGGCGCTATTCGATAGGTAATAACACTTGGTTAAAACACACCAGGTCCTAAAAATGAGGGTATTGAGACGGACGACGTACTCGGTCTGGAAGAACTGGTCCGCGGATGTCCCTTTGTACATGGCGGCAACTACGAGAGCGAATCCTTAGGTCTCCGCGGGGTTACGAAGGCAAGGGTGTAAATCGCAGAGAAGCTGGGGCAACGAAGAAGATAGTTCCCCCAAACACACGGACGCAGGCATCCACCATAAAATATCAGCGTATAGGTAGGTGATGATGCCCTATGGCGTAGAGCTAGGTACTCAGTAGCCGTCTATGCAAGTATTCGGATTCTCCATGTAATTCTTGATGTTTATCAATATCAGCCTGCTTATGTAGCAATTTGAGAATCTAGGGGATTGAAGGTATCCTATGTAATCTAACGAGGATGCTATTTAGCTAGGACGGATTAAGGCGGACCTTATCGCTAGGGTAAGTCTTATCGCGGAATGAGAGGTACCTAGGTACTTTGGGAATATAGTACGGCGCTCTGCTAGGTACCTGCCTAAATGATTACGTAAAGCAGGTAATTAACGGTCGACACGCGACGCGTTCTGATAAACGATAACACGAATGCTGTTGAGGACTTACTTACTGGCTGGGCCGGGTAGCTTCGTCGAATATCAAATCCTCAGACCCCCGCCCCCCTTCCACTCCCGAGTCAGCAGATGTCTGTGTGTCGAAGCGAGAGAGGAGCGTCGAAATGGCATCAACTGCACCCCCTCGACCTCGAGCGCGGCCTGCCCATACTCAAGGCTCGACCCATTGCGCCTATACCCCTGACGGGACCAAGCTGGTCACCGTAGGCTCGAATAACACGATCCGACTCTATAAAACAGGGTTTGACGGAGAGCCCGTCAACATCGACGATTGCCAAGAGCAGAACCTGAGCGTGGACGCCTCCAACGACTTCTTCGTCGTTGGATCCGAGGATGGTACCGTCAGCCTCTATTCGATTCCCGACGCCGCCTTCGACAAGTTCCTCCTCCGCTGCTCCCTCCCCGTCCGTGACGTTGCGCTCTCGCCCGATTCGAGGTGGTGCGCTGTGGCTAGCGATGAATTGACCGTAAAGCTCGTCCAAACGGAAGACAACAGCAAGATACTCCATCTTAAGGAGCATAACAAACCCACCAAGCACCTCGCCTTCGACACCCAAGGGTCGACTATCACTCTAGCCTGCACTGATGGGGTCGTATACGTGTATTCGCTGACCCCCGACGAGCCAGAGCTTCTGCGGAAGGTTGACGGTGTCATCGGGGTGCTGGAGACGGAGTCGGACGTCAGCTCTAAGATGGTATGGCACCCAGATGGACGGGCCTTTGCCGTCCCCACCCCAACCAGGGATATTCAAGTCGTCTCCAACCACGACTGGGAGAAGCAGCGGGCCTTTTCGCACGGCCATAACGGGGATGTCACTGCCCTGGCATGGTCTCCGAATGGCGCACTTCTAGCCTCGGCCGGCAAGGACAAGAAGATCCTACTCTGGGAGACCAAGACTCAGGGCGTCATCGCCAGGCTCGACTACGCCAACGTGATGGATATCGCATGGCACCCGACCGATAATCTGGTATCTTTTACTAACTCGGATGGCGAAGTCTATATCCATCCGGATTTCGTACCGGAGCAGTTCACACCCTTACTGAAGCTCGGAAAGCAACCCGCGCCCTTCATCCATGACCCTTTAACCGAGATCTCGGTCAATGCTAGAAGACCCGAGCCCCCTAACGTAGTGGTGCGCAGGCCGCGTAGGGACTCGGCCGGCAGTTATGACTCTCTCATGGACGGCCCCTTACCTGAGGACGCGGACTTTGTGGAGGATGACGACGGGGCGGGCTACGTGATTAACGTAAACGGCAAGCGCGTGCATGATGTCGATGTTTTTGGCGAGCCGTCCAGCAAGCGCTCGCATCTTCTCGACGCGGGGTATCACGAGGCTTTCCAGCCAGGGTCGACGCCGTGGCGCGGGAACCGGAAGTACCTGTGCTTAAATCTTGTCGGATTCGTATGGACGGTCGACCAAGACGGGCATAACACAGTCACGGTAGAGTTCTACGATCACGAATTCCACAGAGATTTCCATTTCACCGATACCTTCCTTTACGACAAGGCCTGCCTGACCGAGAACGGCGCCCTGTTCTCCTGCCCGCCCCGAGACGACACGCCAGCAACCATCTTTTATAGGCCGCACGAGACATGGACCAATCGCGCGGACTGGCGGACACAGTTGCCAAGGGGCGAAGCTGTCCTTGCCATATCCCTTAGCGACTCTTTCGTCACGGTCACCACGACCGCGAACTACGTCAGGATTTACACCCTCTTCGGCATCCCGTACAAGGTATATAGGCCGAAGAGCACCCCGATAGTCACTTGCGCGAGCTGGAGAGACTACGTCATGACGATCGGCAATGGCCCCGTCAGCGCGGACGGATCCACGCGACTTCTCTACACGATCGAAAACGTCAAGAGGGACGAGATCTGCCAGAACGAAGACACGGTGGCGCTTCCAGATGGCGCGACTCTGAAGAGTGTCTTCTTCTCCGACAATGGCGTAAGTGAAGATGGCGATGTTACGCCTCTACGATCCAGCTAACTGAGGGGCGGACTAGGATCCATGCGTCTACGACTCCACGGGAACGCTCCTAACCTTGCTACACTGGCGGCGGCCGTCCGGGGCATGTTGGATACCGCTCCTAGACACGAAGCTGCTGCCGCGCTTGGCGTCGGGCCGGAAGATGGAAACGTATTTCCCGATCGCGGTTGCGGATAGCAAATTCCACTGCATCATCCTCAAGGGCACGGACCAGTATCCGTACTTCCCGCGCCCGCTGCTCTCCGAGTTCGACTTCTCCGTGCCGCTGACGTCGGAGCCGCCGAGGTCGAAGCCGAAGCCGAGCCCGGACGCGATGGACGACGACTCGCCCGAGGACGAGGGCGAGTCGGAGACGCGCAAGCTGGAGCAGCAGTACCTGCTGAGGGGGGTGGCGGCGGCGCAGCTGCGAGACCTGATCGAATCGACCGGCGGCGGCGGGCACGCGCAGCGGTCGAGCCTGGCGCGGCTGGAGCTCGAGATCGACAAGACGCTGCTGCAGTTCCTGGCGATCGAGTGCCGCGAGGGCGAGGATCGCGGGATGCGGGCGCTCGAGCTGGTCGAGCTCATGCGCGACCGTACAGGCCGCATGGTGGAGGCGGCCGGCAAGGTCGCCGAGAGGTACGGGCGCTCGATCCTGGGAGAGAAGATCCGCGAGATCGGCGAGCGCCGCGTCAACGCCACGGACGAGGACGATCTGTAGCGTGGCGCATAGCCGCACTTGGCTTCCTCGGCATCCTCGTTTTCGGAGGGGTGGTTGGGTTGCCCCTATAAATCAGGGGCCCAACCCCGTGGCAACCCGGATCGGGCGGTCGTAGGCAAGGGAAGTATGCGAGGACGGAAGGGGGCGGTGATGCAACGGAGCATAGTACGATGTTTCCACGGAGAGCTTGCATATATGCAAAGACGAAGGGGATGTCATCGTTGCAGCGCTGAAACGATGTGCACTCGATGATGACAGGATTCGAGGCTACCGGGACGATGAGAGCCCAGCTAGCGTCGAAGTAATAAAAAGGAGGTCGTAGGATGACCTAGCATACCATCGTTATTCTACTTTTCTACCGGGACAAGCTTAGGTTGTCGGAATAGCTGGTAGTAAGTCTCCCAGTCGCTAAGTTAGCCCTGCTCCTGGCTGGCTGGCCCTCTCTACAATGAAGGGGATTTACGTGGGTAATCACATTTCCGCCGACCGCAGTAATTGACAAGACGACGGAGGCGAGCTGTGATTTGGACATAGGCATTTCTCGAGTAGAGGAGAGTCGGGATCCCGCGTAAAAATGCTCACATCTCGACAACATTTCCTTCGCTCGAACTGGTAGAGAGGGAGATTGTATGGTGTTCCGGGTGGAGGTTGTCGCTATGTCGCTTTACTGGAGGCTGGAGGGGTAACCAAGAAAGGAGACTGCACGATCTCTACCTACCTCCTACATAGGAGATACCTAAGAGGTAGGTGCCTACCTACACGTAGAGGAATCTCGAGGAGCCGAGAGGGCTTCTCTGAGTCTTTCACCCTTAAAACGCCCAGCCAATGGGGGAATGGCAACGGTGCGTATCAGGTAGGTACAGGTACCTCTTACAATCTACAGGCCCAATAGGATAGGTACCTTAGGCATGTTAGGTACCTCCTAGGTGCACGAATTTGGTACCTGGGCAGGTACCTGCGTGTACGCTACGCAAAGTAGAGGCTAGGTACCTACCTTGCTTGGGCGCCCGCCAGAGGCACCCATGTTTGCATATCAGCATGTAGGCACGGATCTACACCATGTCAGCCCCCGACCGATCTTCCATCACCTGCAGTTTTGACAAGTGCCACGCTTATCCGCGCGCTGACTGACAGCGCCCATCTCATCCTAGTCGGGCGTGATATCTCCGTGCCGTGTCTTGAATCTGGCCACGCGCCTCCAGGGGCTGCTCCAGGTCAGGAAAAGCTGCGAGGTGACGGCATCTTGTCTGGGGGGGGGGGGGGGGGGGAGCATGGCGGCGCCATCGTCAACCCCCCACGCGAGGCGCGAACCCGGATGCGCCCACGCCGATGGCACGTCGAACTTCTGCGGCAAATTGGAAATTTCCCGTTCGAGATCGTCCCCGTCCAGTCCTCAGGGTCGCGCGCGCACAGGACCAGAGGGCGCGTGCGTGGTCGACGGGCCAGAGTCTCTCGAGGCCGGATGCGGAATATGACGGGCTATACGACGGTCGTATAATGCCCAACTGAGTCGACGTGCAGCAAGGGAGGTCGACAAATGCAGAAGACATGGCGTGGTTCAGTCCTAACTTAAGACTGGGTGTGCAGTGTTATTGCACCCCCCCCTGCAGCTTTTTCTGCCGCTTTTCTTAAATTGAGGACATGGAGCCAAGTATCACGAGGAGCCGTACTCTCGTTGAGAATATTTCCATATAGGTACTACTACCTTACAATTTCTTGTCCACACCGAGAGAGTACCAGGGGAGTGCTATATGTTGGTCTGTGATAGAGTTGCTAGGTACCTACCTAGGTAGGTACTAAGCTATCTGTTTCGTTTCCTTAGCACCGGGAATTCGGAATAGAGAGAGTTGACATACGTATAGCACCAGAACGGGCGTTGCATGGTGTCAAGAGTCGGCGACAGGAGGTATAGGTACCGAATCTACTACCTTCGAGGTAGTAGAGGTGTCAATAAGAATATGACAGTATATGGGAGTCGACTCTTTGGGGGGAGGAAGAAGAAAAAGAAGAAAAGGGCCCTAGGCAGGTAAGTTGTCTGTCTACCTACCTAATATATAGGTAATACCATGGGTAGTGACCTACCCGCTACGTATGCACATAAACGGGTAACTATGCCTATAAGCTGCTACCTCCTCCTACGAGACCGATAGGCGTTGGCCTTCCCTCAAGCACGTATTCCTCTTCGTCGATATTCGTTCGCCTTAGTTAGCTAACTCCTTATTAGCTCGCCATTTCCGGGACGCCGAAATACATGGGACGACGGATGCTCCTTGAGGTGGCGTATTTTCCCCAGTGAGCGTTGGCAGGCCAGTCCGGCTAGCAATACTACACGTCGTGAATCCTACGAAGGAATCAGTCTGCGTCTGTATCCCAGCATCGGTGCAGAGGACAAGCCATGACGGGACAGGGATGAGAACGCCCACGCCCTTACTGCACGTCGCGCCAACCCCAGAACACGTCGGGGATATCTGGTACTATACGTAGTACTATTTGTGTCCATGTAGGCATGCAGTAAACCCGGCAGGGAGAGAACAGTTGCGAAACCCGCTCCTTTGGACCTCCTCGTCCCCCTCCTCCTCCTCCCGCTCCTCCTACGCATTGGCGCGAGCCGGGTCCTCTCGCGCTGCGCACCGGCACGGCGCAGCCGTCTTTATATTTAACTCGCTGCATGTCTCCAGCCGGCGGCAAGCTTCGACGAGAATATGCGGGGATAAAAGCGTGGGGACGCCGTTCTCATAGCCCATCCACCTCCCCCGACGACTCCCGTCCCTTAATTATGACGACGACGAAGACGACGAAAACGACGACGACACAGTGGCTGGCGGGCGAGTAGTCAAGTTGAACCGGTTTCTACTACGCTACACCTACCATGCAGACACCCAGCTACCAGCTTAATATAATAAAGTGCCGCGTAGGAAGCTACACGAGCATACCTCTCCCCTGACATAATTCACGCCGCCTCTCGTTAGTAACCCGAGGATGACCGCTGGTAGCGAAGCAGAGCTGATCCGGCTCATGACGGCGTACGACAATTCCCACGAACCGAAACCGTCCTTCAACCACCCGGCTACCGTGTACGGCTTGGTAATCCCATTCATGGTGAGATCCATTTTTCTTCTCGTTCTCTGCTTAAAACCGTCACCTGTTGAGTGCCGATGGCTAAGTACGGTTGCCGTAGACTATCTCATATGTATGCGTGGTGTTGAGGATATATACCCGTATCAAGCTAGATTGCTTGGGCTGGGATGATCTTTTCGTCGTCCTCTTCAGAGTACGTAGTCTCGACAACGATGATAGCAAAGCCAATGGCCCGCCAGCCCGATCCTTCAAAGCCGTCTAACCATTTGACGTCGATAGATATCGGCTACGATTGGCACTGTATTCCTATGCTTGTGTATGGTACTCGGTCCATATCCGTAGAAGACGACGGTAGCTAACGGCCAACTACCTTACAGCCCTGAATAGCGGCTTTGGAGAGCACATCTTGACAATCGGTTATGCCAACATAGTCGAGTTTCAAAAGGTAAGCAAGCCTATGTTGAGTCTTCGCACCCCTCTCCCCCTCCTCCCCTTCCTTGCCTCCCTTCTACCTATGCCTTTGACTACTGACAACAGTTCCAGAAATTCTACGTATGCCTAGCCACCTATACTGTCTCTACAACTCTCGTGAAACTATGCCTCTTGTCGCAGTACCTCCGCATCTTCGAACCCGGAACCCATTCTAGGCTGCTCTGCTGGATCGGATTAGCCATCTCGGCGGTCTGGGGCGCCGCCTTCTCCTTTTGCGCTTTATTCCCGTGCTTCCCCGTTTCCGGCTTTTGGGACTGGGCGGAGCCGGCGCACTGTTACGGGTTCGGCTCTAAAGTGCCCTCACAAATCGCGGGGATGTTCGCGGGTCACACCGGTTCCAATGCTGTCTTAGACGCTATGGTGCTCGCCATCCCCGTACCGTTGTACTTTAAGGGGTCGACGGCGTGGAGGCAACGGTTAGGGGTCGGCATTCTCCTCCTCCTCGGCCTAGTGTATGTTCGGGATACTCCCTGCGAGCTGAGCGCTCGCTTGTTGCTGTGCTTCCTACCACTAACCACGAGTTCGTAGTGTCAACCTCCTCAGCATATGGCGCCTGCAAAGCATTGTTGAGCACAAGGCTGGCACACACCCGGTTTTGGATCCGACGTGGTACGGGCCCAGGAGCATCATCCTAGCCGCTCTCGAAGTCGACCTTGCCAGCATCTGTGCTTCCATCCCGACCTTCTGGCCCGTACTCGCCCGCTTCGGCTTGCTCGGCACCATCTTCGTCACGCAAGAGGTCCACATCACGCGTCAGCATCGTCGCATCTCCTGCGACTCCGAAGATAGCCAATACGGGCTGAGGCAACCGTCACAACAGCAGAACGGTAACCATCTTGACGCTGACGCGGGTCAGGACGCCGTTAACACCTACGCCGTGAGACTGAAGGCTATGAGAGCGGTTGCACACGATAAACATTACCAAGACGACTTTGTCCTCGACAGCGTCATCCCCCCCGGTGTGTACGACAAGGAGATCGCAACTCGATCTCAAGTCAAGTCAGACGGGCAGCAGGGATTCGAGAGAGAACGAGAGCGTTTGCATCTAACCATTGCGAAGAGCGACAGAAGTAGTAAGTAGTGCGGGGAATTACATAGGATTGCTCTGATGAAACGTCTGGGAGCCCTAGGATTTCGTAACCATACTCTTTTTGTTCAAAGATACCCTAAACTTGAATATCTTCCATCCATGCCTATCCCGTCTCCAGAGACTTCTACTTAGGAAACCTCGCCATCCAGTACGCAACCGAGACTCTGATGCCCTCGTTAGTCTATAGGCCCCTCTCAAGATTTGTCCTCGACGCTTGACACAGCATCGTTGCGCTGTCCTGATTTTCACTCTGATGTCCGTCTCCGCTTCATCTTCATTAGCAACCCATCAAAGAGATTATTTCCTCGAAATCTCAAGTACGTTGAAACGTAGACGACGAGGTAGTTGAATACAATGAAGCCGCAGACGATACCGAAATCACGCCAGATATTGCCGTATTCAACGTTAAACTGTCTCCCGAACTCATCGCCAGTGGCGTACTGGCAAAACTCGCAGAGGCCATCCACGCCCACATTTACGTACCCGCCCGCTTGCGCAACGTAGCTCCGGGTATACGATTCGCAAGTCTGCCCCGGTGGCGCCGAAAAGCGGGCGAACTCTCCCGAATCGCACTCGACGGCCTGTGAGTGGATCGCGGTAGCCAGGAAGGCCTCAAGCAGATAATGAAAGGGGGTGAGCCAGTACATCCACTCGCGCCAGAAAGTGGGTAACTGCGCCGCCGGCACGACAATACCGCAAAAGGAGACGACGAAGAGGAAGAAGAGTGGTACAAATAAACTGGCTAGCAGCTCATTGGGACTGAAAGCTGCGATTGCCTGGCCAAACCCGACATAGTACAGCTCGAAAAGCATCATGCAGAGGAAGACGAAGCCAGAGGGGAAACCTAACTTCTGATAACCTGTTATTCCCCACCACCAGCAGTTGAAGTAGATAGCACCCGCCACAATAGCGTACGGGATTTCAACCAGTACCGCGGCCGTAGTCCAGGCGAACCAGGAGTATATCTTGGCATTGTTCTCGCGAGATTGGAAAATATTTCGTGAGTTGAGGAAGACGGGTTGAAGTTGCTGAATCAATGGCGGCGAGATCGTCAGCACCATAAATACCGAGAAGAGGCGGGATTGCATGTCGATACTAGCGGATCCGAGACGCCAGAACGTGAATGTGTTGAACAAACCAGTGAAGATGTGGAGGATCATCTTGCCCATGATGTAGTTTGGCGTTCTCCAATAGGCGATGAACGAACGCTTGACAACTGCTGCCGTCTGGGTCCACAACGGCATAGCGTATTCGCGACTGTCCCGGATATTCTTCGAGTGCTGTATGCCTCGCCGCTGTTCAATCATTCTTGCCATTTCCTTGGATTGCTCCTGATAGTCCTTGGATTGTAACCAGACGTCAGCCCAGTCTTGGCCTTTGTAATCTGGATTTCCTGCCCCAATGACTTCCAACATCCATTCAGCGGGGTTCGCATTCGAAGGGCACTTTGAGCCTCCATTCAACTCGAAATACTCTATCAACGTTTCGCTGTCCTTTCCGAGGTCCCCTGCGTACACCACGCGACCTCCGGACTTGAGCAATATTAGCTCGTCGAAGTTCTCAAAAAGGACCGCCGAGGGCTGATGTATTGTGCACAAAATGGCTTGGCCGGCGTCAGCTAGCTTCCGCAAGAACCTCACGATATTGAATGCTGCTCCCGAGTCTAGGCCGGACGTGGGTTCGTCCAAAAACATGAGTAGTTCCGGCTTAGACGCCAGTTCCACACCAATGGTGAGCCTCTTGCGTTGCTCTGCGTTGAGACCCTCGCCGACAGTTCCGATCGTCGCTCCGGCTATATCCTGCATTTCCAAAAGTTCGATGATGGTCTCGCAGTATTCGTACTTCTCTTTCCTCGAAACCTCCTTCGGCTGGCGGAGGAGCGCAGAAAACTGCAGGGCCTCGCGCACCGTCGCAGTCGGCTCGTGAATATCCAGTTGTTCCGCAAAACCAGTAGCCCTTTGGAAGGACCTAGGAAGGGGTCTGCCATCGATGAGGAAATCGCCAGCAACGACGCCAAAATTTGTCCTAGCGAGAGGATGTCAGTATAGGATTCTGCTTAGAACGTAAGAAAGTCGACCTGCCTTTGCGCCAAGGTATTCAACAAGGTTGTCTTCCCAGCTCCAGAAGCTCCCATGAGAGCCGTCAATTTACCAGGCCTAACATAGCCCTGCACATTCTGCAGGAGCTTCCTCTCGCCACCTTGGAATGGGATGGTATAATTGACGTTCTGAAACGTGAAAATAGTCTCGTTCTTTGCCACATTTTGCAAGGCGTCTCCACTACTCCCTTCTCGCGCTGCGGAGCCCTGTTCGGAGGGTGTGGACTTCTCACCAGCATCGCCAGATTCTTCGTCGCCCTTATCACCCGTGCGGGCGGCAGTCTCAATTGACTGCTGAACTTTCTTAGCCACCTGCCCACGCTTAAACACCGTGACGGCAGCACCTCCGGCATTCGGCTTCATCATTTCCATGCCTAGCATCCCTACAATTAGGAAGAAACCGAGGAAAGCCCATAGGAAGCCAAAGTTACGCCAGAGGTGGGTACGCGTATAGCTAAAAGACTGTTGGATATAAGCGGCGCCGGCCACGACGGTTGATCCAGGGCTAGATCCCGCTAACGTGCACGATTGGTATCGTGACGAGACCCCAGGGCCCTCAGGGACAAGGAACGGGGGCACACAATCTAGTTGTAGGTTGTAGAACTCGTTCGACATGAGGCTTTCAAACCCATATTGGAGCCAGTTGATCCATCGTAGCCAGCCAAACCAGGGGTGCATCGAGGACGGTGGTATTAGGTAACCGGTGTAGACGATGAGGATTTGAATCGCGACGCCGGTGATCTTGGTCGCATCGTCCAAGGTCTTGAAGACTGCTGAAATGGCGCGGAAAAAGGCGTAGGTTGTCATGGTGACCAACCACAGAATCAGCACGGAGATGAAGAACTGAGATGGGGTGGCAGATAGTCCAGCCATCCAGTATATGATAATATCAAATAGCAGCACTTGAATGAGCACTAGAGGCACATCCACCACTGTCTGTGCAAGGGTGTACGCAGCCGGCCGGTAAAACGAGAAGTTTTTGTGCTTGAGGAGGATAGGCTTGGAGTTGAACGCTGCCGTCTGTTCAGCAAGGGCCAGCAAGGCGTTGAACAGCAGAATGAAAAACAACACACCCCCGCGAGTGAAAGCACCCGCCGAGGTATCCGGGAGATTGTAGAATAAACTTCCCACGATGAGGCCCTGAAAAACGATACCACCCCATTTCCCTATGAGAGAGGCCTTGTCACCCAACATAACCAGAGCCTGCCGCTTAGTGAGAGCTATCACTTGTTGGTGGAAGGGTATAGTATAGTTCCTTTTCTCGTTCTTCCTCGACCGGTTCCCTGTCCGAGAACGTTGTTGTTCGTCGATATGAGTCTCATAGTCCTTCATATCCTCCAGGTTTAGGCGGTAGGCATCGCTCTTCCTGTAAACATTGGCAAAATCTTCGGCGGATCGCGGAATCCGGTCCTCCCACCCAGGCCTAATGCTGCGCTCGTGGGGATCGGTAACAGACGTGAGGAAGTCGGCAGTCGTCCACCGCTCCGGGCAGTCAAACCCGAGATCAAGGAAGTACTGCTTAGCTCGGTCGGACGGACCAAAGTATAAACATTGGCCGTTGTCGATCAGTAACACTTTATCGACAAGATCGTATAGGGATTCTCCGGCTTGGTAGAGTGACACAGCGGTCGAAACCTGTGCCATGTTCGTGAGGGCACGCAACGACTGAACATACTCCACAGCGGTCGATGCATCGAGGCCTTTGCTTGAATTGTCCCAGCCTTGGACGCTGGCCCTGGTAATGAGAGCCTCGGCGATGCTGACCCTCTTGCGCTCGCCGCCCGAAACACCTCTGATATACTCGTTCCCGACTTTGGTATCCATGGTATGCTCAATCCAAAGCAACTTTGACGCGACCCTGAGGAATTCCCTGACATAATCGCCTCTGCTCTCACCCTCCATCCGTGATTCCTTTCCGGGGGTACGTGTGCGGAGAGCAAACGTCAGGGTCTGCTTGACTGTCAACGTAGCATAATGCAAGTCATCTTCGGGGTTGTAAATAATCTCGCCTCTAAAGTCCTTAGCCATGCGTTTGGCATCCACGCCGCCGTATGTCACATCGCCCACCACATCCTGGAACCCTGATCGTTGGTTGCAGAATGTTTTTAGAAATGTTGTGCAGCCCGACCCTGGCCGGCCAAGGACTAGAAGCATCTCTCCGGGGCGTACGCAGCCGTTGAAGTTGGTGAGCAGCTCCCTCACAGGCGGTTTCCCTGCGGCCACCTTGGGGCCTTTGCTCACGAGATTGAGGAGGAATCTCGGCAGACCCAAAAATATGTCGCCGACGGTGGGTTGTAGACTGGCCCCTAGGCCAACCCCCTTAACCGTAAGGTTTCGGAATACGACGCCTGAGTGTTTACTCTTCTCCTCTTCACTGAGCTGTTGCCGGGCTTCGCCAAACATGCGCGACATTAACTGCTCGATCTCATCGTGCTCTTCCCGAGACTCGGGGTGAGAGGCTGAGCTTCGCCGCCGGGATATGGCCCTGAACAGGTCCTCTTCGGTCTTCTCGACTTCTTGTCCGTCCTCGACATGTATTTGCCCCGTCGTTGACTTAATAGGTTCGAAACGAGGCTCGATCTCTGTTTCTTCGGACTCGTCGGAGGACGACTCGCCCACAGCTGATTGGACAGTTCTTCGACCGCCCTCGCCTAGAGTGGCCATGCTCGGCGAAGCAGCGACGGCAACAGTGTGCCCAGAGGAGGAAGCGATGGTGTCACTGGACTTGGCGTCCTCTGTGTTCAAGGTGGCGGCAGTCCCGTCAGCAAAACCGGCATCCGACCTATTATGTCGGTTTTCTAGAAGTATGCCACTGCCCGCGTGCCGAGGTGCGACGGACGGGGGGGTTGCCCTGCTGACGAGCGGGAACTCTCGCGGTATAGCAGCGGTAGTGGCGGCGGGGGCGGCGGGAGCGACGGGTAAGTGAAGGGAAGATGAGGATGGTGTTTCCGGAAACCCGCCAGGCATATCCGTGTCTGCTGGGGTTAGCCTATCGCCGGCCATCCTGGCTTGACTACTGAGGCGAACGATGGGCCTAGGACATCTAAGAGCGAGAGACACGAGTCGGGCACGTAGGTATAGCAGGCACGGCGTCGGTTAGAAAGGGAAGACAAGAGAGTGGCGCGGCAACCGGCCGAGGAGCGACAGTAATTATATTGTTTATGAGGAATTTGTGTGGCAGGGCTTGACCTTCACCATATAAGTCGGAATGGAACACTAGGGCTGATGAGACATCAAAGAGATAAGTCGGCAGATAGGTATAAGAGAGGGAGGGGGGGGGAGAGACAAGTCGGCGCGCGGCCAGGAGGCGGATGGCGAATCGGCGGTCGGGCACGATCAGCCAACGACGCCGCTGCAACAACGCTAGAAGGCATTATCAGCAATCGCTGCGGGCGAGCCACGCAGTTTCCTTGGGCCGACGGTCGCGGGTTCCTTGCGTCGAGGCGATCGGGGGGGAGTTTGGATCGAAGGCGTCAAGCCTCATGTGGATCCGGTGGAGCAGAAGTGATGCCATCGACGTGGAGGATTCCTGTCTGATTGGCCGTCTGGCCGGGCCTTCCAGACGTCACTTCCTCCCATAAGCAGAGACGCCTCTTCTTGCCATCTCGCCCGTCCAGCGGGGAAGCAGCTCGCTACGTCTACGGCCGGCACGGACAGTGCCGTCCGTCTGCCCTTCTGGCCAGCCAGTCGGGCATCTCACGCTCCTCTCGCGCTCCTTGGGGCCTCCAAGGTCTTTCTGTCTTTGTTTGCCATATCTATCCATCGCTCTATTCCCCTTCTCCTTTAGCCCCTTTTCTGACACGTCTACGTATCTGCCTGGGAAATCCCTTCTTTTCTTTTCTGTCCCCACTGGACAATCTCCACGGAAGAACGCCTTTATTCGCCATGTTTCAAACGAATATCAAGTAGGCGTGTGGTAGTCTCAGTCAGCATGTCTGTGGTTCTTCGTTTGTGTGTAGTCAACCCAACGGCCTTTCCCATTAGAATGCTCCGTAATATGCGAGCGGCCATGAGTCCCATTCGTATGTGGCCCCATCGATAGGAAGAACCCTGTCGTCGTATTTAGGAGAGAACATCTATTCCACTTTGACATTCCATCTCAAAACTATCTTGTTGTCTAGTCTTACCTATACCTACCAAGAGATGTCGGGGCGGGGCTACGTCAACTCCGTGGCGAATTGCACGAATACCGGTGTACCCACCAGCCGCCGTCACGAAACTCTAAGAGGAGCTTGAGTGATGGCTAATAGGGCTGCTGGCCCTCTTCCCAATACTCGTTCGCTTGGTTGCTAGAGCCCTCTATTCTAAGCGCTGCGTAAGACATTACGAGGCAGAACGTTGAAAATCGCACCGGGTTCCGCTATGATATGAGACGTACATGTGTGGCTGCATTGTACCACCGGACTTAGGCTTTCGACACAAATGCCCGCTCCGAAGACGGATTCATTAAAACCGAGGGTCCTGCCGAAGGCATACGGCGGCGGATTCACTGACGAGTAATACCATTGCTTGACTTGGATACAAAACTAGACCAGAGAGCGCGGAAACCCGACTTATGACACCATCGAATTCGTTGAGGCGGGGAAATTCGTGTCCAATCTTCGCAGAAGACATCAGACGAACCCTCTTTATGCTGTCTCGTCCTCCGCCCATTTTTCTCTCTTGTGTTTCCCACGAGGATAATCCCTACGTGTGATTTCGTAGGTACAGAGTTTGACCGGGAGCCCTAACAGTTCACGACGGTAAAAATGCAAGGCTGTGTTAATTATAATAGCCCACAAAGCGTAAATACAACTGTATTTCTATAGACCCTTATGCAAAGGCTAACAGTTTCTAGGGCGAACCGGCCTCCCGACCTGGATGAACGCGATTAGCGTGAACCTTCGAACCCTACGAACCGCTACCCCGGAGTACGCGAAAGACAATCGACCTGACACGGGGGAGGGTCCGGTGTTGGTGCTATCGGCATTGTTGCTCTTCCATGCCACCCAGCCGTTTTTCAAACACGAAGTGGCGACGCACAACCAGAATACCCCGGGCTCTAGTCCCCACGCGATGAAAGGGGAATCCACGCCCGTCAGTCTGAAGGGATGTTCCTTGCCCACCTATCCTGCCTGAGGATGGGGCGAATCACGCGATACTGCTGAGTTCGAATCGTCACCTGTGAAACCGCACCGTAACTTTACCGGGCGAGTTAGGCTAGCGATGCACCCATGGAAGTCCGGAGGTATCGGACGCCAGACGGGTCACTAGTGATTCCCGTGGCTTCGGTACGACCGGATTCATGTATCCTCGGCCTGCCACAGATGAGGTACGCATAGCCTCGAGCTCCCCGTTCGTATCACAGCTTGCCTATTACGTCGTATGCAAAACATCAAGGCCATGCGAAGTGTAAGATCTCCGGGGACCTCCCCCCCCGGTATGTATATTGTACTGTCACGCTTGGCCTGATTACCGTGATAGCTGGCGAAGGCATAATCGATACTAATGTCGAGGGGCCGAGCTTCACTTTGATCCAAATAGACTATAGACTCAGCATTGATCTGAGAAGGGTTGAACATTACAGACAACAAGCGTGGGAGAATCACGACAGTGGATAATCGAGCGAAGTGGGGAGAAACGCTGGTCTTGGCCTTTACACAGAGTCCGATGATCATGTAGCAACGAGGATAGTTTACGGAGACGGCCGCCGTCACGGCGACCTGAGATCTTTAGACGAAACCGTAACTGGAAACAAGGTGTAGACAATCTAGCTGTAACCACGAACCTGCCATTCTTTCTGTGCCACGGTAATGAGCCGATGCCCTGGATAGGGGGAACGCTGCTGCGCCTCTGAATTGCTTCAACCAGCCCAGTGTAGGGACATCAACGGGTGGTTGATGTCCTGCGAGCACAGGGACGGGATTCATCCGTCAAATCCCATGACACGGAAATAATCTAGCAGAATTTCCCCTTTTGCCTTGGAACGAGCGCAGGGATGGAGAAAGTGGATTGGAATAAAAGGGCACGGGGCCTCTGATCTTAAGCTTAACGAGCCTTGAACGTACCTAGATCTAGCCCCCCCTCCTTCCCAGTTCATTCTATTGGGCTAAACATGACAGCTTATTGTTGTCGACGTTCTGATGCGACATGGGAAGCCCACTTGTTAGGACTGCCGAAGGCGTCTCTGAGGCACAAGCTTGCTCTGGGGGGAGGGGAGGGAAGGGGGGGGAAAGATAGCCGCGCCGATTCGTGCCGCACTCGTACAATGAGCTTAGCGCGAGTATCCTGGAAGTATCCTGGAATTCCGCTCGCCAGACCACAAGGGGATGGTCAATAACCACATCTAGCATTTGGGTGGTTCGCAGCCCTCTTGCACAAGTCAAATCGCTAGGGAGGATGTGGAACTGTGTGCGGCGTGTAACAGATGGGAGCTCAGTGTGGTGCTGAAAATGGAAATGCGCGTGTGCGCGTCTCATTCTAGACATTGACGCCGCCGTAACCGCCAACCACATATGCACGACCACACAACGGAATATATGGAAACATGGGCGTTGCTTGCTAACCGGTTTAGACTGTTGGAATACCGCGCCGTTGGTGAGCCATCGTGGGGGAGGTAGCGGCCTGGCGCAAAAGCAACCGTTTACCAGGATCAATGGCTCCGCGCTGCCGTTGGATGGCCCGAGTCATGCTGAGTCGTTCTGGCGACGCAAGCGGATGGATTGGAGGCCAAACGCGACGCTGCACGATGCTGAGTAGGACTCGAGTCCTAGAATTGTCGACTTACCTTACCAGGTTCGACGTAAGTGGCAACAAGGCCCGAGCGGTCATCCTCGGCGATGATGAACCGTGACCTGTGTTGGCCTGGCTTATGGAACCGCTGCTGATGAGAATCCATCTAGGTTGGCGAGGAGGCTCCTTAAAAGAGTATAACCTACCGCCTGCTTTCATAGCTGTTTTTGCTGTGTGCTAACCCCGAGGTTCATCAGTTAGCATGATAGACATGTCAGCACTGCCTTCTAGAATCCAAGTGGTGCCCTCTTTTTTTTCTTCCTCCTTCAAATACACCCCTCTCCCCCCTAATTGTCGCGAGCTTCTGTGTCGGCGGAGGTAATTTCACAGCCATAGCATGCAATACAGGCAGCCTTATGCATATCTCCTCTCTCTGTGCTGCGACGTAGAAAGGCGCCGAACTTTGGAGTGGTGGATGATCCATTCGGGCCTCGAACCGGCGCTGCAGATGCGGCCAGGATTCCACGCCCCACTGCGTAGATGTCAAGCCTGTAGCCGGAATTGTCGTTTCTGCAACCCCCAACGCCGACGCAATGTTTGCTCCTACATACGGCGATGAATGGGTGGTACATGAAACGCCGAGTACCTGCGTCGAGATTCCTTCGAGCTGCAGTTATAGACGCTAGAGCGCGCGTCTTTCGCTTCTCGGGCTTATCTGTTCGTATTCATCCTTTTCGTACGCTCCACTGGTTGCTTGCAGAACGGCCCGGGAAAGGAAGCAAGAGGACGCACTCATCCCCACGTAGAGATGCTTCCTGGACAGTGGACAGGTTTTTACTGCAGACCTGCTAAACAAGGAACGGAGGTCATTCATTTGTCCCGTGACTAGCTGTAGGAAACAGGTTGCTTCCGTTGAATTACAGATGCGTTGACTATGTACGACGAGGCGAGATGCTGCGCGAGGGCTTCGGCGCCACTCCGTCGGTTGGTGAGGGCGCCGATACTGAAGGATTTAAAGTCATCGCATACCTAGGCCCCCCCCCTAACCACCCCTCGGCTACTTACTTAATTGAGGTAAGAGAACGGCTCGAGAAACAGACTCATAGTAACCTAATTGGTATCCTCGGTGTGTGCGCGAAGCGCTACGGTATCCGCGTCGGTCATACCTTTGACTTACAATGGGATGCCACAGTGGTCTCGTTAGTAAGTGGGTGACCTGTAGGCTGTAGGCAAGCCGTACTTATATGCAGGGCGGCGGCAGCGCATGTGAAATAAGCAATCCCGCTTCGTTCCCAGACGCAGCTGGGTAGCAAAGACGGGATCAAGATTTTGGCGAGCTTCCGTTTTGGCAATACATAGAAGGAACTGAACCGACTCGCCTCGCTACTCGCAGAACAATCATATGGGAGTGGGCCATCTGGGCTATAGAGGGTGCGTGTTAATACGACCTGCTCGACAGTCCACTCGAGCGTTGTCTGCGGCGGTTGGGAAACTCGTGCTTGCTCCCCGCACTCGGCGACGCATCCACGCCTCCGAGGTGTCGTCAGAATCGAGTCGGCCAATGAAGGGTGTCGATGAGACCACTGAAGATGGCGAGCATACTATAAATAAATAGCGAGCGGGTGCCGGCCGGCTCTGTCCCGCGTACTGTCACGGAACTAGTCTACCGAGATATCCGAACAACGGGCTAGGTAAACATGTACGTGGCCCTAGAAATTGATAACGGCAAGGCAACGGACATGGAATCGTCATCGCCGTCTCCGTTCACTCTGGGGGCCGATTGGGGTCGACCAGGGAAACTTGGAGGCCAACATAGCGGCTATTACGACCATCGTGTGACCACGTCGCTGGGTTCAATGAAGGAAACTTGAAATTGAACGCGCAAATAATATCAGACTCTCAAGGCTTCCACGAATGCCCTTCCGTGTGCAAGCCCCTAGATTGATGGCCGTCGGGCCGACGTGTTTCTAGGAATAGGTGCCGATCGAGCCTATTCTCTTATTCTGGCTCGATCCAATATTGTAAGCAATGAGCCATCCCCAAGCCTACCTACAAAGTCAGGAGCAGGATGGCAAGCCAGAGTCTTGCCGAAAAGGTGCTGATGAAACATGGAGCTCGGGCCAATATACGAAATAGCCGGACCAAACGGGGGTGGCGAGGTCCTGACAGCCGTTGGATTCCTGGGGTAGCATGTGGAAGACTTGTTAGTCTTTAATGAGAGAGGGTTGATTCATCGTGTTCTGCGTCTCAGGTGGTCTTCAGTGAGACTATAGAAGCATCCTCGCCAGAACAGAGAAGCCCCTGTCGAACGTGGGGCCGCTCTGCTGGTCGGAAGGTGTACACATAGGTTGGATTCTTGAATCAAGGAGGGCTGTCTTCTTTTTCTTTCCGAATTCGACAAGGGACGTGTCTACATAGATAGCTGAAGGAATATTAAATGCTACCAGGCTACCAATGAAAATGGAGAACCGGACACACACACGCTCTTGATGGTGGGCTGAAGGAGCTGATATCTAGAGGAATTGGTGGTGTGATGCCCCCAAATTGCGTTGTTTGGTACAGGTTTGACGAGGGCCAATCTTGCTTCTTATTTGTATGTATATGTATTTGACGGTTTGTATGTGTAGTGTGTACACATATTCATGCATACCTCCCGGAAAGAGGCATCACGCGTCTAGCATGAATGCTTGGTATGCGTATTGCGCGCGTACAGTACTCGAGAGGTGGTTTGGCGAGGACCTAATCGGCGAGAGAGGCAGTGCATATGTATAGTATGCACTACTCATAAGTTAGCGATAGAAAGCCGGGCCTTTCCAAGGCCTTATGTTTGAATATATATAGAACAACGTTAGCGGACGATTCGGGCACGAGAACGCCATCCGACTGTGCGTTGCTAACACGCACATCGCATACGGGCTGATGGTACTATAGGTATTGGATACCTACTACAGGTAGATAGGACCCAAGGTGCGCGCCAGGTAAACTGTCTACCTACCTACCTAGATATGTATATGCACTTCCTATCTATCGCCCTGAGTCGTCTCGGCGTAGGGTGTCGACTTGGAGACATGGCGTCATTCGACAAGGGCTTACTTGAGTCGTAAAGACCAAGGGCGGAAGCATGGAACCTACGACGTGTGCTTCGGCCTAGAAGCCATCAATGCGAAGGATCATGAAAAACTCCGCGGGCAATTTTAGCATGCAGATAAGAACCACGGAAGGAGTAGGTAACGCATCAATGCATCTATCGGCTCTATCCCTAGCTCGACGCGGCTTCACGTAACACCCCGATTGAAACATATACTCTGGTGGGATACTACGCAGCAAAGAATGAGTGTAAGAATGAGTGGGGGGGGTCGATTGAACTGACACCGAACGATATGCCTGGTATGTTCTGTTTAGCTTCGAAATCCGATCCGAGATCTGAGTTTGGGCTCGACGATAGGTAATGTTCGGCTTCTGAGTGCCGTATTGCACCGCATCCTGTTGTTTTGCCAGGGAGGAATAATACCGGCCGGGCCAGTTTCCCTTTACATATGAGTATGTATCCTCGTGGTTCGTGGAACGGATTCCGCCTGTGCCACAGCGCGCGCCTTGGATATGCATGCTAGAGGACCCCTACACACGCCCCGTCAAGCAAGCCCCGGGAACGTATTGTCCAACCCAGCGCATCTCGCAGCTCGAGAATTGGGGCTTCTGTCGGCGACAGTTTTCCCCTCCTGGTTAAAAAGAAAGAAAGGAAAAAAGCAGCAAAAAACGCTGGGGCTGGCCTTCCACCTACTTCATACGTATGCGCGGACCAGCCCCCTTTTCCAATTCCACTGCGAGGCCAGAAATCCAATCCTTGCCAACATCTTGGTGACCTCGGTGGCACTCAACCTGGCCGCAATAGCAGCTCATGTTTCTCTCGAGAGGTAGGTACCTAAGGTATATGAGTATAGACGTGCTACATAACCCCCCTGCTGTACAGCACCTATGCTATGTTCTCAACCCCCAAAACTCGAGGTCGATTCTGACTCTCTTCAGCACCCCCCGTCGGGAACGTTCTCCCAGGAGACACACACACACACACACACACACATATGTACAGGCTTACTACCTGGGCACATACACATGTGGAACGTCGAATGCGTGCATCCATGAATGTGCATACATACATACGCCGTCCCCTGTCATACCTGAAACTTCAGGACAAAGCAACCCACAGTGCTTGAATTTGGGGGACAGGTGTTCTAGAATTCGAGAAGTTGAGCTACGTAAAAGATACAAAGGGATAAATACACAGATACCTGCAAATACGCATACCTCTACCTGGGATAATACCTCCTAACACACCTACCTCTGATACATACCTCTGATACATACCTCTGCCTCGGCCTACGTACATCATAACTTATCAAACCCCCAAACACGTCTCGAGGTGTTGGGTCGGATGGAAACTACCTAGGTACCTGCCCTACGTCCTCTTCAAGACGCATCGCACCTCCTGGCCCTCTCTGAATAGACATAGGGACAATGAGCCACTAGATACCTCAGTCCGGGAATAGGAGATGGTACATGTGTGCGCCTGGTTATAATCACGTCTCCGTATCTGTAATTTCTAATCACGACCTACCCAGTCGTATCGGCGAATTGGAAATGAGAGACTATGTATATTACCACGCTCAGGTGTGGTAGGGAAGGTGGGCATGTTGTACGTTACCTACTTGCTCAATAGTCGGGCGTTGCAACGACACGGAACGGGTGAAGATAGCCGGGCCTTCGTGCTGCGAGACCACGCAGCACGCAGTGTTTTTGTTGGCGCAAATCTGCAGATCTTGTTAGTAATAGCACCTTGGTTTCCTTTCCTTCCAGTTTTTATTTTATTTGACTTAATTAACGGGCACGCGGTGGTGCTAGTCCAAGTTGCGACTATAAGGTTCGGTTATACGGATCGGATGGATCTAGAAGTTAATTTTTTTCGGTAGGAAAAAATAAGTTTACGGTAGTGTTGTATTCCTGAAGCCGGCGGGTAGGCAGGTAAACACAGTGTACATTGGACTTTGCTTTCACTACTATTCCTAAACTCCTTGCTCAGCGAAGTTCCGGACTGAAGTTATACAGATATATGTAGTGTAATCTCCTGCCGAGTCAGGGGGATCTCCATATCTTGCTCCTGTCCCCGGGACGTGTGTACCTACATACGTGCCTAGACATACATACATACATACCTCATACATATGGTACCTGCCTGCCTACCTAGGTACCTATGTGGTAGGTATGTGTTTCTTGTTGATTCAAGTATACCCATACTACATAAGAAGGAGAGGTAGGTAGGCGAAGAACATTTTGGAGGATGGATCCAACAACCCCCCAAACGCGGAACCAAGGCACGAATACCACATCCTATACATACCTTCTATGTACATCCGTATGCTCGCTCGCTCACGGCACATGCACATACATACCTACCTACCTATATACCTTAGGTACCTACTATATATATGTATGTACATAGGTACGTATGCGTACAGGGGGCCTCGTTCCGGCGGAGCTCTCGACTGGGTGGTATCCATCTAGGGGCGAGGCATCCCGTCTTTTGTGCATTTCAAGGAAATCAGGCATGTTGATAAACGTGCATATATACCGATGTACCTACGTGTGCTGGATGCATATCCCCACCTACATAGGTAATGTAAACGAAACTAGCCGGCACGTAGAAATAGGACGCAGTAGACCTGGAGCCCTGGCGAGTACTTGGTTAGACAGCCTTCCATGATGCGAAATCGGCTTGACATATTCGGTCGATGGGCTGGCTCTCCGCGGTGCGGGTGCGTTAATAGCTACCGGTTCTGATCGTTCCCATTGGTGTGTGGTATTGCACAACATGCTGTCTCTTGGCAAGCTGGGGCTCGATTTTTAATCTCGTCGCTCTGTCGAAACTCCCGATCCCTTCCCTGTCTGCGTTTATGATAGTACCCACTTAGTTGGTATGCAGGTATGTGCATTGGGAGGTTCTAGCACGTACCTGCTCTATGTATGTAGTCTGTACTGTACAAAGTGAGAGAGGTACCTTAGGTAAGTAGGTTACCTCCAGCTATACCTATCTTAGTATGTGTACCTAGGTAGTAGGTAGGTCTGCGTTGGGTACCCCTCGGAATTGGGGGATGTACGTAGGTACCTGTAGGAGGCAGGAGGTATACGGTAGGTTCGTTAGCCGGGCGAGGTGCCCACCGCATCAGTACCTAGTGTGTACGCAGGCGTGCGACTCCCACCTGTACCTTCCTGTATGCGTAGGCTTGCATGTGGATACCTACCTAGGTACCTACCTGGGTGGCCTGGGAAGGGCGTGTGCTAGGTACCTGGGTACCCAGCTTCGGGTTCCACTCCAAAGCGCCACACCAGCCAGGGCACCACCGCCAGGTCCAGGCTGACCCTACATTAGTCCCTGTTCCCGAGGTCTCCAAAAGGAACCACACCTACCTTCCATTTGTAACTGCGTACGTTACCACCCCACAGGTAGTAATATACGTATCTACATGCGGAATACATCCACCTACAGACAACGTACATCGCATACAACATATCTCATCCACATACAGATGATCCGTCCCCATCCATCCGTACATTGATCTATACATACCTACATACAACCGTACGGCCATGCCGCCATCCATCTCTATGTATACATCACACGTTGACGCTCGCGCATTGTGAATATCTTACATACATACCTTACCTTACCTCTCTCGTGATCCACAAATATTGCCGGGTCTCTGCCCTCACCACGTAGAGAGCGGGCGGCATCTACATCTTGGCCCCGATCCCCCCCTTCAATCCTTTCCCGCAGCACCAAATTGCCTCTCCCGGGCCACCTCAACCTCCTGTGTTGCCCCCACCATCGATAGAAATAGCAGCGGCGAGAAGCGTCCGGTCAGAGTCGTCGAAGAGGCAAGGCTGACTGACTCCCGCGACAATCAGGCCGAAGGGACCCCATGTCAGATGTTCGGGAGCCAGCAGCACGACATCAACCACGAACAAAGCCCGGACGCCAGGACCTTCAGAAAAACCCCCATCCCGTCCACCACTCCGAATTAGAAGCGATGCCGTTCGTCCTCTCGCATCTTCTCGAAATCTGATCAGGATCCCTGCCGCGGAGTTTTTCCCAGCTTCTTCGTCACTTGCTCGGGAGCACCTATATCATTTTGCCTCCGCTAAACTCTGTCCTGCTGGCTCTTGTTTTTATTTCTCAGACCAGATGGACATTGCGATTGAGAGCGCGCCGCGAAACGGTCACGGCAACAAGGGGGGCGAGAACATGGGCGCACGAACAATCCCCATCATCACCACAGCCACGCCGACGCCGACTATAAAGATGTCGGCGCCGTCGCCGGTTGGAGATCCGATGGAGATCACCACACCGACCAATTCTTCAGCTGCGCAGAGCGTTGGCAAGAGCCCAGAAGGCGAAGGGAGCGACTCGATCGATCGTCAAAACGCCGCGCTCTCGGGAGATCAGAATGCGAACTCGACTACAATGCCTGCGCCTGCCGCTGCTGCCGTCCACCAGCCAAAGATAGTCCAGACTGCATTCATTCATAAGCTCTACAAGTATATATATCCTTGGTCTGGGTCTCGTCTGCAGAGCGCTAACTACGTCGTAGCATGCTGGAAGACCCCAATATCCAACATCTCATCAGCTGGTCGAGTTCTGCCGAGAGCTTCGTCATGTCTCCTTCACACGACTTCTCCAAAGTCCTCGCGTACGTGCTCGGACTTACACTTGGAGGTTGCGCTAGAAAGGCTGATTAGGCGGTAGTCAATATTTCAAACACACGAACATCTCGTCTTTCGTCAGACAGCTCAACATGTATGGGTTTCATAAAGGTAGGGATAACGAACAGGAAGATGTCGCTCCTCTTTTTTTTCTTCCTTCCGGGCAACACCTAGTCAACTAACGAAGCAAACTCTCAGTAAGCGACGTATTTCACACCGGCTCTCCGGAAACGGCTCTCTGGGAATTTAAGCATGGTAATGGGAACTTCAAGAGGGGCGACTTAGTTGGGTTGCGTGAGATTAAGCGAAGGGCGTCGCGCCATGCTCTAGTTCATCGAGAGTATAATAATCAGAAGCCAGCTCAATCGCAGCCGGGCACCCCAGCGGAGCCGATGCCCCCTATTCACGACGGCTCGGATCCGAGGCTCGCAAGCATTGAGCATTCTTTGTACGAGGTTACTTCAAGGCTACAGCGCAGCGAGGAGAACGCACATTATATGAACGCTAAACAGCAAGCGATGGCCGAAACCATGAACCGCTTGCTCCAGCTGAATCAGGAACTGTCCAGAACTGTTCTCAGTCTGGTTCCACCCGACAATCCCATACATAGGGACGGTGAGTATCACTGCCCATGCAGACTTAGGGGCTTCAGATAGTCTAACATGGCTATAGTCCTCGCTTTGCAAGGTGAAATTCAACGCCAGGCCGACTTTATTCGATCCATCGATGAATCCCATGAACCGCCCTTTCCAAACAGTCGTCAGCTCTTTGCAAACCTTGAAAACCCACCTGTATCCCCTCGGCAACTAGCTCAGGACGATCAACGAAGATTGGGCGTGCACCAACCTCGCGGGCCAAATCACTATCGGCCCCCTGTGCCTTCTAATCTTTCTATAAGCTCACGCCGGTCCTATGGTTCGATTAGCGGAAGCACGTCCCAATCGTCGCCCTCTCCTCTCAGAGCCCAAGCAGCGCCACCGCCCCCCGGGCCCCATCCGTTAGCAACTGTTGAACCGCCGCCGAGTGGGTTGTCAAGAAGGCACACGTCCGCTGACATTCGAGCTCACGGGTGGCAGCCCAACCCTCCCCCGTATATCTCCTCCGGACCTCCCTCGACTCATTGGCCTTCCTCCCCAAACCGAGGACCCCAGGACGAGCAACGTGCTCGTGAGCCTCCACCCCACTATTCTCTATCACGACCCGCTACCCCACCAGCACCTTTTTCGAATGGCAGCATTGGAAACGGGCTAGAAAGTTTGAATAATTGGTCCTGGACTTCCGCAAACCGGGAGAACAACAAGAACCTTACCGTAAAGGACATGTCTGCACCCCCAACGAGACGCGGAAGTATGGCTCACATTCTGAATCCCACCGACACGATCGAACGCGATGAAGAAGACGACCCCAGAGGGGATGATGATCGCAAGCGCAAGCGGACCCAATGACTTGTACCGTGGACCGACGGATACCATTTCGCGTCATGAGAAAGCGTTGTCGCATATTATACCACAGACGGAGAGGGCCTTTGTTTTTTGTAGTATAGAAAGCAGCCGATGCGGACTGCATGAGTCTCTTAGGATTCTACAGACGACACGCCATGGCCTATGTTATACGACATTCACGAGTTTTTTTTTTTTTTTTAGGTTTTTTTGGTTTTGGGAGCCGTTACCACGCAAACCGTTTCTCGCTCTACCTCTTCCCCCTCCTCCTCCTCCTCTTCTTGAAGTTCACTTATTCATACCGCTGTACTTTTCCACTTCGATATTTCCATTCCATGTTACTAAAGTACCAAAAGCAATAGCGATAGCTATTTTCTCCGTTGCTAGGATCGGCGACGTTCGTCCTTACAGGAGGAGGGAACCAATTGCTTTTGCCCCCTAATATAGGACACCAAAACAGTGAGAGGCAGTTACAGGGGTATCTCGAATCAGCCTGCCAGAAGGATGTACAATAGGTACGGAATTATGGACTTTCTAGTTCAGAGGACTTACTGCAACCTGTTGCACGATCCGTTGCACGGGAACCATTGGGAAGGGAAACACACATTACCATGTGCCCAAATATTCGACGCCGAGCTACGCTCGCGGGGTTGTTAATCTTGTACCTTAAAGTATTAGTCGTATTCGAAGCGATCACTTCGCGCACATAACTCGTGATATAGCTAGAAGTATCGAAATGAATTCAACGCGCATGGCGTGCTTTGAGGAGACGAAGAGTCTATTGAAAATCGGCTTTATTTCGAAGCTTGCCATTCCGATCTCTCTTAACTCCTCGTTTCACGCATTAGGGGCGTGTGTGTGTTGTGATGGCAGAAATTAGGTTATCCATTTCACCTCAGTTTTCTCTTCCCTCCGCTTTCCTCTTCCGTTTCCTCTTCAGACCCCCCTTGATGATATGTTCCCGCACACCTCCGGCTCCAAATATTTCCTTACTAGGCTCTGCTGACCTGTCGCTCTCTGGAGGTTGGAGATCTTCCTGTCGCTCCCCATCCTCGAACTCTATCCCCGTCCGTGACCGTTTCCCGGGCATCTTGGCTCTCCCGAGCCCACTCCGCCCCGTTTCCTCGTCGCTACTTTCCTCCTTCCGCACCCACCTCTGATTATTCTCGCTATTGCCATCGCCGTTTAAACCTTTCCCCCGCCCCCCAAATAACCGACCACGTAGCTTCGTGGTCTCCCGATCTCTCCCGCTCTGGACGACAGAGGCGGAGTTCCGAGCAGCTCGAATGAGTCCGATGCCTGCGTTTGGGTCTAACCCTCGTTCCTCTGCAAATTCGGACTCTTCTGCCGCACGCGATACTGCCCTCCATCCCCGCGGTGGAGGGTCGAGTCGCGGCTGGGAGGAAGTACTGGCGGATGAATTGGAGTTGAAGGTGGAGAACGGCCTTCTGCTGCTGCCCAAACTGCCGGGGGCCTCGGGCGTCGATGGGAGGAATGCGCGGGCAGTTCTCAGTCGCGACTCGAGCCGCATTTGGATGCGATTCATATTCACGGTGAACTCCGGCGCTGGGTTCGCGTTGGCAGCAGTTTTCGCTGAAGACGCGGGCGATTTGCTTCTCGGCGCCATGGCGACGAGTTCGTCTACGCTACGTGTCTCGTAAGAGAGCAAAAGAACGAGGCAACTGTCTGACCGATGGTGTTATTGCCGAGTCATCGCGGTCATGCATAGGACGCCGTTGACTTGCTGCAGCGTGGTCGTGAGAGGTTAAATGCGCAATAACTGCCTCCTATCGACTATAGTGGCTAAGTTAGGTGACTTTTTTACGAGAAACCGACCCGACTGCTTGGAAGATAAGATCTACGATAAGAGATGGGCGATAAGATTGGGTCGGTTAAGAGTGGAAGTATTTGGAATACAGCCCCTGAATGCTGTATGTATGTACCCAGAGGTGTCCATACAGGTGACATTGAACCGTGTAGGTACTATGGAGGTACCTAAAATAGGTACCTACATATCTGCGAACAAACAGGGATACACCATCCCGTCGCGGGGTTGGAGGTACCTGGGCAGCTCACCTGAACAGAAGTACCTCCTCTACAGATATCATCTGCACTGACCAACGAGTCGCCGAGATTTCCCGTTTTCTGCCGGAAAAGTGCCCTCCCGGCTTTTACAGCCGGGGCCAGCTGGTTTACTGATTGACTGCCGGATAACATCGCAACATCACAACATCGCAGCTTTCTCACGTCAACCGTTTCACTTGCATTCCCAATCACGGGCTGCCCTCAACGTTCTGCTGCCCGCTCCGAGCCGCCTTCAGTCCATAGACGATTGGGAGACTTAGCGCGTTACCATGTTCAACTTCACTCGCAGCCGTGCTGCGGCTTCTCTCCTGCGATCGTCCAAGGTAAGTGGTCGGCTGGACGGCCGATGCATCTACCTTCTAGCGAGACGCATTCGTCTGATCCTCCGGCAATGTGAATTAACATGTCTTCTCTCTGTCCTAGACAGCCTTCTCTCCCGCCGCTGGATATCCCAGAATCGCTCGACAACAGCAGAGAAACCTGAGCATCCACGAATATCTCTCAGCCGACCTTCTTCGACAGGTAGACTCTTTGACCAGTTACTTTGATTGTCGTCCACCCTAACACGCTGTCACAGTATGGCATCGGTGCCCCGAAGGGCTTCAATGCAAAGACCGCCGCTGAGGCCGAGAGGGTTGCGAAGGATATCGGCGGCGAAGATATGGTCATCAAGGCCCAGGTGTTGGCTGGCGGACGAGGGAAAGGCAGCTTTGATAATGGGCTGAAAGGGGGCGTGCGGGTGATCTACTCGCCCACCGAGGCCAAAATGTTCGCTGAGCAGATGATCGGCCACAAGCTCATTACCAAGCAGACTGGTGCGGCCGGCCGCCTTTGCAACTCTGTCTACATCTGCGAGCGCAAGTTCGCCCGTCGAGAGTTCTACCTAGCCATTCTAATGGACCGAGCCTCTCAAGGCCCTGTCATTGTCTCCTCCTCTCAGGGCGGTATGGATATCGAAACCGTCGCCAAGGAGAACCCTAGCGCCATCAACACTGCCTACATCGACATCAAGACCGGCGTGACCGACCAGATTGCTCGAGATATTGCAACGAAACTTGGCTTCAGCGAGCAGTGCATCGAGGATGCCAAAGACACGATCCAGAAGCTGTACAAGATCTTTGTCGAGAAGGACGCTACCCAGATCGAGATCAACCCTCTATCCGAGACTTCGGACCACCAGGTTCTATGTATGGATGCCAAATTTGGGTTCGATGATAACGCCGACTACCGACAGAAGGAAATTTTCTCGTGGCGTGACACCACCCAGGAAGACCCGGAGGAGGTTCGTGCTGCCGAATCCGGCCTTAACTTTATCAAGCTAGATGGTGATATTGGCTGCCTTGTCAACGGCGCCGGTCTGGCCATGGCTACTATGGATATCATCAAGCTGAACGGCGGCCAGCCCGCCAACTTTCTTGACGTTGGTGGGGGCGCTACTCCCGCAGCTATCAAGGAGGCGTTCGAGCTCATCACCAGCGATCCTAAGGTGACGGCGATCTTCGTCAACATCTTTGGGGGCATTGTGCGATGTGATGCGATCGCCCACGGTCTCGTCAACACCGTCAAGGCCCTGAATCTCAAGATCCCCATAATTGCTAGATTACAAGGGACCAATATGGAGCAAGCTCACCAGCTCATCAACGACTCTGGGATGAAGATCTTCTCCATCGATGATCTCCAGAGCGCTGCGGAGAAATCGGTACAGCTCTCCAAGGTCGTAAAGATGGGTACGTCACCGTTGAAATAAACATCAAGACAAGGCTAACACTGCTCAGCTCGGGATATCGACGTCGGTGTTGAGTTTAGCTTGGGTATCTAGGGACTATAGACGCCGATCTCGTAAACTGTACTAATCTTTGCAGGGATGGAACCTCAGGGCGTGCCACAATGCGGTGTTGCAAATTAGAGCAGAGGCGGGTTTGTCACTATTGCATGCATTTGATACCGCAGTATTCATCGTGTCCGTGTATTCAATCGGATTGCGTTTCCTGATTTGACGTGGCTGCTCTTTTGTTCTGTCTGTGACCATTTGGGTTCCCTATGATCTTGCTAACTCTTATCTGTCTAGCCGAGCCGCTTCACGACTAACTCGGCTGCCAGACCGGGCGGCGGGTATCATGTCCTCCTCACGCTGCCGCCTACCTCATATGAGAAACCCCTTCCTGACCCCAACTCCATTTCACGTTCCGAACAAGATGCATGAGAATAATCCCCCATCCTTCACACGTTTTTCTCTGGGCCATGGGCCGTATCGGGCGCCGTAAACCTCCGAAGAAGGGCCCCGTAATAATGTCTAGCGTGTCCAGGTTGCTCTCCTCCTCTTCAGAATAGAACGCTTAGCAAAGTTAAGACCAGCAGGACGACCAAGAAGTCGATAGCATCCCTAACCAGTTTCAAAGCCAACAGGGTGACTACAACGACGAAAGCGAGGACTATAAAAATACCCTTGACTATCGTGAGGATGTCCCGCGCCACAGGACGCACGCGTAGTTGGTACACGCGTTGAGCCCTCCAGTACCACCAATCACAACGGAAGGCGACGTGCGCAATCACGTCCTGGGCCTCCTGGTGGGCGAGGATGCTGCGAGCGCGAAGGGCACGCCAACCCGAGGCGATCGCTAAGAGGAGTGTCGCGATGGCCCTGATGGGCATGGGTGGGGGCTTAGGATTGTCGCGGTTGCGATGACGCTCGGGGTCAACGTAGCGGAGCTCCCCTGGGCGTCGGTCGTCCGGATCGAACGGCGCGCCGGGTGCCGAGTGAGTTGTCTGACACTCCACCCAGGAAGCGTTGGTACCGCGCCAGGCGACCTTTCCTGGAGCAGGGGGCCCTGCCGGAGGAGGGCAAAGGTGATATGGCAAGAAGGGACGACAGTATGGTCGCCATCCCGACGTCTTGAGAGGGGCACCAGAGGGTGCCGGGACGCCAGGCCAGGACGAAGGATAGGAGTAGGCCGAGGAGTAGGGGATGTGTGTGGTGACTGTAGTGTACGCCATCTCTCTGGCTATTTAGGGCTAGGTTGCGATGTTGTTTAATTTGCTTGTCGTTGGTGTTCGGAGAGCTGGGCAGGATTTAAATCGCAATTGGGCCTTGTGTGTGTTCCGAAGTAATTTTTCGAGTTTGGCAACGGAGAGATGATGCTGGGCGTCTGGCCTTTTGCGTTACAGGAATTGATTGCGAGGGTGTCGGTGCCCGGTAGCGGAATATATGCCTTATCGCTCAAGTGGTCCGCCGTCTGACTGTAACAGTTCCGAGGTTCAGGCGTGCTCAGACGGAAGGCTAGGAGCTCGTTTTTCGCGACGGGCTCCGGTAAAGCTTAATCTATGAGGGGAGAGTTTTGGGGGGTAAAAAAAAAATACGAGAGTCCGGTTCGGGTCCAAATAGAAGAGTGATGAAAGGGGATTCCGTGGCAACGGGTTGACCGCCCGTAGGAATTTTGCCAGCTCATTCCCCCCTTTCCCCTCGACAGCGGGCACTGGGAGACCGCTCTCTTCTGGTCTATTCCAACCCCAGCATTGTTCTGCCGCCTTGATTTCTCCATCGCGCCCCCCTGTGAAGCGCCAAAGGTGTCTTGTACGGCAGGAGTGAGTGGTTTAGTTATATATTCTTTACTCACCTTCCTCTGAGACCGTTGCCCTAAGGGGTTTCTTGTCCGCGTAGCCACCGCAGAAGCTGAAACGGCGTAGCTTCAAGACGATTTCGCCTCACCTCATACAAGAGCCATTGTGAGGAAGATACCTCAGGCATGTTCCACTCGGGATTTAACTCATCGCCATTTTGGTACCCTAACACGATTCGCGGGGATGACCTGAGCGTTTACTTCTAGTCTCCAAAGCTACGGCGAGAGCACTGTAGCCAAATCGGCTTTTGTGAGGAAGGAATCGGAATCTTGATCTGGGAGTAGCTAGGGAAGGGGGGATTCTTTAGCCAGCATCAGTATATCGACATACCTGCATTAGCTACAACCTACCTACCTATTTATCACAACAGGATATAGGTGTCGCTGGACTGTCGTTGGGATGATATCGACCGTATTCTCTATATCCACGCGTCCAAATAGGAACTCTAAGGGAGCTGAGACATCCGAATTGTCAGGCGCGAACAGTTGACAGCTCTAGGGAACGCCTTTGCTGATGTTAGACGGCGCTAAAGAATTCAGCCTCAAGCCGGGCTTCTGAGAACCGCTACAGACGCCATGGTAACCCCTCCGCTCACATAAATGCACTTACTAGCGAAACTCTCCTGCAGCACAAGTCTAATCGATAAGTCGAATGGGTTGTAATGAGGGTGATGACTTAAGAGAAAATTGGTACGGTCATGCCCCGGCTTCCCGATCTCACGCCAAGAGGTGACGCTGACAGACGATGGAGCTCCCGCGCGAGCTTGGCCCTGTCGCCAGGACACTACCCCAGCTGCCCAGGCCGGGGGAGGTGGGGATGCCGATCGAGCTTCAGTTAGTCTAGGTGAGTCCCAAGACGCTGCACAGGCGACGGCACCCCCCCCCAAACCGTCGGCAGATCTCTACTACGCTACATGTCTATCCCTCCCCAAATTCGGGCGTGAGGTGGGGGAGAAAGACACCTGCCGGTTGAATGCGACGAGTATCGTGGGTTAGGGGTGTGAGTGGTCTCGGCCGACCCCCATGTCTATACCCATCACGTATAATGAATGGATGGATCTAGATGACATACCTAGGGGTCGGAATGAGGTGCAGATGCCATCTGTCACGTGAAAAGGTAGGCGCCTACAATTTCCTCGCTTGGACGTGTAGGCTTATCATACTCGGTATACCTAGCATACCTCCTAGATAGATAGATAGATAGGTGCCTAGGTAGTCCGTTTGCACCCACGACGATGCCTCTAGGCTCTAGGTGGTAGATGTAACCCCGGTGCTAGGAGTGCGTTGCAAATTGGTGGCGGACTAAGCGGTGCGCTTACACAAAAACAAACTGGTAGGGCTGCAGGTTACCGGCGAAGGCGCGGACTTGCCTCGGAATTCTCACAAGTCATAATCTAGGTGTGAGACGGCGGAGAGTACCGACTTGACACAATGTGCTATTTATACTGAAGGAGGCGTATATAATAAGGGTCAGATGCCCCCTCCCTGACGGGTTTCCGTGCCCGTGGGCTTTCTCTGATCGTCTCCAAGACAGTGCTCAAAGTAAAATAAAAAGCGAAGCCCGGGATGCGCAAGCCGTGAATGGGGACATATCGATCTCTGGGTGACCACGCCTCTATAGATCACCTATCCTCTGAAGATACAATTACTCACCCATATACCCTGCTTATTATTCTCCTTCTCTTCCCGCTGTATCTGCCCCCATTGGAGATACACCATGTCGAAATCCCAAGTGCGAGCCTGGTGGAGAAAACAGGTCGCACAGGCCGCTCTCCGACACGCCGCGATGCCCCCGGCGCCTATTTGTCCCTGCGAGGCCTGCTTCAACAGGGCGGAGACCGACCACAAGGCTGGCAAGGTCCCCAGAGAGGTATTCGTTGTCAGAGACGCGAGCAGGGGACCGGCTTCGACGGGTGGCACAGAGCGGGACATGTCGGGAACCGAGGAGGGGAGGAGACGTTCGCATAAGCAGTCCAAGTTCGGCGGTGTGGCCCGACGGCCAAGTCAGACGAGCATGGCGTCGGATCTTGTTCCCTTATGCTTGACGAAGACCACAGCGACAACGCCGCGAAATAGCTCGGATACTCTGGTCTGGCATTCAAATCCCAGCCATGCTAGCGAGCTTCCTTGAGGTGTTGGGATGTTGAAGAGAAGGGAGGAAGGGGGGAGGAGAGAAGGCATCTACCTTACCTATCTCGTAAGGTGGAGGCAGATGGGTGCGGATACTAGATCGGTGTCTGGTCAGAATTTGCAGTGTGCCGACTCGGAGCGTTGTGGCGGCATCACCAGTTGGAATGGAAGGGTTAGAATGTGAGCAGGAGGAAGAAGTCAGGGATAGCGACAGCACCTTACTTAATCTACCTAATGACCCTTTGTCTAATACCATTAGCATCGCAACTTCAAGCACCGTTAGGCCTGTACATGACTGTCATGACCTAGGTACAGGTAGCTACCCAGGTCCTAACCTTGGGCAGGTACCTACTGTAACATGCCTACCCTAAGAGATACCTAGGTACGTAGGTACCTATCCAGGGTGCCTCACGCCCCAACCGGACCTTCCATACTTTTAGGTGCGAGGTGCATACCTAAAGTACACTTATATACGTACCTAGGTAGTGTATAGGTGCCTGATCGTCCAGAGACCGACATCCCGGGTACCTGGACATACCTTGCCTGTCTCCTCAAGGTACCTACCTCTTATCACACCGCCTGCCCGAGGCACGTCCCACCTTTCTTCCCCAACGACGAATCAAAGGGTGGCTGTGTCTCGATAAATGCAATGCCAAAGCCTTTTAATTTATACCTGCCTCAGGTAGATACCTCGGTCGATGACGTCATTGAGGCGATGTATCTGTAGATTTAACATAAATCCGTAGCCGAGTCGACACGAACACACCCAGCATCGTCATGTACTGCCTACATTTCGTGCCCCCTTCCGCCTGCAGCCCGGATGTATCCGAGGTATGATGAGGTAGCGATCTAGCGATCTTTACCTAATCTCATGTCTATTGCAGCGGGCCGCAGACACGCCGACCCCCTCCAATATAGTGCAATATAGACTCTCCCGGCCGAGACAACCATTATAACCCACCTTCAGCATCGTCCTATCCTCACCAGCCGGTCGACCACGCTGGCTGAACGATACAAAACCCAGCCGACGGTCCCAGTTCTCTGCTTGTTCGCTGGCTGGCTGGCTGGCTGGCTATCGACGTATTGGCATCCCTTACGTCCGTGAGACGGCAAACGGCGTGTACGCGTACGCAAGAAGCCTGCATCGGCTTCAGAACCGCCTTGGTTGGCCCGTGTAGAGCCTTACGCTTGGAACGGGGCTACAATGGCTCCGAGGGTCGACTCCGCCATCTTACAAGCGCTCGCGCTAAATCCCGAAACTACCTGGATCGCCTCCCACGGCGGTTCCGGCTTCTCCTCGACTTTCAAACTAAGCTCCTCTATTAACGGGAAGGTGAAGAACTATTTTGTCAAAACGGGGACGGGATCCGACTCCGAGCTTATGTTCAAAGGTCAGCCAGCCTGACTTCCCCCCGCCCCGCCCCTTATCGTCGAAAGGAGCCCTGCCAAAGCTGATCGCGCTATTCGCTATAGGAGAGCATGCGTCGCTTAACGCTATCTGCTCCGTCGTCCCGAAGTTCTGTCCCAGATCGCACGCTTATGGCGCATTCCAGGAAGATCCGAACAGATTCTTCCTAGTCACGGACTTCCTAGACCTCGGGTTGTCGCAGCCGGGCGGTTCGGGCCAGTCGTTCGCCCAAAAGTTAGCCAAGCTGCACACGACGCCCGCGCCCATCCCTGAAGGCTTTGACAGACCCATGTTCGGCTTCCCGGTCGCTACCTGCTGCGGCTCGTCGCCGCAGGATAATTCGTGGAAGTCCTCCTGGGCCGATTTCTACGCCAACAACCGGCTGCGTCCGATCCTACGGCAAGGCATCCGGTCCAACGGCTCCGACGGAGAGCTGTCCGACGCCGTGGAGAGAACGGCAAGCCTGGTCGTTCCTCGCCTGATCGGGGACGACCATCTCAAGGGTGTCTATCCCGTCCTCGTTCACGGAGACCTCTGGGTTGGCAACCGCGGGGGCGGTAGGATCGCCGGCGAGGGAGGGTTTGAGGAACTAGTCTTCGATCCGTCCTGCGTCTATGGACACTCGGAGTACGAGTTGGGCATCATGAGCATGTTCGGGGGCTTCAGGAACAGGTTCTGGGACGAGTACGACAAGCTGGTCCCGAAAGCCGAGCCCAAGGAAGAATGGGCCGATAGAGTGGCGCTCTACGAGTTGTGAGTAGAAGACCGCGCATCATTATATACTGATACACAAACGGAATATACGGGCTAACTGATTTCGAGATACCACCAACTCAATCATTGGGCACTATTTGGAGGTGGCTATAGAAACGGAGCGATGTCGATCATGAAAACGCTCAACGCAAAGTATGGGTAGACCCGTTCTTTTCCCATCCTCCAATACGGAGCCTCGGTGGACTAGCTAGCCTTCTGCAGCTACGACAAGATGAAATCCGGGTGAGAGTCAGGACTGCGTCATGATCAATCAAGTGAATGTAAAGTAGCCTACTTGGTTAGAAGACTTGGTCTCAAGAGAGGACGAGGGGAATAAATAAGGTGTAGGAACAACCCGAAATCGCATTCCCCCCGGCCCGTTGACAAGTCCGCGAAAGTTCGTATTGCTTAAACTGCGTTCGAATCTCGTCTGAATCAAACCGGCGGGACGCTTATGCGACGGACAGGAAGCGGGGCTGAGCAAGTCAGGAATTGCACTCTTACCCAATCAACTACGTCTTCATCTATCGCACCACCGACCATAGAGAACAGCTGCCCTCCCCCAAATATTTCCCGCCTCGTTGGCTCCGTAAGAACACCGCAGAAGCCCCGTATGGAGGATAGGAAGGCCTTCATCGTCGGCATCAGCGGGGCTTCGTCTAGCGGCAAGACGACTCTAGCTCGGTTGCTGCGCGATGTCTTCCCCAGCACCTTTGTCCTGCACGAGGATGATTTCTACAAGCCCGAGACCGAGTAAGCAATCTATGAAGTTTCTTCTTGTCCCTTCTCTCCGCATTTCTCTCCGTCGTTACCATCAGTGCCTCAAGGCGTAGAGGGTCCGGGGAAAAAGAAAACAGAAAACAGGAAAGAAAAAAAAAAACAGCGCACGCGAGAGAGAGAAACTGGACCTAACAATCGGCGGGGCCTATCGACCAGACTGCCTACCAGGGAGGGCATCGCAGACTGGGACTGCGCCGAAGCCATCTCCATCCCGGACCTAGCGCGCGCTCTGTCGCATATCCGTGCCCACGGCACGTTCCCAGTCCGTCCGTTCCGCAACACGAGGCGCAAGCCGCACGTCGCTAACCCCGCGCGCAAGCACTTCGTCGACTCGAAGGAGGACCAGAACTCGGTGGGCGCCTGCCCGGTCCCCGACGCCAGCATCGCCGAGGCGCGGGCCCGGGTCGCCGCCTGGCTGGCGCCCGGACAGCCGGGGCACGGGATCCTGTCGTCTGGCGGCGGCGGCGGCGGCGGCGTCGTCCGCGCTGTCGCGTCCGGCTCCGACGCTGACGGCTCGCCGCCCCCGCCGGCGCAGCCGGAGCCGGAGCAGCAGCAGCAGCAGCAGGACGGCCTGCGCGTCTGCATCCTGGACGGCTTCCTGCTGTACTCGGAGGAGATGGAGGCCGGCGGGGTGACGCCGCTGCTGGACGCGAAGCTGTTCCTGGTGGTGGGCCGCGAGCGCGCGATGCAGCGCCGCCGCGCCCGCGACGGCTACGTCACCCTCGACGGCTTCTGGACCGACCCCCCCGGCTACGTCGAAAAGGTCGTCTGGCCCAACTACGCCGCCGCCCACGCGCGCCTCTTCCGCGGCGGCGACGTCGACGCCGGCCGCCTCGACGACCGCGCCCTCCGCGACAAGGGCATCCTCGCCCAGACCGACCGCCCCGACGAGCCCGACATGGAGACCACCTTCCGCTGGGCTGTAGACACGCTGATGAGGCAGTTGGAAGAGGCAGGGAAACGGCGGTGAGGGCGAGCGGGGGTGCGGGAAAGGGAAAGGGAAAGGGGCCATTTTGCGCATCTATCTGCCTACTGGGACGTGTTCATGGCTGGGCGGCTGGTGTCGTGGGGTCAGCGTGCTCGCTATTACATCGCTAGACTTGAAACGCTAAAATGTTTATATCTTTTCTCCTTCTTTTCCTCGTTCATTATTTAAAACATCTAGATACCGCCCATTTAGGAAATGGGGTTAATATGCTTCTAGGGGATCATCATTCTAGACCCCTTTCTCCTCCCCTCACTAGGTGCCCATACATACACCTACTCGCGTCCCACAACAGCAATTTATCGATCTTCTCCCGACCTTCGAGTTAAACCTACCCCCAATACATATTACAACCGCGTGTGCGCTGTGCTTATCCCTGCCACGAATCCGACTTGGTCGCCGTGGCGGAACATCCCGTAGGTACGTTCCAGAAATGATTCGGGTCCGCCTCCCAGGTTATCGAGCCGTCAGTATTGACGACAATGTATTTGTACTGAATCGCCTGCCCAGCCGGCAGAGTGATCGTTACTTGCCAGAGAGGGTTGCTCGACGTGTACGAGGAAGCGCTGAGGGCTATCGCCCTACTCGTGTCCCAGTTTCCGAGAGCAGCGATATCGCCGACGATCTTGACTGTCTGCCCGTAAATGGTGGTTTTCAGTTCGTTAAATGTTACGGCAACGGATGTGACAGGGGTGCAAGAAGGAATAGGAGTTGTGACGGTTACTGTAGGACGTGTGAACGTATTAGTCGGTACGGAGCTGGTGATCGGGGTTTGGTTGGATGGGAATGTCGTGAGCGTCGCCGTCGAGTACGTTCCAACTTGGGACGTTGCTCTGCAGACAGCCGGCACGGAGGTTGCGGTTGAGCCCGCTCCGGCCCAGCCAGCTGGAACTATCCCGTGTCGACTCGCAGCCGCGGTCAAAAAGGCCGCGTATGACCAAGTGAGATCCCGAGCTGACAGTGGCGACCCGTTGTTGCGGTCGAATTGCTCAGCCAAGGACCCATTACTCTGAGCGTACCTCTCAACGACATTCACAAAGCCGTCAGCATAAGCAAATACTGCGTTGTACAGCGCGGTGTAGGTCTCCGAGCCAGCCTCGTACGTCCCAGTCGACGCAGATGAGTAGAGATCTCGGAAGAATGCGAGCGAAGTGGAGGTGACAGTTATGGACCCTTGCGCTTGCCAAACATAGAGAGCGTCATAAAGCTGTTCTGCGGCTGCGAGGGTGTTTAGATACCACCTGGGTAATTGTTGTTAACGAAGGGAACGCGTGATACCTTAATAGGGCAGGGGTGCTTACGGATTGCCATTGAAGTATGTATCTTCGGGGTACCGTCCGACCGCGACGGGAAACCCGGCGGGAATTCCCGAGTTAATGGTGTAGATGGAGCGAAACGAGTCTATCAGGACCTTGTGGCTGGCTAGAGCCCGGTCGCTGCATGGCTGGAATGTCGCCGCATCACAACCAAGCTCGGGATCGAAAGTGTGTATCGATCCAAGGATAACGTTGGCGTCTTTGGCGGATCTTCCGTTATTGACGTTGGTGTTGGCTAGAGTATACCCGCTGGACGGCGACCAGAACGTCTGCAAGAAGCATAAAACATGAGGTGCAATAGCATCATAGGTAGCGTAGCTGGTGCCGAGAGCCCGTGCCAAGGCACCGCCTTCGACGAGAGCTCGATGCTGAGCAGCGACGGTGAAGAAGGAGCTTCCGCTCACCTCTTCCCAGAGGTCGAAGCCGGTTTGGTTCCAGTAATGTGCCACATAAGCGAGGTCGTTACGAATTACGGGCCAAACAACGTTCAACGCAGTGGAGTTGTAGCCGTTTGCAACTAGCCACTTGGAGTAGGCGATCAATGCGATGGCACGGAGAGCAGGCCCATCGCGTTGCGGACGGCCCCAGCCGCCGGTGTAGGCACTGAGATCGACATGGTATTTAGCTTCGCCCAGGCCTCTCCCGTCCGACAGGGCACCCGACGGGTTTGTTACAGTCTGAAGTTTGGCCTGGGAAGCAATGAAGTTTTGTATCTCGATTTGCAGCGAAGCGTCGTACTTGTTGACAAATCTGTCGATTACGGCCTTAAAAACCAGGGCAGCATCTCGAGTCCACGTATAGAAATCTTAAGGAGTTAGCTGACGGCTTTGGGGGCCTTCTTGGAGGAAGGGAAAGGGATGGGGTCTCACAATCGGGATCCGAGGTGGACGGGGAGGCAATCACGATGCCTGAGCTCACTCCCTGAGCGTGGCATCCCGTCGATCCGATATTACACAAGAGTTGCTCGAGAGCGATGGGCTCTTCGGTAGCTATGAAATCGTCAACCGATCTCCTTAGAAGTGCGGCTTCTCTTCGCGACCGGGAAGCACTAGGCAAGCCGAAAATCGTCTGAAAGGCGAAGCTGCCTAGGAGGAATAGAGAAGTGAAGCCTTGCATGATGGGCTGGATGAGTGAGCTGCTGTTGCTGAGGGCGAATCCCAAACTCTCGACCTGCAAGATCTCCATCGTTCCGTCGCTCTTATTATAGCTAAAATCAAGTCTTCTCGTGGATATCGTGACGCCACTGCCCTATGCCTCCTCTGGACAGCTCATACGACCCTGCGCCGAGAAAACGGGTAGGGCCGAATCTACGGTTACGCCGGCGATATTCCTCGGTCAATCGACAGCCGGCCAGATGGGCGGAGTTGGGAGCGGAGCTGGAAGCGCTGGTGAGGGCCAATGCTACGCCACGGGAAGTAAACACCAGCTCGTGAATGTAAAGGACCTGGGCGTTGAATGGCCTGCCCAGGTGATATCCCGGCGATGAGGTCGACAAGGGCCGACTACGCCTCGACCTGGGTGCTCAGAATCGGGCCGCTCTGAGGATGGCGATACCTCTAGAAGCTAGCTGCCGGTAGCATGCATGAGGCATGGACGAATTTGGTAATAGGCACTGAGCAATTATATTAGTCTTAAGGAGCACCGGCGGCGCGAAGGGACCTTGGGGTAGGATGGGTCGAAGCACTAATAAAGGTTCGCCCCAGCCCCCAGCGTGCGAACCCCCGTGCGGGGGAGCTGAGCCTCCGCATTATCACATGAAGCAGTAATGACGGGACCGACCTGTTGTAGATCCTCCACAGCTCGGAAGTCTTCTGTTAGGTGTTATGTAATTATGGGAAAACAGAGAACGTGCTTGGCAGCCGAGGATACGGGGTCGCGTCCACATTTAACTACCCCCTTTCGTCCACCGCTTCTTAGTGGGACGCGTGGAGAACCATCTTGCGGAACGTGATCATGTGCTTGGTGCTCTTTTGCTGTTTCTCTTATGTGGCAGGCTATGATTCCCGGTGCTCAAATTTCGGAAGCCCATGCCAACGCACTTCCTCCTGCATACGGCCCCTGCTTGAGCTGATAGGTAGAATCCTGCTCCCCGAGATATCCGCATGCATTTATGTGACCTATATCGGACAACGCATGGGGATCGCACGGTGCAGCCTTGGCTGTGTTTGTTGCTGGCGTTGCCAGCAGACATCAGGGGGCAGCGGCATCTGGCCAGAGGCCGAGGCAAGAACGGTTTGTCCGCGATCAGGCCGAAGCAGAGGGTGCTAAATCTTAGGTTGTCAAAGAAAATACATCCCATCTTATGTTGTAGTGACTCCGGGCGAAAAAAAACACACGATCAGAGGTCCGAAATAACACCGCTTACTCGAAAGCTAGATGTTGTCGAACGTATATACCGCTCGGAAAATGACACAATCTGAAAGGGTACCATGTGATGAGCAAAATGTCACGGTTGCTAATGCCCATAGGGAGATAGGCATGGGTAGACACGGCACAGAGGCCCAAGTCAAGCCCAGCGGAAGTCTGAAGGATGCCAAGGGAGATAGATGTAGAGGCTTCTTTTATGGTTTTCCCCAACCTCATAAATCAACGATCTTGGAAAATAGGGATGGAATATAACGTCCAGGGTTGGTCTGGCCCCACCGAGTTCAGCTTTTGATGGCGAACTCAGGTGTCCCAGACTGCCCGCCCTTTATTCTAGGACCTGTCGATTAGAAAGACATCATGAAGAGTGAGATGGTTCCATAGGTGATTCGAGCTGCCTCGACTATCGACTCTAGATTCGCAGCGCGAACAGAGGATGGTCGGGCACAGGTCCATTGTTGAGGAAGAGAAAGAATGAGACCACTGCGCCCGTGGGGAAAAAGTTTGAAGGCCATGGTGGCCGCTGATTAATACATCACGTGTATGCATGAGGTGGGGTTGTTACATTGACTTCCGTGGGAGACAGGTAGGTACCTAAGTATCCAGGACACATCACGAATACGGGAAGGTTTTCCTTCTTTCGGCTGTACTTTATTCCGGGCACCTAAGTATGTGTTCATCTACCTTAGTTCGCCTATCGCATTTGTTTATCAAAACTACACAATAATATCGCACGAGGCCGACTTGCTCTTCTCATGCTGAAATAATATCGACGACCGCACATAAAAGAAATAGCGCAAGCTCATGACCCTCTAGTTGGCCATGGACGCTACCACGATCGAAGAGACGAATCGTCTTCGTGTTTCCTTGGGCCTGAAGCCTTTGCCCGTGCCTGGGTCAACCGGTCCTCAATTCAAAAAGAAGGAATCCACCCCCGATGAAGAACCTGCAAGCACTCTCGAGACCCGGGAAGCGGCTGCGTACGATAACTATAAGAAGGTCAAAGATGCCGAGGAAGCAAAGAGGAAACGGGAGCAAAAGACGGCCGCCATCAAAAAGGCCCGCGACGCCGCAAAACGATTCGAGAATCTCGAGGGCAAGGGGTTAGGCGATTTCGATGACGGGGGTGATCTCGATGCCAAAACCTGGTTGGTTAGTCAGAAAAGGCGACAAAAACAAATCGAAAAGGCACGAAAGCTGGAGGAGGAGCTAGCAAAAGCCGAGGCCGCAGCCGCCGCAGCCGTTCAGTACACGTCCAAAAATCTTGCCGGAGTGAAGGTCGCCCACGAAGTCGAAGCTTTCGAAGACGGAGAGGAGCAAATCCTAACCCTCAAGGACGCCAACGTCCTGGAAGATGATGAAGGCGACGAGCTGGAGAATATCAGTCTGAGAGAACGAGAAAAACTTACTGAAAAGCTTGAGCTAAAAAAGAAGAAGCCCGTCTACGACCCTCACGCGATTAACGAAAGTGGTGAGCGTAGCATACTCGCTCAATACGACGAAGAAATAGACGGCAAGAAATCCAAGAGATTCACGCTTGACGGGCTGGGCAACACTATTCAGACTGGCGACCTAGATGCCCGACAGCAGAGCTGGCAACGCCAGAAGATAAATCTCGATATCCTCCAAGAAGATCGCCCGACTTCGGATTATTTGGACCTCTCGGAAGTCAAGGTCAAGAAACCCAGGAAGAAAAAGTCCAAGTCGACAAGACAGAAGCCAGCGGACGAAGACGACATGTTCCCTCTGCCGTCGGCGGAGCTAGACCAATCGATGGACATAGATTCAGGCGCAAGCTTTGTCAACAAGAAACGCAGAACGGATGACACGGCTTTCCTCGACGATGAAGATCTCCAAGCTACATTAGCCGCCCAGAGGAGGGAAGCTTTGAAAAAACGGAAAAAGACACGACCCGAAGATATAGCCCGACAATTGAGGCAAGAGGCGCAAACACCCGAAGGGGGCGATGATTCAGAAGTTGCTCAAGAGGGCGGCCTAGTTCTCGATGAAATTTCGGAGTTTGTGTCAGGCCTGAAGAAAGAAGATGTGGAAGATCGCAAACCTCGAAAACCAAAGTCACCAAGCGATGTACCAGCGACCGCGATGGAGGACGAGTCCGATGAGGATGTGCCTATGAAGGACGGGTACGAGCCCGAACATGATAGAACCAAGCGTGAAACCTCGGTTCAGGCAGAGACGGCCATTATCGGCGTCGACGAAGAGAAGACCATAGGAACCGGAATTGGCGCAACGCTGCAGCTTCTAAGAGAACGCCAGCTCCTGAAAGAATCAGAAGCCGGCGACCTAAACGAGAAACAGCGTCAGCATCAGATGTTCCTCGCCGAGAAGAAGCGGAAGCTGGCGGATATTGAGCAGGATGCGCGCAATCAGCGCGAGCGAGATCGCAACAGCGGCCGACTCGACAGGATGTCAGTTCGGGAAAGGGAGGAGTGGGCGCGACAGCAGAACAACATCCGTGACCAGCAGACGTCGCGGCAGTTAGTCGATCTCTTCAACAGGGGGTATAAGCCCAACGTCGAGTTGAAGTATCATGACGATCACGGCCGCTCACTTGACCAAAAGGAAGCTTTCAAGCACCTCAGTCACCAGTTCCACGGCAAGGGAAGCGGTAAGGGAAAGACCGACAAGCGCCTAAAGAAGATCGAGGATGAGAAGCGACGTGAGGCGCAGAGCATGCTTGACGCCAGCCAGAATGTCGGCATGAGTTCCGCAACTGCGCAACAGACCAAAAAGCGGAAAGAAGCTGGTGTGCGACTCGGATGACCGTGTGCAGCAATTGGCCATTGCAAAGGTGCATTTCCCTCGTTTGTATACTTACAATCAATAGTAAATCATTGCTGACCCCAGAATTGAAGTCCACCGCCCTCCGCAGTGTATCGTGAGGAACCCGCACTAGCGCGATGTCTTCGGCATGGGAGAGCACGGAGTCGTGACCCTTCATCTCTCGATTTCGCCATGAACGTCACTGCTATCTTGATTTGACCCGTTACTAAGTCCCGTAAGTCATCACTAACCAACACGATGCTGTATATTTGCCCACGAAATAACCGGCAACACACATATTATGTTCTTATGTTTCATAACCTGGTTGCGAGTTTTCCTTGCTTTCGCGGGTTACAATGGTAAGTACCTTCCTCGGTACGTACGTCTGCTGGGTAATGAGCCAAGTGGACTTGGATTTCTACATCAGGCTTCTAGAGAACACCGAAGGTAAGAGGTAGAAGTCAGCGGCGAATGCATGTAGATAAGCCATTGGAGTAATCAATCTTTATTCGTCGTGAAGGGAAGGGGAAAAAAGATGTAGACAGAAACGCGGGATGCTGCTGTGACCAACTGGTCGCTGCGTGTCAAGTTTCCTCGCGATCCCCAGCTTCACAAAGCCTGGTCGCTAGCTTTCGACCAAAAGGGAGCAACCAACTTCACTCAAGCAGATTTTAAAATAGACCAAGGAAAGACAAAAAAGACTTGATCCCTCGGGCCGGATTCGAACCGGCGACATTTCGGTAACAATCATCGTATATTAACAATTACAGCCGAACGCCATAACCAACTAGACTACCAAGGGCGAACACTGAAAAGTGGGCTTTTCAGCGAGGGACACATTCTGTTGGGGAAACGCGCGGTTTACAATATTTTAAGAGGGCTTACGCCACCAAAGTCGTCTGTACTTTATGATCTTCCGTCACCCAGTACACACCCAAATAGGTCTTCTGGCTACATGATGCACCCATACACCCATAGGCAATGTATATTACAACTCCTACCTGTTTAAATGAAAATGTACGTATTGATTGAAAGGAGATCCTTTGGCAGTTCGTCTGTTGCTTACCTACCTGACTGAGGGCTGAAAATAGGCATCACCCCTAATGAAGGAACGAGAAAAACACTTAGCCACAGGCAATGGGTGAGAAAGAGGCAAGACGGCGGTGGTTGCCGGGAGCGGCCTTGGGATCTGCTTCTAAAAGACCCAATCCCGCTGCTGCTCGGGCTACCTCGACTCAGCAGGAGTCTCGGTCTCGTGTTCCTCGCTATGGTGCTCTTCCATCATGCAGTTGAGCGCCGAGCTGAGCGCCTCCATATCCTGGGGGCCAAAGCTCTTGCGGAGCGTCGAGGGGCAACCTGGCGTCGTGATCCGCTCCTGGAGGCGTGCGTTGGCATTGTCTAGTAACAGTTTCTTTCTCGAGGCTTCGTTAGGGTTCATATTCACCCAGCGGTCGAAGTGGCAGTCGTCATCAGCATTTTCGTCACTACCGCTGCCGCTGCCGTTCATAGGCGACAGCAGGTACATGTCTTGAACGGAGACCTTGCGTTTGGCCGATGCAAGATATGGTGCCAACGGAGGCAAGAAAGAGGGCGAGTTCAGGGGCGAGAATGGCGAAGGGTAACCGCTGCCATTTCCGAGGGCGCCCAAGGCTTCGGAGGATGATCCCACCTCCAGGCGAAGGGCTCGGTCCGCCGCTTCCTGGCGTTTGGACCGTATACGCTCACGCAAGGGAATCCTACCGTCTCCAGTGAAAACGACATTGTGGCGGTAAAGGTCAGCCTCCAGTTCTCCACCTCGCCTCTCAACATGAGCACCGAGCTTAACCCCAGCGGGCCTATCGTCGGACATGCAGTGGCTGCTGCCCGCTACCGCCATAGCCTCGAAGTGCTTGCTCAGTTCGCGAACACGACTGTGAGCCTGGACTTGTGAGGGGCGTGTGCCGTCGGACATTGTAAGTGAGGATAGGCGGCAAGTGCTCAAATGTCAAGATGGGTATGGCTTTAACTGGGAGGCTTCCAGGGAAAGACACTTACCAAGTGGGAGCCCTGATAGAGTTATAGGAGGATACGTATCAGGAAGGGCAAGGACTAGAAACTTCATACGGGTTGCTGAATTTATAAGTCGGTGCTCGAGCACCGCTACACTCAGTCTGTCTAAATGCATTGTTAAATGTATGTCTTTGTTCTCCTTTGGCTCCTTGTCTGTGAGCATAACCGCCTGTTCAAAACTGTTAGAACAACAATCCTTTTATTCTAGACTAAACAAAGAAGATGTTATGAGTTTTGATTCTCTGGATGATATAGGCTCTGAGTTGCTATTACTATCTGGTCTTGCGCCGTTACAGCCTAATATGTATTGGGATTCTTCCCTTACTTTCCCTAGTCTTAGCGGAACTTGCAGGGTAAAAAGTCATACCTACCGCCTACCTAGGAACATGTGGGTATCTTGACCACCTAACCCACCCGAAAGGTCGCTGGTGCTTTGATGAGGGGAGGTTTTTTTTTCTCCGGAAAATAGGCCTATATTGACGACAACTCAGACGTAGATTTACGAGTAGATGCTAAAAGGAGGTCAAAGGAGCACACCCGGCGGCGGACAGAAAACGCTAGGGGTGGTAATCTGTGCTGGTTTGCGATCCGGATGCAACCCTACCCAAGGCTGTTTTCTGACGGCTGGTCTCAGATAACGGTGTGGAATGCATTCAATAATGGCTGCACCCTTAGGTAGTTAGCATGAGGAGCCGGGAGGTCAGGTGCATACCGAAGAACTTGTATATAGGAATGTAGCGCTCACTTGGACATTTGGGCCGCCTTGGAGTAGGAGACGCCTAACCTAAATAATATCTACCTATGTCAAAGTATCGGCAGGTTAAGCCAGGCGAGGACGTAAAAGGGCACCCCTTAAAGATAAATGCTAGGACACGCATGATAGTGTTCTTAGTAGAAGTCAGCTATAAATGTCATCCATTGCACTCAGCCGCATCCAGCCTCGCTCTGTCAGCTCTGGAGGCGCTGGTTGCCATTCCGGTATAGTGTAACGGCTAACATACCTCGTTTTCACCGAGGAGCTCGGGGTTCGATTCCCCGTACCGGAGTTGTTGTCGATTTGTCAGTGTGTTTCTTTTTTAACCCACACCTCTTTGCAGTAGAGCAAGTTGTTTGCCTAGGATTGGACTTCCCCATCTGGGGGATCCAGAGCTGGGCGTCCCATTGTTCCACTTGACAGGAACATGTTTTGGATCGACAATATTCTTCGAGGTAGAGACACAGCAGGACCGGATCTCCCCAAGTGAGCAGCTGTTATTACATGCCTACCTCCTACCTGCCGAGGTACGTATGAGTAGGTATGTCTACAATTGCTGTTCCCAAGGTCTCCCGCGCCCATTTCCAGCCGTCAAATTTCCACAATTACCATTTTCGCCCCTTGTTCTCCTCTCCCGGCATCTCCTCGCCCTCTGCCTTACCCTCGGCATAGTTGTCTGCGCGCAACATCATGCCAGGGTCAGAGGCGGTTATGCTGCTGCGGCGGGCCCGGGAAGTCAAGTAGAGGGTCAGGACGAGTGCGAGGACCAAGATGGTCACCCAGATGAGGACTAGCCGAGCCGACCGTTTCGGCCGCGGGCCGTACGGCGAATAAATCTTTGGCATCCGGACCATAGCCGCGATCGCAGGTAGCTAGGTTACTTATTACCCGGAGTAGCTTGGCTTAGGTACTTGTATAGGCGTGTATTCTTCTTCTTTGCGTAGGTGCTCTTTTGGGTGCTCCGCTGTTGTGCAGTCTGGCGCCTGGGAGTTCGCAGGTGATTAGAACGGCGTGGCGGGAGAGAGTGTGCTCTTATGCGGTGTATGATGAGGAAAAACGAATACCTCCTACCTCCTAGGTAGGCGGTGAGCGAACGGTATGAATTTATATCATAAAGGGCACTATGTACCTATGCTAGTCACTAAACAACCTTAGCTTTAGAGTCTCCTACAAGAAATATCAGGCAGGTACTTAGGTACAGGTACGCAGGTAGGCACCTTGGGTTCGCGACAATAGCACAGTCTGCGGATAACCACAAGATCGCGTGTCTCTCCTTTCTATACCAAAGCGACATGTCTCGCAAAGGGGAGCCACCTCGCTACTCCTTGCCAAACCACAATCCGGCCTCCGCTAACGGTGAGTGCGTATCCCTTTCTAAGATGTTATGCCTATGTCTTTCATTCTTTCACCCGTACCGTTATACACTGAAATTCAACTATTGAGAGGTCAACTGATCCCTGGTAACGCCCGCCCCACGCCTGGCCATACCGATATATCTATCATAGCTGTACGCCGGCTTTGATCCCTTTACCCTCGTACCAAATAGACTCTTGCCAATTCCCCAATCGCAGGTCCACGTCAGCATAGGCATCTATTTTTAAATCGCCGCCAATGGCTTTCTTGATAGCATCGTAGCCGACGGTATCGAGCGACCACGTAACAGGCAGCCTCGGCGTCAGTGATGTTCCAGGTGGCGCCGAAAATGGCAAGTCGTACAAAATCTGACCCACCGGATTTGTGTGGTTGTAAAGCGCTGTGGCGTTGACGAAATCTATATATAACGTGTTGTAACGCAACGGTGATACAAGAGCAAATGTAGCTGTAGAAGAGAAGAAGTGGAAAGTCGCGTCCCTGATAAAGCGAGGCTTCTCGCCGGTAGCGTCTCCGGGGAGATCCAACTTCGGGGCGGCGAGTGTGACGTTAAACCGCGAAAGAGCTCTAGAGAGAATGGGCTGTCCCGGAATGCTATCTTGGTGGCCCTTGACGGTAATGCTCGTATTCCACCCAGACAGATACTGTGAAATGATATCCCGTCCAACTTGTCGGCCCCGAGAACCGCCCATCGATGGATTCCATCTTGCAGTAACCGGCACGTTGAAGTTCGGGCCCTTGGCGAGATCCAAGCTCTCGATAGAGGCACTTCCCAGAATAGACCCATTTTTCAATACGTGGATGTCGGCGTACGGTATGTGGGCCGTGTAAGGCGTTGGGTTGGTTATATTCACCAATGCTCGCAGAGTTATCGAGTCTGATGTCGTGTCTAGAACCCTGAGGGATCCGACCCTGGGGTCGATATCGTCAAGAGCGCCTCGGGCAAGTGCTGAGGCCAAGTTAGCGCGTGCCACTGTTGAGGCAAGGGTAGAGGGGCTTGGGATTGCACCTCGGGGATTGAGCCGTCCGAATTGAACGAACCATCTGAGAGGCGCACTGACAACATTAAAACAGCGAAGACGGACGTTTTACTGGGATTTTGCCCTCCGCAGGAACCTCCTTTATGGTAAGATTTCCCAGTGTGGTATGCACTTGGATGTCGACCAGGGCATTGACATCGAGTTGGACCGTTTTGCGGCCGAAAAATAACGCCTGGACAACTTCGCTGAACACCGTGTCGCTCGTTATGTTGAGGGGCGCATCGACGATTCGGGATTCGATCATGAGAGAAGCTCCGCCATCTCCTTCACCCTCCAACCTAGTCGAATTGGCGCGCTGCCATTCCCGCAAGTTGAGCTCGCCCAACTTATCAGATTTATACATCACGTCTGCCGTGGCACGGACAGCCGTCACGTCAATACCGAAATTCATCTCCGAAGGCAGGCCTGCAGTGACTAAGATGTTGCCCGACACAGTGGGGTTGGCTTCCGGGTCGCCAGGCTCGGCAAAAGGATCAGGCAAGGTGAAGTGAACATTGGTTAAAGAAAAGTTACGGATCAGGCCGTCTAAGGTCCGGCCAGGGAATGGGACTGGAACGGTAACGCTAGACAGGATATCTGCTATCCACTTTGGCGTGTCACCATCGGGGTGACGGCTCCCACGAACGAATAAGGAGGCGGGGTCGCCATGCATAAACTGTCCAAGCAGGATATCCAGCGGTGAAGACGTAGAATCAGGGCAGACGCGAGTCAAAGACTCGGGCAATTCGTGGATAACTGCTTTGACTTCGGCTCCAACGTCGGACCGTGGCTTGACGTGGACGCCACTCGTGGCCGCTTCCGCCACCAAGATAAACGGATCAGTCGTAGCACAACCGGATACAAGAATATCGAAGGCTAGTTCGGGTATGTCGAGCTGGACCGGGAACTCGTTAAACGCCGACAGTGATACGTCGGCTAACATGGATCCATTCATTGGTCCATCCACCACGTTGAAACGGGTGATATTATACTGCGGGATAGCTGGAGTCTTGTTCGCTGTTCGGGCAATCAGCGTTTGGCTCGTTCGAAGACCAGCACACTCCTGCCCTGTCGTGGCAGGGAGGAGAGGACATTTCGCTCGTTTTCCCGAAATATAGAGCAGCAAAGGAGCGGGGGAGAGACCGACCTTCAAATACGAGAGATTCGGTGATGGTGTGGATCCCCAGGGGGATTATGCCGGATTTCATGTTGAGATCAGCTACTCCATTTAGACGAAGTTTTTCCAGTCTTCCCTCTAACCATTCGTTCGCAATCGTTCGAATTCCCTCTACGGGTCCAGGTGTTATCTCCGTGATGAAGTCGAACCTCGTCACGTCACCATCCCGCAAATTTACCACTAGAGGCGGGATAACCGCACTTCCGAGTAATATGTTATCGTAATCAGGAAGACGCACGTTGACCTGGGTCTGGCCGCTCTGGAGCTGGTATGCCACCCACGTAGAAACCCTCCCTACTCTTCTCACATGATTGTTGCTAACTCTAGACCCGTCGAGGTGGAAGTTTGCTTGTATACGGGCGCGAACGCCACTCGTCGTAATCGATTCGAGGGCAAGGTTGGTCGGCTCGATGACGGCAGCTTGCCGAGCATATTCCTGGACTGCGTCAGGGACGATAAAGGCGAGAATAATAATAGCCACGGCAAGCCCAGCAAGGACCGCCATCGCGATGAAGGAAGGCCATCTTCTCGTTCTTTTAGTCGAAGTAGACGGATATGTGTTGGCGGAGCGGGATTGGGTAAAATCGGCAGCGTCCTCGTCGCGCTCATCCGGTTCCCCGTCATAAGGTGGTGTAGCGGAAGACTCCGAGAGGAGAGGCGTCGATTCGCTAGAACCGGAGCGTTGTATCGGGACCGTCTTGCCTTTCATTGCGGTTGCGAGCAACGGCGACGTCTCTTCCTCGGCCATCGCGACGGCTAGAATGGGCGAGCCCAACGGACCGAGTCAAGTAGTGGACGATGGAGGGAGCGCGGCTAGAGTAAGGAGGGCACCGGCATCATCAAACCTGGTGGTCTCTCTAGTTGGCCTAGATGAACGAATGGTTTAACAAATTGGCATTTGCGATGATGCGGCAGTTAGCAGCGGATTTCACAAGGAACAACGATAACACGATGTAGAGATAGATTAGATGTAGATGCCTAGGGTGCGAGCAATGTTGGACGGCGTAACAGACGGACAACTTGGAGGGGCGGGTAAGTTCTGGAAGGCAACGCTGGTAATGGAATCCACCCAGTAATCCATGTGTGCACCACACCATCCACCAACGAAGGTACACGTAAGGCTCATAAACATTACCAATTGGAAGCCGACCCTTCGTTCCACTTTCGGGCTAGCGTTCTCAAGCGGAAATATAGGTGTATATGTAGTAGGTACCTACATGGTACAATGCTTGAGGGTTGACATCATGGCAGATGGAAGGAGCAGGGATTTGAGGAGGGGTACATGCCTCCTGGGCAGGTACCTACCTTAAGATATTTACGTGCTTATGAGTACCTCTAGTACGCACTTTACTCCCTATACGTTATATGCTGGCTTCCGTGGGCCTGATGCATAGGTACCTAAGGTACCTACCTCCTCTTAGGCCGGTACACAATAGGTATAATCGGTAGGAGGTATTATAGGTACTTCTACAATGTATTGTCACCTCACACCTATATGTAAATAGGTAGGAGGTACCTATAAACGAGAACATTAAGGCAGGTACCTACCTACCCTGGTTCTTTTAGGGGATCGATATGAGTACATCGCCCCCACAAGAAATAACATGGAGTTGAAATACCCAGGCACCAGATGGCAGGGGAGAAGGGCACTGAAGAGTGACCGAAAGCAAGCCCTAAAAGTCGCTCCGCCCTTCACCCGTTCACGCCTCATCTATAGCCTATCAATCCCGGCCAGTTTGTCAGCTTAGGCAATTGCCATAAAACCACACAGTCGGAGTCAATTCAGGTATCTACAGGCCTCCACCTAAAAGATTAGGAGGTACCTACCTTAGAAGGTAGGTAGGTAGGTAACTAAGGTAGGTGCGTCTGCGTAGGCAGAGGTAGTGACAAGCCTACCTATCTATCTACCTAGGATGTTACTTACCTGTGGTTGAAATTACAGAGGTACCTAGCTTTTTTCTTGTTATGGCTAGATCGGCCTATCGGATCTTTTTTCATTCTTGATTGATACATATCATCCAGTACGCACCAACTTTAAGGTGCCTCAACCGCAGCAATTCCCGTTTTGCAGATTACAGGGGACCTCGACTTCCTCAGACGTCAAAGAAGAAAAAAATGTGGTCGTCTGCTTTACGACTTGCCGGGGGCACATTTCAAAGTGCCCGGGCGATGAACTATTCAACGTCCTCCAAGACAATCCGACATCTGATGTCGATCAGTGACTTGACGCCAAATGAGTTCTCGAAACTGGTGCTGAACGCTGCAGCGCACAAGAAAGCTGTCAAATCTGGCTGTATCCCGAAGAATCTGCACAGCAAGTTGACCGGACAGACAATCGCCATGATCTTCAATAAACTGAGTACTCGTACCCGTGTATCGACGGAGGCTGCCGTAGCTATGATGGGAGGTCATCCGATGTTCCTCGGGAAAGGTGATATCCAGTTGGGAGTGAGTTGATCCACCGATCATCCGCTCATGGCAAAGCTAGGTGTTGAACTAACCGACGAACCCCCACCTTCCAGGTGAATGAGTCGTTGCTTGATACCTCTAAGGTCATCTCATCGATGACATCTTGTTTGGTGGCTCGAGTCGGCCCTCACGATGACATTCTAAACTTGGCAAAACATTCTAGCGTTCCCGTCATCAATGCGCTGTCTAATGACTTCCATCCGCTTCAGATAATTGCTGACTTCCTCACGATCCATGAGTCCATTCCCAAGGGGTCTGCAGATGCGGATAGCATCGTGCCAAAGGGACTCAACGTAGCTTGGGTTGGAGACGCCAACAATGTTCTATTCGACTTCGCAACTGCCTGCGTAAAGCTAGGTGTGGGGATCTCGGTCGCCACACCTCGCGGCTACGGCATCCCGGAGGAAATGTCGAATCGAATCAGGAACCAGGCCAAATCTACCCAGACGCCTGGGAAGCTGCATGAAGTGACCGACCCGGAGGAGGGTGTCAAGGACGCAGACATCATAATCACTGATACCTGGATATCCATGGGCCAGGAGAAAGAGACGCAAAAACGGCTGAAAGATTTTGCTGGCTTCCAGGTCACCAATGATCTGGCCGAGAGAGGCGGAGCAAAACCAGACTGGAAATTCATGCATTGCCTTCCTCGCCATCCTGAGGAGGTTGATGACGATGTCTTCTACTCTGCGCGATCTCTTGTCTTCCCCGAAGCGGAGAATAGGCTGTGGGCAGCTGTCGGTATGTTCTCTCTTTATACTAGACTAGATTCGACCGCCCTAGCACTAATCTCCTTGCAGCGGCGCTGGAAGCTTTTGTTGTAAATAAGGGGGTTATATTGTGAATATCCCCTGGCCGATTCGGGAACGTACGGCGTCGCCTGCATCGCAAGAATTTGCGAGCACGTTCATGAGGAAAAATCCAAATGAAGCCGAAACCTAACCCTTAAGTGATATTGGCGACTGGGGGCTGGGGGTTTCAAATATTCATTTCAAGACGGGAGAAAACATTGACTTCTTCAAGATCGACGACCTCTAGCCCCAATGTGATAGCAAGGTGTAATAAAATCACCAAATAACATGCAACACATTCGGGATTACTAAGGTTGTTCGCGCGAGGTACTGTACGTCTATATGGAAATAATGCCCAAAGAATATTCCTCCTTTTTTTTGGGTGGGGGTTGGCAACAAACCGACAATGCTGAAGCTTCTCATGTCAAAAAGATCCTCTGCTCTAGTTTAACCAGGCGGCAGCTGGCTAATATCTACAACGTCATCTGCCTCTTTTACGATGCCTTCTTCGTCAGGGCCATAGAGAGGGGATCGAGGTAAGGCCATGAGACCCGTCCGTGAGGATTCCAAAATGCCAAATGGCGCGATGAGTTTCAGGAACGAGTCGATCCTAACTGGTTTGGCAGACCTATAAAACGTTAACATGAATATTGTTTCTCGATTAATACTCACTTACACCTCGACAATACAGCTGTTCGTGCTAATATCTAGGACTTTGCCTCCGAACTGATGGGTAAAGTAAGTTATAGATTTTAGGTGCTCGTGCTTCAGACGCAAAGCTTGGCTAGCCGCTATCTTGCTCGGATGGAAATCCTGTGCCGTATCTCTCAGCGCATTTTCGCCGGTTTCCGTCAGGGCGGCTTCAGCAGTTATTTCGCGGTGGTGGGCCAACAACTCCTCGAAGTACTCCGGCCCCAGAATGTTGACCTTAGCAAGAAGCAGTTCCCTTTGGACCAGAGCAGCATTTGTGTAGTCCAAAACGGCCCAAACAGGCACCAGGTCTTCTAATTGGCGCCGTGCTTGCTCTACCACGCCATCCTGTCCGGTAAGAACAATCGTCATGCGGGACAAATCCTCAACCTCTGTGCTGCACACAACCAAGGAATCAATATTGAAGCCCCTTGCTGCTAAGATGCCGGAAACTCGGGACAGGACGCCAGGTTCGTTTTGGACTAGGCAGTTGAGGACATGCCGTTTTGGGGGTGCCATAGACGGAGTTGGAGTTTCGTAGAGGATATTGGAGACAGCTGCTTGCGCAGACCACGATGAAGGCGTGTCGTTGGTCGGAAGAGGGGCCTGGCGACGACGAAGTGCTTTGTAGGCGATAGCGGAAATCGGGCTGCTACTAGAGCTCCATCTCATTGATGTCTGGGGGGTGACTCTGAGACTGGCAGCAACGACTCTAAAGCCGTGCCCTTGGATAAGGGTGCGGGACGCCATTATTTCTGATCGCAGGCCAGAGGTGAAGCGCTCTAGATCAGAAACTATGATCCCCAAAGGCCTAGGAGAGCCCTGCAGGACTCAATAGGCAAAGGGCGGGCCTTGTTGATGAGTATTGATTTGAGTCAAAAGACTAGGGCGAAAAATTGCCACAAATATTGAAGGCTCAAATACTGCGAAGTTCGGAGCTCCGCTACGAGGTACAAACTTACCCCCCTGCTACTTAGCACCCCCACTCACATTACTTTCTCCCCCAACAAGTACGTACGTAGTACATGTGGGCATCCTTACATACCTACTATCCCTAATTGGAACTGAAGGGGACTTACCCGGAACAGTGGAACACAGCGCACAGTATACCTAGGCACCTCAACAGCAAGCACCTCCTATAACATTAGTACCTGCTACATTAGTAGGCATCTTTATCTACATGAGGTGTAAACATGTGAAGCTATGTGCTCAATTACTTGATGCATTCAGTGCTGTACCGTAGTGTCTACCCCGTTTAGCCAATGCCAAGACCGGGATATCGGGTTGCGGGTGACACCTTTTCTGGGTCCAATCCGGTTAAACTTAAATCCGACCCGTTCGTGAAGTACCTAACGTTTCCTTGGAGCTTTCGCTGTCCAATCAGGGAGTTTGATTTATGGGTCCATCAACTTTGCCTGGAGGTTGGAGCCTGTTACCTAAGCTGTCCATGTGGGTTTCCATTCCAACCAACCTACCTTCTATCAATTGGATCCTGAGCTTTTCCAGGACAGAAATTCTTCATCATCTCGATTTCGTTGTCAACGTCAACTTCGCATCTAGAACCCTTATCCTCTACGATACCCTCCTCATCGATGCGCCCAAGCCCCCGGCCAGCTGTCCAAACGTTTGCTTCATCTTCATAGATGTTAAATCAACAGATATGGATGACAGCGAGCGACGAACCGCGAAGCGATCGCGATTTGACCAGACCGAGCCAGAGCCGCGCCGCTCTCGATTTGATCGTAGGTCGCGGTCGCCCCCTGCAAAGAAGTTCGACCATGGCCGAGACCGCAGTCCTCTAGACCGTGGTGCCGATACTACGCCATCTGAGCCGAAGAAAGGCTCTGTAGATCCTGCTGCTGCAGCAGGTATGCACCCGATTATAAAATCTCGCTTTGCACATATGTTCACTGCTGACCTGTTAATCTAGCTGCCGCTGCCGCTAAGATTAACGCGCAGATCCAGGCGAGGAAGGGGATTCAACATGTAGACGTACCGCCAATCAAGTCCTCTACTTCGGTCTCTCCCGGTGCTCCGAATACCGCCAGCCCACCACCACCCACTACCACATCTGGAAACATAAACAGCGACATGTACATTGCCGATGGTGACTATATCAAGGACATCGAAGTGAACAACTTGCGTAACCGATACCTACTCACCAAGAGTGCCACGCAGAAGATGGTAAATAATGCCCCCGGTCAATTCCTACTGATTCACATCAGAGCTTCTAGCCCCAGACTTGGTGGTTCTCTTGCAGTGTGTTATCATCTGTGTGCGGACGGTTCTGCTTACCTGGAAGCGTGCTAGCTCGCACACGAATCCCCTCTGTGGCATCTGCTGACCTCCGCTGCTTGATTTAGATCAAAGAGGAAACAGGAGCTGGTATGAGACACCTCCCAGTTATTTATTAATTTACTATGCAGAACCATGGTTGACTTTGAAAGATGTCACAACTCGCGGGAATTACCTACCGGACCGGACCAAGACAGCCTCTTTGGTAAGAAGTCATGGTATCGTATTAGGGATAAGACGTGGGACTTACTCTCAACCAGGGCCCTCCTCTCTACCTCCATGTCACAAGTACCACGAAGGCTGGCCTCGAGGCAGCCGTCAAGAAAATTGAGGAGTTGATGAAGCAAGAGCTTCCTAATTTGGTTGATGAGCGACGCTTCCGCCGCCGAGATCAAGAGCAGGTTGAACGCGATGAGTTTGGACGGGTCAGCTATTTCAATATCTCATGTAGCGTATGGGGCTAACGGTGAGCAGCGTAAATGGCCAGAGGCAAAGATACCGATCAATCTCGAGGAGATCCGTGGTTTCAATCTCCGAGCCCAGGTGGTGGGGCACGGCGGCTCTTACGTGAAGCATATTCAACAAGAGACCGGATGCCGCGTCCAGATCAAGGGTCGTGGTTCTGGCTACCCGGAAGGCCCAACCAACCGTGAGAGCGACGAGGACATGTACCTCCACGTGAAGTAGGTATATGCGAAACCCTGTTATTGCAGCTCCCTAACATTTTCTAGTGGCCCTGACCCTAAGATGGTTGACAAAGCCAAGGCTTTATGTGAAGACCTAATCGAGAACGTCAAAGAGCAGTACGAGGCGTTCAAGAACAGACCGCCGCGCTCTCACTACGGCGGCCATGGTGGCAGCTACGGAGAGAGATCCTATGGAGACCGGTCCTACGGCGGTGATAGATACAGCGATAGAGCAGGGAACGACTCAGGAAATTACGGCGGATATAGCAATTACAACAACTCCCCAGCTCCTGCTGCCGCTTCTGCCTCGCCCGCGCCTCCTTCGCAAAGCAGTCCACCTGGCGCAAACGCGGATTATGCCACCCAGTACGCTCAGTACTACAACGGCCAGGATCCCTACGCTGCATACGGCGGCTACGCGGCGTAAGTGGTATTTATATGACAGGGACGTGCGATTGCTAACTCAAAATCAGGTATGTGCAATACTATCAACAATACTATGCCGCTACCCAGGCAGCCCAACAAGGAACTACACCTCCTGTGCCTGGCACCTCGGTTTCTCCTCCCCCACCACCGCCAAGCGAAGCTCCGCCGCCACCTCCCCCTCCCGCCGGATCTGCGCCTCCTCCACCTCCGCCACCTGCTGGATCACCTCCGGGAGCTGGGAATTATAGTGCCGTATGTGATTATACCGGAAGGTCCCAGATACTAAGTCAGATTTCAACTAACCAAGTGTTCCAATAGGTCCCCCCCCCTCCCGGACTGTGAGTCTCGAAGGGCTGGTAATTTGATGGGCTAGGTGGCCATGTATAGTAGCGGAAGACGTGGCGGCTGACCTGGCGAGAGACGCAAACCTGGAAAAGACGGGGGGCGGCATTCCGTGCTAGAGCACCTGAGTAGTCTAGGCATCGCCCCAATAAGCTTCGTCACCTTCTATGTAGACAATGATCGGAGACATCGATCCGAATTGCTCTTGATTGCCTCGGCTTCGCTTCGCCCAGGCAGATATTTATGAAATGCGTGTTTGTCCCGGCTCGCCACGTAGCCAAACGCCCGTGGGTATGGGCACCTGGCCTCCGGCCTCACGCAGGATGGTTGGCAGCATTAGGCAAGGATGGATGGCTGCAATCTATATTATAGGTAGGCAGGTGCCGAAAGTTGATTCATCGATAGGCTAGGTAACTACCTATGTACCTACCTGCCCAGGGTACCTATATTGGGTACCTAAAGTAACCTAATGGAAGCGGGCCAATTGGAAGCTTGGCCATGCCCAGCGGGGGACCTCCTGGCAAGGCACCTTGATTAGGAGAGAGATGCTGCCCTTAGCGATACGACAGTACGTCAGTTTTCGGTGTTACGGCAAGCCTCAGCCATATACCTACCTCTCAGCCTCCATGCACGAATTCCTGTATGTTACCTGCTTACCAGTCGAGGTTACATAGACCTACCTACCCACCTACCAGGTAGGTATACGCGCGACCGATACTTCATTCACAGAGCGCATCTCAGTCTCCTACGAGTTCACGAGATGCGCACTCGAAGCTTCAGGGTTGTTACGCAATGAGCCATCAACGCTACCCGTCCATTGACCCCAAGGAGCCGCACTCCGTCTCTCTCAAGGTGCTTCGGTAGGCGACCTATCTACTCACGCCTTACACATACATCGTCTGCTACTCGCATGGCGCAGTGAACCCCAGCACTGATATCCGCGAAACCCCACAGGCTATCCCGGCCCTCCCTCGTGGGCCAGCACCCGTTAGCCGCACCGCTCTCGTCCAAGCTCCCTTCTCCCTCTACCACCCCCTTATCGACGCCAGCCGCCCGAGGGGACTCGATCATCCCCGCCTCTCTAGCGTACAGCACCAACAGCGACACGAATCCGGACCCATTCCTTCTCTCGCCGATTCTGCAGCTCCCGCCGTCATTCGGGTCCGCGTACGTCGGCGAGACCTTCAGCTGCACCCTGTGCGCGAACCGCGACGTGCCGCCGGTGGGGGAGCCGGCTCCGTCTACTTCGACATCCACGCTGGGCGGCGGGCTGTTGCCAACGGCGGCACAGCACCAGCAGCATACGCTAGCGAAGAAGAAGTTCACCCGCGACGTGCGTATTGAGGCCGAGATTAAGACGCCGGGGTCCGGCGCGGTCCTCAAGCTACCGCTGCTGGGCGCCGACGGCGCCGACGACGGAGGTAACGACAATACCACCGGTGGGCGCGGCGGGGGTCATAGAGGGACGGACCTGGAACAAGGCCAGACGCTCCAACGGATCGTCAATTTTGATCTCAAGGAGGAGGGGAATCACGTACTCGCCGTGACGGTCAGCTACTACGAGGCCACAGAGACGTCTGGGCGGTCGCGCACATTCCGGAAGCTGTACCAGTTCATATGCAAGGGCTCGCTCATTGTTAGGACCAAAGTGGGCGCGCTGCCTGACGGAAGAGAGGGCGAGCGGAGGTGGGTTATGGAAGCGCAGCGTGAGTCAACCTACCTCCCCCTCTCACCCCTTTCCGTCAGTATGGTCGAATGTGCTGACTCACTCTCATCGGGCCCTGCAGTGGAGAATTGCAGCGAGGATGTCATCCAGCTGTCGCGCGTGGACCTAAACCTAGAAGAAGGGCTGCGGTACCTCGACTGCAACTGGGAGGTCAGCGGTAGCCCGCGGCCGGTGCTCCACCCCGGCGAGGTTGAACAGTGCTGCTTCGTCGTCGAGGAGACGGGGAGGGAGGCCGTGTCAGAAGACGATGACGGTAGGGTCACCTTCGGTATTCTGGGCATCGGCTGGAGGAGCGAGATGGGCAACAAGGGGTTTCTCTCCACGGGCAAGCTAAGCACGAGGGCAGCTAGATGACGATACTATGCGAGCTAGGAGGGGTTGGAGGTAGTACGGTATGCTACCTCGTAACCACGTTGAGTGGGCGGTAGGCCAAATCCCCTAGCAACGGTGAAATCCCCATTTACGTCGTGCGTTCCCCTCGGACCTGTCCGGGTGCTCCTGCTGAGATATTCGCATAAGAGCACGTTTTACGGACCGTACCTATGATTTCCGATCCGTGCCTGCATATCAACAAGACGAGAGATGTTAACCAGCATGATAGACGAAACCACTTAGGTACTTCACCATACATTGCCACTCCGGTATGCTTCGAGCAACCGGATCATAGCTCTACAAGAGTAGTCTAGAGACGAAGGATCGTCCATGTTATAGCGGGAGGTGAGTAAATACGAAATTGCGGATATGCGGATAGGGTAGGCAAGGCAGTCTCCCTCCCTTCCCTTTCCTCTCTTCACTAAAAACAAACACCTCATCTAGGCGATACACTGCCAACTATGTTACCTTCTCCTCCCTCTTCTTCTCTATACCTATACAGCTAACAAACATAGAAGTATTCGCTCTAATCAAATTCCCGACCTCTCCTTAATTACGCATGATGGTTGGCATGCACATTTATTACCTTGTTATGAATCTGAGCCACCTGTTAGATCTGCAGCGTATGGACCTCAAACTGTGCAGCATATTGATAACCTGCGGTGGTTTGTGAGACTTGGTGAAATATGACGCCTACTCCACCAGCCATGTGTATGCATGATCGGTATTCGTTACCTACATGCCTGCCTGTCCCGTACACACCCGCCGCGATCTTTGACCTATTTCTCGTTCGAGACTCAGAAGGGAGAGGGTGGGTGATTGGTGATGTTCGGAGCCTCGGAGTGCGGGAAAAATGCGAATTTTCCATATACACCCCTGATGGGCCATGTAACTGCGAAGTCGATTCCAATAATAGCGTGGTGCAGCACTCGTCATTTGAGATCTGGCGCCGGAAAAGGAGCCACCTGCTTGGTCTCGCAGGCACGCAAAGGCCATCTCGTTAGAGCAAGTCACTTCCTTTCATGTGATGCATGTCACGGAACCCCTTTTCGAGAGGCACTGACCCGCGGGACCAGGCTTGGGGAACTTCTTACTATAGCAACACCCGCGCTGCCGTCTTTCTTCCTACTGTTCCTTTATTGTTACTATAGATTGCGGCTGGGCTGGAGACATTTGCCTGCCCCAGAAGGGAAGGATTCGTCCAATCCCAGACACGAGGCCTGAGGAGGATCCCTTCGCGTCCCAACATCGTTTGCTGAAATGCCTGCCGGGGGCCGTGAGGCGAGACAGCCCAATGCCTATAAGAGACGGATGAATAGCACAGTCCAAACAGGCGATCCTGAGCATTGGCCGACGCCCGAGCGGTAAAATGGCTCGGCGGACGGATACCTAAGTAATGCATATACGGGGCCGAATGCTTGCATCACTGACAGATTCGTGGCTCGTGAGCTACTGTGTGCGTTCGAGGAAGAGAGATCAATTGCAAGTAGCTTGCCACCACTGGGCACGATGCGCACTCGTGATCCTGCTGAGACTGTTCACAGCCTGCACGGCTCATGTGCCGTAGCGTGTTCCCGGAGCGTAACGTCACGTAGCTGCGATTCTCAGCCGCTCGTGGTGATGTAGTCGTATGTATTGTACATGCATACTTATAGAACATATGTAGGGGGGGGTTGATGTGATGACCTTACCGGACCTTAGATAGAGCTTCGGCAGGGTAATAAGATGCGTGCCATACGCCCATCACACACACGGCATAGGTATGCATACCAGCTCGACCTGATGCTCGAGCAGCTTGTCTCGGCTACGTCACTTGTGCGGCACGGCCATTCCCTGATGAGCTCCTGGTACCTGGTGCGAAGAGAGCAGCGTGGGATCCATGGATTAAGTGGATTGTGCCTCCATGAACGCTTGCAAGGATTACACGGACTTGTCAATCGCGGATAAAACTTCCAGTGATAAATGACAGGTATGAAATAGGAACAAACTTCCTCTGGGTGCTGGGAATCATTTCTGTATGCAGCAAGCACGCACACGCACATAATACACATATTCTCTCTCCCTTTTTCTTATTTCCTGTATCGTGCCGGCTACTGCTCGAAGGCTTCTCGCGTACATATACGAGGCCTACTCAGATATCCCCAAGCAATCATGCGAAAAAGAAAGAAAGAAAGAAAAAACACTCGACCTCGAAAACAAAATAGCAGGGTACATCTTGGGCATGCTCGGATCGGCGCAGGCAAGGAAAAACGTGCGAAGAGCGGTGACTTCACCGTTGCTCGTGACAAATTATAAGCCGCTCAATATGGCCTCGGGTTCCGTCCACAGCATTCTCGCTTCTGAAAAAGCATAAGCCCCAAAATCGGTAGAGCAACTCGTCCCCTCTCGTCAACTGCACCGAGCCCTGTCAGACTCCACATGCATGAAACATACTGGCCGATTCGAACCTGGATATCTGCAGCGGCGTCGCTGAGATCCATGGTTTTGACTTGTCTGAGATGGGGGAGCGCCTGACTGAATCCCGAATAGATCGACTGGCGATACTGGTTGTTGCTGGCATATTCGGGGTGTTGATTTGCCACGCTGGCTCTCATCCCCCGCGATGACTTACAGATCGGGTTTGGTTGGGTTCGACAAGATTGGGCGGACCTCGCTGTTGATAGAACATCCTACTACCCACACCCACACACTCTCTGTCTCTTCCGCATACAACACGCATGCATGCATGCATGGTAGATGGATTCGTGAGAGGCCACGGACAATTGCGACTGTGCGCCAATCCCGGCGAAGCCCGTGTACGACCGCCTCTCGTTGGTGATCTAGAATTATCAACTCCGGGGTGTAAGGCTTTGGCCGCTACGTGAACACACGGCCGGACCTACCACACTTCGTCGACTCGACAGGGCTTGGTGGGCAATGGCCTGTGTCCGTATGAGGCCGTACTCGAAATAGACGCGCACTTCCTGTGTGCAGTTCGTGCTTATGTAGGTACACAGATGCCTACGTAGACAGGTACGAAGCTGCGCCCAACGGCTCCAATACGAGCTGGGACCCCTTATCCGGGACGGGAAGGAAGAAATCTCGCTCGCATTAGGACGGAGAATGGGAAGAAAAGTTGGCCGTCCTACCCCTGCATAGGTAGGTATAAGCTTGCTGCAGCCTGTGCGGGGACAACAGGCCAGGCCTGACAAGTTCCAATGTTCCGTCTACCTGATTCTCGTGATAGAGGCTCCCTTCATTCTCCCTCTACCGAGTCTTACTCTACCGGAAAGGCAATCGGGAAAGGGGAGAACGGGAGAGGGGGGCCAATGGGCCAAACCTACACGCCGCAGCCACGACTGCAAGGTACCAAAACCTCCGGGTCAAGTGCGACGTACGCCGCCTAAGACGGTCGCTTTGCTGGCCACGGGATTGGTAACAGTTTCCAACGTTTTGGGTATTTGGCCATGTGCTAAGCGGCGTAGCATCGGGGAGCGCTAATGTACTCGCTAAGAATAGCTGCATGCTCCTCCGGTCGTGTCGTGGCCTCAGGGTAGGCCGTGTTGCGGGAGAGTGGTGAATGGCCCTTTTTTTCTTGGGTGTTTTTTTTCTTCTTTCATGTGGTGGTCGGATACGATGGTGTGGATAAGTGCGCAGAAGAGGAGCGATGGCCGGTCGCCTGGAGGAATACGGCAATTCATCCTCACTTGCTGTCTAAGGTGGGATGAGTTGTCCAAATTATTGTTTCACCGCATATGAGCAAGCATGCTGTTGGCGAGTGAAGTGTTCACAGTCTAGGATAGTAGCATTCGCGGACGATTCTTTTTCGAGGTTCTGACTTGCAACCGAGGAGCCGAGGAGGTCTAGTCTGGTAGGTCGGTAGCAGACATACCCAACATACCTAGATACCTACCTGCCTGCCTACCTACATACATGTGTACCTACCTCATAACACGCGTGGATAACCTCATCGGGATGCCAGCTATGCACAGGAGGCGGAGGGAAACAGAGGGAGAAATGGGCAGAACGGAAGAATGTTCCTCTGGGAAATATGCCAGAGTGCTACATCGCGCATTGGGTGGTGAGCAAAACAAGAAAAAACTGGGTTGAGAACGTCTTCCCCGCTATGATCACCACTTCCCACCTTCATTAGGTAGGTAGGCCTCGTAGCGAGCGTGTAGGCTGCCTACCGACATACATGCCTCCTCTATCTGCCTACCTCTAAGGCACTCGGTGGCTGCATGCCGCCATCTTAGGCGTACTCATAGGTACCTACCCTCTCAGGCGCTTGTCAGCAAGCATTTAAGACAGTGCTTGGGTACTGGTATGTACTAGGTGTGTGGTAGGTGTAGGTACCTAATGGTGCCATCCAGGTAGATTAGGCGAGGGGGGGGAAAGGCAGGCTAGCATTGTTTCTATCTGCATCCGCATAGGAGAAGGGGGTTGTCTACGGTTGCATGGGTAACCCATAGAATCTCGGAAACAACCCAACATTTCCGACTAGGTGAAGCCTCTATACTCATATACGGGTTAGATCAGGTAGTGCCAGCTATTAGTAGGAGGTAGGTACCTGCCTAGGCAGGTACCTAGGTAGGCAGGTATCCTTCGTAATGTGCGAGAATCAGGGTTGCTTTCATGCCTTAGGTGCCGGCCTATTTTCAGCAGATGCAGCCTCCGACTGACTCCGCTGCCTTCAACGTGGAATGAAATTCGCCTCGGGTTAAGGTATTTGGGAAGTATACATCTTAGGTAGGTATACACGTTCCACTTTTATGTAATTTTGGTCTAGCACAGTGCACGAGGTCAGGAAGGTTCCAACTCTTGTATCCATGCGGTTATGCCTCCTGAGAACCGCTCTCAGTTCAGTGTCTCTTCCAGTGCTCCTCGACCCCTTGTCGTGGAAGCCAGAACAGGAGATAGCTACATACGCGTGTACACATGTACACACACTCCATAATACACCCGTCGGCATGGAAGCCACCTAGCTACCTACATCTGTACGCAGGTATGCAAGGCGGTGGAGCAATGTCGTGCGATACGCGAAACGTACAATTCCACTAGCGTTAAGCCAGATTTGTGGAAGTCGTGGAATATTGTACTCATAGGCCTGTACCACCTCCATGCCGCCAACCTACTATGAGTAGTAGACGTAGAGCGTATGTACTATCTTAGGTACCCCCTCCTACCTAACCTCCTAAGCCATGCACTACACGGGCACCTCTACATCTATAATATGTACCTAATATGAAGGTACCTACTTGAGTCAGGCCCAGGCGTTGTCTGGCTACATCCCATAGAGGTATGTAGATACCTTGGGTAGGTACCTATTATAGCGTATATTTTGGGCTCTAGTCTCTAGGCTATGAATGTGGACTACCGGGGTCGACACCGATGGATTAGCCCCGACGACGACGACGGGGTTGGTCTGGGTGTGCTGCATATCTCTCTTATCTGTTCGACCATCTCGACCGTACGCGCCTCCAGCGCCGGTGCCATGCAGAAACCCCCCTTACGCTACCAGGACTATCTCTAGTCTCCTCCGTCCACAACCACTCGTTTCCTCGAGCAGTAGCTGATGCTGCATGAACTCCGTTGAGGATCGATCTTTTTGCATACCCAGAGACGCATCTTCTCGCACACGCTTCCTCGGGGCTGTTCCAGTTGGGGAAGCCCTCCTCCCTCCACTGTTCACCGTCCAGTCCCCTTCTCCTGCGTCTGTCGATCCTGTCCAGCAACCCCGAGCACCGACGCCGCGAGCATCACCACGCCAGTACTATCTCACCACCGTGCCTCGACTGCCCACTCGCGTCCTGCCTCGTCTCTACCCGAACGATAGCGCCGCAGAGGGGCATGCAGCTGCATCCGAGCACTGCATGATTTCCAGAGGCTGTTTAGGTGGCGTTGCATGTCAATAAGTCGTGCGCGTCTACCCGTTGCCAAAAGAATAAGGGGGTGAGAAAATCGATAGACAGGGGCCGATAAACTACCTATCTACCTAACAGTATCCGTCGACTACATCTGTTATACGCACCCCTAAAACGAAACGAGGGAGAGAAAAAAAAAAGCCCGAACAGAACATCCAAGCCTGCTAGTACACACACCCACTTCCACGCCCACGTCCGCACACACACACACGCACACGCACACACATTCACGCACTCACATATACATATACCTGCCTGCCTACATACATACGACGTACATACGCACACACAGAACGCATACGCACACATTAGGCTCACGTTAACTAGAAGAGCGCCTCTCGGCGGCCAAGATCTTCCCGGACGGCTAATCAACTGACAATCACCAACTGAAACTTAATATCTGATCTGTCGACCCATCCCGTCTCGATGGCCGGTTTGCCTCTGGCCTATCATTGAGAACGGCAATTTGCTTTAGGAGTGGCGATACCTACACCCTCGAACAGCTCCGGCAAGTAGACCGGGTACCTGTGCTGTTGCCGAACCCTACCTACCTAATAATCTATCCAGTCGATCGTTTCAATCACAACTACATATTTATCCCTCGCTTGTGCAACGGGATATATGCATTGGGCACTTGTATCGAAGCCGCCGATACCCACCATCGGGACTGAGAAACAGAGCAAGCAGAGCAAACTCGGCACGGTCGAACCTATCGTCTGGGCTTCCCGGATCCTCCCTGGCAGGCCAGCCCAACTAACTCGTCTCAAATAGCAGTCTGGCAGGCCTCGCCAGCTAAGTCGCCTTTCTTTCCATTCCAAGGGGACACCCAGTCAGAACTGAGAAAGGAGAGAGATTGCCGCCGGCTTGCGATGTCATGGACAACTCCTCAGCGCCGCTCGCGGACTATTTCTGGATTGCGGGCATCGAGTCCGTATCTTACCACGACCTGCCACCCCCTTCTACGTCCACGTCTATTCAGGTAGAGAGCACTATCGTCGAAGATGGCGAGCCGGAAGACGAAAACGAGCCGACGGCCTCGCCCTCCAACAATAACAATAACAACAACAACAACAACAACAAGAATCTCCCTCGCCACTCTCGCCAGAATTCTAACCATAGGCTTTCGAAAGCGTCTTTCAACTCGGTCCATACCCTAGAAGAAATGGACGGGAATACGAGAAGCAACAGAAGCAGTGCCACGATCAGGCCGATCCCGCTCCCCGGGGCTTCTGGCGAGGGTGGCTTCCTCGGCGATTTCGATTTCGACAAGGCTTTAGTAAAGTTCGCTGCCGAGAGGGAGAACTTCCTGGAGGACCTAAGCTTTTCGGCTGGTGCCAAGACCCACTCGCGACCGCCGATGGTGACCCCGCGTGCAGAGAGGATCAAGGCAGAGGACTCCTCGAGCGGGAGGATGAGCCCTATGAAGAACATCAGAGGGAGCATCCGTGGCAGTATAAGGCGCAAGATAAGCTTCAAGGACATGAATAGCATGCGAAAGCAGCCATCAAATCCGAGACCTGGTATGGCCCCTTTTCGCGACCCAGGACGAGAGTCTTGTCTACAGAGTTCGGCAGAAGGACCCCCTGCAGAACTTTCTCAACGTGCCAGCAACAGGAACCCTGGATTCCGTACTGACTTCTACGAATTAGCTTCGATCCGCACTACCAGGAGATTGAGTAGCTACAACTCGGTCATTCCCCCGCCCGAACCTCTCAACCTCGACCCTGATATGCACCCCTTAAAGCGACGATTTGAGCCCGAGCTACTAGACAGATACCCACCCCGAGGAGACGCGGAAAGCCTTGCCAAACGAGGCAGATTTCCCGACTATGTACCCATGTTCGCCTTCCCCAATGACATCCAGATCGTCTCGTCCGACGAAAGACCGCGGTCAACCTGGCATGGCTTCACAATGACCTCGGACGACAATGCCAAGATCTACGGCATCACCGTGATCATATGGACGGCCCTCACGATGGATGTGGCGGAGGATATCGAGAGACGCTGCGAGCATTGGAGGCAGAGACACATGACAGAGGAGGAGCGAGAGCTTGCGGGTAGCCTTGGCACGCGGCTTGCCGCAGAACGTGCGCATCTGTCGCAATTGCTCGCTAGGCTCCCGACTATACCGTCTGGCTCTGATGCTCGAGAGACGCTCGACGACCAGATCAGTGCGGTAGAAGAGAAAATCAGCCTAATGACGGAAATGCTGCGGCCTCTAAGGCACGGTGCCGCTTCCAAGATCGACGGCCTGACTGCTGGTGAAAGTGGTCTCTGGACGCCGCGAGCGTACGGAATCCTTGGCAGAGACGTCACGAGAGTGGGCTTTTGGAAAGATTGGCTTCGAGCGGTCGTCGTTCCGATGACGGACGGCGCGGTGATGCGGGTGCCGGCGAGCTCTCCGAGAGCTGGCCGCTGGCAACCCCTGGAACGATACGTCGTTAATCTGTGCACCGAAGCCTTTAGCCCCCTTAGTTCCAAGACCCAGGTCGAAATCGGCGTACGCGAGCTACGCCTATACGCGCGGAAGGAGGCGATCAATGAACTCCCGGGCTCTCGAAACATAGACCTCTATGCGCTGTTTAGATCTCTTTCCCTCGAGAACATAGTCACTCTCTTCGAGTATGCGATGTCCGAATCCCGAATCATCTTCCTCTCCTCGCATACGGCTATGCTCCACCTAGCTTCTCACGCCTTGGCTAGCCTGTTGTATCCGTTGACTTGGTCGAGCATCTTCATACCTATACTGCCGGCGAGGTTGATCTCTGCCCTCGAAGCGCCGTGTCCTTATATTGTGGGTATCGAGCGGCGGTATGATAACGTCACACTTCCGGATGATGACTACGTCCTGGTCGATCTCGATAAAGATACGATCGATTCGACGTCTTTGCCCGTCCGTCTTCCGAAACAACACCGGCGGAAGCTTCTTTCGCTTCTGCAATTTGCGGCGCCGCATAGTCTGCGGTACGGTGTCGCGACGGGACCACCCCCGTACGCTATTGAGTCGTTTCCTTACGACTCCTTTTCCGCCGAGAACTGGGCTCTATTCAACGAGAAGGCTGCCCCGGGCACGCTTCACAAGTGGGTTTCGCAGAATTCATCCTCGTTTGGCGAGGCTGAACCTGTAGACCCCGCAAGGGTGCCGGTGTTCAACGCGTTCTTGCATGCGAAGCCCGGAGGGTCTGAACGGCCGACCACCAGCAAATCGAACAAAACCAGTCCGCCGTCGTCGGTGTCACCCGTTTCCATAAACTTCCCGCCTATGCCGGTGACGCCCATATCGAGAAGTGATTCCGGATTCGCGCTATCCTCGACGCTGCGGGAGAAGAGGTCGGGCCATTTTGACGAGAAGGGCCGGCGTAGCTCCTCGTTTGGCCAAGCGCCCATCCACCGACCTCATCAGCCCTTCTTCAGCGGCCACCATTCTAATTTATCCATCTCAGCCATCTCGATCGACTCCCAGTCCTCATACGGCGGCTACGCACCGTCGACCTACGCCCAATCCACTCTCGCTGCGTCGACGGTGATGCCCAATATGCTGGTACAGCCTGTTGAAAACACCGAGTCTACAGTATGGGTCGAAGGCCATCGCTTCAATTTCAGCGATCACGACGCATCTCTGACTTGCGCCATCTGCGATGAGCGATCCGAAGGTGACGGATGGTACAAATGCTCTGGTTGCGGCACGGTTTCTCATGGGCGTTGTCTGGGCTGCGTCTCGCTTGTCTGCCCGGTGGCCTTCGACTCCGACAAAGTCCGGGCTGCTTTCGTCCGCTGCCTGGCGAGTTTGCTATACACGTACCGCAAACATTTGGGCCGGCCCACGAAGGAGCAAAAGAGCAATGGTCAGATTTACGGATTCGATATGAATGGTTTCATCAAGAGCTTGCCATATGACCAGCAAGAATACGTCTTGATGATGAAGGAAACGCAAGGTACGTATTCTCTCCCGAGCTTATTGAGCTTCTGTCCATGCTGATGCAATAATTAGCCTTTAACCAGTTTATCCACGAGCGCGAGACGCAGCCGCCCGCCAATCCGGAGATCCGCCTCTTCGACGAGATCATCCTTGCCAAGAAGGCTCGAGGGAAACCCGGTCTGTCTTCGGGATTTTCCCGTCTCTCGACGATCAGGGCCTCGCACGGCGTCTCCGCCTCCCTTCCGGGGCTTCAAATACCGTCTAGGCAGCCGAAGCCGCAGTCATTTCTAAGTGACACATCCGATCATATATGGCGGACTGCTTGCGTACCCGTACCAAATGCAAGGTTCTCGGGCGACTACCGTGCCATAACGACGAGGACGCCAGCTCGGCTAGATACCTCGCTGATGAAGGAACCTCGCGCTATCCAGGGCGTACCCCGTCCCGAGCAGCGGAGGAGAGGTGTCATGAGGAAACAAGTTCCTAGCATGTTAATTCCCGAACCGCCTCAATAGGTTGGGGCAGCCGGCCTATTGCATGCAGAGGATGCCAAGACCTCGTTAGAGTGTAATATTAACATGGGTATCGTGTATTATAGCTCTAGGGGGGCCGTGAAGACGAACGTAGCGGATGACGTCGGCTTCCTCGAATCTCCTCCGCCGGAACATCATTCAAGGCTACCGCGAACACTCAATGCCCCCCGGCTGGCATTTAGCGGCAGCCCTGCAGCATTTTTACACGGGATTGATAATAGGTAGCTGAATAAAGCTTTGCGCGTTACACGAGGCTGGAAAAGGTTGAAGAGAGAAAAAAAAAACCGGAGAGACTAGCACGGTAGACAGGACGAAAGACAATTCAACAATTGGGGCGGGGGGAGGGGCCTTGTTTGGATGGTGTAGCCGAACTTGATGTGTAGACATAGGCAGATCGCATTCAATTTAGAGAAGACAGAAACAAGGATATACATGCCACACTCAACGGAGACGGAAGAAATCGTCGTTATTGGGATTTCCCTTTTTCCCCGGAGAGCTGGACGGCTACACCTCGTTGCTCGCCCGCCTGCTCCCAACAATGCAGTAGTAGTTACAACAACGTCAGCAGTGTCCCTAAACCCTCTCCAGCCCCCCTGCTCTCGGGAGGAGGCTACGAGAAAGAAAAAAAGATGGAAAAGGAATTCGTTACTTGCTCGCTCGCTTGCTTCGTGAATACCCGTTGTATGTGGCTGCTCCTTGCTCCAATCCCAAAGAACGCAAAAGGAAAAGACGCAAACTTAGCACATTTCTCCCTACACGTATCCCCTTCTCGCTGCTCCTAGCTTCGCGGGCGGGCGATACTATTTTTTGTTTTTGGCACCGAATACTATATAGGTAGCTTGACGCCTCCTTTCCCAGAATGCTTCCCGGTTCATATACTCATTTCCCGAACTCCCAACCCATTCTCTCCCCTTTTCCGGCCTTTCTCTCATCTGGACTTGGCGTTTGCGGCGCCCGAGGGCTCACCGCCGCCTCCAGTTTCTACGTTCGGCCGCGGCTGCCTGGGTTTGGGCTGCCTCTCATAGGCGTTAGGGCTCGGCCGGCGCCGGCGCCGGTCTCCGTCACGGCCGTGGTCACGGCCATGATCGTGATTGTGTCCGTGATCGTGGTCACGCCGTTGCTGCTGCTGCTGCTGGCGTCTCCGCGCAGCCATGGCTCGCTCGCGCGGGTCGTCCTGCGGTCCGCCGCCACCGCCGCCACCGTCGGAGCCGGAATCCGAGTCCGACGAGGAGGAAGAGGAGTCGTCGCCTGAGGAGGATTCATCGGACGATTCGCCTACCTGGCGGGGGGCGTGGTATATACAGCAGACTAGTTGGTTTCAGGACAGGCTCGTTAGCGTTCACGTTCTAAGATCGTAGGTGAAATGAAGTGCATGGGTAAGAGAGGAGGAAGTAGGGAGGATGCGGATAATGCCATTCACGTGTCGATGCAGAATATTGCATACCTTTCGATCGCTTCCGACCCAAGCCCTCGTTGTCTACCACGGACTCGGCCCACTGCACGCGGTGGTCGGATGCCGGGCGTGCCCCACGCAATCGAAGGATTGCGGGGGCTGCTGGGGCAGGCGCGTCGGTCCCTGTCCGTGTCCCCGAGCCGGCAGGCGCCTCAGTCAGGGTCTGGGTCTGGGCGCCTTGTGGTGGTTGGCGCTGCCGTTGGTTCGAGAGAGGCGTCGAAGACGACATGGTTTGAGGCGCGCTGTGTCGCGTGTGAATGAGATTTCGAGTAAGTAGAGCCGGGATTGCGACGAGTCTGTTTGCTCTTCCACCCTTCTCCTCCTACCTTATTTCCTCCTTTTCAAAATTTTTCTTCTTATTTCTCCCTCTACTTGTGTCTCCTTTTTTCTTCTTCTCCCCGTAGCCGTAATTCGGTGCAAGGGACAATTCCCTATTATGACGAGGTCGAGAGCGGGCCGAATGATAAATAGTAGTGGCAAGGGTGGATACCAGATCTCGTGACTAGAGTGTTGGTGGGAGAGCTATGGCATGGGAGATAGACGAGGCAGCTCGCGAAGGAGGCGAGATGGTCAACCCCAGCGTATATGCGAGAGGGTGTGCCTAGAGATTGGAGCAAAAGACCCGAGATCGAGTCTTCGGTACCGTCCCTTTCTCTCCTCGGTGCCGGTAACGGTGTGTCTGTTTGGGCCTAGATCTAGGTAGGTTGAGGAGGGCGCCGTGACGGGTGTGGGCCAGTGGTGGTTGCGCGAGTTTGCGGGCGGGTTTTCGCAATGAGCGATATATCGCCAAGCCACACCTCATCCACGGTCAGGTCGGTCGCAGGGTTTGAATTAATTGTCTCTCTCCTCCGCAGCCTCTTCCTCGGCGGCTCTGCTTCCCCTGGTTCAGAAGTCGCGCACGGGACGGTGACAAAGAGGAGGTAGCGCGGCAGGTACCAACGGGTAGCGGGTAAGTGAATGCCGTGCCTGTTATGGAATAGTCGGGGCGAGGCACGAGGACAAACAGCCAGACAGCCAGACAGCCAGACAGCCGGACAGGCCCCGCGAGCGAGGGCCTCTCGTCTTCCTTAAATGAGTATATATATATATATTTATGTCTGTCCGCTTGGGTCGTCGTAAGCTGTCGTTTCTAATTCCTTCCTTGGAGGTGTTGGGCCGGTATTTCCAAGTGCTAAGCCGTACACACTCGGACGAGTGCAATACCTATTACCCAGGTAGGTATATCGAATAAAGGGGGCCGCTCCAGCTATGAAGACTCTCTCGCGGGTAGCAAATGGCCGCCCGTTCGCGAGAGCGTGGGGAGAGACGACCTGACCTGATTCTGGGAAGGAATTGGAAGTCTATGAGTAAAGCCGTTGCCAGGCTGGGCAGGAGGGTGTGGGGCGAAGCTTTCTTGCGTGGGTGGCTGCCCGACTTGAGCCTGCCCGCCCCGCGTCATGCTGACGTTGAGCGATTACCTAAGTCATCGACCACAGTATTAAGTACGTTATATATAACTTGAGGTACCTACCTCTTACATATCTAAGCACCTACCTGGAGGTTGTAGGTACCTACCTACATAAAGGCCGACCGGGCCGTTCCTCTTAAAACCTAGGTATCTCAAGGTCTCTCCTAACGTCCATGCCTCTACCTCCTAGGTAGGTACCTCCTAAGTAGAGGTACCTCTATCCGTGGCCGTCGACGGCTGGCGAGTTCAGATTAGCAAGAGCCCGGGTTCCGAAGGAAGAGAAAGGCATTGGTGAGGCGTAACGTGGCAGCACACCGGCTGCTAGGGTCGGGCAGTTGCTAGAAGGGTTGGGCTGGCACCAAGTTACGGTGCAGGGAACATGCGATGAAAAGCGAGGAAACATGCGAGGAGAATGGTTTGCGCTACCTTGGGCAGTCAAGACAGCTTCAGATTATTCCTACACTGGCAATCCTCACCGCCTAACGTCTAGGCGCGCGTCGAGGTCCGGCCTACGCACATACGACGGATATCATTGGCGGGACGGCAACAGGACTCTGGCTCAACTCGACCACGACGAAAGCGCCCACGATTTCAAGGCTGTGATGAAGTTACGGGTTGGCGCTGCCGCCGGCAGAAGCCTCCCGCTCTCGCTTGCGCCTCTTCTCCAGCTTTTTCATACCCTTCATGCTCCTCCTCGGCCTCGACTTGGTTGTCCCCTTCGGCTTGTTCATCAACCACAAATTCAAAGGCGGGCGAACCGATATGAACTTGCCCTCGGGGCTATACACATCCAAAATTGGCCAGTTGAACTCCTGCTCGCCCTTGTCCTCGGCCTGCGTCCACTCGTCGCTACCACGCGCTGGCATCTTCTCTCGCGACCTAGATGGTTCGCCAGTCCAAGTCCCCGCTAGCTCTAGCCTTTCTAGCGGCGACAATCCCGTCTTCCCCCCTGGCTCCTGCGCCAGCTCCCCTCCCCCTGGCTCAGACTTTGGCTTCTCTCCAAAGAGGGCCTTGGTGCGAACCTGCGCAGTAATTTCTACCCATCCGACGCCTTCGATCAGGATATCGGCGGACAGAACACGATACGGTAGTTGCTCCACCTTTAACCCAACGTCATGCTTCCTCGTCAGGGGGCCTGTACGCTTCTTGGTCACGTCCCATCTGAGTTCAAAGGAGCCTGCTAGTTTCGTCTTCTCGCCCGTCCCCGGTTCGGCGATGTTCTCAATGTTGATGCTGTCAGTCTGCATCTGGATCTGGATTGCTTTGTCGGTCCTCGTCACGTGCGGTTTGATCGGAGTGAATGCGTAGGTTAACATGATGAGCTTTGGGTCCCTCGGCGTGATGCGGATGAAGCCGCCGAGCAGCAGCGACTGGCCTGGCTTTAGCGTCATCTGTTCGGGGACGATGCGGGAGCGCATAACCAAAGACGGACGGTGTTCCTCTTTGACATATTTCTCCAGACCGGAACGTTCCAATCCAGGGAGGTCGATGAGCTCGCCAAGTCCGTTGCCAAACGGAATGCGGATCGGTGAAGCTGTCGTACCGGGTAGGTCAGAAACTAGTGGCATTTCGGGATAGTTGACCTCCTTGGGCGGCGGTGGTAGAAGAGCGTATGTGTCAATCTCTCCCTCCTTAACCTCTTCTATCACTCCGGTTTCGGTCTCCTCCGGCGTGAGCTCCGCGTTTTCGCTTGCTTCGTCCGTCGCCTCCGTCCTTTGGCCTCGCGTGCTGCTACTCTGCATATGAATCCTGATCTGGTCTCTTGGAGGTGGCCAATCCATTCTCCCTTTGGGAAGGATTTGTTCAATAAGTTGGCTTTTGCCGACATTTACCTTGCCAACCATCCAGGTGGCTCCAGCGCGGTTCCAGATGTCTTCTTTCAGCTCCTTCGTCCTCCAGGCCCTCTTCGAACTCACCAGTGCCACATTGCCCAGGCGCACGTTCTGCCCAGTCTTTCCGAGGGCGTCCCGCAGAAGCTCCTGCATAAGCGGGAATATCTTTTCCACCTGCTTTGGCTGAGGTGCCAGCAGATCGCATCGCGTAATGATGAAACTAAGCTCAGTCTTGCGGCCATGGTAATACCTGACGTGCCTGGACCGGCGGTTCTGAGACCTCAGAGGCATGGTATCGAGTAAGTGCGAGAGCTGCGGCAATAGGGACATGGGGAAGTCGGCAGCGTCGAGGACGTGATAGACATGATTATGTTTCCATGGCGACTCGAGGATCGTGTCTCTGATAGCGTCTACGGAAGGGTGAGATATTGACTTCCCAGAATGGTTGTGATATAGGTCGTGGCATCGATCGCAAAGAGGCACCTTTGTAGGCACTGGTTTAGGTGCTCGAGAGGATTCCAGACTCAGCAGAAGCCCCTCTACATCGACCCCCTGCTTCTCCAGCTGTTCATGATCAAGGCGCATCAGGGCCTCTTCGTAAATCTTATCTTCTGCTCGAGAACGTTTTTCCGCTAGTGCAATCCCGAGGAAGTTCTGGACAGCCTTGCGACCAAGATCAAAGTAGCCAGGTTGGCCAGGGCGAGACGTTTGTGTCAGAGCACCACAACCTCGACATTGCCTCGGCAATTTTCGAGTGGGCAGAGGTTGAGGAGCACCACGAACAGACGGTGGCGGGATTTGTACGTCCGCCTCGGCTTTTGGATGTGCCAAGTGCAAGAACTGGCGTTGCGGTGTCCATGGTGAAGCTGGTGCCGGGGATGGGAATGCGGCAACCTCGAGTCTTAGACGACGCAGGGATGTGTGGATGGATGGACAAAGAAACAGAGGCGGCTCAACTCCTCTCGGGTGCTCCACAATGCTGAGAGCGGGATTGAGCCATCTCGAGCAAAAGGCGCGACGCATCGTGCTCTCGAGGAAGTATTCCTAAGAGCAGGGCGCATTCGCCATTTGAGGTTTGGCCGATGCGTTGCATGTACGCGGGATCTTTGTTGAGCGCATGCTCATAGAATTCCATAAGTTGTTACCTACCTATAATAGCGTTCACTATAAAAAAAATTTGGAAGGATGGAATTAATTTGTTATCGATAATTCGGATAGACACTAACGTACCTGGGTATATCGATAAGACCGACTTCTCCACTGAACGTGTAACCCACATTAGGTACACAATGGCCTAGGTACCTGTGTATGCGTCACACAGGTATGTACCTACCTAGTGATACATCAGTCTTTTAGGCAGGGCCGCCCATCCGGCATGCCCACCTTAAGTAAACCACTTAAACCACGCAAGTGGCCACCTAAAGTACTTCACCTTCTAAACAACCCAAACGGAAGACGGGTCTGTCTTCAGGTCGTCAAAGTCGATCATTTCCGAACCGAGATACCACCTGCGTGCCTACACGAGTATAGCTGTCCTCTCGTTACACCGCGCAGCTCTCTCCGACATTTACCATCCCATCCCCCAATTCAACGATAGGCCAGTGCTACCAGGCCCTGAACCTGGTCGTCCTCTTGAACATGACCGAAGGTCTCCAAGCTACAGAAGATGCGGCAGCCGCGCGTGCCGCCGAGCAAGCTCGCTTACGCAAAGAACGCCGTGAGGCTAAGATCAAGGCTGGAGGAGCCGCGCGACTGAATAAGATCACAGGCCTAGGCGGAGGCGTACAGAGAGGTAGGGGATCCCTTCCCTGCTCAGATAGGTAATTATCTTGTAGGTATATCCGATTCTCTAACTTGGACATCTAGATCCCCCGCCGCAGCCACCACTGGATTCCAGCGTTCCTCAGGCTACGGCGACGACATCGTCATCTCCGGCTGCGATGGCAACTCCCCCTCCACCTGCCGGTCAACATGGCGACCCAGAAGAAGTCGATATATCAGAGCATCACTATGTGCCACGCACGACCGACCGGTCGCTGGCCAGCAACCTATCATCAGATGACATCTCAGAGGCGCGCCTGCGAAACATGATGCTCGGCCTCGACCGCCCCTCGCTCGCCGGAACCCCGCCACCGGCAGGCCGGGACCCGTTCTTAAGCGGCGGAACACCGCCATCGATTCCCGGGATGGAGGGCATGGACAATGATCCAGTGGTGAAGATGGTGTCACAGCTGATGTCGCGCGCGGGCGGTGGTCCAAATACTGGCAGCGACAATACCGTGCGGCAGACGGAGCAGGCGGCGGTAGATAAGCCGTTGGACCTATGGCGCATCCTCCACGCCGTATTCGCATTTGGTCTCGGTCTATACGTAGTGCTGTCTACGACGTTCACCGGTACGCTAACAGAACGCGAGCACTCAGCCCTCTCCGCAAAAGAAGGGGCAGAGGTGGATAGCATCGAGCGCTCCCGTGTGTACTTTTTCTACGTGTTCTCCGCAGTCGAGGCACTGCTGCTGACGGCACGCTTTTTCCTTGAGGACAAGGGTCAGAATGCGCAACCCAAGAGCTTGGTGTGGGCCATGAGTGGATTCATCCCGCAGCCGGCGAGAGGCTACGTGCAGCATGCGCTTAGGTACGGACAGATATTGAGTACGGTCAGGATTGACGCCTTGATGTGTGTTTTTGTGCTAGGGGTTTGCTCGTGGTGGAGATCATGAGAGGGGCATGGCACAGGGTTTGAGGCAACGATCAAGATAGGGGTATTGGCACGAGGTGACTTTTGAACTACCCGCTCGAGTATTCGTTTTAACTTCGGAGTTCTAAGGCGCCTACAATATTTTCACGAGACACGTTTCAAAGTGCCTAGAGGACCCGATGGAGTGGGAAGTATGTTCGTTTATTCAAGACTGTTTAGCAATATGAGACTACACCGAGACTCCCTACCAACTAACATCCTAGAAATGTTCGACGGTCTACGTAGCTATCGTTGAAAACCCACCAGATATGATCACATATACGAGCAAGTAAGTCACTAGGGCTTCCCAAACAGGCACGTATCGTAACTATGTAGGATGTACCTGTAGTTAATCGACGGACGTGCGGCTTCTGGGCCGTACAGGGGCACTGCGATGCGGGCTAAGCTCCCAGTCGTTCGTATCGCGTCTAAGACTGATGGCCCCCAGTACTTGGGTATACTCATATACACAACTCCCCCCTTCCCCCCCAAAAAAGCCTCGGCGGGAGTGTCTTTATGGGCTCGGGGACGTCGGGGTGTATGCTCCCCGTTCATGTGATAACCCGGTAATCTCATTCACTCGAGGCAGGGGAGTGCCAAGGCCGACGTCTCCTATTTACTCCCCTGCCTCCGCCCCCACATCCCCGAAGGCTGGTCTTGGGAAGCTCACAGGGGCGACGGAAACAACGCATCGGCCACGAGATCAGCCTAATGATGAGCACCTGTCTGCTGAGAGTGGTGTAGATGAGCGGGCAAGGCGGGCAGGTAGTACCGGCGATTCCGACTCGGGGGCGGGGAGCCAGGATGGTGGTTCGCGTCCGCGCCAAAACTTGTTTACTGCCTTCGGTTCTTTACCACTCTCCCCCTTTCCCCCCCTTCGCGTATGTATGCAATCCCCCCCCCCTCCTCCATACGAGAAGTTAGGTATATGGCTCAGCCCCCCACCACCCTTCCCATCGTACACGGACCTACGTAGGTGATAAGTCCTATCCGCCCACACCAACAAGCTTGGATCTGTCGCTCCGCTGGAATCTGGGCACACTTCCCTCCCCAAAGCCTGTTTCCACGGTTGCCATCGTGCCGCGCATGCATGGCGGTTAAGGTTAAGCATGTGGGACTGGAGTAGCCTCGGGTCAGGGTTCGCGCCATATCTCGAAGAGGGTTTACCGGATCGGACGCCTCTCGTGAGTGGGGTGGGAATAAATAAGTCGAACTGATTGCCTCCAGCTGATATGCATGAGCCTCCGGGTGTGGTTGGTTCGGTGTAGCAATAGCGCGTAACTGCGTAGGTATGTATTGTCATACACGCAGCTCGGGCGACAAAGAAGAAGAAAAAAAGGCACGCTCCGTTAGACTACAAGTTAGATTACAGGAGTATGTCGATGAATATGCCGATGTACCCAGTGTTGCGCATTTCTCTTGAATGGGTGGCCTCCAGTCTGTTCTGTCTTCGAAAAAAAAGGGGTGTTCCTTTACGCCTCGAGAACGGACCCTAGTATCCTCCCCAGCACACCGCGGACTCTCTGCCGATTCTCTCTCACGCACGTAAAGACGACAGCTGTGCTAAACGCGAATGCGAGCGTCTCCCTCCACTGCTTGTCGAGCGGGTACCGGCGGGGCAGCAGCGTGGCCAGGGCGCGAGGCGCGACGAAGAGGGCCATGTCCTTGCGGCGGGCGGCCTTTTCGATCACGATGCTCCATCCGCACATGAAACAGCCGCAGCCGACGCAGATGCCGCCGTCGATGGCCTGCCGCGTCTGTACGTCCCTGCCGAGGAGGTGCGGGCCAATCCGGGTCCTGGCCAGGCACACGCTGTAGTAGAACAGGGCGATGAACGCGGCCAGGAAGGAGGAGGAGCGCGCGGCCGACGAGAGGGCGATGCGCAGGCCGCGCAGGTCCTTCTTCCGCGCTGCCAGATTCAGCGGCAGGTAGGTGGCCATGGCCCACCGGAACGAGCGGCAGAACCGCGATAGGGCGTGGTACTCGCAGGATGGCCCGCAACCCAGATGTACGATCTCGCAGGGGAAAGGGATGGTCTTGACGGGATCGCCCCACTCCGGCGGCCACTCATAGTCGGCGCACATCGACTGGAGCAGTGGACCCTGCCCGGTCTCTTGGCCGTAGCGAAGCTCACCTGTCCGGCAGCGCCGAAGCGCCTCGATCAGGCGCGCGTCCACTGCAGCGGCCGAGCTGATCCATTTCGTGTACGCCTTCGGTAGCCGCGAAGGGGTGTAGAACCACGCCCACATGATAAGCGCGCAAGACGCGGCGAAGATGGAAGGATCGGCGAGCTTGGAGATCAGCGATTCGACCTGGAACTGGTAAGCGATGCGACTAGGCGATTGGCGGAGTTGCCGTCGCCATGCAGATGTCTGGTCCGTACCTGGGTCCATCGGCCGGCTGCAACCTGGCGTTGCTTTCTCCGAGCCCACAGCTCTCCAACTATTACATCGAGAGCCCTGGTCGAAGCGAACAGAGTCAGGTCGAGAGTCCGACCCGCGTACCTTATCGTCTCCCGCCTGGCTTCTGGTGGAGAGCCCGAGTTAACGGTGATCGTCTCTGAGAAGGCGTCGCTTTCTTTGGACTGCAAAAGCCGGAGACTCAGCCAGCTCGAGATGAAGGCGGACAGCCATCTCAGAAGTCTGATTAGGCAAGATGTTAGTCGTAGTATTCGGATTGTACCTGCGAGCGAGAGGAAGCGCAACCAAGGTGGCGCACGAGTACTAAGCCGCCCCCGACAACGCATGCGGGCCTACCTTTTCTGGGTCACGGCCGAGAGCTGCCGGCCTCGCGCGAGACTGTTCAAGGCTTTACCTAGGAGAACCTTCGGGGCCAGAGAGTCAGCGGCGCTGGCATTTACAGGGGGTACTGTTTATAGTCGCGGGATGGGGTTGAGGATAGGATAGTTACAGGGAGGGTTTTACCTCGAGCAGCGTAGTCCCACCAACGAGGGCGGCGCAGAAAGTAGGAAACCTCTGTAGCTCGAGTCCCCCACGCAGGATACGTTGCAGGGATGAGAGGAGGGAGGAATCGTGGGGTCGGGTGACATCTGCGGCATCCTTGTTGTTGGCCGCCCGCCTAGTTACCGCCTGCAGGACGAGCGTGAGTAATCTGGGTGCAACAGCGGAGGCATACCCTAAGACGTAGGCCCGCATGAGAGGCCTAAGGAGAGGCGGTATAGCGTGGTCCAATTGTCGCCGACCAGCCGGCGCTGCGGACAGTAAGGAGGATGTCATCGTTCCGACGCCGCAGCAGACGCGTGGCGATGACGCGACGCCGCGACTCGACACCGACTTCGTTACAGCGCCGATGTAGCTATAGGTCCTCCATATAAAGGCCAAAGGCGTATCGCGGGTTTGCTTGTCACGTCCCTTTCGAACACGCCTCCGAGGAGCGAGTTTCGGCCTAGGCAGGGTATGCTTAGGGGGGGGTATGTAGAAGGACGACGAGGAAGCGCGAATCGTGCTAACGACAACTCCTGGACTCGAAAGGGGGTCGGGCCGGGTAATCTGGTACGCGCTAAGAGCGATGATCTGAGATGGAGGCGCCTGCGTGTTCAGGATCTACAAGGCTTCAATTACAATAAAAGAAAAAACAAACCGGGTTGTCTCGACGTCGACTTCCAGAACGTAGCGACCAACGCAACGCAACCCGGCGAGTCGGGTCTGCCGAGGGAGCCTGGGCGGGGGTTTGCAGCCGGGGAGCTGTGTAAGTAGGCGCGCGGCGTAGGAGGGGATTTGTGTGCCGGCCGGAAAGCGGTCACAGTGAGGACACGACGATGTTAGAAAGCCGGCGACGAGATGAACCGGGAGACTTGAGTTAGGTACCATCCAACGTAGTGCAGCAATTCCCTGACCGGGTGCGCATACCTATATGGCATTCGATAGAATAAATGCCCACCTCCTCTAGCCTAGGTACCCCCTAGGTAACTAACCTGATACTGGGGTGTACTCATCGAATCGCCGAGGGTAGGTAAAGGAAACGGGGGAGCAGAGCGGCGTGGCACAACCAGCTGCAGACCCCGGACGCCGTGCGCGTGCGCCCCCTACGCCGACCTCTCTTCGACCGAGGTTGGCACGAAGAAGAACGGAGTCCAGCATAAGTACCTACCGCCAAACATAGGCAGGTTTCACGGTTGCGAAACAAGGATTGAACACCGCTATCCTGGGGTACAGTGCGCTATGTGCTTACCTAAGCACATACCTACCCACCTAGGTTAGGAGGTACCTAAAGCACCTAAGGGTGTAGGCAACCTAGGTAGGTAGGTACCTAACCTAAGATAAAGTCGGGGTTCCTCGTCGTAATCCGCAATTATAGGGGTACCTTAGGTAGGCTCAGGTCAGGTGTATGCGCGCCTGAAAACTAGAGCGAAGTCCGGCTAGGCCGCGACGATCCTCTTGATGAATTCAAAATGCTGTGGGCGATAGCAAAGGAGGTAATATATTATACATGTAGGTATACCTATACTTAATGTAGGTAGGCACCTATAAGGGGACGAGAAGCACGGGTGGCCACAGACAATCGCTATTACTATACCTACGAATAAGTACCTACTACGTAGCACATCTGGACGATCTAGCCACTCTGCCTATAGGAGTCGGTCACCAGAGAGGTAACGGCGGGAGGACGGCTGCCGGAAATTGATCACCAGCTTCCCAGGGGCTCAAGCCACCCATTTCGGTCAAATAGTCTTCTTCGTGGCAACATCTTGGCCACGGATAGCCGCATCTCGAGGTCGCCGCGAAGGCACACTGCGCTGGCTCCGCGGAAATCGGCTCAGAGGCATCGCGGAGTCGAGGCCCTCCTTTGGCTGCCACATTTTGAGATGATCTACCTAGGTATCTACCTAGGTGCCTACCAACCTACCTCTACCTACCTACCTGTACACATGCATTAGATACATATGTACATGCACGCACGCGAGTAGGCAGGGTTGTCGACAAGGTGTGCTACGTCTGTCCTCGACCGGAACTCTTCAGAGCCCAGCTTGGCCGTTCCGCCAACAGAACGACAGGTTGGCAAGGGCGAGAGAATGGGAGGACAAGCTGGAGTGTGGTGGATCTTCTGCTGCCCCGTTCATGAGCGTGCTATGCGTTAGGATTATTTCTTGCTTTCGAGCCAGCGTAATCGGTGGGGTGAGTAGAGGGGGCGTGAGAGAGGAAGATGAAATTGGAGAAGACGACTAGCACATGCGATGCATACCTCCTCTGTGGGGTAATATATATCGGAAACTTCCTTAGCATCTCGGGTTAGGTAAGTACCTATGTACCTATCTTCAGCAATGTTAGTGCCGGACCCGTCCTGTCCTGTCTTAAACGTCGAGACAGATCTGAATGATGCGGCCATCTATGCCTGAAAGGCGTTACTATGAGGTACCTAGGTAGGTATGTATGTACGATATACCTACCTGATGTAGGTACCCAACATATCTCCTCTTCCAGACGATCTCCTTGGACGTCAGTAGGTTGGGCGTAGGTATGAGTCGGTCCCTAACCTCTTACTTACCTTATGAGTAGGTACGCAAAGGTCCCAGCCCGCGGAATGGAAATTGGCATGTGATCCTACCTCGGGGCGAGGGGAAGGGTCCCCCCCTGCCAAGCTACCTCCAACCTAAGCGGCGTGCACTACGTAGTAGAAGATAGGTCCATGACGAAGGTCAAGAAGTTGTAAGCATTTGACTCGTCCCCTCGTCCTATCATGGGTTGTCCAAGGTAGGTAAGTAACCTGTCCGCATAATAGATCCTGGACAGGGGGTATTCGCTCAGGCAAGCCGTCACGTTACTTGCTCGTTCATTTGTTTCCTTCTTCTGCTGTCTCGGTTCAGGGGGATGCCGGCACATATAGAATGGATCTACACCTGCTTCGCGGACACAAACAATTCAAATTATTACCTACGCAGGCATGCTCTGCACAGAACATCCGATTCTTAACCCGAACTCGACCGACTGCGAAATGCCCGTCTGGTCCCTCCATACCTAATAGATAGCTCGGGCGCCAGTCTGAGGGAGGCACCTACATATGCGCATACATTACTTATGTAGGCAGAGTTGAGTTTGGTTAGCATGTACGTAAACAACAGGGCTCCGCTGCATCGCGGAAGCGGGTCCGTTATATAGACAGATCATCGATAGACCCCCATGTGAGCACAGCTTCGAGTACGTAAGGCAAGTAGGGCTTGGTGAGCTACAACAGCTACCTCAGGTGCCTCCCTACCTTAGGTAGGTACCTACCTATGTAGGTACCTAACCTCGACCCCTCCTCATTTTACTAAACGTGCTTAGGTAACTCCGCGCTCACGAGGATCTCATCTCTGTAGAAGGAAGGAAGTATATTTTACGTCTCTGTTCTACCTATGTACAGATAATGAGACGGGCCCACGACGACGGCGGCACGAAGGAACAGGTAGCCGTATAATCGCCCGTTCAGTCAGGAAAACCCCCCACGGCTAGATGTCCACGGTATCGTACCCGTGCCCTTCGCTCCCTACCGGTATTTTCCCCTTAGCGGTAGGGGCCATTTTGGTTAGGCACCCGGAGGAAAGCTTCGCCTCGACGGACAGCAGTAAAACCTCCGTTCCTACTTTCTCTCTCCTCCTCTCCTCATCTCTGTAGAAGGTTGTGAGAGGCGCCGCATTCCCCTCCAGCGGGTGCGGCCTGGGCTGTCGGCGCGTGCCGCTACAATAGGAAGAGGTACAGGAGGCGGTTACTTGCTTACTCACACGTAGGTATATACCGGTATTTTACCACATACATACCCCACTCCGTAAACGCATATTTTCCGTAGTTCATCATGCCGCAGCGCGTAATATGATGTATGCATATCTCTACCCAGGCTTGGATGTTGAGGTGCATTATTACTAAGACACCCTGAATATTTACTGCCTAACCTCCTCACCTCTTAGCCTCCTGCTTAGCCTCCCACTGCCAGGAGGAGGTGTAGGTAGGTAGGTACTAGGTAGAATTGGCAAAGAGAGATGCTAGCAGCGGGCGGGAGCAGGTGACTAGAGAGGCTTCTTTGCGGAGTAAAGGATCTGGACCCTACGCATGGACGGATTTCGTGGAGGGAGCTGTAAGTGGGCTGGTTGGTTGGTTCTCTTTCTTGCCTCCCTCCCTCTCTCTCTCTTTTTTTTTTTTCCGCTTCCGTTTGTTCCAGTAGAGTGGCCGCTTACTCCTCCTACTCTCCCTCCCACCCTTCCACCCACCTACCTACCTACCTACCTACCACCTCCAGTTGACCTCTGTTCACGCCCTCCATCATCATCACCATCCCCCTCCTCCTCCTTCTCCTCCTTGCCGTCGCCCAATTACCTCTTAAGCCGTTCCAGCTGTTGCACCACCCTGCCTCCCTACCTACCGGCCTCATATCTACCCAACCTACTAGTAACCTGTATGCCTACATACCTCCTCCCTGCCTGCTTGCCTACCGGATACAATACATAACAGACATACATGCCTACATGACACATGCATTGTACATATCCACCTCCTCTCGCCTTCTACTCGCTGCCCAGCTAGTCTTGCCAACACCTCTCTTGTCTCTCCATACCTCCATCTGCTCACCTGCCTGCCGCCCGCTTACCTACAGCTTTTAGTACCTCACCCATCCTTACCCAACATACGACGTGCTTGCAGGCCCATCGTGTTCTCCTCCCTTACGACCGCTGTAACATGCACGTAACCAGGCCTGAAGGCGAAATGTCGGTCGACCGCTGAAGGACTCGCCGCTCCCCGTCGCTGCACCACAGCATCGCACAGCATCGCCGCATCACACACCACACCCACACCCCGTACCTCGACCACCCTACCTTCCTTGACCTTACCTTACCCTACTATACCGGACTGGCCCGACGCCAACCCGAAGATCGCTTCCCTGTTGCTACCGCCAGCATACTACCCAGAAAATCATGGCAAATTGACGATCCCCCAAACCATATAGCGTGACCAACCGAGGGCCGCATCTACGTCAACTCTCTCCTCAGCTTGGCCGATGTCGATGCTCGCCCACGCCCTGACCTCACACGCAGAACCGAAACATAATAATCCTCCCGTCCGAACGATATGCAACAGCTCTCTGGCCTCTCCGCTACTATTCCTCCTTTGACGGCTGATCCGGGTTGTAACCGACCAGCCTTGTCGCGAGTGACGACGATCCCTCCCGCGGTGCCTATTCGTTCAGAAGGCCTGCCCTCCCCCGCTGTGGAGGCGTGTGGCCTTCGTCGATTAATCTACCGTACGACCAAATCCCCATGTCACGCCCATCTATCCCTCACGACCTCGAATATCCCCTCGTCGATCCTGCCTATCTAAAACCTGGCTTGTCGAATATCGCGGTTCGACCGTTGCGCCGTACCACTACAACGAATCTTGCACATATCCTCTAACCACCCTGCTTGCCATCCATCGGACTCTTGCACTGGTCGGGTCCGCATAACCCTTGATTTGCCGTCTCCTGGTCTATAGAAGCACTCATGAGCGCCGTGTGCATACAACGTCCCAAAATGGGTTCGTCACAACCGCCTGGCGGCAATGCGCCATTTGGTTGTACGCCCCCTGTTGCTTATAGGCAAACCAGTCGCTACCAGCGTTTATGAGCTAACCTCTTTGCACAGATCATATCTCAGATCAGGACTTCCTGTTTCTCAGGGCCCCTACGCCCCCCCCGGGAGACCCTTTACTGAGCCACGACGATTCGAGACTGCTGAACCTCTTCTTCGAGGACATGACGTCCAACCAGTACCCCACATCATATGGTGAAGGACTTAACTTCAGCGAACAGTGGATCAGTCAGCTTCCACCCGCCTTTTTAGGCCATACTACATCCTTTGGACAGCAGCCTCAGCAGCCGTCGGTCTCGCCCCTAGGTGGAATGCCCACCGCGACCTTTCAAGATGTGTTTACCTTTGGTCCAAACGTGATGCCGCCGCCGCCGCCGCAGCCGTCTTTACAGCTTCAACATTCACACCAGCACCAGCACCAGCACCAGCATCAGCACCAGCACCACGACACCCCGGTCTCTCATACGCCGATTGAGCAGAATGCCCACGCGGATGTTGCCGCAGTGCTAACATCGCTCCATCATGGCCATCAGAATGGGCACACACTCAGTTCCAACGGCGTAATTGCTCGTTCCCCGGTCGTCCAATCCCAGCACGGCGGTAGTCACCTGAACCAAATTAGGTCGACGTCTCGAAATCACCTCAACCCAGATCGAAATAGCCCAGCTCGACATAGATATAGCATGTCGAACGATGCTGATACGCTTTTCGCCGACATGGTATTTGGAGCCCCGCATGAACCACCTACTCAACGACAGGTGGAAACGACAGACTTGCAATGGGGTTCCGATTCTGGATTTGCTAGGGCACAAGGATATGTTCCGCCCGATAATGCGTACAGCGAGATCCTTGAGCAAAAGAGATTGGGTGTCCTGAAGGTCTTCTCGATCAGCGATAGCGCTGCTACTACCCGGCCTTCATCTCCCGTGCCTAATGGGGAAAGCTCATCGAATGCTGCACCCAGCGGGAATTCGGATAGCCAAGTCGACGTTAAAGAAGAATATGACACCGAACCTCGACCAGCGAAGCGCCGCAAGAGCAAAGCCAAGGCGAAAGAGGAGGCAGAGCGGGATAGAGATGAACCAGCAGCCGTTCCAGCAAAAACCGCTAGAAAACGTAAATCGAAACCAGACCTTAGAGGGGTTGCGGATGTGTCTTCGGCGGTGGTCCAAGAGACCCCGGGGAAAAGGAGAAAATCTGCCGCGAACTTGGTCAAAGCACCGCGAGAAAACCTAACAGACGCGCAAAAGAGGGAAAATCACATCAAGAGCGAGCAGAAGAGACGAGGGGCGATAAAAGAAGGGTTTGATGACCTATGCGAGATCGTTCCTAACCTTAAGGGAGGTGGCTACAGCAAAAGCACAATGTTATCAATAGCAGGGGAGTGGCTCGAGGTTCTAGTCAAGGGCAATGAAGAGCTGAGCCGGTGATGGATCTCTCCTGGGCTTGTGATGTTTTGAATACTGTGTAAGAACACAAAGCTGGGAGCCCGTGATCTCCGGCGTTGGGTTGGAGTTGCATTTGGCTTTAGGTTTGGTCGCCACGGGCCAGACGAATAAAAGTTCCGAGACGGCGGCAGGGCGGCATTCTTATTCTTATTTGGGTACTTTATGGGCTATTGATACCTTGGGAGGTTCCGCTACGGGACGCCGCGACTGGAATTGGGGGCGGATCGTCTCGGGAAGAGCAAGATGGACATGAATAAACAATCGACCGATACGCATGAGCGTCGACGTCAACAACAATTTCTAGTACCTATTTAGTACAGTGAGCCACGGGCGTGTGTCGTAAGCCGCATCGTGAGGCGGCTTATTCAAGACGTCGACGTGTGGTGCATTGTAATATCTCGTTGGCCGGACAGGGGGCAGGAGGGCGGAGGAGGGGAAGAAGGAGGGCGGTACTCTAGTGACGAGAAACAGGATGCAGGCATTTATTAATCGCCGATAGCATGAAACCTCTCGTGCGCTGGTATTGCGAAGACGGGGATCGCATGCCCGCAGAGACGACACCTCTGGGATGCACCTTCGTCCTCCCAAACGTCCGCATAGGGGCATGCATCCGGTTCTGGCGATGATGCTGCCGTTGTCGGCCCTTCCATTAAATCTCCGCACCCGCGCCCCTCTACCTCTTCCTCACATCTTACCTCGGTTGGTTTTGCAGCACCGGTAGTATCGTGGGTGGGGTCGTCAGACAAGGGCGCGGTGTCGTACACGGTCCACTCGCGTAGCTTATCCTCCTGTGTCCGGAACATGCGCGCGATGTCCTGACCTCCCGCCCCTTCTCCCGCCCCTGTCCTGCGACTCCCCGACTCCTCGATGCCCCCCGCCACGACAACCATGTTAGTCACACAGACGTTGATAAGGGCTAGATTCCAGCCCCCGCGGCGCTCCGGGTGCAGCCGCCGGAACAGCGGGAGCAGCGCATCGGCGGCGAGCCGCTCGCCAACACTCTCGACGACGTCGCGTAGATTCAGGACGAAGGTGGGGAGCGGCTGGCTCCGGGAGCTCCGAGCGAAAGATTCCGCCGCGGTGGGAGGGCCGGAGAGTTTCGGCGGCCGTACGCGCGTGGATAGGCGCAGCGTCTTGGGGTGTGCGGTCCAGCGCCGCCGCCGAGTCTCTAGACTAGATTCTCCCGCGGCCGGGGGGGCGAGGTCTACCTCTTCGCGGCTGTCTGCTACGACGAGGTCCGCGTGCATGCGCCTCACGAGAGAGGTGGCGAGGGCGCGCAGCTCGCGGACAATCTCGGTAGGAGTGTTGAGAGGGCGCGCCATATACGTGTCCTCGACGCTGATCTGGGCCGGGATGCCGCTCGCGGCCTTGACAGCGGAGGGGTCGATGCCGTGCAGAAGGTCCCAGACCTTGTCACCGCTACCGCGCTCGAGGCTAGCGTGGTCGAAGATCCGAGATAGGAGTTCTGCGGATAGGGATGGGTGCTGGCGGACTTGGTGCACTGTCAAGTCCGTTGTGCTGTGAGCTTGGCCTACTAGGTCGTCGTCTGCGATGGTAGCGGAGGCTGCTGTGCTCGTCGAGAGAACGTAGTCTTGGACTAGTTGAGCGGTTCGGGACCCTATGCCGGGGATCTGCCGTAGCTTGTGGGCATCCACAAACCCCTGCACATCGTCATCCTGGAGGCCGAGGAGCGTTGTTTGGTTTCTTGGCTTATTGACGCTGCCAACTAGCTTGGCTAGGACTTTGTTTGTCGAGATGCCCCCGCTAGACGTATAGTCAAGCTCCTCCAGCTTGTGGCGTAAGTAGCCCGCTAGATGCGAGGCGAGCATCAAGCGGACGCACAGTGGATTGTCTAGAAGGGTTAGCAAGTCGTGTTCCAGATACGCCGGTGGGTACACGCATCCGCAGAACCGGGTAGCATCGAAACTGAACCCCTTCTCGGGGTCTAATACCGAGAGCTGAAAGAACGAGTCGCGCAGGGCGTTGCGGTTGAGAAGCTCTTGGTTGTACACTACGACATCCGTGACATCGAGGAAGACCTCATCGAGCCCCAAGCGCTCGACGCGGCCGCTCCACGAGTGCGCTCTCAGCACCGACCACAGAGTCTTTGAGGCGTCTCGAAAGGGCGTCAAGTCCTCGCCGCAGACAAGTACGAGGTCGGGGCACGTGCGCTGGGCTTCGGATACGAGCATCAGCTTTTTGACACCGCGGGCACGGGCGGCATAGTTGCAGGTTGCGAGGATGCTCTTCTGCTTGACGCCCAGCGGCAGCCCCTTGAGCGAGGGGTTCAGGTTCTCGAAGACGCTGGCGTAGAAGCAGTCATAATCCTGGACCGCCCAAGATAGATCAGCAACATACTCATCGTTTTCTGATAAATTATCATGACGGAGAACAAGGGCACGTGTTTGGATCAAGTCTGTTTGACCTACGAAGTGTAGGATGACGCGGTCCTCGTTCCTCTTAGGGGCTCTGCGAGCGCGTCCCGACGTCAGCGCTGCAGTGTTCATCTCGTTCCATTTTTAGACTGGGAGACGACTACTCATACGCGGTCGGGGAGCGGGGCGAGCTATCTAGGTGAAATTCGCTCATGGATTAGGTTGGCGATCGAGAGATATCAGAACTAGACCACCTTTTTACGCGCTACTATCGACCCGTGAGTCTTGAACAACCTGGCCCAGCCACACGCGCTCTTTTGTCGTCACCTCAGCCACATGCCTATTATCAGCAACCGGCTAACCCGTATTCAGGAATTAGCGGGTGTGGCACCCATGTCCCAGAGCTCCCGCCATCCCATCCGCCATCCTTCTCTCATCCGTCATCCATCGCCTTCGTCGAGGTGTTTCCTTGAACAACACCATTTTCAAACGCTCTGCGATTTCCACTATGTCTCTCATTCAATTTCTAACAGGCACCCGCCACGCCTCGTCCCAGCTAACGACTCCACCGCTCAACGAACCAGCGTACCCGAGAGCCCTAGCACCTGTGACGGTCCTCCGCTCATCTTATCCCACATATCTGCTACTCCAGGTGTCCAGTGCGCCCGGCTAACGGTGGTTGGTCTATCTGCCGCGGAAGAGGCCGAAACGGATTGGCCCAACGGAGGTAATAAAAATAGCAACGTCACCGCCCTTGCGGTCCTTGCGAACCTCGCGGAAATGGAAAATGCCTCCTAAGGAGATGCCGAGGCCTCAGAGGGAAGCATGTTCACCAGCGTGACTGAGAGCAAGACATATGACTCGGCTAACGGACTGGGAAGCGGCGCTGTCGCTGATCGTCGATCTATGGTTCGCTGGCTTCAAGGTGGCGGATGTCACGGAGGACACACTGGCTCTTTGAAAGCCGTGCCGCCACCGGTCTTCCCTTTTCCGTCCGGCAAGTTCCACCCCAGCTGCCGAGCCGACGGGGCTTTGAGGACAGTGGCATATGCAATTAGAAGGTCCACACCTGGCAGCCCACCACCTCCTTGACGGCTGCCCCGATTCCCTGAGACGCAACTCATATATAGGTACCTACCCAGGTCACCTGCCCTCCTCGGTATGCGTGTGGATAAGTTGAGGATAAGTTGACCTTACTTGGTCTATGAATCTGGGAGGTTGGCAGTCTACATGCGACTGTCCTTCTCATATTCACCAACCCCCCCCCTATGTTTCGACTATCTAAACATATCGGTGAAACATCCCGTCTCCGAGATGCGGGGGGAAACATTCTTGGTCGTCGATGTGCCCAAGCCATAAGCGCCGAAAAAACAGCCAGAGGCGACGATTACATGGGCAGTCTGGCCTATTAGCCGATCTTACTGCGTCGGCCATTGGCTGTGTCCGGCAAGGATCGCGCAGATCGGCAGGGCTACGTCGGCGCTTGCGTCTTCAACCATCCATCCCTTCTGAGCCCATGTCGCTTTTTATAGCCAACCAAACAATCCTGACGTGGAGGCGGATGCACCTGTCTGTCGCAAGTCTCCTGCCAGTGGCCAAGCCCGTGTTTCTCCCCCTTCTACATGGTTCCAATAGTTGCCGGGCTTTACTCAGTAGGACCCGCCGCGGCCCCGCCTAATTTTCCCTCTCTTGTGCGAACATTTCTTCCACTCTTCTCGCGCCTATTGCGGCGCCTCAGCACCCCAGTCCGCATCAGTCTCATACATCAAGCGCCTGACCTTACTCACTTGCCATCCCTTTCCCCTCGATCGAGTCCGTCCCGGTGCTAAGGAGTCTTATATATCCCCCCGCCATCCCCCTCCACCGGCAGTTCGCGCACACACCTATAGGTCCGACCCTGATACTACTACTACCTACTACCACATCTTGGCCGCTGGAAGGTTGTTCGAAGGTCCTAGTCTGCTGGTAGCACAGACTAGGCGGTGTGCTCAACCTCCTCTTGACACCCCTACACAGCGTGCCTCGAAGTCATATCCGTGAACCAAGCCTATTATTAGGCTGATCGTCACGATGGCCGGCCCCGAGTTGTCGAAGAGACCTAGACTGTCTCTGCAAACCAAGCCGTCATCCGGACCATCCTGTAAGTCGACGAAGAGCTCGTCGGCGACTGTAAATCCCAGGTCACGAACGGCTTTCAATACCCTGTCAAATGTTTATGTTACTGCCATCGAGAGATCGACGCCGGTTCAGTCGACGCCTTTGACGGCCATTAATCTTCACCGACCTTTAAGACTCCAGACGGACCCGGAATCCCTCAGGGGCCTCCGGCAGGGAGCAGAGTCGCCTTATACCACGACGCTGCCGGATACCCCGTTATCCGCCAATCCCACCTCGCCAGCCCAACAGACGGAAATCGTGTTCCCGAGTACTATGACGGCGACTCCGCCCTTATCCGCCGGACCAGTTGAGTCATCCGAGCCTAGCAAGTTCCCGTTTGCACCCACCGACACGAGGAAACAGGCACTACCGTCTTCCCCTGCGCAGAGCCGGCGCCGAGTGATTTACGCGCAGTTTATGTCGTCTGCAAAAGCGCCCTACAGCCGCGACAGCTCTCTTCACAGCATCCTGCGCAATTCCCCCCTCCCCCCTCCAGCAGCTTTGTCACCCAACTCGCCGAGAAGACAGTCACGTCGCCTACAAGAGAAGGCAGAAAGACATGTGGGGTATGTCTCTCCACTTACACAGACCATCACGACGGAGAAGTACACCAGGTCACACATCGATCTCCTCGCGGACGATGCGTCGCCCTACACACCCTCGCCGATTGCGGAAGATTCTGATATGGCACTGGGCCTCGCGACAGCGCACGCGGGCGACGAAACACGTGATGGCGGAGAGACCCCGGGACCGTTCGAGGATATGCGGAGGCGAATGACTGGATTAGGAGCGGAGACGGCTCTCCACTCACCGAGACCAGATGGCATCCGCAAACGCAAGAGGAAGGAGAAGAAGCGGAAATGGGTGTGGACTATCGGCCAGGACGACGAGGAGAATGAGAGCGGTGCCATGATGGCTCTCCAAGCTGCGGCGGAAACTTCCGTGTCTGGACACTCTACAACCGCGTCATCACCTTCGTCTGTTTCCCTATCCTCGGCTTCGCCCGCAGAAGCAGCAACAGAGGAACCCATCACCGGTATCCGGAGTGCAGAGCCTTTCGGATCGGAATCCGACACGACAGCAGGTCACATGGACATCGAGATGTTCGACGTAGGAAGCAGAATTCTAAGTAGGGCCACAACTCCTCACAGCGCCAGTCTAGACGCAATGGAGACCCCGACAGCTCCAGTGTGCAGCGCAGCGCTGGAGAAGGTAGACGGAGCGGGGCCTGCAGAACTGACCAGCTCCGAGGCTGGAGAAAGAAGAGACTCGCCGGTTCCCCCGGATTTGGTGAATCACGAGTAAGCCCAACACGGCGGAAACAAACTGGGACGGGATATGCCGCGGTTACACGGGACTGATAGAACCGGAGCTTGTATAGCTGGCAGTACGGAAAAAGGAATGGGGTATGGTTCACACGCATACCACGAGGCATACGGAGAGCATTGGGTGGGGCAGTTAAGGCTCTGGCATTGGCGTTATTCGATACCATAGCATCGTGTCTTTCGGATTCTGGATTGGCTCAGAGGGGTACGCGAGCGTACGCAATGGGTATGAAATGGACAGCATCTTGGCGAGCCTGAGATGTGACCTGCAATGAAGCTTATGAACCTAGTAACGAGAAATGGATTCCAGTCTCATAATTGATAGATCCACCCTGCAAGTGACATTCTAGCGGCGGCGATTTCTGCGGGGATAAAGCTGACGAGATATTCCAAAAGACTAGGGGATGCTTCGCCAGCGGTGTCGTGTGTACAAGGTGTAGGTAATTGTATGTACCTATTTATCAAAAGGAGGACCTCAAAATAAGTAAAACCTGGGTACCCACCTAGGGCAGGTACATACCTATCACGTAGGCCATACGAAATTAGGTACACCGTCACCTACCTACCTCTAGCCTCCTACACGCACACTACCTAGGTACAGTGTACCTACCACCTGCCTTGTAGTTTAGGTACCTACACATGATGAGGTACACACATATATGTACATACGGAGATATCTTGGATGAGGTCAAGTATCAGGTACCTCCTAGGGCTGTCCCTACCGCTGGCAAAGACCAGGAGTTGGTGACCACCGACGTCATACACCCAGATAGCACAACGGCTCGTCGTCATCGAACTAGTGGCGGTCGTCCCTCGATGCGAGCTGGTAGGTGAGTCCGTGCCAGGCAATATGATGTAAACCCGTCGAGCTGGCAGGCGAGGACCTGTCTTTCTACGAGGTTCGGGTAAGACAGCTATGCAATCATGGCAGGCCGCAACCTACCTCTAACAAAGCCTTGACCTGAACGCCCTGTATAAATCATAGCCACCGTCGACTTTCCTGGCCAGCCTGCTACCTCCGTCTTCCTATCACCCACCTCCGTAGGTCTAGGCTTCTCTGCTCAGAGTCTCGAACGATTCAACCTGGCTGGCAAGAAGCATATGGGCAACACGACTCAACATCTCTATTCTGGACACCCATACCTAGACCGTATATAGATCCCCATGATTCCCTCCTCTCTCTTCCGAAGCAGCTTTCTCGCCCACGCCCCCTCGGACCTGTGTCTTGGCTACAGTGCCCCTAAAAATATCCTCCGCAATGTCGGCCGAACAGAACCACCGCTACCCCGATGGGGGACACTATTCGGGTCTCAATCGGATCCCCAATATCAAAGAGTTCGTGTCTGCTCTCGATAAGGATAAGAGAGAGCGCGATGCCAGGATCGACGCCGAGTCCAAGGCGAATGAGACAAACCGAGGCATCGTGGATCACGCCGAGAAAGCGGGTGGGCGTAAGGGCCGCGGAAGAGTCGTTACTGATCCCGTTACGGGTGGTAAGGTCACCATAGACGATGTTGAGGCAGATTTTATGAAAGCCGTGGAGGAACACAATGTAGGTCTACCCTATACCTGCGCTACGACGTATAAGGCGAATCTTCTAACTAGGACCACCCTCGAGATATCCGTGCCTAATGCAAATCTAGGCAAAGACACGAGGGTGAAGACCCAGGCTACGCAGTCTGGAGAGGAGTATAGGAAAGCCCAAGATGTAACAGCGCCCCCGGATCCCGTGGCCGCTGGTTCTACCTCGGACGTCCCAATCCGCGGCGAGAAGACAAATATCCTCTTCCACCCAACTCCATCTGTCAGCTATGAACCGATGTACTCTATTTTCGAGCGGCGCGCCACGGTTTTATGTACAGCCATCTTCTTCGCCATCATCCTAATTGGGAAGATTTTCGGGGGGAGGCTACTGGGCTTGATTCCTCTGGCGATGTGCATTTCCTCTGGTGTTTTTCTGTGGATGAGAGATTTGATCAGGCAGGGTCGAGACATTGAGTGGTCCAGTGAGCAGAAGCGTGGCGAGATGGCCGTCGCCAACTTAATTCCCGAATCTGTCGAATGGATGAACACCCTTCTCGGCATCGTATGGGGGCTGATTAACCCCGAGATGTTCGCTGCGGTAGCCGACACTCTAGAGGTGCGTTTCCGATACGGCCAGAGGGGATTAGAAAATGCTAATATAAGTAGGATGTTATGCAAGCCTCAGTTCCGGGAGTCATCGAGAACGTCAAGGTGGCCGACATTAATCAGGGGAACAACCCCATCCGCATCCTCAGTCTTAGGGCCCTCCCCGACAGCCACATGAAAGATCTAAAAGACGAAATGCACAGGGAGAACGAAAAGGTTAAAGATCCTCATGAGCTCGCCGCCGATGAGGAGGGGGGGGATTACTATAATTTGGAAGCGTCGTTTGCCTACCATGCGAAGCCTGCATCTGGAACTATGTCGGAAAAGGCTACCAATATGGGCATGCAATTGGTTTTCTACCTCGGTATCAAGGGATTGTTCGGGATCCCTCTACCAATATGTAAGTTTTGAATTCGCTTGCCATTTATTCAGCCGCTGACCCATCCTAGGGGTTGAGTTGGTAGGTCTCGTCGGAACTGTGCGACTTAGGCTTCAAATGACCCCTGAGCCACCATTCCTCAAAGCAATCACCATGACACTTATGGGCGTCCCTAAGGTTGAAGCCGGATGCACGCCAATGATCGAGCGCGGAGTCAACATTCTAAACCTACCAGTAATCTCGAACTTCGTGAACTGGGCTATCAAGACGGCTGCTAGCATGTATGTCGCGCCAAAGTCGCTGACCCTCGATCTTGGCAAGATGCTGCAAGGCGACGATATCCAGAAGGACACCAACGCCCTGGGAGTCCTCTTTATCCGCATCCATAAGGCTGCTGGGCTGTCAAAACAAGACCGACGAGGCTCCGAAGGCGGCGGTTCTGACCCTTACATCACCGTCAGTTTCTCCAAGTTCGGCAAGCCTATGTACTGCACCCGTGTCATCCAAGACGATCTCAACCCTGTCTTTGAGGAGACGTGCGCTCTCCTTGTCACGGCCGATCTCATCAAGGCGGACGAGCAGTTATCGATGGAGTTATGGGATAGTGACCGGTCGAGCGCCGATGATGTAGTCGGGAAGGTAGAGCTCTCTTTGCAAAAGCTCATTCAACACCCGGGTCAAATGTTCCAGCAGGTCTCAAAACTTCGCGGTATCAAAGCCGAGAGTAGTATGCCTGGCGAGCTTTACTGGGAAGTTGGCTACTTCGGCAAAACACACTTCCGGACTTCTTTGCGTACGGACGGGAAGGACCTCAGCTTGCCGAAGGAGATTCGAGATAATAAAGAATTGCAAGATGAAAAAGGGGCTATCCAAAACGACGAAGAAGACGCTGTCATACACACGCCTCCGGACCCTCTTTGGCCATCTGGAATTCTTAGCATTGTTGTCCACCAGATAGTAAATCTCGAGCTGGCGAATGTGAAAGGCTCGGAGGGCGGAAAACGGAAGGGTGGTAGGGAATATGAACCCGCTTGTGATGCCGGTGAGATAAAGGAAGAGTCGAGCAAGCAGCTACCCAGCGCCTATTGCACGATTCTCCTAAACGACGAGCTTGTGGGTCTCGATAGGCTAGAGATGACTTCTTGTACTAATCTGCCCCATAGGTTTATAAGACCCGAACGAAGGTCGTATCCTCCAAGCCTATCTTCAACGCCGGCACCGAGCGTTTCGTCCGCGACTGGAGGTCTGCCATTGTCACAGTTACGGTACGTGACTCAAGAAATAGGCAGCATGATCCCATTATCGGCGTTGTGCCCCTAAAGCTATCCGACCTTATGCAGACAAATAGTCAGGTGAGCTTGACCTAAGTTTTCCACCCTCAACCTTCAAAATTCAGACGCTCATAGACAACAAGGTCACACGGTGGTACCCACTCGACGGTGGGATTGGCTTCGGTCGAGTTCGTATATCATTGCTCTTCCGGGGCATCGAATTGCGATTACCTCCTCCACAGCTCGGTTGGGATGTCGGATCTTTTGAATTTACATCGGACAACATTGTCTCAACCTTGATAGGCTCCAGCAAGAGCAAGGTAAAACTGCGGCTGAGAACCGGGGGTAGCTCCGTGGCGGTTAAACGGGAACAGTGCATCGTCAGGGACGACAGCCTGGCATGGGACATCAGCGGCACAACAAATAACCCGCGTCTCCGTCTGCCCGTCAGATATCGCTATCGGTCTCCCTTGTTCTTCGAGTTCCACCTCGCAGGCCAACGTCGTGTTGAGTACTTTGCCGCGATCTGGTTACAAGAGCTAGTCGATCTCGAGGATACGAATTTCGATATTCCCGTATGGAAATGCGATAACGCGATGAGACTGTCGCAGAATTTCATCACACCGGCCAACTACAATACGATCCCGGATATCAAAATCGAGGAGGCGGGTCGTTTGCGTTTCCGCGGCCGGTTCAAGGCCGGCACGGACCGTGAACATCTACGCTTCGTAAGCGATAATAACTCCCGGGAGACCATTGAAACATGGGAAGCCTGCTTCGCAGAGGGTGTACGTAAAGAGGAGGTGTCGACCGTGGTGCCGCCCAACATCCAGAAACTACACGATGATTCGCTAATCAAGACCCGTGACGTGCTCTCCACGGTCCCCGAAGAGGAGAGACAGGTATGGTTTTCCAAAGACGGCACAGACTGGACTGGAGCGTTTGGCGAGGATCCCGTAGAGCTGATGGCAGGCCGCGAGGGCCGCGATGAGGACGAGTATGAATCAGATGAGGATTCTGAAGTCACGGACGCAGGCATTAACGGGTCTAACTCGTCCGAATCGTCCGACTCATCGACCACGAAAGTCGAACCGAGCAAAACGGACCTTGGCATCAAAGATGCGATGACAAAGCATTCGGAAGAGGCGCCCGGCCGATCGCGTAGTGGTAGCGCGACAACGCAAGCCACTATAGACTCAAGCGGTTCGGGTAAGAGCCGAAGCAGCAAAAACCCAATCAAACAGTACAAGGACTACCAGGAAAGGAGCCGGGACCTGCACCGACGACATCGTGGGTTGATGCAATGGCGCCCGTTACGCAACGCGCAGTTCGCAAAGGACGAGGCGAAGTTTGCCATTAGGAGGATCACGCAGATGGGCTCGCTAAGCGGGCGACAACCTGACGTGGAAACAGAAGTGTAGAGCTGTTCTCCCTTTCTAATCTCTCCTTTCACTCTGTGTCCTGGGGTGGAGAGTATGTTTGTAATCTTGGCATATGGGCGACGTTGGATTTGAAGGTTAGGTGTACGTCTAAAAAAACGGTGACGGTGGTCATAATACTGTAGTAGGAGCGACTACAAGAATGTGATACTAATTATATATGAGTTTTGACAATGCTGTTTGGCAGACATGCGCAAAATCTTTAGCATATAGGCAAAACCCATCACGATAGGGGCGACCTGGTCGTGATCTTCTCCCGGGGGGAAGGGGGTGCGTAACCTGAATTATCTCACAGGTAATTTTGGGATTCAGAATCAGCGCGCACAAGCGCATACCGTGCGGTGAAACCTGCCACAGGTAGCTCTGAGAACCATACTTTAGTACTGGGAGTCTTTGCGCGCGGGCATGTAGGCCAGTAAAATAAGCCGCGAACCTCTGGAGGCAGTGAATAAGAGGGGGGAGGCCACGGCAAATAGGAAACTGGTCGCGATTCTTCTTCCTTGACGCAAAATTGAGATATGCCACGGTGGAAGCAGGCTCGATATCTCAGAGTGTTTGCAAGGTCCACGCGTACCCAAGCCGCAACGCCTACCGGGGGGCTCCGGGCTTGGGTATCGGTGTACTGAGGCACGGGCAAGAGACGGAGATGAGAGGCTGGGGGGAGAGGGGAGGACGTTGTCTTCTCGTCAGGTCCCTCCTGGGATATATATACGTTATAGGCATTGAATTTACCTTTTCTTCTTCATCTCGTCATGTACATTCCGCGCCTAGGACTTTACGCGCCGCATTCTCTCCTTTATGGTACACGTCTTGGTACAAGGATGACGGGGCGGTGGGTGGATGGCTCGTCTGGGAGGGAGGAACCCTCGCCTAGTCGATATCGTCCGCGAGGGTAGATCTCCCTCTTTTCCTCTCCACAGTTCCCCGTCCGGCCCACCAGGACGAAAGCGCTCCTCTCCTTTCCTTACTGCCCCGACCGCTCTCGTCGCGACGGGCTCAGGTGTTGGCCTTCTTGATGGCCTCGGCTTCCTGGTGGGCGAGCGCGAGCATGCGCTCCTCGCGGCGCTGGTCGTCGAAGTACTTCTTCATGATAGCGCGGTCGAAGGCGCCGCGCTCGGTGAGCTCCTCGAGCTGGCGCATCTCGGAGAGCTCGTCGGGGGTCGGCTGGACGGGGACGGCGCCGGTCTTGGCAGTGAACTCGGCCAGGATCGCGTCCGAGTGCACGTTCTTGACGTCGATGGTGACGACGCGCTCGCCCTCCTCCGGCTCCGGCGCCGGGTACTCGTTCGACGTGCTCGAGTGCGGCTGCTGCGCCAGCGGCAGCTCGTTGAACTTGCTGAGCAGCGCCGCCGGCGTCGGCGTCGTCGAGCTCGCGTCCGAGAGCGGCGTCTGCCGGAAGTATATCGAGAGCTTCGCCGGCGCCGAAGTGTCCGCCGTCCGGTTCACGAGCATCGGCGTCGCCGGGTTCCAGAACTTGAGCCGCGGGAGGCAGATCTTCCAGAATTTCCTGCGATCGGGTAGAGGGGGGGGAGGACGGCGGTCAGTCGGGTCTGTCTGCGGACGGATTGAGGTCGCCCATATATATTTTTTATGAGAAGTGGCGCACCTCGGGCCCATGTGGCCGCCCGCCGACTTCTGGGCGAAGTCTAGATGTATCCGTGTGATCTCGGGTGGTAATATCATCGCTCCAGGGCCATGCCGTATCGCTAACATCTGAAGCGGAGCGCCTTGTCAGAACGCCCACTTTGGGTGGCTATCTGGCCGCGTGCTTTACCTTCTACGAGACGGCATTAATTCGTTAGCAAAATCTTCACGGAGTCAGGTATGGGTACTAGAATAGGAGTAAAGAGGTATAGCGAGGGGGCGAGGCATGCTGAAGTAGACGGAGGAAAAAAGGGAAAAAGGCTCACGCGTCTTAATATGTGCATCCGCTTTCCTACGTTCACCATGATTACGACTCGTCTCCGAGCCTAGATTGGCTCGCGTTTGGCGTTTCTCGACTCGTCAATGGTGGATTGCTGGCGCATGTCATGTCACGGAGGTGGAAATAATTTCATGTTGAAATCGGCGTCCGTCCCCCGGTCGAGGTGGCTTTGCCCACCACCTATTCCTGCTCTAAAATTACTGGGAAGTACCTAAGGCAGTACCTGTTCCGTACTCCTAACGGTAGGAAGGTACCTAGATACCTAACACTGAAGTCGACGATACCAGCTGATAACAGCTGTCGCTCGCACACGCATCCTCGACGATTTCGTACTTCATCGCCACCCATCGCAGGCGTTGCCGATTTTAATATGCCTATCTGGACCACATACAGAGTTAATAGTTAGTGATATTTATGTAGATACATTCTAAACTCCCTCTTACGGTCAGGTCGCGAATCTCTCTCTAGGGTATTCCGTTCCGTGATTGTATTTCCAAAGCTAGTATTTATACAGACGCCACTGCCCTGATGTCATCGAAGGGGAATATGGGAAAACCTGGCGGGTTTGCGGTAAGCTGCGGCGTATAGGAGGTTCCGCAGCGTTGGCAGGGAATTTGGCTGTCCCTTGGTTCTCCATCCATCTTACATATCCCAACTTGAAGCGTTTGTGGAGGGTAACCGGGCTCTAGCGGGACTGAGGATTCATATTCCGACGAACAGCCCTACATTAGGAGATGACGGCAAGCTTGGGTCGTAAGTATAATAGCTGTGTAGCGAGGGTGTAGAGAGCTTTGGTCGGCGATAACCAGTCGTTTTCTAACCTCCTGACGTAAAACTGACTCCTTAACGTCCGAATGCAAGTCTATTTTAGACTGATCTCAACGACGCGACACAGCACCATTACGGGTTTGGGTAGGTAAGTGGTGCAGTAAAGGTTGAGACGAGTCGCCGGGCCGCCTATATTTGCGAATATACAGGTTCTTATGACGTCCGTACTGCGGGTGCTCTACCTAATGCTTTTGGCGAGATGCCCAATTTCTCGCGATTGGCGTGACCTCTCTAGACAGATCATTCTCGGAGGGACAGGAATGCACATGCCGACCTCTCTTGCCCTCGAGAGTACGCTAAGGAAGAACGCCTTCTCTCTCTTCGATAGATCCGCGGCAGAAGAGCTCTGCTTCGAGGATCCTCCACAGATCAATGCTTGGTATACCTGCCGCCCCCGGCACCTTTACCAGCAGACGGCTAAGTCGAATCCGGTACACATCGAGCGTTCACACAAGGCAGATATAGCGCGTGGGAGCCTTGCAGCGAATCTCTAGTTGTTGGCTGGCACAACGAGTCTAGGTAGTATACTACATGGTAATCGTCCAAGCCTACTGATTTGATCGATGCTCACAAAGCATAGGAATGTGTTTAAGCGTCAAGCTTAACGGGGAAGTTTCCAGCCTCTGCGGTGGTGTTAGCAACTTATTCCGATACGAGTGAGGCGGCCTACTGACCTCGCTGATCGTCCCATCGTTCATACCACCCGCTCGGGCATAGAGACCGGTAGGCAAGAAAGAACTGGGCTTATTAGCATCCACATCGACTATGCCGGGGGCGAGTTCAAAGAAGGGAGTCGTACCTGGCGGCAGGGGGGGAAATCTTCGCCCTTGGCATTGATGCACTTGTGATAGTCGACGTAGTTCTGCCAGCAGTGCTTGGTCTGGTTTTGGTTGGGGAATCGAGCGTCGACACCTAGAGGCGCGCCGGTTGCGTTAGACGAAACGGATTTAACGGGGGAGCACGGGGACGTCGTGTGTTTCGCTCGCCGTTCGATTGCGTTGCTTTCGAGCGTCGCTCTCATAACATCTACCGCATCCGACTGGAAGGAGGTGAAGAGGGTTGCTTACCAGCTGCCAGAAAAAAACATCGTTAGTGATTCCGTGGTTCGCGAAAACCCGGGACAGCGGATGGCATGCCCCGAGGGATTTGGAGGCAAAACTTACCGGTGACGAACTTGAAGGGCTTCGTCTCGCGCTCCTCGTCGGCCATTTTCGCAATTTGCTTATAGCTTCGCTTTGTCGGATAAAGAGAGAATGGACGGTGGATGGTGTGCGCACGATGTGGCGATGGAGACGGGGAGAGATGGTGGTTCGCAGTGGTGATATGGGATGCGGGCAGGTAGCGATGAATGGATATTGGGTAGGTACCTCCTCATAGGGACCTTGGATCGATTTATCAATCTAATCCAATTGGGAGGGAGCGTATGTCGTACTATGTACATCTGCAGCACGACGCGAGGTAAGCGGTACTTTAGAAGTACATTCGGGCTGAGATGGATGGAGGAACGGGGTGGATGACGGATTGCCCAATTAATGAGTCAATCGAATCATCGAGAGTCGTTGTCGATGCCTCAGGCCGCGGTGGTCTGACCTGCCCGTGACGGAGTCGATAACCTTGGGGGGGTATATGTAGCCCCACTACAATTATTTTGCTGGGCTTGATTGGCCACTAGCTGTGGCTTGAGCCGAAGAAGCTCTCCAGCGGCCGGTTTCCAACCTAGGTTAGGATGGCGCTGAGTCTTCCAAACGACCCCCCCAACCTTCCACCGTCGTCGAGAATCGCCTCTGAACTTGCACCTCAATAGCCTTCGCCATATCACAAGCTCACCTCATCCGTCGCGGTGCCCTCTACCCGTACGAGAAATATCTCTGCATCACCCCGAATCCAGAAGAAATGTACGCTACGCGAGCTCTGAGGATGATGCCCACTAGGCGCATGATGCGTCCTGTCCCCGTACGGCCTCCGCCTCCCCGTTCACAGATCGCATAGCTATGACGTTTGCTAATTGCCCCCATTAGAAGGAGGACCAGAGCGGTATGTTCCCGCCCATCGCGAACCATTGACCGCATTTGCCTATTTTTGGCACTTCCCGAAGCCGCGCCTGCGCGAGCCTGGAGGAAATACACCTGATGTTGACGGAAATGCAGCGCACACTGTCTCTCAGCGCCTCCGAAAATTGCGACAAATTCCGGCAGAACTGATCCCGCTTGGTTAGTCCATCTATGAAACTCAGCCGCCGACTTGCGATGATAGACGGAGCGTAATACTTACTGTGTGCGATTAGGCGTTGTCGTCGCATTCGCCGTCTCCGCTGCCGCCTACTCGAGTCTGCGAAAGTTCTCCGTGGACAAGAACCTCCGACTGAGCCGGCAAAATCGCCAGGACGAGCCTCACGCCGAAGGTCATGAAGAGCACTGAGGAGGCAGGCTCAACTGGGTAGATTGCGTTTCGACGAGGCTAGATGAAGCAGGCTTGGACTCCAAGGAGGAACGTTTTTATTATTAAACAGACATAGCTCTGTACATGTTACATGTAGCCACCACAGACGAAAATGACAATATGGGAGGCTATGCACAGCATAGACCCAAGTCTCAAACCTGCCGCCACTTTTTCTTCTTTTCTTTGTCCATGGTTGCTGGATAACCTCCCCCCAACGCCAACGCTATGCTAGGAAGCGCAATAAACCAGACATTGACGCCCTGGGGCTCTCATTCCGGCTTTGGCCCGGCGACGTCGAGCCCTTCGAGCCCCTGCATTGGATCCTCCGGTCTGTCGTCTACGCCTGCGTGAGCTGCTGCCGTTGCCGCGCGATCTTCCTCGCTAACAGCATGTTCCGCAAGCCACCCCTCCTATTCCGTCCGTTAGTAAATATGTCGTAGATCCGAAACGCGGACTGTAATGGCGGTAAAAAGGAGGAACTTGAGAGCAATAAGATGCAAGTAAAAAAAAAAAAAGCAACCATATGAGGAAGAGAGGCGAAGAATAAAGAAGAAATAGAAAGCCCTACCTGCTCCCAAACTGCTGTCTTACTGCCCAGTCCCTCCTCTGCACTCTTGGGAGGTTTAGCCGCTGAGACTCTTAATACCCTGCCAAAAAATTCCGACTGGTCCATGTTATCGACTGCTTCCTTAGCATCATCGGAATCCTCGTATTCCACGTAGGCAAAACCTCTGTGAGGTTCGGTGGAATTGGGCGCGTCGTTCTTCGGTAGGGTTATGTCCACGATTTCGCCAAATGGTATGAAGGCATCATGAAGATTTACGGTAGTGACTAGGGAGCTCAAGCCCCCGACATATACAGTAGCTTTCCAACGGGCCGCGTCCGTCATTCTGGCTGCCTGTGGGTATTTTGGCTTATGAAGTCTTTTTAGGAAGAGGCTCTAGGCGGTATAAAGAGCCGAGGGTGGAAGAGGTAGAGTGAGTCCAATGCTATCTATACGGTAAGGAGAGGTAGGTGTGTTAGTAAGATGTGCGAAATAGAGGTACCAAAGTACCCCCCCAATGCCTACCGGCCCTGCCTGAAAACTTCCCATATGATTGGGCCAAGCATTGGTCCGTCCGTTCGTCACCTCAGCCGAAACGTAGCTGTGGCTAGTTAACTGTGGCTGATGCGACAGGGTGTCTCCAACAAGTTGACTAAGCCTGAAGGAAGGAACAGATTATCGACCTCGATTCAGTTTGGCCTGGCGAGCTCATGCATGCGCCCACGCCGCCCACGCCGCCCACACACACAGCGCTATTGCACTGCATTATCTGGCAACATAGCAGATCGAGGAAACCCATCCAAGATTCTTGTACTTCTAGCCACCACCACTGTCCCTAGCCGGCCTAGAGAGCCCAATGCCAGCTGGCGTTTGTGCCAATTCCCGTTGAGAAACCTCGGATACATTTCATCGACTCGTCTAACCCAGCCTGGCCTGAAGGGACCTGACCTGGCTTCACCAAACGGACCGTCCACCCCTTTACGCCCGTCAAGTCAATATGGTCAGGCTGCGCGAGATCTCGCGCACGGCGGCCTTTGCCTGGTCACCTGGTGCTGCGAAACCATTGGTGGTAACCGGAACGAGGGCTGGGGCCGTGGATGCTGACTTCTCCGACGAGACGAAGTTGGAACTTTGGGATCTAAACCTCGACAACCAAGACCAAGGACTCGAGCTCCAGCCCATTGCGAGCATCGCTGCCGACTCTAGGTAAGCAATCACCGGGATCGCAGCATCCATATCACGAGGGAGTACTGACGCCGTAGGACTAGGTTCTACGATATTGCCTGGGGTCAGCCCTCCGACGACCATCCGCAGGGTATCATTGCCGGCGCTCTCGAGAATGGATCGCTCGATCTCTGGGATGCAGCGAAGCTCATCTCTGGCGAATCGGACGCCCTGATGTCGCGAACAACAAAGCACTCGGGAGCTATCAAGGCGCTGCAATTCAACCCTCTGAGACCTCAAATCCTGGCCACTGCCGGCGCGAAAGGGGAGTTGTTCATTTATGACGTGCACGACCCGTCCAACGCATTTCGGCTAGGCAATGCTGCGGCCCGCTCCGACGACCTAGAATGCGTGGCGTGGAATACGAAAGTTGCCCATATTCTCGCTACGGGAGGCTCTGGCGGTTTCGTCACTGTATGGGACTTGAAGACCAAGAAAGCGTCGCTGACGCTGAATAATAACCGGAAGGCCGTCAGTTCTATTGCCTGGGATCCCAACAACTCGACGAAACTATTGACCGCTACCCCTGACGACACAGCCCCTGTCATCCTGCTCTGGGACTTGCGGAACTCCAATGCGCCCGAGAGGACCCTTCAAGGTCACGAGCAAGGCGTCCTATCTGTCTCCTGGTGCCAGCAAGATGGAGACATTCTGATCTCGTGTGGCAAAGATAATAGGACGCTAGTGTGGAATCCTCAGACGGGCGAGCGTTATGGGGAATTCCCCGAGGTTACTAATTGGACCTTCCTTACACGATTCCACCCTCACAACCCTGGTCTCTCAGCGACGGCGTCCTTCGACGGGAAGATAACAATCCAGACGCTCCAGAACACGAATCCATCAGCTGTTCAGAGCACGACCCAAAGTGGCTTAGATGGCGAAGACTTCTTCACACAAGCCCAGAGACAACCCCAAGGCGCCTCTTTCTCCTTGGCAAAGGCTCCGAAATGGCTCGAGACGCCGGTCGGGGTCTCGTTTGGGTTTGGTGGGAAACTCATCATCTTTAAACAAACCCCCCCGCAGGCCGGCCACAAGCGCTCTTCCACCATTCAAATCTCGCAGTTCTCAGTTGATTCCGAGATTGGAACAGCTACGGAAAAGTTCGAAGAGTCTCTGAAATCTGGTGATATTGAATCTATATGTGAGTCGTATATAGAGCAAGCGAAGACGGAAGAGGAGAAGGCCGATTGGCGGGTACTAGAGACTCTAGTCGCCGACAATCCGCGGAAACATATCGTTGAATATTTAGGATTTGGCGGTGACGAAGCAAAAGAAGAGGATGCGTCCAACGGGGTTGCCGACGAGGCTTCTGAGACGAGGGAAGCGGAGCCAGAGAAGCCCAACTTGGAAGTGAAAACACATAAGAAGCGTATTTCGACATTTTTCTCCGAAGGGACGGAAGGTGACGGCGAGGACTTCTTGGCGAGTCTCTCCGCCACAAAAGGGGCTAAGACTGACAGCCCCTTCCATTTATTCGCTGACAGCGACACTGCGGTTGAGAAGCAGATCACCAAGACTCTGATCCTGGGCCATTTTGAGAAAGCAACTGAGATATGCTTGAAAGAGGGCCGCATGGCAGATGCTTTCATAATTGCGAACTGTGGTGGAAAGGATCTTGTCGACAAGGTTCAGTCTGCTTACTTGTCCCAAAAAACGGGGATACCCAGCTATCTGCGACTTCTGGGCTCTGTCATCGTTAAGAATCTGTGGGATGTCGTGTACAACGCCGACCTGGCTGATTGGAAGGAGACTATGGTGTCGCTCTGCACGTTTGCAGACCCCGCCGAGTTCCCTGATCTCTGCGAAGCGCTGGGTGACCGGATCTACGAATCGGGCTCGAGAAAAGACGCCTCATTCTGTTATTTAGTCGGGTCCAAGCTCGAGAAGGTTGTCGATATTTGGATTGGCGAACTCGAAGAAGCCGAAAAAGCTGGCTTGGCCGAAGCCAACGATTCCACCTTCTCTATACACGCCAGGTCCCTGCTACATTTCATCGAGAAAGTTACAGTATTCCGCCATGTAACCAAATTTGAAGACACTGAGACGGGTCTTTCCTCTGGTTGGAAGCTTTCGTCTCTTTACGACAAGTATGTTGAATATGCTGATATAGTTGCCGCACATGGCCAGCTCCACATTGCTCAGAAGTACCTGGCCCTTCTGCCTGCTCAGTACGCCGCCGCCGACATGGCTCGTCAGCGTGTGCAGCTAGCCACGCGGAAACCAGCATCTCAGCTTTCTGCTGCGAGGCAGCCAACACAACAACGACCCGCGGTATCCTCGCATTTGCCATCTCGGACGCCCGGCCCAGCGGCTTACCAAGCACCCCAACCCGCGACGAGCATCAGCCCAGCAAATCCTTATGCGCCATCTACGGTCCAGGTTCCTGCGCCAAACCCCTACGCCCCTCCCATTGCCAGCAATCCTTATGCTCCGCAGGGATACCAACCACCACAGCCACAACCCGTCCAAGCGCCTCCTAACTACGGCCCGCCGCCATCCACGTTTGGGGTTCCTCCAAGGGCATCTACTTCATCGAAACCTCCTCCCAGGGCCGTCGATGGAGGGAATTGGAACGATGTTCCTATGGTCACCAAACCCCCCCCACGAAGAAACACGCCCAGCGCGGTCCCCATCACGACTCCGTTCCCGGGCCAGGCGAATCAGCCAGTGCCACCACCGCAGCAGAGCCCGTATGGCCTCCCTCGCGGGACTGCAACGCCACCGCCTCCCCCCAAAGGTGCAACACCTGGAAGGATAGTTTCCCCTCTGGGTGCCCCCCCGCAGGCCGGCCAACTGCCACCTCCTCCCCGAGCCGGATCTTCGGTGGCACAACAAGCATACGCGCCGCCTCCGTCCACACAGGTTGGGGGCGGTCCTGGCTTACCGCCGCCTCCTATAGGTCACGTCGTCCCTAGGACTAGCTCGCCCTACAATCCGCCGCCAGCGGCGGCCCCGCCTCATAATCGATACACCCCAGTACCGGTCCCTCAGACGATCAACAATCCTCCTCCACAGCCAGGAATTATACCGCCTCCGAATGCCAATCGAGCTCCTCCGCCAAACCCTTACGCTCCACAGGCAGCGCTGTCCCATAATCAGTATGCGCCATCCCCCTATGGCGCTCCACCGGTACAGCAGGGACCGTCCTCCACGGGGCCTCCGTCGTCGAGCGGTGGCGGTCCATCTCGCGCAACCCCTTCGCCCGCCCCTCCCCCCCCACGAGCTGCGGCACTAGCGAAGCCCAAACACCCCGTAGGCGATCGCTCCCACATTCCGCCCAATGCTCAGCAGCTCTTCAATATCCTTAGCCATGACATGCAACGCATTGCGAGCAAGGCTCCCGCCTCGTTCGCTCCCCAAGTCAAGGATACACAGAAACGACTTAGCCTCTTATTTGATCATCTCAACAATGAGGAATTAGTTCAGCCAGATACGATTGAAGAATTGACTAAGCTAGCTCTAGCTCTAGAGTCCAAAAACTACCCGGAGGCACACCGCCTTCAGGTCGAGATTCAGCGTGACAAGACAGAGGAATGCGGCAATTGGATGGTAAGTTAAATACACCTAGACGATCAAGAGTACATATTAACGCACAATAGGTCGGTGTCAAACGCCTAGTTTCGATGAGCAAGGTTACAAACTAGATGCAGATGTAGCAGTGTTTCAATGCTTGTTATTTGTAGTCGCCGGATACAGAGTAGAGAGGCTGGGTATGGGAAAACGATCAAATAGCAAAGCACGATGACGAGTGTCGTGTAGAGCGGTGTGCGATATAGATACGTCAGCCACCGAAATCGAAAATATCTGAGTAATATCTTGAACATATCTTTTCCATAAGCACTTTACCGTCATACCGGTAGCCCATTTGCTCATTGTTCATTTTTTCCATTCGATTACAGGGGCTAGATGATGACGAGAATATGATAGGCCATAAAGGATCCCACTAGGCAACAGCCCCGTCTTCAAGCCACTGGCAACCAACTTGAAACCAGATGTGAGCTAGATATCGTGGAGATACGCGGACTTTATGCACAGAAAGGGGTTAAACCAAGTGAAGTGGCATCTCGACCTATAACAACCGCTGATCACGGATATAAGAGCACACGAGGAGCATGACTAAGTTGCTTAGACAATATGCTTAATGTTCGTACGTAAATCGAAGTGTTATTACGACCTCACAGACTGGGCCGATAGATGGGATATATAAAAGAGCATGACGATCCGTGTACCAGGAGACCTGGAGGTGAGACCTCAGGCTAGAGAAGCAGGCGACCCGATTCGCCATATCGATACACGTCGTATAACTAAAGGAAAGTGGAAGGTCCTGAGAAGCCCCTTTTAGTTATTACACGATGGAGGCGCCCGCTCCTAAACCTTACATCCTACCACCCGACGCAGTCTGGTTTAGTAAGTGCCGACGAACACGGGCCTTCGTCAATATGCCCCTTTTTTTTCGTACTCGGATGCTGACTGGCTTCAAATCAAGTCACCGGCTGCTCATCGGGCATCGGTGAGGCCCTCGCCCAGCACGTTGCCACCAAGACACCCTCGAACCGCGTGGTGGCCACGGCGCGCAACCCGGCCGCGCTGTCGTCGATCCCCGACGGCCCCCGCGTGCTGAAGTTGGCTCTCGACGTGACGTCGGAGGCGGCCATCGGCGCGGCCTTCGACGCGGCGCTCGCGCGGTTCGGCCGCGTCGACGTCGTCATCAACAATGCCGGGTACGCGGTCATGGGGGACGCGGAGGCGTCGGGGCCGGGGGACCCGGAAGGGCGGGAGCTGCTGGACACGAACTTCTGGGGCGCGGTGGACGTGACGAAGCGGGCGCTGGGCGTGATGCGGGACGCGAACGCGCGGGGCGGGCGCGGGCGCGGCGGCGTGATCATCAACGTGAGCTCGATGGGGGGGTTCTTCGGCAGCCCGGGCAGCGCGTTCTACCACGCGAGCAAGTTCGCGCTCGAGGGCTTCGCCGAGGCGGTGGCCAAGGAGCTCGACCCGGCGTGGAACATCCACGTGTGCAACGCGGAGCCGGGCGGGGTGCGGACGCGGTACGCGGCGTCGGCGCGGCGGCTCGAGCCGCGGCACCCGGCCTACGCGGCGGACGCGGCCCTGGGCACGAACCGCATGCTCGCCTTCCTCGGCGACCCCAGCCGGCACGACGTCTTCGCCGCCGCGCCCGAGGTCGCCGCCGCCATCTACCAGGTCGCCGCCGCCGGCCGCCGCATCCCCATCCGCGTGCCCCTCGGCCTCGACGCCTGGGGCGCCGTCGCCGCCGAGCTCGACAGGGTCCGCGCCGACCTCGACGAGTTCAAGGAGCTCAGCTGCGGCATGGGCCGCCAGACCGCCGACGACGTGGCTAAGCTCATCGGGTAAAGACCGGGCGGGCGGGAGGAGGACAGGTAGTCGCGGCAGACCTCCAGCGCTACGGGTTTGTGTCGAAAACCTTTCGACAGTGAGGAGGTTGGAAGTTGAAGTTGGGGGTATTGGCGGCTACTTTTTTTTGCTTCACGCGTCTTGGTACCCTCCTTCATCATGGACGAGTCGATCAACTGAGTGCCTAGTACGGTTTCAATTCTTTCGATTTTAGAGAAGAATGCAAGCAGGTTGTAATACTTTATTTCGCCTTCGTGGGTTTGATTTAGCTAATATCTGAAAATTCGCGTATTTTTTGGTATCACGTTCCCCCGAGTAACTGAGAAATCCCCGGCGTACTGTTAGCTTAACAACCTGCCCTCCAACTTCTTTCTTCTCAACATCTCGTGCCCTGAAATGCTTTGCGAGGGGCAAGACGGGGTAGGGCGAATACTGTTATTGAACCATCTAAGGAGGTTTCATGTTGTAGTGGCTCTCGACAACTACGTTTAGGGGCCATACAAGATAGGGCCCGGATGATATTGTGGAAGCTTAGTCGACCTAGCATATTCGATTGGCAGTTACGCAGGTAAAGACGCAAAAATTGCAAGTCATGCCCCGCCCACCAAACTCGTGTAGTATTATAACAGTCTTGATGGCTGAGGGTCGACGTGGCGTCTCCTTATGGGAACTAGCCCGGGAGCGACCGACCCTGCGGATGTTGTCGATCAGGGTCAGATGGTGGTAATTCCTTATTTACTACTGTCATCGTCCTCATCGGAGGAGCTCATGAACTCGTCATCCTCATCAAAGCCAGCGAAGGCTCTCGTGGATGGTTTCTTCGAGGCGGCGTGCGTCGGAGGGGTAGTAGCTTTAGAGCTGCTCGAGTCTGCAGGTCCGTCATCTTCTTCGGTCGATGCACCACCCTCCGTATCGTCCCCTGAAGTCGAGGTCGACGAGTGAGAAGTGCCGAGCAGATTGTCCTTGTAGCTTCCTGCCTTGATCGCAGCCAGGACCGCCTCGCGCGTCCTCTCTCCTGCTTCTTCCTTATCCTCTACCCATTTCCCGTCTAATCGACCCTTGGTGCTATTCTTGATTTCGTGTTCCCTCTCGTCAGCCGCTTCAACGATTTGCTGCCATCGCTGCCGTCGCTTCTCCTTTTCCTTCTGTTCCATCTCCGGCTTGATGGCGAGGTACTCAGCCAACGCCTTGGCTTCGTTGACCGTTCTCAATCGACGTCCGTCGAGATTTCTGCTAGATCCGTTCTCGTCCCCTCGGTTATTCTTTTTCTTCGATGACATCCGACCGCCCGCTGCGCGGAGCTGGGAGCCGAAGCCACCCTTGCCACCGCATAGTGGCGCCGACAGCCGTAGGGATATGAATGCATCACCGACGTCGCAAAGGTCAGAGATGGGGTTTCTAGTGTTGAAGATTGACTGTTGGTTGGATAACGTGGTAAGAATCAGGCGCGTATTCGTCAGTGGGAGGCGACCATCGATATGGTGGCGCAACTCGGAGAAGGTCGTGCTGGAAGGAACGGCGAATGATAGTGTAGGAGGGAGGCCAAGGCCGGGGAAGGTGGTGACAAAAACATTGATATTAAGAGGCGCCATCTTGCGATGCTACCTGTATGTGTGTGTGTGTTGACACGAGCGAGTGTCCGAATTCTTGCGGTAGGGAATCGTGATGAAATGGACTTGTAGACGTCGTCGAGTGGTGTGGATGTGGGCGCGTTACGAGGTAGGTTGTAGACAAAGTTCGCAGGTGCAGTCGAAAGAAAATGTACCACGGGAAAAGTCGGTTATGTAATCAAATCCAGCCGCCTCAAACCGTGATCGGGTACCTGGGCAAAGTACCCCTCACATAGCCACACAGCCACACATACCTAAGCCCCACACCCCCCTTCTAACATCCCTACCTAGTGTCGCTTCCGTCCCTCTCCAGCGTGTGCGTCTCTAGGGTTTTTGCGCACAACCCAAAAAAATTCGCTAAGCCTTCAATTCATCGCAAGAGCATATCCTTTATTTAGCCAACAGCCTTCCGACCTCACCTCAACCTCGCCCTACGCACCCCTCAACTCGACGTCTTGCCGCTGCAATAAACCGCCAAGATGCTGATTCCGAAGGATGACCGCAAGAAGATCCACGAGGTTAGATTGAGCCGCTGGATGCGCTTCTGCCCCGAAATGCGAAGATGATGGAGCTGACATCTTTTCTGTTCGCGTGGTAGTACCTCTTCCGAGAGGGCGTCTTGGTCGCAAAGAAGGACTTCAACCTCCCCAAGCACCCCGATATCGACACCAAGAACCTCTTCGTCGTCAAGGCCTGCCAGTCCCTGAACTCCCGCGGCTACATCAAGACCCAATTCTCGTGGCAATATTACTACTATACTCTCACCCCCGAGGGCCTCGACTACCTCCGCGAATGGCTTCACCTCCCCGCCGAGATCGTCCCCGCTACACACATCAAGCAGCAACGATCGCACGCCCCACCCCGAGGTATGATGGGCGAAGGTGAGCGCGAGAGGCGACCGTTCGGCCGCGGTCGTGGCGGTGACCGTGGTGACCGCGGCGACCGTGGCGATCGTGAGGGCGGTTACCGGAGACGGGACGCCGGTGAGGGTAAAGAGGGTGGCGCTCCTGGCGAATTCAACCCTCAATTGTAAGCCACCCGTGATAAGACTATACTTCTACGGCGGCCATATACTTACCCTATGCAACAGCCGTGGTGGATTCGGTCGTGGTCGCGGCGCTCCTCCTTCGTAGAGAAGCGTCGAGTCGAAACAAAAACGAAATTCCTTTGGACGCACATGACGGCCGCCGAAATGGACATGTACTCTAGGGAATGGATCACCTGCATAAGTCGCGCCTCTACTCGCGTGATATAAACTCGTGGGGGGAATCTCGGATGCACGGGTGGGAGTTATTAGGAGGCTAATCCTCGGAAATCGTCTATGAATTAGGGACATGCTTTTGCCACGAAAATCGCTTGTTCTGTTCTCCCCCATGAATAAGCCCCTGGGTGGTGGTCGGTGAAACGAGTAACCAATGCGGGGGGACGGCGTCCAATCTAACTCATCGTCCCCTTGCCGCCGTGGTCCGACATAGTGAAGAGTTGCAGTCGGTCGATGCAAGGACCGGCAAAGCCTTAAGTCCTAGAAGAGGGAACAACTCCAGATGCTCAATCCCAGATCGCCTCAGGTGTAACCAGGTGGAGAGCTCATGTCGCAACGGATAGAGAGCGTAACGCGAAGCGTTGAAGGATGTGATGAGAATTAATACTAGATCGGGTACCCGGTGCGAACTTATTCCCGGGGCCCCCCTTATCTTACCGCGCCGTAAATTTCCCAGTGCCCCCAAACCAGTGGACGCTGTCTCGTATGGGTGTGAGTCGGACGAGGAGACAAACCGAACCAACCGAGGCTCCACATGCAGATTATGTCTCGAGAGTGCCCATAAGACGTCGGTATCCTTCGGAGGCGATGGAGTACGTCCTAAAACTCTCGCAGGACATGCTCTCTGACATGATCTTGCTTACGCCGGCATGTCGACCAGATGGAGCACCGGCCATGACAGCCGTCCGAATTATACCAATACCTAACTGGCGATACCCAACACACTTGACTCCGAGGGATCGACTCCGACCAAGCCGTAAAGCGAACCAGCTGGCAGCACAGTAATGCTCCCGGACACTTGGTGTTATGCGGTGCTACCCACCCAGTCTTACAACCAAAGTTCTCAGGCATTACTGGCCGCTTTCTTTATCGACGTATAACCCCGAGATAGTTAAAATACGCCAGCCACCACCATCCACAAATGGCCAATCAGCCTACGTGACTGTATCTGCCACAATATGTCTCGATCACGAGAGGCTGGAGGGTCCCCTGACGGGAAGGCTGACCAAGAAACCCAACGACAGGCGAATCCAGGCCTCTAATCCCTTTATTTTCTCCATGTTCTATTACAGACAGGCAAAGTCCACACCGCGGGTGTGCGTAGTAACGATATGAATTAGATACCATTATCACGGGAGGTACACCAGGGAAGACGGACAGGCAGACGGTCGTTTCAGCATGGGCTTACGTCGGTACAGACAAGGGGAGGAGAGGGGGAGGAGAGGTTCGCTGCGAAAGCCAAGCAAGATGACGTCCGGGTCCAGTGAAAACGCCCTAGCGCCGTCTTCTATCGAGCCCAGGTTGGAGACGGGCTACCCAGTTTACTCAGGAGGTTCAGCCGGACTTGTCGCTTCGGGTGGGGCCAGTGACGCTCAGAACTCTCAGCTCCGGCTCGATCGACTGCCCAGCAGCCGAACGAAGGCAAGTCGACGAGCACCCGATCCGTCCAAGTGAGGAATACCTGTGGGTCTGTATCTGGCGAGCCAACCGAATCGGCCAAGGTCGGCGGGCAGGCCTGCAAAGGAATTGCATCCGCTGCCTATTACCTAGTTCCCAGGCGCGGGGTGTAGCGGATGCAAGAGTCTGACTTGCCTGCCCCTCCTTTGGCCTGTAACCCCCCCAAGAAACGGTTTGTAGCAAACTGGTGAGAGGTCGCAGAGCAGCCCAACTAGTCCCCTGTACCTCACCCCAACCTCTTGCACACTCAACTGTTAGGAACCAATCCCATCAGCATGTGTAAATCGCCGGGGTCTTACTCCCTCCGCCTCCCGCACGAAGGTCTGGGTTCATAAGGAGAGCCGTTTCCCGAAATTTCCGTGTTCATTTTTTGCCCTCTTCCCCAAACTAGATCTGTCCACCTTGGTTCTTGACACAGCATCTAGGTCGAGTTGTCTCGTCAGTCTCGGTCAGCACGCGATCCCCTCCCTACATCGAAGTCTTCGCAAACAGCCACCGCTTTCGTATAAGTGCCTACTCTTTCATCGTTTGATTCGATCCCCGCGAAGACAAGATGGCTTCCCTCCCTGCCACTATGAAGGCTCTCCGGTAAGTGTCACATTCTTGTTCCGAACTCCCAGCGTGGGCTGTTCCTTGCTGGGAGCTGTTCCCATCTACCCATGTAGGTGCGTGTCGTTAGCTTTTGCTGATAGCTGTGTCTCGTCTGTAGATACGAGAAGCCAGAAGTTTGGAGCATCGTCACCGTCCCCCTGCCAAAGCTACGTCCCGGTGACGTCCTAATCAAGGTCAAGGCAAGTCAATTGCTCTCGGTTTCTCGTGGCATCGCCAGCGCATTAATACCCGGCGTCGATCCAGGCTTGCGGTGTTTGTGGTACCGATCTGCACATCCACGAGGGAGAATTTATAGCCGAATTCCCCCTCATCCCGGGCCACGAAACCATTGGCGAAGTTGTCGGTAAGGGTCTGGGTGCATTTGGGTACGTCGTGTAACTGAGCGATTAACGATTCTCGCTAGCCTTTTCCCCCGACGTCAAAGGCTTCAGCATCGGCGACCGCGTCGCTGCTGACAACTCGGAGCTCTGCGGGCACTGGTGAGTTATAAAAAAACAATACTCTGCCTTCCGGCTTAGCGATAGCGAGAGGATTGACCGGCATCCAACAAGCTTCTACTGCCGGAGAGGCCAGGAACTCCTCTGCGAGGACTTCAAGGCCCATGGTGTCCTAGGCCTCGACGGTGGCTTCGCAGAATACGTGCGTGGTCTCCATCATCTCTCTGCCTGCTTGCCGGCTACCTAACCATCGTGCTCTTGGTATTTAGGCCTCTTATACCCAAGGCCGTCTCTTCAAACTTCACAACATCAGCGATGTTGACGCAACCCTGATCGAGCCCGCCTCGTGTGCTATGCACGGTCTTGAGAAGATCGCCCCAAAGGCCGGTTCCCACGCTCTGTTGATCGGTGCTGGTCCGACCGGTCTAATGATGGCTCAATTCCTGTAAGAGAGGCGATTTGTCCGGTGTCGCCGTAGATGTTGTCGCTGATTAGGTTGGATAGGAAGCACAGCGGTGTCTCCCGATTAACTATCGCTGCCCCCGAGGGATCCAAGTTGGAGTTGGCCAAGAGCCTCGACGCGGCCGACTTCTATGTCCCCCTCTCCCGCTCGAACCCCGCTCCGCAATGGGAGCAGATCAAGAAGGATAACCCGTACGGCTTTGACATTGGTCAGTGAAGAGCACGGAAATAGAAATGGGTGCGTGACCGACCCTAACGCCAAATCTAGTTATCGAAGCCAGCGGCAGCGCCAAAGTCCTCGAGGATGCCATCAACTATGTCCGCCGAGGAGGAAAGCTTGTCTGCTATGGCGTCTACCCTAGCTCCGCGCGCGTTACCTGGCCGCCGTCTAAGATCTTCGGTGATGGTATGTTAGCCGGTGGAACCATCAATAACGGGCAAGGCTAACTGGCGTCAGAAATCACCATCATTGGTTCCTTCTCTGAAACTTACATGTTCCCATCCACGGTTGACTACTTGGACAGTGGCAAAGTTAAGACGGCGGGCATCGTAAACAAGACCTTCAGACTCGAGCAATGGGGCGAAGCCCTCGAGAGCATCCGGAATAAGTCGGCAATCAAGGCTGCCATCGTCTTCGACTAAATAGGGAGGGACAGGACACACAGCATACGCCTAGCTGTCAGGTGGCTGTCGAGAAGAAAGAAGAGGAAATGGTATATAGGTACCTGGTCGAAGACCTCGACCTACGCAGATGACTGGGCTGGTGCGACTGTAGTCAAAACAAGCCTACATAACATCATGAATGAAGGGGAAAACCCCCGATTCGCGTCTCCAAATCTTTGTTGGGCTCTCGGCTATTAGTCGACATCGAGACGGCAGGTCGTCGACGAGTGGCAACCAATGAGAGACTACAGCTGCCGCCGAATGAGGGTGCGGACCTCGAGCGGAGTAGGTTGATCTCACTGAAGAGGTAGGGAAGAAACGTCGTCGCGGAACGTCGCCAATATAAGCATCGTCGATCCCACGACCCGGACGGCCACTCCGTCTGCCAAGTTTAGTACCTACCTATATTGCTGCATCCCATTCACCCACCTCTCTCTCTCCTTCTCTCCCTCCGAAGTCCCTTTATAGCTACTACAGGCACACCATAGTGAGGGCCAACTTGGCCGCCGTTCGTGTACTTACCTACCTATCTAGGTATCTATCTGTGCAACCACCCTATTCGGAGATACCTACCACTCACCCACCCAGTCGCCTAGCCGTCCAGTCCCCCTAGCCAGATTGTCGTCAGCGCGCCGAAGCCCCGCTTCGTCGGCCTACGCCTCCTACTGGGGTCGACTTAAGGAGTTAGGCATTGATGGCTAGGCATTGAGCGGTTTCAGCGTCCGAGGAAGTCGGATCCGATACGAGACGGGGCTACTTGCTGGAAAGACTCACAATTGTCAGATATGGTTAAGTCTATTATCTATAGCTAACGATAGGTATCTATCTCACGTTTGGGTATGCGGATAGGACTGCTCGATCGAGGCGCCCACATCTATAGCCGATGCTTTCTCTGTACCGATATTCCCGGGTACTTTATCCGCAACAAGAGCACTTCTCTATGCCCGCTCTAAACCTGCCCACATTCTCCGAGGAAATAACATCTAGATCCATGCCGCGCCCTTCCAGAATTTCTCGTGCCAGGATGACGTTTGCGACTTCTCTCTATTTTTCTCCTTCGCCTCGTCACGAGAATCGTTCGCTTGGCCCTCTAAGCCCAGTGCTCGAAACACTTTATCTGCGCCCGCGAGCGGCACGTCGATTTCCCTGATCGCCTCGTCGCACCATCCGGCGGCTGCGCACCTCTTGCCGACAAACCTCACCTCTAGCCGTTGTCGCCCCCTTCCCGGGACGTTAGCGGCAGCGGCCGCGCGCCGGTCCGCGCTTCCGCTAAACGCGATGTCAACGGACTCGCGACGAATATCCAAACGTCCCTTGAGCAATGCAATGACGGCACCTTGCGCGGTCTGTATCTCAAGCTCGCACACCCCGAAGCTGAGCTCCACCGGGCTCGGGTTTTTGACGTTGACCGTGACCACGACGCCCCATCTGCTACTAATAGCATCGTCGGAAGTAACAGCGGCGCTCGACACGCTGACCTTGGGTCCATTCATGCCAGCGGTAGGAAGCTGCCTCTCGTAGCAGATGGGGCGGCGGCCAATACCAAGGGAGGGTACGGTAAGAAAGGCGCGACCGTCGCGGAGACCAAGCTCGGTTCCGGGCCGGGCGATGACGGTCCCGACAAAGTCGCGAAGGGCGGGGCGGTCCGTAATGCGGATGAGCTGATCGTTGATGACGAAATGGGCCCCCCCAGGGCGCGTGACGAGCTCGGGCAGAGTCATGGTACCAAAGCAGCGACCCGACGGTCCGCACAGGTCAACCTCCATGGCGGACAGCACGGCGGTGACTGGGCCGGTGTTGGACGCGTGAGCCTCGAAGGAGACGCGGAAAGAACTAGGGTGGGATTAGTGATGTTGTACTTAGCACATGCCAGGTGCTGAAACACGGAGGAGTTTGTATTGGGATAGGGGATGGGAGGCAGGTAAGGGAGGGATGGGGATGGCTGGCGCAGAAAGGGGATCGCGAAGAGGATGAGGGTCTAGAGCGAGTCGGAGAAGTACAACCTGCGAATGGAGAGCAAACGCAGAAGTGAGGTAGCTGTTAATCTCGAATCCAGTCAAACGTACTCTTCGGCCACATCGCCGATGCGTATCAATGTGATATCTAGCCTACTGTATTTGACGATAGCGTTGATGACTTGCCGAAGTGCGGCCTCCATACTCTGTCTTAGGGCCTCCGCTGTTAGAAGGACCGAGTCGTGCGAATGCTGTAGGGAGCGAGTTGCGAGGAACGGCGCGTATGCGAGTGGATGTGATGATGTATGCATCTCAACCTATTAGGCATGTAGTTTGTGTACGCTCTGTTAGAGAGAGAGGGGGGGAGGGGAGGGGAGGGAGGGCCGCGGAGGGGAGAGTGAACTGTCCGGTGCGTTGGTGGCCCCTCGAGTCGCGGACATATGTGACTGGGGGTACACGGGATCTGTTGTCCTGCCCCGGATGCGGGTGTGCGCTTGTCGGTGAGGCCCAGTCGAATGGCCGGTGGGCGATGTCGTGCACACACGCTGTTGTCTATGGCTCTGGAGATGTGCGGGCGTGACTTGGGCCATGCCCGTGCTACCGTCGTGGCCTCCCCCGAAGCCGCAACCACTTACCTCCGCCTGGCGTTTGCTGCCATGGTCGCGCGGGACTGGAAGCCGGAAGCCGTGCTCAGGGGCAACGAGGAGGGAGAGGTGTCACGAATTCGCCTGCCTTGCTTCCGGCCGGCAAGGAAAATACCCTCTCGTACCTGGTGACGGAGAAGCAGAACCTGTTTGCTGTCCGCCAGCATAGGTGGTACTGCCTAGGTACGTGGTAGTGCGTCGGCTTCGTTAGGAAGGGGGGCCGTTTGCCGTGGACGGAGTGTAGTAGGCGGCTACGACTGATTAGAGATGAACCAACAACATAGGTGCTTTTCTTCCTCTCGCTGTATGAGTAGGCGTTGTAACTGGAGGCGTATTTACCTGTCACTTGCCTACCTAATTCCGCACGAGGGAGGGACAACACAACGACCTGGCCACATGCCTTGACGCAAACGGCCCGGCTTCGACGCCGTACATCCAGCCCAGTCGGCGTCCATGGTTTACAGATGCAGCCGAGAGAGCCTTGCTATTGCTTAGAAACTGGTCTCATATCGTGGCGTCGGCGCCGCCTTAACACGGCTTACCCAGAGGAAGCTGCAGCGTCGGGGTGGGTTCATAGTCATACCTATCGCGTCTGCCTGGCAGGTGTGATTTTCCCACTCCCCTCCGAAGATGGGCAACAAACATAGGTACTTCGAGGATAGGTACTTCAGAGGAAGACCTACCTGTCCGACCAAGTTCGACTACCAGGTACCTAGGTAGTTGGGTTTTGCGTGCGCCCTAGGGAATGTCATCCATAAACCTAGGTACCAACGCCATTCCTCCCGTGGGTACAGCGGCAGGAAACCTCCCTTGTGAGATGGGTATAAGGGCACTTTTACTGTTGCGAGAGTGCTTCTAGAGTCGTATATAGGAGTCAATACACCTAAGTTGGAAGACGCTGGGTATTAGGTATCCTAATATACTTAGGTACCAAGGTACCTACCTATCGCTTTTACGGTTACTCGGAGCCTTTTAGCTGTGAATGCCGTGCCTTTGGTCGTCTTCAAGAAGCCGGCTATGATGAGCTGGCCGTTAGGTGCTTCGGGTACCTGCTCCTCGACGAGGAACACGAGCGTGCCATGATGGATCAGTTCGGCCGCCTCAATCTCGAGTTTAACGGGAATGCTGAGTATCCCGGAGCTGAGGACATGCGCTCGCGCTTTCTGGGGGGGGACGGCAGGCCCCCGCCCATCCGGGGCATCGTCAAGAAGTTCGGCCACGTTGACGGGGATTGGCGGACGAGGGGTGTGCGCAGGATTCTCCGAGATGTTATTCGATTGCAGCAGCTCGGCATCATCAACATCGATGTAGCGCACCGACAGCTCGTCGGCGGCAAGTTCTGCGACTTCAGCACAGCCATCACTATCCCGCATTTTGTCACGACTCCGGAGTTGAACCCGTGCCTTACGCCTAAGTGGATATCCGCCATGGAGTTCGAAACTCCCCAGTTTAGTATTAACGACTACTGGGAATTCGACGATATGGTGCGGCTCTGGAATGGGGGACATGCACGCATTCCCTGGCGGGCACTGCTGTCAAATCAAATACGACCTGAGAAGCACGCCATCTCGGAAGCGTGTCTATTCGCTCGTTGACCTAAGGCTGTACGACTGGAGGACGTCTGCCGCTAGTCCGGGGAATGGCGCGACGGGAGCACTGGACGGACGAAAATCAGGTCGAAGGACAAAGGGCAGCAGCCGCAAAAAGCCTAGAGGAGTGACTTCGAAGACCCGCCGACAGCTCGATGCTAAAGCCACCTAGGTGGTACTGTGATTGCGATAACGAGGTGGCGGCGAGGCTGAAAGGTAGGTAAAACAAGTTTCAGTGCCTCACTCGAGTGAGAGTTTAGGCACGGTCTTAAATTTCCGCGGAAGAAGGAATGATCTACCCAGTTCTAGAGCAATATAAATTCCTCTTCCCTGCGAGCCATAACACCGCCGCTCGAGGACACGAAGGAGCATGTCGACGAGGAGGCCTGCACGTCGTACTGCCGCCATCCGGGCCGTCGGCTCATAGTCGGCTACGGCGTCTGGCGCGAAAGGCCGGGTGGATTGAGAAGCATGGGCTTGGTGGTGCTACTACTTGGTGGGAGAGCAGCGCGGATAAAGAAGGCAACTGTCGTCCCTTTCTGATGTCACCAATGTGCCGAGCGGCTCTGCAGGCGCCGAGGCGCGAAAATGTGGCTCCGCACGACGCCTAGGTCAAGAGCGGAGATTTCTAGGGCTTTATGGGTTTCTATAGGTTACGTGTAGCTGCAGGGATAATAAGCCCTGCATCAGGCTCGTTTAACTTCGATAATAAACTAGAGCCACAGTTCATAAGGGAGCCTGTCGCGTAAAACGTAGCCGCCTACTTTTACGTTGTGCAGTATGGAGGCATATATGGCTAGTTCAACTGCTACGTGACAGAGCCTTAAATAGTTTTTATTAAAACTATCAAAAACCTCTTACCGTTTTTATGTAGTATTACCTTATTCGTTTTATATGAGTAATTAAAGATTACGATCTATATAGGTAGGTATGGGTCTCGCACTCATATTTTCACCGTCAATACTTCAACCTGTAGGTATGAGTATTCTACACTCTAGACTACCATAGGTTGAACACGCTCATTTCTTACTATGCCTTTCTGAAGCACGCATCTGTTCTTGTTGCTCCCAGCTATCATTTGCAGCTGGCCGACCAACAGCCTACAGCCATTTACAGCTGTGATACTGCCTGGTCGGCACTAGGCCAGTTGTTGGCTGTTGGGCTGTTCCTTATCGGTCCCCCTAACAGCGTGCCCACGCTGTTCTTCTTCAATGGCTCATAAGAATGCCCTGAATAGCTTTAATCAAAGCCGCTTAAGACCCCTACCGTTTCCCACGATTTCTTTCCTTTAGAACTTCCTCGTTTCATTTTACTCCGCGCTTGCTGATCGCTTCTCATCACTAGATAAAAGGGAATCCCAGGAGATTAAAATCGCTAGGGTCGGCATCGTTAAGGGGGTTGATGTTGAGCCAGTTGTTTGCGTGGGGGCCCGCGCCAGCTGCGAAAGCAGCAGCGTTGCCTGGGGAGGGAGTCCTGTATTCAGGAGGCGGGGGAGGGCTCACGGGCTCCTCGACGTTCGAGTACTGATGGCGACGTACCCAACCTCGCTCCTCATCGAGATAAACGACGTCCCAATCGTTGATCTTGACCATTTCTTCCTCCCCCACAATGGCACGGTGATGATGGGCCGACATTGCCAGCATACATAGCCACCACAAAGCAAGATCTGTTGTGAGCACATCGACGCCGTTCCTAGACCACGGAATCGGCATGGTGGCTACCTTCCACCGTTCAGCGTTCTTGCTAAAGCAGTACACCACCAGCTCTTCGTCCGTCTGAATGTACCCGTAGCGAGTTTGAGCAATCTTGCGGATATTCGCCAGCTGTCTCAGCGGCCAGAGGAGCTCCTTATTTGGATTGTCGAGCTGATTCGCAAGTTACCTGCCACTCCACTTTGAACTTGGTCTCCCGAAGCCAACCACTAGGTTCGGCCCGGGGAAATCGTCAAGCACGACGACGTGGTCCGCAATGAGTCTCCTAGGCCCATTAGGGACGCTGGCGAAGGCAGACTTACCAGCAGTCGAATACTTATAGCGAAGAATGATGCCTGAGTGCAGTCGAAGGTGCGACATTGCAAATTCGAGAGCCAGCTGCATCAACCCATCGTTCTAGCCAATCAGATGATTAAAATCTTCAGCCCTGTCGCAACGTGGTATTCTGGACGGCCATGTTCGCGACTCCAGACTTTGCAACGCAGGGGGGCCTTTGGAAAGCAAGTAACTTTGTACAGAGGGAAGCTTTTGCTGGTTTCTCGTTCTTTGCTCAATAGCGGACGGGGTAGGTTAGAGACTACAGCCGTAGAACATGAGCTCGCTCCCTGCTTTGGAGCAAGGCTGCAAACACAAGCGCCAGCAGTCTCGCGCATTGCTGCCCGTTTCTTATTCAAGCCGCAGGTCGGTGCGCCACGAATCATTGAGTGCAAGTCGGCAGGAAACCGATTTTGCACATAGCTGTACATTCTTGATAGAATTGATAAGTGGGCAGTTATCTTTGCTATCGAGGCCCTTTACAGCTGCTCTGCGTCTCGGTGATGTTCGTTTTCAACACTAAAATTTCGAAAATAGAACAGCTGCTTCTTTGAACCCTTTGCCTTCAGTCATTATCCGTCGCCTTGTTGCAACTGCATCATCACCACCGCAAAGGCATGACCTGCAGAACAAGCCCGTCAATCCGGGGAGTCCCCCGAATTACAGCGACGCTAATGCACATCCATAGAGTAAGTACATCGTATGTTAGTTCATCCAGCAACCTACTGAGTAGGGATGTTAGGTAGGTAGAAAAAGTTGCTACTACAGCATCCCTTAACCCTCTGTCGGTCTCCACAGGAGAGATATCCGGCTCCAAGCGCAAAGATGATGACAAGCAACGAGCTGTCCACGTCCTCACCTTCGGGAGACAACAGCTCGGAATGGCATACTACGTAAAGACCTGGATCTGGTAATCTTTGTGCCCTGTTGCGTGTCTTTGTGCTTGGATCGGAGACAGCATGCCATCAAATATTGTAGTTCCAGAACGTCGGTTCCAGGTAGGTAGTCTACGAGGTTTAGGAGGTACCGCCATCCGAGGTCAACAAACGAAGAGGGATGGGAGATGGTGGACAAGTTGTGGAAAGATGTGTGGCAATCTGAGGCAAAACCATTGAGCCCCGGATTTGCATCAAGCCACCTAATGAAATTAGGAATGGACGTCTTTTACCCCTTGCTGAAACCTCATAAGAACTTAGAAGGTACAAATATCGTGTGCATAAAAGACGCCATCGCCGAAGTACCAGGCTCCCTCCTCATAGGTACCTTAATCACACACCATCTCCATCCACAGGACCCCGTCTTTGGATACGGGGTATTAGGTGAGGAGCCACCCCAGGCGCTTGGCAGGTCCCAGCATCCACCTCTACCTACGTACCTATGTAACTACTTTTAGGTAGGTAGCTATGTGTACATGCCTGCCTACGCAGACTAGGTAGGCACTTACCTACCTACCTTCATATCCTATACAGGTATGGGGAGCTATAGCTCACGTACCTACCTACCTAGGTAGGTAGGTAGGAGGTATCTACCTCTAAGCTGGGTACAATGGACTCTACCGTCTAGAGGTTAGGTACCTCCCTAGACCCAAGACCATTCTATCAGAGGCAGGAGAAAGGGCACAGTTGGGGATTTAATCTGCCCGGCGTTGCACTTACGCAACTGTGCTCTAGTGCAATGACCCCAAATCCACCAAAGTAATTTAGGCAATTAAATCCCCGTCTCTTCCGCTCCCTACAACATCTCTAGGTAAGGTACCTAGGATACCACTCCCTATAACCTGCCTCTAAGAGGTACTATAGGAGGTTATATCTTAGGCTAGGTACACTTTAGCTTCCCCCTACCTGTGGATGTAGGTACGTATACACATATGTGCATACCTACAGATGTACGTTACCGGGATATCGTGGGGCGATTTCGGTACGGCAGCTAGGCAACCCGGTAAAGCACATACGAGGTCCAGGGTGTTGCATGCATGCATGTATGAGTATGTACCAAGTATGTACGTACAGACATCAACTATAAGGCCCTTCTGGGTGCTCTGGGTCAAGAGGCTCGGGATACGGCAAAAGACGTGATTGGCCTCGTGTTCCGGACCACGTAGGTACCCAAGGTACCGACCGCCTTAACCCAGGAGGTGCCTCCTTAGGTAGGGGGCAGGTTGGGTAGGAGGTAGGCAACGTATTATAGGTACTCGGTACATGCAAACGAAGCACCTAGCGAGGAACTTTCAACATCCATACTACGTCGTACTCACCTCCCGCTCAAACCCACCGACCTCTCAACCTCCTCTCAAGTCCACAATAATCATTCTGAAGAGAGAGAGTTCCGACTCGCCAGCTGCCCAATCCGAACCCCCTTACGATTACAGCCTCCAGAGCGACCTCCCTAGCACCCATCCCTCTATGCCTCTATTTATCGCCGACTCGTCGCCGGGTCTAGTTTTGGACACGAGCTGGCATTGGTAGATCTCGTCGAGACATCTCGAAGGAGGAGGGGGGGCGATCTTGGGCAGGGATTGCCAGCATCAGACGGCCCATGTCCTCTACGGCCGTGCTGCTTTCCTACTTTTTTGGTTTCCGGCTCCGGTTGCGCCTATCCACCTACCGGCCTACCAGCTACAGGCTGCCCCTTGGTAACGTTGGGTTGGGTGGTAAGGCCATGCCTGGCGACAGCTGCTGCGTAGACTGCGGAGGATAATTAATTAATTGCCCTTTCACGCCATCACGCTCTTTCCGAGTCTCCCTTGCCAATTTCTTGCCATTCCCAGCTTCCCCCGTTCTGGATGAGAGGCAAACATGGCTTACCGTCCCAGTCGACCGTCCTTCGACTACCATGACTTCGTCCTTCGTGATCTCCCGGTAGCCGACCTGTCGCGCCGTCCGAGACCCAATCGTCCGAGGGACCTCCTAGCCGACGTCGATTCGAGCTCTGATGACGATATCGGTACCCCGAAGCCCAAGCGACTTTCCCGTCACTCTCGTTCCATGAGCCACCCCTTCCCCTCTTTATTCTCCAAGAAGAAGAAGGATGAGAAACCCGTCAATCCAGCTAGGAATGGTACCTTTGACGACGACGACGACGACAGCCCTACACCGAAGACGCACCACCACAACCTTCACCAGAACATGGCGTCGAGGAAACTTCCTCGAGGGCCGATAGATTACGCAACGGGGAACTGCATGACATGTGGTAGCTTGGTTAGGTGGCCCAAGGAACTGCAGTTCTTCAGGTGTACTATTTGCTTGACGATAAACGATCTCCGGCCGTACGATCCTGCTGCTGGCCACGGCGGCCTCCAGCCCGTCATGAGCAACGTCATACAACCGAGCGAAGGCGAGTTCGGTCCTCCGCGGCGACCTTCGCAACCCTCGCAGCCTCGTATGTCCTGTCACGTCCCATGCGGGATGAGCCGTGCTTACCATTGCAGCAAATTCGATATCCCTCGAGTACACGAGACACCTCGTAAAGCAGTGTCTCCGCTCGTCCTTGCAATCTTGGATGTCGCCCCAGCCATGCCGAGAGCCCCCCGAATCCTGGCGTAGCCGGTCCTCGTCTCGCCCGTTGAATGAGTATCTGACACCGCCTGGGCCTTCCGGTCAACAAGATACTGCCGCATCCTCGAGTGCAAGCCCGTCTGGCTACGCCTACAATTCGGTATTCGACGACTTTGCCGATGCCAGCCCCGGTCCCGAACCCCCAACCGATGGTACCCCTATGATGCGATCGTACTCGACATCCTACCCCGATGCTAGGAGTTACACGTTTCCTACCTCCGGCCCGGCCACCGGACCCAGCACCCATTCGGATGCCGTGGCGTCGGATCTAGAGCCCAGGGGGGTCTTCAAAAAGCTAGAAGACTATCTTATTTCGTGTTTCAGTTCTCATGCGTGTGTGAATCACTCATTCGTCACTAGACACGTGAGCGCTAGCTCCAGACCACCGCCCGAAGCTGCCAAAAAGCGGGTTGCAGAAGTTAGAAGGGAGCCGGTTCGTGACGGCCCGCCCATAGCAGAGCTCGACGCCAAGTTGTTGCTGTTGGGCAACTTCGCCGAGAATGGCGCGTGGTGGATAAGAGGCCAAGAGGAAGTTCAGCCCCTGAGAGCTCCCCCCCGACGGAAGGATGATCTGCCTTCCATTGTAACCCCTAAATCTCCCCGAATCGATTGGGGCGCGGCCATGGAATGGTATCATATAGTGATCAATACAGCCGACCCGTGGCAGGGGATATACGATGACGTGTTACGACTCGACTCATTCCAGAAGCTATCGGACGCAAGGCTGCAGCAGTTCAAGGCACTCGTTGTTGCTGGCCAAGAACATATACGGAGAGTCCTGCTGAGGTGCACGGAAATGGTCTTGAGGCGTCCGGGCAGATTGATGGCAGAGCCTCAGGACGTCCGCTTCTTGCTCCTGTTATTAGGCAACCCCCTCCTCCCGTCCGAGGCCAAGTCGTACACAGACCAGCGTCAATATATGGGCAAAGGAAAGGGTGCAGCCTCGGAGCCCGACCCAGAGTTGCAGGCCAGATCCTCGCCCGGGCGACACTCGGGGATCATGAAGCGAATTCTGGGCCTATTGGCGAACTCGTCCGAACAATGCCACCATCACTTAATCACATGGTTCTCTAGGCTCCCCGAGCATCTCTTCCTCCAAATAAAGGATTTAATCGGCGGGTTCGTTACGTACCGGTTGACTCGTCAAAACGAGAAGAAGCTGGAGACTCAAGTGGACGTAACGGCAGGTTTGATCCCACAGATGCCCAACGCTCGCTCTGGCAACACACCGGCGACACTGCATGCGGCTCTAGAAGCCTCGAGGCCATCCAAGAAGCAAAGGCCACCCATCGATCCGAAGCGCGCTGCATATACCGACGATTGGCAAATAAAGGCCGGGGCCAGAGTCATGGCTCTCATATTCTCTGCTAATAATATGACATATGTTCGGCGGACCAATAGAGCCGATGGGCGCCTCCATAGCCACTTATTGTCAACGAGTGACTTCTACAACTCCCTCGTCGACAGTTTAGATTTCAAGGCCGATTATGAGCTGTGGGAGTCGAAGCGGGGCAGGTTCACCTTCTGCCAATACCCATTCTTCCTAAGCATCTGGGCGAAAATACAGATACTAGAATTTGATGCTAAACGGCAGATGGCCGGAAAGGCCAGAGAAGCCTTCTTCGACAGTATCTTGACCCACAAGAACTACACACAATATCTTGTCCTGAGTGTCCGGCGAGACTGCCTAGTAGAGGATAGCCTCAAGAAGGTAAGCGAGGTTGTCGGTAGCGGTAGCGAAGATATCAAGAAGGGTCTGCGTATTGAATTTCAAGGAGAGGAAGGCGTCGACGGCGGGGGACTTCGAAAGGAATGGTTTCTACTTCTCGTGCGGGAGATTTTTAATCCGGACCATGGTAAGTGCTTCGTCGCTGCATCTCGCCGAGGCCGCGTTCCTAACAATCTCAGGGCTCTTCGTCTACGACGAAGACTCTCACTTCTGTTACTTCAACTCGAATACCTTCGAGACTTCGGACCAATTCTTCCTGGTCGGTGTGCTTCTCGGTTTGGCTATATACAATTCAACAATACTGGACGTGGCCCTTCCGCCATTTGCCTTCCGAAAGTTGCTCGCATCCGCCCCGCCCCCGACCGCCGGTACCCCTGCTCACTCTCGTCCGACGATGAACTACACGTTGGACGACTTAGCAGAGTTCCGTCCGACGCTCGCTAGGGGGCTCCGCCAGTTATTGGAATTCGAGGGGGACGTCCAATCGACCTTTTGCCTCGACTTCGTGATCGAGGTTGACAGGTACGGCACGAGGGCCCGAGTACCTCTCTGTCCCGGAGGTGAAACCAAAATGGTTACCAACACGAATCGGCGAGAATACGTCGATCTCTACGTTAGGTACCTACTTGACACGTCGGTGAGCAGACAGTTTGAGCCTTTCAAGCGAGGCTTCTTCACCGTTTGTGCCGGAAATGCCTTGACCCTCTTCAGACCAGAGGAGATCGAACTTCTCGTCCGCGGATCGGACGAGCCGTTAGATATCACCTCTCTACGTGCCGTTGCTGCTTACACAGGCTGGCCAAAATACGTGGACCCCGAGAAGGAACCGACGATACAATGGTTCTGGGACACGTTTGAAAGAGCCTCGCCGTCGGACCAACGGCGACTATTATCTTTTATCACCGGCAGCGACCGCATACCCGCTATGGGTGCTGCATCTCTCGTCATCAAAGTGAATTTCTTGGGGGAGGAAGAAGGGAGGTTCCCTTCGGCAAGAACTTGTTTTAACACCTTGTCCTTGTACCGCTACACCTCGCGGGCGAGACTGGAGGAACGTCTTTGGCGCGCGGTCAACGAAAGTGAGGGATTTGGACTCAAGTGACAGCAGGTGATAAGCTCACGAAAAGCATTGTATTGGCGTTATTGGACCTTGTTGGACCGGTGGTCGAATGGTGATGGGCCAACGTACGCGGAAAGCGTCGCGCACATCGTGGTTCGCCATAATGTAAGTCAGATGGTAGTTTTTTTTCCCTAGTGGGAGAGGGAACTTGTCAATTGTGTCGTAACGGCACGGACTATACCCTAACTACATACTATGTCTGCATCACCTTGATTCCGGCAGTCATATTTCATGCTACGCGAAGCTGGTAACTGCGCGTATAGGCTGTTAGTGGGGCTTTGATATTAGCCATTGCCCTTCCTGAAAAGGACCGATCGTGTTCTGTTATAATTAGGGACTAGAGGGGGCGGTATCTATCCGCTCGTAACAGCACCTTGCCGCATCCCGTTATAGAAAAACGTCTTTGGCATAGTATCAAGACGAGTTAGGAGCGGGTTTTTGCAACTCTCATCTCTCTCGATGGGAACATATAAACATATAAATTATATATAAACGTCGCAGTCTTGGCATACCACGGCACGCAGTTGGCTACGGATATACCACGTAATACGAATGCGCGAGGCCGCGGGTATTCCGATTCGCGGGTGCATCAGTGGTTTGTGTGACCATGCGTGGATTTTTTGGGTTTTGGTTCAACGTCCGCTGGAGTCAATCGACTGACTTGTCCTGCTCAGCGTTAGGAGACGGCGAAAAGAATCCACACAGCTTCGTAGATAGAACTTCGCGCCGCGGCATCTGGTCTCGAGAAGGTCCGGTTCTGGGAAGGTGATTTGAGGAGAGCTCTTATGGCGGAAGATTGGTACGCGGCGGAGGATAGCCTACCGAGGTAGGTAGGTCGACCAGAAAGGGCCATTTGAAGGAGGACGACGGATCGTGGGATTCACCCAGCGCGATGGCAAAGTCGGAGCCAGGAACGGAGCTGTGCCTCTGCGCGTAGGGGCGTGCAATGGAGGTACGTCCCGTGTCGTTTTCCAGCTTCAACCTGTCTTCGCCGGAAACACGTACCTACCTACCTACGGGAGACGTAGGCAGGTAGGTAGGTAGGTATAGTGCGGCCCCCGGGTGTAAGTGATTTAGCATAGTAGTAACCTGTCAGTATATCGCGCCGGTCACGTCTCAAACCACCATCTGTTTCCCCTTTATGGCCTTTGATCCGGAAGGGGAGCTAAAATCGGACTTGTTCAGCACCTAGGTATATATAGGTAGGTAGGTAGGTAGGTAGATGGAAGTCGAATAAACTAGTATAGGTAATACCAGAAGCCAGGCTCTCGAGGACACTCAAGCTATTTAAATCCGAACAATGAAAATAAACTGGACAACGAGAGACTAGTAGGTAGCTTTATGCTACTATCTACCTACCTAGGAGGTAGGGAGGTAGGTAGGTACCCAGCTGGTAGGTATACCATAGCACGCTTTTGAATTCGGCTCGGCGCCTGGGGCAGTGATTACATACCTAATGCCGCTATGGCGACCTACAGCATTGCTAGATTCAGCGGGGTTGAAATGAATTTATAGCCAACATCAGCTTCTGCGCCTGGCGGGTGGCGGCGATCGGGGCCGTATCCCGTACAGATGTCCACCGCCAGGAATTGGCGCCAGTCTAGAGAGCACAGCACCCGGCCCAAGGCGACTATCATCTTCCTACCGGAACCTAGGCGACTCCATCGCAATGCGGGATGCGGGTGGCCGGCACGAGGGACATTCTACTATCACCTGCTCGGACTAGGGGAGGGGGGGATTTGACAGGAAACGATGCTCCGGCCAGGATCAAGCTGGCGCCTGCTGTTCGGGCCTATTCCTCAGCCTTATGTGGCGGCGATTTGAAATAGGTAATTGCGCTTTGGGGTTGCTCAGCGGGTGATGCCGAGAGGATTTCATATCGGCTTGCTTACCCCCTTTTCGAGGGGACCTGATTGCGTTTGCTTCCACCAGCACGTTCGGTCCCTGCTCGACCGCATTGGCTGGGATAGGTGGGCGGGCCAGCCAGACGGACCCCCTCTGCGGCGTCGGCTTGCAGGCCGAAGGTGTGCCCTGACTCACCACCAAGTAGGTAGCACGGGAAGGGCGGGCGGTGGCGACGGGGAAAACAGATCGATAGCCCGCGGATTGACAGCGGTATTATGAAGAGACCGGTGGTGCGACTGGATGCGATGTTACTGCTATAGGAATGGAACGGAGTAGGGGTCGGCCTCCAACTCCGATACCCTGCTGTCCGTAGATGACGCACCGAAACGATGAGGGGTCCCTGAAGGCGACCCTAGGTGGGTATAAGCTGATGGTCTTCCTTCATTTGCACGAGGCCTTGTGTAAGCCGAGCTGCGCATCGTCATGTCGTGCGCGTAATAGGTCAATAGGCATTACCTGATTACAAACATGGGAGGGGGGGAACGGGGAGCAGTAGCAGCAATATTATATCCTGGGCCGTCTCGTGGTGGTGGCTCGCTCATGGCGATGGCAAATTTTCGTCTGACTCGAGACGAGTCCCCCTCCCCCCGGAGATGGGGAACATTGGGATCTTATTCTAATATTTGCGGGTAAGCCAATCGAGCCAAGATTGCAACAGCCGAGCTCGATCGGACGGAATCGTGAATTGTAGGCCGGGCCACGACCGAGAACCCGTTGGACGTTCGTGTTATTTTCGTTGGAGCACACAGTATTCGAAGCTTGTCTCGGCCATACGGAGGTGGGCTGGCTCGCGGGTATACATGGCCGGCTCTAATCTAAAACTCCCCAGAGCTGGTGAAAGCTCAACTCGCGTTCGTGGATTAAGACGAGATCCTCCCTGGTATGAGTTGAGTTATTTTCTCTAATGAGAGATATTCCTCTAATGATGGGGGTGTAGGACTGACCGATGGCGACAAAGAACGGAGGGCCATGGGTGATAAAGTATTACCAGTTGAGGGATGCTTGGATGCGCACACTGTCTTAGGACGCGTGGGAGGCGACCGGAGAGTTACGAGGGTGGTACCGTCTGCGCCAACGGGGTCGTTTGCCCGCCCAAGTACTCGCTACAGAGGATGTACAGGGCCATACAGATCGCAGATCTCACGTCTCGCCTGTGTCTGCCTGTATCTGCCTTGTATTGCGCATTTGCCGTACCTAGGGTTAGGGCGTAGTCGGGCCTTAACCTCCACAGTTAGGCTGCGTGCCTCCTCCTTAGCCTGATAGGCAATAACCTCGTCGGCTTCAGGTTAGGTTCCTATCTAGAAGGTTAGACGGTTTAGCAATGCACGGGAGACGGCCGGGGACAAACTCTTGCAGCAACGTTTTCAAGTTAGGTACATAGCGTAATGTGGCCATGGCGTATGTAACACCGGTTTATATAGGTTAGGTAGTAGGTATCTCGTGTCGTAGCAGAGAATTTGTCCATCTAAAATGTCTTGCCATGGCTTGAGCTTCTCGTTTGATCTGAGCTGGAGTCGGCCCATCCTTTTCTCGCCCTTGTCCTCGTCCCGCAATGTGAGTCGAGACATGGCACTGACCAGATCGTATTCCCGGGGATGAAAAACATCTGATCGGGCGTGATAGGCGTAGTCGGTGGTGTTAGCGGTGGATGGCGGGGTTGAGAGCGCCCGCGTCGGCGTCTTCCAACATGAGAGAGCTGAGAGCATGGCGGGGTGCTGCGGGTGCGGATGTATCTGGCAAGTACAGCTCAGCAGGGGAGTACAGTAGGAATTCCCCGACGCGATAAGTATCCATGTACCCGTTACCCCTCGATGCATGTGCGAGAAGAACACAGCAACGCGCGTAGGAAGCGGCCAATTGCCTAGGGAAGATCTCAACACCCCCACCTGCCTTGCCCGCTAGTAGGCCCGTTCTTCGCCCTCTTTCTCTGGTACCTATGTCTCAACCTTTTTTTTCTTCTAATATTTATGTCGCTCATATGCCATCATCAAACAGCCAACCCCTCCCCCACCCCTCCTACTACTCAACAACTTTCACTACTTAACCTCACTCGTCTGTCTTCTCTCTCGATTATACCCTCGAGAGACTCTTCTTGTCCCCTTGACCTAACGTCGATATTTGTCGTTCCTTGATAAGAAATATCTTCATAATACAGGTGAGAGCTCCAGACTCCCCCTCCCCCTCTCCCCTTCTGCCCCTCCCGGCAGCTCCCTGTATCATTACCCCGCTATCCATTCCTTCCTTACACGGTATCAATGACAACACCGGGAAATCCCCAACGTACCTGCCGTGCCCCTTTAGATGGCTTTGCTTTGCCTAGCACCCGAGTGGCGCTTTCCCCGGCACCGAGGCAGTATCTCGGGCGTTGCTGTGGTTGAGACTGTTTGCACGTCCACAAATACTTGCCTGAACCGTTTTTACCAATCACGGCGTCTGCCTTATTGTGCTTGTTTCACCGCCTTAAAAAAAATCACATTCCCTCGACACCCTCTCAAAATCCCCGATCTTCATCCCCGTGCCGAGTCAACCCTCCACCTTCTCCAGCAAAACGTCCCCTTCCCGCAACCTCTGCTGCTTCCTCGCTCACCACTCGCCTCGCAACTAACTTAACTTGATACTCCAGACCTAGGTCAAGATGGCTATCAAGGTCGGAATCAACGGATTTGGCCGTATTGGCCGTATCGTCTTCCGCAATGCTGTCGAGCACAACGATATCGAGATCGTTGCTGTCAACGATCCCTTTATCGAGACCCACTACGCCGAGTACATGCTCAAGTACGATTCCACTCACGGCCAATTCAAGGGAACCGTTTCCTTCGATTCCGACGGCCTGATCGTCAACGGCAAGAAGGTCAAGTTCTACCAGGAGCGGGACCCCGCCAACATCCCTTGGCGCGACACCGGCGCCGAGTACATCGTCGAGTCCACTGGCGTTTTCACCACCACCGAGAAGGCCTCGGCCCACCTGAAGGGTGGTGCTAAGAAGGTTGTTATCTCGGCCCCGTCGGCCGATGCTCCGATGTATGTTATGGGCGTAAACGAGGAGACGTACGACGGCAAGGCCAACGTCATCTCCAACGCTTCTTGCACTACCAACTGCCTGGCTCCCCTCGCCAAGGTCATCAACGACAAGTTCACCATCGTCGAGGGTCTCATGACCACCGTACATTCGTACACTGCTACGCAGAAGACCGTCGACGGTCCCTCCAACAAGGATTGGCGAGGTGGCCGTACTGCCGCCCAGAACATCATCCCCAGCAGCACCGGTGCCGCTAAGGCTGTCGGCAAGGTCATTCCGGCCCTCAACGGCAAGCTGACTGGCATGTCCATGCGTGTCCCCACTGCCAACGTCTCCGTGGTCGACTTGACCTGCCGCATCGAGAAGGGTGCTACCTACGACGAGATCAAGGCCACCATCAAGGAGGCTGCGGAGGGTCCCCTCAAGGGTAGGTTCTACTGTTGTTATTAAAATTCCGCACTGCGTACTGACGTCTGTCGTAGGCATCTTGGGCTACACTGAGGACGCCGTCGTCTCCAGTGACCTGAACGGCGATACCCGCTCGTCCATCTTCGATGCCAAGGCCGGTATCTCGCTCAACAACAACTTCGTCAAGCTCGTCAGCTGGTACGACAACGAGTGGGGCTACAGCCGACGTGTCCTGGATCTCCTGGCCTATATTGCCAAGGTTGATGCCGGCAAATAAATTTGTTGTTCCTGGCTTTGCATAATGGTCTTGAGGGCTCTCGCTGCGGAGTCGAACGTGTTTGTGCGCCAGGGCGGGCACTCACTACAAGATTAATGGCCTTTGACGGGTCCTCTCTACGGGAACACAGTTGTACTCTGATTTGATCGATACTCGATAAGAGTAGGATCCAGAGATAATGAAATAAAGAAGAAGAAAAAACCATACTCATCGAAGCTACTGCTGCCCAAGTCGTGAAATTATGCCATGGCCTGTCACGATTGGGACATGATTCTCTACGTGGTATATCGTCACCAACCCGGTATTTGTGATGCCTATAAAACAACCTTGTTAGGCGACGAAAGGGACTAGTCGTGATTGGTTTAGATCTGGCGTATCCAGGCTCGATCCTACCGTAGGCGTAGGGTTTCGTGGTTGAATGTCGGTTTCGAGCCATGTCTAAGTATGGTTTATGCTATTACGGTTCTGTACTATTTCGTATTTGCTATTGTCTACTTTGAAGCGATAAGGCCTACTAAAGCCGACTTCGTTCTACCTGAGGCTGACCACTGAAGACGGGGTTATCGGAGCGGAGGAGGAGGATGGAGAAGAAAAAAAAAAGAACGTTAAAATTTTGGTATTGAGATCCGCGTACGCCGGTATACCTTTCCCACAATACTTCCCACTTATACCTCGTCAGTTACCCATTCCGCCAGTACAAGAAGCTGCAGCGGCGGTCGCAGACATAAACTAGTGCGGGGGGTTGCTATCTATCTATCCAGCCTGGACCATCTTTGCCATTTTTGGTGGGGGAGGGGGTTTGGTGCGGTCGACATATATTCCCATCTAAACGCCGGTGCGCTGCCATTTGGACCCCCCCTTCCGAAAGGGGGGTTGGTTCCGAGAAAACGAGCCCATGCTCGCGTGCAGGGTTACAATCGCATCTCTCTATACGCGCCAGGGCGCGCGCTCAGCTGATCTCCATCGCGTCCCCACCGGCGGCGGCGGGAGCGGCGGTGGCAGTGGCGAGCCCGTTGGGGGAGACGGTGAAGTCGACGGCGCCGTCGTTGCCGATGAGGCGCTTCTCGAATTGGTTGACGAAGGCGACGGAGCGGGCGGGGTCGTAGAAGAGCTTGAAGGAGCGGCGGACGTCGTCGACGGAGACCTGGCGGGCGCGGCGCTTGGCGCTGGCGAGGTGGGAGGTGGTGATGAGGTTGCTGGCGTAGCGCAGGCCGGCCTCCTGGCCGATCTTGGTGAGCAGGGCGAGCGCGTCGGCGGACGCGTCCACCTCCTCCTCCTGGGCGCGGATGGCGAGGATCTGGCGGATCTCGTCGGCCGAGTACGGCGCGGTCTGGATGATGACGACGCGGTCGAGGAAGTCGAGAGGCAGCCCGTGCGGGCTGCGGTAGTCGGTGCCCCGGATGCGCGAGTGGCCCCGGTTGCTCGCCATGATGACGACGGGCGCGAGGTCGACCTCGAGCGCGCGGTTGACGTACGAGAAGCACTCGATGTCGAGCATGTGCACCTCGTCGATGAAGAGCACGCCCGGCACGATCTCGGCCTTGCCCTCCTCCTTCCACTCGCCCACCTTGGTGTCGATCTGGTCGCGGATCTCGCTGCGGATCTCGCCCGTGTCGCCGCTGAAGAGGGCGAGGAAGCCCTGCGTGCGCGAGTTGATCACGTCGATCTCGTGCAGGGTGACGGTGTGGACGACCTCCTTGCGCTTCTGCAGCTCGCCGTCCGGGCACTGCAGGAACTTGGTGTCGACGCCCATCGCGTCGTAGTCGCGGCTGCGGGCGTAGCTGCGGCCGAGCTTGGTGATCCTGCCGCTGCCCTTGTCGATGGAGATGATGTCGCCGGCCATCACGCGCTCCTTGGTCATGGCCTCGATCATCTTAGTGCCCATATCGTACACGGCCTCCATGTCGGTAGTCTTGATGGTGAGCTTGCCCTGCTTCGCGCCGCCCGTCACGCTGCGGTCGATCTGGATCTCAACCACCTCGCCCTCCATGATCTCGGATTCCTCCTTGATGCGCACGCCGATCGACTTTCGGAACGCCTGCGTCAGGGCTTCGGTCTTGGACATGTCGAGGGAGAAGATCTCGGACGAGGCGAGCGTCGTGAAGGGTACGTCGGGGCCGAGCGACTGCGCCATGCCCATCGCTATGGCTGTCTTGCCGGTGCTGCCGTTTGCCGAGATGCGTCAGCGGTGTCCGTTCCATCCCTCCCGTTCGTAGCTCGCTGTCCGCCTCGCCTAGCCTCTCCAGGTATATGCGTAGTAGCGCAGGACATGGGCTGGCCGATCATGAGACTTACCTTGGTGGCCCGGCAATCAACACCGCTCTCCCGGCAATCTTGCCGACCTTGATCATCTCTAATATGACCGCCGCCGCCTTCCGCGCCTTCTCCTGGCCGACGAGCCCTTGCGACGCTGCGCGAGGCTCTAACGTGTCCGGATCTACGCCGAGGCCGCGGATGTGCGAATGCGCCGCGATCAGGTTCAGGCCGCGCAGCTCCTTGGTCTCGCCGACGGTGACGACGGGCTACATTCCAACCAACCCCCCCCCCGCGTCCGTTAGCTCTAGCTCTCGAGATTCTCCCATTGCTATCTGGGATCGACAGTCCGGTGGCAGATGGCTGGGCGTTGCACTTACAGCAGCCATTGTGAGAGGGGTCGGTCGAATTCCCTGGGGGAAACGTTGTATAGCTCTGAATTCTCTCTACCGACGTCTCTATCGCACGGAATTGGGGGGGAGGAGGGGTGTTTGACTGGCTGGCTGGGCTGGCTGGATGGTTGGATCCCGGGACAGATTTGGAGCTTGGAGAGGTCAAACAAATGGCAGCTCTACAAATTTGGATGGTGGGAACGCGCTCGGCCTCTGGGCGAGAACTCGGAGAGTACCAACGCCGTGCAACGGGTCCGTGCCTTATCTCAGCAAGTCGTTGCTACGTAAGAGTTAGGATGGACCAATCGGAACTGCCGTCTGCCTCGAGAGGGTGGGCCGTCCAAACGGAGTGTGGCGTCAGTGGAGTCGGTGGCGTCAATGGGGCCTGTGGCTCAGTTTACCTAGCAACTGCCGTTGGCCCTTGAAGCATGCTGTGACCTCTTCTGCGTGTTGTGGTTGTTGTGACCCCTTTCTGTGTTGCTGTGACGCTACCTATATGAGGACTGGGTAGTGCTTGCGACTCACTGCTTGCAGAGGTCTGGCCAATTGGCTCTGATCCCGGTCGTTTCCAGACTGGCTTAGGTAGCATTTTATGCCGGGTGAGTTGTCATACATCACATGGTATGCACTAATGCAACGGTCTGGTGATGTCGAGCCTACCTTGTCTCTCTCTCTCTCTCTCTATGCGTATATATAGTGGTGTGTTGGCAGCGAGTGGTATCTCGAGTCTTTCTTAAGCTACCCCCTTGCCTGTCTACCTAGAGGTAGGTTAGGCATCGAGTGAATTCGTCGAAATTATTGGCTGAGCGATTTGAACTTCTGCCTAGGTGGTATTCAACTCCTTTAACGAGCATGGGGTTTGAGGAAAAAAAATTAATTTGCAGTGTGACGTTTATCTTGGCTAGCCTGTCACGTTTCGTGGCGTAAATTATGTAGCATTAGAGGCACTTAACATACTACTGCCACTATCTAGCGGTAAGTACCTTTTTACCTTCTAGTATAAATAAAGAATGTTTATATAAACTCTGTCTCCTTACTGCTTTACGTTGGTTGATTTAATTTTCTACTTTTCGTAATGACACTATGAACTGTTAGCATATAGCATTACAGTGGTAAGTTCGTGTGTATATATGTGGTTTACTTCTCCATCTTCTTCTTTACCCCCTTACCCACTTTCTCCTTAACCAAAGGCCTAGGAAATAAATAAATATCTCCACAGCTTGGTAAGAACACTGTGGGGGATACTAGCACACACCTTTTGATGATTGACACTAACCTACCTAAGGTATTTACTTTGTCTCGAGACCGGCAAAGCACCACAGGCAGTTAACTATATGCACAGAGATGCGGGAGTAGTTACACGACTGACTGATATCCTCCTCTCTTGGGACTGTTCATATATTCTTCAAAGAAACCTGGAGAGAACATACTGGCCGGCTGACAACCCAGTCTGTGGTCCATCTGGTTAGGTGGCTCGTGTGCTGTGCACATACCCGGCACTAAAGATCTTGAGAACCGGTCAAAGCTAGTCAAGAAAACCTGTGATAAATCCCAGCACTAGCTACGAAAATCTTATATATCCTGGTCCTCATCCCGCCTCTCGTTTGGTCTTATGCACCTACATACCCCATTTTATATCTGTTTGCCTCCTTTTCCCCTCTTGCTAAGCCGAGTCGACTAGAACCTCCTAATGATAAAATAGTCGCCGCTTAATCCGAACGTCGTTGTACATATATAAAGACGAGATTTCGAGTCGTCAAATACAAGACCTACTACACCATTGCCTTCCAATTAGCCCTTTACTTATCCGCAGCATATACATAAACAGACATACATGCTGTCAGGAAGCTATTAGCACCCAAATTTACAAGACAAGGTTCTGCGCACATTACACATACTCTTTAACCTGCATTCCTCCTACTCACCTTTACCTTTTATCGAGGATTGAGTCTTCGAAAGTCTCTCGTGGAAAGACAAGAGAAAGAGAGAGGAGGAGAAGAAGGAAGAGAAGGAAAGAAAGAAAGCCAAAAAAATCCAAACAAAAAAGACTACACCTTCAATCCCTACGCACCCTTACTTTACGCGGCCCGAAGGCGAGGAAGAAGAACAGGGAACGACTAAACAAACCCTTGCCAAGCTCAGCTAAACGCGGTCTGGAGCGAGACGCGTGTTTGCGGTTAAAGAGTCCGCATCCGCGAAGGCAGCTGGGCTGACGTTCCGCAGGATCCTTCGCAGGGGTCCCGCTACTGTGGTGGTTCAGGCCTGCCTCCGTATGCGAAAGCAGCCGGCGGGATAAGCGGAATCGGAAGTTCGTGAGCTCTAACCAGGGCGATGTAATTGCCACACGTAAGCGGTTTTGCGAGGAAGTTGCAAGATTGAGCTCGACGCCCCGGCGAGGAGGGGGAAGAAATCCGGACCGGAAGGGCAGGCCCGTCTCGCCTAGTGGGCATAAAAATCCCCCACTGTAGAAATTGCACGCGGCCACACTACCATGTCTTTCCCATACGGATACCGATCGAGCGCCTATGAAGACGAGCGACGTCGCGCGTCCTACCATGGCCAGTCGTACCGACCCAACGAAGACTGGGACAAGGCACGCGACACCGATCCGGCTCGACAAGAGTCGCGGGATCTCAGAGACGCGAGGGGGGACCGAGACAACCGGGCGGCGACCACCAGCCCGCGGCCGGCTAGGAGAGAGACCGACTCCCTCCATCGACTGCAGACAGGTACGAGAACGCCCGCCGACGGGTCGAAGCGATCTGCGTCGTTAAACAACTCGCCCACCAGCGCCCTCAGCACCCCCACCAGCGCTCGCCCGGTCTTCGCCGAAGCTGGTACGTTGCGTCGTCCTCTGACGGGCCGTTCGCGTCTGGATTCTGACCTGATTGACAGCTTCTGAGAGGACGACGAAGTCGAGCACGGTAACCCCGATTTCCTCCATCATGCCGAGCGCCCCGAGAGCCAGCAACCCTGAAGTACAAGAAATCCTGGAAGCTTTGCATAAGTGGTCTGAGGCGTCGGGGGAGCTCGCCACCTTAAGGCTGCAGCGGGACAAGGTAGTAAGGGAGGGGTCCTGTAGGCAAGAGGAGCTTAGCAGAGCGAAAAACAAGGTGGACGATTTCGCTCCCTTTTCCGAATTCCAACAAAGATTCGACGATCGCGACAAGGCCGACTGCGAGGCCATCGATAAGAAAATTCAAGAATCCAGCCGACGATACCAAGAGAACCTCGATCGTGCGATATCCCGCCTATTTTCGCAGGTGACGACGCAATCGCAAGCAGCCGCCGCGTCTAAAAATGAATCGATATCCGCCCTCGAGGCCAAGTATGCCAGCCTACAAAAACAAACTTCCGAGCAGCAAGAGCAGATATCTCAGGCTCAGGCTCAGATCCAGAGCGTGCTAGATGAGCGTGACAAATGGAGCAATGCGTTCCATGCTCTCAGCAACGAATTCGAAGTGTTGAAGAAAGATCACGGCGCTCTCGAGTCTCAGAACAGAGAGCTCCAGCAGCAATGTACCGCTCTCAAGTTGGCAAAGCAGATGGCGCCCGGAATGGAGGAGTTAAAGACCCAGGCCGAAGGTCAAGCTGCCGATACCAAGGGAGTGCGGGATGACATGGCCCGATTATCAAGGGATGTTCAATCCTTCGCGGCCCAGGCTCACGATATCGAGGATAAGGTGTCTAAGTTCATGGCCAAGGTTGAGGACCTCGACATGGAGACGTACAACGAGATTCTCGAGGCGTGGATCGACCACGACTTCAAGAACAAGATCCTGATAAATGAGAAGGGCGTAGTCGCCCTACGCCAAGATCTAAAATCTCTGCGTGATGCGGCTGAGACCTGGGCTAACCAGAGTGACGCGCGCTTCCGAGACATACAACGAAGTCTCGAGGCAGGTCCGAACCCGGGACCCATCGGAATAACTTCGGGCGGTTTAAAGCCGGAAGAGAATCAGCAAATGCGAACTTATGTCGAAGAGAAGCTCGAAGGACTCAAAATCGCTATGCAGACAACAGTCACCGAATCAGGCGACGTGTGCGCTGAAATGGTCGACGAACTAGGCGCCCGTGTGGACAAGCTCGCAGCGGCTATTGATGAGGTGGGGCGGTTGAAGGCTGCTTCAGACAATACCGACATCGTGGCGCAAATCAGCTCTTCGGAGCGCATCACCACGCAGTTGACCGAAGACCTGCGTGGTCTGGAAAACCGGTTTGCGTCGCTCGAGAGTCGGAAGTTGGGCACGAGAATTGATGGTATCGATCGTGGCCTTGCCAACCTCGCGGCGCAGATACGAAATACTCAGCAGAGCAGCGGCGGCAACGGAATCACCCCTGCTCTCGATGCTGCGATTCAAGGTATCAAGTTCGACCTGGACGACACCAGAAACAGGCTCGAGGCCCTGGAGTTGTCTGTGCGAACATTGGATAGTCAATGGTCGAATCTTAACTCGAAGCAAATGGCCGACAGGATGTTCCAGTATTTGGAACCGTACGGCCAGCGGAACGAGGTACGGGTTACTAGCGTCGAGAAGGAAGTCTCACGACTGAAAGATTTGGAACCGTACGCCCAGCGGAACGAGGCACGGGTTACTAGCGTCGAGAAGGAAGTCTCGCGACTGAAAGACAAAGTCGAACACATCGAGCAGGGCCTCCAGATTTACCTAAAAGACCCTAACGGACTGGCCGAGTTCATCAAAAACCTCCAGTCCGACGGGAAAAAACGTAGTTCCCCGGCGCCGCTTCCCGGGGACGACCAGACAAAGAAGCGGAAGATCGATGCGACCGTATAGGCCCACCGACTCGCGCAACAATTAGCCGCGGTCCTAGGCCTGGCTGAGTTGATAATCACCCAACCTGGCGAGCCTATGGTTGCCGCAAACGGCAGCTTCTTTAAATAAAGGAAACAGAACCTCTCACGGGGTGTTGCGGTGGTGGGTTTATGCGGGCTGGACGTACTGAGATCCGGTTTTAATACAAGCCGTGTAGGATACGTCCGTCGATAAGGGAAGGCCATTCCTATCGCACCGTTTCCTCTCAAGGGGCTTGCGGATTAGATTCGGACAAAAGGAATGGCCTGTAGGCCAGGAGAGGCGGGAAGACGTGAGGAAGGGCCCTAGAGCTCCAAAAAGGAGTCAAAGTCCGGGACTGAGATGAGCGACGGGGTGAACCCTCGACAGTCCCCGCGAGCTCTTCCGCCACTGTAGATACACGCGGGATGGCTAATGAATAAACGCTTCGTAAACGAGGGTGGACTAGAAATGCTTCTGTTTCGGGAGGCTTTTAATTGCCTTCCTTCCCCAGCAGTTGAGGTATCCTAAACTGGTGGATGTGTAATGCCTGCCTGCTGACGAGTTGCAACCCTGCGCCTGGTTTGTACATAAATGCCCGAGTCTATTTGCGTGCCCCCTTAAGTCAAGTCTATGTGCTTTTCACTTCTCTTAGGTCCCACCCAAGATTTCCCCACGCGCCGTCGCTATCCGACTGAACGAGAGTCCCCGCCATCCACACGCGGTGCCGGGATACGGGGGACGCCTCTCTACACGCGCCTGCCGCTCCTGGCGACCCAGCCACAATCCGCCGGCGGCGTATGCGCCGCCCATCCGCTGTCCCACGGCGCGGAGCATGCTCTCTTCTAACCTGCCCTGCGGCAGGGCAACTTTGGCGCGGCCTACAGCAGCTTGAGGTGGCCGGTGACCTGGTCGACGGCGGTGCGCGGGGCGGGGCCGACGCCGAGGACGGTGAGGGTGCCGGGGTCGATCTGGGTGCGGCCGGCGTCGCGGACGACGGCGGCGGGGAGGCCGAGCGCGCGCGCGCGCGCGCGCAGCGCCAGCAGCTCCGCCTCCGACCGCACCTGCACCGCGATCTTGGCCTGGCCCAGCCGCTCCCACCGCGCCAGCAGCCGCGCCGCCTCGTCCGACCCGCGCCCCGCCGCGTCGCTGACCTGCTTGTAGCACGCCAGCGTCGCGTGCGAGCACTGCGCGGCTATCTTGCCTAAACGGGAGGAAGGGTTAGCCAAGAGAAGGGGAAAAAAGGGGAGGGGGAGGGGGGACGCGAACCTTTCGTCATGCCCAGGTCCGTCCGCACTACGAGTACCAACTTGCACTCCTCGGTCGGGCTCGCGCCGGCGGCTGCGAGGTTCAGGTGCTTGCCGTCGTCGTCGTCTGTGTCGTCGTCGTCGGGTGTAGCAGGGGTAGGGGTAGGGGTCGGAGGCGCGGCAGCGGGGGCAGGAGCGGCAGCGGGGGCAGGAGCGGGAGCAGGAGCAGGAGCGGGGGCGCTGGTCTGGGTCTCCTTCTTGGGCTTCTTCTTTTTCTTGGGCGCCTTGGGCGGGCGCGCGCGGAGGCCGTCGCGGAGGTCGGCGTCGACGCCGTTGGCCCAGTTGGGGGCGTGGTCGAGGGGCGTGTCGTCGACGTCGACGTCGGACTCGTCGCTCTCGACCGGGTCCTCGAGGTGGCCGCGGCGCTCCGACTCGAGCGCCGGCGAGACCAGCAGGTACCCCCGGATCGAGTAGATGCCCAGCATGAACCCCGACAGGAAGGCCACGATGCTGGTGGACAGCAGCACGGTGGTCGGCGTCAAGCCGCCGATTCTGTCCGCCATGGTCGTTGCTCTCTTGAAGTCAAATTCTATATGTTATTTTGGGGATCGGGAGGGAGAGGGTTCGAGGGGATTGGTCGTCGGATAGGTAGGCAGGTCGGAGCGTTTTCACCGTCTCATATGGGATGCGCTCGGGGTGTGTTGGGTTGGGTTCGGTCGGCGGTGTGGGTTGGGTCTGGGGGTGGACGGGTACATGGGTCTCGGTACTTTAGCGGGTGAAGTTGAAGCTGAAGTCGGCCGAGATGGAACGGTTGGGGAAATTGAGGCTGACAAGGCTGGGTGGGCTGCGAGGCTCTGCATGCACACCGGATGGCTGCTGGATGGGGGTTCCCATGCCGCGGATCAGGTAGGCAAGGCAAGACAGGTCGGGGATCAGCGAGGCGCGGGAAAAGGGGGAGAAAAAAAAGAAAAAGAAAAAGATCTGACGAAAAAGGATGCAATGGCTAGGTCGCAGCACCCCACGTCAGCCTTGTGATCGATGCGTGGCCGCCTTGCCTCCTCTTCGTCCCCTGGCGAGGACCCGGTAGCTGGCAGAGCTCGGGCCCTGGCGTCAGGTAGCTGCCCGTTGCCTGCCTGCCTTGCCGATGGCTGCTCGGTTGATGGGTACCTACCGATATATACATACCTGGGTAGGTACCTCCTAGATAGATTAGGTACCTGCCTACTTGCCCGGGTACCTTTCTACAGGCGGGTAGGGTGGAAGGAGGTAGGTACCTGTCTAGGGGGGGTTAGGTACCTACCTGTAGGTAAGGTATATCCCTTGGGCACCGGCACGCACAGAATACCGATATAGGTAAATGTACTATTAATATATATAGGTACCTACCTATATATCCGCACCCGGAAGCGCGTTGGGCTTTGGTGAAACATGAAACAAAATATCGTCATGCATTTGCTGAGTTACCCGTCTGCGTCTAGTCCTGGTAAGGTAGGTACCTAGGTAGGTACCTGGTCTTTGAACCCTTCCGATCCTCTTCGCCTTAATAGCCATCTCGACCCGGACTCGGATCAGGTGAGGAAGGGAGACGCTCCTCGCCGAGGGGAGCTGGCCGCCGGTCTAGCACGTAGCATCGGCGATGCAGAGCGCAGCTGAATAAATAAAGATAGGAGGTAGCACGCCCGATCCTGCCAGACATGTATGCCATAGCGTGTGTGGGTAGGCTCTGTAGATAGGGTAGCAGTTGGGCAACGGCAACGTCAAGGCGTGAAGCTGGATAGGGTCGCCCGCCACCGTAGCCACGTAGAAGTGCTCTCGCTGGAGGTTACCCAAGCACCAGAGTGACGCGATCCCGTCCTGGTTGATGGGTAGGCGGATGGGACGTGCGCATGTACGTAGCATGTGCCTCTGCAGAGGAGGACGCATCTCAATGTCACCTGCGAGAGCGATGCTGGGATGCTAATAAGACAATTCAACGAGGTTCTCCATCCCGGAAGGCTCCCAACCGCATGCAGGTTCGAAGTTGGCCATTGGCGAGAAGTTCGGCACCCAGCGGATGCCTCAGGTACCCACGCCCGGGTACGTGGGTACTTGCTGCCTCAGTAAACCCCGACCTCCTCTCGTCTCTATCGGCGCAACATATCCTTCCCTGCTAGTCGCAGCAGCAGTGGGGAGGTAGGTGTAAAGCGCCTAGCTATTTCAGTTCCTAACGTAGTATGTAGGTGCAGCTAGATGGGTAGGTAAGCATGGCAATATACCTAGGCGATTGAGGAGAAGCGAGGATGATGATGAGGAGGGGGGGGGGGGTTCCATCTTTGCCCGCTCACCCTGTCCAGCCCTGGCGGTCCCGTCTTTGCTCATCCAAACTGCGAGCTACTTGGCGCCATACCTGCTTCGTAGCATCGCTCACCTATCACAGATGGACGTTGGACTGGGATTGTCTTGCTGCCACCTCCTAAGCGCACATTTACACGTGTACCTGTATAGATACCTCCCCTAGGTACCTAGATCTATCTGTTTCTCCTAGTTTCCTCCCGCGAGGGGGGCTCGATTGCCTATGATATGTACCTAAGGCGCTTGTTTCTTTCGGTACAGGTAGGTACAGGTAGGTAGGCGCCCACCCAAGTATAGAACATCCCCCTTTTGCTTGCCGGAGGTACGTTAGGTACCAGGTAGGTAGGTACCTCTTAGTACACACAAGATGTGCAGCACGTACTGGGTACACAAACATCTGTGGGCGGTACATCTTACGCGGCTCGGACCAGGTACTGCTCAGGCGAGATCGAGTAGATCGAGTACATCTCCGCTCAGGTACGCTTGTATGTCTCCACCCGGACCCTACGCATCGGCGTACACACATACATCCGCACCTGACGCACACCACACACACGCCTCACCTGTGCCCGTCGCACTGCCCGTCGCACTGCCCGTCTCGCTGTCCATCTCACTACCATCCCTCTATCACTTACACACACTGGGCACCTAAACCCTCTCTCTCCCTCGCTCTCTTCCGCCTATGTGCATAGGCCCATCGCCCATTACCACACGCATGCCATGCCATACACGGCTTTCCCATCCCTCTCTCGATCTCACCTTGCCTCGCATTCGACCGCATCCAGTTCACCTCACTTCCAGCCGTCGCCTACATTACACCCTCGAGCAGCGCGCCTGGTACTTCAACCCTCCTCCCATGCTGTCCACCCCTACGACTGCAACCTCTTCCTTGCCTACATACCTGGTACCGTCGGTTGGTTCTCGCCCACTTCGCCAACTCTTCCCGCTGCCGATCATCACGCATCTGCAACAACAAATCATTGGCACGCACACGCTATCTCTCACCTTCCCGTCTCTCACTCTTTTTTTTTTCTTCTCGCCTGCCCGCATCCCGCTCTCTCTGCTTCTCGGCGCCTTGTCTTCTTTTCGTCCGCACTACCATGCACCTTAATACTCACTACTAGACGTCTCGTACCTTTCCTTTTTGTCTCTCCCCTTGCACCGTCATCCCAGCCATTCGCCGACGCGACCAGGTGATTCGATGAGCGATGCGCCGCGCCGAATGTCACGAGGATCTATTGGAGGCTGGATAAGACAGTAGTAGGTGTCTACGCGACAACAAGAACTCGAGTGTCTATCATACGGCATTTTGCGGTGCGGGCCTGGCCATCGGCAGCATCGTCCTCTCTTCACCACCTGGTCCCTCGCTCAACCTTTGAGGTCAGTCCACATGGTAACCCTACTGTCCTTGCTTTTTCCACGGTACAATCACATCTCGTCTCCAATTCCCCCAATGTCTGCCTGGGTGCGTTGATTCGCCGTGTCCTGAAGAGTTACATACATAAGCAAATATCCGCCCGGATCGTCGTATCACGATGCTGCATCAGACATTACGCAACGACTAGCAGAGTATATCGGTGTGCTGAACTCTTTTCTGATACCAGGCCTTTTTCTAAAATTTCCGCCCTGCCACAACAACCCGAACCCGTTACTTTCGGTCTTGTACCGACCTGTCCACCCATTCGTCTCCCATATACCACTATACCGCCTGCGTGACCACCACCACCACCCCCCCCAAGCCACCGCTGCACCTGCGATCTCTTTCATGAACCCGTTCCCCAGCTTCGCATGCAACAATCCGAGGTTGCATGAACAAAGTAGACCATGGAGGAAGCAACCAAGACGATTAAGAAACTAGCCAAGAACGTATTACCCCCGAAAGCCCACTACCTGTCCCTCGACACTACGCGATACCGGCCGCACTCCGATGAGAGGAGGCTAGAGGAACAAGACATCAGACCCCTCCAGTACACCACATTTCTCAGCGACGCGGACCGTGGGATCCTCCTTACCCGCGCCGCCTTCGACGTGCGAGAGGACGCCGGCAGAGCCAGCAATGCAACCAACACCCTGACGCCGCGCAAACTCGATCCCAACAAGCCGAAGACGAAGCTGTCCTTGAAAGACTACAAAAACAGGAAAAGGTCTCCTGACGCCGAAGCGGCCCCTAAACCAGTCGCGCAGCCCGGCAAACCGAATCCGCCGCCTAAGAAGCTACCGGAACCGATGAAGAAAGACATGGAAGACCGCCGTGATGTCCGGAAAGACAGAGCTGAGGCGAGGACAGACGCAAAGCCGAACGCGAAATTAGACGCGAAACCAGACGCGAAGCCGGACACGAAGCCGGACACGAAGCCGGACGCGAAGCCGGACGCAAAAGGCGATGCGCGTCGTCTGCCTAGTCCTTCTCTCGAGAAGAGAAAACGAATTGCCGACTCCGATCGGGATCTTAAGCCGGTGAAACGACCCAAGGTGGAGAATGCGACAGCCATCTCCACGAGTTCACGTCCCCCGAAAGAAAACTCGGCGCAGAAGCAGGAGCGTCTGCCACCCACCGAGAAAAAGCAGTCGAAAGATTCGAGACCTGCAACCAACATCCCTAACGGAAAACCGCCCCTCAACAGTACGGGTAGCAAGGGCGTCCCACCCAAGCCCGATACTCAAGTAAACGGCTCCCAGAAGCATAATGCGAGCAAGGACAAGGTACAGAGGCGGGCGGAGAGCACTCCGAACTCAAAGTCGGGTGCTCCGGTCCCGCCCTTGCTATCTCCGATTAATATGTCGGCTCTGATAGATCCCGAGTCCAAAGCGTCGCGCCCCAGTCCCAAAAAGAAGCTGATCGATCCGAATAGCTTAAAGGCACCACTTAAAAGGAGCCGCGACGATCGCGAACCTTCGCCCGCCCCGAAGAAGCGGAAGATCCCGCCTCTCCTCTCCCCGACCCTGCCTGCCATTGTACTTGAAGAGCTAGCGAGGTCGAACAAGTTGACGCCATTGAAGGATTCCAGTCAAAGGAGCAGTCAAGTTTCCGAGTCCCCCAAGAGCCAGAAGAAGGCGCCGAAATCGTCAAAGCGCGAGGACACGATCCACGTCGATAGCAACAAAGGACAACGAGAATCGTTCATGGTCACCCTGAAGTATAAGAAGCGGAACGCGAAGACCGTGGAGCGACTCTTAGCCTTGCCCCCAGGTGGAAGGAAGAAGAACGATCTACTCAAGAGAGACGACCGCGCGGCTCGCGACCGCTCCATCAGCTTGGAACCCGGTACCGCTCGCAAGCGTCCCATCCCCGCCGTCGATATTAGCGAGGCATCTAAACGCCCAAAGACTTCAGAGAGCCTGCGCCCTTCGACCCCGCCTAGGCAGTCGTCGGCCATGACGAGGGTCGCGTCCAATAGCTCCCAAGCCGGTACGCCGGGAGCCGTCAACGGCCTCACGCCTGCCGCGCAAGCTCCCGAACGGCGCCGCCCACCGGTCGACTTGGAGAAGCTCCAGAAACTTCAATCCAGGGCCGCAGACTTTATTCAGCTTGCCACTAAGCTCAAGCACGAGCGGGATGGGGTCCTGAAGCTGCCTGCTGAAGGCATTTCGGACCGCGATCGGCAAGTTGCCATCGCTGCGGGTGTACAGTGCCTCGTTTCCTTCCTTCTCGGCTTCAAGCTGCAGAGCGACGCTTCCGATCTCGAGCGCAGGCCCCATTCTACTCGCGCGTTTCGAGAGCTGCTGGCCTTATTCCGAGTGACCAGAGCCGATTGCGCTCGACATAACCCGCTAACCGCGCTTATCTTGCGCCTTCAGGGCGTCTGTCTCGTCCATATCGGCCGTATCATGTGGTCGTATCCCAACGACCCCGAGGTCGCAAAGGATATTCTTGCAAACAGCAAAGAGCAGCAAGAAACCTGGCGACTGGCCGACAATGCGCGCAGAGTTATGGGCGTATATGATGGAAGCCCTAAATCGGACGACGGAGGTACGATCGGCAAGCTCATTGATCGACTTGGTCCATGGACAATGCCCGAAGAAACCGCACCGGTCACGCTCGAGGTCCTCCGAAAGCTCATGCAGGGCCACAGCTCGTGGAAGCCCGCCGAAGCCTTGAGCAAAGCGTGTCACTCGGTAACTAATGGAGTTGTTCGCTCAGCGCACCCATAAACTCAGAGGGATCCGTGCCATCCAAGAAGCGTCTCCCACTTCTCACAATGGTTTCAACCTATATTCTAATGTATATTACGGACCACGATTTCGACGACATGATACCAGAGCACATGCTTCTCTTCCCCGGCATCTGTTATCATCCCAACCCCCCTACACCATCACTTTCCGAATTCAGGCGATCTAGACGAGAGAAGAGGGTCGAGAGAGGCGAAACAGGACGGCATACATGCATTCATTCAACGGCGTCTCGCTAGGGCGGACGGATCACATCACGGCTCCGGAACATGTATTTTTTTCGCGGTTTCCAGTACTATTTTTTGTTCATTAAGTAATGAATCCGAGAGAGGTCGAATCAGAGAAAGTCTGAGGGGAAAGGACGGGCCGGATGAAGATGGACTGGCTGTGTACGTGGAAAGGTGGTAAGATAGAGAGATAGAGGCGCGACTAAGGACCGGGGGCTAGACGGATCGATGGCGGGAAAGGGAGGATGAGATGGCGATCGACGACAATACCCCGTCCTTCTTTTCCCCCCTCGGCCACCCCCAGGTCGTCGTCGTCGTTGATTTTATCGGTGGCGATGGTGGTGCCCCACGTGTATTTCCTGCCTCCCTCGACAGCGTCTCTCTGCTTTGATGATATCCCGCCGGCGCGGCCGAGCAAAATGGTACTTGATTGACTAATTAACCGCCCTGCAAATAACGCACATTGTACTCGTCTCCCGCGTCTCGTTCTAAGCAGCCGCCGGCGAGCTTTCGGCAAGATCTCGATGGAATGCCCGTATGCGCTCCGTTACGTACTGCCATGCCCCCTGTGTCACTCTGCCCTGCAGCGTTGGATCACTGTTTGTGGTTCTGGCACCTTCTGAGCTTTGTTTGAAAGAGACGGATAATGGCATTCCCTCTTACTAGGGGGGGCAGCACTGACTAATCTACTAACTTGTGCGCCGCCACTCGGATCTAGTAACGTCGGCTTCGTCCCAGTGCGTCTTCCCGGGGACGTGGTGATTATACTACTAGCTTGTCGGATGTGGAGAGTTCCCCCTAGTAAAGGAGGGTCGTGGGCCTTAGTATCATACCTGCAATATACGGGTTTCACTGCTGTACGCTCTTCGTAATCGGGGGGGCGTAACTCTCAGGCCGCGGCACACTTAGCTAGCAATTCAAGCGTATTGACGCCCAGCCCGTTGGTTGGGGTATCATATTCGACTGCACTCCCCCATGCCTGGTCCCGATGTTCATACAAAGTCGGCAACCCGACTCCACCCCTCGTCGCCGGCCTCTCTAAACTCGACGCCTTCGCCGAAGTAACCGGCATCCTGCCAGGCCTTCATCGTAGGCCCGTCGAAGGGGCCCTGCTTGTCGGCGTCGTCTCTGCCATCCGTCCAGCGGTACTCCCACATCTTAGTTGCTGTCGCCGCCGCCGCCGCCGCTCTGTCCGTCTCCTCCTCCTTGGGTGCGGGCTCTACCCATGGCTCGTCCGCCTCGCGCGTATAGTCGCGGATCAGACGCTCTCGCTCCCGGTCGTAGACGTCCGCGCGGTCTCTGCCGAGAAGCCTGTCAGCCGCTTCCGTGATGGCGTCGATGGCGTCTCGGATGCGCGCCTGCTCCGGGTCCTCGGCGGGCTTCCCGGGATCGACGTGCATCGACTCGGGCTTCTGCTTCTTCTGCTTCCACCTGGGCACCTTCTTCGTCTTCGTCTGGCCGCGGCCGAGCCGGGCCAGGGCCTCGAGCGGGGTCTCGCCGCGCTCCAGCTGCAGGATCAGCGACTTGAGGAGGTCCGACGTCAAGGCGCTGTCCTCCTCCTTCCGCTTCTGCCGCTGCTCGGCCTCGCGGCGCTGGTGGGCCTCGGCGGCCCTCTTCATGTCTTTCTTGCTGACGCCTTCCAGCCACTTGTCGTGCACGGCGTCGGGGTCCGCGGCCTTCCGCACGAAGTTGCCGTCCGCGTCGAACCGCCCCTCTTCGTTCTCGGCCTTGAGGTTGAAGGCCTCGACCTTGGGCGCGTGCTTCTTCAGCCCGCCCGCGCCGACTTCTTCGTCGACGCCCTCCTCCTGTATCGCCAGCTCGACGGCCTCCTCGTCGTCGTCCCCAGAGGACTCGTCGTCCAGGCGGACATGTCCCCCCGACTTCGATCTCGCGTCCTGCCCTTCGATGCCGTCCGTGTCTAAGAACCTGACCTCTTTGCTCTTCTTCTTAGCGGCGGCAGGATCCGCCTCTTCGTCCTCCGCGTCGCCTCCCGCGTCGGCCGCGAACATGTCGTCCATGTCTTCATCCTCCGCTTTCGGCTTCGTCCGCGACGCGTGCAGGGTGCCGAGCTCCTCGCGATCCGAGTCCGAGTCGTAGCCGTCGATGTTGACGGCCCCGCGCTTAGTGGCGGCGCTACCGCGTATGACGTCGGCGTCGGCTGCGAGATAGGCGTCGGCCTCCTCGTCGTCGTCGTCTTCCCCCCCGTAGGCCAGCGCGGACGGGTTCCTCACGTCAAACTTGACCTTCTTGGAGTCGGGCTCTGCGTGGTGCAGTCGCGCGTAGTTCTCGCCGGCACGCTTGGGGCGCGCGGCGCTGAATCTCGAGGACATGTCGGCGGCGCCAGCCGGGGAGGTGGCTTGAGTGTTGCTGCGGCGTATATCTTCTACCTGGTAAAGGAGGATTGGATGTATGTCCGGATCGGGGAGGGCTTTGGAAATCATGCACCGACTTAGCGGTTGTCGGCCAGAAATGACGTTGAAATGTAAGGTCCCCCCAGCCCAGTGGCTTTGCAGCTCATTCGGTGGAGACCCTAGGTAGGTACCCCGTAGTGGGTGGTTTATATAAGCATGCATAAATAGAGTGGGGTGAGGTACATGTGTTGGTACATAATAGATATATTAGGTACCTACAGGTACTTCCACCTACAGGTATAATGTTAGGTACCTATCAAGGCACCCGGGAGATATTAAGCATGCGGATCAATGTTAACGCCGCAGTTTCGTCATCAAGCTTGGTAGCCTTAGCTACCTGCTGGTCACAGATATACCTGGCGTACTTGTCCCTAAGACATCACCACATAGAGGTAGTGACGCCTTATGGTATATCTTGATGATAAAACAACCTCCTTAATCCACCAACCTATACTTCCTTCCTCTACCCTTCCTTTCCCTCATTCCAGCGACTCTCTATACGGATTCGCCTGGCCCGCGGTGTTCATAGTTGCCTTTTGGTACACGCCCCCACTAGAGCTCTCCAGAACACACTGGATATCTGCCTCCCGCTCTAGGCATCGAGCGAGAAGCCAGTATCAGAACAGACGTCTACTTCAAGTTATCTTTAGAGCCGTCTCTGCTCCTACATTCGATCGCATCCAGCCGACCTTCGCTACTCGGTCCCCCCCCCTTGCCTGCGATCACTCAGGTAGGTTCTGTTCCCGGCAACCCCGCCTACCCACTAGCTGACACGCAGCTGACTCTGCTCCTCTCAGTATTTCGCCGCAATGGCATCCGACTCCGAAGATGGTGGGGCCCCGAATCTCCCCCGCTTCAACGACTTCTTCCGCTGTTACCCGATCATCATGGCTCCGGGAGCCGAGAGACCCGAACTCAACTACGGCTCCAAGATCTTCCTTCCACCCTCGGCGCTGAACAAGATCACCCAGCTACATGTCCAGTGGCCCCTGATGCTGCGGTTGATAAACGTCCCGAAGGACATTCGAGCACATGCTGGCGTGCTGGAATTTGTGGCAGAGGAAGGTCGAGCGTACCTACCACAGTGGGTAGGTGTTGGCTCCAAGACGAGCCTAGGTGCTGTTTATCGACTCCTAGCTAACGGTCGCAGATGATGGAAACGCTACAGCTAGACGTCGGCGATATGATTCAGATAAAGTCTGCATCACTTCGGCTCGCTAGGATGGTCAAGCTTCAGCCTCAATCCACGAAATTCCTGGACATCAGCGATCCCAAGGCCGTCTTGGAGAAGGCTTTTCGAAACTTCGCCGCGCTGACCAAGGGCGACGTATTCAATTTCGAGTACAACGACGAGGTCTACGACGTCGCCGTTCTAGAAGTCAAGCCAGAGTCGAAGAGGATGGGCGTGTGCATGATCGAGACAGACGTTTCGGTCGAATTCGCACCGCCGGTAGGTTACGTGGAGCCGCAGAGGGGTAGCGGGACTAGCACACCGAAAAGTACACGGGGAGGCCTACCGGTTGGGGGGTTTGTACACCCCCAGGGAACAATGGCGCAAGATATCAATTATGATGCCATCGCGCCCACTTCTACGGTAGCTGCAGCTGGAGCCAGGGCCGCCTCATCGCACTTTTTAGGCGAAGGCCACAAGCTGAACCCCAAGAAGGGTGCAAGGACTCCGGCCCCGACTCCCACTCCCTCCGCTCCGCGTGCCTCGGACGCCCTGCCTGTCCTGCGGCGACGAACTAATAATGGTCCTATGCCGCTGCGGCTGCCCCCAAACAAACTCTTCTTCGGTTACGAGGTCAAACCATTGAAGACGGACGCGGACAAGGAAGCAGAGAAAGAGAATGCGAGTAGACCGCACTTCGCGGGACAAGGCCAGACGCTACGAGGGGCCGTCAAGCGGAAGGGCGGGGAGGATAAAGGCAAAGCACCGGAGAAAAAGAGCAGTGGTGAAGGGCAAGGTCGCCGACTTGATGGACGAAAGGTATAACGTACGGGAATGCTAATACAGGTGGTTCGTGAGGGTGGCGTAGACTAAGACATCCCGGCACCCAGATCGAGACGGCTGGGAGCGTCTCTAGGTGGGTAGGGGTAGGTAATTAACGGGGGGAATTGGGACGCGCTGCGTGTGAAATACCTATGTATCTACTCAGTCCTCCGCATGGTAGGCAGAATGAAGGCAGCCAACGTTCTGCGCACTGCACTGACAGCGATGCGCGAGATGCATTGAGTGTGTATAGAATTAGTGCGTGCACCGCCTCCTCGGGAACCTCTTAGGGAACCTCGTAGGGAGGTATCTAAGGTACCTAAGGTGAGTTCGTCGTTCAGAGAATGGGGGGAGGCGGGCGGGCGGGCGCATTGGGGCCTGTCTGCCGCCCTGTCCCCTGCCCGCGAGATCCAATCCAATTGTGCTGCCTACGCGGATTCTGCCTACTCGCGAACGCCCACTTCGAACGTGCCGCCAACAACCACAGTCGATAGGCTAACAGTTAGCGACGGCGTCGACGCCCATACGAATCCGCATGTCGATCTCTCGCCTCGAATCCTCCTAGTTGGTGCGACAACATGTCTAACGCAAGGCTTGGGGCTGAGCTGTCGGATAATAGCTGCAGGAGGCTGTGTGCCATGCTACGTAGGGAGCGAGAGCGGGTAGGTATATGAGCCCGATGCCACGTCTCGCGTTGTCATCATCCCCCCCCAATTTTAAAAAAGAATTACTTACGTGTCTACACACGTATTTGACATCCCCTTGTTAAGCATCCCGGAACATAGCACTCATGGAAGCCCTCGCGGCTGTAGGATTCGCCTCCAATGTATTGCAATTCGTCGAACTCGCCGCTAAGCTCGTCCGGAAGTCTAGAGAGCTCCAGCAGGATGCAATCTCGTCTGACCACAAGGACTACGCTGTGATCGCGACAAGCCTCAAAGGTTTGGCGGAGAGAGTGAGAGCCTCAGTGCAATCTGTCTAGCAAGCATCGACAACGGAGGCGCTTGATGAGAAGGTGTGTGGGATGTTCCCCTTCCCCTTATTTCCCCTGCTCGCTTTCGATTTTCTATTTGCTCAGCTTAGAGGTTGCTGACCATAAGGCTACAACTAAGAGAAAAAGACTCTCCAAATAGTCGACGGCTGCTGTAATCTCGCGGGCGAGCTTCTAAAGCGGCTAGAGGACTTGGGCCTTCTATCTCCCCCGGGAAATAAGAGTCGTATCCGCCGTGGTAAGACCGCATTAAAATATGTGTGGAATAAGCGGGAGATCGACGAGATCGCCGATAGGTTACAGAAGTTTGCGAGCCTCCTTTCTCTACACTTAACGGACCAGATCAAGCAGACACAGTGTGAGCAGCGTACATGGCAACCGAGCAAAAATCAGGTCCAAACCGTCCTGGACAAAGTGAACGGTATCTCCCCCTTGATCGAGAATCTCAAAGGGGACACTGATGCCAAGCTCGACGAGGTTGGCAGTTCAATCGCCGACTTAAAAACGCAGAACTCGCGATTCCATACCCAAATGTCACAGCAAAATTCGGTGGCCTGGCAGGGGGTGAACAGTAAGATCGGGGCCTTGGAGGGTTCGATTGGGACTATGATGCAGAAGCACTCGGATATTGTCGAGTCCCTTGCCACCATTCAGATACAAGGTTCCCAATTTCGTGCCTGGGCAACCCAGGCGCTTCCACAAGCCAATAATAGCCAGGCCTTTCTCCCCTTTCGTAACGTGTTGGGAACAATACTAGATGAATACCAGGATAAATTACTCGAAGGGGTGAACGTGAATTTCGGGGTGCCGTCAGGTCTGAGATCGCAATTTTGCAGGCCCAGGCCCCCAAGGTCTTGAGCAAGATGCAAACTGAAGCGGAAACGGAGGGCGACTCGGATACCAAATTAAACTATGATACGTCATACCCCTATTTCGAACCACGAGGCTGTCGACGACAAGAAGGTCACAACACCGTTATGACCTTCAGAAAAACATGGTCAATAGTTACGCGACTAGGGATATTCTCGCTTACAATTCGAGATAAATCCAAATTCGATCCTGTTAGGCCTCTAGTCAGGGTGCGTGAGCTGGAGGTTCACTTCGTCCCGTCCCTGGGCTGGTTCCCCAGAGGGTATTCAGTCTCATACCGCAGGACAACCGATGGCCGAGGAAGCCCGCAGTTCGGGTTACAGCTCAAAACATATCGTGTACTTCACAGCGACCACGATATATGGGAAGCCTTCAGAACCTGGGATTTGGACTTAATTCGCGAAATGCTTCGCCAGAAAATTGTCTTCCCAACGGACCATGACATATCCGGGCGGACCTTACTTCATGTAAGTAGCAACATCATGTTTTCTGCTACGGAGACTGTTTAAATGCCACTAATACGAGAAAGACTGCTATACTCTATGGCAACCTTGACGCCGTAAAAGCATTAGTTCAAAGTGGCGCCGATACCAACGACATTTCCGTGTGCGTAATATTGTCCTATTGCAAGCTAATTGAATGTCATCTGATGCCATCAGATTTGGAGAACAACCCATATGTCTCGCGATCGCACCCCTCCAGTTCTGCGGAAATAAACTAGGCCCTCAAATATTTTACTATCTCCGAAGCCTTTCTAATACCAATAGGGAGGATTTGTGGCTAAACGATAGCTTTGGTTTACGAATAACGGTAGAATTGATAAAGGGCAAATCGACTTATACGGCATGGGAGCTTTCCGACTGGGTGCGAACCTGCGGAGCTGAGGGTATCAACCTTGATGAGAGTATCGACCTTGACGAGAGTATCGACACTTCTTCCGTGAGGGCAGTAGGGGGTTTACAGACATTGATTTTTCTCATTCTCTGGAGTTCCAGGCTCTACAAACGTGTTTTCGCGTCCCAGGGGGTGTTCGACTGCATAGTGGACCAGATAATCGGCAGCTGTATATTAGAAGCTTCTGCTTCCATTCCCGTGGCCCTCTCGGCTGTTCTGCTCCTTCACGAAATATCGGCCGCCTTGCACCGGAGGAACATGCCCGACAGCACGATATGGCTGCCGCCGGTGCAACGGCCGCGTAACCGGATGACGATGCCGTACCGCCGCTGGCGCGTCGCCCCGAAACTACGTGGGACTTTGAGTTTCCTAGAGCACGTGGTGGCGCGGGGTGTGAAGCAGCGGCCCGAGGGCATCTTCGACGCCGTGGAGGGGAAGACTGTCTCGGCTTGGGCGCGGGAAATGGGTCTGACGGACCTCTGGGCCGACATGCTGGCGGACCACGGCTTTGACCCGGAGTGGGTTGCGGCCGAGGACGCGCGAAGGCAGCGCGTCGTTGTGGCGCAAACTTCAGCGCACGAGGTTAGCGTGGAGGCGGACGTGACGAAGGCGCTGGAGGTGAAGCCTCGAAAGGGGTTTGTTAACACCGATGGTTGAAGGCTGGAAAAGGGGCAGGGAGGTGGGCTGTTTGGAGGGTGGTTTACAAGCTACGAGGACGATCTTTTTATTTTTACGTATACATCTATGCTCTCGGATACGGAAATACGGAAACCAAGAAACAGGCCAGCTTTTAGAAATATCTAGGGAGGCTCGGTGGAACAGTAGTTCGTATAGGGATCAGATCAGCACATATTCTTCAGAACTTCGGGGTGCAAGAATTAGTTGTAATGCTGGCATAGGCACTACAGGAACGTACTGGATGTGTTCGTCATTGCCTTTATAGTTATTAGACACTCTTTCGCGAACTTGCTTTACATAGGTAATCAACTCCTACTTACACTACTCGCATGCGTATGAGAGCCATACGGTGGCAGCGTACCGTTAGATATCTAACCTAGCCGGCTCGATCAAGATTAACCTGCCCTACTTGTTTAGGACATGCTAAAGCGTCCTAGTCGCGAAGGGCGCAGCCCTTTTTCATCTCGACTTGTAAGCTAGGGGAGCGCGTGGTCTTCGATTTAAGGTACCGGCAATATGGTCGTTGGAGCTCCTATAACAACTTGGGCAAGATGTGGCTATGAGTTGAGCTCGCTACCAAGTTCCAGCTTCGGGAGTCTGAACTTGAGATGGATGCGGAAGTACCAGCAGGTAGTATCGTAGGGGCGCGCCAAAGAGGCGGAACACTAGTCAGGGGCAGGGGGGCTAACCTGGAGCCGACTCCACCATACTAGGTTGTCGGGAGGAACAATAGACAACTCGCCAAGGTAATCTGGCGAGGGCTTAGTAGATTAATGGCGGGCTACGTCATATATGCCATCCGGTATCGTCTGGGGTCATGGCTAAGACTTATAATTAGGAGTCATACGTCTGATGTGAGGGGCTGAAGTTGTGCCCGTCGAAGAAGAAGGGGCAAAGGAATCTGTCGACGGTTGGTTGGCTATGGGACGGGCCGTTCTCAGGAAAAGTTGCGGCACATTCGCATACACGGCAATACTCGGCAGCTACGACGAGGACCTACCTCTAGGAGATAGACAGGGCAGAGTTGGCTGTGGGCAGGGCCGGTTACCATTCGGCCGGCGTAAGACTAGGCACACGCTCGCTTTTCAAAGTAGCAGCGACAGAAGATCATAGCAAATACCACGTCCGGAGACGCAGACGCAGCAGGCCGCTCGCAGTTGACCACACGGTGAGATCCTAGAGATAGATATACAAAGATGCGAAGTAGGTGGGATAAATCCAGCGTGAAATCTGTATTGGTGCTCAAAAACCAAACCTGCGCCGAGCGAGGCGCGAGGAGTCTATGTTGCTTCGTAGCGGGACGGCCGATGTCGACGCTCGTCCCCTATGTCAGCGGTCCGATGCGGAGCTTGAGTGAAAAGGGGAGGAGAGACCGGATAGACTTCACCATAGAGATGTGAAGGCCGCCGGTGCCCCCGAATGCCGACGGTCGAGGGGTGATTACGATTATGGTTCCGGGCGACTCCTCGCGACGGTAGCGAAAACAAACTCGAGAGAATATGCTCAGTAGACCGGGCGCAGTGACGGTGGCCTAGTAGTCCTGGTCGGCGCTGTTGTCGTAGAACGAGTGCCGGCTGCCCCCGGTATGCCATTCCCACTCGGTCCAGTAATCGTCGTCGTGGGGGGACGGGACGACGCGGCTGCCCTCGTCGTCGTCCTCCGTCGGGGGCACGAACGCAGGGATCGGCTGGGCCGCCCGGTGCGGCGCTGCCTGCGTCGTATCTTTCGGGGGAAAATCACCACTATCGGCGCAGTCTGTCAGCCCGTTTCGGCATCCGCGGTGCTCGGGCATCGCGCGCGGGGGTTCTTACCACGTATCTCTCCGGTCCGAGGGAGTGTCCTGGGCGAATCCAGGCAGTGGTGGCCCGCGGCCCGGGGTCGGCCAAGTCTCGGGAGTTCTCGGCAAGGCATATTCGCTGGGGCTTTGGGGGCTCGACTGGCCCTCCTCTCGACTCGATACGAACGTCGCACGGCTGCCGTCGTCTCGAGGTGTGTGCGGCGGACTTACTGCTGGCGGTTGGGTGACTCTATTGCTGAGCGTGCTAAGGGATTCGGCAGCTAGGCCCGTCTCGAATTTCGTGCTACAGAGGGAAGTCAGCACGAGTCACTAAAGGTAATGTAGAAGCTCGATAAGGTCTCAGGTATTGCCGTAGAGGGACAGACGGGAGAGCTAGGGCTTGACGAGAGGAGAAGGAAGAAAGGGGGGTGAATGGGGGTTGCGTATTGAATAGAAGGTGAGATGTCATTTTTGATGGGGGTGGTGTCGAGGGTGGCCGACGAACTACTAGTGCTAAGGTAATGGTCCACTGGGGTACGGTCCGTGATGGATGGCTTGATACGGAGAGGGATTTGCATCGATGAGAGTAGGGAAGTATGAGCAGTCGTGGTGCAGAGGGGTGGGTAGAAACGCTATTCGAGGGGGAAGGGGTGGGATGAGCTGGTTGGTTGATGGTTGCAATAACCGCTAGCACTAGATAAAAAGATGAAGCCAACTGGTCGCGAAGGACGAAGCGAAGGTGGGCGCATACGCGAGCGTTTCTGGAGTCAGGGCGTAATCCCGGGTGGCAAGCCTCAGCGTTATCTCCCTCAACTGTTCCTGGCTAAGATTTCCCGCCTCCCAAGCGGCTCTTCCAAACTCCCTCAAGAACTCGGCCCACTGCGAATCGGTAGCCGAAGCCATCGCGGGATCCTAAGTTCTGGGCGAATCACGTTAGTGTACTGGCGCTTATCATCGTCGTTGTTGGTGGCGCTGGATGCTGTTGGTGCGGATTCGACGGCCAACAAGAACTCGACTTACCAGAACCAGGTCCGGAAACAAGAAAAATGGAAGTTACACACACAATATTGCGTCGAGAGATGGCCAATGCGGATTAGACGCACCGCTGTCGAGATGGCTGCCGATGTGTGATGGGAAGAGGCCAACTGCAGATGGTGGAAATGTAGGTAGTCTACAAGAAATATTCCCTGGAGCTGGCAGCATGCTAAAGAAGTATCGAGTTCCGAGGGCTAGAGGATACACGATACACGATACACGATACACGTACCTGCCTTTTTGCACAGAGTGACGGGTGAAGTACTGGGCTTGCCAGTCCATGTATTCAAGGTAGTCTTCCATTGTCTCTAATAACATGACTGCCGGTAGTAGACAATCAAGAGGAAGGAGGAGGGGCGGTGGTTAACCGGCAACCGGTCTACCAAGGATACCTAGAGAGATCCTATTCACTCGCGAAGCCCATGTATTGTTGGTTGTATTTGTGAGATGGTATGGAGTGAGAAAGGGGTGCCTTATAAATAAGGCTAGGGAAAGGTTCTAAGTACATACATGATAAGAATAGCGGTTAGCTATTCTGTTTGATCCTGTTTCGGCTCTTGTGAGCTTTTTCTTTCTCCCTCAAGAGAATCTCCCCGGAAAGAAAAACACGGAGGAGGTACTCTACGGGGAGAAGGAATTTGGGAAGGGCGAAAATATCGGAAGAGGGCCGCTGAAGTTTGGTCCGAAACCCGGGTCCAGGGGCGATCTCCTCACGGGGACTATCCGCACTTCTCCTCGTCGATGGAATCCTACTCCGGCGGAAGGGACAGCGCCCATCCGCTATGATTTACTATGGTAGGGAGAGCGGTAGTTGCACGAGGCCACAAGGGTGGAATTAATAGGGCCTTGGTTGTTTCGAGGCGCCAAAATCCTCGATTTACTCAATTTTACACCGGCAGTCGTGGTTTACTCGTGATTATACGTCGTCATGACGTCTCCAGGAGAAAGCTTCAACTTCAGAACGCCAGAGAGAGGGCCTCGGGACGAGGATATTGTAGATTGCCCCGGGCCCACTTGTAACTCCAACCCGAAGAAATCAACGCCATGGTATTGTACAGAAGTGTGCTGGTGGTTCTCTCCTCTTATGAGAACGCCGAGAAAAATCCACGTGAGTCATCGATCTCTATCAGCTCAGAGAGAAAAAATGAGGCGACACGACCGAGCACGCACAAAGCGCAACCCAACGAGTCTAGCGTGCTCTCGCCTCTGCGTCATGTCTAGCCTGCTAGGCCTTGCGAAAAGAGCACTCCGACGGGAATTGGGGGTGGGTGTGTGTGTTGACTGTCTTGAAGATGCTATAAGGAAAAAGGAGTCGTGTCCTTCACGCCTCGCCGTAGTACCTTCTGAGCCGTTTAGTATATGGTGGTAAGAATGGGGAAAAGAGAAGGGAAGAGTAGACATGGGACCTACCCTGGTGGTTCAAAATGATCTCCTGGTCCGGGTATGTCGTCTGATGCTAGGGCCAGGTCGGCTCCGTCGCCATTTCGACGCTGGTTGTCTTCTCCGAGGCGCGGACGTTTGGAAGGCTGTTCGTCGAGAGTGGAGTCCTCTTGCGCTAGGCTTGAAGAGTCTGCTTCTTCGGTAGGAAGTTGCATTGGCGGATTAATGGGTTTGAATGTAGGGATAAGTTCTGCGTTTCGAATTTCCTGGGTTTCTAGTGGTTCCTGCGGCTCGTTGACTTGACGGGGTTCGTGGGGTTCGTGAGCCTCTTGAGCTTCTTGGGCTTCGTGTACGCTACGAGGCTCTAGAATCTCTTGAGCCTCACGAACTTCCGGGACCTCTCGAGCCTCCTGAACCCCCTGGCCGTCACCCGGCGTCCCCGATGGCGACGTCGGGTTGAGATCCGTGATGGAAGCGGAAGGTTGCTTCCGAGGCCGTCCACGACCAGGACCCGGGCGCCGTGTGATGGGGTTCATAGTAGGATCCGCCCTGCGCTGGCTATCAAGCACGTTGCCATTGGTATCGGTTTTATGCTGGGCCCTGCGGAGGCCTTGAAAATGTTGGCTAATACGAGGTGATTAGCGTCCGCATCTCCCGTCTAGGGGAGCACGACGGCTCGAGGGATACAAGGGCCCGTCATGCGCCGGAGCTCTGGTCCCGAAACAGGAAGAACACTGATTGCCGCATAGCAGGCGCTCAGAGGAACGAGTATGTAGCCAGGTCTTCATAGCCGATACGGGGCTGCATTTAGACTACACCAGAGACGCATCCCCGAGCCGTCTGAGCGCGCAGCGGTATACGAAGGCCGGGATATTTACCGGATATGCGGGGGAGGACCCTGCCGAAGACTCGGCCCCGGGGAGACTCGAAGACGAAGTTCGGACGCATATCGGATATAAAAGGAAAGAAAGAAAAAAAATTCACTCACCGGCATCCCTCATTCGTGAAGCCGTAACCCAAGGAACGCATGTGGTTACCGATGGTCGTCCATTCTGCGCCACTTATCACGCCGATGTTCTTGACGGAGAGGATGGTGAAGAAGAGGTCCTTGTCAGCCCTGTCATTCCAGTTCTTATTCATCGTTGCGCTCTGGTGGGCTCGGAGGCGGGTATGAGGCCAGAGCTTCGAGAGATGAGATTCGGGGCGGGAGGGATAATAATGGTATTTGTTAACGGGTAGGGAGCGGGAGGAGTGGGAACTAGTATAGGGTGGCGTAAGGGTAAGTAAGCTTCACGTCCACGTGCGAATCACGGATATTGCAATAGAGCCTTTGAGAGGTTGAGAAGAGATGGGCAGAGAGCTTGAATTGGAGCTACCTGAATTACGCGGTCGAGAGCAATAGCGGGTCGAGTCCTTGGCGGCATGGCTAGGACTTTTATAGCAGGTGGCAGAGGGGCTGGCAGAGGGGTGGCAGCAGGGTTTGACAAGCGGCGGGACAGCCGCGAGGGCGAGAGAGCGAGAGAGAGAGAAGAGAGAGAGAGGGAGAGGAGGGCGAGAGAGGGAGCGAGAGGGAGGGAGGGATTGAGAGAGAGAGGGAGTGAGTGAGAAGAGAGAGACGACAGCGCGAGAACGAGAGAGGAAAAGGGACCGGCGGGAACAGGAACAGGCTCACAGCGATAACCAAGGTACCTCAGGTACCGCTAAGCCGGGCTAACCTCACATAATCCGTCGAGGTAGCCCGGTAGGTGTGGAAGTACCCGGTACCGGCTACGCAGCCCGGGGCGAGAGGAGGAGGTACTACGTGGTAACGTGAGGTAACATAATGGACGTGCGCCGACCAGAAAAACGAGCTGGGCGCATCGCGAAATAATACAGCGCACTCGGCGGGCCGCGAATATATATTTCTACTACCTGCCTCCCCTCCTGTAGGTACCTCCCAGGTAGGTAGCTACCTAAAGTACATCAAGTACCCGAGCTAGATTATATATGCTGACCGAAGGAGGTCTAGGTACCTAAGGCAAGTAGAATGGGATCCATGCACCCAGGTACCTACCGTACGTACCTAACCTGTAGCTCTTAATCTACTTGCACAGGCAGGAGGTATATAGGAGGTACGTACCAGAGAGTACGAATGTCCATACTCATAGCTACCTCAGCTGCCCCCATTGGGCGCGGCGAGGGCGGAACAAGCCGCACGGGGCATACCTCTCTACCACGCACCCAAATGAATGCGTAGATGCTGAGGATGCACGATGCAGGACTCAGGTAAGTATGGCGAGGAATGCTACCCTGGCGAGGTATCGGTTCGAGGTTGCTGTCGCCACGGTACCGAAACCTAACGCATGGCCGTGTGTTGAGGTTCGCATCATCTGTGCGGTCGGGAGGAGAGCGAACGGGTGAGGGTTGGGACGTGGCGGCGAGTAAGCAGGGCGCACCCCGGAGAAGACAGATGGGTTTTTAGTATCGAGGTACCTCGCGACCCATGGAAAGATGGGCGTTCTGGAATCCACCCTTCGCAGGCCCCGGTGCGCCTACACTGTTACATAGCATAACAGGCCTGCGTCGGGGCACGCTGGATTTGCTTCCGGCACGGCCATTTGTAAGAGGGAAATAATGCAGTTCCTGAGAGGACGCGCCGAGCATGTCGATACCTGCCTTACCTACCTGCCGTTAGTGCGTACGCCGAGACACACTCTCTCTCCCATGCCTCCGTCGGAGACGACGCCCTCCCAAACTGGCAACGCCGTCGCATGCTGAAACGTCACGTGAAATGGCGACGGGGACGCGAGAGACCAGTGCGCGCAGCTGCACGACCGAATGTCAAGTCTGACGCGTTACAGGCCTAACCCACTTGGTTCTCGCTCTAGGTATCTCTCTCTCGCTCCACGAAGGAAAAATTCGAATTCCTTCATTCCCCCTCTCTTCCGTCTCTTTCTTTCTGGCCCGCCCGCCGAGATTCGCTCGCTCGGCATCCGATTCGTCCGACACTCGAATCAACCTCGGTGTAACCTGCGCCATCATTCAGTTAATATCTTCCATTCGAAAAAGAAAAAGTAGAGACGGTGGAAGAAGAAAAAAAAGGTGCACGCAAGTCTCAGTATCCACAGGTGCAAACGCTGCAGCAATTATGCAATTAATCAATCAGCTCCCCTAGCGGGGTCGAGACTAGGAAGAAAAGAATGCGCAGATGTCCCGATGTGTGTGGTCTTCGGCTTCTCAGACCTCAAGTCCTCCCGTGTCTCTCCAGGTGGCGCCCGCGCCAATCCACCTTCTCTTCATTACCCATCGGCTAGCTACAGCACGAGCAGCCATCTCGACGCGCCACGAGCCGTTTTCCAATCCGAGGCCGTTTGCTCTCACATGTCCGTCCGAGGATCGTCTCCAAGACTGTACGAAGCTTAGGGGGCATCTCGAGGGCAGCAAGAGGGGCGACGATGCTGCTGACGCTGATGATGATGCTGGTGCGTGCTGCATGTCTTAAGCAGGGCATCTCGGCGTTTAATCAGTATCTGCTGCGATTTCGAACGCGCCCATCCCGATCCGGATCCCCCCGCCCAGCCTCCCTGGTTTAATTCCTCCTCTCGAGGCCTTCCATGACTCACACCCTCGACCCATTAATGCCCTTACTATGCATACAATCCCCTCCATTCCGAAGGGGCACTCGGCCCACTCGACCGCTTGTCGGACTCTGCAGTGGCGGTTGCCCAAAGTCGGCATCTCGCTTTGTTGATATGTGACAACAAACGGTTCCTGAAGCTAGCCTGCTCATGAGTGTCACGATCGCCTCTCTTCCCTTGCCCGATTGGTTTGTGAATGCCCCGGGAACTTGGGGCTGGAGCTCGGCGCTCTTCTCTCTCACACATGCCGGGATCGTGATTCTATATTACCTGTCTTCTCTCCCCACTGCAAACAGAGCCTGTCTCATGACCATTGGATTTATTTCGAACATCCTCAGCCGTAGCCCCCTTCGGCGCTCTTGTATAACCATCCCCCCTCACTACCTCCTCCCAGAGTTGGAGTACCCCATTACCGCTTTTTTTTTTCGGATCCTCGGGCGTATCGTTAGGTCGGGTCGGCTAAAGCTTTGAGACACAGAAACTCTCTCTCCAAGTAGCTTGGGTTAGCAATACACACGAGATGAGGACAGGGATCATAAACCACTTTACGCGGTGTGGCGCGTACCATCCCACTCTCGTGTTCATTCCTACCCCACCGGTCGGTTCCATCCCTTGAAATTCCCTGCCCGTCGAGACCAAGACGTAAACGACGCTCGCCCTAACCGGGAGTTGCTAGGCAACCTAGGCAACCGTGGCAACCATGTCTTTCATACCTCTCTCTGTGTTTCAATGAGACCATGGCGATGACGACGGCGGGATGGTACCCAATGGCTGGCCATGGATGGGAGCAAACCTAGTTTTCATGCAAGCACTTTAAAGCAGCCTTGTTGAGAACTCCTCCTTACCCTTCTCGTCCCACAAAGTCTCCAGAGAACCGAATGTGTATACATTCCCCCCTCCCCTTTCCGCCTTAGACCTTGCCCTTTTACCTGAGATGTATATAGATTCCCTTAATCCCCATTATGCCCATTATCCTGCATGTCAAACGGCCTCTTCCTCTTGCCACTGACGCCTCTATTGGTCTCCACTCCCTGTCCTACCTCACCTCACCATCTTCGATCGACGGCTTGATGTGATCCCTCAAACCACCCTCTAAGCTCCCTAGGAGCTTTATCTGGAAGCAATTGGCATATATTCTACCTCTACTCCCTCACCGACTTTCACGACTATTCTGATCGTGACTCACCCATTACATTCCAACTCCACATGTTCAGACTAGCCTTGAAGTCGAGGGCCCTCTCCTATCCTCTCACACTCAACTGTGCACTTTTTATTGAGAACGTTCGGCTGCCATAAACCTTTCCTCCGTTTTTTCTTCTCCAGGCTCTCCGACTCGAGAGGCTCTACCATTATGTCCGCCAACAATGACAATGCCATGACGAGGTTCCTGTTCGCTATCCTGCGACAGAAAAACCTCAAGGACGTGGGTTGATCCAAAACCACCTACGGATGGCCAATGGGTGTCACTAGATGGGACCAACTAATATAGTATGATAGATTGACTGGAACACAGTCGCCCACGACCCGATCCTAGCCCAGGAGATCACGAACGGCCACGCCGCTCGGATGAGGTATTCGCGCTTCCGATCCGCCATGCTAGGCCTCGAACCGACGCGGAGGAACCGCACGGGGCCGCCGAAATCCCGAGTCTCGAAGTCAAAGAAGGACCCGAAGGGGAAGAAAGACGAGGCCATCAAGTCCGAACTGGCGCCCCAACGGCCCCCGACCCCGCCCCCGCTGCCCGAGTCGGTGCTCCGGAAGATCAAGCAAGAGACGCCGCAGCTCAGCCTCGAGCCGCGACTCACTCCGGCGCGGACCCCGGCGCCGGCCTCGCTCGCGTCGCTGCCCAACACGCCCGGCCTGATGAGCGCGGCCGCCGAGATGCCGTCGCGGTTCCTCACGCCGTGCAGCGACCTGGACCTGTTCGCGCCGGCGGGGGCGCTGCCGCCCAGCCCGGGCAGCGACCTGGCCGGCGCGCCGCCGCCGCCGCCCGCCTTCGACTTCCACGGGCTGTCGGCGTGCCCCGAGCACGCCGACCCCGTGTGGCCGCACTCGCCGCTCGCGCCGCCGTGTGGCCCCTTCGCCCCCGCCTACCCCTTCGACGACTACGCCGGCGTCCTGTGCGAGCACCCCCACGTCCACCCCGCCCAGCTGCACCTCGGCCTCCCGACCCAGTCGATCGAATCCGACGCCGAGTACGCCGACGTAAAGCACGAGGACTGGGACCAGTACCACCACCATTGAGGCCCGCGTGGCCAGTGGCTCGTATGATGAGTCTAGTATCTGGGGTCCTGCGTAGCTACGAGGGCCTGTTATTCACTGGGGGCTTCTTCGCCGGCGCAGCATAATCTGCCGTGAGGATACTGCATCGTGATCTGGTTTTTTTGCATCAGTCTGGCTGTCTAAGGAGATTGGGTGGGGCATTTGGGCGGGGGTTCGGGGAACGGGACACTCGTCTCCTCTTTTTCATCCGGGGGTTCCATGTGTCCACTCACGTATTTTAACGCAGTATGCGTATGACGGCGACCTCTGTGGTACATGTTCATCCTATAAGACATGGTCGGAAGCGTCTTGAGTTGACATTTAATGAAACCAAAAAAGATCAAATATTTACGTGACGAGCTGACCAATTTGACTAGCTTCTGCTGGCGATTATCCGCAGGCGATGACTCCGATACGAATTGTGAGTTCCTCCCCGTGGACTTAATATTCATCTCTAAGTCTATGTGTTGATCTATTGCTCCCTCTTGTTTTAACCTAAACCCATCGGGCTCGTTGGCTTTCAAAGTACCTACAAACCAGCTTTGAGCTGTCAAACCGGCTTAATAGCCCCGCGGGTCTTACGTTGGCTAGCAAGACAGCGCCTTCCAAGGGCAAATTTAGTCAGACAGTGCCTCAGGGATGGATACATCTATAGATGAGAGTTCTATACCGCTTACTTGTCTCTAATATCCCCGAGTCTGCTATGTTAATTGGATGCTTAACTACGCAATGCAGTAACCCGCCTCCGGGCCGACTCTACACCCCCCTTTTTGTGTTTCCGCCCGCCCCCCGCCCGGTACAGTCCCGGCCAGATGACCCGGATTTAGTCGAGCTTAAAAGCATAGCCCATAATACATACGTCAGATCTCGTCTTGTCGGCGGGTTCGAGTACGTATCAAAACATGTCAGAGTGCTACTGGTATCGTTCGCCTCGGGGCAAAATGCCTGTCTCCTGCGCGGGGCTGTCGTAGAGGTTGCCGGCTTTGATGCCACTTTCCTTTCATTCCAGTGCCTATTCAAGTGACCAGATTAGCTTCTGACTGAACTCGCACCGGCCTGCGAAGGTAGGTAGTTACATAGACCGTGATACGGATAGCGGCCAATATATTAAGGAGATACGCCCGCGAAGGAGGGGCAGCGTTGAGAGACAATTGGTGTGCGATATCGAGCATCCAGGTACAGTTAATCCGCAACAGACAGAGGATCTCTAGAATATCTTCCACAAGGCCGGGCAAACTAGCTCGGAGCTCTTATCTCGGGTTGAGTAAAGCATAAGCGTAGCGATTGTTTACATCTCAGAGCAGATGTAGTCGAGGGCGTACTATTCGGTCGGACAAAATAGGGGCATGGGTCTCGACTTAGTTCCCTCCGGGTCTCTAGTGTTCCGTGATCGCTCGCGTCTTAGCCGGCTCAAGATAACTCTCCGCGATAAAGATGGTCTTGGCGAGGGGGTAGAAGAAACACCTTGTTGTCGCCAAAGTGTGGTTAAATATGAGGAGTATGTGACACTGTCTCGATATTACGCCAGCTGTTTGCCGGGTGCTATAAATTTTTTAAGGAGGATACACTCTAGTAGGGGAAGGAGCCTCATAATAACTACCTAGGTAAAATGTATGAGTAGTCAGATATGTTGACCTGCATATACTGAGAAGCTGCTGTTTATTGTTTCCCATGGTTACCAGCATTGGGCGGAATCACGCGAGGATCTGTTAATTATCGGTATTTTCCTCGTCAACCATCTCCCATCAACTTCTCTCAAACCTCCCCCCCTTCCATTCTTACGACAACCTCTTCCTCCCCTCACTTCTCATCATACCGAGAACTTCCGTCCGTCTAGCCACGCACTTCCGGTCATACCATACCAACACACGGCATCCACCATCCGATCGTCAACATCGGGCTCACATTGCCAACCAACAGGCTTCGTGAGATATCGTCCGTTCAGCCAATCCCCCGAGTAAGTGTTCATGATATGGTGTCACTCTCTCTTTCTCCTCTCGGGATTCCGATCTCTTATTGGGCACCGACTCAGCCATCGACCAGCTTCCTCCGTTTTCGATTCAACCTGAGCTTATCACATTTCTTCAAATCGTCAGTCAATCATTGCTATGGTAGCTTCTAACAATTGAAATATCTTAGCACCGCTTGTTTGACGAGCACATAACGCCGTGCCTATTGATATGGGCAAGATGGAGGTCACAACCCCCCAGAAGGGCCAGCCGACTCTCGTAAATGAAGAGAAAACTCCCAATACGGCCCTAACCCCCAAGACGGAGGCCAATGGATACAGCGTCCACGAGCAAAAGTTCTTCGCCACCATTTTCAAGTACCTTCCAAAAAACCTAGACTTGAACTGGGACGAGTTTGCGAGCGAGATGGGTCTAAAGAACGCATCAATTGCCAAGGTTCGCATAAGCAGCTTCTGTTACTTCATATTACCAACCTTGACCAGTGCTAACAGCTTGCAGACTCGATTCTCCCAAATTCGACGCAAGTTTGAGATTGGAAACAGTCCGGGAAGTGTATCAAGTACGCCTTCCAAGGTGACCAAGGCTAAAAAACCCCGAAAGACTAAGGCAGCTACGAAAGGTATTGGCAAGGATGTTGATGATGACGAAGATGACAACAATACCGGGGGTAAGGTGAAGGCTAAGGTTGATGAGAAGGTTAAAAAGGAGGAAGACGAGATTGGTGAAGAGGTTAAAAAGGAGGAGGACGAGGATGACATCAAGTCGTTCCTTTAAGCCTTAGTGGCTTACTCTGTGGTCTGAGCTCTGGGGTTTTCGATTAGAGGGAGAGTCGCGGCATCTGATGAATCGCGCGCTGATTTGTATGTTCTCCTGGCCGGATAGTAGGACATGCCTATGCCTCGATAATCCGATTCCTCAGTGAACCATGTCAACTTGACCATAGTCTGCTCTGATTGCTCAGATATTGCACAACGCGATGCTGACAGACGCCGAAAAGAGACCTTATGGAGTTTATCTCACTCAATTGGCATAGCACAGCACTGAAGCTCATCCTGCATGGCCCCTGCCCGCCGTTTCGATATTCTACCAAGTACTGTCAAAAGGTAACATGGACTATCTCCATGAGGTGTATGTTTAATATGTGGTGAGTTATGGGCTGGTATGTGAGGAGTGTAGGTGCCCTTTCCACGCAGTCCATGTTGCGTGGGTGCGAGTCCCGTATACGCACACTGTGTATCTCTCTGGTGATCAGGGGGGTAGTTGTTACAAGGCTACGATTTACCCTTTGGTAAACTACCTATCTGCCCTCTCCTTACTTCTTACTCCCCTAGACCAACTCCGTGCGAATATATAACCCAAACCTCACGCTTCACTTACCACTCACCACCCTTCCCTCTCTTTTACTTCAACCTGTTCCTTCTTCACCTACCTCTCAATACTCCATCATCCCCTCTACCGCGAGCAATACCAAGTCATTCAGTTACGGTCCGGATCTACATCCCGTATCTAGAGAATCAAGGTTCGTACCAATTATGACCAATATCTCTTTCGATTCTTTCGATTCGAGTAGCTCCTAGGGCGTGGCCACGTCGAGGGAAGGCACTGAGTGCGCCATCTTACTGCCCGCTCCCGACCAGCTCACCAATTGAAATCGGTCTAATATGTTGTCCCAGGATGTCTCACCAACAGAACCCCAAGGCCGATGTCGTGGATGAGGCGGAAGACAAAGGTGGCCTAACTCCCAAGGAATTTAAGCTTATTGATGCTGTCTACAAGCACGCGTCCAACACCTCGAAGCCCGTAACCGACTGGGTAGCCGTCGCTGCAGTTGCCGAGTACGCCAATTCTAAGTCAGCCAGAGACAGATTCTGGAAGATATGCAAAAAATTCAATGTGTGTCACCCCTACCGGATACTTATGCTTTCACAATGTGTCATCCATGAGCTTTCTACATTCTAAATCAAAAAGAAACGCTATATGAACTGGCATAGCTAATTCCTACTCCTATTCTAGTGGTTCCAAGGCACTATTGCTGATGAAGCCTCCACAAAGGCTACCAGCACCCCCAACACCAAGAAGCGTGCTAAATCGGTAGAGGAACCCGCAGGACTGGAGCTAGAAGGTGTTGCCAATAGCGGCGATGCCGAGTCAAGCACTCGCCCGAAAAAGCGCCGAACTACGCCCGCCAAGAAGAAGCCCATTATGCCTGAGAAATTTGATGAAAAGACGGAGGATGATCAGAAGAATGTGAAGAAATCGGAAGAGGCTGATTAACACCCCCCAGATCATGTCACCTAGATTAAGGACATCATGGCTTGGTCATATTGCCATTTCCCTAGACACTGTTGACCTAGTTGTTGGTCATTACCTTTACTAGAATTTCTGCTGCTAATATTGGGGGTCATCACGGTAGTCTACTGCCATGGTCATCTGGCAATAAAGCAATGATACGATGGATTTCCTGCATCTTTGACTCGCTCTGCGGTGGAAACTGAAAGACCTAAGCCAATACTAGCTCTCATCTTTGTGTTAAGCCTGAAAAGTCGTATCTAAGATATGTTCACGACACTCAAAGGTTGGCTTCGGACATTTCTGTATGCTGAAGAGGGAAACCCCTATAACTTTAGCCAGTGATCCTGACATCAACTGTCCGAAGAGCACCCAGGGTCCGTCCATTAGCTTGGCCAGGCTGGAGCATTACCAAACACAGCCCTCGACAAGCACCATTGTGACAGGTGTCATCAAGGCTCTGTTACTGAGACTACCGGGGAGCAACACTTCTCATACTGTCTAATAGTAGCCTTACCTCTACCATAAGGCAGGTATGAGTTTCTGGAATACCTACACAGCTGACAGTCACCTTCTTGTCAAAAGTCAATATTATTTAGATCTGAGGAGATCAGACGTTTCCCCGGCATCAAACCCTGATTTCCCCGAAACAAAGATTAGATATCCCATCTCTTGCCAAGTCCCCCAAGGTAAGCCATCAACATCTCCGTGGTCATCCATACTTCTCACCATCCTATTCTGCATATCAGTTAACATATCTACGAGCAGTCACTCTACTCCAGCCTATCAAGTTACACGTCGCAAAATGCCTCCTCTAGACACCGAGTCTCAGTTCAAGTTCCTGATCGTTTGTATCAAGCATTCGACCGCCGGCAAGGTGAGGACTTTTGCCTAGCACACGCTTTCATACCATTATGCCATGCGTTATCCCGCCTATCTCCTCGTACTAACCTCTAAGATAGGTCGACTTCGGTCGTGTCGCCGAAGAGTGTGAGATCGTCAGTAAGGGCGCCGCGTAAGTTTTGCCCCTCTAGTACTAACCTTGCGACCATCCCTCTCTCCTCACCCCGGCCCAAATCCGTCTATCTCCATGTCATATCTAGGTTCTTGGACGTGCAGCAAATTGGATTCCGTCCTAACGCACATCGTTAGAGCCAAACGGTACGAGCGCCTCATGAAGGCTCATGGCATTACGACCGGCGGCAGCGGCTCCGGTGGGGTCAAGAAGGAGGTTAAAGACTCCAAAGACGGCATTAAAACGCGTACTCCAAACAAGAAGCGTAAGCTGGCAGCAGTTGACGAGGGCGCTGGCGACGTCGATGAGCCCATAAAAACCGAGATCAAAGGTGAAGTAAAAGCCGAGGACATGGTGGCCGTGAAGGCAGAGCAGGAGAGCGGCGCGGGTCGTCTCAACGATGTTGATGCCGGTGCTGGCGGTGGTGCTAGCAGTGGTGGTAGCAGCGGCGCGAGCATCGATACCGCTGTTGCTGCACCCGCCGTGTTCGTCAACGGTCCACCGTCGGCCATAGGACAACGAAGCTTTGGCGGCATCGCGTCGTCGCCTTCGGGAAACGTGCAGGGTAACATCGACGACGGCAACGGCGATGAAGTCCTCGTCATCTCCGCCACGGAGAGGCGTGACGGCAGCAGCGTCCCAGCACACGGCGGTGACGACGGCCACTACAACTACCACAGCCACCAGCACCACCACTCACATCCGAATCCGCACTCACCCGCTCCGACGATCCCGGGGATCCGTTCATTTGACTACGCCGCTAACATGGGGTTCCCCCCGCAGATGAGTCCGACGACGACGACTACGACGACGGCGGCGGCGAAGATGACGCCACCGTCGCATAGTCCGCTGCCCTACGGCTTCCCGCCTAGTCCCTGGATGTACTCGCACAACTCGCATGGGTACCTCTAGCAAGTGTTCCCTAGACTTTTAAACGGGAAAGGAAGCAAGCTAGCAGGTACTTGCTTGCTCGGTGAGCTGGGACGTATCGTCGCCGAAAGAGGAGGACAGCCACCCGCAAGTCTACGGGTTATTTTCAACGAGTGGTATGTTTATACTCCCCGCTGCAGCGGAAGATTGCTCTACTCTGTTTCATACCGGTAGACTAATGATATTGTATGGACAGGCACGTTTTAGGGCGCAAAGGTTAAGGGGGTGGAAGATCGAGAGGAGTGGCACCTGCACTCTGTTGTTTCATGCCCGCATTTCACCATGTTCACTCACGGAGATCCAGTGGTGGCCAATCGAGACGATGCGCTCCTGGCGGATGAGTATTAGTTTATCCTTAGATGCCTTTGCAAAATGGGATCGCAGCCTGGTCGCGCCGGACGGCGATTCTTGTCCGGATACATATCAACTGACTGATTCAGACTCATCTTAAGGTCTGCCAAGGTTTCGTGACCCGAAAAAGTAGCAAATGGAGAAAATGTTGCCGTACTACGTAGTCCGAAGCATAAGATACCTGGTGGCGGTTCGAATTCTGTGCCAGGTGTTATCGCACCCAAGCCGTACAATCTTGGGTGCCTAGCTTGTGGCATCACCACAATCTCTAGATTCTGCCCCCTCCTAAGACTTCCAACGTGTCCCTGCATATGATTAAATACCTCCTACCTACTATAAACGCCCCGTAGCCTATCGCCTTGTTAGATTTGATGTCATCGCGGGGATCGTAATCTTCGGTGCGACACCCGCTGCCCGACTACTTTGGCACTGGATCACAAGTCCATACTACTTTTATCTTTCTATTTTTAGGCGATCTGATAAACGGGCAGTCCCGCATGTGGGGGCGGGTCTGAGGTCTTAGCGATTGATTGGCGCGCGCAACTGATGCAGGGATCGCGGGAGTCCCGCAAAGCGGGGTGTCGACGTCAATTTTAACCTCATCCCTTCGAGCCGCATCCCAATGCCTTGTGTACGTGTCGTACCGCTGGCCACTTTGTCGGTATCTTGTTGCGATTCCAACCATCATACCAAATAACGGGAACCCCTATTCGTAGAGGCATATCGTATGACTCGCATTTCCGTATCTCCGTGCTGCTGTAACGCCGAGCCGCGATCGTCCGACGAGGAGTTAATTCACAGCAGATAGCCCCGCTGCGATGCCGACAGCGTCCTACGTAGGCAGTCACATCTTAACGACTAGCCATTAAGTGAATATTTCACGCCGTGCCCCGACCCGGCGGAGCTTCTCGGGCGATCATTGACTCTAGGATGGCTATATTTACAAGCAGAACACATTCTGTAACCAACTTCTAGTGAAGCTACTGCATTGATGTCCCCTGCTGTCACCTGTAGGGTACACCTGAGGTTCTGAATGGGAAAGTAACATTACAATAGCTATCATATTCTATAGTAGAGTTGATCGAGGACAGGTTACCTTTAGCGAAGTTGGTAGGGTGGCTAAACGTGACATTGAATGGAGTTGTGAGTACTGCTGGTTGGGTTCGTAAATTGCAAATGGATGCTTGAACCGGCGAGGCACTATTTTCTTCAATATTATATCCTAGTAACTTTTCACGTGAATTCAATTTGTCTATTACTATTAGCCTGTGAATTGCTGTGATGCCTTGGCAGTCCATCAGCTGGCACAGTGTGAATATTTTGGTGAGGTGTTGGGTGGCGGATACTAGGCATTCAACCGCTGGTAAGTCACACAGGTGCTTCAATTGAAAATATATTGACTGCTTGGTATAGTTGAGACGCATGGATTGTGGGAATGGAAACTCTACTAATAGTCACACGGTCATCTCTCTGGGAATCTATATAAATGAAATTTCCCGTCGCCTTGTCTCTTCTCCTCGTCTCCCCTAAACCTCACCACCAAGCAACAGATACAGAACCTATCCAGCAGCCACGCCAAACAAGCTGTGATAATCTTCATCTCGGACCAGTAAGTACTCTCTTCTTGGCATACTGACACCTGCCTCCCATCATCTCCCTCTGGTTTCCCGGCCACCACTCGCTATCCTGATACCCTGATACTGCCCATCCTGTTGAGTCTCCCGGCTCCGGTTTTCTGCCACATCCGGAGGTTCACCGCTTTCCTTGCTAAGGAAACCCACCCGAGCCCTTCCCACATTACCCCGGATCTAACCTCCGCGATTCAACATCCCTCTCCCTTCCTCCGACAAGTTCTTTTTTTTCGGGCAAAAAGTCCCCCTTCCCAAAACACCAAAACGTTCACTACCTGCCTGCCAATATCTACCAGGATTCCTGCCCAGCCATACATACACTTCTCCTGAATTCATTTCTTTCCTCATGCAACATCGTCACTTCTCTCGCCGACTAACACACTGTCTTTACCAGATCTCTCCTGCCGATCTGCGACAGGTATGTATTATTTGCAAAATCGCGTTTTATACCCCTGGTTTGGATCTTTCACTTCTCATCTGCACCCCCACCCCTTGCGACATTTCTCTCCAGCACTTCCTCGCCCTTAACCGACATTCTATCGCGTTGCCATTCTCCAATGAGAAATACGCTACCTGCTACAACTAATTTCAGAACATCTCCCCCTGTCGCTGTAATTTTACTGCCTTGAGAATTCATTTGCCTCCCTCTTCCAGTCACCACAACTCCCCATCCCAGGCATTCACATCGCCCCACTTTTACCACAGACAACCATTCTTCCCACTAGTCACCAACTATCAACTTACCTTCTCACCTCAACCTCAAGACTACTTAAGAAGCCTGCCCTCCCCTCAAAATGCAAAAACTTCTTCCCCCATACTACACACTCCCAGTTCATCAACCTCAACCCATATCACCAGCTTCCACTCCCAGCCACTTCGGCCTACCAAAACCACCACTAACTCGACATCAGAAAACAAATTCGGCCATCACTGTAGGATTATTCTCAACGCGGTGCCCACCCAGGCCAAGCCCTCGGTCCACCAAGCACCCAAGTCTCACTAACCGGTCCACGCGATGGCGTAAGTTTCCCTCCACTCCCACCAAGTCCTATACTGCCTTTCCTTCTCTCAAATCTCGTCATCCTACCCAGCCTCCTGTTAACATCTACTGACTTCCGCCACTAGTCCTTTCCGTTTCGGGGGGCCTTTGGACAAGAACCCCGGGGGCCAGGATCCGGTCACGCCCCCCGATAGCGCCGTCCGCTGCCCCGACATGGACCGTAAGTTCTATCACCAGCCAGCACCACCTCCTGCCTTACGTCTGCTGACTTCGACACTAGGAACCGCCAACGACGCCTCCTTCGCCACCAACCACACTCTTGCCAACGGGCAGACGGCTCGCGTTACTTACACCTTTGGCGAGATCAACTCCATGTGGGCCACTCTTCAGGACGCTCGGCGCGAAGGGCTTTTCCCCACTACTACGGCCACCTTCAACGATACTCGCGCGGTTATCGAGGACTACGGTTACTACATGAGCCTTCGTTCCCTCCGCGGCGACGCTCCGCCCGACCAGTGGCCCGACATGCCTGAAGTCGCCGAGTCCCTAACTCAGATCACTCGGGATATCCGCGCTCGCGATAAGGTCGCGGCCAACGCCTCCGAGAGCGATCGCGTTCGCGCTCACGTCAACAACATGATGAGCGGTGTCAATGCCGAGGCTCGTCTTTACTCGATTGTTCAGCATGCCGTCAATTATGCCCACCAGAACGGATCTGGCGAGCAGGCCACTACTCTTACTGGCCAGACCATGGCTGCTCTTCTCGACGGAATTCGCGGCGTCATCACTGAGATGGCTGGAAAGGGCACTCACAACGTCAATGGTACTAACGTTGATGCTGTCATGGAGGATGTCTTTGGTGTTATTGATATGGCCCTTAACGAGAATGCCAACAAGGTTGATGGCCAACTCAACCGTGTTGATGGGCAGATTATGCATCTCGATGCCATTGTTCACCATGTCGGCGCTATCGATGGGCATGTTCACTCTCTTGGCAACAACCTCAATGCCATGAGCACCCTTCTCAACTCGACCAACGGGAACGTGGTTTCTCTCAACACGCAGCTCGGTCTCCTTCAGAGCATCGTCAATCTTCTTCCTCAGATGATCCAGCAGGCTCTCGAGGATGTGCTCCCTCAGGGCATTCAGCCCATCATTACTATTCTCGAGCAGCAGCTAGGTGTTGCCTTGGCCAACCGTATCGGAGCAATTGCCGCCGCGAACAAGAAGGCCCGTCGGGCCAAGAAGTTCTCTAAGTTCCTCAACTTCTTTAAGAAGCCCTCCGACAAGGGCGACCGGAAGGACGGGAACGGCGACAAGGACTTCGGGCCCGGGGCCGGCTTCGGCGGTGGCATTGCTGCCTAAGCAATGCGCCACACACCTTTTATCCCCACATGATATTCCCCCCTGCGTTGGATCCATACTAGTACTGTTCTATTAGTGTAAACGTCTTTATATCTCCACCGGAGATCACCTTTGGAGTTATCAGGTCGACGCGGTCCTCTGATCCTACCGAATGCACTAATCAGCCCACCCCGCATCGTCGTCTCCTCGGCACTTATGCGGGAGGGACCGCATCTTCGGAGGACCAAATCGTCTGCATTTACTCAGTACATACGTTTTGCTCACAGCAATTGCAAGTGAGTTTAACCCAACCCCCGACCCCTTTCTCTCCGGCCGACGACTGACTAACCGCCAACTGTTGCAGGGACAAGCTATCCATATTCGGGCACGGTATTACGACGATTATGACCGACACGATCACTCCTTTGGTACATAGAGCAGGAGGGAAGAAATCGCGTTGTGGTGTATGATAGGTGTCCCCGCTGCACAGCTTCCAGGGGTCTTTGGAGGCTATATCTTACTCATTATACTTACCAAAAAAATAAAGAAAAAAAATAAAACCCAAAACGGGGCCAGTCTTGATTGTAGCAACGTGACACGTAAAGATTGTGGTGATTTGATGCTTTCGTAGTTCGTGTTTGAATGCGCATGTGCTATGTGCTGAAATCTGGCTATGTCTAGCCCGCAATCCTATCCCGGAACAAGTAGGTACGTCATCGGCACTCGGGACTAGAGTATCCCCGTATTGTAGGGTCTTTACGATGTGCGAGAACTCAACTTTCAGTGCGGGCTTAACTCTGTGTCTCCTAGAGACTTGGTTAAATAGTCGGCGCGGGTGGTGGTTCTGGCTATATATGGGCTTTTCTTGAGCACGCGATATCGTTATTTTATGACGTATGGGGTTGTGACGTATGGAGTGGTGTATCTCATTAATGCGCAGCGGCCCGCGTTGCCCCAGCCCGTTGGTATCCCCAGCTTTTAGCCTTGGCGTATAATTGGCAATGGTTTGGTGGGACCGGAAGGTACTTACAACATGCGCTTGTCTTCCGGTTCTGAGCCGTTTAGCGCCCCGTCTACTTCGAATTCCTTGCTTCTTCGCTCCAGGTGCTTTCAAGGCTCTCGATTTTCAAGATGCCCTGCGCCGGGTTTCGGAGTTGATATTGAGTGTTGAAGTTGCTTGCGTAGGAGTTAGGTTGTGGCCCTCATCTCTACCCTGTATCGATGATGACATCTTGGGCCCGGGGAACAGGCGCCTGGGAACAGATGTGGGGTTCTCTTTGCCGGGACGTGCCGCAGGTGCTATTTTTACTCATACACGCGAGGTAGTTGGATTGCCCAAGACTTTAAAAATACGGAATGCTTGATTGGATTCCATGTTGCCCCGGGGATTGACCACTAAGATGCCTAGTAATACCGAACGTTGAATAGAATGTCACGTTTGCGAAATACCCTTACTGAAAAATACGGCTATCTGTATCCTTTGTGCCGCCGTCGTCGCGGGCCCGTCTAATGATCTATACATAGGTCGAAAATAGACGTTAAATATACTCACTCACTCACTCACTCACCCTTACTGAAATAAGGCCGACTACAAATCCGTTTTTTTCCTCGTGTAGCTATGCGACTCCACGACCCCTGTTCCACGTACTCTTATTCCTCTGTCTCAAAGTCCCACCCTCAAGAGAATCCTGGAGCTTGATATCGACGTCTAATTGATACCGACCTTGCGTTAAACACATTGGCAGGGGGCAGACAGCTATCATATCCGAGTACCGATGTTCTGTTTCAATTGGCGCAAAGGGAGTCGGGGAACCGACCTGATCAGCTTCTCATGCATCATGCAGAGTCGACTTTCCCTTTCCGTCAATCATCTGGAGTAGCTCCCCAATCAGTAGCGGCGCCAAGTCGCGACGGAAAATGACAGACCACGTCGTATATAATGTTGCTTTTAGAAAGTTCTGCCGATCAATGGGGCAAAACCCAAAGGTAATGGCCGCGGGTTGACTACGCCATACCGCGGACACCACTTTCCACCCCGCCAAAAAGAGGAGGGGGGGGCGGGAGGGGACATCGAAAACCCGACGTGCCCGGCGACCAATGCTATCAATAGCACCATACTGCTTCTGTTTCTAGCGGGTCTCAATCATTACTTACTGACCCTGTTATCTATTGCAATGCAATGTGCCTCTTGGCAGCACCTTAACCACCCCAATATCTACAGCAACCCGACGAATAGTCCACAAACACGCTCCATTGCCCAGTTAGCCCTCCTTAAACAGGGGGAAGGGAGGAAGAACCTGTGTCTATCCGCCGTTGAGCAGTATCCGCATACTACAATATTTAACAGATGACTACCATCATCCAGGCTGGTATGAGGATATTTAGACGTGGTTTACCGATGTTGATCCCGAAATTCGAAAGTGACACATCTATGGTGCGACACTCGCCCCTAGCATAGCGCCAGCTGCTAATTAGTAGGTAGGCGACAAGACATCTCCATCTAGCACAATAAACAGCCATATTTGGTAAGAACATAGTATATATTGACTTATAAAATCACTTCATGTACACCTTATTGATCTGTCTAAACTCCCCAAAGCCAAGATGTATTTGCATTAAACTCGGGGTTGAGAGAGGAACCGCGCGAAGGGATGGGAATGACATATGAGGGCCCCTCGTATCCCGTGTCCGACCTCGAAGGCCCGATTCCTAGAAAAATAGCCCCCGCTTCAATCTGTATCCCTGATAATTGTGTCCCGGTCCTCGTTCGCATTCCCCCCCTCCCCTGAAACCAAAGAAATGAAAAACCCTCCTTATTCTGCATCGCATTCGGTCGTGGTGCGCCCGCCATTATGGCGCACCGCCATCAGCGCCGGGGTCGGGATCGCCCCGGTGTATGCAGCTTATGACTGGTCTTAGCTTTCGGAGTATAGCCTCTTGCCTCGAGCGGGGGGCGGTGAAGCGTCCTGCCCTGGTGTCGCCGACGCTGACGGCGACTTGGCGGTTGCTCTGGGGGGTGACGTCGGACTCAGCGGGGAGGCTCATATCATCGCAGAAATCGATCTTGACGTCGTAATCGTTGTCGTGCCTGGGGTCGACGCAGCTAAGGACAAACCTGAACTCTTTGATGCCCGTGAAGTGGTACTGCTCGTCCAAGGACTCGGTATCCGGTATGTCCACGTTGAGGTAGACCCTATTCGGTAAGTACGGCAGGCCCGAAACCATCAGCGTGTTCACCAGTATCGTCCCGATCTTGCCGAAGAGTCAACTCGGCAACGGCGCCGGCCTCGTCATGTGCGGCAGCCAGCGGAAGCCGGACGTCGAGATCGCGATGGCCGGGATCCGGCGCTCGCGCACGTGAACTTGGCCGCGTTCGCCGAGCCCGAGTATAACGTGTCGTAGGTGAGGTGGTTGAGGACGGTCGGGCCCGCGGCCACAAGCTCAGGCACGGAGCCGTTCCACACCTCGGGGCGGAAGACGGCGATTCCGTAGCGGGCGGGCTGCTGTCACGGGCAACGAATTCACCCACTCGCAAGATCGTGGTTAGCCCTTTTATTTAAAATTTTCTTAAACCTGCAATACTTCGAGGCGGCTCTTGTGCCTGCGGAGGTCGAGTACCGCCCATCATATTGCGACACGAACGACAGCGAAGAATCCTGGAAGGGGCTTACGTTCAGCTGCGGATCGACGTTATCAGCACCATAGGCGCCATGGATCCCGCGGCAGCTGTCATACTGACACGGCACGCCCCGCCAGATGGGTTCTACATCGAGGTCGCCTAGAGAAATCGTTATTTACTGAGTCAGGAGCATATTCGAGGCACCGCGAAGGCACCACCGGTTCTGCGTATGGTAATTTACTTGCCTCGAATTTCTCGTCGGGGGGGCGGGGGGCATGCCGATAGGAGCATGTCGTGGCCTGATTCGCGGAGCGAATCGAACAACGATCAGGTGTAGAGCTCGTCCCAACCATCTTCGTTTGTCAAGAGGATGCGCACAGCCTGCTCCCAAGATGGGTAGCAGGGCCAGGACGAAGGGAATACGTATTTGCATGATGAATGCCGGTGATGCCCAATCGTATGGTATAAGATATCGAAGGACACCGACGGTTCTCAACCGTATGATATGGGATATCGGGGGAAGTTGAGGATATGGGACGTCGAAGGGCGTTTGTGACGCTCAGTCGTATAGTATCGAGTCCGGTAACCAGCTGTGAGAGGGATTAAATACTTGCCCCTACCTGAGCACCGTGACTTACTATGACGACTCTCACGTCTTAAAGATGCTTGAGTTACGGACTACGTAGCCGTACGCACGCTCCGGTGACTCTTTTCAAGCGAACAACCCTTCTTCCGGCAGCTATCTTTATGAGTACTGTAGCACATTGTGGAGTCATAGCGGGGCCATGGCTTCGCAGTATGCATCCGGTGTAGTGGCTCTCACAAGTTAGGGAGGTGATTTCAGGACCTGGAAGGAATTCCTGATTCTATATACACCAGGATCGCGGTGATAACGTTCACTCTTTGCATAACGCATTAGGGGCCAAGCTGTCATACACCGTCCGACTACGAATCAAGCTCGGCTATAGCGCCGAGGTGAGTCAACGAGGAACCTGTCAGTCAGATCCCCCCAGTCTTGTAATCAAGAGACGAAACCCAAATGGTTTGACCCGGCTTCATTATTACTACGGGCGGAGTTCACATGATCTCTGCGTAATCCGTAAACTTCTATATTCCGTCCAACTTGCTATTTTCTTCAGAGGGGGAAAGGGGGAGGTGGGGAAATCCATTCTCCTGGGCCAGGACTCCAACCCTCACTATGCATTGCCAACGAAGTTATATCCCGTTTCTCCTTTTTTCTTTAAAAATAAGGAGAGGGGGGGGCAGGGTGCAATTATTTATCGTGTCAAAAGCGGTGCGTTGGATAAGCCCGATAGGTAGGGACACGCTTGTGAACTCTATAAGGCCCTCTAATAATCCGCAGTCAGTTCCGAGAATCGTAATTTTACTACTACTATACAAGTTATACACGGGCTTCAGATTAGCAATGGCGACCTAGAGTATGGCTCAAGGGTAGAATAGCTCCTAATATCCCCCATTTCCTCCCTCGTCATTACCAGACATTGAGTCGCGTGTGCTAATCAGCATATCCCTTTTGTCTAGTCCACGCAAATGCCCGACTCGGATCCGTCGTAACGCGTCTTCTTGGGGTACGGGCAGAGGACGCTGGTCTCGACATTCCCGTCCTCTCTGGGTGGAGATGTTCCGACCAACGTTTCGGGGGCAACGCCATTTTCGACCCACGAGACTAGAGCGTCGAAGGTTCCTGCTGGGTAATATCCAAAGCCGCCGAGGCAGTGGCTGAGCCCTGGCGATTCAAAAAGACGGTAATAATCATGGACCGTCGAATCCCGGGCGGCGACCTGTTCGAAAAAGCTTCTTGTGCCATCCGAAGGAACGGTGATATCAGCCTATAGCAGTCTTCACGTTAGCTTCTATAGATGCGAGGATGCGCCGAGTTGCTTAGCAGTACTTACCAAGCCGTGATAGGAGATCAGCTTGCCTCCCGCGTCTCGGAAACTGTCAAGGTTGGGCTCTACGTCGAACACTGGCGCCCATTCTTTCCTCGAAGCTCGGAATACATCCTCGAATTCTTCCGTGGTAATAGTCGTTACATCGAAGTTGGGGTCCTTCTTGACGAGATACTGGATCCATAGGATGGTGACCAGAAATGGGTTTCCCGAACAGGTCCCGTCTGCCAAGCACACAGTCGTCGCGAGCCCCGGATTCAAGCCTAAGGCGGTCATCTCCTCGACCAACCTGGTTCCTTTCTCGAGCCCCCACCAGAGGAAGGAGCCGTCCGTTGCACGGGGACCTGTCCACGTGATATTTGTGACGTTGGCAGCAAGCTCGGAGATTTCCACGGTTTCGGGGCTGTGCTCATCGTAGCAGCTAATGGACGTGCCAACAAGGCTGAACGGGTCGAAGACGCAAGCGTCCGGGTCCGCGATGACATTATCGACCCGGCCGTCGTTGGCGTCGCAAGCTGCGATCGCCGCATCGGTATTCGCGGCGATCTCGCAGTTCCACGGGTATCTGCCCAGGGTGTTCATGAAAGTCTGGGGCCACAGGTCGCCCACGCCCAGGCCGGAAAAGTCCAGGGCCGGCGCCGAGGCTGCAATGCCATCAAACGCGTCGGGATACGTCTCGGCGAGCTTATAGCCCTGCCGTCCGCCTTGCGAGCAGCCAGTAAAGTACGAGAACTTGGGCGGCTCGCCGTAATAGCTCTTGGTCACGGCCTTTCCGACTATCGACAATTCGTTGAGTGACGTCGTGCCGAAGTTCTCGAACAGGCCCAGATTCAATTTGCCGGGGCTCTCGAACGCCCACCCCTCAGGAGTCTCGCCGGTGAGGCCGGCATTGGTGGTCGCGGTGGCATATCCCTCAGCAACGGCACCAAACATAGAAAAGTTGGAGAGCGGGGAATCAAGACCTCCGGCTTGCCATCCTCCACCGCCGACCGCCTGGAGCCTGCCGTTCCAGTCTACCGGGAGGAACACATCCACGGTTACATTGTCGGATCTTCCGGTGTGGGTGTAGGACGTCGTGACATGGCAGAAAGTGACCCCCTCCCTGTTGATGGCGCCGTGGTTAGGATATAAACCCTCAATCACCTGCACCGTTATATTGGAGACCAGGGCGGCGGTAATGGAAGTAAATTCCGCACCCGCCAAAGTCGGATACGGTATCTTGCAAGGAGTACACATGGTGCTGGCGAGAAGGAGGGAGGTGTAAAGGTGACAACGAGAGTCGTGGCCGTCTAGTTGTCAGCGCGAGGATGAGACAGGCCACCTGGTTGTCGAATCTAAGGGGCGGTCCATGGCTTTAAGTATTACGATGGGTGCGGAATCTCTCGCGTACCCTTTCGGCTTGGCCGTCGACTCGCCCTGGCCCCTATTGGTTTTTTCCTGATGAATGCCGAAGGGTGTCGGAGGAGAGCACAGAGGACGTATGAACGACAAGCCTTGGTGTCTAGGACCATATGCATACCTGGACACGCCTGCTTACACCTACGTAGTATACCTACGTAATATGCTCATGCGGGTCTGCTTATTATGTGTCTCTAGGGCGTAAATTCTGACTGTTGCACGGCGTAGGTATACCTAGTAGGTACCCACAGGCGCATAACCTGTCAGACCGGAACACTGTAGGCACCTGTAGGCCCCTAGATGTTAGGTACCTTAGGTGCCTAGCAGTTGGGGCAGGTTATGTGGCGGTGGCAGGCAGCGTAGCCTGGTATAATCAATATGCTCTATTGCGCTCAATAACGCCGATAGCGATCGGAGCGACGCAAATGTTCTATTAGTAGGTGATTCCTTCGTCTCGACGGCCTCATGCACGCAGTACCTACTGAATCCTTGATCATCGACTGCCCCTGGTTCGAATCCCCCCAGGTCCACTGCAGGCACGGATTCAAAACCAATCCTTCCACTAATTTCCCCCCGACTGCTTATCTGCCAGGGTCCGTCCTAAGCGGATATGCCCTCTTCCTTCTCAATCTCGTCCTGGCTGGGGGACCACTGGTCCTGCAGCTTCTTGTTCAGCGTGAGCTTATACACGTCTTTAGGCCACCACTCGCCCCAGCTCGTTAGGAAGATCTGATCCGGGTCCTCGGGGAAGTCGTCTCGCGTGAAAGCGCGGTAGATGCTTTGAGCCCCTGTTCGCTGCGTTAAGACTGAAATCCTTACGTGCGTCCCCCCCCAGAGACGATGAGTCCCAAGAGGCAGGGTCAAAACATACCTTCCGCGACGCTCTTCGCGTCCGGGTGGTTCGCAGGAATCTCAACAGAGCCGTTGCGCATGAGCCCTGTACCTGGGATCAACCCCGGCGAGACCGCGACAACTGTGCATGTGCCTTGGAGTTGGCGACGCCACCAGTGCGCCCCGAGAAGTTGGGCGAACTTCGTGGCGCAGTACACACCTAGTGGCGGCTTCGAGGCGCCATTTACCTCTGCCTCAAGTCGGTCTGCGATTCTTTACATGAGATACACGGTCGTCTAGGAGGGGAAATCTAGGTGTAACGGCAGGCCTACCGGGATCTGTGATCTCGCGGACGCCTCCGCTGGAGACGATTACGATGCGCGAGCGTGACGCCTCCAACTTCTCTCGAAGCAGATGGGTGAGGTAATGCTGGGCTGTCACTGTTGTCAGCGACAGCATTCAGGGTCGAGGGGACCGGAACCTGTAGGCTCTTACAAAGATGGTTGACTATGTAGGATTCGCTCCACTTGGAGCCGTGATGACCGGGCTCGTCAGTGCTCTTCGATATAGCCGCATTGAGTAGTAGGTAGTCGACGTTGTCCTGCCCAATTTTACTAAGGGCATGCTGCGAGAAGGCCTTGACCGTTTTCAGGTTTGACAACTCCAGCGGAAAGATGGTCAAGCTGTGCTTGGCGTTGTCGTATTCCAAGTTATCGAAGGCTGCCTGCGCCGTCTTCGTGTCCCTAGCTCCGAGGATGAGCTTGTACGGCTGGGTCTGCGCAAGAAGCTGTTTTACGAGTTCGAAGCCCTGGATGACGGATGCCGATGAGCGGATGCCTCGGAAGGTATCGTGGGGGGGGTGTACAACTTACCAAGCCTGAAGTGGCTCCTGTCGCCACAATAGTCTTCGCAATACCAGTTGCCATGATGGAGGGCTTTGAGAGTATAAGTTGTGTTGTATTTCTATAAGATACGACAGTTCTACGTTGAGGTGATAGTGCCATTCAACCTTGGCTTATGTATCATCCCGAATCTCGGGAAAAGCTGCTAAAGACCGATGTAATCCATCGAAGAGAGTCGTTTGCTGACAAATCTACATTACATCTCACGCCCTATTATATTGTATTTCGTATTTCATGTAAAGGCGCGTCGGGTTGCTGTGATCGTTACTTATGTGATCTCATCTCTGCCAATGACCAGTGATCACGGCGTAAATTTCACATGTGGTTCAGATTAGGTACTCGTTTTTAACCATGGCTCAATCGCAGTGAAGAGTTGTTCCAATCAAAGTCAAATGGCAGACATTGCCAATGTTGGACCAATGCGGGGTTTGACGACGTGCCAACAGCTGTCACCGGCTGGCAGCCCATCAATTTCAAGCCTTCAGGTTAGACATCTTGGATGTTGTCATATCTTCTTGCCGGTAGAATCAACAACGTGAACCCGTCCGTTGAATTTTTTTTCTGTAAACCCCGTCCGCCTCCTAATGCACCTATGAGATACCTCATTGCATATCTACGTCCAGCCCCTCACCACATGCAGGTAACGAGGCAACTTCAGCAAATCGAATTCTACGAATTTCCATGACCCAATTGTACAGTGGCCCCGCCATGCCTCTTCCGGTTTAGCGTCAATTAGCTCCGGGTTCTGGCCGTTTCCTCCGTCATTGGCGACCAAAATTTTTGAAGCTTTTCTTCCCCAGAAGGTTCGAGTGAGAGATTCTTCCCCTCGATATCTTCAATCCCTCCATCCCACCGCCTCCTCGTCCTTTTCTCCCTCCTTTCCCCTTCCACTCCTCGTCGCCTGCTGCTTTCTCTGCGCCCTGTCGTCTCTGTCTCACTTCCACTCTCCTATATCTGTCACAATGCAGCGTGCTCTCTCCTCGCGGGCGCGGGCCTCGGTCCTGTCCTCTGCTGCTGCCACCAAGTATCGGGCCGGCGCGGGTCTTTCGCAACAGGTTCGGTTTGCGCACAAGGTTGGTACTTCAATCGCTTCGATTATAACACCTGCTGTTATTCCTAAAATGTGCTAATTGATCGTCGTAGGAACTGAAGTTTGGTGTCGAAGGCCGAGCTTCGCTACTGGCCGGTGTCGAGACCCTCGCCAAAGCCGTGGCCACAACGCTCGGTCCCAAAGGCCGAAATGTACTGATTGAGTCAAGCTACGGCTCTCCCAAGATTACCAAGGGTACGTCATTTCTCGACGTCGCGCCGGGGCCTGATTCGAAATACTAACGGCGGCAATTTCCAGATGGTGTCACTGTCGCCAAAGCTATCAGCTTGCAGGACAAATTCGAAAATCTTGGTGCACGGTTACTCCAAGATGTCGCCTCTAAGACGAACGAATCCGCTGGTGACGGAACGACGAGCGCAACCGTGCTAGCTCGTGCTATCTTTTCGGAAACCGTCAAGAACGTTGCTGCCGGGTGCAACCCCATGGACCTGCGACGTGGCACCCAAGCCGCTGTGGACGCTGTTGTGGAATACCTTCAGAAGAACAAGCGGGATATCACCACGTCCGAAGAGGTCGCCCAGGTCGCCACTATTAGTGCCAACGGAGATACTCATATCGGCAAGTTGATTGCCAATGCTATGGAGAAAGTCGGCAAGGAGGGCGTCATTACCGTCAAGGAGGGCAAGACGATGAACGACGAGCTAGAGGTGACGGAAGGTATGCGATTCGACCGCGGCTACGTGTCGCCCTACTTCATCACCGACGCCAAGTCGCAGAAGGTCGAATTCGAGAAGCCCCTCATCCTGCTTTCCGAGAAGAAGATCTCCGCCGTGCAGGATATCATCCCTGCTCTAGAAGCTTCGACCCAGCTGCGAAGGCCTCTCGTCATTGTCGCCGAGGATATCGACGGCGAAGCTCTGGCTGTTTGCATCCTCAACAAGCTCCGGGGCCAACTCCAGGTTGCCGCCGTCAAGGCACCCGGCTTCGGTGACAATCGGAAGTCGATACTCGGCGATATCGCCGTCCTCACCAACGGCACCGTCTTCACCGATGAACTTGACATCAAGCTGGAGAAGGCTACCCCTGATATGCTAGGTTCAACTGGCTCCATTACCATCACCAAGGAGGATACCATCATCCTCAACGGGGAAGGCAGCAAGGACTCGATCGCTCAGCGATGTGAACAGATTCGCGGCGTTATGGCCGACCCTACCACATCTGAATACGAGAAAGAGAAGCTACAAGAACGTCTTGCCAAGCTCTCTGGTGGTGTTGCGGTCATCAGGGTTGGCGGCTCGTCCGAGGTTGAGGTCAGCGAGAAGAAGGACCGCTTTGTCGACGCTCTGAACGCCACGCGCGCTGCTGTCGAGGAGGGTATCCTGCCTGGCGGCGGTACTGCTCTGCTCAAGGCTGCTAGCAACGCCCTGGGAGACGTGAAGTCGGCCAACTTCGATCAGCAACTCGGTGTTAGCATCATCAAGAACGCCATTACCCGACCGGCCCGGACGATCGTAGAGAACGCTGGCCTGGAAGGGTCTGTGGTTGTCGGCAAGCTGATGGACGAGTTCGGCAAGGATTTCAACAAGGGCTTCGATAGCTCCAAGGGAGAGTACGTGGACATGATCCAGGCCGGCATCCTTGACCCGCTCAAGGTTGTGCGAACCGGGCTCGTCGACGCCAGCGGCGTCGCGTCTCTGCTCGGCACCACGGAGGTTGCCATCGTCGAGGCGCCCGAAGACAAGGAGCCTGGTGGTGGTGGTGGCATGGGCGGCGGCATGGGCGGCATGGGCGGCATGGGGGGGATGATGTAATGAGCCCATGTACGAAGTGAGCTCTTCTCTTTTCTTGTACCAAACAAAAGGTCGGGTTCGGGAGCATTGACCCGGGCGTTACGCGGATGGATGAATGGATGGATGGATGGATGAAAACGTGTCTATGTCATCTCTTCTCTCTCCCCTCTACCCTACCCCCCCTTGTATTTAGTTCCTCCCATCTCCCGACGATATCCTCCATGGCGCTGTAAAAAAGGATGTACATTAGAGAAATGAGCTACAGGCTACCACTTTGGTAGATGATCAATATGGATTTAACTGATATGCCTGGTCTCTCACGCGACGCGCGTTTGCGATGAGAATTCGAAGGCTCGGAAGAAAGCTGGCCTACACGGGACGGATAAGCAGAAAGTACTTAGGTATAAAAATAACAGGTAAACGCCCACGGACCGCTCTTATCACGCTGCCTGGTGACAGAGGTAGGTAATGTGTGCTGGGGCACGCGGCGAGGACGATTGCGTTGTCAATTGGTAGATCAGTCCAATAAGGTCAACCCGGAGAGGCAGCAACGGCCAGTTCCTAGCTGGCTGGCCGGCTAAGCCTCTTTCAGGCATACACCCCAGGGTAAGAGGGCTGCGGGTCGTCATAAAATGGGAGGTTATCGCGCGTATCACGTGAACGACTCCTGCCTGGTGAGGTACTTGTGTAAGGAGGTACCTACCTTGGGTACCTGTATTACGTAGATATACATGTACCTGTATGTATATGCGAGGTAAGATGATGAAATCAGCTGGACCGTACATTGCGTCTCATGGCCGGTGGATGGTCTCCTGTTGCCCGACCGTCGACCCAGTTACGGCTGATAAAAGGGACGTCTCTATGGGATTGGGAGGTGCAGAGGACGGCGTAATTGGAGAACAGCGAACTTTGGACCATAGGCACCTAGGATGTGTGCACCTTAGGTAGGTACCTACTAAGGTGGCGGCACATTTCGCACCAGATCGGAGCGAGGGACTCGCCTTGCTCGGGGTTCCTCTAAGTAGGTAGGTACCTGCCCCTCTCCGTAAAACGTAGGAGATTGCAAAGTACCCTGCAGTACCCCTCTATCCCATGGGCCAACTGCCCACACCCGCTCATCCTTGCCCCGCCTTTCTAGTGAGGTCCTCCCCCCTCCTCTGCGGCCTATACCTTAGGTAATTTGCCTCCTAACGTACTAGCCCAGGTAGAGAAAACCTCACATGCAACGGGCAGCGGGCAGCGGGTTGCGGGCTTGCAGTACTTGCACAGGTACCTGCCTCCTGCACCTACATACCCCCTTTCGTCAGGTACCCGAGCTAGGTAGATACCTCTCTCCTCCTCGTCGTTCCCCCCTTTCTCCCAAGTCCTCTGTTATTCTCAAAACATTTAACACCTCCCTCCCTCCCGCTTTCTTCCCTCTCCGTACTGACCCCACCAACCAACCCGGACCAAGGCTTTGTGTTGTTGTTTTTCCAGTCCACCGCTGTCCATCGTGCGTGCCTCTCTCTCTTTCTCTCTCTCTCTTTTTCTTCCCTTCTTCACCTGCCCGACCTCCCCCTCCATTGCGATAGTGCCCACACTAAAAGCATCCCACCGTTTCCGATCCCCCTTTCGCTTTCACCACCTAACCTCCTTCTGTCTTCTTCCCCCGAAATATCGCAACCATCTCCAGTCCACAGCGAGGGTACCATCCCCTCCACCCCCCCTCAAAGCAGATTCCTAACCCCCCCAGTAATTCATGTCAGTTATCATCGACTTCGACGTTGTTGATATGCCACTCGATTCTACCCAACTTATTTCTGCCGGAACTCCGCTGATAGCCCACATTACAGCTTGATCCCCGATCCTCATTTGGTCCTGCGTAGCTTGAGCACGTCTGGTCAAAATGGTGAGCAATCGAGTCCAACTATTGCCCACAGACGTCTGCTAATGCTGAGATCTCCAGTCTCAATCAGGGTATGTTAATTCGCACTAGTTATCACTCGTTCCGTTGTCGTAAACGATGTTGTCCGCGATCGGATGCCCGCGCGTCCTGCACTTCCCATGATGCAGTTGCCCTACCCGAGCTGTCCCGGAAGGGAAAGAAAATTTGGGAAATAAGGACGGGACGTGGGATGGAGAGGAACAGGGAAGAAGTAGAGGTGCTGACCTTGCTGGTCCCGTCTAGAGCAACGGTCTCGCAGGAGTGCGTCTCCCACTTCAATGACCTCAAGCTTGCGAAGAAGTACAAGTACATCATTTTCAAGTTGTCCGACGACAACCGGGAGATTGTTGTCGAGGAAGCGTCTGCAGACAACGACTGGGAAGCCTTCCGTCAGAGGCTCGTCAACGCTACCACTAAGAGCAAGTCTGTAAGTACCGGACTACGACTGCAGGGTTTGGCTTCGGCGCGAAATCCTAATCACAATGTACCGTTAGGGCGCCGTCGGCAAGGGTCCCCGATACGCCGTGTACGACTTCGAGTACAGCCTTGCCAGCGGAGAGGGCTCACGGTTAGTATTTCCAGCCTAGGCAGCAGCGTAGGCATACCATGCTAACGGAGCCTAGAAACAAGATCACCTTCATCGCGTGGTCGCCTGATGATGCGAACGTCATGGTCAGTGCTCCCATTTATTTTGAGGAAACCCGGACGCGTCATGCTTAACTACTTGTGCAGGCCAAGATGGTGTACGCCTCGTCGAAGGAGGCCCTGAAGCGCTCTCTGAATGGCGTAGCCACCGAACTGCAGGCCAACGACCAGGACGACATCGAGTACGACACAATCTTGAAGGTGGTCAGCAAGGGCCTGGCCGGCTAAGCGCTATCGTCGACTTTCCCCGAAACTCGGCCCACCCGAGTCAGCCGTGATGGAGCTTTTGGAAGATGGCTACTTTGAGGGGCACCCGCGTGCCAAGGTCCACGACGAACCATCTAGGTGCAGATATAACTGCAGGATGGATGGGGTGTTTATAAACTCTCTCCCTACTGCTATGTCATTGCCGTTGTTGTCATTGAGTAGTCGTAGGGGCTAGTTTGGTCGCTTTTTCTTAGACAGGCACGACATGAAAGCTTTCCCAGACTTGATGTTAGCCGAAGGTATACACGCATACACCATCACACACTCGCACGCTTCCATACGACTCGCTTCCGATGCACAAGACACGAGGGAAGCTTCCCAGCTGAGATGTAGATCATTCGCGTTGTCCTTCCGCGCCACGATGCCTATGCCGCTTTTTACATCATTTTGGTCGGTGTTGTTGCTTGATAATTGTCCCAATTATACCTTGTTTATCTAACTGCTTGACTGCCTGTCTGCCCGACTAGCATTATTGTGGCCAGCTCGTCTATGTCGGAGATGTCCAGCACATGTATTTAGTTGACCCTCTCACGTCCTTGCCTTCCAAGCCGCCTGAAACACATTTGTAAGCTCTGTAGCCGTCTTCTCGTCACGTATCCGCTGCGTTAGGAACCCCCTCAAATCGTCCCAAAATTCCTTGGTCCGGAGCACGTCGGCGCCCTTAGTCTGGGCGCCGCTCGCCTGGGCCTTTTCCGCCAGGTGCGCCGAGGCCAGCGTCGAGGCACCACCTAGCACCATGACCGAGAACTCGACGGCGGCATCGGCCGCGGCGTCAGGCGCGACCAAGTCCCGTAGGGCCTTGCTGTCGGCGACGGGCTTCTTGGCGTGGAGCAGGCGCAGCTTGTCGGCGGGGACGCCGGTCTGCCGCGCGACGGCGGCGCGGATGTCGAGAACCGAGGTGGCCGGGTCCTGGGGCGGCAGGCGCACCTCGAGCGGCGGATTGCGCAGGGACTTGACGACGACGGCGAGCCGGCGCTCGTGCCCGGGGACGGCGCCGTGAGGTCGAGGGGCGGCGGTGGCGACGTTGGTGCGCTTGCGCATGGGCCTAGGCATTCTAGGCAGGATGTACTATGCGAGAGAGGGCAATGGGATGTTAGCGAGAGGTCGAGAGGTAGAGATAGGCGGGGGGGGCAACAGAGGTAACGGGGGGAGAGGCTGGACGTACGGGACTGCGCGCGGCGTAGGTCTTGGGGTCCTCGACGTGGTCTGGCGACAGCTTCATCGGGCGGGCGTCGAGGCCCGCGAGGAAGAACTTGGCGAAGGCTACTTCCGCCATGGTTTCCTGCCTGGTCTTCTGCCGTTGGGCACGGTATTTAGCTGTGCTACTGATCGTCCTGCCTTGTTTGGGCCGCCAAGGTTCGTGACAAGAGGTAGACTCTCGACCCGTGAATTTCGCTGGGCTTCGGTGACGAAGTTACGGCCCACAGGGTCCCGCACCACTGCACGCGCCACTGAAGATCGTGGGTACGATAGATCCCGCTTTCACGTGGCTAGAATGTGTGGCTTGTCGCCTGGCTGGGCAGGGTCCTGCTTATGTAAGACTCGAGGAAGGGGAAGCCAAACTAGTCCGTGCGAAAGTGGACCTGCTAGTTCTTATCAGCTTATCGGGGAGAGAAAAAAAGTTCACGGACAAATTGCTGGATCGCATTGGAGTTTTGGTGCAGCATCTATAGCCGGTACAAACTACACTGATACTCAATCCCCGCCCCATTTCTTTCTCAACGACCGCCAAAACACGAGACAAGAAAACATGGGTGTCGGCCGTCGTATGAAGAAGCAGGGCCCTCCCGAGCCGCTGTCAGAAGAGCATTATGCGAAGCTAAAGCGAAAGGCCGGATTACCTGTAGACGATGTCCCCACCGAGGCGCCGAGTAAGAAGAAGCGGAGGACCACGACAGAAGCAGCACCATCTGTCAAGCCGAACGGCGACGGCTCGAAGAAACCAACCCCAAACTCCAACAGCGGGGGTAAACCCAACCGCGCGAAGGCTGCACCTGTGCCGACTCCCAAACAAAATGGGAAGAATGCGAAGTCGAAAACGAAGAAACCCGTGCCGGAGCCAGAGTCCGATGAGGATATCAGCGATGGTCTCGGGGAGGGACTCGATGACCCAGAGTTGGACAATGACGAGTTCTCTGATTTAGACGTAGATAAAGTGGGCGGTCTGGGTGACGACTTCCTGGGCTCGAATGACTCCGTCTTCGATTCGGACGAGGACCAGAGGGACCGAAAGGCCATGTTCTCAGAAGATGAAGACGACTCGGACGCCGAAGAGAGACTCACGGCGGCCAACATCGCTGGATTGTCGAGGAAATTGGACGAGCAAAAGGCGCAGGAGGAGGCGGATGCGCAAGCGGAGCTGGAAGAAGCAGCACTCCAGACTAACATCGAGCGACCACATGTCCTTGACGACGAAGAACAAGACGATCTAGCGCTGAAGACGAAGGCCCTCTTAGCGCCGGATTTGCAGCTGCTAAGGACGAGGATCACGGATACGATACGCGTACTAGACGACTTTTCCCACCTGTCAGAGGAGGGCCGTTCAAGGGCTGAATATACCGCGCAGCTGTTGAAAGACATTTGCGCCTACTACGGCTACTCGGAGTACCTCGCCGAGAAACTCCTAAACCTATTCCCGCCGCGAGAAGCGTTTGCCTTCTTTGAGGCCAACGAGACGGCGAGACCAGTTGTCATCCGAACAAACACTTTACGCACGCACCGCCGAGACCTAGCCCAGGCCTTGATAAATCGCGGCGTTACTCTAGAACCCGTTGGAAAGTGGTCCAAGGTCGGACTCCAGATTTTCGAGAGCAGCGTTCCTATCGGTGCTACGCCCGAGTATCTCGCAGGCCACTATATCCTACAAGCCGCGTCCTCATTCCTACCCGCCATGGCTCTAGGCCCGCAAGGAGGCGAACGAATACTGGATATGGCTGCTGCCCCAGGTGGTAAAACAACGCACATGGCCGCCATGATGAAGAACACCGGTTGCATCTTCGCTAACGACCCTAGCAAGGCTCGTGCGAAGGGTTTAATTGGCAACGTTCACCGCCTCGGCGCTCGTAACGTTGTCGTCTGCAACTACGACGCCCGAGAATTTCCCAAAGTGATTGGCGGCTTCGACAGGGTACTTCTCGATGCTCCGTGCTCGGGTACGGGGGTTATCGCCAAGGATCCCTCGGTTAAGACGAACAAGGACGAGAAGGACTTCATGGTCCTGCCGCACACGCAGAAGCAGCTTCTTCTGGCTGCTATTGACTCGGTCAACCACGCGAGCAAGACCGGCGGCTACCTCGTCTACTCTACATGCTCGGTCACCGTCGAGGAGAATGAGCAGGTGGTTCAGTACGCGCTGAACAAGCGACCGAACGTCAAATTAGTCTCGACAGACCTCCCTTTCGGCAAGGAAGGCTTCACCAAGTACATGGGAAAAAGGTTCGACGCGAGTCTACGCCTGACGCGGCGGTACTACCCCCACAGTTACAACGTCGACGGCTTCTTCGTCGCCAAGTTCCAAAAGACCGGCCCGACGCCCGCCAACCTCGTCAAGGACAAGGCTTCCCAAGCCGGCGCCGCGCCGCGGGTGGAAGACGAGGAAGAGGTCGTCGACAAGACGCCCATCGCGGCGGACGACGAGGAGACCGGCGCGCAGGAGCCCTTCGGCGGCTTCGACGACGACGAAGATGCGAAGTACATAGAGCGGGCAAAGCGGAATGCCATGAGAAGACGCGGCCTCGATCCGAAGGCGCTGCAAAAGCCGAAGGCGCTGCAAAAGCCGAAGGCTAACGGGCAGGGGAAGCCGAAAGCGAAGAACGGCGATGATGCGCAGGGAAAGGGAGAGGGGAAAGGGGAAGCCAAGGCGAAGAGTAAAAAGAAGATATAGGACGAAGATAGCTAGTCAGGCGCAATCTCGTATTACTATTTGATGCTATCGATCAGTTGGCACTAGATACTATATCCCGCAACGACCACTATTTCCGCGTCACCTCACTTTAGTTAATCACAACCGGGCTGACTGAATATGCTAGGTTTATACAACATGATTCAACCATGCATGGATATCGCTGTTCTCGCAATATAGAACTTGGCGTATTTCATATTTCGAACAAGCTGAAAGCAAGAAGTTCTTCAAGCTGCTGCCATGCACTACGCGGGATTTCAAATGTGCAGATATCATTACCTAGGCGGGAGCACCATCGGTCTTCTCGAGAATACGGTTATTGCTGTGTTATGTCGAGTGTAAACGATTCATAGGAAAGACTCCTGTCTAATACTGACCATCGCGGCGTCAGTTCTATACTATATATTCGGTTCCGACTTCGCCATCCCCAGAGTGCTGGCTTGAGCTACGACGCTGTCTCAGGTCGCAGCCCCTAGAGACACTAGACCGTCCTATGTCGTTATACGCAGCGTGCCCCTTAAAGCGTGTGCACACGTCGCTAGCTTGGTTGTTCGTCCTGAGGACAGGGCCTGGACGCAACTCTTCCTTCGCTTTCGAATGCCCAGCCGCCGCACTTCGTCCACACCAGATCTGAATCTGGGTGCCCCCCTAGGGGCCGCATGAAGGGAGACCGGTGGTTCAGGGGCACGTGGTTGATGCGCCAGTCCCAGATGCTGGCGTGGACCACACCAGTTATGGGACGCGTCGACGGTCAGGGAGCCGCAGACGAGGACGGCGCCGGGGGTGGGGCAGTAGAGCAGCACGAGCTTCCGCATCGGCGCGTGGTGGTCGGCGAGCACCTTGAGCTTCGCGTTCAAGTACAGCGACAGGCACACGGCGGCAGCCGTGATGGTGGCCGGGTGGCCGCTCGGGAAGCCCTGCATGGCGTTCCAGAGGGGGCGGCCGTGTACACGGACCACTGGTAGCCGCTGCCGACGGCGGCGCTGCGCGGGTCCGGCCGATAGACGTCGTAGAAGTTTGGCCGCAGACCTGGAACGCGGCGGCCAGCAGCGCGTCGACCCAGGGCGCGATGATCCGCGGCCGGTACGCGTACGCGAACTGTGGATAGACGACCTCGCTGGTGTCCTCACCGGTGTGCGTGTCGGCGACGGCGAGGGGGAACGTATCATGTAGGTAGACCCTGACACTCCGGTTTCAGCACACCTACGTCATGTCTCGCGGGCTCACACCCAGCGCTACCCCGCCGACGAGTACCGTGGTCACGATGTCCGGCCAAGTAATGCGCAGCCACAGGCCGAAGGACGGCCGTCTATCTATCCAATACGGCTCGACATCCCACGTCCTGCGCCCCCCGGCCGCCGGGGCACCCCGCGGCCGGTGAGGGTGGCGGGCCCTCCTGTCTCCCGGGTAGGGGCCCATCGGAGGATGGAATAGGTGGGCAGACAGACTACCAATGGCCAACGAAGAGTTGGACAATCGCGGCAGGCGGCCCGAGGGACTTTGGGATTCCAGCGCGTAAGTGGTTGTTGGGAGAACAGAAGCATATACGTACGGGACTGATGTCGACGGAAAAGGCGGTGTTTCACGGAACGGATGTCACGTACGCCCCCCCATCCATTCGCCCACTCGCCCGGCCAAATGACCCGCTCGCTCGTTCCATAGTTATCCGCGCCGTCGTCCTTTCTCCGCAAGACAACGTGCCCTCGACTCCATCGGCAGACCTGCCATGGGTACCTACATGCCTACCACAACCAAAGGGTGCAAATAGGTAAGTACTCTCGACAGCTGGACGTGGAGCTTCTGCCCCTTCCCCTCCGCCAATTTGGGCGATATATCGCGTGGTATCAACCCGGCTGTCCGTCGCTTCGACATTGTCTCCCTGATCGGCGCTTGGATGATGCCGGATGTGGGTTTCGTTGTTCAGTGGAGAGATGTAGATACTACGTACTCACAGTATGTAAACAACCTCTACTCGTTCAATACATAGGTACCTACACTCGTTTATCATCTATCTCCATTTAGCTGCATATCGAGAACGGCGGAACCCCTCATTAAGAATTTCTCCTAGTCTGTCTCCTCTCAGACAAAGTAAAGCCAAGACCACCGATTTCGAAGATTCTTCTTCCGCTGAGATTCTTCAGTGTTGTTATTCCTATTAATGTAACACGCTACTGAGACAGCCTTACCATGTTATTATACCAATCTACCTGCCCAATTAATGTCTAGGTATCTCTCGAGGTTCCACTTACAGAAGGTTTATGGTGCCTAGGCAATTGCATCGACATCAACTCCTACCTAGATCACAGCACAAGTTTCTTCGCATTCCGTCCCGGTCATGTAGCCGCAACGACAGATACCCACGGACACATTCTCCATGCCGACAACTATCTACCTCACTACGGCTCATCGGAATCCTGCCTACCACTTATCACCATTAAGTATATTTGACCCTGTCTTTTCTTCTCGCGCCATGCCAGATCTCGCAAGGGTCGACAGCACGGTACTCGTTATCTGCCCCGCCAGCACAACCGCGATAGGAGCCCCGAAAGATAGAACTGGTCAGCTCGTCGGCATCCTGTCAGACCTCGGGATAGTTGGCCCGACTTTCAAAGATCACAATCTACCGCCTTGGCTTATGGGGAATAAATTTGTCCGCGAGAATCTGACAAAGGAATGTCAACCACTTGTTGTCTATGTCACTTGATAAAGCCTTCAACCGTCAATTGATGTTCCGTGCCCAAGAAATAACTTGGGAATAGGGCTACCGAAGTCGCCCCTGTGCGTAGCGACCTTACTATCTGAGAACTGACCATTGGCACCCACACGGGGGAAACTGTCTCATCAATCCCATTGCGAACTCTGCGTCGGGAAACTACCGAAAATGAGGTATTATCGCAACTTCTTACTCCTCACTCTCGTCAGTCTCGGACACACAGTCCCGGTATATCTCTCTACTCATTATAACACATTCGCAATTCTCATGCTAACCAACAAGCGTAGTTCTCGAATAAGTTACACAAGAGGACGGCCCTCGCTATCATCGATGTGCAGAACGACTTCATCAACGGGTCGCTAGCCAACCCGCGGGCCCCTGTCATTTTACCCAAGATCTACCAGCTCCTGGATGGCCACGAATGGCCCTTCATTGTCGCTTCTCAAGGTACCTAACTGAGGATCTCCCTACGGCGAGTACCGGGGGCATCAACCACTAATGGCGTGCCCGTCTCCAGATTGGCACCCGCCCGGTCACGTCTCATTCTTCTCGAGCCACCCCGGGAAGGTGTCAGGGGACACGGTAAACGAGACCTTCGTAGACACCCCAACGAAGACCGAGACGCAGACGGTTTACGCAGACCACTGCATCCCGGAGACGTGGGGCGCGGAGATCGAGACGGGCGTCCAGACGCGGCTGCATCGGCTCGAGGGCTACCGGACGCCCGTGAACTACATCAAGAAGGCGCAGGACCACCGCGTCGACTCGTACTCGGCCTTCGCCGACAACCAGTATCACCGCTTCACGACGCTGCACGCGGAGCTCTCGCTGCACGGCATCGAGACCCTCGTCGTGACGGGCCTGCTGACGAACGCGTGCGTCCGCGGCACCAGCATCGACGGCATCAAGCTCGGTTACGAAGTCGTGCTCATCGAGGACGCCACCGAGTCGACGAGCGACGCTGACAAGGAGGCCGCCATCGAGGAACTCGAGTCGTGGGGCGTTCAGGTCGCGAAGCTGGCTGACTGGGAGGAAGCGAATCCCACGGGCCCGCGGTTGAGAAGAAGAAGGGCGGAGTTGTAGCAGCAGAGGGGAGGGGGGGGAAGTCAGTGTAGGTGCTGCTGTGATGGTATAAACTACTGGACTTATAAAGCTGAAAGCTCACTACCAGGGGAGACACTCCCCAGAGTTGTCACCAGGTAGTTAACTGAAAAAGAGAAGAGAAGGAGGCAGAAGCATCAGGGGGGTTGACCCCTGAAAAGTGCTAGCCCTTCAAGGGCCCTTATAAGCGGTATGACCAACTCAGGATTTATATGTAAATTCACTCTAGTCCTTGGTCCTCCTATTTACTACCGGCTAAGGCACCCAATGACCCGTTTCTCACAGGATCTGATCTACTATAACAAAGCGATAGAGGTGAATCAATAAACTTCGCCATAACAACCCTTCGTGTAAGGTAATTATATTTGATCCTGGTCTTTGAAAACTTGAAAGTATTTCCATCTAATTATGTGTTCAACTGAAGGGCTCTGATCCTAACCCAGTAACATCAAAACGCCAGCTCAGTTGATACCATAGAGAGGCAAACCTACCGACAGTGTGAACTCGGGAAAAGAGGCCATCGGCACTACCCATGTAGTAAGGCGAGGAAACAGGTCATCCTAGCAAAGCAATCGAGTTTCAGACTCTCAAAATTTGCCATTGTGGGAGAATCTGCGCGGGTATTTACAGAAACCTGGGCGAATCACAAAGCTTGCACTTCAGGCCACCCTCCCTACTTATTCCCACACAAACCAAGTATCCGCATTGAGATCAGAATTTGGAAAATTTTCTATATACATCTCCAAATCCCCAGCTCATATTCAACCTTTTCCATCCCGCTTCCCTTAAGATACGCACGTATCCGTTGGGTGGAATCCGGTCGAAGATGGCGGCATTCTTTCCGACATCTATGAGCTTCCCGCACGTGCTTAAGCTAAGAGGCATCGAAAACTTGAAGGAGTGGAAGACTTCAGTTCGCGCACATCTCGAGCACTTCGGACTTGACCGGTTCATCAACGAGAGCGTCCAAGAACCCGCCGACGAGGGAGAGAAGCGCAAGTTTGAGAAGGGCCGTGTCTACGTGCTCTACCTTTTGACTTCCTCTATCGAGCCAACTGCGCTAAAGACCATCGAGACCGGCTGGACGCCCAAGACCATGGCCGACCCAAAGCTCCTCTGGGATTTCGTCGGAGAGACGATCTCCAGCGTATCGACCCCCCAGATGTACGAGGACCTCATGAACATGAAGCTCGAGCAAGGTGCTGGCCTGGCGCAATTTTCCACACGCGTCTGCAATCTCGTTCAGTGCCTTGCGGCTCGCGAGATTCTGCTTCCACCCAAATTTGTCATCCTTATCATGATGCGTGCGTTTAAACCGCGCTACCCCGAGTGGTGTGCCTCTCTGGAGAACATGTTTGATAACGGCCTTACTTGGAACTCGTTCATGAGGGAGGTCTACACGCAGGCAGAGCGGGAAAACGAGTCCGGTTTGATTATCCCTTCCACGCTTAAGACCAAGTCTACACCTATCGCCGAGAAGGGAGGAAAGGATAAGATGAAGGAGGAGGCAAACGATCAGAGAGAAATGCCAACGATGCCCAAGCCGAGCAACAATCGAAGCCGCCAGCCCGCCCCGGCCCGCCTCATATCTCCTGTACAGGATTACCTCATTTCCCCGATCCTTGGCCCTACCTCTGATAAGGATGGAGAAGGCTATGCTGGAAATGTTCAAGGCCAAGATGATTGGGGAATCTCGTCGCATGGACGCACGGCCGATGGCAACCGAGTCCATTTCGCGTCCCCTAGTGTGGCCTCTTCTATTTGCCTAAAAGAGGCCGGTGGACAGCGAGAGGGGGAGTCGTCGCAGGGACCTAAGAACGAGGACGGGCAAGTCCGTACCGCCTACCACTCTCGCGACAAGACTAGCGGTGAGAAAGGAAGCATTCCCGAGACCGGCAAGAAATACAAGGACCGTTTCAAGATGTTCTGCAGTGTTTGCAACAAGGAACATTCCGCTTTCTTGCCCTACTGCAAACTCTGCTCGAAGCACCACGGCGGCGGCGAGGAACGATGCTTCACTGCTCACCCACACCTGCGATTAGAGCTGGCAGCTAACCGCTCTAGCAAGAACTCGCGCTCGAAAGGTGCGCCGGGACTCTGATCAGCTGGCTCCGAATAACCCCCCCGCTCTTCGTGGTTGTGGTTGTGGATATAGGACGGTCGGGAGTGGAGATACTAGGTGTGCCTCACTAGTCAGGCAGTGGAGCTAGCTTGACCCACCCTGTTAAACTAGTTGCGTTGACTTGATGGCTTTCGGAGGAACAGCTCTTGTAGAACTGCTGCTTCTAGGTACGATAGGGACAATGGAGAAACTGATTTTTCATAATCCTGACGTCTCGCCCGTGCTGAAATTGACACATGCTGCATTCCAGCCCTCGTAGCTATATATAACCCCTAACCCCCGTACCCATGCGTAAATGCGCTCTTCACATCGTATCGTACACCTCCCGGGCCCGTAGACCAGATTCCGAATCCTACCCCTCCCTCTCCTCTCCGTCTCAACATTTCCGCCACGATCTCGCCCCTACCTCGCCCGGAGCATATCCCCGATGAGCTGTATGCACAGCATCTCGAGCCCGACCACGGCCGCGATCGCGACGAACAACGCGATCGCGATGCCGAGCACCTTGGCGTGCAGCAGGACGAGGCGGACCCAGCCGGAGCGGGGGAAGGTGCGCCAGGCCTCGAGCGCCGACATGTACTTCCGCTCGCCGCCGGGGCCCTGGGCCCGTTCCTGGTCCCACAGGGCGCGGAAGGCGCGGTCGAGCGGCACGACGCCGACGCGGGCGTGAGGGGGCAGCAGCGAGGCCTCGGCGCGCGTGACGGCGACGTCGGCGGGGATGGCGGCGAGCGCGACGAGCAGGACGTAGGCGGCGGAGGCGCCGGACGCGGCGCCCAGCTGGCCGCGCGTGGGCGCAGTGCCGGCGCCGGCGCCGGCGAACAGGGCGGACACGAGGTCGACGGGGAGGCGGCGCGCGAGCCCGGCGACGGCGGCGAGGGCGAAGGTCGGCGCGGCGGTCGCGCGCACGGTCGCGCCGAAGGGCGGCAGGTTGCCGAGGCGCCACCAGAGCGACGGCGACAGCGCGGTGCGGACGAGGCCGGCGGGGAGCGGGCGCGCCCGCCGCGTCGAGGCGATCAGCGAGTGCGTCCACGACGCGTGCACCGGCGACGCGAGCACCGACGCGACGGCCACCGCCAGCGCCCCCGGCATGAAGGGGATCATCGACAGCAGCATCGCGATCACAAACAGCACCACGTTGTAAGCTATCGCGCCCTCAATACCCCGCACCATGAAGCGCCGGCCGTTGACGCGGCGCAGGTGGCGGATCGTAGCGCGTAGGTTCGCGGTGATGGGGCCGGAGGAGAAGTCGCCGTCGGCGGCGGGGCCTTCTTCTTCGTCTATGGCAATAGTCGCGGAGGGGGGGGAGGAGGAGGGAGAGGACGAAGAGGACGAGGACGAGGACGAGGTGTCGATCGTGGGCGGGGTCATGTCATTCTTGTTCTTCGGCGCAACGACGTCGTCGTCCCGGTCCGCGACGTCGCGGTCTACGAGAGGAGTGTAATACGCCGGCGGGCCGTTGTCCTCCACGATGGTTAGGGCGGGTAGGATCTCCCCGAGGGTGTAGTGGACCTGCAGCGCAAGCAGCGATGGTTAGTGCATCGAAACGCGCACGACATGATACGCCTACGCGCAGCCCTAGCGCGCATGCCCATATCATCACGCCAGTTCAACACCGCCGAGCCGGCAAGCAAGCGAAAGGGAACGAAAGCGCGCGGACGGAGTGCTGACGTACGAACACAAGGGCCGGGACGAAGATGATGACGTCGATGATTAAGAGCAATATTATTACGATATTCCCGACCGTGTTGCTATCGATTGAGCGCGCCACTAGACCAGGCTCGGCGGACCGGTTCGCGAGGGAGGCGGCGTTGCTCTGGAGGGCCTCCCGGAGCACGAGGACCCCGGAGGCAGCGACTTGGGCCCACATGTCTGCCACCTGTCGGGAGTTCGTCTGCGGTACGGTTCGGTGGGTGCTACTCTGCTCGAGAAAAGAACGTAGTATTTTAACAGGGGGGGCGCCGTCGTCTTGGGGCTGACGTAGGCGACGAGTCCCGGAGGAATTGAGGAGGTTGAGCAGAGGTGGGATGAGCGCAGAGGACCCATCTCTTTTAAAGCCGATGGGCCCTAGGTCCTCGTCCGTGGCGGAGCCAAGCCTAATACTGATGCCTAGAATGCTGTGCCTCAGAACCCCTGACCTGAGATAGGGCCACGGCCAGGTAAGCTGACGAGCTGACACGAAACCAAGCGAAATAGGTAGCCGTGAGGAATCTGTGCGGAATAAACAACTTTGTGTAATGATACCGACAAAAATCGAGGAAAAATCACCGACATGCAGAGAGCGTCAATGTTGCACCAGAACGATTGATAAAAATATGGAATTTGGCGACGATGTCGTGTCCACCGTCGCTATCGAAAAGTAGGTTTAGGAAAGCAGTCATCAATCGTACTCGCGCCACCGCCACAGAACCCCCCTGAAGATGATAGAAAAACGAGATTTAACGAAACACACCGTAGTACCAGTAAACCTATGGAGCCACGACCGTAAGCATTGGAAAACCTATAAGTACAACGGCCGTAGTCACGGAGACCCGCATCTCCGCCCGTATTTCGATATCGATGCCAGCCCCCAAAGCCGCTGACGAGATCTACGAGCTGCAGCTGCACTGCTGTGCCCGGCTTTCCCTTGGGACATCGCTCGTCCACCTCATCTCCTCCTCCGCGTCGCCCTGGTACTCTTTGCCGTCGAAGGTGCGGCCGGCCCAGCTGTCCTCGAAAGGATGGAGGGACAAGTGCACGAGCCTGTCGAGGACCCCTCTCTCGCCGTATTTCTGCACTCGGGTGATGACCTCGTTGAGAATCCAGCTCCTCGGGGTAAAGTTAGGGTTCACCCCCTTCATCGCCCGCATCCTCTCCCCGTCCTGCTCATCCGAGACAGCCTGTCCGTCTCCCCAGTCCTCGAGAATGCGCAGTCGCCACCTGCAAAGCCATTCGCCGATGAGCTGGCGATCTGCTTCTTCGTCGCCAAAGCCCGTGACGCCGTCGCTGTAGAAGAACACGCCGGCCTTGTCTCGCCTCGCCTCCTCCGTCTCCAATTCAGTAACCTTAAGCAAGCTTAAGCGACGGAAGAAGAAGTTGAAGTCGAGCTCTAAGACTTCCATGGTGTTAAGTAAACTGTTGAAGAGCTCGTGGAAATCGCTCTCTTTCTGGGTCTTCAATCCCAACCGCGCCGACATGAGCCTCCTGTACTCCTCCAGGAACACGGCCCTATATTCGACGCCAATCTGTATAATGATTGTCTCGGCCCTATCAACGATCTCGTTGACCTCCTCTTGTTTAACGCCGTGCTCCACGAAATAAGGGTCGTCTATTTTCGACGCGACGCCCAGATACTCGCCAAGCGCCTCTCCAAGACGTACCAAGTTCCACCATATTATGCCCGGTTGGTTACCGTAGCTGTACCGGCCTTTGACGTCGTCGTGGTTGGGAGTGTAATTAGGATCGAAGTTGTCCATGAAGGCAAAGGGGCCAAAGTCCATACTGAGCCCAGAGAGAGACGTGTTGTCGGAGTTCAAAACTCCGTTCATAAACCCGTAAGCCTGCCACTTGGCGACGGTGAGTGCATTGCGCCGCACGATCTCTCGGTAGACACGGACGAATCGATTCTCAGCAGTATCGTCGGGTCCTTCGATCTCGTCCGCGGGGATGCCGCGCCTCGGAGAAGGGGACTCGGCCGGCTTCTCCGGATCATCCGGGCGCCCGGGCAGGGTCTCCCAGCCGCCAAAAACCTCTTCGGCTACGTAGGTCGCAAGGTGCCGAATAAGGTATCTATCGCCCCGTGCCCGCACGATATCAAAAGTTCCGATGCGCATCCAAGAAGGCGCAAATCTAGCCACGATGGCGGCGGGCTCGATTCTCTCCCGAAACACGCGGACACTTGGCATCACCGTTAAACTCAACGCCCTCGTGGTCGGTATGCCGAGTGCGTTCAGCGCCTCGCTGACGACGAACTCTCGGATGCTGCTTCGGAGAGCAGCTAAGCCGTCGGCGAAACGGCTGTACGGCGTTTGTCCTGCCCCTTTGAGCTGCAATTCGTTGCGCACACCGGTATTAGGGTTCGTGGTCTCAAACAGCGATATGACGCGGCCGTCACCGAGCTGGCCGGCCCACTCGCCGAACTGGAAACCGCCGTAACACTGAGCCCACGGATAGCCGCCCTCCAGCGTCCGCTCGTCCCACCCGTGTAACACATTTCCGACGACGGTATTCCTGAAATCGTCGGTCTTCTCATCGCCTTCGCGAATGCCGAGGTCGCGCATGGCGGCTGGGCTGATAGCCAGCAGCTCGTGAGACGCGACGGTCTCCGGGCGTACCCATGTGAACACAGCATCGCGAACTATCCGGGATGTTATCTGCTCGCGAGGCGTGCTGTGCGAAAGCGCAGGTGTCGGGAACATCCTGTCAGGGGGATGCTTGGATGTGAAGGTCCACGATTTGGGGATGTCGTTGATGGAGAGGAGAGGGGTGCCGGCTGCGGTACCGGCTGCGGAGGCGGTCGCACCGTTGGTCGAGAACTGGGAGGCCATCTGGGCTGGTCGCAGGCGTGAAAGACTTGAGCGGATGATGCGATGGAAAGTCATACAACGAGCTCGTCCCCGGGCCGATGGAAGGCAGATACTATATGGAATTCGGGCTCGCCACGGAACCGCAACAGATCTAGGCAGGAAATCGGATCTCATTCAGGTCGAGACGGAAATCGAAGGCGGGCTCGGAAATAGGCTCAGCGGCGATAGGACGAAAAGTCGAGTCAGCTGGACGGTCCGCTGCCGAACAAGCTGATGGTGAATGTAGCAAGCCGTCCGTCTCCAGGATGACCCCTTCTCTCCTCTCCCCTCTTACCACCGATCACGTCAGGGCTTTGCGGTCAGCTAGGCTCTGCCGCCAATTGGCACGGACCGTTTGCACGGTTAGCAGCTGCTGGGACGGTGCCGGACGGTGCCGGACGACAGTATCAAACCCGCCGTGCGGTGTCTTATCTGCCACACAGTAGGTGTGTCAGCGCCGTGTTTTACCGCCAAATACCGCCCAATACCGCCACATACCCCGCACCTCCCGCCACGATTGCCCATTCCGGATTCTCCCTTCACCGCATCTCACCCCTCCGACCAGTGACAGCACCGCGGAATGTCACAGCAGGTGGATTTCTCGGATGGGTGCATTGGTAGACTCCGTCTGACGGCCGTCGCCTTCCCAACAGGGCTCAAAATTGGGACATGCAGAGGATTTATCGAAAAAAAAAAGAAAGAGGAGGCAGAGAGAGACAAACGAGCAGGCGAGCAAACCAACGCGGGAGCCGTCGGGAACCCGCAGCGCGGGGGGGCTGTAATAAATATCTATAGTTAGGTATGGCCTCGTCACATGATGAGTCCTACCGGCTGGTCGACCGGCGCTCCTCAGCTCGGCGCTCCACAGCTCGGCCCGCCTCTCGACAATGTAAAAGTCGGGACCTCGGAGCCGTCAACACCCGAGACATTTTCACGGACCGACAGACCCATTTCGAAGAAGGTTGCTGGCGGCCCGGCCGACACATCTCGGCCCGGAGCGCACGCTGCCCGAGGCATTTCATCTCATCGGGAGGGCCCTCGCATCCGAGACACCACTCGCTGGTCTTTGCTCCCCCCATACCATACAGGCAGTCTCCCGCTCTCCCTGTCCCCGGGACTCGAAATACCCTAGGCGGGAAGCCGAGCCGGAGGAGGGATTGCTGTGTGATACGAGGGCGGCGTGCGTGTTGCGCTTAGAGCATTTCGATGTACCTACCTCTTCACTCGGCCAATGCATTGCTACCTTTCCGTCAAGGACCAACTAGGAGCGACCGTCTGATTAATTTCTCTATGAGCAGCACAGCATGTCTACGAAGGTCGGGGCGCCGCTCTACTATGACTCATCTCCGATGCACCGTCCCGCGACATCCCACGCGCCCCCCCGAGACACCCGCGCCCAAAACACGCACGCGCGCACGCCGGTCCCAAGCCATCGCTCTCTATTGCCCCCGAGGTGCCTGCCCGAGGTGCCTGCCCGACAAGCACTCCGGTCGAAGAACACGAGACACTCTATGCCACGTCGGTGTGCATTTTTCTTCGTCGAGGGGCAGGATTCCTTCGTGAATATGCAGCTCTCGTCCTCGATGTGCAGCCATCTCTACACCGGTTCCTCCCTCACGCGCCCTCCTGTCTCCAGCTACGGTACGCCACCACCTGAGTCTGCCAATGAGACGAGAAAAAACCCAAAATTTTTTTTTGAAACCGGCGAAGGAAAGTTGTCTCGCAGCCACCCATGTCTCTCATCCAACAAACTGAACCAAAAAACACCACCCGCCTGAAGCGCTGTCGATCGCAAGATAAGGACCACCACTACGCTCCACCGACTCGCCGCCCCCCTCCCATCGCCGGCGCATATTGCCGCCTATCGAGACGCATCCTGCGCCTGCGCCGGAGTTGCATCCTGCGAAACGGACAAACTTCCGGTCCTTAATGTCTTCGAACATGCTTTTCCCGCGCAAAACATTCTCCGTGGCCAGAGCCGCCACGATCAATCAATTAATCAATCCACTGCGCACCGAAGTTTGCTTTGCCTTTCTCGACTCTGGCCCGTCCGCGCCGCGTACGTACACTGCCACATACTATGGCGGTAACGCGCAGGGAATGCGCGCTTCCATTCACTCCATCCGACGTGATCGCTCATTATCTGAAACTGGACATGAGAGAGAAGGCGGCCGGTGAGCATGATTGTCGATTGAAATGACAGCTCACAGGGGACGTCGACATCAAACTGCATCAATCGTCGCTCGGGGGCGGAAAAAGAGGGAGGGGGCCGGGAGGCCGTTGAGGATGTGCGAGTCGATCATTAACTGAAGTCGTCAGCTCGCATGGGAGCCGGCGAGTAGGGGAGGGAGCCGGCGCGCGCGATCGTCGATCGCGGTGGCTGTCCAAGGAGGAGAAACCGAGAGGAACGCGAGAAAGAGGGGAAGGGGGGCGGAGACCTGGCGGGTGCAACGCAGCCAGAGCGACAGCGAATGGCAGCTCAGGTTTGCGGCGGGAGACAAAGAGGGTGCGAATGGGCGAGGGTGACACGAATCGGATCGCCGCCTGAAAGAGACAACAGCGCATGTGCGAAGGAAGACGGGAGAGGACGGCGGGCGGCGGCGCGAATCGACCGATCGAGTGCGTCGCAGACGTGGATTGGACGGTGTGCGGCCTGTGTGCGACGCGTGGCGGCATCGCCGTGCGACGGGGCGCCGCGGAGGGAATAAAAGTCCGCGCGGACTGCGCGCTTTTGCGAAATGCCGTCGGCTACCAGCACCAGCGCGCGCCACGCGCGCGTGTCTCGGGGAGGGGGGGGGGGTTCAGACCGCGCCGGGCGGATAGGTGCAGCTTGCTGCGACGACGCGTTGGCCCGGGTAGGTGCGTCGGATAGGTGCAGGCGTCTCGGGCGGGGATGCGTTCCGGCGCGCCCGGATATGCCGGCTGCGTCTCCCCGGCGGGAGCTGTCTCGGGTAGGCCGTCCCGAAGAACCCGTCTTCGAAAAAATTATTCTCGGCCCGTAGGATGTCTCGGGTGAGTTTGGATTTTCTTTTCCGGCCGAAGAATCGTGTCTCGGGAAGGAGGAGCATATCCTTCTCGGATAGGCCCCTTGCGGTTGGAGAGGACGGCTTCGGCCTACTTGCCGGCTCTCCTATCATGCTTGCATGCTCCTCGCGGACTCCTGAACCTCCCCCACGTACCTACCTACTTTCCTGGGGGAGGGGTATTTACCCCGCCGCCGAGTGAATCTCAGGTAGGTAACTCATCTTACTACATCACTTAATAAAAACGTATTTTCTATCTTTTTATTTTATTTTTGACCTTCTCGCGTAAATAATTAACCTGCCTTAGATCTCTCTATCTCACTCGAGCTTCTGGGAGCTTCAGCTTTACAGTCGATACAGCGCAGGCGCAAGGAGGGGCGTAGGTGCGCCCGGCGCTTCCGCCGCACGGATGCGCCCTTTCCTCGTCGCATTTAATAGTGTAGGTACATGATAAATTGATGAGGTCACGCCGTGCATCCCTCTATTGGTGCCACTTTGTATTTTTCAGCTGTGCAACGCGCCCGCGGGTAGTGGTCTCACCATTTCCCGTGTCACGAGCGCGTCGAGCCCGAATACGCATCCGAGCCCACAGCCGCCCGAAAACACGCTGCCGAGCGGCCACCCGAGACACAAGCCTACCCGAGAAAAAGTTTGCCAGAGTCGGGTAGCCGCTTCGCCGTCCCGAGGCGCACGAAAACGACGAGCGCCTCGCCTCGCCTCACCATCGCATGCGCCGCTCCGACTGCTCGGGGCGTCCGTCCTCGCTCTCCTCGCACCGCACTCCATCGACATCGCCCGCGTAGTCTCGTCGCGGTCACTCGGCGATCCCTCCCGGGCGTCTCCGAACTCTCGGCCCGACGCAAAAACCTTGGCAGAGTCGGCCCGGGTTTTCGCCCCGAAGAAGGCGGTCCGGAGAGGATGTCGGACCGGGTCGGACAGGCAACGTCGGCTTCTCGCACGATGTCTCGGGAGCGGCGGTAGGAACGGCAAAACACGGAAGAGATAATTAGACAGTCTGCAGGATTTGGAGACGCCGATCGCGAGGCAATTCATTTATGCACGTCTTACCTATGAAGGCCACCGCCGAGGCCCCCAGCTACATCGGGCAAGATTCGTCCTACCCACCCTCCCGTGTTTGCCTACACGGTCGTCGTATCTATACGATGGTGGAGGGGGCCGGTTCCAAGCTTTCTGGTGCGGGATCTGCGGTGAGAAGGTTTGGCCCCTTTTCACACGCAAGCGGCGGGAAAGGAAAAGGGGAGCGTTGGAGGTGGCATCGCATGATATCTACCAGAACGGAGTCCCGCACCTCCAGCACGAGACGGCTGCTGTCCTCCCCCCCTCTCCCCCCTCCCCCTCCTCCAGAATTTAGAAAGTCGAACAGGTCGATCCCGGACCTCTCGGCGAAGCCTACCACTAGCTTGTACTGCGCGCACAAATGTTGAGAAGAGTCGGCCACTATTCGATGTCGTATCTGATCATGGTCCGTCTTCAGACTCCGGGAGCGAGAATGCGCCGGCGAGACAAACTGACCGCCAGACAGCCGTGGCTGAGATCTAAATAAAACCTCGTCTTTCGATTCACATGCAGATCCAATTATTCTCTTCATAGCGGAATGTCTCGAGACGCCGTCCCCCTGAGACATTATTCGCTGTCGCTGTCTTTTTCCTAGGCGGTAGGCAGACAGTGCGGCTTCCTCCTCGAAGTCCTCCATACGAGTAGCATCAGTCCACCGGTCCACCCGCAATGCTGTCTCACTTACTTCCCCGATTCTCGCATTAGCCAGGCCGCCCGGTGGCTCGTCGTGTCGCCGCACATCGCTGCGGGCGCTGTTGGAGGTTGTAGTGATGTCAATAGACAGATACAGCCACACGCCGAGGGATCGAGGCGGTCGGGTGAGAGTTAAGCACATCGTGGCACTCGTCCACGGCGTCCAGAGGCCCGCACGATGTAGGAGTGGCGTGTTCATCCGTAAAACATCATACGCCCTCTCTGTTCTCAGATGTGATGTTCGCGCCCCCTCTAGGCATAACCTGCGCTGCGAAGTGCGTCTGTTCGGCCTGATCGACATCTATTTGCGCGCCTGATGAGAGGGGACTAGAAGGGGGGGGGGATAGCATAGTGAAGTAGGATGGAACTGGTAGAGCAATGAAGGATCGGGGACAACGAGTGGTAGGTACACACACTCGTGCCTCACCGTGGTAAGATACGCGCTGAACACGCCGTAAACACGTAAACTTCAATTCAAGGAATTCTAGGTCTGCGCAAATTGAGGGCTGGACAAGACTGCGAAATCATGGTATCGTCACACTACATTGTAAACCGCCGTTGTGTGCTCACAGATACGTGTTTAACAGGGACTAGAGAGCTTCCTATTTCTCGATACTCGGTAAAAAGGAGAGCGAGCACACGTATATCATGCTGGCTATTTAGACCAATTTCCATCGCCCTGGTGGCAAGGGCACATGACCGTCGTCGTAGCTCGAGGGACCAAACCCAAATCCCAACGACCAAATCTCGACGTCTGTTGAGGCCTAGTTCCCGGAGGACGCGGTCTCGTTGCCTGTGCTTTCCGCCGAGGCTCCCGTCTTCGCACGCTTCGAAAACGGCAGGTCGCTAGGCGGCGGTGGCGGCGGGCCATAACCTGCTCTCTGAAAGAAACGAGTAAAGTATTGGTCCGGCGTCGGCATTGGAGGTAGAAAAGAAGCTCCGGGGGGCGGGGGTCGGTTGCTCCGCGAACTCGCCGGCAGTTGTGCCGGCTCCTCCGCGTCCCTGTCCGTGCTGGTGGCGCTTGGGGTACCGTCCTCCTCGGTGCTAGACCCCGCATGACCCTCGCTATACCCGGTGAAATCCATCGTCTCGAATCCGCCGACGTCGCCGCTCTCATCCCCCTCACCCGTCTTGCGCTTCATAGAGCGGGCCACCCTAGCTATGAAATCCTGGAAGGTCTCATCGTCGGCGTCGTCAAGATCAGAGGGGTCGATATTTATAGCGGCCAACAGGCGCTCTTGCTGGCGAATCTTGAGCTTTTTCCTGTTGAGGAGGTCGCGGAAATTAACGAGTAGTGTCGCCTCGTCCTCGCTCTTGACGGCGATGAAATAGTTGAGCTGGGCCTCGAGGTCCCTAAGAGACTCGTGGAGGGTTTCGATCCTCGCGGTGGCGTAGAAGAGGTCGCGCTCGGCCTTGATCCGGGCACCGATGGCCGAGACGCACCAGTCAAACGGAGAAACCTCCGTCTTATCATCCTCGTCCAACGGAATAGACCCTAGCCGTTGCTATTGACATGCGTCAGTAGTACACTCAATCGACCGAAAGATGCTAGGTGATGTCCTCACCGTGATCCCTAGGATGTTCTTTCTGAAGGACAAGCTCACGGACGAGCCGTCTTCTTTAACGTCGGCTCGGGTCTCGATGCCGGCTAGGGGCTGCTGGCGGGCCAAAGTCGCCACTAAGATCTCCTCCCATTCTTGGTCGGAGTAAGGGCTACTGGCGTCCTTGTACTCGGCGATCCTCCTGTGACGTACTATCGAGATGAACAGAGTAATTTAGCACACAAATTCTCTACATACGTAGTCCGACGGCGCACGATAATCCAGCGCAAGGGTCTAGCCCTAAAGAGGGGGAGGTGGAACATCGATCGATGCTAGGGATGCGTGTAGAACCACGATGAGGGGGGGGAAGGGCTGGTTGGACATGGCTTACGCTTTGTCGTGAACACGGCAGTGCTCTCAGACCCGACCAGCTTCAGGTCGAGTGGCCGGGGCCCGTCCGAAGATATCTCCAGCAGGAAATACTCGTTCGCCGTTCCCAAGATGGGACAACGCAACATCCGTGTCTCCGTCATGATGGTGTTTAGGGGGGGCAGGCGAGAGGAGACAGAAGAGGTAGAATGCAATAACAACTTCGATGCTGTCGAACAAGATTACGACTGGCAGTAGTTGGGAGATGGGATTGTTATAAACCCTACGAGGTGCACGGCCCAGGAGGGGGAGGGGGGGAGGTAGTAAAGTTGAGAGTGGCCGAGCGTGAAGGTGGCGGATCCCGGAGAGCGAAGCAGATCGATCCAGGACGGAGGCGGCGGTACATACCTACATCAATTATCTCCTGCGGGCGCTCGATGTCTAAGGCGGCCGACCGATCGCACCAATGTACAACGAGAAGGGTTGATTTATCGGTGTGATTAATTTAAGGAAAAAGAAAGAAAGAAAAAGTAAAAAGAGGAATTACTATCACGAGCGCCAGAGAGGTCGAGGAATGCGGCCTAGAGACAGATACTGCCTAATGTGGCCAACAAGAAGCTGCCTGGCGGGAGACAGCGAGGAACGACAGATGCGCGCTGACGATGTACGAGATAAGTAGGTACCTGCATGCCTATCTCCTACCTACCTGGTACTTGCGCCACGTACGTAAGGAGGTACCCAGCATTTTTACGTTAGGTTAGGTACCTCTCAGTAAGGGTACATTTGCACACTGACTGCATCATGTGGGGGATTGGATTGCGTAGGTATTCCGGGTTAGGGATCGGGGCGGGAGCGGGAGGCATCGCGAACTCAGGCGGTTGAGGGGGACCTGCTTAGACATCTACCTAGGTAGGTAGGTACCGAGAAAGAGGTATGTAGGTACACACACAGCCTGTCCAAGCATATTAATATTAGGTAATGCTATGCGTCAGACTGGAGGTTAGTCGTCGTGATGATGCGCGCGAGGGGGGTTGGGGAGAGAGGCTAAACTAGACTCGCATACTCTGTATATTAGTTGGAAGAATGCGCACAAGGGCCCTCAATCTGGAATGTTAGGGGGCCTATTCCAGGCGCTTTAGGCGCATGAATCCCTCGCCGAGGAGGGGTTCAAGGTGGCAAGACGCGTTTTTCGCGTTTCTGCCGTTGGATACCGCCCCGCCCCAAATATCTGTAGGCTACTCCAGAATCTGCCCGGCTCGCTCCCAGCCAGCGGAGAAGCTACCCACCTACAACCTCAACACCAACCTGCGAGGCCGAGAACACCATCACAACCCCACGTTCCTTTCCAAAATATCATCGTGATCTCTCGTCACCTCGTCGCATCGTGTGCGCACCCGAAGCCGACGACTTCTGCTTACGCATCGCATCGCATCGCGGCGCCTCCAGTTTCGCCAGATACACGCCTCGATAACTGGTGCCAGCCAGCCCTGTAGCCCTAGAGGCACGGCCTGTGCACAACAACACCGCACCAGCCGCCCCCCTGCCAACGGTCGTCCAGCCATTCAAGTTTGCCTGGCGGCCGAATTTGCGAAGCACTGATCCCTCCGCGCACCTTTCCACCTTTCTCCCGCCCTTCGCTGTTTTTCCACCTTTTTTTTTCCACCTCTCTGCATCCGCCCATCTCCCAATCAACCTCCACACAACCAATTGTCTTGCGTCCGAGATCCAGAGATTGACCCCATCGGCCAAGTCCAATTGTTCGGTGCCAACACTGCGATTGACAAGAACACATTCATCGTCACGTCGGGCAAACTCCTCCTACCTACTCACTTCTCTCTTTACCACCGCCGACGGCAAGTCTGGTTTCACCTTCTTGTCATCTCTACGCAGTGTCAACAACATCTGCGCTCTCCGGCTGTGCGACGGCAACCTCATCGATCCGCTCTATCTTATCTCGGCACCCTGGTCGAGCTTTTTGAGCCGCACGTGCAGATAACCCAGCGGGCCCACATACCCGCTGCCAACTCAGGTACCAACGTACCCCCAACAACAACCCAACCCATCCACTTCACCCACTCATACCGTCGCCTCTACTTTCGCCTCATCTTTGCGACACGCATCACACACCCTACCTAGTCCGCCACATCCTCTCCGCGCCTCATCATCGGTTGACCGGTTCATCTCTCCTTACTACCAGCCCGTCCGCCATCGACACCCTTCTCGCCAGACGTCCAACTTCGGCCGACTCCCGTGCATCCGCACACACCACCTTCTGATCCTGCCTGTCGTCGACGGAGTACGCGACGATTGATTGACTGGAACTTGAAAGGTCCGCGACGATCTGTCGAGAAAATTTTTTGACGAGTTGCATCACTTTCGGACACGGTAGTAAAAAGGGCCGCAACCCCTCAACTGCCCCATCCCCAAATTTGACACGCGCCTCGCGCCCTGTGCCCTTTTTCGCACATTCAGACTCACCCATCATCCCTTTCACTACACGCTACGCACGACGTTCCGAGCCGTAACGCCCTCCGGGTACTGCTTACCATGGATTGGGAGCACGGCACTTCGGTGTCGATTGAGGATCTCGTTGAGAATTGGGACAATGATGATTTCCTGCTTGATGATGGCGACGATTGGGGTGTGCTCAGCATCGGCGGTACTTCTCCCGCCTTTACAAATATACACAGCCATCATCGTGACAGCCACTCTTCATTCCGCTCTGATCGCGAGTCTCTACCCGGGAACGACGAGAGGCAGGTACATCTGCCCGGGGACGACGAGAAGTCTACCCTGGACGCTATTGCTGCGGCGACCCACGCTGGGATTCCTATCCCCACCAACGTCCCGCCCTCTGCTTTGATGGGAGGTACCATCAAGCGACTCGGAGGAAGAAAGGTGAAGAAGATCTTTCAGGAAGATTACGGAGATGATCTGGAGATCCCTGTCTCTGGCCCGCTCCGACTTCAGCCCCAGGACGGCAGAAAATACCCCGAGGCTTTGAGACAAGTGAGCTTGTCGAGTCCGACGAAGCAGGTGACCGCTATCGCCACCCAGGGGACGACCTATGAGAACATATTTTCCAAGGTACCAAAGGCCCTGGCCACGCCTATCAATCTAGACAAATTTCGGGACACAGACGATGACGACGACCTTTTTGGCGACGGCGTCACGACTATCAAGGCATCCAAGTTTCTGCCCCAACTCAAACCCGCATCCCTCGTCACTCCGCCCACGCCTTCGCCCCAGAAGAAGAAGCAGGACGATGACGGATTCGAGGGCGACCTGGAACTGCCATCTGACGGATTGCTGAAGCTTTCTCGGAAAGTCGATATTCCCAGGACGCTCGCACTAAGCGTCACCGACGATTTTGATTGGGGAGAGAGCAGCCTCGGAACTCGTTCTGGCGGTACGAAACGAGATGCTTTCTCAACCCACAGCTCCGTGTCTGCTATGAGCCCTAGTCTTGCTAGTTCCATCACCGCCGAGAGCGAGGATGAGCTTTTTGACGGCCTAGTGCTACCCCAGGGCCCCTTGAACCTAGGCGAGCGATTGAAGCGACGGAAGCAAGGCTCTCCAGAGGGGCAGTCGAGGCGATCCGCGTCTATCAAACGGATACCTTCGCCCAAGAACATGGCGGAGCCAGCTGTTGACAAGGAGGATATATTGTCTGGACTTGACTTTGGCGATGGCGACGTGTTTAGCTCCCGCAAGCTCACCTTGCATCGCAATGTTAAGGTTAAGGAGACTCGGCCGGCTAGTCCTGTCCGGCCCAAGACATCCGTTTCCGTGACCTTTACCAACAAGCCGGCAGCGCCGGGTATGACGTCTCGTCTACCTCGACCCATGGGACTTGAACGTACGCAAACCCTTCCCGCTCTCGAGCCCGTGTCCGAAAGCGGCGGGCCTATCCCCCAACGCCCCTCGCGCAGATCTCAGTCCCGTCTCGGCCACTCTGCGCAATCTTCGGTCTCGAGTATCTATACCCCTACTACCCCTTCCTCCGTTCAGTCTACCCAGTTCCCAACGCCGAGACGGCGAGAGGTAAGCCAGAAGGCATCCGTGAGCGCCTTGCGCAACGAGCCTACCACCACCAACGCGCAGTTGTTACGATTGAAGCGTTCTCTCCCGGCTTTGCGTCATGCCGCGCCGCTAGCCAAAACGGTGGTGTCGCGGTTCGACCGACCCCCCTCTCGCACGGATTCTCGTGTCGAGCCTGGTCGACCCCAGTCCTTCATTCGACCCAAGACTCCAATCGACCGTGCCCGTCCTACTGTCGATACCAATGCGGCGCAGCTCAGGAAGAATCCGGCGCCTTTCTTGCCTGCCGGCGCGTCACAGTCCCAGTCTCAGCACATCAGCGTCAAAGCCCCGCGGGTCTTCCGTCGCCATGATTCCGACCAAGGTCCAGAGACACGACCTTTGTCTCGCGCGATGTCCCGTGCTGGGATGCGATCACCGAGCCCAAGAAGAGCGCGCAATGAGAAAACATCTGCGGAACCGATTTGGCAGCAGCTCAGCAAGCCGCGCCGTGTTCGACGCTTCGGCGATGGCCATGAACTCGACTCGTTTGACGATCTTCCCACTTCAGCGCAGGCAGAATCTAAATTCATGAAGCAGCCAGTCGCAGCCGGATCACGAACGAACATCCGGAGTAAGCTCTACCAGAACGTCCTACCAGATCGAAGCACGCCGAGCCCCGTATCTCCTTACTGCCCGGCCAAGACGGACTTCCAACCCCACTTTGCACGAGATACAGCTGCCAGTCGCATCGCCAGAGAGCACATTCTCGCACAGCGCTCGCCTGCCTCCGGGCCCCTGGCTCTTGCTAGTCAGCGAATTCCGCAGCTATCCGGTAGAACGAGCCTCGTCCACCACAACGTATCGAGAACCAAGAAATCCCAGAAGGCGCCGCAGCAGAAGCCGCACTTGATCTCCAATCTCAACTCGGCAAGGGAGACTAAAGGTATGCATACCACACTAAAAACTCAGAACCCCCAGCAGAGAAAGGCACCCGAGGTACCTGAGAAGTCTCAGAAATTACTAAAGACCCGTCCTTCTCGGATTCCTCTGTCGTCCGAACGACTGGAGAAGCTTCGGAGGTCTCAACAACCCAAGAGACCCGAGCTATCTCAGAAATCATTCAGGATGCCTCGCATGGCTCCGGTGCCTGGAGCACTCCGAACACTGCAGAAGCCTCAGATATCCGGACAGTCGCAACTCGACCAGACCCATTTTTCTAGGACACAGACCCAGAAGAAAGTACAGGGTGTAGAGAAACGACAAGTGTCCCCTATGAAGCCACCAGTAACCCCAAAGAATCCTCCAGTACCCAAAAGACTACAGGTAACCGAGCGGTTGCAGGGACCTCACAAAAAGTCACAGGCCCCCGAGAAGCCGCGCATAGAAAAACCTGGCAAGAAGTTGCAGAAGCCCGAGAAGTCTCACATCACCCAATTACAGAGCAGGTCTCGGCAACCTCAATCATCCCGGCCTCCTGAGAAGTCTCGGAGAACCCAAACACGCAACGAGCCTCAGCAGCCTGGGCAATCTCAGAGATCTCAATTCTCCGGGGAGTCTCCGGAATCCCAATCACCTAAAAAACTTCAGACGTACAGTACTAACATGGCCACCCCAGTTGTAAACGGGATGAAATATAACCCGAGAACCTTCCGCTGGGAGGGTAACGACAACGCATTAAACGCGTTTGACGTGCCCGCCCCATCACCAGTAACGGCGACGCTACCTCCACACATGACACGTGATAGAGAGGGCTCTGCCTCTAGGCCGTTACTTATCACCAACATGACGGCTACTAAGGGTGTTAAGCGGGTTGGTGACATGGTCTTCGACCCGCAGAAGATGTGCTGGTTGAAGGCGGATGCGTCGACATTCCCATCCGATGATCCTATGGAAGGATTCAACGCGATGGACGACGACGACGACGACGACCCGTTCAAGGACATTCCCGACCTCAGCGAGAAGGACAAAGATTCCGTCTCGGGTGGACACGGCCGGGGAAACGACTTCAGGGATGACTGGCTAGTAGGTGAGGAGTTTGACGTGGGCCCGGAATTCATCCGACGCCAGCACGAAGAAGAGGTGCGCTGGCGCCGAAAGTGCGGAAACTGGGACGACGGCGAAGAGCGCGACCAAATCCAGTTACGATGGGCGCTTAGAAAGATGATCATGGAGGAATGATCATAGAGGGTTGGCCACGAGATGTGGCCAACGCATACCCGTTCCACGACGACGATACCCCATTTATACCCCACGGTCACGACGTACATGATTCATTTGTCCGGCGTTTTTTTAATGAAAACAGGCACCCCCCCTTTTTTTAATCACGGTGGGGCAATATGGCGCCCCCCCCTTTCTCTTCTTTCCTGTTATTTTCACATAACCTGCCTGGACGGAGAGACGACGATACACGTACAGCATCGGATCAGGCGGCAACCGGTTGCCAGCCCGCCTTACGAATTAAACGCAGCACATGAAGACATACACCTACCCTAGTAATGAACTCGGACGATCCGGTGTACCTCCCCGGGCTGTAGGGGATCGAGTTGAGTTTGACTTTTGCAAAAGACAACGGTCTGTTAGTTTCCTCATGACGGGTAAGGTGTGAGAGGACTAGATGACACGTTAGACGACGACACGTTACGTGATATGAAGTCGGCTGGGATGGGATAGGACGGGATGGGATGGGGTGGATGGGCACAATGAATGGCAAGCAGCTTTCATCTTGCCCGGTTATGCCTTGATAGATAATAGAGGAACCGGATTTACACGGGATTGGACCGGGCGAAACACATCGATGCTAAGTGATAGGGTGACGCCTCAACTGCCCAACGTGACGCAACGCTTGCTATTGAACAACTGTTTTTTTTTTTGCCGCGTCCATCTGAAAGTCATCGTCTATACTAATCGGCGCATCATCAGGATGTACCTCATTTTGAAGACATACGGCGATTCATGCAAATGACGAGCGAAAACAAACAAAGTCACTAGCGAGCCTTTTGGAGCTGTCGGGTCGGAGGCAATGATAACTAATAGGTACCACTAGCAGACGTAAGTTATGTACAGTGGATGCCCTTGAAAGAAGTCGGGCGGTACACTCCCTGAAGACCAGCTAGATGCTTGATGGGTGGACAAGGATATGTGGATAGCTTGGCCAGTCTCCGCCGTCGGGTGCGGGTTGTGGGCCGACGTGAAGATGTGTCTGCGTCTCGAGATCCAACCCGACCGCGTCACTTCTGAATGCGGAAGTTATCGTCTTCTGTACGTAAGAGGTAGGTGTGTAGGCGTGTGCAGGTGTGCCCGCGTAGGCACGTGTGTGTCCATCCGTAGGTGCTGTGGCGTCTTGCCGAGGACTTCAACCTGCCCGTCTGGTCGACCGACGACTCGAGGTATATCGAGGTAGGCAGGTATCTAGTTAATGAACTCTCGAAAGTCCTTTTTTTCATACCTTTTTTTTTCTTCGTCGTGTCAGTCTCTACGCTGCCGTCGGGAAAGGTGCTCGTTCCACGGTGGAAGCTTTCTAGCTTGCTCTCCCGGGTCACGGACCGCGGCACATCGTCTGCTCAGCGTAGCCTCTCTTACCTCCCTTTTGTTCGTCCCTAATCTACATCCCGACGTGACGATTTGCGTTCCTCTCCGCGCCGATTCGACTGGGCTGAGGGGTTCCGGGCAGGGCCGAAGCTAACCCAGGTGGAGGGCGGGAGAAGTTCGTGGCAGCCAGCAACGAGTTTATAAATAGGCGGACAAGCGGGATATCACGAGTTTAGTTTGGGTTAGCTTGAGCACAGCATAGTAAACTATGTCTGCATAACGCAGTAGGTATCTTGTTTTAAGGTTCCCCTGATCTGGCTCCTAGGCCGGGTATGCAAACGGGAGAAGATATAAATAAATAAATAGAAAAGAGGAAAAAGGGCTTGAACGGCTACTTGCGATGCTAGGGTCAGTACATTCAGGGAGGTTAGGCTATATAGTGGATTCAAGGTGCCTGTCACGGGTGGAGTTGACCTGGGTAGGTACCTACCTACCTACCTGAGATAGGTACCGATATAGGTAGTGTCCAGCCTGTTAGGTACATGCATAGGTAGGCATAGTTAGGTAGTCGTTGGTAATGCGGCAATAGTAATAGGATGAATGTGAATGGACAACAGAGTCGCTATTCGGCCATCCTCTCGCCTTGGCTGATACAACTCCTCTCTCTTCTGCTCCCAGCTGCCGAATCCAAGCCACACCCTGCATGCTACCAATTCCGCTCCCCGACCCAGACGTCGCAATGCGAACAATACACAAACGCCTACCTGACCCTCTCGGCGCGACGTGGGAGGGGGCGGGTTTCATGAGAAGACAACGCCTTCTGCTCTGGGAATCGCTCCGTCCCCGCCACTAAGCCGGAGGCTCGTGGCACTCGTTGCTCGCTGTTCTGTTTCCGGACAACGCCGCGGCGGGACTGCTCCAGAAGCTCTGCTTACCTGCCTCCCCCCCCTTCTCCCTCTCCTATTCCCGTCCGAGTGCTGGCTCTCGCCCAATCGTCTGGCCCACGAGCTGAGCTGCGAACCCAGCTGGGCACACCCGTTCGATGCAACCCCATCGTGAACCCCCATCGCGGACGATCGCCCTTGGCTACCAACCTCATTTCCGCAGCTGCTGACCGTGCCTGCTTCTCGTCCGATTCATGTGATCAACACCTACCGCACGTGGGTCCCCGGTGTTCGTCGTCGTCCATAGAGAAAACCGACATTATAAATACTCTGTGATACAACCCGCGAAATGGACCCTCCCGACTCGGCTGTGCGAGTATGTTGTAAGGTGCCCTGTGTATACTACCTAGATCGCGAGCGCTGGTACAGTCTCCCCCGTTTCCTCTTTCTGTTTCTTGGCCCGTTTCCTTTTTCTTTTACTTTTTCTTCTTCTTTTCCTCGTCCTCTCCATCTTCATCTCCCTGTCATTGGTCCTGCTCCCGCGAGACCCCCAGGATGGTGAGGCTATTCGCGTCCTTGAAGGGACTCCCAGTCCTGGCTGCCGCCTCTGTGTTTGCGGGGGCCAGCTTACCGACGATCCCTGAAGACAAGACAACGCCGGGGCAGCAGCGTCTCGCCATAAACGGGCCCAACTGTGAGTTTTGCCTGCCGTCGCTGCGACTCGTTGAAAAATCCCGGGCAACCCTCCGCTAACGCGCGCCGCGCCGCTCCCCTTTCTCTCAGCCATGACCCTCGGCTGGAATACGTTCCAGAAACTGAGCCGGCCATGTGTCAAGTACGGCACGTCCAGCGACAAGCTCGACAAGGAGGCTTGCTCGACCTCGTCGGTGACCTACCCGACATCGCGGACGCACGCAAACGTGGTGACGCTAACCGGCCTGGCGCCGGCGACGACGTACTTCTACAAGATCGAGTCGACCAACTCGACGGTCGAGCACTTCTTCAGCCCGCGGACGTCGGGCGACAAGACGCCGTTCACGATGAACGTCGTCATCGACCTCGGCGTTTACGGCGCCGACGGGTTCACGATCAAGCAGGATGAGCGCAAGCGTGACACGATCCCGCAAATCGACCCGTCGCTCAACCACACGACCATCAACCAGCTCGCTAAGACGGTCGACGACTACGAGTTCATCGTGCACCCGGGCGACTTCGCCTACGCCGACGACTGGTTCCTCAAGCCCAAGAACTTGTTTGACGGCGAGGACGCCTTCCAGGCCATCCTCGAGCAATTCTACACCCAGCTCGCGCCTATCTCGGGGCGCAAGGCGTACATGGCGAGTCCGGGCAACCACGAGGCCGCCTGCCAGGAGATCCCGTTCTTGACGGGCCTGTGCCCCGAGGGCCAGAAGAACTTCACCGATTTCATGGTGCGCTTCGGCGAGACGATGGCGACGGCGTTCCCGTCAACGTCAGCCACCGAGACGGCGAAAGTCAACGCGAACAAGGCGCGGCTGCTCGCGAAGCCGCCGTTCTGGTATTCGTTCGAGTACGGTATGGTACATTTCGTCATGATCAACACCGAGACCGACTTTGAGGACGCGCCCGACGGCCCCGGCGTTTTCGGTGGGCTCAACAGCGGGCCCTTCGGCACACCCAACCAGCAGCTCGAGTTCCTCGAAGCCGACCTCGCCTCCGTCGACCGCACCGTGACGCCGTGGCTGCTCATCGGCGGCCATCGACCCTGGTATAGCACGGGGGGCAAGGGCTGCAAGCCGTGCCAGGCCGCCTTTGAGCCGCTGCTGTATAAGTATGGTGTCGATCTCGCCATTTTCGGGCACGTGCACAACTCGCAGCGGTTCTTGCCCGCGTTCCAGGACAAGGCCGACCCCAACGGGTACAACGACCCGAAGGCGCCCATGTACATCGTCGCGGGTGGCGCAGGCAACATCGAGGGCCTCAGTTCGATCGGGAAGAACGTATCGTTCAACGCGTTCGCGTACGACGACGACTTTAGCTACGCACAGGTGCGCTTCCTCGACGCCCAGAACCTCCAGGTCGACTTTGTCAAGTCCGACACGGGCGAGCTGCTCGACACGTCCCGCCTCTTCAAATCCCACAAGGAGCAGTTCGTCGTGCAGGCGTGATCGGACCGAGCTCTAGCCTCCCAAAAGGGAGGTGGACGGAGGAGGAGGTGGTGGCGGTGCTACGATCAGAGTAGACCGAGCCTAATGCTGACTAGCTACACGCCGTGTGTATGGAAACCTCGGGTTCGCGCCTTTGTGCATATATATTTTAGAGGAGGAAAGGAATAGATGGCGGGGTTTTAACGTAAACCTAGCTCTCTATAGAGACCTGGGATGGGCTGGGCTCACTTGCACGGAGTTGAGATGGGAAACACCACCTAGGATTGGCATTAGATTATGTGGGGATGAATACATAAGGCCTTTATATTTTAATGGCGCAATTTGACGGTATGATGAGTGGCTTACTTGATCGCCCCGACCAAGGGGCCATGAGCCACGCAAGAAAATACTAGCACGATAAGACGGGGATGGTGAGTAGGTGCTCTAGTGACGTGAAGCATTGAAGACGAGACACAGAAAGCCACGTGAGAACTTCGCTACACGGATCAAGACGCAGAACGCATGGTAATAACCATTTTTATTTCTTCTTAATCTCAACTAAAAAGGGTGGGAAGGGGGGGTATCGCAACAAGCCAGAAGAGAAGAATGTGTTCACCCGCTGGTTCGTCATAACACCATGGCGGCGCCGACGAAGCCAGCGGCCAGAGCGGCCGCCGCGACCATGCCCGTCTGCCTCGGCCCGGCGTTCTGGCTCACGGTTGGCGAGGACGTGGGAACGTCGCTGCTATCGCTGGCCTGCTCGCCCGACGGCGACGGGGTGGTGCCGCTCGCGGCGGAGCTCGTGGGGGCGGCGGCAGAGCTGGCGCCGGAGCCAGTGACGGTGGCGAGGGTGGAGGAGGCGGCGGTGGCGGGAGCGGTCGAAGAGGCGGTGGCAGTGGCGTCGTCGGTGCAGGCGCCGGCGGAGAAGCTAGAGTAGACGGAGAAGAGCTCGGTGAGCTGGCTGGTGAGGACGGTGGGGGGGGCGCCCATCTGGGCGGAGCAGGAGGAGGCGAGGGAGATGAGGTTGGCGCCCTGGGTGGAGAGGAAGGAGTAGAGGTCGAGGTTGAAGGAGGTGAAGGCGGCGGCCTCGGCGGGGGCCACGCGCGCGCCGAAGGCGCACAGCCCCGACACGCCCTCGGCGCCCATGCCAGCCTCGTCGATGACGTCGAGCAGCACCGGCGGCGTCGTCGGCACCGCCGCCGCCCACGACTCCATCCCCGACAGGCACGCGAGCGTCTCCGACGGCGTCGTCTCCGGCTCCTCCTCCGCCGTCGAGGTCGCGCGCGTCTGCCGCGGCGCGACCGCCGGCGCGGACGCCGAGGCGCTGGCTACGAGCGCGGCGAGGATGATCGTCTTGGCGTACATGTTGTCGGTTGGGTTGACGTCGATGCGGGTGGGGGGGGATGGCTTTGCGGTTGTGAGGATTAGGGGGTTGCTGAAGGAGCGGTGGGACGCAGCGGTGCTGCTGGCGTCGGGTTCTCTGTTAGGTAAATAAAACGAGTGTGGCGGTCGAGAGGGACCGTGGGTGCTGGTGCGCCGGGACGAAAGGTCAGCTCCGTGCGGGACTCGGGAGCGTTGGGCAGTGCAGGGCGGCAGGAAAGCAGGAAAGAGGCGGACGGCGCCACCGCGAGGGATTGTGAGATAGTTTTATAAGACGCCGCCCCGGAGAACTCGGTGCGTCTCCTCTCTCCTCTCGCTCTCTCGCTCTCTCTCTGCCCCCCCTGCCCCCTGCGCGCTACGATGGACCGGGGAATGCTACCTATGAAGTAGCCTGGTTCAGGGGCGATCAAGCTTGCAGAGTCTGTGCCAGAGTGCGACGTTGTCGGCCGTCGACTTCCGGACCAGACCCCATACACACATTACAACTGAATACCCACATACGCAGACGTCGGCGCAGGAGCGGCCATGGGTCTGTGATTGGTGTGAGGCCGTCTCTTAGGTCTTAGTCGCGATGATGTTTATGAGTATTCTCACGCGATCCAACGCCTCCCACGCCGAGAGCCCATGCCAATTCCACATCTACCGAGTTATGCTACGCGATGCTACATATATGCGCGTAAGTCAAAGCCGTGCAAGTCCATCGTGTAACATATGTGTAAGCCGACAGCAATCTCCGTTCGCTGCCCGCTCCAGATCAGCAGCACGCGTATGCCATACTTGTATGCGTGGGATGGCAGCGGGCCGGCCCATCTTGGTTGCTTTGCGATTAGCTACAGCATTTGTCCGTCGATTTGCTCATGGATGGCCGACCAGTGCCCTCTGCGCGCTGGTCACCCGACCATCGTCCAATATCCCAGGCGCGGCCAGGATGTCTGCTTACCGACCCCCCTCCCAATCTCAACAGCGCTCGAAATGACAAAGATTGTCTCCGACATGGTTGGCCTGCCTACATATGTATATGTATGTACGTGTACACGTATATTCATATGCAGGTAGAAATGAGCATCCGGTGTGCCCACCCAGAGGCCGGTCGAGACGACTCAGGCTGGCCGTATAATTTGTGCGCTCCCTTCACAATTCTGGGGCCGGTGATAATTTCGGGTCTTCCTGAGTGCCCATGGGCAGACGGACATCACGGAGAACCAGTGAGTCGCATATGGGGGATCCTGTCATCTCCCAGCGATACCAAACAATAACAGCTGCAGGTATATGTCCTTACTCACAGTGCCGAGGGTCCAACCGCGCCCCCACTCCCTCAGTGGACGGCCGTCTCCATCACAATCGAGTCTCGATAAACAATGCAGGATACTGGTGAGTAAGTAGGCCTTCCCCTTCATACACTGTCAGCGGCCTAAAATCTTTCCTTTTTGCCTCTATCTCTCTCCCTCTCTCCCCGCCGACATTTCACGAGGCGCCCTTGCAGCGAATGCGGGAGGAACAATGCTAAGACAGGCTGTGGACGACCGGAGATGAGAATGCTGCGAGATAAATTGCGTCTCACAAGAAATTACCGGGGTAGAGGCTGGCATGTAGATATGTGTGTACACACATGCGTTCCATAGCTGTAAAGGTACCTGAGATACATGGTCTCCAAGCACATCCCTTTATAAATGCAAAAAATGCGGATGATTACGTGTAGAGCAATTAGGCACCCCATATGCATTTACTCCAACTTCATCGCTTTATGCGGGCATATCCAGCATCACCAAACCACATCTCTCTGGCCTGCGTGGAAGTCGGTTCAACAGACACCCACCGACATATCGAGTACATATCATGAATATACCCACTAGAGGGTCCACAGCGCATAGATAGGTACCTGTCTAGGTAGAGATTCTGAGAATACAAGGACACAAGTAGACAGGCATACATGTGAACAACAATCCCTACGTGACTTGGTTGAGGTCTCTACATAGGGGCGCGCGTCGTAAGGCTAGGGGCTCGCGATCGGATCCAAAGATGATATGTAGGTAATGTCGCCACGAGGGGGCCACTGAAGAATATCCCGGTGAGAGGTATTAGCGCCGGCATTGATGTTTTCTAACGGCGGCTACGCACATGGATTATTCCGAGGTAGCACGGCGAAAACAAGTCTAGACAACAAAATCTGGCCCGATCCTGATCACGGCCCCTCCTCGATCAGCTTGCCAGCCTACGAAGTAGCCTTTTGTCATGCAGGTCCCAAGCCGAGGACTCGTGGTCGCGGCCCAGTCCGCAAAGTAGAATCTGAGCAATGTTAATGTGTTACACCCGACCGGACCGCGACACGTCGGATCGAACGCATTCCAGGGGCTCGATTAGACCCCCATTTGGCATGGCCTGTGGCGGGTTCCAGCAGTCGCGTCGAAGGATGAGGGCATCCCTACTTGCATCAAACCAGCTCCATGAGGGAAACTAGCAGTAACTCATGATTCGGAACTAATCGATGGAGTCTTTGACAGGTAGGATCGCCTACACGGCGCCCGAATCATCGGGATGACTTGAGTGTATCTCCCTAAGGATACACCATATTCACCATGGGAATACGATGCGAACATAGACAGGCGACGTCTCACACCCACAGACATATCGTCGGTCTATATGACACTAGACTAGACCCTAGGGCCGGTATACACTGCCAGGTCACTACGTGCGCAGTAACGACAGAGGGGAAACTCGCAAGCAAAGTAGATGGGTCTAAGATCTCTCTCCTTGCCCAACAGACTCGACTCGAATACAACCGGCTGTGTCAACTACCAGCGTCCCGGGACACCTAGGCGGTGGCGAAGGGGGGTAGAAATGTAACGACCGGCGGTAAGAGGCAGCGATCCTTGAGATTCAAAGAAGCTCTCACGTGCTTCCATAATCGGCGTTGAAAGATGATTTGCTCTAGAGCACGAGATAGAGGAAGAGCGAGACACGCGAGGCATCCTGGAAAGCCAGGACACCTCGCTCACGCTCGCCTACGATAGTGTGCCCAATGTACAATTTAGTTAATGAGGAAAAGGGAGAAGAGGAGAGCCAAGGCATTTTCCGGGACCAAAATAAGAAAAAAATCGTTACCAGGCGATATCGATAGCTTATCGATATCGGAAGCGATCCACATAATTGATTGTTGGATGGTCTAAGCGCCCGCGGTATGTCATATGTACCTAGGTACCGAGGTACCTTAGGTACTTGTGTCCCAAAGTCGAGAGAGGGGGTACCTAGGTACTCACGTCTTAGGAACGACAGCAGCAGGTGGCCTATCAGAGCAGGCCTGAAATAATCTCGATACGGCTTTGTCCCAATCATATGCTAACTAAGCACTCGGCCAAACCACCACATCCGTTGACATCCCATCCTCAGAGCGACGTCAACACCCCCAACAGCTGGCCCTCTCCTCTCTACCTACCCAATTGACCCGCCCTTCTCCCTTCACCTCCTGGCCCCTCTCCCGCCCCTTCTCCTCCCCGATTCCGTCGAGACGACACGATGCTGCGACAATCTCTGGCTCGTTCGGCTTGGCGGAGCAGCAGACATGCCGCAAAATCCTCCAGAGCCTTTTCCGCCACAACCCGCCGGCTGGAGGAGGTGGAACTCACTATCGGTATGATCTTCGCTAGGTCGCCGCCGCCGTGGAGGAGGCGTCCGGTGCTGTGGCTAACCTGGTTGCAGACGGGAAGAAGGTATCTATCGAAGGTACCGCACCCGTCAACCCACCTACAGATGGTTGAGCGCTTTTGCTAACCGAGCCTGCCAGCCGGATCTGCATTAATTCAGGCTTGCGAAAAGGCCGGGTCCACCGTCCCGAGGTGCGCTCCGTTTCTCGCTCGAAACTACACCGCGGGGAAATATATCGCTAACGACATGTAGATATTGCTATCATGAGTACGAACCACGACCGCCACCACCCCGAATGCCTCTAGCTTCGACTCCTCGATCCCTTACCCGCCCGCGTCGCTAACAGGACCAAACAGGAAGCTGATGATCGCCGGAAACTGCCGTATGTGCTTAGTCGAAGTGGAGCGCTCGCCGAAACCCGTTGCTTCGTGCGCTGTGCCCGTACAACCTGGCATGGTGGTCAAGACGAACTCGCCGCTCGCGCACAAAGCCCGCGAGGGCGTGATGGAATTTTTACTGGCGAATCATCCTCTAGATTGCCCTATATGCGACCAAGGCGGCGAATGCGACCTGCAAGACCAGTCTATGCGATATGGCGCAGATAGGGGCCGATTTCATGAGATCGGCGGGAAGCGTGCGGTCGAGGACAAGAACATCGGTCCCTTGATCAAGACCTCGATGAACCGGTGTATCCATTGCACGAGATGTATCCGATTTGCGAACGACATAGCCGGTGCCCCCGAGATGGGTTCTTTTGGGCGTGGGAACGACATCCAGATCGGCACTTATCTGGAGCAGAATTTGGACTCGGAGATGTCTGGCAACGTCATCGACCTTTGCCCCGTCGGAGCCCTTACGTCGAAACCCTATGCGTTCCGAGCTCGTCCGTGGGAGCTGAAGAAGACCGAGTCGATTGATGTGCTCGACGGCCTCGGGTCTGCCATCCGTGTGGACTCGCGGGGCCTCGAGGTCATGAGGATTCTGCCCCGCCTCAACGATGACGTGAACGAGGAGTGGATCAACGACAAAACGCGATTTGCCTGCGACGGCCTGAAGACACAGCGTTTGACTATGCCATTAGTACGACGACACGGCAGATTCGAACCGGCCCCTTGGGAGCAAGCGCTGACCGAGATTGCCGCGGCCTACCAGCAACTGGCCCCCGTGGGCGACGAGTTTAAGGTGATCGCTGGCGAGCTCATCGAAGTGGAGTCGCTAGTTGCCATGAAGGAGCTGGCCAACAAGCTTGGGTCCGAAAACCTGGCTCTGGACACGCCCTCGGGGAACCGACCCGTAGCCCACGGTATCGATGTTCGGTCCAATTATCTCTTTAACTCGAGGATCCTGGGCGTCGAAGATGTCGACTGCTTGCTCCTCATCGGCACCAACCCGAGACACGAGGCCGCCGGCCTGAACGCCCGCATCCGAAAGCAGTGGCTCAGGTCCGACTTGGAAATTGGTGTTGTGGGCGAATCGTGGAACTCGACGTTTGAGTTTGACCATCTCGGCACCGATCTGGAGGCCCTGAGGAATGCTCTGGCTGGTCCCTTCGGCAAGAAACTCCAGGCGGCGAAGAAGCCGATGATCGTTGTTGGCTCCGGTGTGACGGACCACCCCGACGCCAAGGCCTTCTACGAGCTCGTCGGCGGGTTTGTCGAGAAGAATGCTGCGAACTTCTTAACTAATGAGCATAACGGGTTCAACATTCTACAGAGAGCGGCCTCGAGAGCGGGCGCCTTTGAGGTCGGCTTCACGACACCCTCGCCCGCCGTTGCTGCGACCAGGCCCAAGTTCATCTGGCTCCTCGGCGCTGACGAATTTGCTGATGCCGACATCCCCAAGGATGCCTTTGTCGTTTACCAAGGTCACCACGGCGATCGGGGCGCACAGATTGCCGACATCGTGCTACCCGGCGCCGCTTACACCGAGAAGGCGGGTACGTACGTCAACACTGAGGGCCGCGTGCAGCTGACGCGCGCCGCCACGTCCCTACCCGGCGCCGCCCGGACGGATTGGAAGATCGTCCGGGCCGTCAGCGAGTTCCTCGGAGCCCCGCTACCCTACGACGACGTCGCCATGCTGCGGGATAGGATGGTTGAGATCAGCCCGGCGCTCGCCGTCTACGACGTCGTGGAGCCCACGTCCGTGCAGCACCTCAGCAAGGTGCAGCTAGTAGACCAGAACAGGGGCTCCAAGGTGACAGGCCAACCGCTCAAGAAGGTCATTCAGGATTTCTACTTTACAGACGTCATCTCAAGGAAGTCAGTATAACCTCGTGAAGTCCACTGCTCTATCTCTCTCTCCTTACCTCCCCCCCCTTTTTTTTTTTTAATAAGGAGCAGTCGTCTCGGGGACGGTACTAACAAGTAATGACAGTTCACCGACGATGGCGCGGTGTTCGGCCGCCAAGGCTACGGGCAACCCCGACAACAACTTCATGGCGTCGGGCATGACCGAGGACAGGCCCATGGGGCAGGTGGCGTACGGCTCATGAGAGCGAGAGAGAGAGAGGGAGGGAGACGAAATATAAGGGAGACAGGACGTAGAGTCTCTCTACTGCACGTGAAATACGTGCCTCCGGGAGTTGCACTGGAGCGAAAATAGATGTGGGATGTGTATTTAAAACAAGAGAGAGAAGGCCAGTCCAAAGCATTCATCTCCCTCCCGCCGCCGCCGCTTCCGCCGTCATATAATCGAGAAATCTACAAAATACCCTTTTTTTCTACTTCTGCCACCCCGTTTCCCTGTGCCCTGTGTGCTCTGCGCTCTAGCATACCCACTTCTCTCTCTTGCTCCTTTCCCAACATGTACGTGTAGTACGCGTGCCTGTGCCAGCCAGCTACCTACCTACCTACCTACCTACCTACGCACCCACGTAGCAGCACCACAGAAGGCGACGGGCAGACGGACTAGGCAGCACCCACAACACACACCTCCGTCTCTTGTCCCCCGCTGGGCCAATTCGGAGCGATCCAGCTTCCCGCGCGCCAAGTCCCTCAGTCGCGTAGATGCCATATCCATGCATACATACACACATACACAACATGCACACGGCCCACCCGCCTGCCCGCCCACCTGCCCGCCCAGACTAGATGTCCGATGCAAGTGCGCGCGGCCAGCCTCGCCTGCTAGCTCGCCCAGAGGAAGAGATGGCAACGTAATACTTACTCAGGCGGTACATACACACATACCTACTTACTGCTATGCATACGCCAACGGCGAACGATTAGGCAGCTTAGCGCCATCTAATGACGACCCCAAGTAATACCTAGGTAGTAGGTACCAGCCAAGACATGGTCGGGCCGGGCCGAGTCGAGTCTACCTTGGGTACCTAAGCTACCGGATGCTTACCTACTACGTAGAGCACCACACGACGACGCCCTCGCGTAGAACCACATTTGGACCCTCCCCCACTCGGTCCCCAGGGAGACGCGACGAACCCGGCGCCGCGTGCCGCATAGGAGAGAGTGGGTTTCTCGCCGACGGTATAACGAAACAAGTGTCCATTGAAGCTAACTTTCAGGTAGTATAATTCTGACATTTTGTGACACATTCGTAGCATTATACGCGGGACGCGGGCGAGATCACACCTACGCAATGTACGAAGTCCACCAGAACTAATAAGCAACTATAAATAATTGAACTTTTCATAGTACAAGCAGAAGGATATGTACCCCTCCTCTCAACGGCACAAAACGAGCCACAATCTGGATTTCGGCTTGCGTGTGACTGGCCCCTCTACGGCCTACCGATTCAGCGTCGCGTCATGGAAAAAAAAAACTTCTTACAACCCTGAATTCTCGATTCCAACACGTCTCTATCCTCTGCAGAACGTCCACCTCTGTTGAGATCGAGAATACTATTCGTGCAACTATATTACTCGAAGGCAAGGTGAGGGAGGGCCACCTAGGTGATATTTTCTGGGTTGGGCCACGGTTCCTACACCCTCTAATCGGAAGAAAGGTGCGAAGTGAACTACCCGGGCCGATGCGGGGGGGGGGGGGTTGGATAGCGAATGACTGACGTTTTGTGTTCATGTCGCAATATCCTTAATCATGATGTGTCCAAGGCGCCCAAGTAGATGACTAGACTACTGGACCTAGGATGTCGTATGGGTTCGTAAATTTTCTGCTCGAGATAATGCTTCCTGTAAGACTTGCCATATGTGAATCAGTCTGTCCGAAACGAATTGAAACCTATCGGAAAGTCTTCCAGTGTCCGACAGCAGAACGTAGAAATAGTAGGAAAGCAAAAAATTAAAGAGCAAACCGTAGGACGCCGTGATGATGACAAGAACCCGTCGTGGGTCCCCTACTAAGACGGGCCGAGATTTATCTTTTGATTAAACGAAGGAACGCCCAAGTCCGTCGCGAAACCACACGAGCGAGTGCCATTACTGGTAAGCACGGCTATTGTAACGGGGACCTGCAGGCGTACGTCCTAGGCCAGACCCGACGCCGGGTCCTGGTCTAGTAGTCACGGCTGGGTTAGTACACAGCATTCCGACGCGGGATCCAAATTTAGATCCACGCAGAGACACCATGTGCTTTCTGATATGCGCGGCAACAATCTCACGGTGCTGAGGGGAAGCGTGAGTCAAGATCCACTGTATCAGGTAGTTGCCGTACTGGTCACTGGCGATGTCGATCAGAGGGATTCGAGGGCGGCCCGGGCGGCCCTCGCAGACCCGATCAAGGTAGCGGGTCAGGAATTCGCCGCCTCCAATCTTCAGGCACTTCTCAACCACTTTGGAGGCGTACTGGTCCATACTGTATTCCGCTGCGTAGCGGATGACATGGTCAATAGCTCGGCTTCGGTCAGCTGGTGCACCATGCTCGCAGATGTGCTGGATGCACCAGTTTCCGAATTGGCCATGAGCAACGATGTCGATATTGGCCAGCACTTCCTCAATACAAGGGCGCTGGGGAGCAGTTAGTTTTTGGATAATACTGGCAGTATCCCATCATTTCCTATAGACGTACCTTGTCCTCTTCAAGGCAATTCTCAAAGATGTTCTGGACTACCAAGCTCCCGGTCTCTCCAAGGGCGACCTCGTGCCACATGCCACGTAGAGCATCGTTGACGTATTTCATGATCTGTGGCGGGGACTCGGACCACCTCAGCTCGAAGAGCTTCTGCCAGACGTGGCACGCGTATCGGTGAATAACAGTATCCGGGATACGTCGGAGCAGCTCGTGAACCATGATGGCTTTGTAATCCTCGGGAACAGAGTCAAATGCCTTCTGGACTACGTGACAGCCGAACGGATCCATGGAGAGCTGGAGGGTAGATCCCCTGATGGCCTCGGCAATCTTAATCACTTGCTCCGGCGTCCCATGCTCAAAGCACCGTTGTACCAAGAAGTTGCCGAAACGGTTGACCATCAAATTGTAGGCTTGGGCAACAATGGCCTCAACAATTCCGTACTTCTGCTCTGGTGTTCCGACCTTGAGTTTCTGCTGCAGAAAGATGGAGGCTTGCTGATCGTTATTGCAGACAATCTTGTCGACGATGTATTTCCAGTTGCAGGTTACGGTGCGATCGAGTAAGCGTCGGTAGTTAAGGGGTTCCGTGGTCGGCAAGAAGGTCTGGCCTTCAGAGACGGGCTACAACGCGGCTCTAGTTAGTCGTGTTTCCGAATAAGAGAAGACGGGGCGAGACTTACCTCTGACTTGTAAGAGGCACTACCCGTAGCCGAGGTGAACTCGCTGGCCAAGGGCGAAAGGGATGTACCGATGGGAGTTGGTTGATAGTTGGAGTACATCCCCGAACCAGAAGCCGGGGTTGGGACGGGTTCGTAAGGGCTGGTGCCGTAGTTAAAGCCACTTGCGTATGCCGATTGTGAAGCTAATTGGGGCATCACGAAGCGGTTATCGAATCGGTTGTTTCGTCGGCTGCCCGTGGATCTAGAGGCTGCCAAGTCGAAGTCGGGAGTCAAATGGCCCCCACCGCGGTAGCCACCAGGAGCAGAAGGCTCGAAAGCCAAACCGGGATCCATGTAACCCGGGGTGACACCACGCCCGCCCCAGTGGCTGCTCTGGGCCACCTCAGATCCCGAGAAGCCACTCTGCACCAAAGAGCCCTGGCCGCTCTTGTTTGGACCCCAGATGTCGCGGGAACGATTGAATCCTGTGGCCGACAAAGCATCGCTCGTGTCAGATCGAGAATCATCGAAGGCAGGCCAGCCTCCCTCTCTTGCCGCTACCTGCTGGCTGCTGGGGTTGTGATAAGGGGGGCCGGATATCCGCGGTGGGTTTGGGGCGGTCTGTATTCCGGAGGACATGCCCGTATCGACCGGTGAGTAACTAGCGGAATGCTCGAGTCCAGGTCGGGCCTGGCGGGTTTGCGAGAGCTCGCTATCGAGGTGGCTGATCTTGTTCTGAGCTTGAGCCAGCTCAAGCTTCAGACGGAGAATCTCCTTAGTGTTGGATTCGCCGTCGTCCAACACTGCGCTGGCGGGTCGCATGGTAGGAGCATTTTCGCCAAAGATCTCTACAGCGGGCGTCATGGGCACCGAGTTGCTTGAAGATCCATGCTCTGCGGTGGCCGAGTGTGTGGCATCGTCGGCAACGTTAACGCTATCGCCTTGCATCTGGAGCGCAGCTTGGCGCTGGGAAAGTTTCTCCAGTAATTGATCCATAGGGTTCGATTCGTGAGAGCCGGGGGGATCCGGTGACACATGGCTAAGCTTCATCTTCTGCTACTGTTAGTTAACAACACGCGGCAGAGGAGGAGTTCAGGGCGTAGTCAGACCTTAGGAGAGCTCTGGTTGACCAAAGAAGAAGCTGAGAGAGCTCGACCAGAACCCGACTTCTTCTGAGGTGGAAAACCATCCGATTCCTGCACATGGCGAGGTAGAGGGTTAGCCCAGGTACATCGTCTGGGCCATGACACGTCCGTGACGGCCGAAGTTTGACAGGCAAGTGAAGAAGAGATGGGATGAATAACGGCAGCCAATTTGCACCCATCCGCCCATCCGCCCACCCACACCCACACACACACCCACACACACACCCACACAAGACTTCTGCAACCAAGACCGCAAAAATAGCGACTTACAAATCGCAAGAGACTCGTGAGGACGTCACTTACATTGGCATTAGAGGTGTCCTCTTTGCCAACCTTGCCGTTAACCTTGACGTTCTCGTCCTTGGAAATGATCTGGGAGGACTGTATGCGATGGGAGGCTGGCGAAGCCGTCGCGGCGGGTGGAACAGACATGGTGAGTCCTATCTTGGTCAGAATCGAGGCCTGGCGTTTCTGCAGGAGTGGCAGGGGGCGGCGGTGACCAAGCTCCCAAGTGCTCAAGTCAAAGGCTTGGAGATGGCAGAAATGCCTGACTACTGACAAAAAGACTAGATGCTACGGAAAGCAAGGGATAGAAGTGAGGCGGAAAGAAGAGCAGTGAGCGGGATCGAGTAGTGTAAAGCGGGAGAATTGGTCGAAGTTGGGAGACTTGATGGGGAGAAGAAAACAGACGAAGGGTGGTGAGAAGTCGAGTTTTCTCATCGACAGATAGGCCAATTATGTAGGTACCTGACGGCGGTATCTTGGCTCTGGCAGGCGCGATTTGGTAGACGGAGGGAAGTCCAGAGAAGGCGCCGCAAGATGAGAGGTGAGAGATGGGATAGAAAGAACGTTGCCGTGCTGCCACTCCCTTTCTAGCCACCAGGGGAGACGACGGGTAGCGTAGGCAAATGCGGGTCTCGCCGGCTTACCAAATACCTTAGGTAGTTCACGCCTTGATACACGTGACAATGCTCGTATGTCGAAGCAGAGCCGGGTGGAACGGTCCACGACGGGGCTGGAGGGCGCTGGGTATGAGATATGTGCTGAATGTGTTCCAGTCCTCAGGTTGTGGCGCGGGCTGCGCGTAGAAGGCGTGGTTGATGAGAGATTGGCGACGGCGGATTCCCGTCTATGGTGCGAGGAGTGAATAGGAAGGGCTCGCTTGTACAACTGCTGACTGCTGATGGACGAGTAAGAGGAGGGCAAGTTCCCGATATGGCTGGAGTGGCAGGATCAGTGAGAGATGAAGAAACAGAGTTGAAATATAGAGATTTTGAGTATACGGGATGAATGGTGGGTTGGTGGAAGGCGAGTGTGCTGGATTTTTATCAATTTGTTCCGAGTCCGAGGCGTTACACATTCATCTTCCAGGAGAGGAAGTCGCGTTGTCGTCGGAAAACGCCCCTGCCTGTCTTGCCCGTCTGTCTGCCGAGATAGTAGGTGAGGTATACAAGTACCTAGCTGCCTTAGGCACCTACCGCGCAAAAAACACCTGGGCGCTGGGGAGAGATACAGGTAGGCGTCTTCCTACGAGGCAAAGCGTGCTAGGCGCGTGCCGTCGATGCCTTCAGTTGCTGAGATGGCAGCAGGCGGGTACCTGGATCTCTGACCGTATACCTCCCGTCACCATGTCACCGCGTCACAACGTGCCTCGCATATGCCCATGGTATTCACGTCGCGGCTTCCCGAGGGATGTGAATTTGCGACTCCGTGACCTGATTCCGGCGTCTTCCGCAGCTGACTGAGGCTACTATGATGTACAGAGAAGGTAGGGTCTGAGTGGCGTAGGTACCTGTGTATCTCGGGAATCATGTGTAGCCGTGGCCCTCCTAGGGCGTACATATTCTCATCCTCCTTGACGGGCACCTATATAACGGGGTCGATCATGTATAGATACCTCACGCATGCCTCCTATACGCCCATCTCAAGCGCGGCGGGCAGGGGTAAGGGGTTGCGTAGGGATACAAGCCAGCGTCACCGTGGGGTGGCTATAGGAATATCGACGTATAGAGAGGCACGATACTTACTTCGATCCGAGTCAGCGCGAAGGATAGGCGACGCTCCCGATGGATGTGTCAAGGTCCGGCATATAGGTTCTTTGAGAAGACCTCGCGTTGGCACCAGCTGGGCCATCCAATCAAAGCAATCACATAGCCATTTTGAGTATGTCTCATTTTCCCTCGTCGTATTATCGCCCGATCTCGACATGCTTCGGGAGGGGCGGTCTCCGATGGTAAGCCCCATCCCGCACCATCGGCTTGCCGGAAGACAACCGCCAGCCGTTGGCTGTAGAAGCGTACCGACACGCTTGCGGAGATCACGGGGTGTTGTTATCTGGGTAAGAATCGGGGAAGAATTGCCTCACCCCCGTTCTAGGCCCTGGGTATCGTATCGACAACCCTAATTTGCATACATGCCCACGGACGCCACCGCTGTCGCCAATCGAAGCAAGCTGTATCCCAGACTACTTCTTGCCTCGAAGATGTTTCGCTATATGAACTGTTAGCACGTGCTAGGGCTAAGGACTGTAGCTGTAGGGGGATAGGCCGTACCAATTGGTCCCTTCCGCTTCTTCGGGGCGCCTTTTCCGCGTGACTTCCGCCTGTTCTCTGGTCAGATCCGCGCCAACTAAGAGGACATCGAGTATCCCGAATGAGCCCGGCGCAGGGGAATGGCATACCCTGCGATGTGCTCCTGTCTATCCATCTCTTCCTCATTCAGCGTCCATAGATCCAACTTCTCGAACTCTCTCTCTAACGTGAAGATCGTCGGTTTCTTCGATGGGTAGTACTTGGCAAGCGATGGGCCTTTTAACCGCTGTCGTAGGATCTTGTTGCCCATCCGTATCCCACCCGGGTTATACGTTGACGAGAAAATTTGGCATTGGATCTGGCACGTCAGCGTCTAGCAAACGCGGTAGGGCGAGGCGATTACCCATACCTTCATAAGATCTAACAACCTCGCACGAGATACGAGAGCCATGGCGGCCAGGTGCGTAGGAAATCGTATTGGCGTCACATAAGTTACTTGGTGGCAGGCGAGTAGATTCGCAGCCCAGACTTGTAGACGGGATGTTGACAGTGCGGCAACTGTGGATCCGCTGTAAGGCTTATTGCAGTTGGTCGGGCGGGTCTCGATTGACCTACCTTGGTGAGGCTCATGGGATACCGGAAAACCTTCGGATGAATCCAGGGGGAATGGGTTTGTACCTCAGGTACCCAAGGCTAGGAGCTGAAGCACAGGTACCTCCTAGCTTATAAGGTAGGTACCTACATCGGTACCCGTACGCAGGGGGCGGGGCACCCCCCAAGCCCTTCACCAATCATAATAGGTGATTTGAACTCAGCTGAGTTCAAAACATTTACAGTTACCGTCTTTAAACTTGCCTGAAATGAAGAGGCAGTCCACGCGTATCGTTTCGAGAAGACCCAAGGATTCAACGCTTTCCCTGCCAAGATGTCGAAACGCTCATACGACGACTTCAATCTGGACGAGGCGTCAGTGTCGCAACTCTTGGAGCACGCTAATGATTTGCTGAGAGCTGTGAAGGCGTTGAAACAGGAGCTCAAAGCCTGCCGCGATGCCCCCAAGCAGATCGACGAAGCCCTCTCAGTTGTAGCCCGCCACAAGGAGAAGATCTTACCTGCCGTCCAATTTCTGGGTCAGACTGAGGTAGGGATCCAAGTGTTCAACTCGTCGTCGTATCTGCTGCTAATCTGCCTACCCTACGATAGGCAAATACTGCAGACCAACATGAATCTGGGCCTCGCAAGATCCAGAAACTCGACAGTGCCGGCGAAAGCCCGAGGGACGCGTCCGCAGCGCTGCGTGTGCCCCAACCCGTGTCTCTTACCCCATGGACCCCCCAGGACATTCCGGGCTCTACTTTGCCCGCGTTGCCTCCTGCATTGGATCCCGATCTCGAGCAAGCTGCACTCACCCACCCCGGATTAACGACACACAAGGCAAGCATGAACTACGACCGCCTCGAGTGGCTCGGAGACGCCTACATATACCTCGTAGCTACCGCGCTCATCTACCAGACTTTCCCCGATCTACCTGCCGGACGATCTACCCAGCTTCGTGAGAGACTCGTCAAGAATGATACGCTTGGCCGATACGCCCTGCAGTACGGGATTCCCGAGCGGTCGAGGCTCCCTCTCGACGTGGACCCACAAGCCCGCAACAAGGCCAAGTTAAAGGTGTACGGTGATATTTTCGAGTCCTATGTCGCAGCCGTGATTCTCGGAGACCCGGAAGGCCTGTCGCGCGTCACGCAATGGCTAAAATCCATCTGGAGCACAGCCCTGGCTGACGAGATTCGCCGCGAGACCAACGCCCGGCCCCGACTATCCCCCCCAGCTCCTGGAGGAAGCGATGATGGAAGGCAAGGGGTGGGCGCAAACCCGAAGTTGAATCCCAAGGTGCAGTTAGTCCAGCTTATCGGGGCCAAGCACGTTCAGCTGTCGTACAGGGAGATTGCCCAGTCGAAGGAGAAGCACTCGGGACTCCCATGGTATACTATCGGTGCGTATTATGACGGATTCGGCGAGAAGGACCTCCAGCTAGGTATCGGAAGTGCGCTTTCCAAGAGGGAAGCGGGTGCTGCCGCCGCAGTCAAGGCCATGGAGAACAAGAAGTTGGTCAAGCGGTTGCAAGCCCTTCGGGAAGAAGCAGCGAAGGCGAAGAAGGCGGGGGAGCAACCGTACGACAATTGGTCCTAGCCAAGCGTGGGCAGGAGTAGAGAGGCAAGTTCATGTCGACAGGGCGCATGGGGTCCGCTCGTACCACGGCTGCCCTGATCGTCTACACAGCCGGAGGGACCGAGGGCTCGCGGGAGCATTGCTCTCTCGAGCTACCTAAGGTCATGTATGTACTCGCGTGCTGTTGTGTATTTCTGTGCCAGCCTCGAACCAATCGATGTAAATGGAACCTAGTTCTGTGTCCGCTGAGCCAAGCTCGCACCCGAGTTTCTTTGTGCCAGTCGAACCGACCTCCGCGGGGCACGACAGACAGACGGATCTAATTGTGTCTTCCTACATAACCGTAACACGCTACATGGGTATATTGCTACAGTCTACCTCTTCTGTAGACTCGATCCATACCAGGCACCTAGGCGGCGTACTTACCTAGGCAGTAGGGGGGTGTACGCATGCAGTTGAAGATTCAGGAGGAGGAGAGAAAGAAGCATGAGACGAAAGAACAAGACCGTATGGGGGTTCTTTTTCCATCTCTTCCATTTGGGAGTTACCTGACCGGGGGTGTCGGCCTTTCACGTGCGATAGCGCCCCGTCGGGACGACCCAAGCGAGTTTCTGGCTTCCGGCTAACGGACAACCGTGGCGCTCGCTTATGGGGGAAGTATGCACATACTCATATATTATCATATATACTATACATAAATCCCCGCTCGCCTACAGATCTGGATGTGTATGTACATGCTGCAGCACGGTGTGCCTCTGAGGGCGCCAGGGGTGACGATGATGGGCCAAGGCTTTCATGTGTATATACATATATGTAGGCTGGTAATTTGCCGACTGGGTGGATCTGATTATTTCTGGCCGGTGCGATGTGTGTAAGAGGAGGGACGTAGCGATGGCCTTTATAGTACAGCAGCTAAGCGTATGAACGAACGCCCGCCCTGGAGCCAGCATCAGCTCGTTACGGGCTGGCCGACACCGAGGAAATGTCCGCGTCTACATACGGCGCTCACCCTTACCGTTCTTCATACCAATGCTCACAAGTATAGGTAGGTATAGCCTATAAGCAATGCTGCAGGTACCTGACGATGCATACCACGTAGGAGGTGTTGGGTGCACACACATACCTGCGGGTGGAGGGATAACTTAAAGGCTGGGTATGGAACGAGAACGGATATTTGGAGGTAGGTTAGGTTAGTTAGCACGTTGCGCTAGATGGGACGAATGGAGGGGAACCCCCTGGCTCAGCATTGTTCTGTATTATTATCGTAGTATTTTAGCAGTCGGTTCGGCCAGCTATTTATTCTATAGTTATTATTTTCTCAAAAGGGAGAAAAGCACGAGCCCGGCGCTGTCCCCGTGGCACGGCACTAAACCCAGGCCGACGCCTGCTTTAGCACAAGCCAGGCCAGGGGAGAACCGAAGACAAGAGCTCGCGCCGAGGCAATTTGCAATCCCCCCAAACGCCGAGATCATCGACGGCCGCCCCCCCCCCAGCTCTCTAGCTCTGTGTGGAGTTCTACGGTGCCTGATGCCATCATATCGTCTCGTGGCATACGTGGATAGCTGCCTCCTAACGGACATACATGCATGTATGTGTTCTCATCTAATATGTTTCAATTCTAGTAGGCATGCAAGAGGTAGGCAGGCATTTTAAATGCATGTGTTGAGGTGACCTTTAACGGTAGCAGCAGCAGCGGCGGTGGCAGCAACAGCGTGACTGCATTACGTACGTACGCCCAAGTTCTCTCCCTCTCTCATTTCGTCTTCTCTCATCCTCTCTTTCTGTATCGTCTCCGCGTCTCCGCGTCTCTCTCTCTCTCTCTCTCTCTATCTATCTCTCCTCTTCTCCTCTTTAACCTCGCTCAGATGTCGGACTTAGGAGCGGAATATTATGGAGATCGCTTGTAATTTATAATGCCTTTCCCCTTCTTAACCTAGGTTAATTGGTATCCCTACACGCCATCCACCCCGTCCCATCGTATCCGTGTGCATGTCACGCTTCCTTTTCTATTTTCCTATCCTCCCACCCGAAGAGAGAATCGACACGACAAACTAGTCTCTTCGCCTCGCAATCTTGTCTGGAGTCTCTTGCATCCCGTCTCTCGTCTCGCGTCGCTGTTCGTTTCCTAGTTGTGCACATTGCCCAGATGACGTGTTGACGAGGCCTGTGTGCGTCCCATTGGCAGCCGAGGCACCTTTTTCGTCCCGTGCGGCGTTGCGCTGCGCTGCGTTGTCGACGGCAATCTTTTCCCTCCCTCGCCCGAGCTGGCTCCCGGTAGTTCACCCTCGACGTGTTCTCTCATAGCTAGCTCGCCGGCCAGCCAGCCAGCGGGTCAGCGACGAGACGGGTCTCGCGATCGCTCGATTCCTCGAACGGTACGCCTGTCGAACCCGTCCCGGTCTGCTGCATACCGAGCGTGTCTGGCTCCACGCCACCTACACGAACGTCGACCCTCTTCCCACTTCCTCGACACACTCTCTCTCAGCCCACTCTCCGCAACCGTCGCGCCCCGATTCGTCGAGTGCCTCGTCTTCTTTCTGTGGTTCGATCAATAGGAAAAGTAGCATCGGGTCTAGGTGCCAGCCGAAGATAGGGAGAGGGAGTAGGAGCACAAATAGAAGAACGACAGGAGAGACGCCCAGCTAGCCAGCCAGCCGGGTAATAGAGAGATTCGTAGCACGAATACATATGGTCTAGACATTCATTCGCAATGGCCGATTCAGTTGGTATGTCCCTCTAGAATATCCCGATCCCGATTAAGTCAGATCCAGACCACATAGCCCGCTCGCCCGCCCATCCACCTTTCACCTTGTCTCCTCTTCTGCCCCCCTCACCGTCGTCGATCGGTTGGCCGATCGTCGAGGCCAGCCCTCGAACTCATCTCCGCCTCCTGGCCCTCGTCTCTTCGTCTCTTCCCCCGTCTCTTCTCCCCTCCCTTTCCCCTCGCCTCCCCATCCTCTTCCGATCTACTATTGCCAATATCCTCCAAACCGGGCCTCTACTAACGATCTCCTCTCGCGCCCCGCGGCGCTCGCCCCTCCTAAGCAACAGACCGCGTGTTCGTGCACGCGCTCAACACTGTCAAGAAGATCCCGAAGACGGGGGCGTCGCGCCCGCCGCCGGCGGACCGCCTGCGGCTCTACGGCCTCTACAAGCAGGCCATGGAGGGGGACGTTGACGGGGTCATGGAGCGGCCCGAGCGGCGGCACCGACAACGGCATCCCGGCGCCAGCGCCGCGGCGGACGACCACGACGCAGAGCAGGAGGAGCTCGAGCTCCAGCGCGAGCGCGACAAGTGGGACGCCTGGAATGCCCAGGCCGGTCTCGGTCGCACCGAGGCCAAGAGGAGATACATCGAGGCTTTGATCGACACTATGCACCGCTACGCTACCACGCCGTAAGTTCCAACCCTCGTGTCCCCTTCCACATTTTCCTATTTCTCTCATTTTTTTTCTCTCGTCTCATCCTTTTTCAATTCGAACTCCCTGTTTTGGCCGTTCGTGACGTAGCACCTATACGCATAAGGCAGTAGGGATGAGTGGATTGGGGATGGGAGGGGCGCCTATATGATGACGTGGTGACACGTCGGGCTTGTTGGCGAGGTGGGGAGGGAGTGAGTGGATGGGAGTGGCTCGGGCCCATAGACGGTGTGCGGTGCGCGTGTGGGCTGTCTATCGTGGTCCGAGTGGAAGAACTTGCGGGTTCGACGAGGGTCGTGCTATTGTTATTACTGTTGTTATTGTTTTTTCTATCGTACTCACATGTATTATTGCGGTGATGGTGGTCGTTGTGGTGCCAGGGGTGTGTGTGAGGATATTTCAGGCGGAGAAGAACTGGTGGGCGCACCCGCAAATAGGAAAAAAAAGCTAATAAGAGCGAACTCGTTCGCGAACACATATGTAGGGACGGCAAGGGTCTCGTCGCCGAGCTCGAGTTCGTCTGGGACCAGATCAAGAACAACAGCAGTAACAACCACGGCAGCCACCAGTCATCGTCATCGTCCGCCGCACACGCGTCCCCGAAGCAGATCGGCAGCTCCTCTTTCGCGGGCGAGCACCAACGAAAGCAGCTCGTTCCCCAGAGCAGCAGCCGCCGGCGCCGCTTCCAGCAACCTCTGAGCGGGACGGAGGGGCCAATGAAGATGCTCAGCCCGATGAGTGAGGACGACGCGGCGGAGCAGGAGTACCGCAAGGCGGCGCAGGAGGAAGAGGATGAAGAGGAAGAGCTCGAAGCCGAAAACGACGGCGACGACGACGGGCAGTACGTAAAGAAGGGGGACCGGTGGTCGCGCAAGGTGGAGCGGGCGCTCGTGCGATTGTCGGCCGAGGTGGCAGCACTGCGGGAGCAGATCACAGCCGGGCGGGAGTGGCGGTCGAAGCGGGAACGCAGCCTCGCGGCGCGTGCCGGCTGGTTCGCCTGGGTCGTCGCGAAACACTTCGCCGTCGACGTGGCCGTCCTGTGCGTCGTGCTGCTATGGATGCGGCGGCGCAAGGACCGCCGTCTCGAGGACCACGTTCGCGCCCTGCTCAAGCTTGGCCGCGAGTACGCGCGCAAGATACTACCTTCGAGGTGAAAAACGACAGCGGAACTAGACCAAAGCAAACCCCTACGACGCAGAGGGAAAAAACAGGAGAAGCAATGGCAATGGCAATTATTGTTATTTTCCAAGGGCTTCACGGCATTGCATCTGGTACGGTTATCACGAATCTCTTAGAATGGGGTGGACTACCTATCTCGGATACCTATCTGATCTCAAACTCACACTGACTGCCGTTACCAATTGGCCAGTGGAGGTTGAACCCCTCATACCCTTCTTGCCTACCCGGCCTAGCTGGCGAGACTGCGATCAAGACTGAGGGGGGAAAAGAAATCCGAGTGTACTCCCTCCAAAACAGCACAGAGGGGAGTGTTAAAAAACGAAACAGTATCCGGTGGGCGCACGCCCGAAAGCAGCACGAGAATAAAGACCACCCCGACTGAACGGCTACCCCCCCCCCCCCTCCCAGCTCCATCCTCCATGGCCACTGTTGCGTCGAGGAATTTATCTAGCAAAGTTACTGGGGATGGCAGCCACTGCTGGCGCGCACCGAGCGAGACTTGTCGGCGGAAGATCCGTGTTGCTGCTCTTCCTGTTCAGAGGCGGCACGATCCGACTCGATAAGAAGATTGGCGGGGGTCGGTGTACCGGCCATGAGTGAGGTAGAAGGGAGAGCTGGTAAATTGGCAAGTCTCGGGAGACGCGCACACCTATCACCATCATGGAATTCGAAGTCCGGCGAGTGGTCGTCTAGCCACGTTGGATCTCTCAGAGCGCCGACGAAGACCTCGAGACGCAGTGGCTCGTTCTCGCCATCGTGCTTCCACAGGGGAGAGCCGCAGCGGCGGCAGCGGGAGAGATGCGAATTCGTGGCGATGGCAGCTTTGCCGAGGAATCGGAACGAGTCGATGTGATCTGGGCAGCTTGTCAGCGCGCAGAGGACGGCAGAAGCTTCAATTAAGATGGGATGATATGGAGCGGGATGGGGGATAATGGAAAGAGATGGAAAGGGGAAAACGTACGTGCACCGCTGGAGATCGACAAATCGTCATCCCGAGCGATGAAATACTCGCGGTGCGTGCCGCCTGTCATTCGCTTGCAATCGACGCAATGGCATACTCGCTAGATAGGGTTGGATTCCACCCCGGTCCGTCAGCCCAGTGTTGTTGAGATGACAACTCAGTCACGGAGCCATCGGCGCATGGTTAAGGGACTTACGTGCGGGCCGAGCACACCATCGATGACACCTCGAACCTAGAGGGCAACGTTAGGAATGGGTACGATCAGAGGCTGTCCGCAGGGGTAGCTCGGAGGAGGGGAAGAGGAGGGTGAACCCGCGGGCGAACTTACTTTTCCGCAGAGGCACTCTACGTCTAGATGGACTCTCTCCACCTCCGGAGCAGCGGGGTTGACGAAAGTCTGTCCCGGCGCCCAGGGAGTAGAACGGGCGGCCATGGTCGGCTTCCAATGCGAATTCGCCGAAAACAGAAAAGGGAGTCCTGGTGATTGTGATGAAGTCAGAGATAGCGGTCGGGAGGTGAGGTTACAATGGAGAGAAGAGGGGGTGGTTGTGCTGGGATGGTGAGAGAGGTTGAGGTTGAGGTTCAGGTTGAGGGGAAGGAGAGGAGAGGTGTCTGGGAAAAACAGACCCCAGGACCAAGGAACACTCAGGTGATGCAATCTCTGATGCTGTACCTAACCACCTATATTTGAGGAGGAGGGAGTGGGGTCTGGGGAGCAACTGCTGTCTTTTAAGATGGAAGATCTCGAGCTGTCAGGTCGACCTTGTGGTTGTCTAGATATGGTCGAGAAATGCTCTCTGCCAACCCATATTGAGAGGACACAAGGAGCATACTCAAACTGGACAGACCCCCCCACGGTTGTTTAGGAGGGGCGCGATTATAGGCCAGGTCCTGGGATAGAAGTGTGTGTCACTACCCATCTTGATGCCGACGTCGCTTTTGACGGCCGTGAGTTGCAGTATGGAGTTGTGAACTGCTGTGCGCAGCGGCCAGTCAAAGACAGCACAGCAGCCATAACGCAGAGTTCACAGGGATTAGGGGACTAGGAACCAGGGGAGACGAGGACAGAGTTAGAGTTGGCAGCCAAATATAAGTTTCCCTTTGTGAGACGGACAGCCGCATCGCTCTCAAGTGGTGAATGACGACACCCCCCCCAGCAGCATCCACCCAGCCACGAGCCGGGCTCCCCCTTTTTCCACTGCTATCTGCAGTGAGTCTCCCAGCAGGGCAACAGTCAGTGAGCGAGCGAGTGACTCGGTGACGATCCTGCATGTCTCATCATATACTGGTGATGCGACTTGCCGAGGGCCGTGTAACCACGGGAGCCCGCGCCGTTGGCTGTGCTGCTCACCAGGAATTAGACGAGGGCACTCCGTAGGGGACCTGTCAATTCTCAGAACAAGGCGTCCGTCCCAGATGCGGCGTCGTTGCTGCTACTGCTGTGGCGGCCGAGGAGGAGGGCCGCCGTCATTCGCGCGCTGTTTGCCATTGCCGTTGGCGGCCCGTGCTAGAGGAGGGAACGCGAGTTATGGTGTTGGCCCGCCTAGGTAATTGTGGCTGAGAGAGACGGGTAACAATTCGCTTGACGGTAGAGTCAGAAGTAGAGTGAGTGCCAGGCAGGTTGGTGTCCCGGAGGACTCCTGTGCTTGCCCCTCCGCTTTCTCGGACAGGTCGCATGTCCTCAAGAAGCGCATTCATTTGGTTGGTTCAAAGTCTCCTATCTTGGGAACCGGCTCTCGTATACTGCCAACCGTAGGTTCTTCTTGATAGCTTCCTCTCCTTGCAGACTGCAGTAGCTGCTGGAGCGTACAGATGGCAGCTTTCAAAGTACCCAAGGTAGCTAAGCTACAGGCTATGGCTATAGGTAGTTACCATGAGCCTCAACCTCGTTGCTTGCCACGGCCTTCCTTTCGACGGGATCGATAGTGAGAATAGGTGCCTCGGGTGGTTCTATATACATGGTATCTATCTTTATGATACACGTCTATCCAAGGACGTCATTGGTGCTCATTGTCGGCGTCTATCCGTACATCGCTTAACATCTCCAAGGCGGGCAATCTGCCTGCGCGTGTCTACTGCGAAAACCTGCTGTTCTTGCGAATCTGTTTTCCGTATCGGAAGAACAGGTAGGGGAACGGTAGCATCGCAACCGTGAGGAAGGCCAGCAGGCTTGATCCCCACTGGAAGCCGAGCTTGTGGTACATCTGTATGCCGAAGAGAGGGAATGCGGCTATTGGACGAAGGAGTCAGCCAGTTGCAGAGTCTTGATAGGGCATATTATCTACTCCCCGAGATTCGCACATACCGGCAAAAACACACCGAGTAAAGCTGTTGGCAGCCATGGCCGAAGCCGCGAAGTGCGGGTATGCATCCACTACCAGCTATGTCAGCTACCCGGCCATGCACGTAATATGATGGTTGTACGCCCGCTGCGGCCGTCTAACTTACCCAGGAAGGTGAATATCCCGGTGAATACCATCAGCGTACCACAGCCGAATATCCCAGACCCGATGATGGGCACTATCCAATGGACCCAGGGAAAGGCGGTCCACGCGAAAATAAAAAGCCCGATAGGACACAAGAACGCGCCCGCGATCGCAGGCGGCAGGCGGAATTCCGGCTCGGGGGCGCCGTTGTTCTGCGCAATGAGGCGGAGATATATGCGACGCCAGAGCGGGTCGGTCAAGGAGTAGAGGATCATGCCCACGAAGATGCCGAGGAAGGACAGGCCATTCTGCCACAGGTTGAAGCCGTAGTTCTGGCCAAAGACCAGCGGGAACGCCCCGAAGAACAGATAGAGAACCCCGAGCAATAAGGCGGAGAATAGGCAGAGCAGCAGACACATCGGCTCAAATAGCAGCAGCTGGAATGGCCGTAGCAGGGAGTACCCGATGGTCTCCACGACAGACTTCGTCGACTTCTCCATTGGCGCTCTCCAACGCTCATCCCCCGTCTCTTTTCTCAGCAGCCTAGCCTTATCCCGTAGCTTGATAGGGTCTAGGGGTATGTCAGCACTATCGTAGCCAGCTTACGCCAAGAGGAATTACGTACGGTACGTCTCGGGAGCAAAGAAGATGATCATCATGTAGAGGAAAAAGGCCCAGATGATGAGTACCTGTCGACGTTCGAATGTGAGTAACGAGGGAAAGATGTATGCGTTTGTGAGACTCATATGACGCAGCTCTGCCCAGCATATCTCTGAAGGCATTCTCTAAGGGATCGTGACGGCATCGGGAATACCTACGTAGTACGTCCACCTCCAGCTCGTGTTATAATTTATGAATCCTCCAAACAGCGGGCCGAAGCTGGGGCCTACGGAATATTAGTTGCATTTCAGACCGGCTTCAGTTGATGGATACGTACCGACGAAAGGACTTAACGACATGATAACCATCGGCCCTTGGATCTCGTGCCGCTTGAACATGTCGCTGACAGTACCGCCGGCGACACTAAGGAATGAGCTCCCAGCGAAACCGTCGATGAATCGCGCCTGTAGTTTTCCCCGTCAGCGCCGCAAACCTACGGAAGGAAACACGGCTTAGGGTGCGAGCGGGAGACGTACTACCAACATAGTCTCGGCGTTGCGAGCGACAGCGCTAGGGATTAGCCAGATCAGAAACATGCCCCAAGACGCGAGGTAGATCGGACGGCGACCGACGAATTCGCTCAGGGGGCTCATAAGCAACGGGCCAAGAGCAACTGGAGTTGAACGGTCAGCGAAAGTTGCCTCTGCTCGCGTGCGTCGATGGACATACTGCCGAGGACGAAGAGCGACAGGCCGAGCGTGCCGACGATGCTCGACATGTGGAGCTCCGGATTCATCTGCCCATACATTGACGCATAGATCGAACTCGTACAGGTCCTAGTCTCTTTCGTTAAAACCCGAACTGGGACGAGGGAGCAGAATGCACACAGATGCCCACGTACACACAGAAACTCCCCATACCAACAACTATCACCGCCATCCATCTACGAGGTTTACTCATACTCCGAGGACATACTGCAACAAAGATGGTCAGATCTCATTCCCAAAAGCAAAATAAATAGGTAAGTTCCGGATAGCGACGAGAGTCGTTATTTCTAGAGTTACGTTACGAAACGTAGATAGACTCCCGTGAAGGAGGCCGAGAAGACAGCTCGCGAAGGTGCTTACGTGGATCATCGTCGCCATCCCAGGCTACCTCGAACGGGTCCTTTTCGCCGTCAGGCCGGTTGGGGGCAAGTGTGTCATCGGCCGAGGGGTCCTCTTCGAGATCCGCGACTCCGTGTCCGTTGTTGGACCGTGTGCGCGCGATGGAAGTAGAGCGCGCACGATACACGCTCGACCGGCTCGGCGCTTCGAGGGATTCAGCTCTACTTTCCCGGTCGGCGTCTAACTTAGACTGGGCTCCGAGTTTCTCCTCGTCGAGTTTCTCCATGTTGGATGACAGGTTAGCCAGCCACCCCCGGCTGGAGGACAGGCAGAGTCGGCTCTGGTGCTGCTGTTTGTCCGGCTAATCCTCTGGTGAAATAAACAGCTAGGGCAGGAAAATATCTTGTTTACAGTCCGTCGTAGGCAAGCGAGTCTTTGTAGGATCCGTAACGGCTTTCTGTCAGCCGGATAGCAAAAAGAAAGGCATGCCACGGGACACAAAGAAATATATAGCGCTACAGGGCCCTAGCACAATCGATCATAATAAACTGATGATAAATTCCCCGAATATTCCAGGTTGGTTAACACCCTTATTTTTGCCATCTGGTTATTCGCTGGGACCCCACTCACCAGGCAGTCAGTCAGCTTGAATCAGAAAAGTCGCCTGTCAAGTCGCAGAGCGCGAGAACGCGATGCCGTTGCGGGTCCCTTGCCTGCCCCCCATGTCCCTTAGTATGGTCTATTTTGCAACCATCATACCCCATCCCACGTTACAAATAACCTAGGCCGAAATATTACCCCGGTACAAAAGGAACAGGCGGCGGCCGCCCCTAAGCCTGTACAGTGTATCCATTTATAAGCCGCGGCATGGCTGCTTATGTGCCTGCAGAGGTGTGCTCCGTCAGGATGGTTCTTCGGCGATATAATGTCGTCGGCATCGGCAAGTTGACGTGGGCAAATAACAGCTCACAGCAGCCAGATGCAGAACACCGCAGCCGTCGATCTACCCGGGGTGACGTGAACAGCCAGAATGGCTAACGCCGACGCCGGAATCGCACGAGCAAGGCGTGCTCGGGTTAGGGGCTCGGAGGGTGCTCGGGGTTTGGTCCATCGGCACACATTCTAAGCGCATCCTAAGCAGGCGATTCAGGCAGGCCTATAGGAAGCAAGTGCGTATACATACGAATGTGTTATCAGCACCTGCTAGGAAGTTTTCTTCTTCTGATCCGAACCTCGCTCCCACCCCTCGCTCACGCCTTGCGTACGGTCAGACTCATCCTCGTCGTCATCCACTGGCGGACGGGGGAGTGTCGCCCACTCTAAGACAGCACGGGAATCGACGAGATAGGCCGATCGGCAGTGAGAGTAAGCATGCGTCGACGGGGGTGACGGGTAGGTACGTATGGAGTTTACGGCGATTAGAGAAGGACGAGGGGGCGATGTTGCGGAGACGTGCCGGCCAGACGGGGTGGGATGGGAATGAATATGAAAACCTGAAGAAGGTCGAGGAATACCTGAGTTAGGTGCCTTAGTATCGACGCTTACATGTAATACGACAATATGCACACCACGAGGTCCACGGCACCTCCTCTATCTTATGGTATTTGACCTTGAACTGCACACCTCCTACTTACCTCCGATAGGTAAATCATGCCAGGTACCTTAGGTAGGTACCGATGACATGCGGTATAGGGCTTCGGTGGCAGCGCACAGAGTGCGTCTGATGCCCTACTAGGTACCTCCTCCTAGGTAGGTAGGTAGGTACCTTAGGTACTCTGCGGATAAATAAGAGGTAGGTACCTCCTCCTTAGTGCCTAAGGTACCTGTTACACGTAAATACGGTCCGTGGAATCGGCCCCGCCTTATTGGAGGTCCTCGTCGTCCCAAAGCTTCTCGGACCCGCTCTGCCACGCAATGAGACCCCGGAGCTTTCCAATTGGCCAATCAGGAGCGGTTGGGACTCTGACTAGACTGCCCACGTGCCCACTCACGCGGATGGGCATGTATCTTGGCCCGCGGAGCAGTGCTGCCAGGTACCGCAACAGAATTCTCACCACCCAAAAAAAATAATACCTAAGCCACACAAAATTTTCAGATCAAAGATCGTCGACTCGCACTTTGTGCCATGACCCGATCTTCATTGTCCCCGTCAAACCAAGCGCCTCGCTCGCCTGGGTCTCTCACAGACCTTCTCCCCCCGACATTCCTCCTTTAAATCACCAGCTATCCCTCAAATGTCTCTCCTAATGACCAGATAGACCACTGCTTCACACCACCAGCACCCATGGCTGCCCAAGTCAACGGTGCTTGGGCCCCCACCCGCATCTCCATCCTAGGGTCTGACTCCATCATCGTCGACCACGGCATCTGGTGGCATTTCGTCTCCGACGACCTCCTCGTGAACCTCAAGTCCTCCACCTACGTCCTCATTACCGACACGAACCTCCGCGATCGCTATGTGCCGCCCTTCCGGCGTCTCTTCCGCGAGGCCGCTGAGGACCGGGAAATCTCGACTCGCCTACTCACCTACACCATCCCTCCCGGCGAGACCTCCAAGAGCCGCGAGACCAAGGCCAGCATAGAGGATTGGATGCTGGCCCAGAAATGCACCCGGGACACTGTCATCATAGCCCTGGGCGGCGGTGTCATCGGCGACATGATCGGCTACGTCGCCGCTACCTTCATGCGCGGTGTCCGTTTTGTCCAGGTCCCCACCACCCTCCTGGCCATGGTCGACTCTTCGATCGGCGGCAAGACCGCCATCGACACCCCCACCGGCAAGAATCTCGTCGGTGCCTTCTGGCAGCCCCGTCGCATCTATATAGACCTCGCATTCCTCGAGACGCTCCCCGTACGTGAATTCATCAACGGCATGGCCGAGGTGATCAAGACCGCTGCCATATGGGATGAGACCGAGTTCGCCGCCCTAGAAGAAAATGCTGCTCTGATCCTGGCTACAATCCGATCCAAGACGGCTAACCCCCGCGAGAGGTTACTGCCCATCCGTGCCATACTGAAGCGCATCGTCCTCGCTTCCGCCCGCGTCAAGGCCGACGTCGTCTCCCAGGACGAGAAAGAGGGCGGCCTGCGGAACCTGCTCAACTTTGGCCACTCTATTGGCCACGCGATCGAGGCCATCCTCACCCCCCAAGTCTTACATGGCGAATGTGTAGCTATCGGGATGGTTAAAGAGGCCGAACTTGCTCGTCATCTCGGCGTGCTGCGACCGGGCGCGGTGGCCCGGCTGGTTAAGTGTATCGCGAGTTACGACTTGCCCACCTCCCTCCATGACAAGCGTATCGTAAAGTTGACCGCCGGAAAGCAGTGCTCCGTAGATGTCTTGCTTGAGAAGATGGCCGTAGATAAGAAGAACGAAGGGAAGAGCAAGAAGATCGTGCTCTTGTCCGCCGTAGGGAAGACTCATGAACCCCGAGCCAGCGTAGTCGGGGACAGCGACATACGAATCGTCCTATCCCCGGCCATTCGTGTCAGGCCGGGCGTGCCCAAAGAACTAGATGTCGAGGTAACTCCTCCGGGGTCAAAGAGTATCTCCAACCGGGCCTTGGTGCTGGCTGCGCTGGGTCAGGGGACTTGTCGGGTCAAGAATCTCCTCCACTCTGATGACACCGAATACATGCTCTCGGCGATTGCGCGACTCAACGGCGCCTCGTACTCGTGGGAGGACGCCGGCGAAGTCCTCGTGGTCACGGGAAGGGGCGGCAAGCTGGAAGCGAGCGAAGAGCCTCTCTACCTCGGGAACGCGGGCACCGCTTCTCGTTTCTTGACGAGCGTAGTCGCTTTATGCTCTCCCTCTAGTACGAGTTCGACCGTTTTAACCGGGAATGCGAGGATGAAGGACAGGCCTATCGGGCCGCTCGTTGATGCTCTGCGATCGAATGGCGTCGATATTAAATATCTCGAGAAGGAGAAGAGTCTGCCGGTGCAGGTCGACGCGGCCGGTGGCCTTCCCGGAGGCGTTATCGAGCTGGCTGCCACCATATCATCTCAATACGTCTCGTCCCTTCTCATGTGCGCGCCGTACGCCAAGGAACCCGTTACTCTCCGCTTGGTTGGCGGCAAACCCATATCACAGCTTTACATAGATATGACCATTGCCATGATGGCGTCGTTCGGCATCTCTGTTGCAAAGTCACCTGATGAGCCATACACCTACCACATCCCCCAGGGTGTGTATACGAACCCCGAAGAGTACGTTGTCGAGAGCGACGCAAGCTCGGCAACGTACCCCCTCGCTGTAGCTGCCATAACCGGAACGACGTGCACGATCCCGAACATTGGCGCAAATTCGTTACAGGGAGATGCTCGTTTCGCGACGGATGTGCTGCGCCCGATGGGGTGTACCGTAGTACAGGACGGAACATCGACCACTGTGACCGGTCCGGAGCCAGGTGGCTTAAAGGGCATCGAGGTCGACATGGAACCCATGACCGATGCCTTCTTGACCGCCTCAGTTCTCGCAGCCGTCGCGTCGGGCGAGACGCGGATTACCGGAATTGCCAACCAGCGCGTCAAGGAGTGCAACCGCATCGCAGCGATGAGGGAGCAGCTCGCGAAATTCGGCGTTGGGTGCAGAGAGCTCGACGACGGCATCGTGGTGTCGGGCAGAAAGTATACGGAACTTTCGTTGCCGAGAGAGGGCGTCTTCTGTTACGATGACCACCGCGTAGCGATGAGCTTCAGCGTTCTATCCGTCTTGGCAACTGGTCCCGTTCTGATCCTCGAGCGCGAGTGTACTGGCAAAACATGGCCTGGCTGGTGGGACGTGTTGGCTCGGTCATTCCATGTCGGCCTAAGGGGCGAGGAGGCCGTCCCGGCCGTCCACGACAAGACAAAACAACCTGACGTCGGGCCTACCATCTTCGTGGTCGGTATGCGAGGCGCTGGGAAGACCACCGCCGGTCGTTGGGTGGCTGATATACTCGGGCGTCCTTTTATTGACCTCGACCACGAATTAGAGCTTCGTGCTGGTTTAACGATCCCTCAGATTATCCGGGAGAGCGGCCGCGGTTGGGAAGGCTTCCGGAGCGACGAGCTCGAGCTTCTGAAAGACGTGCTGAAGAATAAAGGCAAAGGTCATGTCTTCTCATGCGGCGGTGGTATCGTTGAGACCCCCGAGGCGCGACAGCTACTCACTTCCTACCATCGCAACGGTGGTGTGGTACTCCTCGTCCATCGCGATATCGAGCAGACGGTGGAATATCTGAAGCGTGACAAGACCCGCCCTGCGTACACGGAAGAGATACGGGGCGTGTATGAGAGGCGGAAACCCCTTTATCAGGAATGCAGCAATTACGAATACCACAGCCCTCACCTCGATTCACCCCAAGGTCTCGGCGGCCCTCCTGCCGACTTTGTCCGGTTCATCTCAGCGATCAGCGGTAGAAGTACGCATTTCGAGGACGTTAAGGAGAAGCGAGAGTCTTTCTTCGTATCGCTCACCGTCCCTAGCGTAGCATCGGCGCTCAACGTTGTTCCGCAGGCGGTCATCGGTTCGGACGCTGTCGAATTGCGCGTCGATCTGCTCAAGGACGTATCGCCGGAATCGGTAGGGAAGCAGATATCTCTCCTGCGCTCAGTAGCGAAGATACCGATCATCTTTACTGTACGGTCCGTGTCTCAAGGGGGCCGTTTCAGCTATACGTCCGAGGAGCAGCTGCTCCCGCTCTATCGAGCGGCCATACGCACGGGTGTGGAGTACGTAGACCTCGAGATGACACTTTCGGACGACACTTTGGATGCCATCATCCAGTCTAGAGGCGGTGCCACACGCGTCATTGCATCCCACCACGACCCGGAGGGTGCCTTGTCGTGGAAGGACGGCAGCTGGCAGAAGTGGTACAACCGCGCGTTGCAGTACGGCGACGTTATCAAGCTAGTAGGGGTCGCGAAAACGATAGAAGATAACTTCTCGCTAGCCAGCTTCAGGGATAGGATGTATGCTGCCCACGCAAAGCCTATCATAGCCCTCAACATGGGCACCATCGGCAAGCTCTCTCGCGTGTTGAACGGCTTTCTGACGCCCGTCTCACACCAAGCATTGCCATTCAAAGCGGCACCCGGTCAGCTGTCAGCTGTCGAGATTCGCGACGGCTTAAGCTTAATCGGGGCATTGGAACCTAAGAAATTCCGCCTGCTCGGGAAACCCATCTCGGCGTCGCGGTCTCCGGCTCTGCATAATGCTCTGTTTCGCCAGATGGGACTACCCCATCAGTACTCCTTGTACGAAACCGACACTGCCGCAGACGTGCGAGAGCTGATTCGATCCCCCGACTTTGGCGGTGCGTCGGTCACGATCCCCCTCAAGCTCGACATTATGAAGTTGCTCGATGAGATTTCAGAACCGGCAAAGATTATCGGCGCCGTCAACACGATCATACCGATACCTTCGAACGATGGGTCGTCGCCGCACCTGCTCGGCGACAACACGGACTGGAAAGGCATGACCCACTCTCTGGACGATGCTGGGTTGGTATCACCCACTAAAGCGAACCCGAGCAGCGCGATGGTGGTGGGCTCGGGCGGAACCAGCAGGGCGGGCATCTACGCGCTGCACTCCCTCGGTTACAGCCCGATCTACATCGCGGCGCGAAATCCCGCCGCAGTCGCCTCGCTCCGCTCATCTTTCCCCAGCGATTACCACATCGAGCTGATAACGGAGACCAGCACTATTTCTCGGTCGCCGAGCGTCATCGTCAGCACGATACCCGCCGATAAACCGATCGACAAGTCGATACTGAGGACACTCCGATCCGTCCTGCGGCAACCTAAGAAGACGGAAGGGCCGCGGATCCTGCTAGAGATGGCCTACAGGCCTCGGCGCACGCCCGCGATGGAGCTGGCCGAGAGCGCGGGCTGGGCTACTATTCCCGGCCTCGAGGTCCTCGCCTCGCAGGGCTACTACCAGGTACGTGGCGGCGTCGACGCCCGCCGGGCCCTGCCTGCTCTGCTAACACTGACCTTCCGCTTCTAGTTTCAGCTCTGGACGGGCATCTCCCCGCGGTTCTCGGACGTGCGCGCGTTCGTTATGGGCGACGACGCGGCTTCGCAGAGCCGACAGCCCGCAGGCACCGGATACCGGGAGGTCCTGGCGCCTCTCGTCTACGCGGCGGCAGGGGCCGGCGCCGCATTGGCCTGGTCGCGGTGGTTATCGAGGGCTAGCTAGGTGGGCGTGTGGTGACACAGCGCAACGCCGCGACGGCTACGCCAGCGCCTCGCGCGTTGCGGCCGGGGATAGGGAATTTTGCGTTGTAGACCAATCTGCATCATGTATCTACTCGTGCCCGGGAGTCGTTAGATCCCAGGTTTAGCGGATGCAGCCTGCCTCAAAGATCAAAGAGTGGCTTTTTTTCTGACCTAGGTATACATAAAAGCGGTAGACGATATGCATAATAGGACACGATGCTATTGCTGTTTCGGTATCATTTTTTCCCTTCAGACTGGCTACGCGCATGGGGTTGGCTACGTGTAATCTCGCGCGCCGCCCGGCCTCGGGCCCTCGTGCCTGAGGCGGGAGGACAGGTTGGGTTAATTTGCCGGGAGCATTCCACGCGCAGTAGGCGCGTCAGCCTCGTCGAAACCCTGACATCGGCGGTATCGACGGTGCTACGGCCGAAGCTGCGACAGCCTCCTTTCCTTTCATTCTCTCCCTATCTCTCTCTCTCTCTCCGCCTTTTCGACCCGAGGCTTGGCTCTGCGCATGCAGGTTGCTTATACAGGCCCTACCGAGCCGTAAACTTGGTGTTTCCTGCCTCTCGTCCGAGTGTGACTGCGCAAAAAAAAATCCTGTCAGTCAGCCCTTATCCCTCGTCCGGACGTCCGGACAGACGGTCTACGCATTGCTGCACATATACCCGCCCTATAGCCTGCCTCTCCGCTCTCATCGTCACCATCGTTGTCGTCGTCGTCGTACCCTTCTTACTCACCGCCGCCGCCGCCGCCACCAGATCCCCGCGCAGACCGCCCCATTGGCGCGCGCCACTAGAGCAAGCGTCAACCTTGAGCTGAGCGAGCGCGACTCACGGCCCGCTCGGCCCGAAGCTGCAAATCCTGTGTGCCTATCTGTCCCGTCCGTCCGTCCGTCCGGTCCATCGCGCGCGTCCCCGCCGCCCCTGCCTGCTGCCAGCTGGCTGTTGCCTGCGCGCGTTACGCCCCCCCGCCACCTGTCCCTATCCGCGCTGCCCGCAGACGAGACGGCCAGCAGCGTCGCGAAACGACACGGCGACTGGCCGCCCCTCTTGCTGCTCGTCTATCTAGTGCTTTCCTCTCCCGCCGGTCCCGGACGCGGGGGCCTCGCCGCCAGCGAGGCAGCAGCACCAAGAGTGTGCAATCAGTGCGCGCGACACGTACGCGCCTGGGTTGCCTGCACAGCTGGCTCAGCTGGCTGCCGTGCGCGCCAGCGGCTCGTCGCCGTCGCCAGTCGCAGCTCGCGCGCCGACGGGCAGACTTGGCGCTTTTTTTTTTTTTTTCCCAGGCCAGCTGAGAGGAGGGTTGCGCCGTTCGCCGACCGAGGGAACAGCGAATTTGAGCCGAAGCTAGGCGCGCGCCGGCTTCCACAGCCACACGCGCGCAGCTGGACTTTGGGGGGGAGGGAATTGGGAACCGAACAAGGAACCGGACGGGAATGGGGTGGGGTGGGGCACGCAGGCACGCTGCTTTGCGCCGTCGCTCGCGCGGATCGAAGATGAAGATGCCAGGCATCGAGAATCGCGGGGCGCTGATAGGTTGGGGCCGGCTAGGTGGGGGTGGAGCCACGCCTCGCACAGCCACGGGTACGAGATGGGAGTACCACGTTAGTACTACCTCGCCCTGTCTCGCGTCGCCGGTGGTACCGTCACCCCATGTACGAGGTGGAGGTACATGCGTGGCGCACGTAGGTACCTAAGACAGGTACCTCACCTCCCACCCACCTAGTCCCCCCCCCCAATTACTAAGCCAAGGGAAGCATCTAGTCGGTGCCTGAGGCTTCACAGGCACGTGAGCGAACTCGCGACCCGCGATGGATCCATCGGATCTAGCGAAGACAGATGCCGAGGGATCGGGATGCCCGCTACCCCAAGACCCTAGCCTGTTCGCTCTACGTGGGTACCTACGTAAGTGCCGGTGTGCTTACGTGGGTACACGCCTTGGGCAGGTACCTCGAGAGAGGTACCTACACGATACACGCCCGACTTGCCTTACTCGAGAGGAGGTACCCACACGATGGAGAGCGAGTGGGAGTTGTCGGTCGCGTCGGGCTAGTTGGGCCAAACAGGCCATGCTACCCGAGGCGCCAAGGCCCAAGGGATAGGACGAGAACCGGGAAAGGAGCAAAACGGATGGGATAGGTCATAACAACAGCACAGTGGGAGGCGTCGAAGCCATCAGTAAGGTGCTCACCTAACCGACCCTGCCCTGCCCAGCACAGCGCAGCCCGCAACGCTGGCATGCTGGCGGCCGAGTTGCGGGCTTCTCCCTAGTCATATGCAGGTAGGGCGAGCAATGGCGTGCGAATTTGACATGTCGTCTGGCGGGATACGATGGGGCATCCGCCGATAGTGGGTTGGCATAGCGCATACCTACGTATGATACGAGGGGCTCCGCTCCCACAAGACGAGGGTGGGTGGGTACCCGAGCTATACCGAGGGTAGGGCTACTCGGTAAGGCGCTGGCTCTGGCAGACATCGGCAGCGGGTTGCTGGTTGGGTAGGCAGGTAGATACTTCACGGCGACGATGACGACGTCGGCGACGGGCTCCGATGGCGATGGGCGTTACTGTTTTCCCAACCCGGACATCTGGGCATCTGGGCGATCCTGCCTCGTCCTGACACGAAGCCGCTGCGCGCGTACGTATATGTGTGTATAGATGTACGCAGGTAGGGATAGGTAGGTATGTGGTATGTGTGCGCATATCATATAGATTGTGATATATATTATGTTCTGCACTGGCGTGATGCGTGTGGATGCGCGGCCGAGGGAGGCATGTGTTGACGCGATATGCAATGGAGTGTGTTGGATCGAGAGGACCCTGCCTTTGAGCGACGCAACAATACGATACGATGCTATACTAGACGATACGACGACACGATACGATACCTACCTCTACCTCCTACGCCTAGCTACGATAAGAGGATAAGACAAGAAAAAGGGGGGGGGGGGGGGGGGCTATCACGTTGTCGCAGCCGCTCCGAAGCTTGGCCTAGCTTTAGGTACCATCCCCTACCTGACATGCCTACGTTAGGTAAGGTAGGTAGGTAGGTACCTAATGATATATAGGTAACCTGATGCACACGTAGACAAGACAAGAGGTAGGTAGGTAGGTACCTTAGATACCTACCTAAGGTGCGTACATACCTCCTACCTACCTCAATACCTGATGCAATCAGCAGCGCCTCCGTGTTTGTTTATCTGCAACATGCTCTTTCTGCTGGATGTCACCTCCAGGTACCTGACGCAGGTAGATACCTCCGGTACCTCAGGTAGTTGTTGGGAGGCAGGTGCGTACACGACAGGCAGGAATGGGATGGCGATCGGCGGGGTAAGGAGGGAAGCGGCGCAAATGGCCATCGATCTTGCAGGCGCTGGTGAGGGCCGAGTCGGTCAGGCCAGTTTTGGCTGAGACATGCATCTAGGTACCTAGGTCTAGGTACCTAAGGTACCCAAGACACGTACCTAACCCGAGGTAGATACCTGCCTAAGGCAGCTACCTAGAGGTATGTAGGTACGTACGGGTAGTAGTTCCAATACTGATGTAGGTAGGTACATCCTGACGTGTAGGGACACAGCAGAGGTCGGGTGCCAAAAGGCAGGCCGGAAAGGAGGTACCACGTCCCTTCGTACATGCGTGGGTAACGTATGGCAACTCGTCTACGTGCCTAATCGAGAGACAGAAACAGGTAGATAGCAGAGAAGAGAGAAGGGGAGCCACCGTTCGACCGATGCAGGGAGATCAGGTCGAATATCGACCTACGTAGGGCTGTCTTTCCCCCTTCCCCCTGCTCACTTTCCCATGCTCAATTGCATCATCCTCTCTGCACCTCTCACCCCTCGCCGTCGTTGCGAATCTGCCATCCACGTCCATCCACACCCCGAATCAGGCCGCCGTCGCATTGTGTTGCTTGCTCGCTCCCTGCATACCCCTTCGCTGCGTCGTCCTCACGATCTGGAACCACACAACCCGCCATACGTATCCCCGCCGACAGGCCTCGCCCCCCCCCCCCTCCCCGGTCTCCTCGCCTAGCCTAGCATCGATATGCCTATACCTATAGGTCGAGGGGGAAGCAGGTAGGCGTATATATACAGTAAGTACATGCCCAGGAGGTGCATGCATAACGGGAGATGGCAGACGTCTCTCCTACTTACCACCAATAGCTGACCGGTGGCAGAGCGCACAGGCATAGGCGGCGCATAGGCAGGTAGGCATGCATCTATACCGGTGAAGGCTATCGAGACGGGGTAATAGGAGACGTTGGATGGCACCCAGCTCGCATTTCCGGTGAAGGGGGATGGGAACGGAGCCGACATTATACCTACATAACCACTACGGCAGGCGGCCTAATCTGGCGCTCGTACCGCGCCATCTCCCGCCTATTCCCTTCCCGGATACGACATGTTTTTGTCGACGCTGTTTCGGGGGCCAAGCCGGCACTCTGCGTAGGTTGGGGGTTCGCTACGCCGGGTTGGCTCAGGCGGGTTGTGTTGACGACGCCACGTTGAGCCGGCAAGCCAAGGTTCTTACCACCTAGGCCGGATAGGTAAGGTAATAACCTCGTAGCTACGTGGGTGGTTGGCAATTGCACTGACAACTTCTCGTCGACAACTTGACAACTCGCGGAAAGCTACCTAACCCACCTACCTCCTCCTCCTCCTACTCCTCCCCTCCCCGTAGAGGGCAGCGAACCAAATGCGATATCGACTACGGATCTGCTCGAACCGACCGATCCGTCCAGCCAGCCGTCGGCAGAAACACGCACGAGACATACCTACCTAGGTCCCTTAGCTGTCTGCGCAGCTGCAAGTAAGACACAATGCCACTCGCCTCCACCAGTGGCCTGGCCGACGCACCAAGCCTCCACCTGCTCGAATTTCGGCCGTCCGCCCACGACGCCTGTCGCTAGACCAACCACGCCCGGCAGCCTCTCTTCGCGGAGCAGGTGAGACGGGATAGGCAGGGCCAGGTCGAGGCCGGTAGGACACGATCGACAGCTCGTCCTCCCCAAGGTCGTCCCCCCCCCCCCCCCGCCACGCCACTACCACACGAACGCTCCCAAAACAGCTCTCTCTCTCCGCTCCCCTTTCCCAACAGCTGCCGGCCGGCTTTGTCCGCACACACATTCCATACAGCACCGCCAACACGTGGTGAGCTTTGCCTCCAGTCATTTTACACCCCGAACCCACGGTGATCCCACCAAACCCAAATTCCCCTAATTGTATTGTTTTTTTTTTGTTTTCCCGTCCTGCGGATTACCCGCATTGCGTGTTGCGGTAATTATGTGCAGCCTCAACGACGGGCGGTAGTGAAGCACGCCGCCAGTGGGGTAGGGTAGAGCAGGTGGGTGTCGACCCGGACCCTGGGGGGGCAAAACTAGCTCTCATCGCCAAGAAGGGAAAAGCAAATGGAAAAACGAAAAGGGGGGAGAGGAGGGGGGGAGAGGAAAGGACAAAGATCCGAGTGCGGTCCTACGTTAGGTAGGTACTACGTTCCTACGTGGGTGCGTAGATTGGGGAGACAGCTAGCCTCCATACCAAGACATGCTGGCAGGAGGTCTGACCATGCAGGCATTCAGACCTGTATCGAGGTGTGTGTCTGTGTGTGTGCATGCGGTAGGTGGGAATAGGAGAAGGCAGGCTGGCGAGGGACATACCAGAGCGCGCACGTGCATGCGCATTACAGCCAAGGAGGTCCGGGTAAAGCCTCTCTCTGCCTGCCTACCTGAGGTACTACCGTGCAGCTCTAGAGCCGGACCGGCCGATGATCAAGGGTCCAACATCGAGAGCGAGAGGGGACTCCTAATAACGAGGGTAGCATCGCCTGATCAGATGGCCGGGCCGCTGCAATTGGTCTTTTCGGCCTATTGGTAGGTATAAACACCCACGCGGACTTCACTCCGGCGCCTATCCCTCAGATATCTAGATACCTACCTACCTACCCATCTCCTTGGCACTTGTTGCTCGCCTCATCCTTGCCTACCTGCTTACTTACCTATCTACCTATAGCATGGACACATGGCATGCATACCTACCTACCTACCTACCTACAGACCAGCATCTCACATCCCGTCCCTAGCCTGCGCCCGCGTAGACATGCATGGGCGAGATGTCGGTACATAAGGTAGAGAGGTAGGTAGGTAGGTAGGTAGGTAGGTCAGGCAGTCCACCGTAGCATCCCCCGCCCGCCTCTCTCTCTTCCTTCTTCCCCACCCGATCTCAACCAAAAAATGCAACTCTGCTACACGCACATAGGCATTTGCAGATACGCTCACCTTCGCAAAGCCCCGCCGCCAAGACGAAGTCGAAGCTTGGGGGCCCAATGGCAGAGCAGCCAAGCAGCCTGCGGGAGTAAACAACAAGTTGCGTGCGCAGCGACGGCACCAACCTATCGCAGGTGGGGTAGGGGAAGGATAAGGGAGCGGGACGGGCCAATGGCCGGGCGCTGGGAAGAGGGAGGGGAGGGGTCTCCCCCCATCCTGCCATCCTACCATCCTGCCCGCCAGAACATCCTCGATCCCGGCCAGCCCACGCACGCAACGCACGCACGGGTAAGAGACGAAAGAAGCAAAGAAAAAGACAAAAACAGTCGACGACGAATGATGCTCGCTCGATCGCGGCCCGGATATGGCGTGGTACGGCAACATACCTACTCGCCCGCTCGCCTCGCTTCGCTTCGCGCCTCCTCTCTCTCTCTCTCTCTCTCTCGTCTGGCATCGTCTGCTCGATCCAGGACTGCCGCCCAGACGAAAAGAGGAAAACGAATTAAGGGAAAGACAAAAGAACCACGGGACAAGACGACGCTACGAACACCCCCCACCCCCCCTTTCCCCTTCCGCACCCCCCCGTCCCATCGAGAGCCCTCGATCTGCGTCTACGCCGGCCTGCCTGCCTACCTACCTATCCAGGTATGTCGACCCAGAAATGCTGGGAGCAGCGCGCTCCCGTGCGTGAGACACACGTAGAAGGAAAGAAGGGGGGGGCCGCGAGGACTGCCCGTCATCGCTGGCGCAGGGAGGCACGTACGTGTTATCATTATCACATATGTATATATATACCCATATATACCTCTATATATAAATGAATGAATGTATGAGTATGTATGTGGTAAGACTAGACGCGCATTATGGAGAGAGTCACCACTGCCACCACCACAGCCATTACCAACTACCACGATTGCTAATGCTACGCACGCAGCCAAGCACCCGGAAGCGGGAGCCAAATACCAAAAAAAAAAATAAAAATAAAAAGAGAAAAGAAAAGAAAAACCAGATCCGTCACCAGTAATCAAGATCCGAGAGGTTCTAGGTAGCATCATTAGCATTATTACTATGCCCGCCGGGCGGGTAGGGGTCCCGAAGGTATGTAGTAATTAGCTAAGCCCCCTCGCGCGAAGTGTCATTTCTGTCGTCTATATGTCCTCTCTCCCTCCCTTTCCTCCCATCACCTCTTTTGCGCCCCGGCGCCGGAGCCGGGTCCGGGGACATTCCTACCACCCCCCCCCCTCTCTTGTCCTCTCTCTTGTCCTCTCTCCTCGGCAACGGGATATATCACCTTTTCAGACAGGCGACGTTAGCCGTATCGTACATGCGAAAAATCTCTGTCCCATCTGTCCCATCCCCCCCCCCCGCCCCACCTCTCATCCTGAGTACAATATATAATATCGCCTGCCGCTGCCGCTGCCGCCGCCACTATGCTCGTGCATCGCGTGAGTAGGTATATATATATATATATGCATGTCCTTTCATGTATTGCTGAAAAAGGAGGTTGGAGGAAATCCCGCCGATCCCATGCAGTCGTAAAAAAGTAGATATATGATCGTCCCGTCATGAGCAGCTTCCCCGAAGCAGCCTTGTCCTGTTATCTCGTCCAGAAAACCGAAAACAGAACTGGGGGAAAAAAAAGAGGGAAAAGAAAAAAAAGAAAAGCCCCAAAAAAAAGGCAACACACCATCTCTCCTTGGGCTAACAACGATCGCGTGATAGCAATATAGTGGCAGCCGCTCCAATCCCAGTATAATAGTACAGGTGGTGACCAACACGGACGCTCACTGGCGGCGAGCTTACAAATTTGTATACACGGGGTTGGCTAGTGGTACATTTAGTGAACTGCGGATGCGAGAAGATAACGAAGAGGAAGAAGAAGAAGAAAGCAGGCGATACGAAGCAAATATGCGTAGTCGCTGATCTGATGCCGGCAATTTTTGATTTCCCCCAGTCTATAGCCCCCGGAATTGAAGGGGTCTCTCCCATCCGCCCCTTTTCCCCTAGGAAATATCCTCGGTGACGTAAACGAGAAAAGAAATATGCGTTTAGACCCGATTCACTAATCCCGCCCTTGTTTTGATGCAGTGTTTTTATTATTTTCTGCCGAGTTTCCGGTCTCGATGACCCGATCCCCAAGCGAAACCCCCGTCTTCCGCAAATTCTCGCGCAGGAACCCCGCAGAATGCATAGATATGACAGATGCGCGACATCATGATGTGTGCGCCTGTTCCAGACAGGAATCGGGAGAGGAAAACCGACCGCCTCACCCACGGGGTGATTGGGCCTGGGTCGGAAACGGAATCTAGGATGAGCTAGTCCGACGGAATGCACCCGAAGGATTGTCGATGATGCAAAACAACGGCAAGCGAGGGCGGAGTATGATGTAAGTGGTGATACCAGTCCCATGCACGCCCGTCGCCTATGTTTTTTTTTTCCAAGGCTCTCGGTGCGGTGACGTCAGGAGGGGGGGCGACGTCATAGAAGCAGGGCTTCGCTGTCGTACTGCGGAGAGAGGGCCGGTGCAGGGGTCCTGGATGGGGCCAAAGCCAGCAGCCAGCAACCAGCCGAACCAGCGCCAGTACCACCATGCCGCAAATAGCTAGGTGCATGAGTCGGCTGCAGGACCCTGCAGATTGACGTTTGGACCCTGGATGCTACGCTCGTAACCCAAGCCGGTCGACGCCCCCGCATGTAACCGCGCCTTGTACCGTCCCGGCTAAGTACTTGCACCCCAATCGAGCATGCACGCCTTCTAGAGTCTTCCACACGCCCGACCGGCCTTCGTGAGACAATGGATTCGTCCCCGGCGCTGCCGCCGGACGAGGGCCGCCCGCCGTGTCGCACGAGCCCAACCCTCCCAGACCAGCGGCTGATGGGCGTGCCGCCGGCTCAGACGCTGGTGCCGCCTCGTCGCCGATGTTTGCCGGGGAACTCCATATCTGGGTGGCACACGCGGTAATGTCTCGTCAGGGCGTCTGCTCGGCTGAACGTCTTCTCCTCGGCGCAGAGGTCGCACCGCACCTTTTGCTTGCGTGCGTTGTGAATCGTATCCTCGTGCCGCGTAAGATCGTAGGGCCGCGAGAACATCGTATTGCACGGCTTGCCCGTGCTGGGGTTGATCCGGTCGCACCTGTGAGGGCCGGCTTGGCTATTGAACATGATGCCTGACATGTCGCCCGACGACGACGGCCGGATGTGGTGCAGGGAGTTGGCTTGTCGATGGCCTTCGCGCTTGTGCTTCTGCAGCAGAGCCGGCGTCTCGAACCGTAGGGTGCAGCCGTGGTAAGTGCAGGTATACGTGCCGCCGTCCGCGCTGGCTCCGGCGGGCCTCTGGGCGGGCGCGTCGCCGCCGTCCGAGTTGCTGGCTTCGGCCGAGCTGACGCGCGAGTATGCGGATGTCGTGGGCGTGGATCGGTGCTGCCGGTGCGCGACGAAAGAATACTGCGGTGATACCTGGATATTGCTAGGCATAGAAAAGCTGAACGAGCTCTGGATGGGCGTTGAGGAAACCGTCGGGAATGGCGGGCTCGAGTGTTGGGGGATGCCCCTCGAGGTTGCGACATTGCCGCTATTGCTTGGCGCCTCGAGTTTGAAGTGGCTACTCGAGTCCTGCGGCGGCGGGAACAAGGGCATGGCGGAAGCATCGTCCGGCTCGGTGAAATCGAGCATGGCATCCTTGGGCGAGATGGTATTCGGGGTGCCTTGCTGCTGCGTAGAGTTGCGCGCCATGTGTTGCTGTAGTTCCTTGGCGTCGCGCTCCGCTTTGTGTTGTTGCCGCATCTGCCGTGCCGACCCGAGTCGCACTTGATCTAGGTTTACCTGGGGGAAATCGCCGATGGCGGCCGCGTACGGAGAGCCCTGGCGAAATGGTGACTGGCCGTCCCGCGAGGTGCTGGAGACGGGAGACTGGACGGCGCTCAGGTGCTGACTATTCGCTGCCTGGAGCCTCTGGGCGAACAGGTCGTTGCTTGGCGACATGGCGAGGTGGGTCTTAGGTGAGGGAGAGGTTGATCCGATGGTCAAGTTTGGGTTGTAGAGCTCGTCGTTATAGATGTCGGTCAAGGTGCGGTCCAGCTTGGGGACGTTGTTGTGGAAAACTACGGCGCCATCGGAGAAGTGTGAGCAGCCATCAATGTCATAGTCATAGTCGCACGGGAACTGCGTGGTTGGGGTGGAGGCCTCACCAGTCCTAAGCCTGCGATTATCCTCTTCGGCCTCGTGCAACGAGGGAGTGGCGGGTGAGTCACCACCAGCTGAACTGGTCGCCACCGAGACCGGATGGGACTTCGCAGACGAGCCGCCACCGCCTATCGACAATTCAGCAGGCGAGCCTAAGCCTCGGCCGCCTCGTATCTTGCGCTGGGGCCGCGGCTGCTGGCTCGGCCGAGCCGACAAGTTGTCGGCCATGGTCACATCGCGAAGGGAATGTTGGTTATTGATGGCGTCGTGGTGGTTGGCGCTGGCGCTGTTGGTGTTGTTGCTCTCCCGACTGCTGCTGTTGAAGTTGGTCAAGGTGTAGAAGCCGTCCGACAGGGGCGCCGCCTTGCCCGGGTTGTACGAATAGTTGCTCTCCTGGCCGCCCACCTCAGGGTACCCGTCATGGCCTGAGTCGGCGACGGCGATGTGCGGGTTGGACGTGTTCGGGTTGTATGGCGAGGCTGGCCCGTTAGATCCCAGCGACGAATAGGAGGATTCGCGGTGGTGGAAGCGACTCGAAGCCCTGGGAGTCTGCTGGCTGTGAAGCATCCACGACGCGCCCGGCGGTAGCAGTTCCGACACTTGACCTAAGCCCTGGCCTGTGTTCCCTTGGTCGAAAGCCTGCTGCAGGGGGTGAGCCGCCGGAGCCCTATATCTCTGGGAGGCAGCGACGGCGGCGGCAGCGGCGGGGATGTTGTCCAGAGTCGAGGCGGAGGCGGCGGCCTCGGTGGGAAAGCTGTGGTTCCTACCGTAAGCGATGTGGTTCGAGTTCGCGTTGCCGGGTTCGAAGGACGATGGTTGGGAGTAGTACTGGAGAGGTCTCAAGGAATTGTTGCTGTTGTGAGCCAGCATCATACTGTGTAACGACACGGTGGTCGGGCGAAGAGGAGACGGACTTCGAGTGATGCTTGCGCTGGCGGTCGATAAGTGGGATTGGCAATGAGGGTAGAAGTAGGAGTCTTGTGTAAGTAAGATCGAGGAGTTGAGAGTATGGCAAAATGAGGTGAAGGTAGGCGGATTTGTGGGGTGGATGGGAGGGAAGTGGCGATTAGAAAAGACTTATAAAAGCTTTTGGAGGTTGCGGTCCGTATGAGTACTATGGTACAGTTATGCACTACGTAAGGAGAGCAGGAGAAGGTCGATGAAGGCGACCGGGGGGGTCCCCTGTCGGTAGGTGCGAGTACCTAATGTGGGTGGGTGTTGACGCAGACGGGTGCCAAGTACCTCAGGTACCAGGGTGGACGCTGGAGGTACTTAAGTACCCTGGGTACATGTACTTTCGCGGCGGGTACTTGAACAGTCGGTAGGTACCTAGGTAGGTCCGGTGCAGCGTCCGGCCGTGCGCTTGCCTGTGTCACCTCCAAGCCCTCCCTCGATGGAAAGAGTGCGATAAAAGCGAAGCTTAAAGAGAGGGGCTCCTCCTTGCGTAACCTGGCTCGGCTGGGGCCAGAGCGACTCGCGAAACCCGGATTGCGCCGGCTCAGTCGCTGAAGAGAGAGAGAAAGGACCACGGGACCGACGGGCTTTTCTGGCTACGTTCTCTCGTGCCGGCGCAGTTCTCTTTCTCTTGTCTTGGTCTCGTCGAGAGCCGGATGGGCGCCAAATCAGGTGGTAGGCAGGAATAATGATGATGGCTTGATAATGAAGCGCTGGGGTCATGTGGCCCAACCGGCTTATCGGCCTGGGAGGGGTGCGTCCGTCTTTGTTTTTCCTCGAGGGGGTCTTCTTCGTGTCCGTATCGGCCTTTTTAGCCTGAGCGCTGCTTCAAGAAGTCCCTTGTGCAGCCGGTCGAGGTCTGATTGGCGCGCGGTGCGTCGGTGGTATGTGTGGTATGTTGGCGCTGCTTGCTTTGCTTCCCAGAGCGTTGTCGCGTTTGCGAGGCGAGTTGTCCGGGCGATGCTGAGTGAGAGGAGGATTGCCCTCTCTCACATGCCTCTTTATATACACGATCTGAAAGCAGGTATATATATATATATGTATGTATGCGTGTGCGCATGTGTGTGTATATACCAATGTCTGTGTGCGTATAGGCTCCCTGCCGACTCATAGGCCGTGTGGGAATTTCCCCAATGCAAATGCTTTTTGGGATAGTCCCTTTCTTCATGCATCCGCCAGGTCTATGTCAGTAGGGTATGCCGATTCGGCGCCTCGGCGTGTCGAGGGCGCATTCGTAGCAAAGGTACGCAGGCACCTTAGGGCAGCCACCGAGGACATTTACAAACATGCTGATCCTAGAGACAGACAGAGTCTTGTGCATCCAACAACTACGTGCGCCATCATGTATGTATATACCTCCTCCTCCGCGCAGAGGAGAGAGACAGGCGTACGATACTGACAACCAGCGCAAGCGACGAGTGGTCCCATAGTCCGTCAGATGCCCATGACGTAGCGATTTCCGCAGCTTGGATGTACACATGGTAAAAATATGCGCCTGGCTGCCAAGATACCTAACATACTTGACTAGAGGAGGTACCTAATGTAACTATCTTCGACAGACTGCAGCCTATATACCTACCTAGGCAGGTACCTAGGCAGGTACCTAGGCAGGTACCTAGGCAGGTAAGGTACCTACACCTAAGGTAGAATTACCTCCCCCTCCCCCCCTCCCCTCCCCCTCCATCGAAGACGGGACTCAGATCGACGAGGGCCGACAGTGAGTCCCCTATCTCCTGATGTCCTATCGATCTTGGGGGACGCCCCGCCCGGACAAGTCGTACATACCGAAACAGCAGTCCACGTATTATGCACCACTGCCTAGGTACCTACCTAGACCTCTCTACCGTACCTAGGTAGGTATGTGACGATGTATGCCTCCAGCGATACGTGTCTATACCTATCTGTGGACAGGGTGTCTGTCTACTGCGTGTTAGGTACCTGAAGTCCTCGGATCTGTACAGGTTATGCTCGGTACGGGGTTTGTGCATGCATACTCTGACCTGGGTTGCATCATCAACCGCACCTATGCTCAGGCTGGTCTGACCCCCGTCTGATGCTTGTCCGATAACTGAGATTGATTAGAGTAGTCATTTCACCCCTCGTAGCCCGCCGGGTACCGCGTAAGCAAATGACTTAGGTACGCCTCCGAGGTATTTCCGGCAAGATAGGCTAGGTACTTACATGTGGGTACCCCCGATGTACCCGCCAGGTACACCCCCAAGGTACGTGCAGGTGGTTATTAATGTTTTACACTGCCTCCCTTCTCGATTGTTCGCAAGCCACACTCGCTCTACACGTAGGTAGAAACCCGAGCGCTCCAGGCTGGCCGACTTCTCCGAGCAGAGACCAAGTTATCCCGACCCAGGCGAGACGTGCACTCCGGTATATGTGTCGGCTTGCTCGATACAACGTAGCATAGTCGCGGTCGACCTCGACGTCGAGACAATAGAGATGCGCATCTAGAACCGATTGCGAGTCCGACCGACTCCATCAGGTATGCGCACGTGAGATCTATGTACAGATACAGCTGTCGCAGTTGCGCGAAGCGTTGGTCACCTGTCAGCTACCAGTCAGATCATCTCTCACATGTTAGTCGGGTCACAGTCGACCCACAGTCATAGTCTCTATACGGAGCCAACTTATCGACTCACGATAACATGCCTCCTACGTCTATTCCCTATATGCCTACTTTTTTTTGCTAGGCAAGCACTCACCAAGCCGCGGACATGGCAGCACACATTTCCGTGCATTTATGCCGCCTCGGTCGATGACGGGAAGGCCTAGACTGGGAGTTGAAGAAAAAAGAGAGGTTAGGCGGACCGCCAAGCCGACCACGGTAACGGTGTCGGTATTCGCAACGCTGACATAACCTGCCGTGCACATTACCAACCGGATATAATATGGTTTCGACACGAGATCAGTAAACCAGCACCTGAAAAAAAAATTAGCCTACTTGGCGCATCATCTCAGGTTCGAATTTTTTGCAGAGGGGTAGACTCGGCCTTATTCAGCCCTACGATTGCATCTCCAAGGCGTAGTAAGAGGACGTAAGCACGATGCTGATACATTGGTACCGAAGGTAGTGCCGCTGCAGGTTGGCAGGCAGGTGTCTACAGGTATGTAGGTACTGAATCCCGACCCGATCCGCCGCAGCTGACAGGTGTTCCTAGCCGTCGAAGCATTCAACGATGACTAAAAAGGGCTATTCTACCCAGGATCTAGAGGTTACGTGGTTCGGGCTCATGCGCAGACACCGAGCTCGGGATGCGCATTTCCTAGACACCCAAAGCCCGGCCGCAAGCTATCCCTTCTTGCCGGGAATATCACAGGTGCAGCTGCGGCGGACGCCGTTTCGGGGCTAGAACTCTTGGGCTCTCTCCTCTCTCTTCTTTGCTCTCCTTCTTTTTCTTTTTTTGTAGTACGCAGTCCCTCCCGTGTCTGACAACTCAGCGCCCGCTTCTCCTGTTCTTCCTGTTGGGCGACCGATCTAAGACAAGCGAGTCCCGACAATCTGGCTCAGATGGGGGATTCTGGACCCTCGCTTAATAGCAGAACCAACCAGCAGACGCCGTGGAACATTCTCCAAGACGCAGGATGGTTGCCTGAGGGGGGGGCAGACAACTTCAGGTACCGGGTCAATGCTCGGCCGGGCCAAATACCTACCTAGGTATCTACAAATAGATAGACGTAGGTATGTGGCTGTGCAGCTATGCCAAAGCTATAAGCAGCTGCCCCACAAAGTCGGTTGCTCCGATGGTGTTCTGGAAGAAGAGGAAAAAAAAAAGACACTGCGGCTTTCCTACTCGATGCCCTCGACATAGGGTGCATTAGAGATATCGGCAAAGTAGTATTGTGACTCTTGCAGATGAAGAGTGGCTGACGAGACCAGAAATCGACGCAGTACGGTAGGTATCCATCCATCTCATATCGACAAGCCACCGACGAACCGCAGAGGCCGCCGATGGTCGGCCGAGTCAACCTCAATCGCATCCACCGTCGGTGACGATTCATTCCTGGAGGCCGGGTAGAATCGCCTCCCGTCGCCTATGCAAAGACGGGAGAGGAAAAAAAAATTCTCATACCAAGCAATTGGAACGCACGCCTAAGGTGGGTTGGGGGCGTGCAGGAAAGTGTGTATACGACATACGAAGCGAATGGGAGGGTAGAGGGGGAGGAATTCGGCACATGTTGCGCATAGTCTTACCGCTCCAAGGGATGCGTCGGTGCTGACCCGAGATGGAAAAGTCTAAAATCTGATTTTGCATTCCCATCGGTTCGCGCGAACTCGACGCACATCGTACACGCGCTCAGCCAGCTCCAGCTGGCATTTTTAGTCTGAAGCCGCGTCGCACTCAGCTCTGGACTCGTCGAAAATAGACATCCTTCGTGATGCCGTCTCCACGTGGGGACTACGGTATTACTACCTACTCAGATTGGGTCCCAGCCCAATGCACCACCTCAGCTGCCGCACGTGGCTGCGGCAGTTAGCTGGTTAGGAATCGTAGTTCGACGGTCGAGACCAGAAGATACGAGACAGGACAGGTTACGTTGCGCCCAGGTCCCTTACCATCCTTCTTTATTCCTCCTTTTCTTTTTTTTTTCCCTTCCCTCTTCTAGACGCGTCCTGGCGAGTCTGGCCGGACGGGTCTACGGCGTGGCAGCATCGGGCGGCCCCGATTTGGTGGCTTCTTCGCTCTAGGCTCGGTCGGTGTCGCAAACCCCATGTCGACTAGCGCAGATGCGGGCTCGAATGTACCGTGTGGTGTACCGGCGTAGGGCCAATCATCGCAGTCCTTGGGCCATACCCTGCGTTAGGTACCTAGGGAGTGCCTGCCTCTAGCGCGTGTCCCTCCTAGACGGGAGGATCTCCGCCATCGCACCCCCCCGCATTGCATGGAGGTTGCCATGCTTTGTTTCCCGTCCACGCGGCTCCCGCCTAAGCGCCCCATAGGCACGGCCACGGCCACGGCCACATCTCTCATCTCTCCCTCTCTGCGCCCGCACAAAAACCATCTCCGACCATGAAAAAAAGGGGACAGGCACCGAAACGGAAGACCCGGTCGCGCGAGCATGTCTTGGTGGGCATGCGTGCACTGCAGCCAACAAGATCCGTTCGTCGGTCGTCGCGATTCCTGTCGGCGGCCTCCTCCCGCCGCCGTACGCACGTACGGGACAGTTCCATGCTGAGCTGAGATGGTCCCTACCAGCCCCCGGCCGAATGCCGCCCGTTGGCTCCGCGCTGCCCACTGCACGCACATCACCGCATCGCGACGTCATAAACGAGGCAACATCGCCTACTGGCCGGCCGACTTCGGCCCGCCAGCACGTCGGGGAAGAAGAAAAAAATTAAACCAGGCGGGCGTCAGCTCGTCAGGGGAAAAGGACAGGAGAGAGATCTGGTAACACGTGCAGATTCGTACGCCCCAGTGGTAACGAACCAGTCGCGGCTGAGCGATCGGACGGGGCCCTTGTGCGATGGAACGTGGAAGACTTGCCTGCATACATACCGACCCTACCTCCCTATAGATTCGTGTAATGACATTGCTGAAAATGCGCTGTCGGGCATGGGTATGTTTTCGCCCCCCTCCCTTTGATTTTTCCTTTCGCCTCTTTGCTCTTCTCTCCCTTGTTCCGTTCGGGGAGTGTCGTGAAGATCTCTTGGTCGGGAGAATAAGCCAACCGTCGACTTGCCTTGTTGTCTATAACGACACCGGCATACGTTCGCCACGGATGACGGAGAGCTTAGGAATCTCATGCCAAGGTTCGAGGGCGGAGATAACTAGCTAACGCCTAAACGCTAGCGGTAATGCCTCGCACAGGCCCGGCACCTGGGTACCTGTATCTACCTACCTGCCCTACACACAGGCCGTAAGTGGGTATGTACCTACTTATGGCGCCATACAACCCCGTCCCGAGGTGTCTCTTTGAATTTATTTGCCTATCTCCGTTTCGCCTTTATTCATCATTTTCCTTTCCTTTTCCTTCTCCCTCGTTCGCTCTCGTCACCATCTTTTTTTTTTTCGGGCTCCGGGCTCTGACGTTGAGCGTTGAGCGTTGAGCATGCCTATGTAAGTACGTACATGCGGGTGAGGCAGCCGCACCGGGTACCTAGTTGTGGCGCAGGGCGCGTAATTGAGGAGGTATACTCGAAGAAGGTACCTATCCACAATACCTATGTACCTCCCCAAGTACACGGGGTACCAGCACCTACGGACCCGACGAAGTACCTCCCTATATATGGACCCGCACACCCCGACGGTCCGGCCCCTAACTCGGGCCTCGGACTGATTGGTTCCAGGCGTGCCCGTGTTGGTGAACATACATATGATATCCCCAACGACGCAACTATTGGAGATTCCAGTGCCAACAGTACGGGGCCAACTCCGCGGCGACCAGCCGGGCAGTGTCGCCAACTACACTGGCCGCCCCCGTTAGTACACATTTCCTTATCTTACTAAATCAACACTTTACGCGCATTCCGTGCCGGACGAATAGCCCCAGAGAAAGCCAGTGGCTTGGTCATCCCTCTTCTACAGCCCTGTCGTTAGCCATCCCTGAAGCGAGGCATCATCGCCTGCGTGCCGGGTGAGTCATGCTTGAGAAGTCAAGGAGTTTCAGGGGTCTTGCAAGGCTAGGCTGAAGCCCTCAACGTAGGTAGAACATTGCACTCGATCAGCCCTACTGGAACGTCGCTGCAGTGCCATCGACACGTCACAGTGAGCAGCTATAAGCAGTATCTGGGATGACCAGGTCGTAGCCGTGAAACATCCACTCCCTACTCACCGCCAGCAACTCCGCATTAGATCGTCCGTGGAGCCTGCGAGGAAGACTACTGCCTAGTAACTACTGCCTAGTAACTACTTCCTAGTAACTACTTCCTAGTAACTACTGCCTAGTAATCTATGGACGGCGTGTAGGTACCCACCTATACACCCCATCCCCACGTGTAAGGCGTCTTTCTAGCCTCGGCCGAGCGAGCGGGAGGAGAATACTCGTCAGTCCTAACCACCAACACCACCCGGTCGAGGAATAGCAAATGTATCCAACAGGCTCGTGTCAGGCCTCGAGGGGGGGGGGGGGGGAGACCACCCAGCAAAGACACCCACCCCCTCCGTAGATAAGGTTTTATTCGCCCGTCACTTGTAACTTACGACAGAGGTTGACAGGCGGACGAATCTCACAGCTCTGTAGACGAGGTGAGACGAGGCATAATATGGGTTCTACGTAGGTAAGATAACGGTGTGTGTTGGTATCGTTAGGCCTCGCCAGCCACCTTTCCAGGCAGTCGATCTGCTCCAAAAGGCGCGATCCCGACAAGACGTTCGTGTTGAATCTTCTCCTCCCAACGTTCTCAACCCTCTCCCCCCCTACTTGAGTATCATATATTCCCTCTCCGTTGGTGGCACCTGCGGTAACACGCGCCTCCTGTGCGTCTGCACACGGCTTATCACGGACATCGGAAGGCTCCCAGTACAGGAGTCATGGGATCTGCGGCCCCCTTTCGGTGTAGATGTTCGCTGCCTGGTGCCGGAAAATGCCTCTCCCCTCCTCCTCCCGTTGGAGTGTCTGCCCTCCCTCACGCTCCTATGGGCGTCGGCGGCGTTTATTTACCGCGCACCGCTTCCTGCGCGGCAGACGGGGATTGGGGTTGGGGTTAGGGGAGGGGGCCGAGAAAAGGGGTAAGCTCCACCGCTGGTCTGCCTCCGAGGCATGTGAGAGAGAGGACAACGCCCGGTGAGCATCGACGCGGTAAAGGCAGCGGCAAGAGGAGATGGGCGCCGCAGAACAGTAAACCTCGCTGGGAAACCCGAGTCCTACGGCTACCCCCTGCCCCCCCTACTTCGACGGCCACAGGGACTCTGATGCCTAGCCATCCCCATCTCATTCCACGCAGCGCAGCGCAGACCAACTCGCGAACCTGTGCGCCCGCCCCGAACTCGGTGTGCATGCTGTGCGTGGCCGACGGGCCAACCACCGCGCCCGCGCAGCATCACGTTGCCAGGGCGTGCGGACCGCAGGCGGCAGTCCTCGCGAGCCCGACGTCGCGGTCGAGGCGGGCAGCCCCGTGCCGGCCCGACCCATCTCCCGCGCCCAACCGCTGCGGGGAGGCAGGCGCCCCCGGCAGATGACTACCTGCCTGCCTCGCGCGGAGGCGCATCTCGCGGCGCGAGCGTCCTGCGGCCGCCTAGCTGGCCGCTGTCGCACGGGCCTGAGACGTGGCGCGCCGCGGCGCCAGTGGATGCCGTGGCACCGCCGGCGGGCTCGCGACGTGGGAGCCGCGCGCGCGCCCGCGCGCCGCCGCCCCGCCTACGTGTCTGCCCTACGCGGCCGCGAGCCAGTCAGGGCCGCGAGACGGGCGCAGCGCCGCTGACTGGCTGCCGGCAGAGCCTCGGGGCGACGAGGTCGTGCCCGCGTCCAGGCAGCGACGCGCGCGCTGTCAAGGACAGGCAGCACACCCAACCCACGCCCAGCACGCCGGCGTCGTGCCTAGCCCAGACCTGCATGGAGCCCCGCGCGCTGCGTGACTCACAGCTGTCGGCCTCAGGCCGCCCTGCTGATTCCCCCCCCCCTCCCTCCCTAGGACGTGGTGTGCGTCAGCTGCGACCGCGAGGGGCCTGCTCGCTGCTAGGCAGACGCCGCGCGAGGGGGAGGCGCAGGATAGGCTGCTGGAGTTTGTAGTGAAGTGGCCGGGTCGGGCCTCTCGTGCCCGCTGGCTGGTTGGTAGATCTGCGGCGGAGGAGTCGTTGGCGTCGTAGGGCCATGTTCCCGGGCCTGTCCGGCCACGTCGGAGCCTAGTGCCCCCGTAGAGTCGCCCGGCTCTCGTGTCGGCGTCTGGTGGTCTTCGTGTTGCCGCGGCGAGTGGAGCGTTGCTCGGATAACCCCTGGGATGGGTAACTGCTTGAGTAGGCTGCCCCTCTGACTAGTGGTGTTAATATTTGTATATATGTGGACGGCGGACGCCGGCGCTCAGGGGACATCAACTGGTGCTTCACAATAGCGTGGTGATAGTCCAAGTAATAGAAATCATCGTATGAGCCGGAAATATTCGTATTCTATGCTTCTGAGGGTTCTGCCGTCTGCAGTAACCGTTATAATAGACGAACTGGTGATAGTCACTGGAAAATAATGACGTGAACCACGGGTTAAACGAAGACCACACACAGGTATTATATTTTGCCGCGGTTGAGTCATGAAATGTTATCTCTGTGTATAAAAGTTAACAGCAACGCCTAGGGTAACTCCAAATATCTAACACTGGGCAATTTTGTGTCATTTCTCTCGCTGCCAGGCCGTAATATCTTAACAAGACTGGTGTTCCCACCTACCCATACGCGGATTGTATTACTAGGACAACGAGTAACCGAACCTAGGAGGATCTCGCTTGATGGGATAGCTGCCTTTGGAACAAGACGCCCAACAACTTGGCGATCTACTGGAGTAAATCTAGGGTTAGTAAGGTTTGTGTTTCGGTATTATGCCATGTATCACCCAGGCAGAAAGGAGCAATGAGCGACTACATTTCCTGATTTTGATAACATAACTTAGATTTTCAACGTATTGGTTAGTGAACTTCTGCCAGGTGCGGCAAGAAACACCAGAGCACAAAGGAAAGGACACAGGTGATCGACAAAGAATCGTAAACCTACGACGTGCTACATTTGAGATCAGGGTATCTTATACTTAATCGCTTACGTTGGCGGGTTAGACGGATATTCGTATGCGGGCCGACTGCTGGTATGGTACATAGGTATTATTAATATAGCTACGAGTCAAGAATTGACAAAAAGAAAGCAAAAATTGATCGTCAGTACACGTTGTATAGCATTAACTTGAGCATATCATACACATAATTACTATCTAGGTAACTATCTACACTATTAGAACATCATGACAAAACATCTACGAAGCGTAATTGTTATCTCACAGTCCCCGGAGCGGAATTCATAACTAATATAAATGTGAAAATAAAGTTGTACGAGGGAAACATGATACAATCTATACATAATTCTATAACCTAAAATACCGAATATCAGGCACGGTACCGGCGCTTACGCGTCTTTCGGTGCCCAACAAAACACAAACAACTCCGGCCGAGTGCTCGGCGGGATGGCCCTAGGCAGATAGGTTTATCGAGAGGCACCAGTAGAAACCCCGATTACGTGATCGAGTTGATAGAAAACATCTTGATATACGGCCACGCCTATGTAGTATTAGGTTTCCCTGTTGTGTCCGCGTCGGGGGGCACTACGACTAGAGGTCTCCGCCCAGGCCGGATAGCTGCCACCGGTCTAACGGCGATGACTCACTCTACCTTCGTGTAGGATCAATTCCAGACTTGGCGACTCCGCGATGCTAGTAACTGGGCACGACGTAGCAGGGTCACAGGCCATGGGAGCTCGTACGACTGACAGATGGGACAGTCACAGGTCATTCAAGACAGAATGGTACGTTCAAGAATCCTTTTCGGATTGATTACACCCAGACGGGCAAATCTAGGTAGTCAGACCCCGTTGGCCACCCTATGGTACAATAGCAAACACCGTTGTAAACGCAGAAACCAAATCCCATGATCATGACCCGGGGCACGCCCGAGGGGGGAGCGCGAGCTAGAGAGAAAACCGACTTTCGTAACCGACGTGAGACCCCTTCCCTTCCCAATGCAAGAACAACGACGCTTAACCACCGAAACCGTAGAGGGTGCGGCCTTGCCTCTTCAGGGCGTAGACCACGTCGAGCGAGGTGACCGTCTTGCGCTTAGCGTGCTCGGTGTAGGTGACGGCGTCACGGATGACGCCCTCGAGGAAGGACTTGAGGACACCTCGCGTCTCCTCGTAGATCACTGCGGGGAAGACGCGTCAGTATGAGTGACCCATTTACGGGGAGAGATGAGGCGACGAGACGAGACGCGCGGGGTTTGACTTACTGGCTGAGATACGCTTGACACCACCACGACGAGCGAGACGTCGGATAGCAGGCTTCGTGATGCCCTGGATGTTGTCACGCAGAATCTTGCGGTGGCGCTTGGCACCACCCTTTCCGAGGCCCTTGCCACCTTTGCCGCCTGCAAGGGGAGACGGGTCAGCGATGCTATTCACCATGCTCTGCCGGTAAGGCTGAGGGACCGCCCTGCGATGCAGTGCGGCTGAAGAGGGGATGCAACTTACGTCCAGTCATATTGAATGAGGTTGGAGATGAAGTAGAGTGGGATTGTAGATGGATAGATGGTGTGTGATGGCGTGGGTGCAGATGAGGCTGAGGTGGAAGCGGAGTGGTAGATGAAGAATAGTAAAAAGAGGAACGGTGGTAACGTGGGGAATGGGAGAGGGGGATTTAAATAAAGGGACGGGGTGAGCGGGAGGGGGAGGAAATCAGAATCAGCTGGGTTCGGCTTAGGGAAGGGGGGGCCTAGAGGGGGGGGGGGTAATAAAATGTACAGGGCAGCGAAGGATGGATAGATAATACTACCGTGGGCAGGTAAGATAATAATGAGAATAATAATACGAATAATTCCAAGTACAAGTGCCAGGAGAGAGAAAAGCAGAGAGAGCCAAAAAGAGAGAAGGAAAAAAAAATGGTAAACAGAAGCGGGACTGGCCAATCGAAAAAAGGGATTCGGAGAGGGGGGGCATCGGAGGGCGGCACGGCGCAGGCACTGGCTGTACCTACCGCACCACGTCGTACCGTGCTGTCACGCTAATCTTCTTCGGGACGGGTTTTCCCAGCAGAACTCTAAATCGGTCCCCTGGGCCAATCATCAATTCGCATCACGCCTCGCGGCGAGGCGCGCAGGGCGTGTACCTGGGTACTTGCGCGGGTCACAGGTACCTACCTACCCAGATAGAGGGCACCTAAGGTAAGGCAGGTGTCTAGGGATAACGGTAAAGCATTTGTTACTACTATTCCTTACTACCGGTATTAGATATTTCCGTGTAAATCCACATCCCTCTATAGAGTAAATATCTTGACAAAATACGTGCAGCAAATAGGTGCCTGTGCAGTAGGTAAATACCTACCGGCCGGTGCAGGGTCATGGGTTGAGACTAGGTACCCGGGTACGTTACAAACCCCTTTCGAGAGAGGTGAGACGCATTTTTTCGGTAGCAATGATCTCATAGACTTCTCGATCCACGCCATGTTACAGGGCAACCGACCGGCGGGAATTCTCCTGCGCGCGACCCTGCGCCGGACGTGTCAGCTGGGCTACTTCTACAGCTCGCCATGTGACCTGCAGCAGCGACTCTGGGGGCCATTACTTACATCGCCACGTGAAGAGATCGGCTCTTATTCTTATAGTTAACCATCTTCACCACTCTCACGACGGGACGTCTGTTGTGGCCGGCTGGCTGGCTGTAGGTAAGGTAGGCACCCAAGGTTGGTGGGTAGAGGTAGGAGGTAGGTAGGTAGGTGCCTGAGGCCAAACGCCCACCGAGTGCGTGACGGGAGGAATGAACAAATAAGAAATAACATGCCAATCGGGCGCCGTTAAAGTGCATGCATGCGCTGCGCAGGCAACGAAGCAGGTACTCTCCCGTCTACTCTACCTATAGGGTAGGTAGGTTACTTGCTGGCGAGACCGCCGCAGAGACGAGACACGCGTTTGGGGGGCTTGTCTACTATACGCTCGTAGGTACGCATCTCGAGGGCGTGAACTCTAGGTGCCGCAACGCGTCTGACGATCGCACTTTAGCTACCCACTAAGTGTATCCGCCAATCCGTTCCATAGCTAGACCACTCTAGATCCTGTCCGTAGTTCTCTCTGTCTCTGTCTCTTGTCTCTCTTGGTTCTGGCCTTTGGGATCCGGGCCAGCACCAGGGCCGACGGATGCGGTCAAGCGTCCAGGCGGTGGGGCAACGCCGGAGCGATGCACCCAATCAGAAATTCGCAGGCCGCTGAGACGCGACGAAGGGAGCCGAATTCCCACCTAAAATGCGAGCCCTTTTGCACGGCCAAACGCACCCCTGTCTGCCCCCCTCCCCCCCAAAATAAGAATCAACAACACAACACCCGGCCCCGGTGCCAATAATCGAACATCTTTTTTATTTATTTTTTTATTACTCCCGCCTTTTTGACTCCGTTGATCCTGCGCTTTGGCCACCCGCCGAAAACTCTGATACTCTGATAACAGCGAGTACCTCCGTACCCGCTGCGAACCCACACGCAAAATGGCCACTTTCCTGATGAGTAAACCGCACAATCAGCCCAAAGCCGCTGCGCCCGCTTTTTCATATATTTAACCCGTCCCCCACTCCTCCAATCCTCTTCCTTTCTTTTCTCCATCCACAACTCACATCTCCCATCTCCATCAACACCACCCATCAACGCCACTCATCAACACCACCTTTCACCATCACCAAACACATCCACAACTCTCGCAATGGCTCGCACTAAGCAAACCGCCCGCAAGTCTACCGGTGGCAAGGCGCCCCGAAAGCAGTTGGCCTCCAAGGCCGCCCGCAAGAGCGCCCCCTCCACCGGAGGTGTCAAGAAGCCTCACCGCTACAAGCCTGGTACCGTCGCTCTCCGTGAGATCCGTCGCTACCAGAAGTCGACCGAGCTTCTGATCCGCAAGCTCCCCTTCCAGCGTCTGGTAAGCTCTCCCTCCTATCCTCATTAACGCGCCGTCGACGTGTGTCCGTATCGGCTTCCGCTGCACGTACCCCGCTTTCCATCGGCAGCATTCTAACGCGACGCGTCACAGGTTCGTGAGATTGCCCAGGACTTCAAGTCGGATCTCCGCTTCCAGTCGTCGGCCATCGGCGCCCTCCAGGAGTCGGTCGAGTCTTACCTCGTCTCCCTGTTCGAGGACACCAACCTCTGCGCCATCCACGCCAAGCGTGTCACTATCCAATCGGTTCGTACACCCTTCGCTCCTCCCCGGGCTCGCCGTACGCATTTGCTAACAACCGCTACAGAAGGACATCCAGCTGGCCCGTCGCCTCCGTGGCGAGCGCAACTAAGCCGCACTATTCGGCGCCTTCTCTTTAGTTGCCGCGGCGGATGGAATCAGACGGACTTGACTTGCATGATGATTCACTCTGGGTTGGGATGATGACACTCGGGTTTTTACAGGACAATGGTTAATCACTGGCGTTAGATGATGCGTTTTGCTGGCATCCAGAGATATGGATTTGTACATCAGTGCTATGGCATACGTCACCACGCGGTGCCGTTCAGTGAATCTGAACACATGAACAACACTCTCGGTCTCGTGCTTCTCGTGACGTGCATGCTCTCGCTATGGCTACTGGTGACTAATTATAGTGAACAGCGCACGATGCTAGTTTGGGCGCCTCGACACGCGTTGGTTCTCTAGTAAACGTAGTACAGTGACAGAACACTGCCGTGCTATCGTCGCCTTGGGCCGGGTGCATGATCGGTCTTACCTTCTTAGCGCCATCGACAGGCTCATTACACCATTGTGACGTGGCGAACGGTGCGCTCTTTACCCCTCTATCACTCATTCATCTATCAACTTATAGGTACACGTACGCATAATCATCCAGTCGTAAGCCGACAGCTAGACACGGTAGTTAGGCAACCCGCAGTACATCTGCGCTGGGCGGCCGACGAGACGCAGGTGCAGGTGCAAGCTGCAGGCGGGCGTCGATAGCGAGCACGTCGGACGCCGGCCGCCGGCGTAGTCGACGCCTGCGCGTGCGCTGCGCTCGTAGACGGGCTAGGTGGCACGCGACGGATCGATGCGGGGCGGGGGAGCGAGTGCGCTCGTCGAGCGCGCGGGCGGGCGGGCGGGCGAGAGGCGGCCGACGGTACCTGCCCTAGTGGCAGCAGCGGCGACGCGTCGAGTCGAGCATTGGTCTGCCCGTCTACCTATCTACCCGCTCCTCTCCCCGCCGAACGGCCATCTGCATGCACCGGTCGCAGACGAGACGAGACGAGACGAGACGACAAGGGCGGCGTCGACTCATCTGTCTGGAGGCCGCGCGATCGCGACCGCGTCACCGGGGCGGGCATCGAAGTCTGGCAGCCCAGTGGCGACGGGCTCGCGGTCGTGCGGGCGACGGCGACAGCGCACAGCGCCACCTCGATGCGGAGAGCCGCCCGCCCGCAGCACCGGATGCGGCCCTGGGGTTCTGTCGTAGCGTCTATCCTAGGCAGGTAGACCTGCCTGTCCTAGCCGACTCGCGGGCCGGTCTACGCTGGGGGTTGGGGAGGGGTGTAGATGTGCGCGGACAGGGCTGGCGCCTGGGTCTATCTCATACCTAGGTGGGTATTTGGACTTAGGGAGTAGGTACCTAGGTAAGGAGGGGAGGGAATGCGGTAGGTAGGTAGGTGGGCGAGTCGTGGTGAGATTAGGAACGACAGCGGTAGCGGGGATAATCACAACCACTGAGAAAAAAATAGATAGGGCAACTAGGTATATATATTGCATATTTGCGCGCGGTGACGGTGGAAGTGTATGGCAGAGAGAGCGAGACTGCGAGAAAGAATAAACAGCCTCGACGCCAGCCAAGCCGACCTCTCCGTCCGTGGCGCGACAGACATGCGGACAAATTACTGACCTCGCCTGCTCCCTGGGCGCGGATTTGGTAGGGATTGCGACCGGCGGGGGACGCACGCAGCAGACCGACGCGGGCAGCTCGCGCTGCGGCGGCCGGCGGACGCAGCGAGGCCTCGCGGACGAGGAGGGGAGGGCCCGGGGAGGCCGCCTGCGCGCAGCCCCAGCGCCGTTGCGTGCGTGTGTCGCGCCATCTGCAGAGGGGGGCGGGGAGGAGGTGGGCGGTGGGAGTAGAGGCTAGGAACGAAATCAGCGAAGGGGGAAACACTGAAAATACAGCAACATTTTTTTAATGCCTAAGTAGCTACCTAAGTGAGGACTCTACAAGTATGCCACCGCGAGACAGCCGGGATCGCGGACGTAACCCGCCATGCCCTGCGGCGCACCTACACAGTAGTACATACAACACGCCCGTCCAACCGATTCGGTCGGTTTCATCAGGAATCGGTAGGTAACCTCGTGACCGCCGCGGCGAGAGCGTAACAGCGTCTATAATCTCTCGACTCGCACAACCACCGACCACGTCCGGGGAGGGGGGAAGACACTTCGATTGGACATGGGTAAAAAAGGTAGAGACGTCTGCATGCCTTTCTTCTTCTTCTTCTACAGGAAAACGTTGCGCACAGGAAATATCTGGTATCCTCTTTTCCAATCCAAAAGAACAGAAAAAGAAAAAAAAACAACAACACAAACTAAGTTTGCCGAGAACCCTCTCCCACCCCGTCACGAATTTGAAAAACTCCCCAAAACTCCTCGTATCCGTCTTCCCCCCCCCTCCCCCCCGCGAACGCGTTAACTCGAGTACTGCTTCCCGTTCCGGGGGTGTGCCCTTGTGAGCACGTCGAAGGCGCCGGTGCCGATCTTGCCGAGCCTGCCGACGACGATGCGGCTGCTCGGCGTGCTCAGGTCGTCCCAGTCGCCGTCCAGCACGGCGTCCTTGAGGAACGCCAGCGTCGTCTCGAAGCTCATCTTGGTGAACGGGCTGACGTTGCCCTTGAGCCCGTTGCGGTTGAACGGCGTGAACCCCCCGTTCCGGGTCATGTAGTCCCCGATCAGGTTGAGGTGCCGGTTGTCCACGCTGATCCCGTGCCCCTCGAACACCCGCGACAGCTCCAGGATGATGTTCCGCCGCGCCGCCTCCACCCCGTACACCCGCAGCACCGCCGCGATGTCGTTCGTCTGGGTCCGGTTCGGGTCGATGAAGTCCCCGTACTTCTGCATCGCCTGCAGGTTGACCCCGTTCGTGTGGACCACCGCCCGGTTCTCCTTCGCCCCCGTCCGCAGGTCCGACACCGTCTCCTTGCTCACGTACGTGCACGACCGGATCCCCGCGATCTGCTGCACGAGCGTCTTCCGGACCGCCTCCTGAACCACGCTCAACATCAGGATTTTCGGTATGTTGGAGTCGTACTCGAGCGTGAAGTCGCACCACTCGCCTTTGCTCTCGTCGCATTCGAATCGGGATACCGCCGGCGTCCTCTCCTTGACGCGGTTTTCGCGCCCGCCGCCCGTCCCTTTCCCCCCTTCGCCGTCGTCGGAACTCTCGTCGTCGCCTGACGGGGGCGGGCTGCCGCCGATTCCTTCGTCTTCCGGCTCTTCTTCGTCCTCGGGTGACGCCTCGCGTTCCAATTGCCTTCGTATTTCGTCGTCTTCGTCGTCGTTTGCGCCGTACGAGACTGCCTGCTCCTTATTCGCACGTTGTTTTGCGTTTGTCGCGTCATCATCATCATCATCATCGTCCTCGTCCTCGTCCTCGTCCCGGGCCGCGGCACCAGGGTTAGCGGAGGCCATCTCGACTACCCCCGCCTTAACGCCGACCTCGGGCGCCGAAGCACCTTCTCGGACCGTCTTCGCCTTGATCTCCTTTCTGGCGAGCTTCTCTAACCTGGGGAGGAACTCGGTTTCGAGCGTGTCGAGCACATCCGAGACGCTAATCGCATAGGTTTTCGAGTATTCGCTCGAAGGGAAAAACTCGAGGCGAACATCGAACATCTTCGCCTCGCGGTAGCCGATACCCTTTCCGACGCGCTCCTTCACCGTCACCTTGTCGAGAACATGCGAGAGCGGGAGGATGCTGATTGCCTTCGCAAATATCTCACCTTCTACCTCCGACAGCTCCTCGTTTAGTACTAGCGTCATGGACGGTGTCGAGATGTGGTCGCTGGCTGTCATGAGGATCTCCCGCAGCCGAGGAATACCGAGAGTGACGTTCTTGGCCGAGTGACCCGCCAGATGGAAAGTATTCAACGTCATCTGCGTCGACGGCTCGCCGACCGATTGACCGGCAACGATGCCGACGGCCTCGCCGGGCTCCACGAGGGAGCTGAGATATTTTGTGTAGAATATCTTCTCCGCGTACTTGCGAGGGGTGACGACCTTGGACATGTGGGCCGGGGTCTTCTCATCCTTTCTCTTGATCAAGCCGTCCGGGTTAGTTTTGATGTACTCGGATACCTTCTCATAGAACTTCTCCGAAGTGGAAAACGCGTGTCGGTTAGGATTCAACTCGGTGTGGATAGGATCGAGGCCAGTCAGATAGTTAGCTTTAGCCTGTTTAACGGCTTTCTTCGAATACTTCTGAGCAAACTCCCTGGACTCGTAAATCTCCTGATCCCAACCCCGATCGGCGATGCCAAGCTGATTGATCTGGGACGTCTGGTTGCGAAGCACGAAGCTGAAGTCGTTCAGGTACTTTTGCTTCGTGATGTCTAGGCCGTCTTCCCCGTATAGGAATTGGACCATTGACCCGTCCGCATCTCGAACTGACGAATCGTAAGCCACCTTCAAGCCTTCCATGCCCTTAATGAGACACCTCTGTAGATACCCGGATCGGGATGTCTTCACGGCCGTGTCGATAAGACCTTCACGTCCGGCCATATGATGGAAGAAGTACTCCTGAGGCCGAATGCCGGTCAAGAAACGATTCACGACATAACCGCCGGCACGCACGTTGCTCTCAAAGGGTCGGAAACACGGTAGTGATTTCCCGCTCACCATCAGAGGCACTCTCCGGCCCTCGAGAACCTGCTGGCCGAGGTTGCAAGAGATCAAGTTTGCGTTGACGGAACTTCCCTTAGCGCCAGACGTCGTCATCGACTGCATCTGATTCTTGGGGAACGGCTTCTCCAGCCCTACCGGGAGGCAGGCTCTAGTCACCTCGCTAGACAGCTGGCTAGATTCCGCGTTCACCACGTGGTCCAGGTCTTCTTGCTTGCTATCGTCGCGCATTACCTCCTCGAGGCGCTCTAGTAACATAGGATCCGTACTGGTGACGTCGGAACGGTCGCCCAAACTCACGTACTTGGCAGCAACTTTGAGACCGATATCCTTGGCACCTTCCAGCTTCTTCTTGCGATTCTGTTCGCCCTCAGGGGTAAGACGCAGATCGTCCATACCGCAGCTGAAAGCACGCATGTTGAGGAACCGAGTGAGGAGCCGACCTAGACAGCTGAGCAATTTGGCGGCGCTTTCGGGGCCCCAGATCTCGTGGATCGAGTGAATGAAGCCGCCGGAACTCGGGCCCAGCTGCGACTTGTCGAGGATGCCGGAGATAAACTCGCCGTCGCTAATCAGAACGTTGCCTTCTTCCACGAAGCTTCCCCAGGCCCCCGGCGGTATTGACGATTTCCCGGTGAGCCAGAGGTCACCGCAGCCGGCAGGCTTGATATTCATCAATATCGTTGTGATGACCTGCTTACCGGTCCAGCGCTTGACAGGTTTCAGAGTCGCCGGGGGCACAAGCACGAGTCTCTCGGACGTGATGTGCCCGCTTTCGGGCCGGAGTGCGCTGTAGATCAGTTGGTGATAGGCGCCCTTGTCGAAGAAGGCGTCCTTGCTGCAGAGGGCCACGGAGACGGACAGATGGTCCTGGATCAAGCCTCGGAGGGGCTTCCCGGCAGTCGCCGAGAGGTACTGGTGGTCTGTGTCGGCAATCTTCAAGGCTTCGGCTCGCGCGAGTTCGTTCTGCGGGAAATGCATGTTCATCTCGTCACCGTCGAAATCCGCGTTGTACGTATTGCAGTTCGCGTAGTGCATGCGGATCGTCTTCTCTCCGGGTAGGACTCTGGCTCGGTGGCCCATTATGGAGGGTTTGTGAAGGGTGGGTTGTCGGTTCATCAACACCACGTCGCCGTTGCCTAGATGGCGATGGACTTTCTTACCCTTCATCCCGGCGTGCTCGTGGCTGGTAGGGGCGAGAAGTTGATTCGCTAGGGCAACCCGATCTTCGACAGTTTTGTTCTTGAGGTTGATGATCTGTCCGTTCTCGTTCTCGATCGCCGAGGCTCCGGGCCACTTGTCCACACCATTGATAACCGCCTGTTGCATTTCTCGAAAGTTATGGCTCGTGACTGGCTCCGGGTACGTTAGCTTCTTAGCAAAAACAGGAGGAACGCCTATTTCGCTGGTCTCGATGTTCGGGTCGGGCGAGATGACGCTTCGCGCGGCGTAATTTACTCGCTTGCCCATCATGTTTTTTCTGAAGAGCCCCTCTTTCTTCTCCAGCTTTTGTTTGATACCATCTTCATTTCTCTTCCCAGCGGCACCGCGGATGGGATTTCTATCTCGGTCGATTAGGGAATTCACGGCGTCCTGAAGTTGGATGCAGGCCTCGTGCATTTCGGATATGTCGCGTTGTCGCGTTTCCGCATTTGGGTCTTTCCCGTGTTGCGATATCTCCTTGTGTATCTGGGCGATGTGCGCACATGCTGCAAGGATTTGCTTGTAGAGAGAGTTCTGCTGTGCCTCCGCGATAGCTCCATCCCCTTGACGAGCTTCCGGGCGGAATTTGTTCGGGGGGACGAGGATAGTTTGCAGGAAGAAGTTATCAGCCGGGACTTTCTTCCCGAGCGGTCTAGAGTTGTACACCAAACCCATTATATCTTGTTCTTTTTCGAACAGGAGCTGAAGCCGGGCCTGGACCTCCATCGAGTTGACATACCGTTGGTGAGATTTGGCAGCGGTGTCTTTGGCCTGGGAGGACTTGGCGGCAGCGCCACTTCCTGACATGATCACGTCCCCGTTTTCATCAAGCTCCTCGCCCTCACCTTCCTCGTCCTCATTGCTCTCCTGCTCTTCCCCTTCGCTCGACGGGAGGTCGACGTCGGCTATCCCCTCGTCTGTATCGTAGCCGGGATTCTTAGCCGTGTCGGTTTTGGATTCCCGCCTGATAACTAGGGCGTCCTTGTGACGGAACTTGCTTTGGGCCATCTTTACTTGGTCCTTGGCGCTGAGGGGCTTCTCGAAAATCTTAACAAAGCGATCTTTTCTGAAACTCGGAGATATGGCTTTACACGTAGCACAGGCTCTCCCTTTGGTCATATCTCTCAAGAAGTTTTTGAGCACTTCTCTCCTAGCCTCGGACGCGCCTTCATGTTTACCCTTCCTGATGTCGGCAGTTCCCAGCCGATGCTCCTTAAGCGCATCCCTCGTATATGTTTCTCTCGCAAGAATCAGTCTCTCAGCCAAGGTAATATCCGCCCCGTCGGAATCCTGTTCATCGTCCATCTGTCCGTCGGCGGTGTCCAGGGCGATATCGTCAATATGTTTGGCCGCGTCGATGAGGCCAAACTGGAGGAGACGAAGTTTGCAAGCGACGAGGCTGAGGTCGACCCGTCGCATGCGAAAGCGGAAGCAGTATTGGCACTGGGCACGGAGGAGCCTTAGCACCTGGTCCATGAACACGGGGTGGTAGACCGGGACGGGAAGATCGATGTGGCCGACATGGCCGGGGCAATGGGGCTGCGCGAGGTTACAAGTCGTACATCTACCGGCGCCAAATTAGCAGGCGACCCGTAAGCTGCGACAGGCAAGGAGAATGGAGTGGCGCTCTGCAGATTGCGCACCCGTGTCCTACTTACATCGAATCCCCCCAAGCCCCGAGAGCAGGGTCGTAGAGACCGCCGGGGACGGGATTCAAGAGGCTGTCGAAAGTGGTCGGGTTCTCGATTCTCTTGACGGATATCGCTTTGATTTCGGCGGGAGTGAGGAAATCGAAGTCGACGCTGTCGATGGTCGACGAGATGGGCTGTGAGATATTCATGGCTGGCTATGTTCCTATATCCTTCCATAGCCCGACACAGGCTTCCTTTCCCACCAACAGGACGGTCCGGTTCGAGTTAAACAAGGGCCGCAAAGCCCGTGTGAGCCGTATCCTAAGACGTCTTCTTCTCCTCGGCGGATTTCATCAGCTTATAGCATCGTGCAGGGCTGGTTGGTAGGGCGCCGGCGCTGCGTTGCTTGGAATGATGCCGCAAGTGGGAAGAAGGAAGAAGCTCCGCAGCAGCCAATACTCAATAGAGAATGGAAGACAGCCGTTTGGTTTCATTGGTTGGTCCCAAGTTTGGAGCTCGAACTTTTTAGCGGTACGAAACGGCAGAAAATGGGATCTCCACGTGACCGAGATAAGATAAAGGATACGTCGCCATTTGATTGGCTCTTGGAAACACCCGATTACATAATTAAACCTTGCATAGCCAGATGTCATACAGCTGAGAGCCAGCTCAAGAGAAGCTGGTTGACAGCTGACCTGCGGTTTCTCTCGTAGCCTGGCCAATTCCCACACACGCTTCTTTCTCTCCAAATAGATGCCCACCACAACTTCACTCACGTCACGCCTCGCCTTGCCTTGCCTGCCTCACATCGCTCAACGCGACCCGTCGCAGTCTTTCGCCCTCACTCATCGAATCTCTTCACCTCGGTTACAAGCGCCCACTCGAGCCCCTCAGATCGGTAACTAGATAACCGACTCCCTCCGCTTCTCCAACAGGACAAAAAAGGGTTTGCCGCATGATCGTAGGCTGGATTCGCCCTCTATGGATCGACACGGCTCGCCAGGCCTCGGCCCGCGCAATGATGCCGCATCTCGCGTGCAGAAGCCCGATTCGGCTGCCGACAAAGCAGCTAAGCTGGCTGCCCTGAAGGCGCGCGTGTCGGCGGCCATAGGGACTACCAAGGCGAAGGGCGGGCTCAACGTCGGCCTTCATCCCGCGTTGGAAGACATCGGCCAATGGAAGCCCGGCAACAAGGCCAACGACTCGAAAGCGAACGCAGGCTCTCTCGGCTCGCGGCAGCGCAACGGCGGTAACAAGGGCCACACAAAGCACAAGCCCCTCGACTTGTCCGGCCCTTCGCAAGACGAAATTAAGAATAACCCCTACTACGACGCGAGCCTAAGTGCTCCCAACGCGAAACCGCGGCAGTCTCGGCACCTCATATTCAACCAGAAAGGCAAATATATCCAACAAGCCAACGCGTTGCGGAGGCAGGCCGCGCTCGAGGCCCTGAAGAAGAAGATTGCCGCGGGGACGAGGAAGGTTGGGATAGACGAGGACAAGGATGTCGAGAAGAACTTCGTGGTCGATGACCCGCCGGATATCGAGTGGTGGGACGAAGGCTTGGTAGACGGCAAAAACTATGACGATATCGAAAATCCCAGCATCCTAAAAATCGATACCGAAGACAGCATAATAACTAGATACATTCAGCACCCCGTCGCCATCGAACCCCCCCAGGATCGCAACGTGCCCCCGCCGAAACCCATGTATCTCACCTCTAACGAGCAAGCGAAACTACGTCGACAGCGCCGGATGGCCGACCTCAAGGAAGAGCAAGCCAAGGTCCGCCTCGGGCTCGTCCCGGCGCCACCGCCCAAGGTCAAGAAAGGCAACTTGATGCGCGTGCTCGGCGAGGAGGCCGTCAAAGATCCGACGGCCGTAGAGGCGCGCGTGAACCGCGAGATCGCCGAGCGGCACACGAAGCATCTGCAGACCAACGAGGAGAGGAAGTTGACCAAGGAGCAGAAGCACGAGAAGCTGGCCACGAACCAGGAGAAGGACGCGGCCAAGGGGCTGCACATGCTGGTCTTCAAGATCAACACCCTGGCCAACGGGCAGCACCGCTACAAGATCAACATCAATGCGGACCAGCTCGCGCTCACGGGGCTTGTCATCATGCACCCGAAGCAGAACCTCATCATCGTCGAAGGGGGCGAGTGGTCGACGAAGCACTACAAGAAGCTGATGCTGAATCGCATCAACTGGACCGAGAACCTGCCGTCACGTGATAAGGACGCGCAGAACGAGACGCTGAAGCAATGGCTTAGGGCCGAGACCGAGGACGGCGACCTCAAGGACCTCGCTGAGAACCGGTGCCAGCTCATCTTCGAGGGCGAGATCAAGTCGCGCGCCTTCCGCAAGTGGGGATCCAAGGTCTGCGAGACGGACAGCGAGGCCCGCGAGGTGCTCTCCAAGGCTAAACTCGAGAACTTTTGGAACCTCGCCAAGTCTACCGCAGCTAGTGCCACTGCTACCGCTGCTTACTAGGTAGCTAGGCGCCTCGTGTGCGTCCACTGACCACCAGTACCTCTTGAAATGTCGATAGTCGCACGGTCGAGACCGGGCAGTATGTAATATGAAGATGATTCTTAATGACTAGCATTCGACGGGGCAACTATTTTCTAGCCGTGGGACCCGACTATCGCTTATTATTTATATTCGACGTCGGGTTCGATACTTGGCGACACTTGCCCTCATACACTTACATCCTCTCGACGTTGCTATCGCGCGCTCGCTGTGTATCTGCGCTCGTGCCTAGTCGTTCTCGACAATGTATCTCGCCAGGATATACCTCGGCTAACTACTATAACCCCCCTTTTACTAGAACGGCCGGCACGCATTTGTCGGCAGTCGACGCTACACCCCAGTGTACCCCTTTCTCTATCAACTTGAGGGCGTGTAGCGAGTTATCCTGCCAATATTTCTGCATAAGGAACATGCTGCTGATTGGGGAGCTACATGTCACGAGACAAGGGACGCACTCTCCCCTCCCCCCTACAATAGCGGCTCCGGAGTCTCTAGTATGAGATGTCATCTACGGGTACGGCTATATCACATACACACGTACATAGATGTATAAACATCCTATGGTGCGCGTGGTGGAGTACATGGTCAGTTAGCTGTCTCCTAGTATACATAACGAAGGGCGGATAACGGGCGTATTTGACATGGAACAACACAAGATCGTCTACACATAGTTCTTATGGCCCCCAATACGCACAAACTAGAAGCCAACTCCTGTGAACCCAGTCGATAGTACCGGCCCAGCTGTCTCGTCTCGTATATGCACATCAGGTATGATGGAGACTCGTGCTGAAGCATACGTTTCCCCTGACCCTAGCTCAGTGGCAAGTGCCGTGATAGCTTGCCACTGCTTGACACGAGGTGCCCATGGGGTTACTGGACGTTCTCGCTCGGCACAGCAGCACAATACGGCGGTAGCACAACAGCGACTATCCCTATACTGCCTACAAGTCCTACCTCTGCTAGGAAGTATAATGTAGAACCGTCGTCCTATCTCTCCGGTTACACTAGATACCGGGAGCATCGGCCCCTCGAATAGCCTGCAAAGGCCGAGCTTTACAGAAGACCTAGACCCCTGAGGGAGAAAGGGGGAGTTGCAATGGGCCAGCGCGCGTGCCACAAGCCGTTATCAGTATAGGGGTCGTATGATCTGAGAGATATTTGCCGCCGGCGAGGGCGGAAGAGAAGAGGGTATCATCAACGAACGTTCTGAGTCTGCCGTGTTTGCGATATGTCACCTTTGCCGACCCCCTCCTCACCCATCCAGAGGTGGGTTACGTCGCTCGGTCTTTCTCGTCGACGGGTAAGACGTGTAACGCCATCCTGGGACGCTATAGGGTCTGTCAAGCGCCGCTTACTGGCCGCGAGTACTACAGGGCAGCCTGACTCCCGAGAAGCCTCTCTCTTGCGCGACAGGCTGCGCGGAAGTGCTGTGCCAGCCAGAAGACAAGTCGATCCTCCGCGTCTACTTGGCCTCGGCCCCCCATCCTGTACGCGATCGGCGATCTCGAGAAAAGGGGGGGGGAGGAGGAGGAGGAGGAGGAGGAGGAGGAGGGAGGGGGGGCCAACCTGGAGCAACCCTACTGCCGCCACCACTACATCCTTTCGAGACCGAACTGCCACAAATTCCGGCCAGGCCCTCTCACCTGCCCTAGGTGGCGACTTGGAGATCAACGAACGCGAGACCAGATCTCCTCGAGCAACGCACGTCACACGGAGCCGACGGGTAGGTGTGTGAGCTTGGATTCTGGAGTGACATGCTTGGAGGATGAGGCAAGGGGGAGGGGGAGGGAAGAGATCCTTACGAAGCGGCCACCCACACGCCGTCCTCGGCCGGCTAGCGAACTTGGCAGCTCCCTCCCTATCAAGCTTCCCGCAGTCGAGATTTCGGTTCGACGGCAGACCTGCTGCTGCAGACCCTTCTTTTCTTCCTTCCCTCTCTCTTTCGCCAAAAGTCCCCCGCCTCCTCCTCCCCCCCCCCGCCCCGGCGCAGTCCCCCAGGGATTCCCTTTTCGGTGCCGCAACGTCTCGATCGGCGGGGCCCGGGGGAGAAGGAGGGAGTGGGGGAGGGGGGGAAAGGAGGGGTGGTACGCGTGTCGCGCGTCGAAAGGGTCAGAGATCAGATAGGGGAAGCTCTGCGCGTGGACAAAGTCCTATCCCTCCCCCCCCTCCTTTCCCCCCGCCAGGCGAAGATCATTTGCTTGCGATGCCGTACAGCTGCCGGTCTTAGAAGGGCTAGCCGCGTGGGCGTGGGGAGGAGCAGTTCGAGGTAAGCCAGAGGAGGGGGAGGGAGGAGGAGGAAGAGGAGAAGTCGTCTGAGGAGCACGCGAGAAAACTGAATGTGACACGTAGCAGCGTACTACTTTGTACAGATTCGCACGGGCTTCGGTGTTGAAATATCATGAACGGAGAATCTGTTTCCCCCCTTCCCCTTTCGTTCCCCTCCCATGGGACGGCTCCTGCTCCTGCTCCGCGCCCTACGGGACCGGGACGTAAGGTTGGTGCCGTGGTATTCCCGCGCCCTGCCCCTCGGTCCCGCGATCCCTGGGATGATGTACAGCACACGCGCGCCGCAGATGCCCGCATGCTATGAATAGGGACTGGCCGGTGGACGGGCTACATGATAGATAGATAGGGCTTGAGTGGTGGGGTAGAACTGCCGACGAATACACAAACACCCCCCTTTGTGCCTGTTGCGTGTATCGACGATATTGCTCGGCGATAATGCACTGTTCTTCCTCCTTTGCCGGAAATCGAGGGCCTCGCCATCCGTGGTAGCGAACCACGACGCGGATTCTCACTCTTCGTCTGGACCCCTGAACGGAAATAGGGGGTGAATTTATCTTTACTCGCTCCCTTTTGCGCACCGTATTGCTAAGTTCATCTTGATATTCATGACATGTACCGACTACCTACGTGTTTCTAATTTCTCACCACGTGGTCTTCAAGGAATACCCCAATTTGTCAGCTGCGGGCGGCAAGGGGGGCTGTCATCATCGCCGTCAAAGAGTCACACATTAGGTATGAGTACGATGGATTGCCAGATCGTGTATCTGGTACACAGTCATCTACAGAGGCTGAAGGAATCCGGCTTCTGCTTCTGGTTGGCCGTGGCCCAAGAGCTACGGGGCCTGCTTCGGCGCCGCTGTGTTCGATGTTCTGTTCGGCCGATTCCTCCCTCCCTGGCGAGCGAAAGGACCAAGCAGTGACGAGGAATGGTTCATACGGCTCGCTACGCTCGAGATTCGCAGACCGGCAAATCATGAGCTTGGTCTCTATGCACCGCTGGGCAGATGTCACACAGTTTGCCTGCCGACGTCCTGACGCCAAAACACGTAGGTAGGTAGGTATGATGTAGGAATACGATATCGCCATCGTTATGGCTATTTGCCTCTGTGGTTCGTTCTCCTCGTTGTCGAGTCGGGATTACCAAATTTACAAACACGCAGCGGCACTGCCAGCATAGGGGGTCGCGGGTCGAGAGAGAGAGAGAGAGTTACATCTGCCACCCGAGGCCCTGGACTGGGGTCAGACAGCGATGTGTGCGGAAGCGTGTGTGGGTATTCTGATATTTACGGATTAGACGACGACGTGCATCCGTGACGCCCACGACCAGCCACTCAACTCGTATACATAACACCTACAGGTTAGGTATGTATGTATTGTACGTGTATCCGTAGGCACGGGGGCCTAGACAACGTGCATCCTCATGCATGTACGTCTGCATATGCACTTCTGTATCGAACGTACGTGGAAGTTCCAAGGCCCCGCTTCACGACGCAAATTTCCACGAGCTGAAGAGCCAGGGGGATGGGTGTTCTGATTTTACTACGCAGGAGCCTGGCTAGGATAGGCTAGCATGACGAGTGGAGGAACAAGAGGAGACGGCAAGCTTAGCTAGACAGCTACTTTAGTCTGTATTCGTGTGAGATTTTGATCCTACCCGGCGCAGGGAAGGCCATGGGCAGGACGCAGCAGCAGGGGTTCATAGAATCCCCAGCCGATGGTGATTCCATATGCCTGCCATGTAGGTACATACATACCTACCTGACCTACCCAGCACCACCCATTCCACCTCGAGCAAGCCCTGTTCGTTCGCTCCTCGCGCGCGCCGCACGCCCTCGCCTCGACCTGGCGCGAATGCAACCTCCGCGCCTCGCCTACCTACGAGGGCGGGCCCGGAAGAGCGAACTTACCCCTGGAGGACGGGTCTCCTTTCTATCTCTGCAAGCTGCCACTATCTTACGTTGGCGTCCCGTTGTCTCATCTTGCTAGTCCCCCCCTCTCTCTCTGCGCGAACTCTAGGCAGCAGCATTACCACCGCCGTTCGACGATGGGTGGCAACTCCCGAAGCCCGGTGGCGCACGGAACACACAGCTAGGGGGATCAAGCGCTATCCACCATCGATGAGCTAAGACAGAAATCCCTCCCCGTACCCACCGCGGTGACGGGCCGTGTCCACAACGGCTCGGTAGCTCGTGCGAGTGAGAACGTACGTTTAGTGTCTGCTCGTCAATAGCGATGGCGCTCACGGTGGAGATGGTGAAGGTGAGATAAGGTGCGATTAGGAGGGGCGCTATGAGGCTGCGACGCTATATTCTAACCATTGTTTATATAGTAGGTCCTCTGTGCTAGGCCGCCTTCTCCTCTAGGGGAACCCGTCTCGCCCTTCTTCCGCTCCTCGCCCCGCGCATCTCGAGCCCGGAAGCAAAATCGCTCGCCCGCTACCTATACTGCGTACCGGATGGCCCGAAATTCTTGATCCAGCCTCTCTCTCCCCGCCGTTCCGTCCGTCCCTACTCGGCCTGGCCTGCTGGATTTGACCTCTGCAAGGCGACAAATCGGAAGGGAGACAAAAGAAACCGGGTACCGTGGTTATCCCGAGATAGCACGCCGTGTCGCCGCCCTACCTACGACGTCATGTAGGAGCCCGACGTAACCTGTCGTGTATGCCTACACATACGTTACATGCATCGTCATCTACGTCTGTACCGCTGCGAATATAGATCATGCGGACATGTGCCCGTTTCTGGTAGCCGGTGCGAACACTAGCTTCTATTACGGAGCCGGGGGAGGGGGGGTTCCAATCGAGATGAATCCTCGCTCCCACTCTCCTACACAC